AGAGAGAGAGAGAGAGAGAGAGAGAACCGTCGTGAGCTTTGGTGTCTTGTCGTCGTGATCAAATTATACGGAAACATAGGCGTCACAGAGACGATGGGTTCATGAAATAGACATTTATCTGACCCTCAGACGCTCTCCACTGACTCTTGTATTCTTTTCTTTGCTACATACCGCGGTAACCTCCTATTTTTGTAGGTCAAATATACGAATTACTCATGTCTATCATTGGACGGTGTGTCAAGATCTGAAGGAAACATTTGGTGTAGGTGTGAGCTAACATCGTAAGACTGATAAGACCCATAATGGTCTGCTCAGCAACACTGGAATATCCAAAGTCACATGACCTTTGCTGGTGCGGAAACCTTCTTGCAGCGGTATGTAGGTTATTTCTCGTTCTTTCTTCCATCAAGCTGGCTCAGTGACACCAAATCAATGCAGTTTGGAGCTTTCAAAACTTTCTCGAGTTTTGGAACATACCACGAATGAGGGATGATTACGTAACAGGTGTCAGATGTCGAACTGGACCAAAGTGATAAAAAAGATGCGAATCCACTATGCTGAGCAACAAGTTGTGTCTGGTCTGTCTTGCAAGTAGTACTGTGGTAAAAACAACATGGTTCCAACTCACAGAATACAAAGAGGTCTATGCAAATTCATAACGAAACTGATTCAAAAATCGCACCTGCAGATTGGGAAGTATTTTTATGTTCACATACGACAAATCTAACATTCCAATTGCTCAAAAAGTGCTAATATATCAACCACAATAGTTCTATCAGTAGAAAAAAGTTCGACTCTTGATTTCTCATCGCTTTTAATAGATTCAAACGCCGAAATCTTACAGTATCCAAATGCACTATTTCATCTTTGTTACTATACTCAAGAGATCTAAAAGAACTTTGCATTGCTCAAACCTATACCTGAGAAAGCCTCAACAAAACGTTTATTCTGACCTCAGCCAGATTTTTCAAAATGGAGAATGTCAGCGCATAGGTGACAGAGATGTTGTTTTCAAGAAGTTGGATTCGGGTAAATGTGTTATGATTATCTCCAGCCATCATCAAAGGGGTCATTGCAATATTTTGATGTCAACCCAACCCGCATGGGGATCCAAACAAATTCAACTCTATCGTTGTCGTTGTCGATATACCATTTTTGATATGTCACGTGATCCTCTTTTTGTCTTCAATAATTTGGCAGTGAAACGTCTTTTTCGTCCATTTAAAATGCATTTCGATTTCAGTTCCTGAATTTACACGACCCCTTAGATATAACGGCTCTAACGCTATCTGCTCTATCGCTGTGTTATCTCATCGAACAAAAACCGTCACAGACCCGAATCACTATTCACGAACGAATTTAAACTAGAATTACCATCTGACATATATTCCATCAACCTCATCTACCTGTACAACAACATACGATAACCGAGCATAACTAGCTCTCTGACCATCAAAGCTGCGTTCAAGACCATATCAAACGGTGCCCTAAAGACGCGCAAAATGAATGGTGCTAGCAACCAGAATGGTAGAGCGAAAATCAACCTTTCAAAACTACAAACAAGTCTTGAGAATGAACCGAAACCGTTAGAGATTGACAATAGCATGTCTTCTCAGCAGCCTGGAAAACTGTTCATCACGATCACCGAGTACCAGAAACGCATGGAGGACGAACTAGACATGAAACCAGGCGACAAAATCGAAGTGATCACAAATGATGAAGAGTACAATGATGGATGGTATTACGGTCGTAATTTAAGAACACGGGAAGAAGGGTTATATCCCAAAGTATTTACGCAAGAGATATCGACACCATCGCTTGTAAGAGCGAAATCTGCTCGTCGTGTGGCCAGTCCACATGCAAATGGAAGTCTGACGGATCTGTCGACAATGTCCAACGAGGGATCAGTTAGTGAACTGCCCACGCCACAACCGCTTGAGACGGCAGCACCTGTAAAACTAAGTCTAGACCGCACAGCATCCGTGAAAGTGACCATGAATGATATCGACAGGGCTCTAGAAGCGTTTCGCGGTGAGTCTCTTTCGTCTTCATCGGGAAATTTACATTCTGGTGGTAAAGATGAAGCACGCAATAATCAAGCCGACACTACCGCAAATTCATTTGCTACCGACACTGATACGGATCTCTCTAGGCAGCAAATCCTGAGAAGTTCAAACTCGGTACAATCACTAACAAACGACACCTCGTTTGGTTCTACTTCGATCAACGGTATTGACCCTAAGGATCTTGCCCCAATCAATGCACAGAACTGGTCTCCCGAACAAGTAACCGCGTATTTCATAGCGTCGGGCTTTGATATTGAGTCGTCGAGTAGATTTCAGCAACACAAGATATCGGGTCCAATCCTATTGGAATTGGAACTGGCTCATTTGAAGGAGCTTGATATCAGTTCGTTTGGTATACGGTTCGAAATCTTCAAAGAGATCGAAGCTATAAAGGATGTTATCAGTACGCATGGACCGACAAGATTAACAAGTCAATTGATGCCTGCCGCTTCTGTCAATCAGAGATCGTACATGGGACACACTCGCAAAGCCTCTCAGTCTCTGGACGATATCCCTTCTAAATCGCCCATTGTAGCTCCCTCCGCAAGCCGCAGTCGCGTGAGCAGCAGACACCGTCCGTATTCATTGGCACTCAATGGTCGCGAATCGAACGCTGATGCGGCAGACTCCATTATTGCTGCTTTGAATGCCCAAGAAGACGGCACTAACATCTCTAAACCCGCTCAACCCCAAATTGACGACACCAACTTTCTTTCCCCTCGCAGGGCTCCTAAACCGCCTTCATATCCAAGTCCAGTCCAGCCGGTCAGATCACCTACCGGGCAACATTTCACACCCAGCCCTTCTAACTTGGAATTTCCACAAAGTTTGCGCAATGGTCCTCCTACAATATTCGAGCGTGCACCATACATGGAAAGTCGTTCAAATAATAATTCTGAAGTGCAAACGCCCAAATTTCAGTTCCCCAGGGCTGCGCCTCCCCAGCTGGGATTAGAGAGCCCTAATGATGGAAATCAAGAAGATAAAAGAGGCAATGGGGTTGCAGCGGTTGAAAACTATGTGGGGAATAGAAGCTCTGTCATTTACTCGGGTCAACATGTGCATAGGCCAACGAAATCGGGCGGTTCGTTCGTTGAACTATTTAATAGGATTTCAACAATGTCCCCTGGCACTGCTAGAGGTGCACAAAGTGATGTAGAGGGTCTGAACATCGAACACAGTCAGTTACAGAGGCCAACTTCGAGCATATATGAGCGCTCAAGAGTTGCATCACCAAGTCACATCAAACACCCTTCGCAAGCCACCGCTGAGATCAAGAAACATAGACGGAACTCGTCCATTCTGTCATTCTTTTCCAATAAAGGTGATGATAACGGTAAAAGCTCTCCAACAAAGAAAACTAGATCAAGACAGGCTTCCTTTTCACACAGTAGAAAAAGCTCTGCCGTAGGATATAATGCGGGGAGATCGTTTTCACCTGAAAAAGGATCGCGGTCACCGTCAAAGAGGCACTCAATTGTTGTATCTCCAATTGCTGGTCCTGTTTCACCAGTCAATGAGTCTGTTGCTGATGATGAGAAACGTAGATCTGTCAGCGCAAAAGAAACAAACGGGACGCCCGGACCAAGAGATTCAGATTTATTTTTCGATGCCAAGGAGGAATTACAAGAAGAACAGAAGAACAAGAGATCCGTGAGCGAAGCTGTTAAATCCAAACCTAGTCGCACTAAGACAAGCAAGAATGTTTTGAGTAAAATGAAAACCTCTGCATTCGTCGAGGGTATTCGGACGATCAGCGTCATGGAAGCAATGACACAGTCAGACTGTTCTGGCTGGATGAGCAAAAAAGGCTCAGGTGCGATGGGAGTATGGAGAAACCGTTTTTTCACTCTTCACGGGACAAGATTGTCCTACTTTGCGAGCACTACCGACACTAGGGAGAGAGGTCTAATCGATATTACTGCACACCGAGTGGTGCCGGCCAAAGAAGATGATAAACTTGTTGCCCTTTACGCTGCTAGCACAGGGAAAGGGCGCTACTGTTTCAAGCTTTTACCACCCCAACCAGGGTCTAAAAAGGGCTTGACATTCACGCAGCCCCGTGTCCATTATTTCGCCGTCGACACCAAAGAGGAGATGAGAGCTTGGATGGCAGCCCTAATAAAGGCCACTATCGACATTGATACCAGTGTCCCTATCATCAGCTCCTGTGCAACTCCAACCGTTTCTTTAAATAAAGCTCAAGAAATGTTATCACAAGCGCGGGAAGAATCTCGACAACGGGAAGAGCAAAGATTCTTAAATGAAGAGGATGAGGACCAGCTACTGTGGGAACAACAACAGCAGAGAGCTGATTCAAGCTTCCCGGATAGTTCAAAAGGTACCCCAACACCCAACTCATCCGTGCAGATGAATTCTAATAATGGTTCCGGATTCCACAGCCCCTTTCTCTTGGCTTCGGGAGTATTGTCTCCTGGAACACCTCAAAACAACGGTCGCTTTCAGGATCAACCCAACAGCGACTACTTTTTGCTCGGCTCGAACTATACAAGCAACAAAATTTAAAATTGCGGAAGACCCAACTTCCTCATCGTGTTGTTCTTCGCAAGTTGTAATACTATCTATCAAAGTAATGCTTTTTCGCTAAAATAGCTAACTACTGTAATGCTATCCAGAGTATCTCCGATTTTACTTACGGCAACATAGCTGATAATCTTGATAGTTTACCGATGCTCATTTAAACCTTCCTGAGAGCTCTTTCGGAAGGTTCTTTATCAACTCGCTACTGTTCAACATCAAGCTTTGTTTCGTGTACGTGGATTGTCTAATGAAGCGCTCAAAGAAGCTATCGTGCGCTGAAAGAGCTCGGTGGCCTGGACTGGAAAGGTCCTACAAAAGTCTGTGTGTAAGCACTTAAGCCACTTATGTGTTGAAACGATACAAATCTCATTACTGAGGCTATCATATTCACCAACTGGTCGAAAATCGATAAAAATGTCCATCGAAAAGGTTTATAGATCGTATGATTACAGTACCAGTTTTAGTCCATTAAGTGGCACTTTTCCAATGCATTCTGAATGAGCTGGCTACCCTTGGGATCTAAGTTCATTGCAATGGTCAATTCCTTGACCGCATCTTGCTTTCTGCCCATTATTTGATAGAGTTGTCCGAGCAGAAAGTGAATGGTCGCCTCATCCGGTGCAATCGTGACCAATCGCTCGAAATTTTCAAGTGCAAGATTGTATTTTCCCATTGAAAGAAGCAGCTGGGCTCTCTTGAAAAGCGCAAGCGACGACGTGGGTTGTAGTTCGCATGCCAAATCATAGTATTGAAGAGCTTTTTCACGATGAGACAACTTTTCAAGTGCGACTCCACAGCAACAGATCAAAATGACGTTAACGGGATTTATGCTCCTTGCTCGTTCAAAATGTAAAAAGCATTCTTCGTATTGTCCAAGCTTTAAGCAACACATACCTAGACCATAGTAAGCGTTGTAATGATTGGGGTTGGAAGCCAGCGCTTTACGATAGCAATTCATTGCAGTATCGAAAGCGTCATTGCTTGAGTATTCATGTCCTTGTAAAGTGTATGCATACGTGAAGTGCGGATCAATTTGCGTACTTCGTTGAAAAGCCTTTGTAGACTCTTCATGATCCTTTTGAAGTGAAAAAAGATTTCCTATACAACACCATGTTTGTGGTGCTGTGCGACTGACTTCTAAAAGCTCATGGCACAAGTAAGATAATCCGGTTGAATCGTTAAGATGCCACAAGAGGGTCGAGTATACCTCCATATCTGAGACTCTGAATGGTTGCAATTCTCGTAAGGACGAGAAGTATTTCTTGGACATCTCGTAATTCACTAACTCGAAATGCAACTTGCCTAAAAGTGCAAGGACCCATGGCATGCCCGCTAGGATATGCCGCGGAAGTTCTTCGTTCAGTATCCTTACAGCTTTATAGCAATCGAATCTTGAGGCTGCCTTGTATGACTTGGCCAGTGCGTATAATTGGGCTTCTAGTTCCGATGCGAACTCTAATGTACGAGTATTACCAGAATTTGCGACATTGTTTACCCTTGTTGTCGCTGGGCCGCGTTCCGGCGTGACAGATTTCTCATGAAGAGCGGATTTGAAAGGCGGTGTTGCTAGGAGACGTGATTTCGGGAGTGAAGAATGGGGGGTCGTGGCGCCAGCGCCATTTGTTGATTTCAACATTGTGTTTGTGTGAGCTCCACCGATTCTTTGCTTTGGGTTGGATAGCGGAAGATGTGGGAGTGTAGTTCTCTTTTTGGGATCAAACCCAGGAATTTTGAAAGGTGTATGGGGTTTTGCGATTACTCCGCTTCGTTTTCTGGCGGGAACCTGAGAATTCAAGTTTTTGGGCACAGCTGAAGATGTTTTAAACAATTGGCCGACTTTAACTGAAGTCCCCATGTCACACAACGCGATGAATGACTCCCACAAGTATGGATCAAGCTCCAAGGCACGCGAATGAGCCACACTGCTTTCTTTGAGTTTCCCCATTTTGCTATATAGATGGCCCAAAACTGAATGAATGGTTGCCTCGTCTGGTGCTCCATAGTAGGCTTCTGTGTTTTGGAAAGCAGAAATATCCAGTAGCAGCTCCAAACTCCGTGCTGCCTCGTCCCATGCTTGTCTCTCCAACCTCAACGCACTGCGGGCCAGCACATATGCACACAGTAGATTTTCTGCCCTATAAGGTCTCACCACCGCTTGAGCGCTCTTAAAGTCGCCTTTGAAATACAGAACCAGTCCGTACAGATATGCAGCACCGATAAGTTCCCTTTCTGCACCTTCCAGCTTCTGTACTTCGGCGCACAACAGTTCTGCCAAGAACTCTGCCGATGCCAAGTTGTTGTGTTCGATACAACGCTCCACCATGGCTTTCAACCGCTCGCAATTGCCATCCAGCGCCCTAACCAGACCGCCCGAGCCCACGCGAAACATAACCACAATGCTTTTGAAGCGGATAGACACAGTAGTGGCACTGAAATAGGTGTTTTCGTCTGGTAGACTTGCATCTCATCGCCTGTAGGTTGAATTTCCACAAACTGTATTGCAGCAATGTCATCTTATACGTCTGTGTCGCTGATCCAAGTGACAGTTTAGTCTGAAGTGATCTACCATCCACCAAGCAAATTCAACATATTCAGATTGAATAATCAACCGGGTTATGAGTCTAGTACATTTTCGAGCAGGATTGCAGTTGGTTGTAGAGCTGAATTCTCAGGTTTTCAAAATTATTTTTGATTTCAGCGGGACCGTAATCCGAGGGTTGGAAAACTTGCTCCCCCGAAAAATATATGCAACAGTTCTCACAGAATTACAATAGCCATCAAATCCTTGCAGCGATCAAATTGTTTTTGTTCTTAAAAACTGACATATGTGGTGTCGTCGCTCCATCGGAAATAGCGTTCTGAACGGGTCCCTTCTTTGTTATTACATACAAATAAAAATATAAATATACCAATATTATTATGTCTAAGTTAAGAATTCATTCTCGAGAGCTGGAAAGTTGAAGATCTTCGTCTTCGAGCGAGCTTAGGACTGAGGTACGTTTAAGTAAGATCGAGAAATATTCACAGCGATAGGAAGAAAGTGAGAAAGTCTCGTTGTAGAAAAATAGCTTTCTTTAGCGTCTTTTTTCAGCCGTTTTTCATCGAATAACGGGTCCTAGCGGAACCATAGTATATTTTAGGGTGCTGCGTAACCCAAATTGTGGGGGGTATCAGAAACCTTCCGTGTTTAGTTCGCTGGAATCATTGAGAGGTTTTTGTCTTGACTTTCCATCAATACGTCTTTCTTCGAGCAGAATTAAAGAAGACAGCATAGCATAGCAGACCCTAGCGTCGAGTGCAAATCTCCGGGGAGAACAACAGAAAAAAAAAAAATTTCGAAAAATCGCTAGCCGAGAACCTTGCCGCTCGCTTTTAAAGGTTTTGTTTGAGACACACCTTGAATCGTCTCCGTTTGGTTTCTTTACGTTTTTTTCGTTTCGTGCGTTTTCAATTCTGACATACATTCAACACTGTCGTGTAAACCGGTACCTACACTAATTTACCAACCAATTCTGCATCATTTCTTTCGACCCAGGACCTATATTTTCATATTTTCCCTGTCATGAGAAGCAAAACCAGAAGCATAATAGCGACGATCTTCGTACTGCTGACACTGTGGACATTCCGCAAGTATTTTTTTTCAGACGTCGGCCGAAGAAATCTTCGACAAGACAGCGCAAAGCCAGGATGGATAAAGCCTCGCTATTACAAGAAAAACGATGCTGTCGAGATTTTGGTCAATAAGATCGAATCGGACCATTCAAGCGTTCCATACGGATACCACGACCTACCCTTCGTGTGTCCACCATCGGAGGGCAAGAAACCTTTGCATTTATCTCTCAATGAGATCATAAGTGGTGACCGCAAGTGGGAGAGTGACTATAACCTGCGCTTCGGCGTTGATGTAGAATGCGAACGACTGTGTGATCGCAAAACGCAGCCAGACGCTCTGAAAAAGGCAGACGCTCTTATTCGCAAGGGTTACAATGCTCAGTGGCTTATAGACAGTGACATGCCCGCGGCAACAACTTTTATTCAAGCCCGTAGTGGGAAAAAATTCTATTCTGAGGGCTTTCCCATAGGCACGCTTGACCCCAACACGGACAAAACTTACCTGCATAACCATGTCATGCTAGTGATACGATTCCACAGTGCAGACATTAATAAACATACCATCGTCGGCTTTGAAGTATATCCTAAATCCACCTCGGACCATCATTGCCCAGGCAGCTCCAAAGACTATTCTCATTACGAAATAAAACCCGACGAAACTGAAGTGACCTTCATACCGTTCACATATTCAGTTTACTGGCGTGAAGAGTTCCATAATGATTGGTCTCGTCGCTGGACTTTTTTCATGGCACTTGATAAGTCTAATACATTCAAATGGCTTTCTTTGGCCAATAGCATTATTGTTTTAACCGTAATGACCTCTATTGTTGCATTCGCTATTGCGAAAATTCGTGGCAACCGATCCATCCGTTCGGTAGCCTCCTCATGGACATCGCATCCTGCACATTTCCTGTCTCTTTTGAACTTGTCTACCGCCATGGGCGTTCAATTCCTGCTCTCTTTTTTCGGCGCACTTGTTATTTCGTGCTCTTTGAGTAAATTGCACGACATTATCAATGGGGTGGTGTTCTCTGCTTTAATTTTTTTCATAATGGGCGCGTACGCTTCCTCCTTTTTAGGCACATTATTGGCTCCAGAAGCTCGAGCAACGCTCAGTGTCTCGGTGTTATGTGGTTGTGCTTTGCCCGGTATGACTTTAATTGTATTGATCATTCTTAACAGTATCGTTTGGGCGAAGGAAGGCACAGACCACATCCCGTTCGAGAGTATTGTGGTAATAGCGACATGCTACTTTGTGATCTGTGGCCCTATTTCAATCTGTGGTGGCCTCACTGCGAGAAAGATGAGGACAGGTGCACGCAAGGTCTCTGACATTTCTTCTTCTCTAAATTTTCTTCTAGCGATGAACTATGAGAGTAAAGAAACGGATAAGAGTTTAATACTTAAGCCCGTTCCCAAAATATTATCAAATCCTGTACTATTTCAGTTGATATGTGGGGCACCACCATTCCTTATAATCTGGTTTGAAGTTTCCACTGTCTACAATTCTGTGTGGTCAAAAACAACCGATTTTGTCTCCCTGTATGGCGTCCTTCTCGCGAATATTGCTACATTTTGCATAACGATCATCGAAGTGTCGCTGGTGGCCTGTTATCTCCTAATTTTCTATGGTCAAACTGGTGATTCTAGCAGCTCCAGACGCATACAAAATGGCGGTGTCAAAAACAACAAGCAGACATTTATCAGCATACTGAAACAACGTCCATCTGCAGCAGGCCTAATGAAACTCGTTAAAATGGCAATCCACTTCACTGCTACTCAACTAGAATTATTGTGTTCGAGCTGGAGGTGGAAATGTTTTCTTGCCGGTAGTAGTGTGGCTTGGTACCTTGAACTCTTCTCGCTGTACTATCTGGTTTTCGTGCTGCGCCTGAGAGACTTCTCATCCGTATTGTTGTTCATGTGTTACACCGGTCTATTCAATTTCATGTGTTGGTGTGCTTTTGGCGCGTTGGGATACCTGTCATGTTTGTGGCTTCTGAATTACATTTCTGGTCTACGCAAAGCTCGCTGAAATGCCTTAAGTGCATTTCAATTGGAACAGTTCAAATTTAATCGTACGCACCAATCGGTGATGAGGCTATATTACACAATTAATAAATAATTCCATATAAGAATTACTTCGCATCATTTTTAGATAGTTTGCCCTCCCAAATTCAGTGGTTGTTGGGAAGAAGATGTTTGGTGGTGCTTGACGAAACCTCCCATGGCGCTTGAATGATTACTTGGAGTTAAACGATCTTCGTTCGTTCTGTTATTGTAGTTGTTGCTTTGACCATTGTTGAATCGACGGCCACCACTGCTGTTGTTGTTGTTATTTCCATGGTGGAAGTCACGACTGTCACCGCGTCTGGAATTGTTGCCTGAATTGAATCTCTTTTCACCGTCTTTTCTGCCACCTTGTCTCCTTCTGAAGTCCTTGCCCTGACTGTGGCCTTGAGATTGCTGCTGAGCGCTGTTCTGCTTGACCTTCTCGATCAAGTCGTCTTGGAGTTTGATGTATTTGACGAAACTGCCTCTAACGTATATTTCTGGCAGTTTAACGGACTCGTTGGTCGATGTGTGTGTAACTTTCGACAAAGTCAAGTTCATCCAATTGTCGACATTCACCAGCTGGCCTGTGATGGTCTCACCATTTTTCAGTTCTATAACCATTTGCTGACCTTTGGCATTTGTTAGCAAATACAAGGGAAGCATGATAGCGAGTCAGTGTCTACTATTGTCAACCGTGATAGTGGTTGAGTCTTGATGGAGTTGAACGTTATGGGCATAAATTGAGATGTAAGTTGACATGTAATTTCTATATCACTTTGTACGCATATCCAAAACTGACAACTGAAAGATGGGAACAATTTAAGGTTCGCAAGGACCATCGAACTAATTGGATAACTATGTGTAGACTACTTGTAAGATATTGGCCGGTTTTTACGCTTTTATGGAGATTTTCCTCGAGCTGTTTTTTTTTTTTTGAAGTTCATCTCTTGGTTTTTGGACAGAATAAATCGTTGAACATGCGGTCGTTGTTTTGCGAATCGTTTTTGGAAAGTTGGTGATGTTATTGAGACGTCTTTGATGGTAGAACCGTGTCTTAAAAGGTATTACTTGACGACAATTCGACTCTGGTCACTCTATACATATCTGTCATCGCGACGGGACTCGTTAATAAATGAGACCAGCAGAGAACGAAGTTGAGTGTGGTGTGTGCAAGTAGGTTTTGTACAAAATAGCGAAGATTCTTACTTCGTCTACTGAGGTGTTGCTTCAAGAAACGGAGGATACAGCGGTGTTAGCCTGTCATTTCCGCGGTTGATGCTGACCAGGAGATAAAACGGTTTTTTGAAAAATATGGCTTTGCCTTCCGAATGATTATAGATTGTTGACTATGTATGATGACCATATCAATACACTTGAATGTAGAAACATATCAATGTATACTTGTATGGAGGTATACCTATATGGAGGTATACCCATATGAAGATATATATATATATATATTTATCTGTCATCTGTCATCTGTCACGTGTCACGGCATTTAGCCTTCCAAATATCTGCAAAAAGCCACATGTAAGCTCCAATTATGTCCCTCCGTCTACCATTTCTTCTGCACCAAGCAGCGTCAAGTCATTTATACTCGTCAAACAACAAGAACTCCAGCTCATCCATCTGCAGGTCTCGTGACCGGCGACAGCCGACCTTCAAAGTGATTAGTTCTCAAATCTTTGCTCTAAGATACACCAGTCCGAAGCACAAACCACTCTTTACAGATGCTACTCAACTAAAACTCTCACAATACCTCAAATCCCTGCCGAACGAAACCCCTTCCGACCCCAAATCGTATTAATCCGCCAAACTCGAAAGCCGTCAAATCAGAAACCTAAAAATCACTGAAAATGCCACCTAGACTCAACACAATATTTACTACCATTCTAAACCACTTCCCCTTGTCACTATCAACAGCCGTCCACCTTGTTGTAGTTTCAGTACTTGTCGTCTCCGGTCACTGTGTACGCGCATGTCTCGCCCGTAAATTCATGCGTTTTACGCGTTCCGTAATCTTGCCATTTTCAGCATATTAAGATTCGAAAACCAGAACAACGAACCGAACCGCACGCAACCTTTGCAACTTGACGTTAAAGGCTGAAAGCGCGATAGGACTTGGATAATCCCCTGAATTCGGTGGTGTTTTTGATTTAAGGACTCCTTGGAGCGGTATTGCTGGATTTGCTGCAGTTCCAACGATGCAAAATGGATCAATATTGACGGAGAACGATCCTCTTATGAATATCGACGCAAGACTGACAAGAACGTCAGAACAAGAAGACACAATGCCAAGAATTGAGATAGCAACGTATGCCGGCGTAGACGTGTACGAATGCTACTGTAGGGGGTTCGAATCGCGCATTGTAATGCGTAGATGTCTCGATAATTGGGTTAACATCACACAAGTGTTCAAGATCGCGTCATTTTCCAAGACACAGAGGACCAAAATCCTGGAAAAGGAATCCAACATGGTTAAGCACGAAAAAATTCAGGGTGGGTACGGACGGTTCCAGGGAACTTGGATTCCACTGGAAAGTGCGATTTATTTAGTGGAAAAATACAACGTCAACGATGTGGTGGTATCCACGATTTTGCATTTCCAATTGGACCCATCGGATCCGCCAATTCGACGCTCCAAGAATTCTGTGATGAAAAAACAGTCTCCTGGCTCCAAAATTCATTCTCCTTCGAGTTACAACAAAACCCCCAAGAAAAGTGCACCCCCCATGATCAAAAAACATAGTAAAAAAAGGCTAAGCACGTCAATGGGTCATGTAGCGCACAATGCAGCCGCGGTGAAGAAAACGTCCCAGATTCATCCCAGTCCCTTGCAGAACTTGGCTTTTCAAACACCACAGCACCAGCAGCACGTCTCAATGCAGCATAATAACTCTACCGTGATTGCACCCGACCATCAAACTCCCATGCATCCATCTTCCTATGAAGCAACTCAAAAACCCTTACAGTTTTACCCCTACCCACAACACCAACCTGCGTTTTTGACATTCGATTCCAATCATCCCCATCAGCAGCTACCTCCTAAGCGGACCAAGAAGGCCAACAAAGTTCCACCGCCTAACCAATTCCAAGCCCAGCATAGTTTCAGAGTTATCAAACAACAATTCATGGATCGCAAGAACTATGAGACCGGAAAATCCATACCCCATGCAATGGTGACAATTCATCCGCAGCCAGCAGCTCACAAGAACTCCCACTCTAATGGATCTAATGGCTCGAACGGTTCATCTATCGAATGCTTTTCAGCGCGAGAAGAACCATCGCCCATCTCTTCCAGGTCGGCTTCCCCTAAGCTGAGAAACCAGCCGGAGGCTGTTATCAAGAACGAAATGGGCAATAAGCACGTCAGCGCTGAAGAGTATAAAGAGCTTTTACTGCAAGTTTTGTCATCAGATTACTCCTCGAGTGGCTCAGATTCCATTATGCTTCCCGAAGAACTCTACAATTGTCCTCAAGATCTCGATATCAACTTTACCATCGATGATCAAGGACACAGCACATTACATTGGGCGGCAGCCATGGCAAACGTGCCATTGCTTAAACTTGTATTAAGTCTGTCTGCTGATATCTCATTATGCAACGACCGTGGATTTAACACTATTACCAAGGCATGTTTTTACAACAATTGCTACAAAGCGGGCGTTTTCCCTAAAGTTCTAGAGCTTCTCAAGCCTTGCATTATAACACCAGACGTGAATGGTAGGACTCCGCTGCATTATTTGGTGGAATTAAGCGTGAACAAATCTAAGGACCCAGCGGTCGTTAACTACTATCTGGATACATTGCTGGATGTTTTGGGTCAGGAAGATGTGGCCTTGCTTCGAATGTGTCTATATCATCAGGACAGCGCGGGAAATACGGTGCTCCACCTTGCAGCTCTGAATCTCAATTTGGAACTGTGCAACAAGCTATGCTATCTCGGTGGCTCCATGTCGATTTTGAATTTGGAACATGAAACGGCAACTTCACTTTTGGCCCGGTTCAATCTGGTACCACCAACCTCACAGGAGTTGGAAGATTCTATTGCCGACATGGTCAAAGGAGTTGAAGACCGGAGGCCAACGCAAATGAGGCTCAGCACGCCGGTAATGACAAGAAAGAGAAATGGCAGCTTTGCGCAGATCGACGATAACACCATCAACATGACGCATGATTTGACATCCTTTTCTAGCATTCCCAACTCAGTTGTCAATGCCTCGAAGGTCAAGAGTCCGCATCGCAACACAGTCATTTCCGAGCCCCTTTCGGTCTCTTCAACTGTGAACAAAGTGACCAAACCCGTACGTTCTGTACCTTTGGTGCGTCCCGGGCAGGCCCGTTCAACGCAAGCGCTAGCAAAACAGTTGTCGAATTTGAGTGCTTCGTTCACAACCTCTGTGGACGACGAAATAAGTGCCCTAGAGCTCGAGAAAGAAAAAGTGGCAGGTCGCGTCGATAGCATCCAACACAATGTCACGAACAACACAAATCTCATAAACGATCTACTGCAGGGCCTACCGAGTCCCGACGCACTTCATGCAGATGTTGAGAAGCAAGCTAACCAAGTACGCGTCCATATGGCCCACTTGACAAACTCGATTGAAAAATCGCAAGCATTGGCCCTCGCCACATGTGTACACGAGGAAGAGTCCGCCGTGGGATCGAACTTGAACTCTCCATTGAAGGAGGGCAACATCAGTTCGCCTGTTCGTGTCATAGGACACCATCTCCTACGACTAGGCTTGAAGCTCACCTTACTCCAACACAAGCGTAAGCACACCATCGAAAGAATATCAAGAGGAAAATCCGAGGCGTACTCTTCTGTCAAGATTAAGAAATATCGAAAGTTGATTGGCACCACAGTGGATGACATCGACTCCAAATTGGACGACATAGAAAAAGATCTAAGTGCCACTGCTTAGAAAATTTGCATAAGGAAACGCATAGTTGGGAACGTTTCAGAACTAGCTGTTTTGTTTGTGGGCTCATCAAAATTCCACGTTCACAGATCTCATCTCATCTCATCTCATCTCATCGCCTTTCATGTGCAAACATATCTCTACACGAAATTGTTTGTTGTCGCATCGGAGCGTTCAAAAAAATTTTTAGTCTGCGATGAGCTGAATATTGAGATGCGATGAGCATCAACTTTTGAACTGTTCTGACGATCTCGACAGAAAAATCAACGAAGTCAACGGGGAAACACGATTAGTTTACTTTGAGGTAACTCTATTGTTGATTTTGGAAACCATTGCAGTCGCAAGATTAAAAGACCAGTAAGAAATCGTTTGGTGGCTTTCCTTCTTCGCAGCTCACCGTGACCTCGGACATTGACATTGTAGCAGCCTGAAAAGCACTACGTTTTCTTCTTTTCACATTTTCTACCCACCATGGACCAGCAGTTTGTGTCGCAAATGGAGCAGTTGCTGAGCGCTGTGATCCAGCCGAACTCTGCTTCGCTCAAGGAGGCTACCAAGACTTTGCAGACGCAGTTCTACACGCAGCCCACTGCTTTACCAGCATTGCTAAGCATCTTGCAAAATGGCTCGAACGACGGCTTGAAGCAACTTGCCGGTGTCGAAGCCAGAAAACTTGTTGCTACACAGTGGAGCGCTCTAGACGACAGCATCCGTGGCGAAATCAAGAGCTCTTTGTTGAACAGTGCTTTCTCCGAGCCAAAGGAGATTGTGCGTCATGCCAACGCTCGTGTTATTGCAGCTATCGGAAATGAAGAGCTAGATGAGAAAAAGTGGCCCGAATTGGTACCCAGTCTCATCCAAGCCGCCTCCGGCAGCGACAGCAAAGTCAGCGAAACAGCTGTTTTCATCTTGCTGTCTTTGCTTGATAACATGAACCCAGAGTTGAATCTGTACATTGGAGACCTGCTAACTCTTTTCGCCCATACCATCGGCGAGTCTTCAACTTTAGAGACTAGATCTTTATCTGCTCAAGCTTTGAACCAGGTATCGAATTTGATAGAGGAAGAGGGACAGATAAATCCAGAGTATGCCACTAAATTCGCTGCTTTGATCCCTGCTGTGGTTGGCGTCTTAGAGGCCACTATCAAGGCCGAGGACACGAGCAACACTAAGCTGATCTTCAACTGTCTGAACGACTTTTTGTTACTCGACTCTCAGTTGACCGGTAACAGCGTCACCGACCTCATCAAGTTGTCCTTGCAGATAGCAGTTAACAAGAATGTTGAGGAAGAAGTCAGAGTCTTCGCCGTCCAGTTCGCCACTTCTGCGCTTTCATTCAGAAAGTCAAAGATTATACAGGCCAAGCTAGGTCAGGAGATAACGATGGCAGCCCTCAGAGTCGCTTCCGAAGATATCGATGTTGACGATGAATTGAACAATGAGGACGAAGCTGGCGAAAATGAAGAGAACACTCCAAGTCTAACTGCTGTCAGACTTTTGGCTTTCGCTTCCTCTGAACTGCCACCTTCTCAGGTTGCTGTGCCAATCGTGGAGCATTTGCCTGCTATGTTGCAATCCTCGAATCCATTCGAGAGAAGAGCAATTTTGCTGGCAATTTCCGTGGCAGTTACAGGTTCTCCTGACTACATTCTTTCTCAGCTTGAGAAAATCATTCCTGCGACCATCACTGGTTTAAAGGATGATCATCCTGTCGTTCAATTAGCTGCTTTGAAATGTATTTCTCAATTGACCACAGATCTACAAGATGAAGTTGCCAAATTCCACGAAGAATATCTACCTCTTATCATGGGAACCATCGACTCTGCTAAGAATGTCGTCATTTACAAATATGCAACGGTCGCCTTGGATGGTCTTTTGGAATTCACCGCTTATGAAGCCATCTCCAAGTATCTGGAACCACTGATGAACAAGCTTTTCCATATGCTTGACACCAACACTTCTTCCAAGTTGAGAGCCGCTATCGTGTCTGCTATTGGTTCAACCGCCTTTGCTGCCGGATCTGCCTTTTTACCATTTTTCAAGACCTCTGTTCAATACCTGCAGCAGTTTATCGAAAACTCCGGCCAAATTGAAGGTATGTCCGATGATGACATTGAACTCAGAGCTTTGACCTTCGAGAACATCTCCACCATGGGTAGAGCTGTAAGATCGGAAGCGTTCCATGAATTTGCTGAACCTTTGTTGAACTCCGCATACGAGGCAATCAAAACCGACTCTGCAAGACTAAGAGAATCGGGCTACGCCTTCATTGCTAACATGGCCAAGGTTTACGGTAAGGACTTTGCACCATTTTTGACCACCATTCTTCCAGAAATTTTTAAGACCCTAGAGCAGCAAGAGTACCAGTTTAACATAGATGAGGATGCTGATGATTTGGCTGAACTTGAGGCAGATGATCTGCAGCAGAAGTTCACCGTTAACACCGGTATTTCTTACGAGAAAGAAGTTGCTGCTGCTGCTCTATCAGAGCTTGCCGCTGCTACCAAAGAAAACTTTTTGGAGTATGTCGAACAGTCCCTCAAGGTTTTGAATGAGCAGGTCGAAGAATCCTACGGTCTTAGAGAGACTGCTCTTCATACAATTTGGAATATCGCTAAAGCCCTTCTTCAAACTGTCAACGTAAAAGAAGAAGAATATCCTGTCGGGGTCCCATCTGGTTCTTATGTGGACAGCAACATTCTTGCTGTCGTTCAAAGCATTAGAGCTACTTCTTTGGACAATTTGACCGAAGAATTCGAAACATCAATGGTAATTACAATCTTGGAAGATTTCGCTGAAATGATAAGAAAATTTGGCGCCATTGTTGTGATTGACAACGGTGACTCTTCTTCTTTAGAAAGATTGTGCGTTGAGGTCATGTCAGTTCTAAAGGGTAGTCATGCTTGTCAAACCATTGACTACGAGGAGGATGTGCCAAAGGACGAAGACATCGATGCATCTGAAACTGAAGCTGCTCTCTTGGATTGCGCTTTGGAAGTTTTGGTGAGCTTGTCTTACGCATTGGGTGGCGACTTCCCCAAGGTTTTCGAAAGCTTCAAGCCAGTCGTCTTGAACTTGTTCCAATCCAAGTCTAAGAACAAGAGGTCAGCTGCTGTTGGTGCAGTTTCGGAGATTGCCGAAGGTTTGAAAGACGCCAACCCTTTCGTGCAAGACATGCTTGAGGCTTTGGTCGTTAGATTGACCTCGGACAAGTACCTCGAAGTCAGAGGAAATGCTGCTTACGGTGTTGGTTTGCTCTGCAAGTATGCTCCTTTCGACGTTTCAGCAATTTACCCACCAGTCTTGAGAGCCATGTACGAGTTGCTGAGTACCGCAGATCAGAAGGCTCTCGCTGCAGAAGACGACGAAGCTACTAGAGAGATTGTTGACAGGGCTTTTGCCAACGCTACCGGCTGTGTTGCCCGCATGACCCTCAAAAATGAGTCCCTGGTTCCTCTCGAGCACACCCTGCCTGCACTACTCAACCACTTGCCATTGAACACCGGCTACGAAGAGTATGACCCTATCTTTGAGCTCATCATGAGCCTCTACCAATCCAACAACAACTTGATCGTTAACGAAACGCCCAAGGTCTTGGATTTCTTCGAAGCTGTTTTTACTAAAGAAGCTGAGAGAGTTAGACTAGAACAAGAGTCTACACTGGGCAGAGAGGAGAACATGGACAGAATGAAGCAATTCCAGTCTTCTGAAGCACAAACAAAGGTTGTTGACCTTCTCAAATATCTCAACACCACTTACAACGGCGCCGTTACTCAAAGACCTGTTCTAGCTCAAGTGATCGCCTAATGAACATTTATTCATCCGGACTTTTATTGTAAACTAACCTATCGAATTTGGTATCTATCATATACTAACTAACCATTACATTAACCTTATTCCCTGATTTTCAAGTGATTTTGTTGTCTATAAGATCGTTCCGTTTAAAAGTTCATTCATATAAGAATTCATCTAGCTTGACTTGATTTCAGTCAAAGAAGCGCTGTAAAGTCCTACAACGTAGCTGCTTACTACACTCAATTGAGGGGCAATCTGTTGAAGAATGGTACGTGCTTCAAACAGAGAGGCCTCAGATAAGCAGGCCAATGGAAATAGGGTACATGACCAGACACAGAAGACAGCTGAAGAACCGTCCGTCAACGTCTACAAAGATCTCAAAGATGCTGCAGCTTATCTTATTTTCAATCCTGAAGCCAACCACATAGTCATGCCTCTGCTGCTCGTCTTGGAGGCGGTTGCATTAAAGTTTATCTTGACTAACGTACAGTACACTGAGATTGATTATGAAGCGTACATGGAGCAAATTTGGACTATCAAAGATGGCGAAACAAACTATAAACTCATCGAAGGTGGCACTGGGCCTCTTGTTTATCCGGCGGGCCACGTTTGGATTTACCAAGTCATGGAAAGAATAACCTCTGGGTTGGACGATTTGAGGGCTGGGCAAGTCACTTTCAGCATCTTGTACATCGTCACGTTGATGCTTCAAATGGTGTGCTACGTTCTATTGCAATTGCCACCTTGGTGCGTTGCCCTAGCATCCTTGTCGAAGCGTTTGCACTCGATCTACGTTTTAAGATTATTCAACGATTGTTTCACTACCTTCTTCATGGTTCTTACAATTTTAAGTCTGCTCATTTCGGCTCGTCTGCAGCGCAAGATTTTTTGCCTGGTCGCCAGTGTGACCTACGGTGTAGCAGTGAGCATCAAGATGAATGCCCTGTTGTTTTTCCCCGGAATTTTTTTGTCCATTTTTCAACTCACTGAGGGACGCCTAGCCTTCACACTGGGCTGTCTAGTCATTTCGAGTTCATGGCAATTCTACGTGGCTCGTCCGTTTGTGGTTGATTATGCACATGAGTATTGGTCCACCGCATTCGATTTTGGACGTCAGTTTATGCACAAATGGAGCGTGAACTGGCAATTTGTTGACGAGGATGTCTTCAATGATCTCTGGTTTCACCGCACGCTGCTGATCAGTCATCTGGCCATCTTGACTCTTTTTGTCGTTACCAAATTTTGTTCAGGAATTTCTGAAATACGAACTTCGCTGAAAGCTTTAAGGCATCCATTCACACCTGTTTTGCGGTCATTCTCTACTACCAAGCCATTAGACGTTGGATACGTATGTTTAGTGACCAATTTCGCAGGTGTGCTTTTTGCCAGGTCCCTTCACTACCAGTTTTTGTCGTGGTATCACTGGACTTTACCGATCCTATTACACTGGTCCCGTCTACCGATGGGTATTGCGCTGGTATGGTATCTAGTGCACGAATGGTGCTGGAATAGCTACCCACCGAACTCTAGTGCCAGTTTGACGTTGTTCACTCTGAACAGCATTCTCCTTATTGCCGTGTATGTGAGGACAGGAAAAGTAAGATCCAGCTCAAAGAGCGCCGCTGATAATCTTCCCGCATCGAAAGAAGATTGAATTTGTCTCCAGCGGTAGCAGAAGATGGCACAAGAGTTGACCATGGCTTCTGCAATAGAAAAATTGCAGGGTAGAAACGTTTGGGCGATGTGGTAAAACTGGAGGAATTGAAATTGCAGCTATGAGGACTACACCAGACAAGTGCAAAGGGCGATTATGAAGATTCTAGACTCGATCAAAGTTCAGATATCTGAAGTGGGCCAAGAGTTTACAGAAAAAAATACAGTTTTTTTCGTCGCTACAAGCATCCAGAAACCAAAACCGGCAATTCCAGACCTTCTCCCATACCAAATGTACTCCCAACATTCTCTCTGCTCGATTGCGACACAACCGAGCAAAGTCCGTCTATTTTATCATTTTACTGATCGTAAAACTGACATTTTGAAAATTTGGAAAAAGCTTTCTAAGACAATTTGATAAACTAAAACGAACAAACCCATCGTTGAAACGCGAAACTCTATGGTTATCGAGTTGTCCTTAGATCTTGGATAATAACTTAGTTCGCCATTCATGAATCCCGCTCTTAGAGAACTACAGCCCTTCGTGTATAATGATTTTCCAATATTTGAAATTTTCTCGTGAGGGGCCCATAAATGTGTGTGTCTCGACAACTCCGAAGTAAATAGTTGTGGTTGTAAACGGACCTTTAAAGCCCCATTGAAGTTAGAAAATAGTCCCAAGGTGGTTTGATGCTTACTGGAGTTGTTGAGGGTTTCAAATAGAGACTTTCAGCTTCGAAAACGGCCAAAATTGAGGCGGGATAAGGACATCGCAAAGAAACACAATTGATTGTGGATAACAACATCAACGGTACAGGCAAACTATCGCTAATAAAGGCCAACCGTTAGCATTGTGTGCAATGTCGAATCTCACGCCGGGACTGGGCGGCTCGCAGGGTGCAAAGCATCCGTCACAGCCGCCAAATGCGGGACGAAACGTGCGAACCCAGATTAATAAACAAACCACAGTGCGAAATATACAGGAACCAGCGTATTCAGGTGCTAGAAGACAGCCTCTGCCGTCTAGTGCTGCAGGAGACCATGAGTTTGGCAGCGAAAAAGAGCCGAAAAAGCTGTTGAACACGTATATTTACGATTTTTTGTCAAAATCGTCACTCACCGAAACTGCCAAGGCATTTGCACAAGAATCTATCATTGAGGAAAACGGTAAACGGCTCAAGCCAAATATTCCATTCCAACCTCAGAATGATGCCCCACAGGGGTTTCTTTACGAATGGTGGCAGATTTTTTGGGACGTTTTCAACGCCAGAACCCATAGAGGTGGTTCCGAATTGGCTCAGCAATATTTTCAATTGCAGTTCGATTCAAGACGTCAGGAACACACGTATAGAAACGTAGCGATGCATGCAGCGCGAATGCAGCAGCAAGTTGAACAGCGAGGTGAGTATCAAGGCGAGGTTTCGGATCCGATGATGTTCGCGATGATGCTTTCTGGTAATGCATACAATACTCCTGTGCCTCCTCCAGAACGTGAAGCGGCTGTTCGTGGTGGCTATATGGTACCTGGACCCGGTGTTCAAGGCCATCCTGATAGAAGTCACCTCCAGCATTCCCGTAAACATTCTCCAGGACTTGCTCAAGCTCAAGCACATAGGGTCCAAGCTCAGCAGGTTCAATCACAGCCGGCTCAAGCTCAACAAGTTCAAGCCCAGGCACATGCTCACGCTCAAGCTCAAGCTCAAGTTCAAGCCCAGTCTCAGTCTCAAGTTCAGGCTCAGGCTCAGGCTCAAACTTCACAACTACATCCTCGATTCCAAAATCAAACGCGTAACCTGCAACCTGGTCAGGTTCAAAATCAGAGCCCTGTACAGGCCCGCCAATCTGCACAAACCCTGATCAATTCACAACAAATGAGGCAGCGTCTTGCTGTACGAACACAACAACAGCCACAACCACATTCCAAACCACAGGGTCAGCACGAGATGCAAACCCCGCATCATCGGCAAGAACATTCACAAATTCGACAGGACTTTCAACCTCAACTGCATCTACAACATACGCAAGACTTACCACAACCACACGTTCAGCAACCGCAGCATCAACAACCAGCTTACGCTCCGCAGCTTCAACAACAGTTCCCTGTTCAACAGCAACAGCAGCAGCAGCAAATGCATGACCGGACACAGCAGGCTCAACCGCAAATGCAATCCTATCCTCAAGAGCTGTTAGTAAATGGTGGCAACCATATGGTGATAAATGGTGCCAATGGACCGGTTTACGTAAATCCACCAGGGGCACCCGTAAAGACAAACTATTCGCCAGGGTATATGCAACAGCTCATACCACCTCAGGTACAGGAACAGCATATCCAGCGGCAGCATATGCAGCAGTTCCGTCGTCACCATCCTCAACAAGCTGCTGCTGCCCATTCTGCTGCTCAACAACAGCAGCAGTTCCAGCAACAAGGATCATTAGCCGCTCAACAGCATCAGCAGCATCAGCAGCGTCAGCAGCGTCAGCAGGAACAGCATCAGCAGGGTCAGCAGGAACAGCTACGTCAACATCAGCAGATGCAACAGCAGATGCAGCAACAAATGTTAAATTCAAAGCATTCGCCAGCTACGCAAAGCCCGCGTCAACGGCAGGCAAAACAGTCGCCAAGTCAACAAGCTGCACTGGCTGCACCTTCCTCAGCCGTTCCTGTCTCTAACATAGGTACAAGGAAGCCCAATACAATTGCGGGCTCACCTGCGTCCGGCAGAGAAATTACTCAAGACACGCAGTTTTCGAGCATGGAAGGTTTATACAATTATCAGAAACAGCTATTGATGTTAGAAAAGGAGAATGAAAAAGCCATTTCCAACAGGTCTACTGTTTCTACTCCAGGTTTTACAATGAGTAAAGCTACGCCCGCAGCAAGTTTTGTTGGGGTTTCGCCACTAGCCTTGAACTCGATGAATAGTCCTGCCAGTCTAGGGCCTAGTACTACGACGAGATCAAAGGAATTTCAAAGGCGTAAATCGGCCACAGTGCAAAATGCGAGCCCGTTTTTCAGCATGGCCAAAAAGAATATTTCCGAGCCCGTTACCCCGATAGGACCTATGACGCCTGCCAGCAGTAATCTTGCAAAGCATGTACCACACGGTGGGTTATCGACCGTTAATGAAACTCCTCTCGAGGGTTCTGGTGATCTTTTGAATGGCGGCATGGGTAAGAAAACCGCTCAAAAGAGGATCAAAAAGCCAAAAAAGTTCCACCAACTGACGACGACTACATTGGGGTTTTCGACAACTGCCTCGTCTCCTTTACTGGATAATGCGGTTGACAGTAAGAAGGGCAAAGGTTCATCGAATCGCACGAAAAATAAGAAAGCCATTGTTGCATCAAGTATAAAAAGTGGCTCTAGAGCAGCCCAGTCTGCTGGCACGACTCCTGTTACGGCTGACGATCTACATCCAGGAAGTGCGAGCAGCAACGATACTGCTGGTACTAATGTAGAAATCTCTCACAATGCAGCTGCCACGGATCCCTCGCCGCAAAACGAATTCGAAGAAGCTCTTGGTCAAAATGATCCTACTTTAAGCGGCCCGGCCTACAATTTCGAAGAGGAAGATATTTTCAGCATTAGCAGCGATGTTTTAGACAAGTCCATTCAATCAAAGAACCCTTCTTCTTCGAAACCAAGCTCGACCCAATCCCAGAACCAGGCACCCGTTGAAGAGGCTTTCAATTTGGATTTTCTTGATCCAAGCTCGAGCATGAATTACACCGATTTGAACCTGCTGAACTGGCAATGAAAGAAGGAGGAGAAGAATAAGAATAGAGAATCTCTGTGTCAAAGCCATTTGAGGGCAATTGCATTCCAAAGGTGTGTGGGTTTCTTTTCTGGTCACATGATCTATTCTTATGTAATATAGAAATTACGTAATTTATTGTTATCACGTGATTTTGAAAATTTGATATTATCAAATTAACCACTATATAGTTTTTTTTGCCAATGATCTATCTCATCTCATCCTATCCTATGCCATAAGAAGAACATAAACCATAGTCCCGTTTTCGAGTTTAAGGCCTCTTCAGTGGTCAAAATAGCATCAATTGGCGTTCTCAGCATGTCGTTTTATGGGGGGAACCGTTCAACTGGAGGTTTGGCCGCTTCTAAAGTGATGAATGCGGAAAAAGACCTTGCCAATGATATTGTCATTCAGAATCCAGCAGAGGATTCGATTTCGGACATTGCGTTCTCACCGCAACAGGATTTTCTTTTCAGCGTGAGCTCGTGGGACAAGAAAGTACGGGTGTGGGACGTGAACGGCGGAGCACCTCAATGCCGGGCAGAATATCAGCATCAAGGGCCCGTCCTTACAACCAGATGGTCAGAAGATGGTACGAAAATCGCGTCAGGAGGGTGCGATAATGCTGTAAGTCTGTTTGACGTTGCCACTGGCCAATCGCAGCAGGTGGGAGCTCACGATGGGGCCGTAAAAAGCGTCAGATTCGTGAGATGTGGACCGGCCAACACTGAATGTTTGGTCACCGGTTCTTGGGATAAAACCGTCAAATACTGGGATATGCGACAACCACAACCGGTATCAACTCTCACAATGCCCGAAAGGGTCTACTGCATGGATTCCAGTCAAAAACTGCTCGTGGTAGGAACCGCAGAACGTCACATCGCAATAGTCGACCTGAACAATCCGGGTGCGATCTTCAAAACGGCCATGTCGCCTTTGAAATGGCAAACCAGGTCTTTGGCCTGTTACGTGGAGGGCAATGGATTTGCCGTGGTTTCGGTTGAAGGCCGGTGCGCGATACAGTATGTGGACGAGCAAGAACAGCGGAAATCCGGATTTTCTTTCAAATGTCACCGAGTCCAGCAACCGGCGACAGGACCCGCTGGTGGCCGTTCTACTACAGAATCTCTGGTGTATCCTGTTAATGACATTGTATTCCATCCAGTGTACGGCACTTTTGCCACCGCTGGAAGTGACGGAACGTTTCATTTTTGGGACAAGAACCAGAGGCATCGTCTCAAGGGTTTTCCGTCGTTGCAGGCTTCGATTCCCGTGTGTAATTTCAACCGTAATGGTTCTGTTTTTGCGTATGCGCTCAGTTACGACTGGCACCAGGGCTACATGGGTAATAGACCGGATTACCCCAACGTTATCCGTTTGCATCCTACCACTGATGAGGAAGTTAAGGAAAAGAAGAAATAAGCGGTCATTGTCACGTACATGGCCAATGCATCTGAGAATGATGTATCTCGTACTTGCCGAATAACTGAAACCCAAGTTATAATCTGCATGATAACAATATATCGTATTCTGAGAATTTTCGAGTACCGTTTGATAAGGTAGCGGTCGCTGATCTTGGTGACGCTCGAACGCATTTTCTGCCATTCATTCGCAGCACTGACGTGGAGCCTGAACAATGGATTAAGAAATCGTATTGCAGCTCTTCCCTTCCGGCTGACCCACCTCGACTATAGAAGCGAATTTTTGACTCTATTATATCACTGCCTTCACCAAGAGTCGAGAACGTCGAAGTGTCACAACCTCTTGTTATGCACTCTCACAACTGTCAAACTACTCGACACGTTCCAAGGTGGTTCGCATTTTGAACGTTTCGAGAGTCGAAACCTCTATTCCACCTGCGACTTCACCACCTACAAAGCCGTGCTCTCGAAAACCCCGCTGAAAGTTTTAACACAAAATGAATACGATCCTATTCCACGTTCTTGTTGCGGCTTTTATGACACATTTTAATGAATTTATGCGAATTTCTCGAGTTTCACCAGTTTCTAATCCAATGGGCAGTATAACTACTTCTAAAGCCGCTTCCTCTTTATAGCCGCTGATGGCGTGAATCCAAGGTGAAAACGCTTCATGCTACGTTCTTGTCGCGGTAACCATGACACATTTTAATGAAGTTACCTTGCCTTGAATTTTTAGCGTTTTTCGATCCATTTGAACCCTTCATAACCTAGAAAGATGAAAATTTTATGGTCACACAGACAGCATACGTTCAAGATCAAAATGGCTTACGAAGCGTCTCTGTTGCGGCTCCCATGACACATTTTAACCGATCAATGTCAAAACCGCAAGTTCAAACTCCGGTGAATATGGATTTTGACATACATTTCTCGGCAATTCCAAACGATTTTTTGCATACAAACATTCTACTGTTCAAGATCTTCTTTGTATCGCCACTACATCGTTCTAACGACCGCTTTAGCTCGACCATCTTCAAGGTTTTAGCTGAGATCACCTGTGAACTGAAATTCTAATACCGGAAAATTTTTTGGACCAGGTTATAATTATTGAAAGATTTGAAAAAGTTGAACTTCTAGTCAAAAAGATGAAAGAGTCAGCAGTGAAAAAGCGCTGAAAGACAAGCCTTAAGCCGTGTCTTGAAGCTTAGGTTTGTTTGGTTGGAAGCTGGAAAGTGTGTGGACCGTTTGTGAAATTTTGGCGGTGACTCGTTTGATAGAAGGTTTCAAATTAAGCATTTGAAATTAGATTTTAGCTGAAAGACTGGATTTAGGCTCTTTTGGAAAGTTTGTGAATACAGTAAGAGGTCGAAAGTAGCAATGCCAGGCCAGTTTGTAAGCGTGCCGTTTCTGTCGCAGGTCGAAGACATGGACAAGTATTTGATGGAGTATAGGAGCTTGAAATTGATGCCACAAAACGCAGCGGGTCTTCAGCAGCAGCAGCAGCAGCAGCAGCAGCATACCCGCTTTTCGAATCTGAACCGGAATACGGGGATTGTAGGTAACCATCAGAGTGCAAATATGGGCTTCAACGGAGCGAATACACGCAAGAAACCTATGAGTGCTAATAACACGGCCGGCCAAAACTATCGATTCGGGAAAAATGGGTATAAAGTGGGACCTCAGCAGCAAACTCAACAGCAGCAGACCCAGCAGCAGCATCTGCAACAGTTGCAACAGCAACAACCACAATCTTTGCAAGGCACAGGTCTCAAACAGACATTTCCCCAAATGTTTTACCGGTCGGCCAATAATAGTGCTTCATCGTTAGCGCAACAGGCTCTGTCGTCTCAAGTTTACGCTCCTAACAATGCCAATCAACAGCAATTGATGACGGCAAGCTCTTCATCGAGTTCTACTCCGCCGCCCAGGTTACATGTTTCCGTCAGCGGGACTTCCTCGATCTCATCTTTAGGTGGAGATTACGATTTTGTTTTGCCCGCTGAGCTGAACAACCAGCTGGTGCCTTCCGGTAGTGCGCAACTCTCATCGGGGCTCAATGGTGCGGCAACTAGTTCTTCAAACAATGTTGCAAACGCTAACAACGCTCAGACGCAAGGATCGAGAACTTCCATGAATATGATGCCAGTTGCACCTCTAGGCGGAACTTTCTTGGACTCTGTTCCCAGTGTTCTTCCACCGGGTTTTAGAGAAGAATCCGATCTTTCGGGTTCCAATGATTTCATAAACGGATTGCCATCTTCTTTACTCTCCGATGGTACTAATGCACCAGAGTTTAGCGGTATGAATGGTCAAAATTCTGTTTTTAATGCCCGTGGTGCAGACTCGTCTCGCAACTTTATGATGCCTGACTCAAAAAACTGGGGCACGGGTAATCCGAACTCGTCGTCCGCTTCGGGCTCTTTTGGCATTTGGAATAATGACATGAGTGTCTGGAGCTAATGAATTTACGAACTGATGCAAAGTAGAAGAGTTGCAAACAAGAAACTCATAAAAATTTTATTCCATAGTCGACTTTACGACTAGTGAGATCAAGGGTGTCAACTTTACCCTTTTCATCATGACGAAATGCTTTTCAGTACATTTTTCTTGATGATTTTGGTAAGTTCTTTACGGGGTTGCTCTTCGGGTGAAGCAGGTCGTTGGTAGATTGGATTTTTGATTGTGTATTGGAAGTTACAGCGGTGATGAAACTTCTTGGGTGTCGTGGCAAAACGTCAAGTTAATACGGAGCGAAGCTTTTTCAAGGCGAGAGCACTTGTATTTTTCGCAAAAATAAGTATCAAGTAGATAGAACTTGTATTGTAAGAATATCTTATTTTCAGAAGTTATAAAATATGCTACGTGATGTAAATGCCGTCACCAATTAGCATTCAGAAGTTTTTTGAATGTATCTTCGAACAACTTTGCTTTGACTCGTCCTTGTGATAGGCGCATTCCCTGGCCAACGAGGTACTTCAAAGAATTTTTTCGCTTCCCTGAAGTGATTCCAGAAAGCATCATTGGGTCGGTCACTGAGGACAGAATCTCTGAACATACTTTCAAAAGCTCTTCATCGTCGACCACACTGCGTGCACCAAGATCAAATTTTTCTATTATACCGTGAAGATCCGCAGGTTGGGTCAATGATCCATCTCTCGTTTGCTCAAGAATGTGAAATAATAAGAGCTTACCACTAGCATTGGAAATCTTCTCTTCCTGAATTAAGGTTACGAGCTCAGCGAATTTGGTAGGCGGAACAACCGCGATTGCTTCACGCAATGGCAAACCCAGTCTATTGAGGTCACCTAAAAGCTCATGAATAATCCAATTAGTCAATAGCCTCTGATTTGCCTTTTCTCCATTGTTCTCTAGGGCAGAGTTGAAGGCTTGTAGATAGAAGTCTAACAGCTCTTTCTGTGTATATTGCTGGCCATGACCGCTTGCATTTAATGTTAAAATCTTAGCATCCTTCAAAGACAGTCTGTAAGGTTTCTCCATCAACAGCTTTATCGTTTCGTCTGGTAGAACGGGCAAAGACGCCTTCACACGGGCAACTGCATCAGCGGATAGTCGTACCAGCGGTAACTCAGCGTCTGGCATGTACCTGTAGTCTATCGAGGTTTCCTTACTCCTTAATTTGACCGTCGATGTTCCATCCCAGCCTCGAGTTTCTGGTTCTGCCAGTAAAGTTTTGGCTAGCCCATTTCGTATTATGTCGACCTGTCTTTCATACTCGAATTTTATTGCGTTCATGATAGAACTGGTGTTGGGAAGATTTTTCAATTCAACCCGACAATGATTGTTCACGGATAGATTGACATCTACTCTCATAGCGCCGGTTTCGAGATCACCAGTGGAAATTCCAAGGTGCCTCACCAGATTTTGGTACTTTTTGATAAAAGATCGAATTTGCTTGAGGTCGGAAAAACATGGCTCCGTAACCATTTCTATCAGGGGCACATTGGAACGATTGAGATCTATTAGTGAAACCTTTTCAGAATCTTTGTAGACGGATTTGCCTGTATCTTGTTCGATCTGTAATTGCGTTATATCAATTTGTATCTGTTCCTGATCGATGCCGTTCAAGACCTTCGTCAATTCCACGGACCCCCCGCGAGCAAATGGACTGAAATGCTGCGTAATCTGGAATCCTAAGGGCTGGTCCCCGTAAAAATAATGTTTTCGATCAAACTGCGAGTTCAAGTTAATGTTACTCTTCAGTGCGAGACCCAACCGAGTAGCGTATAGAATCGCCTCCAAATTTAATTTCGGCTGCGTTCCCGGCAGTGAAACATCAAAGAACGATGCATGGTGATTAGGAAGGTTGGCAGAGGCGAACGCATCATTTGTAGAGTAAGAAAAGAGCTTATGTCGTGTGTTCAGTTGCGTATGTATTTCAAGGCCGCATTTCAGCTTAAATTCAGGCAAAAGCTGGAAATCCCGTTTGACAGCTTTGAATCCATAATTTCTGGAAAACTTGAGCATTCAATTAGAAAAGGAGATGGTCGATTTTCGAGGGTTCGTTAGCTCATCGCCTAGCCCATCGTCATCATTAAGCAGTGTTATACATAGACTCAATATAAATGCTGTGGCGACGACACGATAATAGGACAGTGACAGAAAACCGGAAATACCTTCAGGATTTATACTTCCTCGAAGCATTGATACCATTACTGGGCGGAATGTGGACAATGCACAGTGATGGTTTTCTCTCAGAAGCTATGCTGTTATTATTATTTGAGGCTCTAGGCTACTTTCGACGATATATCTGTGTTCTTGGTGAAAAAAACTTGAGAAGATTAAAGATAATAAACGGAATGTTATACCAAAAATACTTCCCAATTGAGCAAGCAGAGACTTTCCTCGAGCTTCATTCATCTCAAGTCAAGCTTGGGCTTCTCTTTGTTCGATACCACCAGTATCTGAAGTTTATTTATTTTAAAGATGTCAAATGTCAATCAACACTTCAATGACATGAAATTAAAGCTCATAACATCGACGACAGAGAAGTGAAAAGTAAACACTATAGCTAAAAACAAAGGTGTTACCAGACTGGTATTGCGACAATTAGGGTTTCATTAGACGGAATTTTTTCGTTTAGTTTTTCTCGGCTCTTTAGACAACAAACAGGCAAGCCGACTGCGACGATTTGGACCTTTTTCTTTATGTTCAAAGTGATGTGCCTCAGTCTGCTGGCCGTCAATTGACATAGAAAGTGAAGAGGAATCTCTCAATAATTCCCCGGAATCGAAGGGTTCATTGAAATCGGTAACTTGATTCCTCCTCGCCAGTTGCGATCGTGGCATTGTAAGCCGTCTACTTCGTACTCTGTCGCTGGTCTGTAAGGAAGAAATGGTCGACTTCAGTTTCCCAGGAGAAGACTCTCCAATGAAAAGCTGTCTCAACGGGAAATCTTGATAATTTTCAGATTTTTCTTCTCCGTTGAGAGAAAGTTTCCAATCTGGCCACAAGCCACGATACACTTGTTGTCGATAACATCCATTACGCAGATTAACCATTTCAGACTCAAATTGTTTGGGTATCATTTCAAAGTCAAATAGAAGTAAATTTCTGAACTCCGGCAACGTCAATTTTACGGCTCTCAGCTTTTCGCAAAATGGGTGGCTACATGGCATTGTTTCCATCTCTTTTTCACACAAAACAAATTGTACCTGTTCCAAAGTGTGCTGGCTCAACGGGGTCGGGGATGGTAGAGATTCGAGTTTTGCAATTTGCGTCAAATTTTCAGAGTCGGAAGGAAGATTATCCCATGGATCATCTATGTTTTCCTTATCCAGATCGGCCTGCGCATTTTTATCCACACTACCTTTCCCAGTAGGTGACTGGATTAACTTCTTATCACTACCAGTAAGCTTGCTCTTCTTACCAACTTTGTAGGCTTTCCTAGCTTTTGAATAATGCACATTTGTATCCTTACTACGCAGGACCTTCATTTCGGATCAAAAAGACTACAAAGACTACAGCTGGGTTCGAATCTCAAGATCACAATGCTGCGACAACTAAACTAGGACGACTGGCTATGTTTATAAGGTTATTCCTTCTCAAGGCTTTGACAATTTATTATTTATTATTATACTGACACAAACGTTCCGGTTGGCCTAGAGCAGAATCTAAAAGGACGTATCCCGTGGCATTTGAGGACAATAGTATGTTATTAAAGGTCTTGAGCTTCTTGTGCGATGAACGGATATTGTTCGAAACAAAATATACTTTTGCTAGATCGGCTCACAATGACACTGACACTGGGATCTGTTGCACAGTAATCATATGAAAGTGAGTTCTTTTGGTTATGAGACCTCTGCCGGGCCAGCAAGACTAATTGATCCGGGATAGAAGAGACTAGCTAACGCATCAAAATAAGTTTACAATAAGGTGAAGAACCGCACCTGGGTCAGCATTGATATGTGTCAAAATGAATGTAGAGTTTACAATGATAAGAATGACAAAAGGCGTAAATTGGAAGTCGTGGTTAAAAAGCATCAATCTAGCCTTCTGATGAGCTCGTAGTGTACCCATTTTTGCTGAAATAAATGGGTGAAGTCAAGATGAATGCTTACTACCGAAGATCTAAGATGTCCATTTTTATGGACGACACTTATTCTCATAATTTATGTTAAAATTGTTGTGCATTTGCATGAAACTTTGAGTAGAGTGAAAGTCGAAGCGTCTACTAAATTCAGTGAGACTAGATAAACCCACCTAGTACTTCCTGCAAAAGACGAATTTCCAATAAGCTAACATTCAAAGCTAACATTCAAAGATACAGATTAACGAGATGAGGAGTTCCAAAACGACCAAACGGTGCCTCAAAAAACCCTGGTTCGACTATCAATCCTACAAAACCGGTCAAGCCGTGTTTTCTATCAAAAGCGACAAGCATCGGTTTACCGAAGAACTAGTTCTATTTATACTGACGCTTCTCATTGACACTAAAAGACAAAATGATCACAGAATACAGCCCGTACAACGGTACCCAAAAATTTTATGAAATAAAAATGTCATCTCCATGTATCTACAGCGATGCGCTTATAGCAGGCTACAGACAACCTGTCAACACGGGGAATACAGACTTCTTCTGGTCTTTTGAGAGCATGTCAATATACTCTACCCCGTTGAAAAGTGGGATTGACTATAGCAGGACAGTTGTCGGCTCCGAAAATGGTTCGGTTTTGGGTGCAAACGGTACGACAAACGATGTGAAGAGACCGTTGACAAACAACCAGGGTCCGATGATTGTGCCCAACTACGGCATAGTGGCCCCCTCTACGGCATCTATGGGGCCTTCAACGGGTGAAGATCACTTGAAAGTGACTGGGTTCGGTTCAAAACCTGCACTGGACCTCGCAAGTCAATACATCGACCACATGCAGGATCGCGATTCGAGCACTCCAGTTTTGGACGAACGATCATACTACAATAATGGAGTCAATTACAATTTTAGTAAAGAAATTGGTGGCCTGGGAGCGTTCACGCCCCTCGAACGCACACAGGTGATCAACATCCCAGATGTTGTGCTTCGAGAAGCTGCCAAGGCCGAAATGAAAAGCGATATGGGTATTTTTACAGAGCTCAATAGGTGCTGGATCACTATAGATAACAGGCTGATTTTGTGGGACTTGGATCATCCTTCGGATCTCCAGTCCATTGATGACATCAAACACACAATTCTGTCAGTGGCTCTAGTGAAGCCCAAGCCGAACACATTTGTGAACTCGGTTAGCCATCTATTGCTCATTGCCACTCCTTTCGATATCTATGTGCTTGCCATTCAGTATAACGCCAGTGCGAATGAGGTGACCGTATTCAACACTGGCATGTGCGTGTCCGTGCAGGGCATCGATGTCAGCATGTTCACATCCTGCGAAAAAACGGGGCAGATTTTTTTCGCTGGGAAATCTAGTGGTACCAATATTTGGGAGCTACAATACTCAGGAAGTGAAGATTGGTTCAATAGTAGATGCAATAAAGTATGCCTCACCCAATCTCTTTTGAGCAGCCTACTACCGACGAATTTGATATCGAAGATTCCAGGGAGCGGCTTAGTCCAATCGCTTTTTGAAGAAAATTCCAATTACGTTGCCGAACACATCGCACAATTATGCGTTGATGAATCAAGAGGCATATTGTACTCCTTGTCGAACAAGTCTGTTATCCGTGCTTATAAGATTCATGGAAAGCATTTAGAAGGTCCTCTCACAATTGAAGGGTCCTACATCAAAAGAATCATTGGCACCACATCTGCAAGAGGTGCCGCAATTTTGGGTAACAAGTTTCTGAAGCTCTCTAAACTAGTTGTCGTGTCAGGAAAGGAAAATAGCAATCTCTTTTTGATTGCCATCACAGTTGGTGGTGTACGCATTTATTTCAATGGTTCCACTACCCAGACGCATTTGGAAGCTTTGAGATTGGAGTCGGTGAAATTTCCACCCAGTTCAGTAACGCCCGAGGCCTTCGAACAGGAACTGCAACAACAGCAACAAAAGAAAAATGTGCCGTTTTATTCCTCACTAGCAAGCTCCGAGTCGGTTATGCTTAAATTTCAAAAGAAATCTTCGGTTTTGCTCGAAACGACAAAAGCGAGCACTATCATTTCGCCAGGTATTTTTTTCGCACCTGTTCACAAAGTCCCGCAGCTCGATAGTAGTGTAGCTCCACAGGATCAAAGTATTGACCACCAGCAGCCCTCGAAACCTTCGGTGCATTGGCAAAATGGAGAAGCTGCGGCGAATACACAACTCACCGCACGTAGCAATCAAACACAGCATAAACTCTATGTGTCAATTCCAGATTACGGTATTTTAAAGAAACATGGGAAGTACATTGAGAACTCTGTACTTTTGGACACCAAGGGCATTGTGAGACATATCGCCCCTATTTCACCACTGTTCAATGCTACTGACAAGCCAGAAGGCTACGCTAACGAATTTGCTACTCAGTATACCTCATCGGAATTCAAAGTGGCAGTTTTAACGAGCTCGACCGTCGAGATTTACAGATACAGGAACCCGGATGCCGTTTTCGAGTCATTGATCGAGAACCCGCTACCATTTGTATTGAACTACGGCTTGAGTGAGGCTTGCTCAACGGCACTTTTTGTTACATGCAAATTTAACAAATCAGAGGCTCTGAGATCGAAGGCACTCACTTTCTTCACTGTAGGCTTACCAGGGGTCGCAGATATCAAGCCCAGGTATAGTTCATATGCTTCTTCGGCATTTATGCCAAAAGCACCAATGATGTCGACACCTCAGAGACTGGTTGATAGCGAAAAGGCAGGATTTGGTTTCAACTCAGCTGAAGAGAGTTACAATTTGGACGACGTGATATTGTCTCCACGGTTTTACGGTATAGCCCTTTTCATTTCGAGATTATTCCGGGACATATGGGACAGACCGATCTTTGACAAAAACAATGCTGCGAGATATGATTTTCAATCTAAGTTAGTGGAAAGCTCTCTGAGTGGAGAGAACCTCATAGACTCGATCTCCGTGAAAAAGTCGGACATCGATTATTACTTATCATCCGTCATGATTCTGAATGATTTTTTTGACACTTATGGTAGCACGTTATCGAGTATTAGCATTCCTTCTTTCCAGACTACCAAGAATGTTGATCGATATGAAGAGGTGGCCTACCAAGCGGAAAACATTGCCATCAATTCTCTGATTAAATTAATCCAGTCAATGAAAGAAGCGTTTTCGTTCTTAAACGTCTTGTTCGAAGAAAGTGATATTGAAGGGTTTGAGGGCCAATACGTTGCCTTCAAAGATATCATGAGGTTCTTGAATTTGAACACTCAGACTGATCTCTCTGCACTCAAGTACAAAGAGATTTTCGCTCCAAATGAGAAAACCCAGAATCTTCTACGTGAGATTTTGTCATCGATAATCAACAGAAACATCTCTAGAGGCGGGTCCATCGAATATATTGCAACTGCATTACAGGAAAGATGTGGTTCCTTTTGTTCTAGTAGCGATATACTTGGGTTCCGTGCGGTCGAACACTTGAGAAAAGCAAAAGAGGTTGGCCTCAGAGACTACGAGACCTCAAATTATCATTTGACAACTGCTATCAAGCTATTCGAAAAGATTGTGGATAGCATATCAATTGAAAGACTCAAAGAAGCGGTATCGACAATGATCGATTTGAACTATTATCCTGGCACTATCAAATTTTTACTCAACATCGCAAATCTAATGGATAAGGGCAAGTTAGCGTATCAATATGTTGATAATGGTTACTTGGAACAGGATTCAAGAAAACCGTTTTATGAGAAGCGCGTCCTTGCCTACGAACTCGTTTTCGAGACCTTGGTGAAGGTGGACGAAAAGGTCGCCGGTGCCATTGCGACAGGTGTGACGGCAATGAACAATATCGAAGAACTCACCAAGTTGAAGGAAGAAAGTTACAAAACAGCCCTGAAGTATAATGACAAATTGTTCCATTATCAGTTGTACGATTGGCTTGTTTCTCAGAACTGTCAAGACAAACTTCTACAACTGGACACGGATTTCATTCTAATGTATCTACAAGAGCATTCACAGAACTCGTTGGAAATATCAAACTTACTGTGGGTTTACGAATCCAAGAGATCTCACTTCTTCCCAGCTGCACAAATATTATATTCGCTAGCTATTTCTGAGTTTGAAATCTCTTTGGGCCAACGCATTGAATTCCTTTCAAGGGCGAATGGGTTCTGCAACAGTATGTGTCCGCCCAGCGAGCGTCAACAAATGATTCAATTAGGTGGTATGATTCAAGAGATATTTGATGTTGCCAGTGTACAGGACGATATTCTGGCATTGGTTAGAAATGATATCAGAATTGCCAAGGATACCAAGGAGGATCTTGTAAACCAGTTAGACGGAAAAGTGTTACCTGTGAGCGACTTATTCAACGACTACGCAGATCCTCTAGAGTATTATGAAGTTTGCTTGGCAATATTCAGAATTTCGGAGTTCAGAAACAACGAAGAAATTCTCTCCAGGTGGACGGAACTATTCAATTCTTTGAAAAGAGAGTTGACCCAAGAAGGCTCTGTGGATGACTCCGTCAGTTTCATCAATCTTCTAAAAACCGTTGTGGTGCGCGTTGGCAGAAACGTAAGAACATCTGAATTTGTGTTCCCGGTTGCTGACTTGTTTCCTATGATATGCGATTTGTTCCACGAAAACTTGCCACCAAAGCATATCAAAGATGGGTCCATAACTTCAATTTTCATTTCAGCAGGTGTTTCATTTGATAAAATGTACTATATGCTCAAGAACTTGATAGAAACATCGGACTCGGTAAACAATATCTACAAGAAAGAGATGGTATGGCTTATCAAAGAATGGTACGAGTCTGACACCAAATTGAGAGACTTGATCTCTTTTGATGATGTTCGCACCTTGGACAACTATAGCATAGAAACTGATCCAATTCAAATTCAAATGACAAAAACAGGTACAAGCATTTAAACGCTAATTATGAAGTGGTCTTCTTAGATCTTGGATGTCACGGGAAGGCTCGGGATGATGAACATTTTTCGAGAATATAGCATATAGACGTTGCTATAATAATATCACGTAAAAAGAAGGCATACAATTGAGCAATGAAATCGATTTTATTTTCAGCGTAAACAAAACCAAACCATCTTTGGGTAATGTGCATTTCTACTCTACAAGAAAATAGGAAGAGGAGAACAACGTTTGACCCTCCATTAAAATAGGCCACAATATTTGTAGAAATGAACACACGATGAGGCCATGAGCATTATTATTATATAAAGGAACCAGCCGTTTATAACAAAAAAAGGTAAACACAGAACAGCGATCGATATGGAATGGTGAAAGAAGAACAGCAAATAAAGCACCAGCAGCAGATCAAGCACACGATGGAATTTAAAACGCCTGCCAAACAGCCAAAACCCGTAGCTGGGCCTAGTGTGAGCGACTGATCGATTTCGTCGTGACGATGCGATGCTGTCTCGTTGAATGCGCTGTGGCCAGTGGTAAAAGAGTTTGCACAGCAAACCGCGCGCACTACTCTTGGGTTCCAAATGTGTTTTCTCCGGAATAAGTGACATACAAAAACCCGTCTTTGTCCTTGTGTTCTTGATAAATGGCAGACATTAATGCTGCTGTTGGAGGCAGCGTGTCATTGACGAATATGAAAATAGCCTTTTCTGCGGGTAGTTTGATGCGTTTTCTTATCACGTACACAAACTGGCCCACTGTGAGATCTGCTGGAACCAAATATTTGCGTTTGTCGATTTCTGGAATATCGGATTTTTCTGCTTTTTCGCAAATCACCGGAATTCGGTTTTCAAACTTTTGGCTGATACGTTCGGACTCTGCCTTTCGTTTTTCGAACGGATACTCCGATTTGAAAGCCGATTTCATAATACACGGAAAAATAAAAATAAAATCGGATGGCTTCGATTTGATCTGTGCTTGTTTTCGCTTTTTACTTTAGGAACAAAACTTGTATAGGGTCTTTTCCACACACACACACACACACACAAAAAGAAATAAATTCAAAAAGTATACCGCGTCCTGACGCCTTTTTTCTTGTTCTTGGTCTTCTTCTTTTTCGATTCTAACCAAATTTGTACCGCTGTTTCCGATTCTGTAATCACCCACACGCGTATGCTATCAGAAAACCCGTCAGAACAAAATCTCTCTGTGCTGACAACAAAAACGACAACAGCAATAACAACAACAACAACAACCTTTTCTGGCTATTCTTTCCAAAGGACTTTCCGAGAGGCTTTCCAAGAAATGCTAAAGCTTCAACTTTCTCTTTGATCTCAAGTTGAGGAGTGTGTATAGCCCCCTAGAATAATCTTCTCCTAACTTGAATTTTTGGCTCCCTTATATAGTCGCCCTTTTTGAATTCTCATCTCATAATATCAATTTATCTGAGATCACTATTACAATGAATTTTTTGGGAAGCCCCTTAAAAAACAGGAGGCCGGGTAAATCATCTAAGTCACGTGCATTTATCAAACACGTGAACAGAATTTGAGATTACGTAACAAGTTGTCACATGACCAGATGACATAAGCTCCGTGCTCTATCCCATCACGTGCTGTTTCTTTCTTCTCTTTCCCATACCTCTTCCTCATCAACCAAGCAAAATTGTTGCATTGCATACTCCAATTGTTGTTCTTCTAATTCCAATTGCGTCTCGTAATCATCACGTTGTTGCAACAGTGCTATTAGTTCGTCGTCATCGTCATCGTCATCGTCGTCGTCATTTTCCGAAGCGGAAGTATCGTATTTGTCAATTTCGTCAGGATTCAGTTGATACCATTGGGCTTGTGTAGCCAGTTCCAGCTGCTCAGAGTTATGCTCAAGGGCCATCATGTCGTGTTCCATCCGGGCGACTCCTCCACGAGCTTGTAAAATGCGATTTTCACGAATTCGGTTCCGATGCGCTTGCCAGCTTCTACGTCGATCTCGAGAACCCAACTGTCGGTTGAGCCCATCTCCCTTTAACGGCGATGAAAATGGCTGTCTGAAACGCTCGTGTTGCCGCTGACGCTCGTGTTGCAGCTTTTCCACTACGGAAGGTGAACTGTAAGAACTGAGCTCATTTAAGCTTCGTGACGGGCTCATCTCTGGAGCCAATGGGCTCGAAGGCAATTGGATAGGAGCATTGTTGCCCATCTACACAAGTCCACGCTTCAAATCCTACAATATCGAACCACCGTGAACCGTTTTTAGCCAGGTTTTTATTTTTTCAAGTTTTCATTGGAATGTAGCTAAAAACATCTTTAATATATTAGTAGTATCTTTATCCTAATTACAGACATACGATGGTAGCATACTTCAAGCTGTTGATTCTATCTCATTGTTTAGTTCGAATACACCCGGTGATCGTTTAGCTATCATTTTCACAGCTTGAACAGTTTCAACTTGAAAATGGAGTCATTAATGGTTTGTTCTTCGTCCGCAATTTCGTCTTTTCCGGACGAACCGTCATATTCGGTGATTTGAGAACGACAAGTCTTTGATAACATGTCAGAGTGAGCCTCGATGACTTTCGAAAGATCGATGGTGTCCTTGATCAATTCGTATTGTACCACAACATCGTCCGTGGCTTCAAGTCCACATTTCTTTCTGAGTTTTTGAATTCTGTTGACCAATTCTCTGGCCAAACCTTCAGTCTTCAATTCAGAATAAATCTTGGTATCCAAAATAATCAACACATCTTGATCGGTCCTGGTCTCTAGACCTTCCTCACCTAGATCTTCAGAAAGCACTCTCATAACGGTCAAATCGCCTTCAACTAGCTCGATACCGTCCACAACAATTTTTCCGGTTTCCACAAACTTGTGCACTTCTTCCGAGGTGACATTGGGCAAAGCGGCTTTCACCTTTTTGGCGTCTTTCTTTAGCTTCTTACCAAGCACTGGCCAGTCAGCGGCGGCTTTGTATTCAATGTTGTACTTGGCGTCGTCAGAAGTAATGATTAAATCACGAACGTTAAGCTCGTCCACAATGTAAGATGCAAGCGCTTCCACGTCCTTCAAGTATTGTGAATCACTGTGGAAAACCACCAAGCTTTTGAGAGGCGTCTTCAAAGAAATGGTTTTCTTTTCACGAATGTTTCTACCCAAATCGATCACGGATTGCATTCTTGCCATTGCTCTTTCAATATCATCGTTTAGCAATGATTCGTCGATCTCAGGGTAAGACAAGAAGTGCACAGATCTTGCGTCTTTGCCGAATTTGCACAATACGTTTTCGGGAATGTACTCTCTCAGTCTTTGATAAATGTTATCCGATAAGAAAGGAGTGAAAGGCGCCATAGCGCACACAAATGAAAACAAGGCATCGAACAGAGAGTTTAGAGCCTGTAGACAATCTTGTTCACCGCTCTCACCCTTCAAACGACGACGGTTCAAACGAATGTACCAGTTTGTAAGCTGGTCGATGAAGTCAAGAAGCTTTGGAACAACAGAGTAAAGTTTGTATGACTTCATCTCAGCATGAATGTTCTTAACCAAAGTCTGCAAGGAGGCCAAAATCCATTTGTCCATAACGTTATCACTCTTGAGATCAGGATTATATTTGAAGTCAACATTGGAAGTTTTCTTGAGAAGAGCAATTTGTCCTTCCAAGAACTTGAATGAGTTCCACCATGGCAATAGCACTTTTGATATGACTTCCTTAACACCTTCTTCTCTGAATTTCAGACTTTCAGCCTTCAATACAGGTGAGTTGATGAGGTACAGTCTGAGAGCATCCGCACCGTATTTGTCCAAGACCAGAGTAGGGTCTGGGTAGTTTTTCAAACTCTTGGACATCTTTCTGCCGTCTGAAGCCAGAACGATACCGCAAACAATGACATTCTGATAAGGGACTTCACCGAACAATTGAGAACCCAAAACACCAAGGGTGTAGAACCAACCTCTGGTTTGATCTAGACCTTCAGAGATGAAGTTAGCGGGAACTCTTTCAGGGAACTTGGCCTTGTTCTCGAATGGGTAGTGCTGACTGGCATAAGGCATAGACCCAGATTCAAACCAACAGTCAAAGACTTCCTCAATTCTCTTTAGCGTACCCTTGCCCTGCTTCGATGGAATGGTAATTTTATCCACGGTATCACGGTGAAGATCTTGGATGTCTTCAACACCAGATAGCTTTTTCAATTCCTCCACCGAGCCAACACAGACAATCTCTTCGTAGTCATCGGATACCCAGATAGGGATAGGAGTACCCCAGTATCTATTTCTAGAAACGTTCCAGTCACGAGCGTTGGCAATCCAGTTGGAAAATCTCTTCTCCTTGATAGCGTTTGGAACCCAGTGAGACTTGTTCACAGATTCCAAGAATGTTGGGATGATAGGCTTCACGCGGACAAACCAGGCAGGAACCGATCTGTACAGCAATGGCGTGTCGGATCTCCAGCAAAACGGATAACTATGTCTGAATTGCGTGTTGTTTATCATGATTCCACTAGCGGTCAAATCTTTGATGATTAGCTTGTCTGCATCCTTGACGTACATGCCCAGGTAATCGGTGACAGGCAAGGTGAACTTACCCGCATCATCCACTGGGTTAGGCAATTCGTCATCTTCGGAAATAATGCCGTTCGCGATACAGATTCTGTAATCGTCTTCACCAAAAGCTGGGGCATTAGACACGATACCGGTACCCGAATCGGCACTCACGTAGCTGTCAGCAATGACCCTGAAGGCCTTCTCCTTGTAGGCTTCCTTGAAGTATGGGTACGTTGGTTCGTATTTGAGACCCACAAGATCTTTACCTGAGATTTTTTCCACAATTTTGAACTTTTCTTTCTCGGGTTTCCTGTACAAGGTCTTGATCAAAGATTCGAGCAAAACAAAGTACTTGTCCCTGGTTTCATCATAAATCTTGACGTACTCAAAGTCTAGATTGACACACAGAGCCAAATTCGATGGGATCGACCATGGTGTAGTGGTCCACGCAACAAGGTAAGTCTTATCCTGGCCTTCAACTTTGAAAGACCACGTGACTGCAGGGTCACTCACTTCCTTATAGTTCTGCTGAGCTTCAAAGTTACTCAAAGGTGTGGTGCAGCCTGTGGAATAAGGCATAACTCTGTAACCACGGTAAACCTGATCCTTCTTAAACAACTCGTTAAACGCCCACCAGGTCGATTCCATGAACGATGGGTACATGGTTTTGTAGTCGTTGTCGAAATCGATCCAACGTCCCACACGTCCAATGGTTTTGCGCCACTCAGCTGCATATGTCATCACAATGGCTCTGCATTCATCGTTGTACTTGTCAATACCCATCTTGTAAACATCCTCCTTGCAAGTAATACCTAGTTTCTTGTCAATGATGTGTTCGATAGGCAACCCGTGGGTATCCCACCCAAATCTTCTCTCAACGTGGTAGCCATTCATCGTGGCGTATCTGGGGACAATGTCCTTGACGGTAGATGTCAAAATGTGACCATAGTGAGGCGTACCTGTTGCGAAAGGTGGTCCATCAAAAAACGAGAACTCGGGCTTGTCTTCGGTCAATTTCAAAGATGTCTGGAAAGCATCAATTTCATTCCAGAAAGAGAGGATTTTCTCCTCTTCCTTGGGAAAGGAAAAATGACCAGCTTGTTCACCCATTTTAAAACACTCCCCAACGTTCAAATCGGCTGTAGAGTCCCCACAAAATGGATCAAATCTTGAATTTACTGTGCTCAAACTTACTGGTTTCGATGGTACATGTATGTCAAATTCGATATTTAAATCAAAAATTTTTCCCGCTGACTCATTAGTACATAGTGACAAACAAAGTAAGTTATTTGAAAGGGTTCATCAATAGTTCTTAATAGTTGATAAACCTGGACGTTTTGGGTATTTTAATTGAAAGCGACAAGCTGTCTATATTTTGATAGCGGATGTGAATCTTTACCTATATTTGTGTTCGAGAAAATCGCTTTTTTGGATTCAAATAGCTACACTGTCTCGAAAAAAAATTAGAGCTGGAATCTCCGTCTATCAACTTGGCCACTCGTAATAACATCTCTCAACATCACAGCCTTGTTATGAAATTTCCAGAAGATTTCATTCCTGTAAGTGTTATTCATAAAACATGCCTTGACAATAAACTGTAAATTATAAACTATTTATGTGTAAACCCATCATCATTAGACGGCCGACCCTTACTAAGAGTTTCCGCTTATCTTTTTTTTAGTGGCGTCGCTCTTTGTTTAGTCGACTTCCTCAACCGTTGGACCAGAGTCTCCTCCATGAGCTGCTCCACCACCGGGGGCACCACCTGGTGGTGCACCACCAGGAACACCTCCAGGAGCACCGCCAGGAGCTCCACCAGATTGGTAAAACTTGGTCATTATTGGATTTGCAACCTCTTCCACTTCCTTTTGTTTATCCTTGTACTCGTCCGTGGAAGCCGATTGTGAAGAGTCAAGCCATGTAATAGTCTCTTCCACAAAGGTCTTGAGCTTAGTGTAGTCAGCATCTCCCACTTTTTCCTCGAAAGCAGCTTCGTTCAAGGTATTCTTCAAACTGAAAGCATACGCCTCCAACGAGTTTTTGGTCTGAACTCTCTCGGCTTCACTTTCATCCTCGGCTTTGAATTTTTCGGCGTCCGACACCATTCTCTCAATATCTTCTTTCGACAACCGTCCCTTATCATTGGTGATTGTGATTTTACTGGATTTACCAGTGCCCTTTTCCAACGCATGCACATTCAAAATACCATTTGCATCTAAATCAAACGAAACTTCAATCTGAGGCACACCACGAGGCGCAGGAGGGATGCCGCTGAGCTCAAATTTACCCAGCAAATTGTTGTCCTTAGTCCTCGTTCTTTCACCTTCAAAAACTTGGATCAATACACCAGGTTGGTTATCAGCATACGTGGAAAACGTCTCGGATTTTTTAGTAGGAATGGTAGAGTTTCTGGGGATCAGCTTGGTCATGATACCGCCTGCCGTTTCAATACCTAGCGACAAAGGAGCCACGTCTAACAATAGCAAGTCCTGAGTCTTGGAGGACTGGTCACCAGTCAAGATGGCAGCTTGCACGGCTGCACCATACGCAACCGCCTCATCTGGGTTGATGGACCGGTTTGGCTCTTTTCCATTAAAAAAGTCGGTAACGAGCTTTTGAACTTTAGGGATACGAGTTGAGCCTCCTACAAGCACAATTTCATCTACTTGCGACTTGTCGAGCTTAGCGTCTCTCAAGACCTTTTCCACGGGGTCCAATGTGGAGCGGAAAAGGTCAGCGCACAATTCTTCGAAACGTGCTCTGGTCAAAGAAGTATAGAAATCACATCCCTCGAAAAGAGAGTCGATTTCAATGGACGTCTGTGCCGACGATGACAGTGCGCGCTTGGCACGTTCTGCGGCTGTCCGCAAACGACGCAACGACCGCTGGTTGTTGGTTAAGTCCTTTTTGTTTTTACGCTGGAACTCAGCCGCCAAATGGTTCACCAAACGGTTGTCGAAATCTTCACCACCCAAATGCGTATTACCAGCAGTAGCCTTGACTTCGAAAATACCTTCGTCGATCGAAAGCAGCGAAACATCAAAAGTACCACCACCCAAGTCAAAAATTAGCACATTGTGCTCCTCACGGCCCTTCTTGTCGAGACCATAAGCAATTGCGGCTGCAGTGGGCTCGTTGATGATACGCAGGACGTTAAGTCCTGCGATGGTCCCTGCGTCCTTGGTAGCTTGTCGCTGGGAGTCGTTGAAATAAGCGGGGACGGTGACCACGGCGTCTGACACGGATCCGCCCAGGTAGCCCTCTGCGGTCTCACGCATCTTGCCCAGCACCATGGCTGAGATTTCCTCGGGTGAGAAGACTTTGGTCTCGCCCTTGTACTCCACCTCCACGTGCGGCTTGCCGTCCCGGGACACCACTTTGAACGGGAAATGCTTGGCGTCCGTTGTCACTTCTTCATCGTCGAACCGACGTCCGATCAGCCGCTTGGCGTCAAACACCGTGTTTCTAGGGTTGATGGCAGCTTGGTTTTTGGCGGCATCTCCGATGAGCCGCTCAGTGTCGGTGAACGCTACGTACGAAGGCGTTGTCCGGTTACCCTGGTCGTTCGCAATGATCTCCACCCGGTCGTTCGTGAAGTGTGCTACGCACGAATACGTAGTACCTAAATCTATTCCGATAGCCTTAGACATGCTTTGAATTAGTATGAGTGTGTATCGTTTTCTTGAAGTAGCTTTGTTTCCACTCTTTGTTATTCTTATTCTTCACAAGTTTGTTTATGCCCCTAAGGCGTGTTTCCTGCACCTTTTTATACTCTTTTTTTAGGGGTACCCCACAACCCCCCTAGATCCGGCTCTTTCCCGCTCTCTCCCCTAAAAGAATATGCTGGAACATCCGAGAATAGTGGCTTGGGCGGCGCTCCCGCTGAGACAGACCTGAAAAAAAAGTCCGCGGGAGCCGCCGGAGTTTTTTTTGTGTCACGAACATTCCAGAACGCACATGAATATTCTGGAACGCTACCAAAAGGCCTCGGCGGCTAACTCGCGATTAGTCGCCGGGTTGGTGTGTGAGAGTATGAGTGTTTAAGTGGTTATTCGTAGGTATTCAGAGGACAGGTGTGAGAATTGGTATTGTTCGTGAACCACGAAGGGCTGAAAATGGTTTTGGAAGAAGGTCCACGGTTCGAGAGTTTTCCGGGAAAATACTAACGGGAGACCACCGGAACGAGAGCCCGATCAATAAAACACAACGAAAGAGATACGGTTATTCGAAGGTTGGTTTCCGCCCTTTTCTGAGACGTTTGGCTCTTGCCGAGCCATTTACTTTGAGTCGTGGGGTGTTGAACTTGGATTTTGACACCGGGTATAATGATGATGAAAAATATTAAGAGTCGTTCCTGGGTTGACAAAGGGAAGGGTTCCAGGATGTGGAAAATCGAGGGCGAGAAACAAATAATAAAAGGTTCGAATGCTACGAGAGAGGTTCCCAAAAAATGAAATCACGACGGAGGCGAAAAAACTGGTTAATGTAGGCAGCGTGTTGAGTTGCCAAATTTATATCGTTATATACGACATATATATTTCGGCCCACCCTAGTCCAGCTCATCGCTATAGCTGTCTGTAGATCACCTTTTCCACAACCATAGGTTCGTCTGAATCTGGATCAGAATCTCCCATGTTGTGTAGCACATTATCGTCATCATCGACCAACACATGTGAAATACCGCTTTCGCCACCGTTGTCGTTATCGTCGGGGTCGTCCAGGTGGGGCCACAACTTGTACACCGCGCCTCGAGTTCTATCTAGAGCGTGTTTGTGGTGCAGACTCGTGAGAATTCGCACCCATGCATCCTCGTTCAGTAACATGTCAGCGTAAAAATCGGGCACCACTGCCAGCTGGCGTGCCAGAAGAGCGTCCAGTTGTAGAAGCGCCTTTGAGCTCACTGCTGAGCTCATCGCTATTAACTCCACTACATTGTGCCATTGCAGACTCGAACCGTAGTTCCCAAAAAGCATGGCGTTCAAAAACGCACACTGCAGCTCGCCCAGAAGCGAAAAGATCGAGTTGTGGTGATACCGCGCCAAGACAACATCGTTGAGATAGTAGCTTTTGTCGAAAAAATCGTGCATCTTGAAGTTGTCGCGCAAGGCGTCTTTGGACTTGAATACGATCGGCGTGTATTTCAAAACCGGATCCCCAGATCTTGTTGTGTCTGCAATTCGATCTCCATTGGAAGCCAGAGCCCGGCTCAAAATACCCTCTTCTTCCTTTGTGGTGATCGCAGAGTCCATGTACACATACGGTTCACTACAACTCGCAATGTGTCTGACATCCAGCATTTTGATGTGATCCGTCAACACTTTCCACGTATCTTCTTCGTCTATTGACGGATAAGGAACCATAAACGGGTTCAGCTCGCGGAACTTGTTGTAGGCATCTGTTTTCTGCTGTTCAGTTTCGATTGTCCGAGGAACGAAAATCTCGCGTGCTGCGTCGTACTCGAATTGAACGCTCTTGGCTGAGTCACTTTCGAAAAAGTATCCATACCGTACGCCATCATTGCAATGCTGAAAATGCACCACATGTATATGTGGGTGTCGGGGAATATTCTTGAACCCATGGAATATCTGATCGGGCTTGACTTCAAAGGAGTAAAGGTCAATGCCAAACGTGACAGCCTTGTCAACTCTGTCGATGAATAATTCCATAATACATGTCCAGCTATAAAATATAGATGCTTTCATGGACCGCAGAGGTGTGGAGACTTAACTCAGCGTTAGGAGCCCTAAGTTAGATTATATATGCTGCCATGCGATGAGACGTATGTGATGACCAATATTTTTCAAAAAAAACAATATATAAAGGAAAAAACAGCCTGAGGAACAGCGAGAACACATCTTGACCACCACTTCATGACAAGACAATCTAGCTCTAGATGAACACATCACCTATAAGCTTTGTTTCTTCACATGAAAAGACATAATCTGCGTCAGAAGAACAGGTTAGGACTTTGAAGTGTGGAAGCAACTTGTTTCGTAGCCCTCCACCACTGTTCTACAATGATGAGAACATATTTTTACACAGACCTGTACTGATTATTACATGCAGATAAACGAATATTGCCTTTTTTTTCTGATTTGAACAACGTGGAGTCATCTGTAGTCCTTTTATGACGCTTGGGAAAGTAAAAAGTTGTAGTACAAACAATGTTATAGTTCGAGTTTGCATTTAGGCGACGCACAGTGTGGACAGGAAAGATTGTCAAATAAACCACCGTGTGCTCTTGTGCGACAGCCTAATCGATAGAACTCACTCACATCGCTATCGTCTGATAACATAGTCGACGATCGACGTCACTACTCACATAGCTATCGTCTAAAAACATAGTATCCATTAGGACACGCCCACATCGCTCTAACTACTTTGTTCTGATAATAAGACTTGTATTTTGTGCTTTACAAAATTATAGTAACAATTTACAAAATTGCGAGGTTAAAATGACAGGATTGGTGACATCCAAGTGACAAGCTGACTTATTTCTTGGCAGTCAATCTTCTCAAGTAGAAGGCCAATTCTTCACCTTCCAAGATGTAACCATCACATCTACCGGATTGACCTGGTCTGGAAGAAATGCAGGCGTACAATCTACCGGCACCGAACTGGGTTTCAACGGTGTGTTCGATCTTAGCGTCGGCAGCTCTGGCAGCCCACTTCTTTTCAGCGCTCTTGGAAGAAGCAACAACTTCTTCTTCGGCAGCCTTGGCGTTCTTCTTCTTACCCAAAGTTTGACCGTAGTGACCTTCGAACCACTGCTTGAAAGGAGTAGCATCGATCTGGACAATGGCAGCCTTGGTCAAAGTGTTGGTTCTGACCAATTCGTTGTTGGAAGGATGGTACACCACACCAGCAATTCTGGTCTTTCTGGTGACACCTTCGGAACCCCAGGCGAAGTTACCGGTCTCGATTCTCAAGGCTCTGAACTTCTTGTTACCACCTCTGGTTCTGACGGTGTGGATTCTCTTTCCACCGATCTTGGTGTTGGCTGGTTGACGACCCAACTCAAACTTTCTCTTCTTTCTGAACTGGGCACGCTTGGCACCAGTAGCAGCTCTCTTGTGGCGAGAATCACGAGAAATACCCATTTTGAATCTTCAGAAAATGCTGTTAGTATACGAGAAATTGGAAAGTTAAGCGAGTCGAAAGGACAGTGCGGTAAGGTGACGAAGGGCAGCCGGTTGATGTATAAAGCCAGTCGGCTCTCCTCTAATGACAAGTTGTCGATTTATAGTTTTCTCCCAAAGTAGTTTTGGTCACAGGAAGTACCAAACACTAAGCCAGCCTTTATCTATGCCCTTCAAGTGTCCTCACATTACTCTGCATCTTTGTCTTACGACTCTATTATACCACTGGTTCACATACTATTGTCCTAGTGTTCTGAAGTAACCTAATATTGTAACGGTACAGCATTCGGATATCTTAATCTTTTCTTCCACACGAACTATGCTACCTCGTGTTGGATCCTGCTTGGGCCGGTGAGTCTAGAGGCTGTAGGATCCAGACCGATTCCCGCCTGGGGAGACGAAAATCTCCAGTGGGAGCTGGGCTCGGGACTCCCCCGTACGCTAGGCTATTCCCATCTGGGCCTCTGGCTACGCTAGGGCGGACGGGCTAGGATGTTGGTCGAGCTCGTAACATTTGACCGACCCACGCAAAACTTTTTCACACCTTTTAATATTTCAGTAAAGTTTCAGCAGTCCTCATTTTACGAAAATTTGGAGGGTGTACGGGTGTGGCAGTCACGAATGAATATGTATCAGAAATATTGTCAGTGGCAGGATGTGTCGAAGAGGTATTGTCGATGTTAAAGTCTGTGAGGGTGTGAGCTTTCTAGAGGATACACCCACACACATACAATCTCAGCATCCAGGCAAATGACGTACCATTTGGATGCATGATAGAATACAAGCTCGATTAATCAAGAAGACGTTTTTTGAAGATGATTGGAGCACGTGACGCCGGACTATGAAGTCTCTATTCAACGTAGAATTCTCAGAGAAGATAAATTACGACTCTTGATATGAACATCTGTGGTATTTTCACATACGATCTTCATCTATAGGCTTTTGAAACGGCTCACAGGTTTTCATGCTCGATCCGACTGCTATTCGGGGCATTAGAAATTCACGTGACCAAGAAAGTCAAAGCTTAAATTACTGTCATGGAAAAGCTTTAAATTTATGTCATCGCTGGCCCATCTCATCTCATCTCACTGCATATTTGACATAACGCCAATAGTGCTTGTATAACTCTCTTCCATAAGGTTAAGGAAAACGCCAACGAAGCTCCTGCTTGTTCAAGATGTCTACTTATGACCAGGTTGAGATTGAAGACATGACTTTTGATCCCGATACCCAGATATTCACGTATCCATGTCCGTGCGGTGACAAATTTCAAATATACATCGACGATTTGTATGACGGGGAAGACATAGCGGTGTGTCCGAGCTGCTCGCTCATGATTCAAGTCATTTTCGAGCAAGAAGATCTGCAGGAATATTACGAAGAAGCCGGTTCACAGCCTCCCGCGCCAGTTCCTGTTGCTGCATAAATGTGGGTAAAAAAGCACAGAGTGCGTAAGAAACAACCGTGTCCGTGGGAATAATATGAGCCATCGCACGGACACATAATACCTCCACCTGCATCTACTTTGGAAATTCTCAACTTCACACAGCGGACCGTCTTTTTATGGACAAAACAAAAGCTTGAAATGCAGGCCTCATGGCGGACCGAAGCTGTTGCCATGCGAAACTGTGCGAAGGTGTTTCAAACGGCTTAAATGACCTACAGACTTGGCATCAGCGGCTTCAAATGGGGCACAAACAGTGAAAGATCGATCTCATCTCTGGTCCATCGTATATGAGTACCTTCAAATTAGAGGCATATATTGAAAAGTTCCAAGTTGTAGAAATTCACTCAACAAACAGATAAAATGGCCTTCAGAACACCCATTACTGGTCGATTACAGCGGACTGTTTGATTCCATCGCACTTGTGTGGTACCTCAGTGATGGCTGACAGAATTATAGCCAAAAGAGACGAGTTCTTGCGGACTCAAACAATTGAACATGATGTCCCCGCTCCAAGAGAGATTCCCCAGGAAGAACTGATGCGTAGGGTCCCAAGACCGCTAAGACATGTCAAATTTATCCCGGTGAAAAACTTGGTGTTCTTCTCTAGGAACAACCCCCCGGCATTTTCGTATGAGACCAAGATCAAGATTCCTTTGCCAAAGGATAAGCTTGTGGTCCAGGTGCGCAATGTAGCTTTGAACCCTGTGGATCTTAAGATTATGAATAGCTACACGCGCAATATGAACCGTGGAGTAGGGTTCGGACGTGAGTATAGCGGTGTCATCACAGAAGTGGGGGAAAACCTGCACGGACAATGGAAAGAGGGCGACGAGGTTTACGGGTTGTTTTACCATCCAAACTTGGGATACGGCACAGCACAGAGCTCTATCGAAGTTTCACCTTCGAAGGACGTTATTTTACCAAAGCCTTCAAACGTTGGATTCCAAGCAGCTTCGGGTACCCTTTTTTGTTTGGGCGCTGCTTTCAACATCCTTGACGATTTGGAATCTAAGGGTCAACTTTCAGAAAAAGCTAACATTCTAATCAACGGAGGAACGACCAGCGTTGCCATTTTTGCAATTCAGCTATTGAAATACCATTATCGAATCCCGAACAAGCTCGTTCTACTGTGCTCGGAATATGGCGCAGTTTTTCTGAAGTCTCATTTCCCTGACTTGTGCGATGAACTGATCTTTGTGAACTACGTGATGAGCGCAAACCATATACATAAGCCCCTGCAAGATATGATCAACAACCGTGAAATTATCTCGTATGATGCCGTCACAGGTCAGCCATTATCAACACCATATAACGGAGGAAAATTTACAGTCATACTCGATTTTATTGGTGGCTACCAGTTACTGAGCCACACTGACGCTTTACTAGCCAAGAATGGTGCATACGTTACAACCGTGGGGGACTATCGCGCCAACTACTCAAAAGACGTCTACAATGCCTGGGATAACCCTAGTGCAAATGGAAGAAAAATTTTTGGTAAGCTACTATGGGCCTTCGATTATACCCATTTCCACTTCGACCCCAACGCCAAATACGTGAGCAGGAATGACTGGGCTGAAAAATGTGCGGAACTGGTGGAAAGCGAAGTGGTGAAGTGTATTATTGACAAAGTATACGATTGGAAACAATTTGAGGACGCCTTGGACTACTTAAAAAAGGGTCATAGTCACGGGAAAGTGGTTCTCGACGTTGAGAAGTTTTAGAATTCGCGGAATTCGTTGTTTGGTTTGATTTGTGTAATGATTTATGAGGATTTTATATGGCAAACGCTATCGCCTTTTTAGTAACCTTGGAACGCTCCAGCCGTTATTCACGTATATAGTCTTTCTTTATTTTACGGCACCGGGTCCATCGTAAGCGGATTGCTAAACGTTTATTTCATGATAATTCCTGCAAGCAACAGGGCAACGGCGAAAAAAATGTAGAGTTTGGACCGGTTATTCTCACTTTTCGTTTCCCTGGCTTTTTGCGCCTTGAGAAGTTGCTCCTCGACTCTGATTCTGTCTTCCGGGTCCGTTATATCTGCTAAATTTATTGCTTGCTCCTTTGCGGCCTCTTCTAGCACGTCTTTATCTGCAACTCCGACTTCTGGTTCACCTTTCTGCTTGAGTTCCTCAAAATGGGCCAAATTCTCTTTCACCAAATCTGGGTACACCTTTTTAAACCGAGCGTTTTTGAATGTGTTAAACTCTCTCGAGCTTCGGGCCATTTTTTTCTTGTGGTCTGGAGTAGTACTTATCGCACCCGTTGTACTTTCGTTGCTCGTCATAAAACTTAAAAGACCCGTCAAAATGGTTGATACGGACCAAGACGGATTCCATGTGTCAGGATGATAATCACTCATCGAAAGACACAAACGAGTGTCCTCTTTGAATCGTCCACTAGGTGTCACCATTCGTATTGCGGGTGGCTTAAAAGGGTAATCGGACGGAAATAAAAGCGTTCCATGATACTGGCCACCAGAATAAGGTGTATCTGGAGGACCTGATATCACATAATGCCATTCCAAAATGTTATCTTCGTTAGGTTGTGCTATAATGAATGGTGGTGGATTTTCCACCATGGATTTATACTCTTTCGTTAACCGTTTTTGAGCCTGTCTGGTAGCCATGACTCAACTTTCCGCACTGTGATAATCCGGAACAACTGAGAGAACTGGAGTGATCGTGATACGACCTGGATTTGGGGCTATGTGTCAGCGAACAAAGCTACCCCGGTGGTTGAATAGCTGAAGATATCATCTGTTAATTAATGTAGGTTCGTTAAAATCGTACCTTAGAGGTGACACTTTAATACAAAGTGACAAAATGAGTCTTGATGATAAAGAAGTGTGACAAGACGAAGCCTTAGTGTTGAGGAACATACCTGCTCGGGCATTATAATAGTTCGAATTTTATTATCTGTTGGAGCTAGACGGTTTCCAGTTGAAAAATATGAGCTGGTTTCCTAAATTGAGTTTTCTTGACATTTTTGTATGGATTATTAGGCTACGGAACCATTGATTATTCGGTGGGATCATTGTGTATTGCTTGTTGAATTCTGGTTGATTTAGGTGTGGTAGTTTCAGGAAGCCGCGCTTTTCGAATTAAACATTGATGTCGTCTTCATAATTCTGATACTAGGTTTAGAGATACCACGGAAGTGGCAAAATATTAATAAGCAGGGAATATGATTACCGAAAGACTGGTATTACCAAGTCATTCAAATGAAAGGGAGAAACCGAGCAAACATTCATTTCTGATCAGTGTCGTCGCTTGCACGGAAAACGTGACTTTGATTACCCGTGGTATTTTAGCTCAGTAAGTGTGGGAAGAACCGCAGTCTGTCTCACATTGTTGGGTTCACACATACAGATCGCATTACAATATTGGATCAAAGGATGCTAAAAATGTGTCTCCGGTGGACTGGAGAGGATGAGGAACTCGAATGACCAGGTCACGTCGAACGAGCAACATGGCAACGTCTATCCAGTTCCCAGTTCTGAACAAGTATTTGCGCTAGCAGACGTATTGCACTTTCCCGTTGAACACCAGCCTAATTGCTTTGGTTTCTATTATTACCTTATCTTCTGTCCATCATGTCTCCACCACCGATACTGTCACAGCACGAAATGACATGATAGAGTTCTGCCCCGAATCCCACAACAAGTTGAAACGAAAAGTATCAATAATGCTTAATCAATGAAATGGTCTGCCCTACTTTCAGGTCGTGAGCAGATTGGTTTATTTTACCTGTCATTTCAACATAAACTTGAAAAAACCATCAATTTGAGCCCAAAATTCACCACAAAACACTAATTATGAAGCTGCTAAATCAGGTTATTAGCTACAGTCTATGACAGTGATTGTTTGATGCTTAATTGCCTCTCAGATCGTATTAAAGTTTCTATTTCTCAGTTACGCTTCTAGTCATGTGACAAGCTTTCGAATAGATTAATCAAATTTGAGATAAGATGAGATGGAAAGAACCATGCGATGCATTTCATCACCAAGTTCTTTGCCAAAGCTGTGAACAGCATTAGATCGGCTTCGAACCTCATCAATTGAACTGTATCAGCTTGATTATATCTTTCGAATGGGCTCCAACAGTATCAAACTTTTGTCTGGAAACTCGCACCCAGACTTAGCTGAGAAAATAGCCAAGATACTTGGTCTCTCGTTATCGAAAATTGGAGTCTATCAGTATTCCAACAAAGAAACGTCTGTCACCATTGGAGAGAGTATCCGCGACGAAGATGTTTACATTATTCAGACCGGAAGTGGTCAGCAAGAAATAAACGATTTCTTGATGGAGTTGTTGATTTTGATTCACGCCTGTAAAACTGCATCGGCCAGAAGAATCACAGCGGTCATTCCAAACTTTCCGTATGCACGTCAGGATAAAAAGGATAAAAGTCGGGCACCAATAACGGCAAAACTTATTGCAAATTTATTAGAAACTGCTGGCTGCGACCATGTAATCACTATGGACCTCCATGCTTCTCAGATTCAAGGATTCTTCCACATTCCTGTCGATAACCTTTACGCTGAACCCAGTGTGCTGAACTACATCAGGACGAAAACTGACATTCAAAACGCTATTCTTGTTTCGCCCGATGCTGGTGGAGCCAAAAGGGTAGCTTCTATTGCTGATAAGCTGGACTTGAACTTCGCACTGATACACAAGGAAAGACAAAAGGCCAATGAAGTATCTCGAATGGTTCTTGTGGGAGACGTTAGAGGAAAATCCTGTCTATTGGTGGATGATATGGCCGATACCTGCGGTACTCTGGTGAAGGCATGCGATACTCTTTTCGAAAATGGCGCCAAAGAGGTGATCGCTGTTGTGACACATGGTATTTTCTCTGGTTCTGCAAAGGAAAAACTGCGTAACAGTAGAATTTCAAGAATGGTTTGCACCAATTCACTTCCCGTGGATCTAGAATTAAGGATATGCGATCAAATTGATATTAGTCCAACGTTGGCGGAAGCTATTCGCAGATTGCACAATGGTGAAAGTGTTTCCTACCTTTTCACACATGCGCCAGCTTAAGCAAAAAAAATCAATACACAAATACCCTAAAACACAAAGTTTGCAACTATGTACAGTTGATGCCATATAATAATGCCTTTAATTAATGCCTGTCTACAACGAATATCACCTAGTCTTTTGGTGATCGCCTGAAACTGAAAAGTCTAGACCGCCTTTTTGAAGCCTTTGAATTAGCTTTACTGGAAAAGCGCTCTTCAGGCACGCCCTCCAATTCTCCAGCATGGTCGCAGTTAATGTCCAAGTGCTCCCTAGTTATTTCATCCAGCTTTATAAGTTGGTCAACACCTTCTGCATTTTCCTGTCGTTTCTCATATTCATCAGAATCTTGCCGGAAATCCGTGACCTCTCTATAAAACAAAAGGTACGCCGTGGTTAGATCATCGGAATTTCCGACAAACTTTAACACCGTTGATTCCTCCACTGTTTCTACCGTCTCATCGTCGAATAACAACCAACCAAACTTATCCGTCTTGCACAATGAAACGTAGTGGCCATGGTGTGGTCCTCCACCCATGTGCACCACCAATCCAACCAATTCGTATCGTTTGCAAATGGAGGTGTCAAACGTGGAGCACACTTTAAGATTCAATGGGTAATGAATTTTATTGAAAAGTTTCGTATTGCAGTTTTGTTCCTCTGAATACTTGAACCGCTTCATATGCAGAGACAGATAAAATGGCAAGTGTTTCAATCCAACGACCCTTTCGGCCTCCTGTAGCCCACAGCATTCATCACAGTAAAACTTGTTTGCTCCATTGAGCATTTCTCTTTGATGATAGTCAGATAGCGTAGTCTGTATATCTGTCTCCTCATCATCCTTTACTTCTATGGCAAAATCCAGAAACGGCTCGTTGCAGAAAGTTTCATTATCACAAGTCAGACATTTTGTCCTATTCGTCAGTGTTCCCTTAAATAAATCATCCACAAAGTTAGCTTGAGCGGACGTTTCCTCTTTGTTCACTTTTCCATGTTTTGTGTTGGCGTAATCGCGAATTTCATTTAGCAGATAGTTTAGAAACTCATGAGCATCTTGATGCATCATAGTGCTAAATAACACGTTCTCGCGTTTCAAAGTCTCCACGAACTGTATGGGCGATACAACTCCGGTGAAATATCGATTTTCCACTATGCTTTCATAAACATCTTTCAAAGAAGTGTACAGGCCGGGTTTCTCATTAGGCGCCAGGTAGTCCTTCAGATTATGATCGATGTTCAATACCGGTCCTCTTATGAGAGCAGCTTTTTTACGCTCTTCGCTTGATGTTTCCGTAGGCTTGGCAGAGGAACCAAAGGACGAAGTTGAACCCGAAGAAAGTGCCGAAGAGTTAGCCTGTGCTGAGTAGTTAGAGTCGCTAGATTGAGGTATTTTAGTCTTTCCGACTTTACCAGGAACGCGTCCTACCACGATTCTGGTGTATCCTTCATGCAGTTTTTCCGTTATGGCATCCGAAGCCATTACAGTACCGTGTACGGTAGCTGAACTATGTGATCTATGATTTCTTGAGTTTGTAGAAGATCTGTGGTTCTCTCTATCTCTGGAATGTGGTGCTGAACTTCTGCGAGAGCCCGTGTCTTTACTCGAACTTTGACTACTGTTGTTACAGCCGCCGCCGCCGCTTGCTTTTTTCGACGAGTCAGTGGTGTTACACGGGGGTAAGAAACTTGTATCGTCGAATATGCGAGGTTTCACGCCAGGCATTTCAGATTTGCGTCTTCTAGAGACATTCACGTTGCGAGCTGGAAATTCCAAGATGTGATTGCGCAATTCTGGCAAATTGTACATGATTTGCAGCACCGAGTTACAGTAGCAGGTGTTTCCGAAGTTTTCATACCCAAATACCTTATTTGAGCCATCACCAAAAGGCAAAAGTGGGGTGATCTGAGGCCTTACTAACGAGAACCGTTCAAAATCGGACTTTAAGCTCTGAGTGTCGCTGAGGGTGCTTGAAGATCCGGTTTTGCCATCGACAGGAGTTGCGGATCCAGTGTTTGTGCCCTGAATTTCAGTATGAGTTGTGTTTTCCATGGGTGTAGTACCCCCGCCATTTTGCGAAACTGCAATTTTCGAGCTTTCTCCGGGTATAACAGCGTGCAACAGTTTATCACCCACGACAGCGAGTTTTTCAACTTTGTCCCCACTCTTAGCATCTTTCTCAACTTCTTTCCCACCAATCAACGGCTTTTCTGGTCTTTCTGATCTTTCTGATCGCTGTTTTCCGAACTTATCTGTCCTCGAGAGCCATTTCTTAAATGTCGACATATCTCGACAATGAGTAGGAATTTTCGAGCGTTTGAAGCTGGAAATTCACTCAAATCAATTCGCCCGACCTGCTGAAGAACAGCTTTTTAACTGGTACACTCCGTTGAATAGAACTTGAACAATTGTTCCTGCATTTATTTCCATTATCAACCGTTTTCAAGTTTCGGCCGTATTTATTTCACCTATTTTCGTACAAGTTGAATAATACTGATATAGTTTCCCCGCGCCACTTTCCATTGTTGATGGTCATGTGACGTCCGCGAAAAAGCCATTGTTAAAAAAAGATTTTGAATAATAAGAATAATACTAAGATTGCGGGAGATTGAAAGTTCAACGGGGGAGATATGGATTGATCTGTGAGTGGTGGGGTGTGTATTGTAAGTTAAGTGTTTGTCCCACTTGCCCTGGGTGGTGGTGTGTGTGTATTTCAAAAAAAAAAAAAAAAAAAAGGGNNAAAAAAAAAAAAAAAAAAAGTGAGTGAGAAATTGACATGGTCGCGTGATCAGCGACAGCGTCAGATTAAAGCTGGAATGATAATCCTGTGAAATTGTGATGCTCTGGACTGTTATGCTCTGGACTGTGATGCTCTGGACTGTGATGCTCTGGACTGTGATGCTTGTATTGCCATTTCAATGCCGAGCCCTCTAGTACCTTCTCACTTGCTCGATTGTGCTTCTCGGTATCTCTATGATTGATTACGATTTCATGTTTTAAGCCATGATTGTTTCATTTTATCACCATTGATCGCTGATTATCTCAATCATGAAGTTATGATTGGGAGTCAAAATCGGCTTGCATGCAGAATTTTATTCTTGGGCACAATTAGAACCCGAGATGTGTGATTTAGAGTAGCTGAAACTTTCGCCACGGCCAAACACTAATGGATGCTCGATGATGGTAAAGAATCATTTTAGCCTCGTACGCAGGATATTCGAACCCGCTTCATTCTTGTTTCTATGAGTCTCTCTCTCGTCTCTCATGTACATTAATTTTTCAAAAAATAATGCCATTGCCTAGAATCGAACCAGGGTTTCATCGGCCACAACGATGTGTACTAACCACTATACTACAATGGCTTATATTGAAATAATACTGTTTAAAGATGTTACTCATCTCTAAATCAGTGCACGGGATGCTCTCAACCCACCGCTCTTCGAGAGCTGGCCAACGTAGCGGAAAACAACTGTCTGCTTTGTAGCTAGATGTTGAATAAATAGATTTCTGAATATAGACAGTGTATGTATGATTCTTTCCCACCAGTGGTTTTTTCACTAACTTCAAAATTCGGGCGCCATGTTTATATCAAACCAACCCAAAATATCATCATCATTGGCAGAGTTCTGCTCCATCCAACCAGCACTCTGGGCTTGGAAAAATGTGTTAAGCTCTGATGACGGTTTAGTCAAACCTTGCGAAGTTATCCCTGGGTTGTGGCCATTATGCATATTGTTTTCTGCACTCAAAAATACATTCAGACTCGAATACGAGTTTGAAGTCAAGAGCGGAGATGCAGGTGCGATGAAATCGGGTATCACCTGTTTCCCAAGCGTTAAGCTTTGTGAATTGGCACTTGGTACATTTGAATTGTTGACTGCAAACAACGAATGCGTATTCTCCAAAACCAGAGGTGGAGATGCGCTTGTGGGACCCCGCCCGCGGCCTAGTATTTCTGCGGCAACCGGAGTGCTGGCGGACCGTTGCATAGATTGCGCAAAAAGAGATGGCGATTTGCGGTTGATGTCTTCTGCGGTAGCACTTGTTTTGATCACATTACTGGGTGTAACAGGGCGCATGGGTGCAGCAACATGTAGAGGTTCATCCGCAACCCAACGCGCTGCATCCTGATTCATGCTCCCAGTCTCTTCTAAAACTGAAATTGGGATTCCGTTAATGTATTTTATAGGGCCCTTTTTCCCCCCTTGGCTGTTCGCTAGTCTCTTTGCCTCTTGGATAGCATTTTGCGTAGGAATTAATGTGGTGACAGTAGTGCCCCCAGGAGTCGTTTGTGTGATGGTTTCAAAATCTTCTTTAGAGATTTGATTATAAAATGGTAGTGGACACAGTCTTTTCATATAGATTTTGCTATCCTTTCCATTATCTCGTTTTGTCTCTACTTCTCGCGCTGCCTGGTCTTGATTCTTATCTTCTTTCCTGGAATTTGGGTCTGCTTGGCGCCTGCGGGCTTCGTGAATGCACCAAACTAGATCGTAAAACAAGGTGCCTGTCAAATGAGATCTCATACGAGTGATGATTCCTTCGCTCTCCATGAATATTTCCGGTTGCGTGATGAGCACAAAGTTCAACTTCTCCAGTACGCTAGCGGTCCGAGATATGTCATTTTCCACACTAGCGGTCCACGCTGTTAGCTGGTTCCTGTACAGCCGGTGAACAGTTACAACAGATTGGCGTGCTGAGTCCACGTATTTCTCAGGCATCCATGGAGTTGACTGAAGTTTGAACAGAATTAAGGCTGAATATGTGACACTCTGACGAACATAGATTGGAAGCTGTATCAAATTGGTGGTCTCCAAAAGTTTCGTAAGAAGAGTCACTACCTTCGTCGCACTCAAGTAGGCGTCATCAACATATTCTTTTTGATACTCAGTTGGAGTTCCAGGAAGGAATGCAAAGCAGCAGATCATAAGTTTGACGTAGAGAAAATACATTTCAATCACGGTATCTTGATCAAATTTTAATTTGGCCTGTAGCCTTGCCAATTCTGTTCTTAAAGACTGTAGCGCACCGCCCCTCTCTTGTGCATCTAGTAAGCCGTCAGGCGTCGTGACACTTGAACCCATTGTTCCACATAACCTGGACTGAAAGTTTGCCAGGCATATCAATTGTCTGAACCTGCTAGGTACCGCACTTTCATCCTCGCGAAGACGAGCTAGTTCTATCAGATGGTCATTTTGAGAAGTGGGCGGTAAACCTAAGATACTGGCCCAGCATTGCTCTGCAAAGAAGATGCCTAACCATGTACGCGTACGCCATTTCTCTGCATTGGGCATTGAAGTTTGAGTCCTGGTGAATTCAGACATGAATTTGCCTCGGTGTAGGCCTAATTGAAAGGAAAGCGATTTTGCAAGCCCCACAAACCGGTAAGAACAGTCGTCTAAGACTTTTTGATTGGGTAAAGGCCAAGTGCAAAGTATTAATAATGCCTGTGATATATGAGTCGACCGCGGCGTCCGAATCCAACAAGTTTCTATGGCCAATTGCTTGATCAATGACGCCAATCTATTATAAAGCGATGGTTCGGGCTCTGATAGACACGCCGTAAGCATGACGGTCCAGAACAGTAGATGAGACTGTGAATAAAGCTCCAAAGCTGTATTGGAGTACATTATAGGAAAGTACGGTAAAAACGACTCAACGAAAACGCGGTGCAGCTCATTTGCTTTTTTCAGAGATATTCGGACATCACCCAATATGAACTCATCAATACTGGCCTGTGGTGATGGCAATGGCTGTACCGCGTTTGTGGTGGCGACGACATGTTCTTCATTGCTTAGTGGAATTTGTGCACCATTGTTATCGGGGGTAAGTTCGGGGCTCGTAGCATCAGTAGAGTTAGCAGGAGAAGGGGTATATTTTGATGCATGTCTCTTGAGAGCAATCCTCAAAACTCTCGGAAGTGATTCATCTTTGAGTACAGAAGGATCAACACTGATCTTGGGGATGTGTAGCCCTTGCTCCGCAGAAGATTCTAATTCGTTTTGAACATTCGGGCCAGCCGATTGAATTAAAGTTGGTTCTCCAGTTAAAAAGGTTTTAGCCGCTACTTTGAAAGATGAGTCTTTGTTGATGATAGCGTCTCCGGTGTTCTTCGAGATTTCCGGACTGTTTTCTGTAGATTTTGCAGCATGCTTGACACGCTGCAAAAGACTCCGGCCCCACTCACTTTTCCCTAGCGCATAAGCGATGAGCCGTTCGTTGTACGCCAGACACTCTACTTTCAATTTCAGCTCTTCCACATCGCTGCGTAAACTCTGAAGTTGTGATCCCTTTTTCGGCCTGAATCCTGGGTCTATCTCACATTTCAGACCCATTCTTTCGCATCGAGAACATGCGTTGGGAAATTTTTCGCTGGCATTACATTTGATCTTGTGTTGTCGACAATGTGTGCAAGAAGTTACCGGTCGATGACCTGTAGGACCCGCTGTGACCACCTTTGTGTCACCGGAGTCAGTTTTTTCCATAATGCCGGTAACTGCATTTTTAGATTCTGGAGATATTCCAGTCGCATTGGATGCCTTTACATTGGCAGAAACCGGCGGTAAGAGATGTTCTTCGTCTTTGACCGTTCTGCGCTTGACTTGGGAACCATTTGGCTCCTTCAAACTATTTTTCAACGCACGCTTCCGACCTGGGCCGGCTCCAGGATCCTTGACGTCGACTTGTTTTGGTGAACAGCTCATTCCATTTGAGATCGGAAGTTCAGAGATCTATTTTTTGGCAGCTTTCAAATCTCGCTCAAAAATCACAGTTTTTCTTCGAAAAAAGTCCCCAATTGTTGCTTACGGCGAGCACTATTCAATCAAGTATTTTAAAGCTCTCTAAAATGGTAAACAAGGGTCAGTCTATCGCTTTTAATGTGAATTCTGGACTCTGTTGTCTTGGTGAGAATCATAAATTTTTCAATTTTACCCGCGTGCATTTATCATAGGGCATCTCATCTCATTGCATCGCTTGAATACATAGAAGAAGAACAAGCCTTGGACTCGCTACAGAAGCGAAACAAGTCTTCGGACAGGTATTTGTGGTCCGCTCATGCTGCTAGTTCCGGGAGTGTCTTCTTTTCTGCCCACTCTATTGACCGTGTGGTTCGAGATCAAGTTGAATACCACGTTGATGGAAATTGTGGATGGGTTCGAATGTTATTTCGTTTCTACTATATACTTCATAAAATGTAGGGCCGCTAGTTGTTCTTAGGCCTTGGTGTAACGCAAGTATGGCTTGACAGTCTTGAACTCACCAAACTTGGTCTTGGCGTCAGCGTCAGAGACAGTAGGAGGAATGATAACATCCTCACCCGGCTGCCAGTTGATAGGGGTGACAACGCCCTTGGAATCACCCTTTTGCAAAGCGTCGATAACCCTCAAAACCTCGCTGGAGTTTCTACCCACGGAAGCTGGGTATGTGATAATCAAACGCACCTTTTTGGCAGGGTCGATCACATAGACGCTTCTAATGGTCGCCACAATGCCCTTGTTGAGGTTTTTGAACCCTTCTTCGTCCACCATGTCGTACAAGAACGCCACTTCACGGCTGGAGTCGCCAATGATAGGGAACGAAAACTTGTCGAGACTGCTTATTTCCTCGATGTCCTTGATCCAGGTTTGATGCTTGTCCGCCTCTTCGGCCGATAGACCGATAAGTTTGACGTTACGCTTCTCAAACTCGGGTTTCAGCTTGGCAAAGGCCCCCAATTCAGTCGTACACACGGGTGTGAAGTCCGCTGGGTGTGAAAAAAAGACACCCCACGAGTCGCCCAAGTACTCGTGCAGGTTCAACTGACCCTGCGTCGAAGGTGCCGTAAAGTTGGGAGCGGCAGAATTGATTCTAAGTCTTGGTTGCTCTTCTTGTTTGAATGTTCTGATCATTCTCACGGAAGTTCTCAACATGGAACGTTGTTGCTGACCAGATTGTCTGACAGCTAGCAGAGAGCGGAACATGCTTGTGATTTTTGTCGGTGGTCTGATTTGGAAGCTAATTAGTTGTCTCAATTGCTACTTTTCTTGACAACCTTGTAAGAAATACACTATTTAAGAGTAACATCCATATTATAAAGGTGTTGAGCTCTGAACTTGATGATTTTATATACTCGACAGTCCCTTTAGTCATATGAGTGTGGCTACTACTGCTTACAGACTGCTATAGAATATTTCAGACCCAGTGTGTGGCTCTTTCGAAAATGCTGATGTAAGCACGAAAAATTGCGATATCACGTTAATCATGGAAGTCTCGTGATCGAGATTAATAAGGATTATTATTATGAACGGAGTAGTTGAAGACTGGGGTTTGTATGGTCAGGGTGTCCGATGTAGTGCCAGTAGTGATATGCCTTTAGAATGCTCTTTTCTCTTCTGCTATGGGACTGCGTTTTGTTTGTGTCATTTTGTACGACAGTGACACCGAATTGTGTGACACACACACGTCGAACAAACATTCTTATGATCCTGACATACACTTGGTAGCTGCTATAAGATCGTGATAATGAATTTTGAGTTATTCCTACTTGCTTTTTGATACTAGTCCTCCGCTCTTTTTATGTTTTCGTTTCCAGAAGCTACTTTGGTGCGCGGAACCTCCTGCAAAAATTCAAAAAAACTTGTTCTCCTTGCGATACACATATGTATACAAATGGCCAAAGACCCCCTCTCTACATAATGACGCACTTCTTGCCCTTCTTCTTGGATTTTAATTTCTTGTCTTTCCTACCGGAATCAGGCGACTGATCAGTATTCTTAGGTTTCGGTACCACGTCATCGGTCAAGTTGAAAGCGGCCTTACTGTCGGGACCCGAAGTTTCACCACCGGGACCACTCGCATCCAAAGGCGCCAGCACCGAGGGTTGGTTGGAAGTATCAAGGTCCACAGCTTTTGACACAGTTGCTCCATTTGTGTCTAATAAGTTGGTATTGGAAACCGATGAGAACAAATTGAGCGTCGTAGTACTTTTCTGCCTCTTAGGGAAAACTGCATTTTTACCACCCAGTTTGTTGGCAGCTCTTTCGTCACCCCCCTTGGCAGCTAGCTCGTACCAATGCTGTGCTTTGGCAGGATCGGCCTCGCATCCTTTACCCTTCTCGTAAAAATAACCCACCGTGAACCGAGCCTTGGGCAACCCCAGATTGGCGGCTTTCAAAGCCCATTGGAAGGCTTCCCGCTCGTCTTTTTCGAGAACTGGTTCGGCACCCATTAAGTACCAGGCACAAAGCCCCAACATTGCGTGTGGTTCGCCAAGAAGTGCGGCCTGTGTATAGTAGTGGACACTCAGACTGGTGTCAGGAGGAACCACTTCGTTGCCCGATTCGTAGATTTTCCCTAATGCAGTAGAAGACTGGGCATGCTTGAGAGAAGCGGCCTGAATGTACAACTCCATTGCATACTTCACATCCGGTATGATAATATCCAAAAACCCATCTTTATAAATCTTGGCCAATTCGTAAGGAGCAGCATTGGTTAGCTCATTGGCACGCGCTGCAGCCCTAGATAGCCATTTGATACCGTTTTGTTTTGTGCTGATGTCATTAGACAGACCCATGCGTCCGTGGAAGGAAAACAGGCCTAGTTTAAACATTGCAGACGGATGATTTCTGCTGGCAGCGAACTTGAGAAATTCGACGGCTTTGCGTGAATCACGGGTGGTTCCTAACCCTTCTTCAAAACAATACGCTGTTCTGAAGGCACTTTCCACATGGCCATGTTTAGCGGCCGACTGGAACAACACAAAAGCGTCCTTGTTGTTGATTTTACCAAACGCACCGGACGAATATGCGTCTCCCAAGAGATATTGCGCATCTGCGTAGCCCTTGACACTGAGTTTTTTCAGATAAGTTTCGGCTTCTTTTAGAAATTGTCTTCGCATATCTCCGTGTGCATCAGGTTTACCAACGTGTCCAGCGGCTTGTCCAGCGGGTCCACCATCTTTGCTCAAAGAAATTGAGGAGCCGCTCATGCCAGATGTGTCGATGGTGAGCGCGGTTTGTAACATGTACTGGGCATATTGAAACAAAACATTTGGGTCTTTCGATTTTTTAACATTCTGCTTGTACATCTCAATGGTCTTCAAACGGGGCACAAGCGACGAATTGTTGGCTTCACCCAGATATTCCGAGATCATCTGGTGCGAAAGGTCTGCCACGCTCTCATTGGTAGCCGTGAATTGGGTATCTTTGTCGCTCAGCAGAAACAAATGCGAAAGGTCGAGCGACTTTCTATTTTTGCGGGATTGTCTCGACGGACCCCCATCAGAAGCAACACGAAGTTCTGAAAGACTGGTATGTGAGTCTTGAAGGTTGGACCTCGAGGAAACGGGAGTTCCAATAGTGGATGTCACCGGCGACGAAACGGCTTTCCGATGCTGCTGAACGGATTGAGGAGGATCCAGAGCAGCTCCTGGCTCGTATCTCTCGTACTGTTGTGGTGTGCCAACGTCTTCCTGCGCCCCATTGACCATTTTGCTCGAGAAATCCCCCCCATTTCCCGCGTTTTCTACGTCATAGTTCGCATGTGTTGTTGCAGCCAAATTTTGACGGTATGGATGCGCTGTGGTAGCCATCGAAATTTTTTTAGTTACGCTGAAGCTCGTGCTAGACTCCGTCCAACTCGTCCAACAGCTAAAGCTCCAGTCTATTGCTCAAATACTCAATAAAGATCTCTTAACATCCCATCACATCACATCACTTTTAAAGTCTTATTATAGTATAGGAAGCGAAATTTTCACACCGTTAAAAATGAAAATGAAACAATACCGAAGAGAACCGTGCGACTAAAAATACGGGAAACGTCTAGTCAGGAAGCGCGCCGGGTGTCGGATCGACCGGAGAGCCGACTCAAAAAATGGACAAAGGACGTCTGGAAAGAGGACTCTCGCGGGAGTCAAAATACGGTGTTCTTGGGTCTTAACAGGACAGATTGTCTCTATGCCCATTACTGCCATCGTAAATCTTCGTTATCAGCAAATTCTTCTTGATTTGACTCTCTTGAATTGCCCGCAACTGAAGATGATCACTCACTCGTCTTCCTCTCTGGGGTCACCCACACCGTCTTCGTAAATAGCGAAAACACATTCAGCTTCGGGCAAGCATGGAGAGTCTACAACTTTGCAAATTCTTTGACATCCACGACCCTTTTTGAAACCGAGACGGGTGGTAGAAGAATGTGCCATGATGTTTCCTCCTATGGGCTTCTTGGGATCTGGGTTGAATGACATGGCTCCGTCCACTTGGGCGACCACCTGGTTGGTTACCACTACTGCAACGCCAAATTGGTCCGCCAGCCGTTGCAAAGCACGCATGAACTTGGCCAGATGCATCTGACGAGCGCTGAGTTCACCACGACCGGCAAAATCAGTTCTGTAAAGCGCCATAATAGAATCCACAATAATCAGCGAGAATCGCGATTCGCTCATCATCTGAGCGGCAGCGTCCAACAGCCGCAGCTGATGGTCCGCATTGTAAGCCCTGGCGTATGCCACGTTGTTGAGAGCGTCATCGGGGTCTAAACCAAACCGCTGGGCGATCGAAACTAGCCTGATGGGCCTAAACGTTCCCTCGGTATCGATGTATAGACATTTGCCCTCTCCACCGCCCATGTCGAGCGGGATCTGGCATGTGACGGCAAGCGTATGACACAGTTGCGATTTACCGGTCCTAAACTCTCCGAAAAGTTCGGTGATGGATCCGGTTTCTACGCCACCGCCCAAAAGGGTGTCAAAGTTTTTGGAACCCGTGGTGAGACAAATCATTTCAGAACGACGCATATGGAAGTCTGCGGCGGTCACGAACCCCATAGGCACCAAACGGGCTGCTTCATTCAACAACCGTTCCGCTTTGGCCTCGGATATGCCCTTAATCTCCAAAAGTTGTTTCCGGGGCGCATATGCCACGGCTTCTGCTGTGTGTAATCCAAACTCCCGCAGTTTTTTGAGATCCAAAGCTGTGATGCCGTTTACCTGGAGTCGGTCCAGCGGCACAAACGATACCAAAGCGACTTCTTCTTCTTCTTCGCCCTCCATTCCGTGCTCATTTCCGTTCTCGTTTTCATTGCCGCTTGCAAGCGAATCGGACACGAACATTCGGTTTTCAGCTGGTGCTTCAGAGCCCTGAAACTGACCACTATTTCTTTGGCTGGAAGCCGGCTCTCCTGCCTGCGAATTTTGGTACATGGTTCCTACCTCCATAGACATCACTCGCTAGCCGCTTGGTGTGTCAAGTAGTCTGATCTGATCTCTGGATGGTGATGATGACGATGAGTTGCAAGGGCCAGAGCGATACACGTAAAGAGATGGCTTGTTTTTTCTTACGGTGGATATAATTAATTAAAATGGAGTTTTTTCGCGTCGGTTTCTCGTACAAAGGGACACCTCAACAGATCACATGCTTTCAATAAACACGTTAAAAATGATCACAAAAATTCGTATAAAAGTATACTTTAAAATGATGGCACGTGATCTTAAAAAATTCAAGGGTTCTTGACGTATTCAATGACATATGTGTTTTCGAGACCTTTCTTAAATACAGTTCTATACATACTAATTAGCTGTTTTAACACATACTGATGTGAAGAGCTATGAATCAACCAAAAACGGAGCCAAGCAATTGAAGAGTTCAATGAGAGGATACATTTGAAGTGGAAGACAGGAAGACAACCGTCAACTTTTCGCGGCGCATTTTCCCATGACAGGGGCCCTCTCACAACGAAAACATGCACGTCTTGCCAAGAAACTGCAGGATAAATCCCCCGCCGGAACTGAGAAACCAGACTCAGATATAAAGGGCACATCAACAACGAGCAAGACACGTTAAGAAGATTAGTGCACAGTATAGAGTGTACAGTAGAAAAACATTCAATCAATGGAAAATACACGTGACCCAGTAAGCGTATGTCTGGGTTTCCATGTCCATCTATGCTTAACGGTTCGAAAACAAACACATCTAATCCAGTTGTGAAGCAGGACGACAGTAAACATGGGGAAGAGATCTACCAATTTGTAGTGTACTATGACGGCGGAGGAGAACACTCTACATAGCGTTGCTGATAAACAGCTGTCGACGAACCTTGCAACGTTGATTGAGTCACCAAGAATCGCTAATATCCATGAAATTGTAAGTGAGTGCACCACGACATCCACAACTGCGGAATCGTCAAATGCGAAGGAAATAGCTCGCAAGATCCTCGAAGGACGTTGGGAGAAAATAGAGTTTGTCGATTATGCGAATTTTTTGGGCTCAGCAGAAAATAGTGCGGTTCTGCGAGAATTTGTGCTGCTGTTGGATCCATTACCGTCTTCGCTCACAGCCACGCTGAGGAAACTCTCAGGGAGCATATATTTCATTGCAGAGGCTGCAAGTATCGACACAATTCTCGAAGCTCTTGCTAAGCAATGGCTGGAAGAGCACAAGAAACGGCACTACCAAAACGATTATCGTCTGTGCCACATCGTGTTGTTCGCGCTGCTGATGCTCAACTCTGCTCTGCATAATTCCGCCACCGATTGCAGGTTCACGCTTCAGGATTTCAAAGCTAACACCCTTTATGCCCTGAAAAAGGAATGCAGCGATATCGATGTGGCCAAATTTGAAAAAGAGCTCACACATTGCTATCTATCGCTTGAAAGTCGCGAACTGCCGCTGTTGAAGCACACACACCCATCGGGACGACCCATGTCCATCAGACGAAGCGGAGACCGTCAAGCTAATGGTCTAAACAGCAGCACCAATATGAAGAAACGGTCTATCCTGTCCATACGCGTTAATTCCTTGGAACGTATGCACTCTAATAGGTCTTCTACTTCTACTTTAAACAGCTCCTCCACGTTCATGTCTCGCGAAACCACGGCCACCAGTAACTATCGAATGCGTAACAAGAAGCCTCTGCAAAAACTGTACGCCGAAGAATCATTTGACGAAGAAATGCAACAATTACCAAATACTCCTTGGTTCATCGATACTGTGGTAGAAAGCCAAGAAGCAACCAATTCAAATAGTGCCACGCCACAACTGCTGGCACCATCGAATGCCCCAAAACGCAAACTCTTCTCGTGGCTCAGGAAGGGCTCAAAGGACACACTTTTCCGGGAAAATGCTCACGCCGCTATGTCGCATACTGGTTATCGCGCACGCATAAGGGTTTATCAGGGACGTTTGTTCATTTACAAATTTAAGCTTTCAGGTCTTGATCGCATAACGCCCGGCCAGATACAGAGCTGGGATTTAGAAGTTTGCCAAAAAAACTGCTCCCACTTCTATGTTTACAACCTGTTTGGCACACTGGCTTCGGTGGTGCAGGAAAATATTGTAGCGAGCCAGAAATCCAATTCCAGCACCACGAGCCTCACTCTTGAGTTCCCACACGGGATAGACTCGACGAGTGGGCTGGCATTTCGGTTTCAAACCTGCAATTTGCAAGAAGCTCAGCATCTCTCTTCCTGTCTTAATTTTTGGGCAGCGCGCATCACACCGATCCCGTCAGCACAGGCGGAAATGATATCGAACGAAGAGTATGGATGGAGCGCAAATCTGTTGAACGGTGAAAACGCTACAACACAGGTGGATCTGCGGAAATGGGCGCCGCTGGTAAGCTTGGACGCCTTGTTCGCAGACCTAGAAGAGAGTATTGCGATGTGGGACTTCGGTTCTCAATTGCGAGACCTTGAAGCATTCACCGATACCTTGGGTTCGCAACTCGATGCCCACAACGCTCTGAAATCTCGCATGGTCCAGGTGTGGTCTTCGATGGCAACAGCATCGAATCACCATCTATTCGAATCTGCTATGGATAACTGGAACAACAAATACCTCTATCTCAATCAGCAGTACAGCAAGCATCTTGTGTATCTCAAAGCACTCCAAAATGCTCTGCAGTCTCTCCACGAGCATGGGAAATCATTGGACCTCCACCGTTGAACATCGACCTCACGTTACGGAATCAGTGACAGATGTTCGGTGGTCTATGATAGCATCTCTACCATTCATACCCACAAGGGACTTCACAAAGAAGGTTCAAGCCGTGTAACCTCACCGAAACTCATCGATTCAGTATACTCACTGTCCTCTAATTCAATTGCTGCTCTCAGTAGTTTGGTGTCTTCGGGCTAGCTGGGTTTGACACCATCGTACATGACGATCCAGACTCTTATAATATTATACTAATATAGCATCACTTGTAGTAGAACCTTCAAGTATCCAAAGTAAGTGGCAAATCAACGTCAACGCTCAACAAGTTCGATTACTACCGCCTAACAATTTATGTCTGATCCAAGCTCCATCAATGGTATGTTTAAGCGAGAATTCGCGCAACTTCACTCGAAAATTGGACCATTATTCCTTCAGATGGCCCTTCCGGGTCCATTTTGAAGTTCCGATTCCAAATGTAAAGGGTTGATCCAAGATGTCGTAATCCTGGTAATAGTTTCACTTGCTAACTCTTTTTTGTCCGACAGGTGGTATTGTCGTGGCCATGACAGGCAAAGACTGTGTTGCTATCGCATGCGACCTTCGACTGGGAAGCCAGTCGCTAGGTGTGGCCAACAATTTCGAGAAGATATTTCACTATGGTCATGTTTTTCTAGGACTTACAGGGCTTGCAACGGACGTAACTACACTCTCAGAGTCCTTCCGCTACAAGACAAATCTTTACAAGCTCAAGGAAGACCGTCTCATAGAACCTGACACTTTCACACAGCTGGTATCGAGCTCTTTATATGAGAAACGATTTGGACCATATTTCACAGGCCCTGTGGTTGCTGGTATTCATTCGAAAACGGGCAAGCCATACATAGCAGGTTTTGACCTCATCGGCTGCATTGACGAGGCAAAGGACTTCGTGGTAAGCGGAACAGCTTCAGACCAGCTGTTTGGCATGTGTGAGTCGCTGTACGAACCAAATTTGGAGTCTGAAGATCTGTTTGAGACCATAAGTCAGGCGCTACTGAATGCTGCCGACCGTGACGCCCTATCGGGCTGGGGTGCGGCGGTCTACATAATAAAGAAGGACAAGGTCATCAAGCGGTACCTCAAAACCAGACAGGACTGATTGTGTGTGTTTGTGTGTGTGTGTGCGGTGCTCTGATAAATGCATACCGACTTGTTGCCTTGCGTGGGAACCACTGCCTGGCAATGGAAGAACAAAAAGCTACTTTAGCATGACTCGGTTTTAGTGTGTAGTTCTTAAATATTTACATGACAGTCGGCAAATTCCCAAAATTTAGTTGGACTTATCAGCAGCCTCCTTCTGCCTTTTAGCGACCTGTTCTTGGATGATACGTTGAAGTATGGCATCTTCGCCGTATTCTTCCTCTTTTATCTGTTTCCATCTGGCATCCATTTTTTTCTGTTTCTCACGGTTTTGCAAGATAGCTGCTTTCCCAACTTCGTATCTGGCCTGATGCAAGCATTTGGAAAGTGCTTCTTTTTCGTTGTTGCAAAGTCCCAGCGCTCTTTTGTAGTATTCGGCCTGATGGCATTGATCAAGGGCCTCTATAAGATCGAGACAAGCTGGAAGTTTTGTTGTTAGAATTCAATGCGCAGCGGAGGATTAGGAAACAAATTTTTTACGACATACAATGAAATCTCTGGGCCTCAAGTTGTGGATGCATCTTTAAAAGCTATGGGAATGGATAGATGCGATATTTATCGGTCAAAACGTGTCGATTAAGAGAGTAAGAGTCGAGCAAGAGCTTATAATAGACGTATCTAATACTTTTCGATGAGATGTTGTAGCTACTCGTCACGTGCAAAGTACAGCAGATACTCATCGGAGAAGATCAGCTCTGAAATGGATGGCGAATGGTGGAACGGTTAGTTGAGTAACGTGGAGTTTACATTCAGTGATTTTTTAGATGCTTAGATTCATATGATATCCACTGTACCAGACATTGTGCACAGTACGCCTAATTCTTGCAAGAAAATGTGAATTTCAAGATTTCGACGGCTTTACCCATTCCCCAAGATTGGAGCTCCACTCAATTCCGCAAGCTGTCTCGCTCGCGATTTCAGATAGTACTTTTCATAAGCACTCGCGTCCTTTCACCTGTGGAACATATATTTGTGCTTCCAAAGCCTCTATTTTTGCCAGACTGGACTATCCATCATGCTTATGATTCACCGCATGTCTGCCGTAGAATAGCCAAGGTGAGAGCATGGTTTCAATGAATCTTATGTTGGTTGTTAGTTTCTCATCTTGGCATGCTATTCATTATTATATAGTTGTGAAATCTCATATTGAAAAATCAATATCGATCTTCATCATCGATAATACGCTTCAAAAAGAGAAAGCCTCAAGATTCACGACCACCTTTCATCCATCAACCATGACTACAGAGCTGCAGCTCACCACCAAACAGATATCTGTGTTCTCTGAGGAGTACAAACAGCGCCGGAAACAACAAATGATGCGGTTTTTCGGCGCTACCGTATTCACGCTAATTTCTGCTCGTCTTGCGTTCAGAGGAGTTCAATCTCGCAAATGTAAGTACTCAATGAGTTTACATCTGTAATGAAAACAAATACTAACGTAACCTATCCAGATGTACCCCACATGTTCCAGCTCAATAATAAACCACCGCTGTACTCATTCCAAGGCGAAGCCGTTAGTGCTCTTGCTTTTGGAACTGGGCTTTCTACGGGCTCGTTTGGAATGCTGGTGTTTGGATCGTGTTGGTTGGCTGATATTTCATCGCTAGCCGAATTCACGATCAAAGTGAGAAAACTGATGGGTGATCCTTCTTCTGCCTATGACATGGCAGACCAGCCGATCGATCCAGAAACTCAAAAAGTTGCAAAGGCTCTTGAGGATCTGCTCGAAAGCGCAAAACGCTAGATAAAGCTATGTTCCCAATTGACGAAGATATGTTAAAGTTCAGATTCCCTACATGGGCACGTGACCCCGATATTTCATAGTTAAAGATGGACCTAACTAGTTCATCATTATTATTCTCTACTGAGAGACAAACATCAAAAACGTCAAGATCCAACCCGCTTTTGACGTATACGGTTGGCAATTGGCGGGTCAGATAGATCCAAATGGCCAGTCAGCGGTCTAGCCCACAGCTACTACGATCTCATTCCAGCAACGATGAGCTTCTGACTCGAAGTAGACGCAATACGGTCCTTTCCACCTCTTTCATCCCGACTCGCAAGCTTGAAGAGCAACCATCGTCCCCAATGAGTCCGCTGGAAACCCGAAGGACCAGAAGCGGCACAGTTAAGAGTATAAGCACCCTCAAGCACGATATCCACCATGTTCAGCAAGACCTTGTTCGTCTGCGGAAGTCGAAAGAAGATGCTGAAAAACGGCGTGAGTCGGCAACCGTTGACATATACCCAGGGAACTACTCCCAGGAGCATTTGCAGCGGCACTCCACGGTACTTCAGACCAAAGACGAAGTGCGGAAACTTGACCAGCAGATCAAGAAAAACGGTGACTTGCTGAGTACGCTTCGAGGTCGACTAGACAGTACTAGCTCTGCTGTTACTGAAGAAAGTGGCAGATCGGATGTGTTACCACATCATCAATCCCTCAACAACGTTTCTGAAAAGCCCTCTGATGGCGCTTACGTTGACGATAGTGGCACGGACGACGATCCGGATCAAGTAATATCACCGCCGATCTCGGATAGCGAAAGTGTGTCACTTGACGGATTTGGCGACGTGACAAGTACGGAAATGGAAGCGGCCGCGTCACAGCCCTCAAGACACCTCGCGGAAACGAGCAATGAGCACGCTACATGGCTTGTGGGTGATTATCTTCAAAGTCTACAAGATAAAAACTCACCTAAAGATGTGATCGTTTTAAAAGCAAACGATTTGGTTGCTTTGCTGAAACAGAACCCTAGAATCAAGTTCGATCTGGTCTTGCCTGCTTTTTCGCAGTCCATACAAGAGCTTTTGTTAAGTGAGGATGAAGTTTCTGTGGCCGCAGGCTACAGAATATGTAGATTTCTCATCACAGGGCCCGACTTCATAAAAAAATTGCGCAAACTGTATTTGGAATCTTTTCTGATCATATCTTTGGCGAAGAACAGTGCGTCACTTATAGAGAAGATTCAAGCCTTGAAACTCATACGCGCTTTTGCAGAATGCGATGCCAGCATAAGTATTGGCCTTACACAGGCTGTAATCAGCTGCGTCGAGAAAAGTGACGACAAACTGATAGAAATCGCCATTGAAACGCTATTAGAGCTTTGTTATATCAAACCTGCAGTGGTTCAGCGATGTAAAGGGATGCAGGTATTGCAATCTGTCATTGCGGAAAATCCGCTTTCGTCATTCTGTCCCTTTATTTTGGATTCCATCCTTGATTTGATGAGCTTTCGAGACACAAGGCAACATTTTTTTGAGTCTTTTGATCCTTCCGTGACCTTAGCAACTTTAGCAGACAGTCAAGTGAAAGCGAATTCGAGCGTCGAAAAACTTCAAGGAAGCATAGTTCTAATTTGCAAATGTCTGAAAAACTACAATGGATTGATTTTGTTCTCTCAAGATGACTTCAGGCCATTCAGAGAGCTTCTTGCCTTCATTCAATCTCCCTCGCTAACCAAATACTTGGTTGACTTGTTTTTAGATGTTCTGAGAATCAGGCCGTTGTCTTTCCCAGAAAAGAGGAAAGCCTCACAGCTGTTCAAAGTGACCCAATCGCAATTTCAGTCCGAAGTCGCACCCGTCAACCAATACCTGGGTCTACTGAGTAGCATATTGTTTGAATTGAACTTCCTCGATCATTTAGTCCCTATCTTGGTTCGAGAGTCAGGTGCATCGAGCGATTCAAAACTAGCTGCAAAAACAAGATATCTCATAGCAGAGTACTGCAGTATATCAAACAATGTAGCGGATTTGAAACCGCACGCTTCTGTCAATCTGCTGTTTCCGGAGCACTCAACGTTTCATAATGTTTTTACTCAGGTTTTCCAGTATGAGAAGGTCTCAAATAGATTGAACAAGAACAGGAATACTATCGGTATGACAGAGCTAGAATCGATCAATAACATCGTGGATTTCTCCGAACGATCTAAACATAAGGCTTTAGTGACCCAGGTTGATGAGATTAGGTTCAAGAAAATGGTGTTTGATACGAGAGTTTTGCAAACAAAGGATTTCACTTTATGGAACTGGGGCACACTTCTAGATTTGATCGAGGGCCCCCTGCTTAGTCCAAAGAGGCTAGAAGATCTTGCCAAGACTACGAAATTTTTCCGTCGACTATTGGTATTTTATCGGCCGATGAGATACCGCTTTGCGGGAATTCCCCGCAACTCACGTCTAGCGGCTAGGTGTGTTCATGTAGGGCGCGAATTGATGAAAACACTCACGTCAACTGCCGAAGGAATGCGCATTTTAAATGATGACACGAAACTTCTGCCACAAATAGCCTCCTTGCTTTTCAAAGCCATGGAGGGCCAAACGTTGGGGAACGTCTTCTCAGAGAAGCATTTGGCGCAAACGGTGTCTGGCGGTTATTTCAGTATCCTAGGCGCAATGACCCAAACTGCAAGAGGTTGCAAGACGCTCGAAAAATGGAACCTTTTCACAGTGATCTATAAAATGTTTCAAAAAACCTCCGATCTCGCTACCTCTTATCTCATTCAAACATTGCCTGAGCTGGGGGTCATTCATTCATACCACACAAGAACAATTTTGAGAAAAGCATTAGCACACCCATCAGAAGAAATCCGCGTAATATCTACCAATTTACTGGGAACAAAATTGCAAGAATCGGTCTCTCAGGCTAAAAGCGGACAAAAATCGGCCGAGCTTGAAAAACTTCTACTGGAGTTGGTTGTTCGCCAATTATATGATCTTTCTCCAATAGTGGTTGCCGCAGCGGATAAGATTTTATACGGGTACTGCGCGCTTCAAGACTGGCCTCCGAATGTCGACACTCAACGCCATCATTTACTGAACCAACTTGTATTTATACGCTCTCCCATTTTGCTAGAGTTTTTGAAAACACCACCTGGATTCGAACAGTTGAACAGTATTGGATTCGTTGCAGCGGAGCGCGAAAAATGGATCCAGGGGAAAAATAAGGAATACGTTTGGAGGGTAGAGGAGTTCATTCGGAAGGAAATGCAGAATGTATTGAGCTCTGGCTCCGAAACGCCTGCGTCGAAAAGGAGATTACCAATGCATTTTTTCCAGAGTCTGGCTAGCACGGAGGAGGGTGCTGCAATGATCACACAGAAGGGTGATTTTGTAGATGTCGTCAACACTATTAAACAATACAGATACAAGGGTTGTCCTGATTTAACAGTCGAGGAGCATTTGGAATTGAAGGCTGCACTTTGGTGCTGTGGCTACATAAGCTCAACCATGTATGGGGTTGAATTGCTGGACGCAAACTCAGTCACTAGCGATATTGTGAAAATCAGTTTCGCGGCTTCTTCAACATCCACCAAATTTACAGCGTTTTATGTGCTAGGACTAATTGCGAGCACTGATGAGGGGTGCGAAATCCTCGATGAACTGGGTTGGAACTGCAGCCTGGACGTCTTAAAGAATCCTCTAGCGTTGGCGTTTCCAAGAGATATAAAACAATTTCTCAGATTTCCGGAGTTAGCTGAACGAGGAGCAACATTTCAAGAGACTGACGCTCGTGACGTCTCAGATAAGTCATCGACGCCCGAACCTGTATCGATGAATCTGGACGTACTACTTCATAGTAAAGCCGAGTTGGAGAATACAATGGGAGATGAAAAGCAGGAAGTGCAGGCTGAAGTGGAACGCCAGGCTCGCATTTTGGAGACATTCAGATCGCAGGCCGAGGAAATAACGGGTGACGAACTTGGCGATAAAGTTTTAAGGGCTGTTAGCAAGCTGAACAACCATATTCTGTCAAACACAGCTGCCAAGGACATTACTGAACTTTTATCAAAACATGGGCCTGCACGTTTCGAGACTGGCGACATATTTCTTCGGGTAGTAGCACTCATGGAACAGTATCGGTTCAAGCCGCAAGTTCGAAAGTTTCTGTGTGAGACTCTGGTGAGCAAGAAGACGCTCGAAGCCATGATCAAAAAGGAACGAAGGAAGACCAGGAGGAAGGATGTGGGATAGAACTCCTCGATGGTATACATATAACATTATTCGCATTTAAATTACATCACATCACAGCACATCACAGCTGCGTTACATCAGATGTCACATATCTTTATACAGGAGCGGCGCATTTTTGTAGAGGGCGTATGACTCCTGCAGAAATTCTGGTATTTCAATATCCTGTGGGGACTTACTATCGAGTTCTTCGAGCAAAATCGAATATGGTTTGAGATCTGGCACTTTTGAAAGTGCAGTTTCAGAAATTACTCTGTCTGCGGTATCTGGGTCGTCTTCTAGGTTCTGTAGCACTGTTGTGATGCTTGCAAGTTTTCGTAGCAATGTCGTATATTCACGTTTTAGCGATACTTCTTGTTTAGTGAGCTCTTCGCTCCGGGATAAAAGCTTAGCATGCTCTTTCGACGGCACTGTCTTGGAAGTCGTCATGAAGAGCTCGTATAGCGTTAAATGCTGCAATGGGGCGGTTCAGCCGGTGGTTACTTATCAGGTTGTAGGCTTACAACTTTATCAGTGAACAGTAGTTCAGCTCTTCCTACAGAGGCAGGAGAGGACATAGTAGAGATATTGAAAAAAGTTCGTACATAGCGACATATATTGATGTTCTTTCAAATGGTGAACAAGAGACGAGCAATACCGGTGCGAGATATGTTGAAAGCATTTAACAATCTGTAAATACAGCTCGGCTACCTTGTGTGAGGTTCTGTTTCTCCTGTGTTTTTTACGCCTCGTTAGGCGAGATTAGGGGAAGATTGGATAAAAATGGTATCAGAAAGATGATAGCAGTAATTGTGAAAGGCACGCACGAGAAAGGTTTAAGAAGTTGAGCTCCCATTCAAATCATCGCTTGGATTGAACTTCAAGCTCCGATGACAAGAAATTTCCGGAGTTCGTGATCACTGGAAACGAATCCAAGATAAACTATATATATAATAAGATCTGAAAAATCAATGCCAGGTTTTTAACCGCCCAGCACAACTTTAACGTCGTCCAAGTGAAGCAAACAACGCTCATTTCGAGTCGAAGTTGTGGTCAAAAGCCACGTAACCGCTGAACAAAATGAAGTACGTGCAGTCAGCGAGTTGACGAAGACTGATCATTGAGTGGGAAACAGAGTTCTTTTGTCAGTGAAAAATGATGGTATCCAAAAGTTCAGAAAAACAAAGATTGAATTGTGCAAGATCACTAATTGCAAGATCACAAGTTCAGAAGGGGCCCTGACTGAGCAGGACAGCTCGCTTGCCACTGTGTGCGGTAAAAGATCGGCGCCTCACGAATTTGAACGTAACCACTAAGTGTAAACTTGTTTCAAATTTGAAAACAAACGACTCATCGGAAGAAATTACAAAGTTAAAACCAACGGTGAATTGCTCTAAGTAAACAACTTTGATCCAGATGGGTCTTTCGTCACAAGGCCATTCATTGTCAATCTTAGCCGTTTGCCACCCCATTCCAGTCACCAAATAACAAAACACAGTAACGTGCCAGATAACCGTTTCCACACGTGCACGTGATCTTCTTTTCCCATGCTTTCTTCCAGTTTGTTCAGTGGCTTCTTTCTGATTCACGTTTCGTCGGGCATTTCTTTCGATGCAAAAAAAGCCACAGAGTTGGGTTTGGTAACTGCCATGTGAATTGAGTTTGGTCCTAAAACGCGAGAGCCGGCCAGGTGCACACAACTTGGCGTACAACTTGGCGTAGAACTCACGAGTTGAAGTGGCCCTTCGTCCCTGAAAGTGTGATCTTGATTTGAATGGCAACTACAACCACACCTGATGGGCGGACTCTTACAGATTAGGGAAGGCTGAGAGACCGGTGGCCGTGCCATAGTGGTGAAAATAGCGAAGGAAAGGTGGTTACGGTCATAGGTTCTGGAGCGTAGAGCTACCAAAACAGACGTCGCTCATCTAAAATTGATACGTACACTACAAAAATTTTTCCATCGCGAGCGTGGTGAGCGAGGGGAGAGTCAAAATGCAGTGAACGAAGGATATGTATATAAAGAGTGGGAATTGACCACATTGCAAAACATCTGGTGGTTGGGAATACTTTTGTTAACCTTTTTCTCCATCTAGTACAGACCAAGTATTCCACACACAATACACAATGGTTCAATCGTCCGTCCTAGGTTTCCCAAGAATTGGTGCCAACAGAGAGCTAAAGAAGACCACCGAAGCCTACTGGCAAGGTAAGGTCAGCTCCGAAGAGCTTTTCAAGGTTGGAAAGGAGATCAGAGCCCACAACTGGAAGCTGCAGAAGGATGCCGGTGTTGACGTGATTGCCTCCAATGACTTTTCGTTCTACGACCAAGTCTTGGACTTGTCCTTGTTGTTCAACGCCATCCCAGAGCGTTACTCCAAGTACAACTTGGCTCCTATCGACACTTTCTTCGCCATGGGTAGAGGTTTGCAGAAGAAGGCCACCGAAACCGAGGCTGCCGTCGATGTGACTGCTTTGGAAATGGTGAAGTGGTTTGACTCTAACTACCACTACGTCAGACCAACCTTTTCTCACTCCACTCAATTCAAGTTGAACGGCCAGAAGCCAGTTGACGAATACTTGGAAGCCAAGGCCTTGGGTGTCGAAACCAGACCTGTCCTTTTGGGTCCTGTCTCTTACTTGACCCTAGGTAAGGCCGACAAGGACTCTTTGGACCTAGAGCCATTGAGCTTGTTGGAGAAGTTGCTACCTGTCTATGCCGAGATCTTGAAGAAGCTTGGTGAGGCCGGTGCCACCTCCGTCCAATTGGACGAACCAGTCTTGGTTTTGGACTTGGACGAGAAGACGCAGGGCGCCTTCAAGACTGCCTACGACTTCCTAGGTACTCAATCTGGCTCTCCAGCTATCACTTTGGCCACTTACTTCGGTACCGTTGTTCCAAACTTGGCCGCCATCAAGAACTTGCCAGTCTCAAGCTTCCACTTCGACTTTGTCAGAAACCCAGAACAATTGGACGACGTTATCTCCATTCTAAGCGACAAGCAAACTTTGTCGGCCGGTGTTGTTGATGGTAGAAACATCTGGAAGAACGACTTCGCCAAGTCTTCCGCCCTTGTCAAGAAGGCCATCGAGAAGCTTGGTGCCGACAGAGTTACTGTTGCCACTTCTTCCTCTCTACTCCACACCCCAGTCGACCTAGAAAGTGAAAAGAAGCTTGACCCAGTGATCAAGGACTGGTTCGCTTTCGCCACTCAAAAGGTCAAGGAAATCGTTGTCATTGCCAAGAACATTTCTGGTGAAGACGTGTCTGCCGAACTAGAGGCCAACGCCAAGTCCATCTCCGAAAGAGCTTCTTCCAGTCTAACCAACAACAAGACTGTTCAAGAAAGAGTTGGCGCCATCAACGACAAATTGTCCCAGCGTGCTGCTCCTTTCCCAGAAAGATTGGAGGCTCAAAAAGTCTTCAACTTGCCATTGTTCCCAACTACCACTATTGGTTCTTTCCCTCAAACTAAAGACATCAGAGTCAACAGAAATAAGTTTGTCAAGGGTACCATCACCCCTGAAGAATACGAACAGTTCATCAACAAGGAAATTGAAACTGTTATCAGATTCCAAGAAGAAATCGGTCTCGATGTCTTGGTCCACGGTGAACCTGAAAGAAACGATATGGTTCAGTACTTCGGTGAACAGATTGATGGTTACACCTTCACTGTCTACGGTTGGGTGCAATCTTACGGTTCCAGATATGTCAGACCACCTATCATTGTTGGTGACTTGTCCAGACCTAAGCCAATGTCCGTCAAGGAATCTGTCTACGCTCAGTCGATCACCACCAAGCATGTCAAGGGTATGTTGACTGGTCCAGTGACCTGTTTGAGATGGTCTTTCCCAAGAGACGACGTTGATCAAAGAACCCAGGCCATGCAATTGGCCTTGGCCCTAAGAGACGAAGTCAACGACCTTGAAGCCGCTGGTGTCAAGATCATCCAAGTCGACGAGCCTGCCTTGAGAGAAGGTTTGCCTTTGAGAGCCGGTGACGAGCGTACCGCTTACTTGCAATGGGCTGCCGAGTCTTTCAGAATTTCTACTTGCGGTGTTCAGAACAGCACCCAGATTCACTCGCACTTTTGCTACTCCGACTTGGACCCTAACCACATCAAGGCTCTAGACGCTGACGTTGTTTCTATCGAGTACTCCAAGAAGGACGATCCTAAGTACATCTCCGAGTTTTTGAACTACCCTAACCACATTGGTCTGGGTTTGTTCGACATTCACTCCCCAAGAGTTCCATCTTACGAGGAGTTCAACGCCAAGATCGCTAAGATTTTGGAGTCATACCCAGCTGAAAAGTTCTGGGTTAACCCAGACTGTGGTCTAAAGACTAGAGGATGGGAGGAAACCAAGTTGTCTTTGACCAACATGGTGGAATCTGCCAAGCACTTCCGTGAGCTATACGCCCAGAAATAAGCTAGGCGACTTTTCCTCCATCCGTCGTGACAAAATTTATATTGGGCTTTTACCGAATATCAACGCCATACTCATTGATTGAGAAACAGCCGGTGAACCATAGAGATTTCACCATGCTGTGTTGATAAATCGGGATTCAACATCGGTGCTTTAATGTTAATAGCTGTTCATTTCTCTTGTATAATAACGTGTTCAACATCCGTTTTACTTAAAGTTGTCGCTATTGCTCTTGTGAACTAGAACAACGACAAACATAGAAAAGAACAACGACAAGAACGAGAAAGGAAGTAGTTTCAACAGACCGATTCAATCATCGATAATGATGCCTTTGAGCTCGGTCCAGTAGTTATCTTGAGCTTGAATTGGTATCGAAACACTTAGAATCGTAGACCTCTCGTGAATAATGATCATATATAATTCCGTCAAGTTTATGCCAGAATTAAAGGAACTTGACTAAAACCAGACCAGATCGTGAACAACAACGATCAAGTAGATTCCAACGAGAGCTTTTTTTGATTTCGCAGCGTTTGAAGTTTATATCAAGATGTCTGACGCTAATATTCAGCAATTTATGGCGTTGTCCAATGCCTCTTTGGAAGTTGCCCAGGCTTATTTGGCACAAAATCCTGATTTGGGAGTATGTTATGAATCTTTCAACCAGTATAGGGAGTGCTAATCGTTGTACTAACAATTATAACGGAAACAGGACGCTTTAGACGCTTTTTATGCCGCTCAAAATGATCATTCAGAGCATCCGAGCGATTCTCAAGAGCAAGGGTTTTCGGGGTCTTCTAGGGATGCAGAACCACCAAGATACTCATCTCCAGCTCCAAAGAGAAGCGAAGGCTCCACTTCTAGATTTAAAAGTTTCTCAGACCTTGTGAGAGGAAACGCTCAAGATGAAGAAGACGAACCAAGAAACACGTTCGCGGGCGGTGAAACATCTGGTTTGGAAGTGGCTGATCCAAACGACTCAGATTCGTTAATCAGAGACCTGTTGGAAAAGGCCAGAAGAGGAGGTGAAAGAGCAGCTAGCCCGAGCGAGGAGGAAAACCCTTCAGCAGCACGTCGTAAATTGCCTAATTTCACAGGAAAAGGATTCAGACTGGGCTCATCTCTTGAGGTACCAACTGAGGTTGCAAGCGATATTCCTGAGGAATCATTGCCGGCAAGACCATCGAAAGTGACGCGCGAAATTACGTTTTGGAAAGAAGGGTTTCAGGTCAACGAAGGAGAGCTGTATCGATACGACGACCCTGCCAACAGTTACTTTTTGAACGAATTGAACCAAGGTCGTGCGCCTTTAAAACTGCTGAACGTGGAGTTTGGCCAAGAAGTTGAGGTGAACGTCAGAAAGAGATTGGATGAGAGTTTCAAGCCTCCAAAGCGCAAGATCGGTGGTTTCCATGGAAAAGGTCATAGGCTAGGATCACCGGTACTGGGAGAATCTTTGTCGCCAGAGCCATTCACTGCTCAATCGCCAGTGGAAGAAAATGTTGAGGAGAAGGAAAAAGCAGAACCTAAAGGTGATACCAGTGTGCAAATCAGATACGCCACTGGCAAAAGAGAAGTTCTAAGATGCGACTCGAATAATACCGTCAGATCTTTATATGACCATGTTAAAAAGGAATCAGGTGCTAATAAGACATTCACGCTAAACCATGCTTTCCCAGTCAAAGCCATTGACAACTTCGACGGTAGCCTGAAAGACGAAGGTCTTTGTAATGCTGTTGTGGTACAAAGGTGGGTCTAACGAGCTTATATGCTGACCCCACTGCAACTTTGCCGGTGCGTCAACCGTCCTGGAAGCAAGTACATTTTCGATCTGCAAAAGTTGTGATGACAACAAGCTTTATGGGAAGCGAGAATGCCGTTCAAAAGCGACATCATGATCTTATATAATTACACGAAATATCCAAAGCATACTAGAGACCTGTGTTCAACTCAATACAGTTTCAAGTCGCCTGTAATCTGGTCCAGCACAGCTTTTGGTGCTGGTCCCAATCCCAAAACAGTTGCGCTGCCAGCTGCAATCTGAGTCCGGCCAGCATCGTGTACTACATGAGAGTTCACGCCTAATGACAGGGCCATGGCAAATAGCTCGTCCAAACTTTCTTTATTAGGGCACTTGAGCGTAATTTTAGCCTGTCCACCGTACAGCCATCTTTTGGTGATTTCCATGTTGTAGGATTCACGACTTGGGTCTGTAGCGATAAGTCTGTAACAAGCAAGAGCAGCATGACAACATTGAGCTGCTATTTTGCCCTTTTTCATGTCTAGATCCTGACGAATCACCAAAGCCATTCTTACTTCACCTGGGATGTCATTCAGTGAAAGCGAATTGATCTCAATTTCATCTTCATCATCATCTTCGTCCTCATCGTCCCCGAAACTTTCTGAAGCACTGCTGGGACCCTCGTCGTAGGCTTCACACTCTTTTTCGGCCTGAATCTTGCACTTACGCAATGTTTCTCTTGCCAGTTCTTTCTTGTTCGCAGCCTTGACTGTTGCATTGTTAAAATGGCCCAAATAGTAACCAGTGGCCAACGAAATACCGGCGACACTGAACAATGCGGCCCAGCTTGTAATTGAAGGTGCCATTGGGATTTAATTCGGTTGATTTTCGACGTTTCGAAGTAGATATCTGTAGTCTTTATTTCGTTAAGATTATATCTGTAATGAGCTTCATAAGATAACTGAGATCGCTGACAACTCAGAAGTACTGTTTTGGTGGCATTTTAAATCTATAAACTTTCTTAAATGCATTTTATTCCTCGGTACCTACTTTTGTAGCCCAGAATTCTTCTGCTTGCACAATGGTTCTGTTGTTAGCCATCATTTTGTTCAGAGTCTCTTCGTATTCGTCCTGCTCATCAGAATCGAAAACGATGCCTCCACCTGCTTGCAAGTAGGCCACGCCATCTTTGTACACCATGGTTCTCAGAGCTATGCACGTATCCATGGATTTCCCGTCGTAAGACCAGTGACCGACAGCACCAGCGTAGACACCTCTTTTTTCGCCCTCTAATTCGCTAATCAGCTCCATCGCTTTTACCTTAGGAGCTCCACTCACCGTACCAGCTGGGAAAATTGATCTCAAGGCATCAAATCGGGTCTTGTCTTTACGTAAAGTACCAGAAACCTGGGACACAAGATGCTGAACGTGAGAAAATCTTTGTACTGTTAGCAATTTGTCGACGTTGGTGGTGAGCGGATCACACACACGATTGGCGTCATTTCTAGCGAGATCAACCAACATAACGTGCTCAGCCCGGTCTTTCATAGAATTTCTGAGCATGTCAGCGAGTTCATCGTCCTCAGCTGGCGTGGATCCACGCTTTACGGTACCAGCAATTGGATGCGTGATAACCTTATTTTGAGCATCGGTTTGGCACAATAGTTCTGGTGAGGCCCCAATCACTTGAAAGTCCAACAGGTCGATGTAGAAAAGATACGGCGATGGATTTACCATTCTGAGCTGCTTGTAGATATTGAATGGATGCAAGGAAGTGGGTCTAGCAACGCGTTGGGATGGAACAGCTTGGATGACGTTACCAAGCTTGATGTTGCGCTTCAGCTCGGCTACATGCTTTTTGTATCCATCTTCGCCGATATTGGAAGTGAACGCTTGGTTCAGCTTGATTTTGCTTTGAACAACATTATCAGAAACGTTTGGATCTTCCAAAACAGTCACGACATCTTTAATGATTTTCTCGGCTTCTTGGTAGCCTTTCTCCAATGAGTCGACTGATTGCAGATTGATGTTATGAATGATCTGAAACCTCTGGTAAACATGGTCAAACGCAATAATAGTGTCGAAGAACATCAGACAGGATTCAGGTAGACCCAGAACGTCTTTGAGAGGACGTTTGGTCTTGGGTTCAAAATATTTGACACAGTCGTATGACACGTACCCAATAGCTCCACCACTTAGTTTTGGCAAACCTGGGACATTTTCCGCCAATTTGTAACTGCTGAGTTCCTTTTCAAGTTCAAGAAGTGGATCGACCTCTGAATTTTCAGTTGGTCCAGTCTTTACAGTCTTGCGAGGACCTGTTCCCAAAAATGAGTACCTTCCTAAAGTGTTATCAGAAGTGGCACTCTCCAAAAGAAAAGACTTTTTCCTGTTGGGCTCACTGATCTGGGCAAGCTTCAAATATGCCATGTGGGGTGTTAGATCCATTGCTGGAAGATAGCAGAAAACCGGATACATGTTCACGGACTCATCATTTTCTTGAACATAGGACTTCAAGCCTTCTAAGTCAGGCTGGACTTGAACTTGCACCATAGCTGATAGAGAGTCAAGAGAAAGCTAAGTGGTAGCGATACTGAACGGCACCCTTTAGAAGCTCTCTTTCAAGTTAGGAAGAAGAGCGCATCGTTGACATTTTTTTAGACTAATATATATCACAGTGACTCATTATTTGATGTGGGCAACGAATCAAAAGGTAATAGTGGCTCAGAATAGGGTGAAAGTAAGCTAAAAACTTTCGCAAGCTTGTCCAAACGATAGAAAAAATCACGGCGGTTCCAACGAGAGTACTAAGTGGTTGATTGTTCGGCTTGAAAGTATAGATGACAGGATGAGACGTTTTTCAATGAATTAATTATAATCGATCGAATGTTTTGAGATTGAAAAAGACCAGATGGCGGCTTTTATTTTGTAAGCCAGGAACCTTGAAGTCAATGTTATGGGGTTTAAATCTTAAGTGGACGTGCGATTTTGCACGATCTGGAAATTTTGGAAGTTTCTGGACGACTTTTTTTATATTCGAGTCTCTTGCCAGAGCATCTTGACAAATAATTTTAGAGGTACCATTACGCCAAATTATTATTTCCCATTGGAACAAGGTTCAGAAGTAGCACTCTTCTCGCAGGAAGATAATCACACCTTATGACAATTTAATTTTATCGCAACGAAATCTCTTAAAAAGCGACTAAGCCTTAACCTTGGCAAATCGAACGCTGACCCGCCTTCCTAATCCATAATGTGATCTCCCGCTTTTCTGATCTTATCCTGTCGTCGGACCGTAAGCTTTCGATAAAGGCCAATCAAAGCCTGTCCTGGAAATCACGTTTAACGATATTGAAATTTTTCAAAAATGATTAGCTGCACCAACATGTTAAAGGAGCACTGGGTTCAAAGAAAGTTGAACAAAGCTCGTTTACAAGTCCACGACACCAGCCAGACAGCAGATACCATGCTTGCTAAACGCTCCCTTTCTACTTTGATCCCTCCAAAGATTGTTTCTGCGAAAGTATGTTTGATTTCGATGGTTTATTCATGACGAACTTTGAAGAAAACTATGGGGCGCGAGGAAAGTGACGAATTCGAGAGCTTTATTGTGAGGAAAGTACTAAATTTGAAAAGGACGGAATTCGGAGCCGCCTCTTCTTCTCTCGTTCTCGCTGCCCCGAAAAAGGGTCTCTTTTCTCAAATTGATCAATTTTACTAACATTTCTCAGAACTTGGGCTCTGCTCCTAACGCTCAGCGTATTTCGCAGGTTGTGCAATTCTACAAGTCTCTACCACAAGGTGCTGCTCCTGCTTTCAAGCCATCGGGCCCAATCGGCAAATACAAGGCTAAATACTTTGATGGTGACAACGCAAGTGGTAAGCCATTGTTGCATCTCGCGATCGCCATCTTGGGTTTGGGGTACTCCATGGAATACTACTTCCATTTGAGACACCACAAGGGTGGTGCTGAGCACTGAGAATCCGGAATCCGTTCCCACTATTTTTTTCAAAAAACATGCACCTATATACAAACTAGTCCCCATAGTGGGGAACTACATGAATATTCTAAAGTTAAGACACAAAAGATTACCAACGATACTTGTTGAGAGGCGCGTTTTTTGATGTCTCTCGATCTGAAAAGTTCATTATCACATACCGCTATTTTTCTTTTATTATGCTTCACTAATGTACAAGACTTGGGTTCCTCTGACGAAGACGTCACCGTCGTATCTATGTAATAGTCCGTTTTCATCACTTTCGTAGTGTTCTGTGGCCTTGTTCAAAGCAATGTTCATAAACCCATCGATTGACTCCAGAACCCCTTTGTAGAGCATACCGTTGTGTACCTTCACAACGACTGACTGGCCGATGATGTTGGAAAGAAACTGGGCAGACGCAGTAGTTTTGGACTCGTTGGCAGACATTTCGAGGGCAGAAAAAATTAAAAGAGGCGACTCTCAGCTTTGGGGGGTGGTTCTGTAAGTTTTCAAACTTCCTGAGATCTTTTAAACCTACTATTTCTGTGATTTTTGGACGTCTTTCTCTCTCTGCAATGATGGGTTTCTCATCTATTGTAGTTAACTAAGTAGTTAAGAATTATCAACAGTAATTGATGTCGAGTTTTCCACGTGAGAACCGACGGGAAAGAGAGTTACGGCAATACAGATAGCAGATTGACGCTTCTCGGCTGCCAGCAGGGTATTCAAAAATCGCATGTTAGCGCATGTACGTCTCAGATTTGTGAAAAACTGTCCTCTTCGGATATTGCGATACAAACTTGAAGACGGCACAATTGAGTTCAGTCGGTAGAGGTCAAAAAAATATTGTGATGCAAAGCATTTTCAAAGCCATTCATGATAATTCCGTAAACTTTTTTAGTATTTCTGGATTGTATGGATTTTGTTACTTCAGAGGAATAAAGTTTGCCCTTTGAAGTTTTCGGAAACCCACTTTGAGTTAGTCTTCTCAAATAGAGCGACAATTCAGTGAAACCAAGCTAAAAAGCCTTCTAAGAGCTCAAAAGTTTCAGATTAAACACCTCATATCGTGTTGACATAACGGGAAGCTGAAATATCTTGTTTATCGAAAGGAATACCGCTGATCTAATTTTGGCTTATTCTTCGAATTTTTTGCACGCCCATCGGAAACTGAAAAAACTCCAAAAAATAATCATACTGAAAGCACAAATTCATCAACAGTTTTGATATCTCAAGTGTTCAGTTTTGGCTTCCATTCTCTTTTTATGTTCAGTGTCAGTAGTTTGCCTTTTCGAGCTCGTTGATCGAGATTTCGCATATTAAATTGATAATTCTTGTACATAAAACTTGGAATCGCGGATTTCTGATATCGATCGCATTCCTGGTGAGATTCCTGTAGAAAAACCGTTTCAACTTCCCAACACCACGGTTATAAGAGTACTACTTCGTGTGGGCTCAAAGTTTTGCAAATCTCTAACGAACTTCTCGCTCAAATTGTCGCTTCAAGGGTTTTTTGAAAGCACAATAAGCCAATGGTCAATCCCGTTGCAGAGGCCCCCAGCTGCGTGAGATGCAAGGACCCACTGGTTATGGGCCATGCATATGAATTGGGCGGTGATAGATGGCATACCCACTGTTTCTCGTGCTATAAATGTGATAAGCCTTTGAGTTGCGACTCAAACTTTCTCGTTTTGGGCACCGGCGCTTTGATCTGTTATGCATGCTCCGATTCTTGCAGAAGTTGCGGGAAAAAAATTGACGATCTGGCAATCATTTTGGCCTCATCAAATGAAGCGTACTGTTCGGATTGTTTTAAATGCTGCAAATGTGACGCTAAAATAGACGACCTGCGGTACGCCAAGACAAAACGCGGGCTGTTTTGTATAGCCTGTCACGAAAGGCTACTCGAAAAACGAAAAAACTATGAGGAACGCAAACGACGGCATAAGAAACAGCTTCCGCTAATACCACCTGGCGGCAACAACGCCGATTTGAGTTCGAACCCAGAAGAATCAACCCCATCGGAACCTGACTTTGTTATACCAGCGCGTTCCAACCAGAGACCCATGTCACCTATTAAAAGTGCAGCATTACAGAATCCCTCATTTCCCAAAGAGGCCACATCAATCGATTCATCTCCAAAGGACAATCGTCCTCCCATGTCGAGTACTTCGTCTCTGGCCGCACCATTAGATTTCTCTGCTGTTACATCGGCGACCGGAGAAGCTCCTCCAATGGGCGAAAAGCCTAATGCATCAGATTTCACTACCAACAACAGCACCATTCGCAGCAACTCTGAGAGCGTGGTAGCCCAATTTCTCCTGGATGGAGGTTATGGTAGTACTGCGGAGGAAGATTCCATCAAGCAGGAGCATACCAAGACAGAAGATGGCAGCAATAGTATACAAGAGGCAGAACAGGCAGTTGCGGTAAGAACACCTAAAAAAACCCACAGAAGCCAACTTTCAATTGATGACATGTTGCAACATACTTTAGAGAACGATGGGTACACAGAGAATGATAATCAAGGACAAGAGGAACAGAGTTTGCTAGATATACCCAAAGAACAGAAGAAAGTTCTCCTGAATCGGACGCCTTTGCGTAACTCCAAGGAAGAATACAACGGCAGGTCTCCGATCGCTCACCGACAGGGTCTAGTTTTGGATGACGAGGATGTTGTCAATGCATTAAACTCGCCGGCTCGGGTAGATTCCTTAGAAACGTCTCCGAGGTCAGGATTGGGAATCATTAAGGACCCAGATTCGCAATTTAGTTATACCGACGACGAGGTTATCGGTCTTTCGTATGATAAAGTGGCATCTCAAGACAGCAGGCCCGAGACGGCAAGTTCCCAGGAATCTCGATCTCCATCCATTTTGGGCCATCAACGTAAGACTTCAGGAGGAAGTGCCAGAAAGCTTGGCAGGTCACTCTCTTTGAGGTCTAAAAGCATTATGATGAATTTAAGACCCAAGACCAAAGAAACCACTCTAAATGAAGGTGGTGAGCATGACACGCATTCTGGGTGGGGAGTCGCAGCGAAACCTACTACAGATTCCTCTCCCGCCAAAGAGCGGGTGAGAACAAAACATCCAAGCGACAGCACGGTGTACTCTCACGGTATTGAAACGACGCAGCATAAAAGATCGAATAGCAACACAAATGGGGCTGTCTCGGTCTTTCGCACACCACCTTTGGACACGCAAGCCTCTTTTTCTAAAAGTGCTTCATCGCATCATAGAAATCCATCTCTTGGTACTAGGCAGATCGAGGAAGAAGATGAAGAATGCGGAGACACTCCCACCAATGATCAATTTTTGAAAAAAGATGTCTGGCAAATGGAACTCACTCTGCGTCGCCTAAAGCTTGAAATTAATCAACTTGAATCTACAAAAAGTCAACTTGTGAATGATGTTGATTCCTTGAAAACAACCAAGTCGAATTTACAAGAGGAGATTAGTTCTCTCAAGGCAGAAAAGGGCATAAAAAACACTTCTCTCGAGCCTGTTGATTCCTATGAGCGCGAGACTTCAGATGATATACCGGAAAAACACGCTGCAACTGCAACTGTTGCAACTACTGGGAAGCCAAGGTTTTGGAAAATTTTCTCTGGCAACAAACCGAACGGAAATTATGCCAACATGTCAAACAAATTGGATATATCACCACCAGTACTCCAGAATCCCAGCGAATTCAACGACGTCAAGTTCATGCCAGTACAAAACAGACAGAGGAGTTCGATTTCGTCGCCACCGACTAAGGACGGGGATCTCCTGTATGGATCGACATTGATTGCTCGCTGCGCTTATGAAAAACACGACATTCCGATGATAGTTGATACATGTATCAAGCACATCGAATCGAGTGAAGATTACTTGAAAAGCGATGGACTTTACCGAAAATCGGGCAGCCAAGTTCTAATTGAACAGATCGAAGCCGATTTTGCACAGAGCAACCCAAAAGAAGGCCTTTCGAAAACTTTGCAAGCGGACTTACATCAGGATATACACGCTGTTAGTGGTGTTTTGAAAAGATACTTGCGCAAATTGCCAAATCCAGTTTTTTCGTTTCAAGTTTATGAGCCACTAATGGCGCTAGTCCGTGACAACAATCTGGTTGCCAAACTACCGCTCAAGTCGTCTAGTGGTGACAATTATCAGGACTTGCTGAAGGACACAACGACACAGCTCAAAGCAATTCTTGCCCTACTGCCACAGGAGCATTACACGCTTCTGAAATTTTTGACCGAGCATATCGAAAAGGTTTCTCGCTATAGCGACGAGAACCTAATGAATTTACATAACTTGTCCTTGGTGTTTACCCCGGGTCTGATCCGCGACTATAGTGGTGAGAAAGATATCTCCGATATGAGAGAGCGCAACTATCTGGTAGCATTTGTTTTGGCCAACCAACGCTCGCTTTTTTAATGACATTGAGTATAGAGACAGTATGAACAGCTGTGGTTTTTGTTAGTAAAGTATATACAGAATTTGGACATGCATTAGCAAACTATGATTGCCACTTCAATGAATATCTTTGACCTCAGGAGATGCGAACGTTTCGAGCCTGCGATGCCCTACTCTGAGCAGGTGTTCTATCGTGCTAAAGTCTTTCCGTGGAATATCTCGATACTTGACAAACTCTGTTCTGATGTATCTTAAGAAGTTAGGCCTGCTGGCCAACGGTTTTTTGTGTGCCTCTCTCACACAGAGTCTGTACATTTGAAGTACATCTCGCTGCAAACCACTGAGTCTTTTGGCCATTGGATGAAATGGTTGAGATGAGAGCGTTTCTTAGCGTTACGTGATGAACAAAAGACCTCAAAAGTAAAGAATTTGTATTCCAAACTGGTGATGTATAGCTAAATTTTGGACTCTAGGTAAACGAAGCTAATGATGGTCCTAATATTCAACGAACGTAGGACTTGGCAATGAGATGAAAGTAGTTGGGAGATACTTTTATACACCCGTTGATCATGTAACGGCACCCTACATCATCATATGAAATTATATCACGTGACAAGCTCAGGTAACTTCTTTAAGTTCAACTGAAGCTTCAAGAAAGCTCATCGGAAGAGTGATTATATGTGTGATTGATTTCCGCGATCCAATATTTTACTTGAATATCATCCGCTTAGGAATTTTGCATATTAGCAGTCTGCTTTTATTGCGTGCACCTTAGGATGATTCGAAGGTGGCTATGGCCCATTAGAAGTTCCAAGCTTCTGCGTCAACTCCTTCAGGATACATCACCCTCAAATAGCTAGGACTGAGTGGCTGTAGTTGAATCCTTAATAATCTTGTTGCTTATGACTAGATAAACAACCGGTGGGCGCCGTACGACTAGACGAATGACTAGAAGACGCTATTTGTTAAATTGATTTTCTAATTCTAGTTCTCATTCCAAAATGCAGAGAACTTCCAGATGAGATGTCAATCCAAAGTTCGAGTGGCCATTACTAAACCTACCACTACTTGCGGTCATTGATCCTACTTTCTGTTTACTTTGGATAGCCTTCTCTTGCGTCCGTACTCAAAAACGATCCCTTGCCTTCAATTGCACGCGGAAACACGGTTCCGGTTACAATACAAAGAATAGGTGCCTCGAAGCAAAGAGCAGGAAAAAAGACGCAGAGACATTTTTTTACAAGAATTGCTGTCTTTTTGGACTCGACAAGTTAATAGTTCAGTTACAGTTTTTTTGAAAAATCGTAGGAATCAGTCTCAACGATTTTACTTTCAAGCATAAGTAAGCATAAGTGGTGCTGAAAATTTCAGTAGTGTCAAACATCGTCGAGCCAATATCTAGTGTGGCGGCATATGATAGAGCTTCTATAGAAATGGTTATGCTTGACACGACATTGGAAACTAGAGGGTCAATGAGGACATATGACTCCAGCACCGGAGGACAGCTTCAGATCTCGAATGAATCTTCTGTCTTTCGAGCAGTCAGCGCTGTAGTGTGTATAGTGTGGTATCTCACAGTTCTGGCGCTTGGATATTCGGGCTGGATAGAGATTATGCGCAAGTTTCGTGGCAAAAAACAATTGGCGCCCAGTTCTCAAGACACGCAGGAAGCCGTTAGTATCATTCGGCCCTGTAAGGGCGTTGAGACGGAAATGGTAGCATGCCTCGAAAGCTGTATACTGCAGGAATACCCCAGAGACAAATTCGAGGTTCTTTTCTGTGTTGAAAGCAGCACCGATGCATGTTTACCCACCATTCAACAGCTCATCGCGAGGTATCCACTGCACAATTTGAAGCTTTTAGTTGGGAAAAATGGTTATGAGGACTACTACGGACCCAATCCTAAGGTCAATAACCTTTCAAAGGGCTACCGTTATGCGCAAAATGATATCATATGGGTTTTGGATGCAAACGTGTGGTGTCCACCCGGTGCCTTGAGCCGTAGTGTTGCGAGCTTAGTCAATTCTCTCGACAACGGCATCAAAACCACATCCCGACCAGTAGTACTGACACATCATGTGCCGCTGGCGTTGAGTATCAGTCCCAACACTCGATCGGTGCCTCTGAGCGCACGTTTAGACGAGATGTTCATGTTCAGCTCTCACGCAAAATTTTACGTGGGGTTCAATAAAATCAGCATAGCGCCATGCGTGAACGGTAAAAGTAACTTGTATCGCTGCTCTGATTTGGACGCCGCCATAGAATCTATTGGCGAGGCTATCAAATTTTCAGCGCTGTTTAAAGATCCGGAGATTCAACGGGAGGCCCGTACCATTGCTGCAAAATGCAAGGGCAAATCCAGCATCGATACCCGAAAACCTTTCACAGTATATGCCGTCGATCAAGAGTCAAGGGATATAATAGCCAAAGACGTTGCTGCCAATGAACAATTTCACCACCATGGCATTGAGTTCTTTAGCACGTATATCGGCGAGGACAACATGATTGGAACGGCCTTGTGGGATATGCTTGAAGGACGTACAGGTATGACAACCGACGTTGTTGTTCAACCGCTACAATTCGGAATACGAGACCAAGGGCTCCGCAACTATATCGACCGCCGAGTGCGGTGGTTGCGTGTACGCAAATACATGGTTTTGGCTGCCACGTTGCTAGAACCTACTACAGAATGTTTTTTCATTGGAGCTATGGGAGCGTGGGGGTTTGCTTGGCTCCTTGAACTACCTTTTGGCCTTATCTTCGCTGTCCATAGCTTCTTATGGTGCGTTACAGATAGACTCCAGTACTTGGTACTACTACGAACAATTTATGCTGATGACAATATAAGACCGGAACATACACCAGCATTTCTTGAACATGCTAAAGCTCCCCGAAGGTTATGGGATTGGTGGCAACTTTGGATTTTGCGTGAGCTGCTAGCGTTTCCCATATGGATCAAAGCCATGTGTGGGTCTGTGATTGATTGGCGAAATAAACCGTTCAGAATCAAACGCGACCTCACGGCAGAAGAGCTTTCCAAATGATCAACAACTTAGTGGCCAACAGCCGAATTTCTTGGGCTTTCCCCCTTTGACTGTAGGCCATGCATCGATGAACCGTTGAGCAGGAAGAACCGTTCAGTTCGGACTTCACGTGCTCTCATCGCATCTATCACAACTACCAGGACGGAACAACTCGAAGATACTTCTAGCAGATGTGGTGAAATTTCAACAACTTTGCACCGGCAAGATCAAATGCTGCCTCTTTGACGATTCATCTGACTTTAGACAGTTTTTCTCTCAACTTCGAACGAGATCGGCTCTTGGCTCGAAAAACTAGGGACTGGAACAGCAGATCTGCTAGTTCAAAGCTCCAGTGTGGCAAACTGTACATTCTTCAAGGCTTACTGAAATCACGAAACTTTTGGGAGCTGTTCCCGAATGCAAAGAAGTTAAAGCAGCGAAAAGCGAATAAAGTAGAAGTATTCCTTGAAGCTGCGTCCGAGTAACAGCGATGTCTAGATCGAGAATCATACGGAGTTTCTTTACACGCAAATCTATTGATCTCTGGGTGACACACTAGCAAGCACATCCGGCCGATACTCCACATCACTCCGCAGAATTATAGTTCATCCTAGGATAAGGTACACATTAAAATTCACGCTTTGCATAAGAATTGCCAATCAGCCAATAAGGGTCAACGGCAATCAGAGCTAAATATTCAATGTCTTGTTCTGGTCGATCCCCTTCAGATAAAAAGCGGAAGGTTGCCAGAAGAGCATGTCTAGCGTGTCGAGCCAAAAAAATAAAATGCGACGGGGAAGGCTCGATACCTAGATCCAATACGGAACTTGGACGTAACGAGAAGGAAGTATGCACCAACTGCGCCATTGCAGGAATAGAATGCGTTTTCGTCGAAAGTCAGAGGGGTGGCCGTCGACAGCCACGAAAGCTTATTGCGACAAATGACTCGCAGAGCCTTCTGCTAAGCGCAGGACTATTGCCTCCACTTCCTTCTTCTCAACCACCTCCACTGTCTGAGTACAGCAGCCGACTCATTTCTTCTCACCGGTCTACACCTATCAACGCGCATGCATTCCCGCCACACTATGGGATTTCGCCGCGCTTTCTTTCGGGCCCACCGTATTTAGGACTCGACACCCGCACCCTACCGTCCCACGTCGGATGCCCATCTTCACCATCATTAAATCAATCCTTTTCGCCCCTCGTACCCTTTCGTTCTCTTTTAAACATCTGCCAGCTAGACAACAATCACGAACCAAACGATAATTCTGTCATGAGCAAGTCGCATGAGATGCGGCAGAATGAAAATCTTTCATCAGGTTTCGAGGGCAGTGAACACTCACGCAGCAATTCAAAATCTCGTTGCATTGTTTCCACGAATGACCTTGGCTCCACGTCTCCGTCGTCAAGCAACAATCTTTTACCTACTTATGCATCAGCAGTAAACTCAGAGAATGTTCAGCTTTCTCTAGAGAGTATACTCGCCCCTTTAACATCACCGCAGCATCAAATTCCTTCTGAGGGTACTGGCCGGGCCACATCCAGCTCAATCTTGAAAACCCACGATACGGTATTTGAACCTCGATTTACAAATGAATTCTTGCAACAATACGGCTTTCCACCGTGGAATGAATGCATAAATCTAATAAATTTGTTTTACGATGCCACCCATCCTCAGATTCCAATACTCCCACCCAAAAATCAGTTTATTGAGGAATTTAGCCCCAGTAACAACGCCGCTTTAACCCATGTTCTCTTCTTGTGCGCCTCCCCATATATGCAAGAAAATAGGCCCATGAGGATAAGTCGCTATCGCGAGAAAGTCACATTGCATTGGCATGATCTAGATCTTCTGCCTTCAATTCAAACATTGTTGTTGATGGCCTTCTATTCGATTAAGTTTGCTGATAAACGAGATCTTGCTGAAGAGTACCTCAACAAAGCTATCAAAATAGTTTATTTCTCGACCAGTGCCTATGGGTTTGTGGGCAGAGATCTGCGAGAATTGACGCAAATAGCTCCGTTCAAGGTTCGGAGGCAAAAGAGGATTTTATTGGTGAACTTATGGAAGCTGTATCTCATGGTGCAAACTGGACGGCTTTATTATGATGACATCGGATTCTGCTCCGATATGACATGGTCGGGAGCAGAAGATCCAGCAGTAGGCAAGCTTCTACGAATTGAATCTCTTCCTTTCCCAAAGCTTGCAAATGCAGCTAACGAAGTGCTTGCACTTGAAGATGCCGAGTATCTGAAGGTGATAGACGAAGGTGTTGAGGGCTCCAGTCCGATGGCACACCTATATGCTGCAGTTAGCTTGAGCGAACAGTTCGTTTCGCATAACAACATTGAAAGTATAAGCATGGGCGTGTCTAGCTTAGAGGCTGCAGTAAATTCAGCATTACTCAGTCACCCTGAAGGCAGCGGCGTGTTAAATTTTACGACACTCGAGGCCAAACTCGTAATATCTGCTTCTCATATCAAGCGAATATCAGCTAGCTTGCCAGTGCTTCCACAATGTTGTACAAGTGATATAAACACGGACGCATTTTTTGAGACATTTCTCACCGAGTGTCGAGAAATGGTGGATGGAAACTTCCTGAGCAGGCTGAAAATTCCCCTCTCAAGTCTAATTGATCTATTCCTTGTAATTCAGGACTGCACTATTTTGCTGAGAATAGCGAATGGGTCTCCGATGACGGATCTATGCTCCAACTCGCAAGTCTCAAACTTGAGCAATTCGAATTCAACCGGGCACGGTGGTGCGGATGAGCATTGCCCTAACTCTTCTGATCCTACACGGAAAGTCAATGTCCAACAAATCACCAGCCAGCAACACAGCACAAAACGTGAGCCGGAATTTAGTCGCGGATATCCAAATTCGAGCGTTGCGTCTTTTCAAATGAAGGAAACCTGGCGACATTATCCTCTCTTATTGCGTAAAATTGTGCGTCAAATTATTCCGTTTCAAGGTCTTTTACTTTGCTTCAGTAAAGTTTCCTCGCTCACAATTCACTGTCAACGACCGTCAGTATTATATGCGAGTAAGGAACTACCTCTTCACCCCGATTACCTCTCAAGTACGGGCTCTTTCAAAAATAAAAATATGAACTCCTTGCGCTTCGGTATTGAAGCTGGTGAATTTCAAGGCAAGGGGAATCTTTATTCTCTGCTTGGTAGCTTATGCGATTCCTCCCACATGTGGGCCGATTTCAAGTTATGCCTGGAATACCTTCAATTTGATGCAGCTTTCCTTGAGTGCAACAACACTTCAAATTCAAGATTCGAGGCCATGAGCAAATGGGCACAGACAGTGCTCTCTTCATCTTAAATCTCTTTTCGGGCTAGCCTTTCAAATCAATAGACCCTGTCAAAAGCATTCTTCGTTTGATTCACCTGTCAAGACTAATATCTGCTCCGACAACGCTTGGCATTTCTGAAGACTTACTTGGTCCTCATACCTAATTTCCACCATCGTAAAGAGTACGTATGGCACTGTGATGACCTACTGCAGAAGTCAGGAGATGACCATGCAAAACGATTGATGCGTAGGTCTCCGACAGCTTCCAGTGGAAGATCTGCTTTGATTAATAGAAAAGCATATTCACAAACCTAAAATTCAACAAGCCTTCCAACGTTAGCTTTTTGTCTGCTTTTTATTTCAAAGTGCTCGACTTTTTGGAGACACCGGTATTATTGTTAACTAGTTGAGACCAAGAAGCTTGGTTAGGGTATTCTACGAGGCTTTAACTCGTTTATGATTGTGCCGCTCAAGAGTGCTGAAGCAGAAGCCGCTTTTTGGTGGAACAAGAATTCTATGTCCAGGCATCCAACTGGTAAGGTTCATAGTAACTATCGCAAAGCTCGTGTTGTATCGTAGTCTTTATACTGAATGAGACAACTGCATTTAATAGTGTCTTAGTCAGGAGGACGGTAAGCATTCGCTTAATGACACATCATTTTAATCGAACTTTCCAACATACGTTCTGTACATTTTAACACCCCACTTGAGCATCCATCATCAGTCAGTTGATCTTCAATCCAGTTGCTCTGACAGCAAGTAAACTTATAACAGTATATTTCGGTACACTCTTGGACTCTCATTCAACTCGAACCGATTTACGCTACGCGAAAAGATGCTATACAGTCGGCCACATATAATTGACACAAGAACGCTACTTTCCCATGAATTTATTATTTTCTTGCGCCCTTGCGGTACCAAAGTATCGAAGGACTATTTGCCGCTACTACGTAAGCCCCAGCTCCTCTATTGTAACCACCGGGACAGTTTGTGTTAGTCGATGTTAGCCAATGACACTATGTAAAAATCTTCAGAAAAAAGTATTCAAGCGGGAGATCAACAATACCATGAGAAGTGAAAAGATCTGCCCCGCGAATTTTCACTGTACTTGCCCACTTACAAAGAAACCATTTGTTTGGATCTATTCTCACTTTTTTAGCGAAAACGACACAGGAATACGTAACTGCATTATCACCAAAACTTGTACGATCTTTATCAATCCCATGCACTTTTTAGAGTCCAAAGAAACCGTGGATAATCCACGATACAGGAATTTGTTCCTTCCATTGTAGCTAGAAACAGTTCGGGATAAAGAAAGTCTGAGTATAATTGTTTTTATGAGTGAAAACGACCCCTTTTGATCCTCAAGCTCCGAAGCGCGTGTAGCTGAACAAGCTGATTTCGTACGCCTAAAATTCTACCTCCGTTGCCTGTGCATGTCTATTTGATTTGCTGCAAGAGCCTTATTTGCCATCCAGGTAGCGTTCGTAGCCAATGGTTTCGATCTTTTCTGCCTTAATCAAAACCTCCTCCTCTTGCTTTACCAAAAACTCTTGCATCTTTTCGTGGTATGCAGGCGTAAAAGCACCTAGAATTCTGATTGCCAAAAGTGCTGCATTTGTACTATTGTTGATCGCAACAGTTGCAACAGGAATTCCTCTTGGCATTTGTACGATGGAATGCAAAGAGTCAACACCGTCAAGAGTAGAACCTTTGACTGGGACACCAATCACCGGCAGAGGGGTCATGGCAGCAACCATACCAGGGAGATGTGCGGCACCACCAGCACCTGCGATGATAGCTTTCAAGCCACGCTTAGAAGCTTCTACCGCGTATTTGCTCATTCTGTGGGGAGTTCTGTGAGCCGAAACTATGGTGACCTCGTAAGGAACGTTAAACTGAGCCAAGATTTTACAAGCGGCACTCATTACTGGTAGATCAGAATCTGATCCCATAATGACACCCACTTCCGGTCTCTTGGATAAACCTGAAATATTCGATTCAAGGTCTTCCACAGCTCTAGCGCCAGATCCTTCATCACTTTCACCAGTGATGTAGCGCAGCTTTCTTTCACATTGCTGCATTGAGGAACTTACAATGTTTATGTGGCCCATTTTTCTTTGAGGTCTTGATTCTTTGCCATACAGATAGACGGACGCGCCAGGGGTTTGCAGGGCACGCTCACAGGTTTCCAACTCTTTATCTTTGACCTTGTCACCTAGGACATTCAACATGATGGCATTAGTATTCGAGGTGGATAAAGAGGCAAAATTTGCTGGGAGCGGTAGCCCCAAAATAGCTCTGACATGTGCCTCAAATTGGGAGGTTACACATGCATCTATAGTGAAGTGGCCAGAGTTATGTGGTCTGGGTGCAATTTCATTGATCATCAGTTGGCCGTTCTCGAGATAGAACATTTCAACGCCAAAAATCCCACAGCCAGGGAAGGACTTGATAGCATTCCCGGCCAATAGTTTCGCCTTCAACTGAACGGAGTCTGGAATTCGAGCTGGTGCAAAACACAAGTGGCATATGTTATCCTGATGGATTGTTTCCACGACTGGGTATGAGTAAACTTTGCCGTTGATGGAACGGACGATCATCACCGCCAGTTCTTTGGTGAAAGGAGCCCACTTCTCAGCATACAAGGGTCGGTTCTGAAGCGCAATTAAGGCCTCCGGAATAGATTCCTTGGATTTGACCACGAAGTTGCCACGGCCGTCGTAGGCTAAAGTCCTGGACTTAAGCATATAAGGGTACCCAAATTTGGAACCAACATCCGCCAAGGCTTGCTCAGAAGCTTCTTCAATAGCCACACTTTCTGCAACGGCGATGTCATTCTTGATCAAATGCTCTTTTTGTAGATATTTGTCTTGAATGAGCTGGATAGTTTCTGGGGATGGGTAAATTTCAAGCTTGGGATACGTTTTTTGAACTTTTTGCAAAGTGGGAACATCTACATGTTCGATTTCTACCGTTAATACATCGCACTTGGCTGCTATCTTTTCAATGTCTGCTGGGTTGGCAAACGAGCCATCAACATGCTCTGTTAATGCGTTAATTTGTTTCGCAGGAGAGTTGGGAGCGTCCAGAATCACCGTTTTAACATTAAGCCTGTTAGCTGCTTCGACAATCATACGGCCTAGTTGGCCACCGCCTAAGATTCCCACTGTTCTAGAGTCCATTGTAGGGTATTCGGATTCGCAGTTGGCTCTTCAAACTAGAAATGATCTTACCAAGTACTGTAAAAATGCGAATTTGCACGTAAAAACTGGGATTTTGTAGGATTTTAAAAATCGCAAATGGTAACAGGTTTTGGACAACTCTTGGTCAATCCTCGAACGGTTTTTGAGTCAATCGAGATGCCATTGAAATGAACAATTGATGGTAGATTAAAGACTGTAATTAACTTTACCAGAGTCAGTGTTAATATAACAGTTTTCGTTCATGGTGACATTTGAGACTCAGTCAGGGAAGAGTATAGTTCTCAAGCTGGTGATGATAGAGTTTTATACTGTGCAAGATGTGTAGAGACAAGTGAATCGGGGGGTCCGTTTCTGTATGTGAATTGCGTACCTGACGATTTTGGCTTCGGGTGACAATTCGTTCGTTCGATGTGACTTTCAAAAAAAAAAACGAAAGTGTTTCAACCATCAAATAAGAGATCCTGTTTTGAAGAGCGTTAGTGTGAGATTTTGCTAGTATTACACATTGGTTTTTAATATCGTTGCTATTCTTCCACACGCATGTTTAGATTTCTGTGATGTAAGATTTTTGTCACGTGATCTGCGTCAGCGACAGACTCTGGTAAAGTGACAAAAATGCCCAGTTCAATTGATGAAGCTAACAGTTCGTCCTAACGATTAACTGTAAGGATAAGGTTGTGTCTAGTTCACGATCATCTATATTCTGCAATATTTTGATGTTTCTACTGCTGGGCCGTAAAATTAAATTTTTCTTCGGTTTTTCAACTTTCCAATTAAATGATGTTCCTGCTTCTCGGGGTCAGTATCCGGCATCGATCCTTACATTTTGACTGTGGGTCACATCCGGCTTTGTTTCTTTAGATTAGGCCACAATCCCTCCCAATTTTGCCCTTGATCCCATTAATACATACCTTTTTTTACAAAAGCGATTACTGGATGACCTTTTAACCTCAAGTTCAACTACATACCTAAACCATATATTACATCGATCACTGACGACTTCGATGTGCCATCTTCCAGCAAGTATCTCCATTCAACGTACAGTCTCGTAAGCTGAAACACGATTCTGAGCCTAGTTTTACATAGAAAGAAATCTGATCTCCGTTTTCTTGCTTGCACCACATTTCTGAAACTCTGAATGTAGCTTAACAGTCCAACAAACTAAAGTAAGTCCTTACAAACTTCCGCGAACATGGGTATTATCGATACTGAAACTTACCTGTAAGAGGATATGTTGGAAGCCTTACCCTCCACCCCTTCAACGATCCTTGTCCTAACCGGGGTCAGATCCGACGTCACGGGGCGGAGGACCCTTAGCGATTTAACTTACGTCACAATGGAGTGGTCATCTCAAATAACTCCGACGGCATCTTCAAAAAGTACTAGTCGCCTACAGTTCTCCATATCCTTTTCGAAAACGTATATAAACCCATTGACACATTCCAAAACAGCTTTGGCAGAACTCATTTGTACGCTATTGATATCAACAAAAACTGCGAAAATAAACCAAGCAGAAAATATATATACTAGCCCATTATATCATTCATAGTAAAAGTTCCATCAACGTCTCCGTAAAATCTGTTTCCCATGTCACCCGTTGGCATTTCGAGAAATATCAATAATGGTGTCATCGGGCCTTCCCAAATTGACAACTGCACAATGTTTGATGCAAAAATTCCACTGGGACAGTACATATTTGAGAGATTGCTATCATGCGGAACTAAAACCGTCTTTGGAGTACCCGGTGATTTCAATCTGACATTATTGGAGCACATGTACTCTTCACGAACAATTTCAGATGGGCTTCAGTGGATTGGAACATGTAATGAACTTAACGCAGCATATGCAGCAGATGGCTATTCCCGTTACACGAATAAAATTGGCTGTTTGATAACAACGTTTGGCGTCGGAGAACTCTCCGCCTTGAACGGCGTGGCAGGAGCGTTTGCTGAAAATGTCAAGGTTCTGCATATTGTGGGGGTGACACCGTCAAGTTTCCGCAACGACGCTGCACGGAGTTACCACAACGTGCACCATCTTGTACCTGCCCTCTCAGAAGCGAATTTTAACCCCCCGAACCACCGTGTGTATTTCGAAATGATTCGAGACCGAATTTCTTGTTCCAGTGTCTTCCTTGACAATATCGAAGAAGCATGCGATCAAATCGACAAAGTCATCAACGAGATTTACCGGTTCAGCAGACCGGGATACATTTTTGTCCCTGCTGATTTCCCTGATAAGTTAGTTCCAGCTTTCAATCTCTTAGATCGACCATCAATTACTTTAGAAAGTGCAATGTCTTCTTTGTCTGTTAACCAAGAAGACATTGACGCTTGCGTCATGCTTATCCTGCAACGCTTATATGAATCTGAAACACCAGCTGTGCTGGCTGATATTCTTTGTGACCGCTACGACCTGAACACTACGTTGAATAATCTTGTTGAGAAATGCAGTCTTTGGAGCTTCAGCTCCGCCATGGGACGGTCAATACTTGACGAGTCCTCTAAGAACTTTAAAGGATGTTATAATGGAGTAGAAAGTGCTCCGATTGTCATCGAGAACATCATGAAATGCGACTTTATCCTTCACGTCGGTGCGGTAAAGAACGAGATGAACACGGGCCATTATTCGCTGAAATTCAAACAAAACGCTTGTGTGGTGGAAATGCATCCTGAGTATATCCAAATTTCAAAACTCAACAGCCAAAAAGCGACTCGCAAGTTTACTGGATTTTTCATGAACATAGTCTTGAAGCAAATTCTAAGCGAGCTGGACATATCTAAGTTACGGCGCCGCTATCCCTCTAATGAACAAAAAAAACCAGAGAATGAGCTTACCCTGCAACCGCAACAACCCATAACACAGCTCTTTCTTCAACAACGTTTCCCCAAATTAATAAATTCTGGGGATGTCTTTGTGGTAGAAACTGGTTCCTTTCAGTTCGGAGTTCGTGATTACGTTTTCCCACCTAATCTGAGATACATATCGCAAGCATTTTATTTGTCTATCGGTATGGCACTGCCATGTGCGCTGGGCGTGGGACTTGGTATGCGTGATTATCCACTTCATCACATAATCGTTGGCCAAGAAGATAATTGTATCGTCTCTACTCCAAAATTGATTCTTTGTGAGGGAGACGGAGCGGCGCAAATGACTGTTCAGGAATTGACGTCTTTCCTGCGCTATAAAATTCCTGTGGAGATCTTTGTTTGGAACAATCGAGGTTATACGGTCGAGAGAGCCATCAGAGGTTCAACGCGGGCATACAATGATATCATGAACTGGGATTGGACAAAGTTACTTTCTGTGCTCGGGGATGCCGACGAAATCAGCTCTTGTGGATTATCATTTGACAGTGTTGGCGATCTTGCCAAATTTTTCGAAACTTTTCGAGATCCTCACAACAAAGTCGTAAGGTTGGCAGAGGTGATTTTAAGTGTATTGGATATTCCTGAGCAGTTGAAAGTAATGGCAGCTGCGTGCCAGCATTGAAGCCCAGCTGCACCAGTGTCCCGTAAGGCCATATCTAGCCTGCATGAGGTTGGTAGCAGCTGGCACTTGCTATCTCGTCTTGACATCATGAGCGAGTGATTCTAGCAGCAAAGCATTACCCATATTCTTGTCGTGCATTTCCATCGTCACTGAGTGTAATCCTGTTTAGAATATCTAAAATTGAAGCTCTTGCTGGTCTCTCTTCTGAAGCCGGTCTGGCCTTAATATTTTCTTGCTGCAAAGAAATCGCTTGGAGATCCTTCAAAAGCTCCTTCCTGCTCGGAGACACACTAATGGTACTCTCTTGAACTGCAGATTGATGCTTGTTTATGCTAGTTCTGATTCCGTCCCCTCTTCTTTTTTTAACGGCACGCTCTTCTCCGACAGTCTCATAAACGGACTTGAATACAGGATTAAGTTTGTGTCTCACCAGCAATTCACCAATGGGATGCTTTCGAATTTTTCGAATTATCGCGATACTCGTTTTCTTTATTTTGTTAATTGTTGATCCAGAGTCCACGAGAGAACCTGGGTAGCTTTGTCCGTTGCTCGAAGATGGTGCTCTGCTTCTTACTTCATCTGCGGGTACATCCTGGAAAAGACTCTCCTCATTGTACCAACTCGAAATGAAAGACGATTGATACTCAGGCTGAGCGGTTCGCTTCGAATGTAAGTCCCTGTCTCCGTATTTATGTGAATCAAATTGGCGCATTAATTCTGGAGAGCTTTCAATTCTTGAATCCAAAAGTAGAGGTAGAAATAAAAGTCTGAGAAACCGGATCATTGCAAAACAGTCCACCACACCAGTCCGATGGTAATTTAATGATTCCATGGAATTTGAATTTTTCAAACTGTCAAAGGTGTCTCGCAGATTGATCTCATTAAAGTCTTTTGTTGCTACATTTTCGTCATCTTGAAATAAGGTCAAGGGAAAGCTGAGACCGATGTTGATGAATTTCTCCACGTTAGCGGAGTTTGACGTCATGAACTTGTGAATAAATTTTAAGGACGACAGTATCCTCTCGAAGGGGTTTAATTCATAATTTTCAGAAGGATTTCTTCCATCGAAAATAGTATAATCCAAGTTTTCTTGCAATCGTTTCAAGCATTGGACTAACTTTAGAGAGCTGTACTCAAAGAATTCGGGGAATATGATGAAATCTCTGTATGATAGCACGTACTCGTCTTTCAGGCTGAGCTCAGACTCGGACTGCGGCCGACTGTGAAGATTTGTGATTAAACTCAATATCTGTAGGACATTGATTCTTTTGAATACATTGAGAATTGTTTCATTGTCGTGATGCTCAACAATCAGGTATTCAATAATCTTAGATGTCAGACTACATCTTGAGCTTGGCTTCTGTAAGATGACGGCGGAGGAAGCACGCTTCTGGAAGATACTTTTTATTTTCGAGCCTTTCAAACTTTCCTGAGAGTTATCAGAATGCACAGAAAGGACAGACGTGTCTAGGCCATGTGTTTTTAGTTCTTCGGTATCCAAATCATAGTAAAAATCCCAGACGTCTTTTTGCACCTCGAAAATAGGGTTACTCACGCCCACAATGCTAAATGTTCGGGTCATTCTGCAGGATCTGAGCTGTTCTTTTAGAGCATCGACGAAAGAAATATCCATGTAGGGGAAGATTATGACTTGGGCGTTTGCGAAATAATGGGAGTCAAAATGTCGTATCAAATTCGATAGAGACATAACGAACTGCGTTAAAACATCTTTTGGGAGCTTGGTAGAGTTAACTACCAGTTTCCATGCAAATTGAGGTCGAAGTAGCTTTTCTAACTCGGCTAAAAATCTGGAAAGAAATTTCAAGACGTGATCATTGTAGTTAATGTTTACCAGCACTGGGTCATAGCTTACCACATTAATTTGTAACGCGATCCTTGTCAGAGCCGGCGGCAGCCTCTTGGGTTTGAACTTATTGAACTGATACTCTATCAGATGCCGCTTGAACTTTACAGAATTTCCAAACGAATCGGCTTGCGGCAGGCTATTGAGGTGTAGCAAACGAGCGAGGTTTTGATTTTGAGGCGCGAAAATTTCTGCTAAAACCTTCTCGTCGGTTATGGAACTGAGCAGCGTCTGGAGGGATGTATTTGACATTATCCTTTTAGCAAGCGACAAGTCGAGACTGTTAATCATATCAAAACAGTCGATCAAGAGTTGAACGTCGTCATCGGATCGCATGTACGCATCTAAAGTCATTGCCAGGAGAGGTTTGAAGACCAAAAAATTTCGCAGATCAGTTCCCAACGCGATTGCTTTTATGATGGCTCCCCTGGAATTGGTACTATCCTTTATCGTATTGACGACACTAATAAAAAATAATGGGGGCTCTTTGGCGTTATTGAGATGTTCTGCGGCCATTGACATTCCTCCGCCTGAAAAATTATCTTCCTCTTTCAAAACACCAAGATCTTGTCGATCCATATGTGGGGCGACAGTGTCGACAATTGGGAAAATTTGGTAGTTCCTAGTGTACTTGTTTTTGTAAAGAATGAAAATTGTAAAGTCCGTGCGGTTTGGAAAGTTTTCTGCATTGTTTGGGATCATCAAGCTAGCTAAATTAACCGCGGAGTTCTTGAACCTCGTTCTTGTTTTAAAGCCTGGTATGGCATTGGGGTATTGATGCTTCAAGATAGGTCCGATTTTGTTGTCGAATTCTGCAGCTATGATATATTGGGCATTGTAATTATTTTGAATATGTTCCTGATGTGTTTGTCGCAGGCGCCCACTTAGGCCTGATCTTATAGCATGGGAGTGGGTAAACATTGGTTGTGCATGGCATCAGTATGCGTTCCGCAGCTTAAGTTGAGCTTTGGGTTGTTGATAGCGCTGTGAAGTTGGCAATTCCTGTGCTATCCATGAGACTAATCTAAGTCGTTTCGTAAACAGTGACTTTTGTATAAACTAAGCACTGGGATAGTTCAGTCGAGCAACACTGAGGGTATAGCCTAGATTTCATTTGATTCAAGCTCACGATGCAATTCGGGCTTGATGTGGAGCTTTGCATTTAAAAGATTTAAATTGTCCTCCATGAGAAAATAATCATTGATGGAGAATGATCATGGTGCTCGTTTTCAAATGCGAAACTTAATATCCAGAAATACCGGCATAATAAACAACCGCCATAAACGAGAATGTCTAGGGCGATGGCGTTGCAACTCCGATGCCAGTTCTTTTTAGCTCAAATGGTCTCCAAATCATTTGGTTAGCGACACTTTAAATTAGTCATTAATACCGCGACGACAATCTAACAAGAAGTGATATATAGCAGTGAAAGAGAAAATCTCTAGGAATATGAAGGAAGAGCGAAGATCTGATGTTTGTTTCCAAAGTCTCTTTATATTGCGCAACATTACATCGAAGATTGTTTAGTTTATCCCACGAATAAGATCCAATGTTTGATTGTTAGAGGAGGTGTCCTTCATTTGCCGGACTGGTGACTCGAAATCACTCCGTGGCGAGACAGATTATAGTTCGTCCTTATCCGTCCTATGAGCTCATGCAATATGTGCCGCTGATTACCCCACAGAGATTCGACGTTCGTGAGTTCAAAATATTCAGATCGGTACGTCTCCCGTTAGAACACAAACAAGAGTTTCAAAAAACTCAAGCTATGCCAGTCGATATGGATTTCCGCACCTTGTTGGTTCTATTGGCTGATCAACAGGCTTCATTCTCACGCTAGCTTACTGCCGTGTTCGGAGCACGTGTCTGATCTAGAGTTTTCGTCTATCATGATACTGTCGCCAATTTAGATATTGGGTCGAAAATTTTCCAACTATATAAAGGAGGACGAAATTTGTAGAGGTACGCCACTGGGACAACTCTCTTTCCCGTTGAAGTCATTGATAAAACAGAGCTTTCAGCAAGCATCGATTGTATCAACTCAAAGACTCCTCCAAAACAAATATAAATCAAAAATGTCTGCAAACTTGGACAAATCCCTGGACGAAATCATCGGTACCAACAAAAAGCCTATCAGAAAGGTCAACAAGAAAGCTCCTAAGAAGGTTTCTAAACAGATTGTGGGTGGAAACCGTCGTGGGGCATCGGTGGCTGCTGTTAGACAAAGACCTGCTCCTGTGAAAGCTGCAAACGTTCTAGAGCAGGCTTACGGTACCAAAGTGAGCGTGGAAGGGTTGCCAAGAGACATCAAGCAAGATGCTGTCAGAGTATGTCTTCAGGACGCTATCTAAGTTAGTGGAAGAGCAGCTCAGAGGTCTTGACATAAATGGCCGCCAGAGGAAGCAAACTGATGGAACTTCTTTCTGAGGTACGAGGAACGTAACCTTTCGGGTGGGATACGCGAAAAAATCAACAAAAAATGGCAAGAATCCGGGACTTCGAAACTACGTTGTTCGGGAAGCTTGGAACAATAGGGCTGGGACTTTTTTTGAAGTGTGGGTGAATCTCAGATATCCACCTGCAAATGTAAACTGCAATTGGAGCATAAAAATTTGAGCGTTTTTCATATTGAAGGACGGCATACTTTCGTTTTTTCAAACCGTCTAACGCTTAAAACTAGAGGCCATGTGGAGCAATTTGGTTTGTCCTCTCGTGGTAGTGATACGTGCATCTTAATGGGAACTGGCTTTTTTATTAAAAAAGAACTGTCGTCTCTAAGATATGCGCGCTCACTTCAAAAGAACAAAATCTCTTGGAGGAGTCTTTTTTCGTTCTTTTGTTTTACCTCGTCCTTTTTGTAAGCACTTTCAAATGCCCATTGAAACCCTATTGAAGCTTTCCCAACTTTTAGGATGCCAAAGAGCGCAGGAATCACAGTCAGATATTTCACGCTGGTTTGTTCCCTAGGATGAGTTCCATCTATTTGAGTCCTTTCTGCTTCTTTTATTCTCCGATATAAGAATCAACAATGAAAACGTTCCCACTGGTTGTGAACCACTTTATGCCATTCCTCGTTGTTTTATTTTTTTTTTGGAGTACGCTCTTCCTCCAACTATTTTATTTTCCCCAAGGTTTAAAATTATTGAACCCAAGACTAACTTTTAATTTTAGGAATTCTTTTCCTCTCAGGTTGGTGGTGTTGCGAGAATCCTGTTGAGTTATAACGAAAGAGGGTTGTCCACTGGTATGGCAACCATCACATTCAAAAATGTTGAGAAGGCTAGAGAAGCTGTCAAGAAATTTCATGGTGCTCCTATCGATGGAGGCAGATCCAAGTTGAGACTAAGTTTGATCGTTGACCCAAGTAAGAAACCACTATCCTCTAGAATCCAGTCCATCGTGGAACGCAAGCCCGTGCCTGTGAAGGGTCCTAACAAGAAGGTGGCAGCTGTAAAGAAACAAAAGAGAGATGAAAAGAAGAAGCCAAAGGCAAAGGCAGCAAAGCCCGAAAAGAAAAGTCTTGAGCAGCTAGATCAAGAGATGGCTGACTATTTCGAAGAGAAGAAGGCTTAGACTTCGCAACATGGTGGTACAACGAGGTCTTTTTCAAGGGCCACGCGGTGATGAGAAATGCTACCGAAAACGTTATGTGACAAATAAGAGCTTCATTCAGTGTATTAAGTAAAAATTTAAAAAAATCGTTTATTCAGTTCTTAAGTCACTAAATTATATACATGTGAGGGAAACAGGGCAACGCCCGGTATATCCGTAAATTCTAAACTCACTTTTCGCTCCTCCTGTCGAAAAACCCAAGCCTATCGCCTCCTTTCCTGCTCAAGTAGCTTAATCCTCGGCCCTCAAATTCACTTTTTCTGGCTTCTGCGAGTTCTTCTGCAGGTAATGGGAATCCTGGCTTTACGTTTGCCAAGTTCTTGTAATAGTTTTCTTTGGTGATTTCTTCGGCTTTCTTGCGGTCGAACTGCGTCTGTTTGTTATCGCTCACTAGTTTTTTCGTTGCAAACACTGAGACGATCAGTCCTCCGACCAGATATAGAGTATTCCTCCTGCACTAGACGTTAGTAACACAAAGACTGAGTCTGAGCCTACAAAAAAAAAACATACCCAATGTTGTTGAAAGGATTAGAAGTACCCACCATTGGCCTTTCCTTGTATTGGTCCTGTAGCGGAGTTGATGTGATATTCAGACACTTGTAGAAGTGTGCGTTTGACTATTTCACAACTCGGCATTTCAAGCATAGTCACGTGACTTTATATTTCTCTCATGGGGAGCTTCCAATTCGACGATATCCGACGTTTGAAAGATTCACATCAGATTAATGGTGTAAGTTTAAGGCTGTTGGTGATGCTCTTAGATCAATCGATTCGTGTTTCGCAAATCTGCGTCAGTTTAATGCTAGAGTGGTATGTCACATCATATAAAACGACAGATCCATAGAAGTTCATTATCATGTTATTGAACCTTAAATTAACATTAAACTCGCATCTTAAGGGTCCATCATCAGCACAAAAAAGACAAACTCCTGGCTTCTAGTGTCAGCCTTCTCGAAGTTTGAGCTATTGTGAACTTAAACAACAACGCGAACAGAATAAGAGTGTCTTGTCACCTCGCTGGTCACATCAGCATCTACTTTCTCATATAGGCATTCTAACGTACACACTTATAGCGTTTACACCAAAATTTCCGGAATACAATGTCCAATATTGCCAAAGCGGAGTCACCTCAACCTGATGCTTTTGCTAATGCACTAGCTGGAGCTGCAGGAGGGGCTCTTTCCATGGCTCTCACGTATCCCTTGGTTGCAGTCACTACAAAAATGCAGACGCAGGTTTCAAGAGAGACAGCGTCAGACGAGAAACAAATTGAGTCTGAGAGGAAACAAGGTCTGCTTGCCACTGTTAAAGAAATATATCGTAAAAATGGTATAGTTGGGTTTTTCGCGGGTCTGGAAAGCGCTATCATAGGTATGGCCTTTTCGTCATTTGTATACTACTACTGCTACGAAGCGTCATCCCGGTTTATCATGAAAAATACTCATAAGTCGAGTTTGAACACCGCTGAGTCAATGCTGGTCGGAACTGTAGCGGGCTCTATCAACGCCGCAGCAACAAATCCGTTCTGGGTCGCAAACACAAGAATGACCGTGGAGAAGAGCGACCAAAACACTCTACGCACAATTTTAGAAATTTCACGAACGCAGGGTCCTATGACCTTGTTCAATGGACTCAAGCCAGCACTCCTTCTCGTGATCAACCCAATAATCCAGTACACGGTGTTCGAACAGTTGAAAAATCGAGTTTTGGAACGACGTAATTCTAGAACCTTGAGCCCCTCATGGGCTTTTGTATTGGGCGCACTTGGGAAACTTGTGGCTACGGGTACCACTTACCCATATGTTACCATGAAAGCTAGGATGCATTTGGAAGGGAAAAAAAAGGAAAATGGAGAGAACTTGAACGCACCAAATTCGTTGGTTTCGCTCATGTTAGAAACCATCAAAAAGAATGGGGTTTCTGGATTGTACAGGGGCATTGGTTTGAAATTGGTGCAAAGTGTTCTTACCGCGGCGTTTTTGTTTTTCTTCAAAGAAGGCTTACTTCTTTGGAGCATCAAGACTTTGAGAACACTTTCATTATTGAACAGAAGGAGGCGCATCCCAAACAAGATCTGATGCTGACTCAACACATACCAGTTTGACAAACCTGTCAAGTTCGTTTATTTCCGTAAAAGGAGTCTACAAACTAGACAAGGTCTCGTAAGTGTAGAATACTATGGCGTTTGCAGGAGCCGCCCTCAACAAAGTGATCCCAAGCCCGCGATACAATCCTGCAGGCCCATTTCTTGCCAGAATGCGTTTGGTCGCGTCAACGATACCCAGATGTTCGGTCTGAGCGGTAGATTTGATGGTATCAGCAGGGAAGATACTGGCGTTGAAGGCGACACCAGCTGATGCGCCAGAGACAAGTAGTTCCCAGGTATGGTTTTTGACATTGTCTTGTCCTCTTCTCTGTGCTAGATACCGTTTGACACCCTCGTACGTCGCGAACCATACGGCACCACCAATACTTTCTCTGATGAACGTACTGGATTGGCCCTGCCATAGACCAGCGAGACCGCGAGTTTGAAGGATATGCTTAATGGTGGGACCAATTTTTGAATGCTGGGTCTCCGAAGATGCGAGATTTGACACTTGCAACTTGCATTTGACCAACTCCACCGGAGTCAACACGTAACTGGCACAGGCACCGGCAAACGCACCAGCGAAGACGGTTTTATAGGTGGGATTTAAGGACTCGCCGAAGTGTTGCGTTAGAAACCCCTGTGCCTGGTTGAATGATACAAACAGGACCGCGTTTTCAAGAGCAGCTCCTGCGACGGGAGACCCCAGCCCTTGGTAGAACCCTTTCCACAATCCTTCTTTAGCATAAGTGTACTTGATGCACGACCAGCTGTTGGGAAAAACGTGCGCTGGCTGAGTTTGCAGACGTACCTTGACGGTATCCAAAGGATATTCTATGACTTTACCGGCAGCACCTGCTACAGAACCGTACATGATATCGCGCAACGCATCTTGAAAGTCCATTCTAAGAAAGCGCCTGAGTGATGTTGTGGCCGTCGATGAAATTCACAGCTACGCGATTTGCTCAAGGAATGAAATGTCGAGTAGCTTGTCAAAGCAGAGGAGTAGTGGGAAGACCAAATGAAAGATCGATAGTTTAGACCCTCCTAGCAGTGCTGTATTCATTCGTTTACCAAAGCGATGAGCTACGGTAATTTGACCAAATTTTCCACCTCTAGCTGGAAATTGACAAAGTCACGTGGTTAACAGAACAGTGGAAACGACAGGAAATAACTTCCATTGACCGTTTTGAATGGAATCAGCATACATCTGCGCACGACTATCCCCGCTTGTTATAGGTTTATTTGGATATGAAACCTACAAACCGCGAGATATAAATCTCCTGTGCTGACAGAGGAAAAATACTGCAAAAATGAATCCTCGAATCTTTCCTCTACTGCTTCTGAATCCTTCCCCTTATCGCTACCACATGTGCGGTCAAAACACAACTTTAAAGATCACTTTTCTGAGAACGGTGTATGTGTGCTTCTCAGCTGTCTTACATTTCTCGCTTCGATGTGCCAGCTACCCAATTATCTACTCACCAACACTGATTTCCCCTAGTCATTATCCACGATTATACCCAGCGGACGCACTCGACTGAAAAAAAAAAATTATCATGAAAAATTTCATGAAAGCTCATTACAGCTCTTTTCAACTCTTTCCTCTACTTTCTCTTTCCCGTTTACTTCTTTCCACAAGCCTAAGGAATAGTCTGCATTGACCCGCTTAATTTGATTATTCTATTATCGTCTATCTAACCACAAAGTATGAAGTATTTGGCTGCTTATTTGTTGCTTGTTCAAGGTGGTAACACCTCTCCTTCTGCTGCTGACATCAAGTCTGTGATCGAAGCTGTCGGTGTCGAAGCCGAAGAAGCCAAGATCAACTCTTTGTTGTCTTCTTTGGAGGGTAAGGGCTCTATTGAGGAGATCGTCGCCGAAGGTCAGACCAAGTTGGCCTCTGTGCCAGCTGGTGGTGCCGGTGGTGCCGCCTCCGCTGGTGGTGCCGCTGCTGGCGGTGCTGCTGAAGAGGCTGCCGAAGAAGCCAAGGAAGAGGAGAAGGAAGAATCCGACGACGACATGGGCTTCGGTTTGTTCGACTAAACGTATCGATAGCTGTGGGATTGAAAAACTGAAAAAAGAGAAAGAAGCATTTTCTTCTTTTTTGAATATTTTGTTCTTAAAATTGTATATCCCTACTACCTACCGTAATATTATAGTTTTCCTCTAACATCGATTTTACTCGAGTGCAAGACTCCCAGCTTCTAGTTCAGTGTTTTTAAAGCGGAAATCAGATTTTCCAACTCTCTTAGGTACTCCTCGGGCAATTTGCCATCTTTCTTCAAGACTTTCTCCACCAAGGTGGCCGTTTTTTGTGCCTGCACAATAACGTTGTGTTTGAAGGTAGCAAAGTATTCAGCAGGCTCACTACCGTCATCACGTCGAATGGCATTTTCTAAGCTCTCAAAACGATCGAATTGGGCCTTGAGTTTTGGAACTAGGCGTGAACCTTCACGAATAGCAATGGACTTTTTTTTGAGTCCCTCGCGTAGTTCGTTGTATTCGTGCAGCAAGGGCTGTGCGTCCAAATCTTCAGAGTTCAATGCCGAGATATGGGGCAAATTATCAATGTCCTTCATCAGTTGTTGTAAAGAAACGAATTTACCGTCTCTAGCTTCTTGTAGATCGACTAAATCCGCGCCAATCCTGTCTTTGGGAAGGTCACCCACATTTGCCATGACCCGATATAGATCTTGTCGAAGAGTCTCTTTCTCTTGCTCTTGCACTGCCAGAAGCAGCTCATCCCGATTGACCATTCTAAACGCATTTTGTTGTCGTTGTGCCAATTCCTTTGCCAGTGTCTTTCGTAGCGATGAGACGACGTCTGGGTTCAATTCCTCGAATTCCGGAATCTCAAAATTCCGAAACTTTTCAATTTCATTGTCAAGAAAAGTTGAATACTGGAGATACGACATAAAGGTGCGTTTCGATCTATAACCATAGCGGATGTTTCGCTGTTTTAGTTGATAGCGTCTGTACATGGTGAATCTTAGCTACTTATTACAGTTGTGAGTATTATATGATCAAATGACAGCAGTATATACCTTTGAAGTAGCGCCTTTCTTCAAGAAATCCGCGATAGTTTAGTGGCTAGAATTCGGGCTTGTCGCGCCCGGGACCGGGGTTCAATTCCCCGTCGCGGAGTATTTTTTATTTTTTAATTTTCGAGTACATCTCTAAAATGGCACTTCTAGTAACGTCAATGGTAAAGGCGTGTCCTGGGCAGAGACAATAATTCGCTCTTGACGTAGCGGTTTCCCATATAGTACATGTAGTTGGGGATATATATACTCGTAGCAATTAGATCATTTTTTTTTTCAATTCATCAAAAGGTGTTGGCTTAGGCCCTGGCTTTCAAACGGTTGGAGCATTGGGCATGTAGTAGGCACGTACTGGGAGATAGCTGTTGGAGGAGTCAGCCACACCACTGTAGAGTGAGTAGAACCCGCACAAACTGCTCAAGATACCGAAATAGCCACCGGCTTTATTGACGTTTTCATTACCAATAAAGGTGCCTATTGTGAGCATTAAAAAGGTGAGTTCTAGGAAGAAAAACAGCAGAAACAATCCCCATGTACTTTTCAGCGTGCACAGCAACATGAGGAATGTGAAAACTGCCCATCCGGCCAAGAAAAATCCCATTGCATTTGCCAACATTTGCGGGTCGTCTTTGTATGAAGAAACAATGCCAAACTGGTCCAGTAGAATGCATCCGTAGCTGATCCAGAACCCGCCAAAGGAGCCAAAAACGGTCATGGCATATGTGTTGCCGGTTGGGTAGCACAGCAGACCCGCGAAAAGCTCGATGCAGCCGCCGAAAAACAGACATGCGCTGACTACGACTTTAGCGTTGGTGACACCACGCACCTGGGCGTTCAGAAGCGATAGCACCAGCGTGCAGTACGAGAAAGACGCCAGTCCCAAAGGTACTGGATTGGCCAAATTGGAAGGCCGACGGTGGTGGATTCCCGGGTTCAATTCTCCGGCAAAAGCGTTGGCCAGCTCATCGCGACGATAAGTGGCGTCGCCCAGATGCACGTATTGGCCGTCCACGGAAACGGCATGCACGAGTCGTGACACCAGAGGTCTGTGGTGGTCATGATCGGTCTGGTTTCCCTGGTGGTCGTTACCTTGATGATGATGTTCGCCCTGGTTGGATTGTAGCTCATCGTAACTAGCTTGAGTGGGACCCTTTTCGAGGTCACGTGAGGGCGTTCTTTCAAATTCCATTACGTAAGCGCTGTGGATATCACTCTATGCGGTGAAAAATGAATTTCGTATATTAATCGTTTGGTTCTTATAGGTCTTGTAGAGACCGACGACACACACACGAGATGAGATGAGATTTACAACAGAAACAATATCTCACTAGACCACACACAATTTGTCTCAGCAATTGTCTTTGCGTTTGTTCAACACTGTTCAACTCTTGTTTCAACACTTGTCTAACAGTATCCAAACTTGACCTTCCGCTGTTCTGAACAGCCGATACAATTCAGCGCTTTTATATAGAAAAACTGTATATGTATACCTCGTCTTGCACAAGGTCCACTTTTTTTTCTGTTGGCTCCGCCGGTGTGGTTCTATTATGATGCCCTATTATGAAGGTCATCATCAGTACCTTACCATTACGGCCATTTTAGCTATGGGTGGTCTTCTTCTTTGGCCCGGGTCTCGAATGGCGTGATGCCTCTCGGTGGTGTCAGAAACGAGAAACGGACTTATCAGGCGAGACGGGGCCCAATGGATTCGTGGATTCATGCACGGGAACAACGTTGGCCAAAAACTTTAGTGAGAGGGAGTGGTATGTGTGGTGTGATTGATGGGGGAGAGAGAGAGAGAGAGGGAGAGAGAGGGAGAGAGAGAGAGGGTGTCGGAATAAGCGGCTGCGGAATAAGCGACGGGCGGGAGAAGCTACACAGGCGGGAGTAGCTTTATGTTATAAAAATTGTATTATGGGCAGGACTAGGAACGAGTACGGGTCGGATGGCGAGTGGCCGTGTAGAATGATGAGAGGAATGACAAGAAGAATGACAATAAGAATGACAAGAAGAATGACAAGAAGAATGACAAGAAGAATGACAAGAAGAATGACAAGAAGAATGACCTAGGACGAGTAGCCTCCCGAATAGAACCGTAAGTAGAGTTCTTTTATCCACCAGTGACATGTAGACAACTTTCCATCTTGATTCTTATGTTCAGGCGTAGTTAGTAGGTGTTACAGTTCTGTAATATATCAAATACCAATACCAAAACGAAACACCTCAACGAAGTGAGCGCTGAACCCACCGGCCCCTGTCTATATTCATATGACTCCAAGCTACGAGTCATTGGGAATGTGGAGTCCACTCGTTGTTTGTACAGTATCATACTCACTAATTACGTGTCTACTCGAGTTTACTCTTCCCCTCGGACTTACCACACGATCGCCGAAACCCATGTTTTGAAAACCGGATCATAAACGGGTCGTCACCTGGTACGAACGGATTGGTAATTCAGGTTGAATCACGAACCCGTTTGAGGATCCGTTAGTTTCAACTGCTCACGATATTGAATCAATCCACTTTCAAAGGATGGCTAACGCTACTGTAAGCTTGTTGATCTGATATTGCCAAAAATTCAGGCCTCCAACAGCTTCTCTTGCTTCACTCAGTGTTTTGAACAGTTTAACGCCATGTACCATCGTGAAAAGTCCTGAAAGAAGAATGGAAAAGGTTTTAGGGTTTGAACTGTGGGCTCAGAACCAGCGACACACATGCTGTAATCTGAAGGTTGGTTTATAAACATGCCTCAGTATTCTAGCAGTCGAAATAAAATAGGCATCATCTTGGACAATGGGCCCAACAAGAAAACAATGCTCAAAAATCTCAACAAGACTTTAGAAGTACTGTAACAATTGGATACATGAACCACGCTTTGAATTGGAAAATCAGCAGTACCTTGCGCAGCTCGAATACTATACCAACGGCTATGCATGTGACGGAGAAACGCATGCACCTGTCCTCCCTGGTTTCATTCCAACGTTCACACTTTCTCGACTGAGAAGTTTTACTCTAAACATCAACTGGACGACGAGTTGACACTTTGAATTACACCCCATGGCTTTTTCACATACTTGCAGGACTATTGATGCTCCATTATCAACGGGATCTACTCGTTACTACGAAATTGTTGGAGGTGTAAAAAGTGGCTCAATGAACCTTTGGACCTACAGAACTCTCAAGATCGAACGAGGTTCTTGGTGTAGTGGGACCTCACTATCGCCTACAAGGAGACCAACTCTTGTGTTACTCATACCTCCCACCTTGTCGCAAGCTCAATCGACTCTCGCGGGTTTCTATCATGGAGTTGACTCTAAGATGCACGTTGAAGGGCTAAAAGTCACGTTGATCTCTAACCACTAAGAGCAGCAACAGCTGGAAACATTGCAGTATTGGAGGATGACAATGGAGTAATGACATTGAGTACATCCAGCGAAAACCACAGAGATATGGACTTAAGGGTCTAACGGTTTTCGTCGCACTGGAGACCGGGAAGGTCCAAGGCCGCATTCACGTATCAAGTGATATATTCTTGATATAGTCGAGAGATCAAAATTTTGATAGGATTCGCGGCTTTTTCCCCCATGCATTGGTTCCAGATCATTGTGTATCGGTAACTGATTAATTTTTGACTTCAACTGCCCGGACCAAGAAACTGATCTCACAAACAGGTAGTCGCTCTGTACGAGCACGGCTGGTTCTCAGTCACCATACCATGTATCCCAAACCAAAAGAAACGGATCCTCCAAACGGGTTGGTTTCTGGTCACTATGTATTCCAGACTGCAAGCGCCCAAACTGGGGTTAAATTCCCAGTCACTTGGCATCGCTAGATTTATTACTATGTATCCCCGACTGCAACAATTCAATTATTTCTGCCAAATCGTTGACAGCAGCGTCTATAAGATGTCCTCGTTTTTCCAGCAACACGCCATTAGTATTGTTGCGGACCAGAATCGTGGCACATCCAGCGGCCCGTCCGCACTCCATGTCGTCCCATGAATCGCCCACCATGACCATATTTTCTGGTCGTATGCGTAGATGCGTCGCGATATGCAACAACGGAGCCGGGCTAGGTTTGGTGGGGCGAAACTCCCGCGTCAAAATGTGGTGGAAACGGTCGAGTTCCGGAGGCACAAACTTGGAAATGAGGTGACGCACGGCCGTCATCAGATTTCGGGTGCAGATGCCCGTACTTACATTATGCAGTGTCAAAAATCGCAACAATTCTAGCAGTCCCGGCTGTGGCTTCATTTCTGCCATTGCTTGGGCCTCTACTCTTTTGATCTGCAAGTTTGCCTCGTCTTGCAGTTTTTTGGAAGGTAGCTCGTCTATAAACGTTAAGATATCCATTTGAGCGTCGTGCAGTCCAACTGCATCCCGCATGGCCTCTAAAAAAACCAAGCTGTTAGTAAACCCAAGGAAAATAACCCCGTGTCGCTATATCTTAAACATACTGAACATCCACGACTGCGGCAGACAAAGCGTGCCATCCATATCGAAAACAATTGCTTTAATGGCCGTTTGACTTGGCAAACTTGGCCTTAGTTTCATCAACACACCCATCACTGTGAAATAACGGCTCGAGCACCTTGAACTTTCTATAATCGTGTGTATCTCACTCGAGATAACCGTAGGTCAATATCACCAAATCTATAATAAATTAGCATCTCAACCAATATAAGAATATCAAGTCTAACGCCTGAAAGTTGAATAACTTGGACTCGATCTACACTATATAAACCTTTTAAGAACACCAGACATGGCCTCAGCGGTTCCTTATGATCCTTACGATGATATAGACAACAATCCCTTTTCAGAACCGGCACAAACAGCTGAAATTGGTCCAGAAACACATCCTGCCGAAAATCAGGGCCAGATTGAACAAGCTAAGACCTCAAACCCAGAAAATGAGAATAAAGACGAACCACAGCAGCCGATTTCTGAATTGCTCCCGGAGCGGCACTCGCAAGCGAAAAAATTCCAATTGATGGTAAAAGTCACCGGCCTGGAAAGAGTAGGGACGTATACTTATAAAAAGGATAACCCAACAGTCCAATTTGACGTTTCGACAAATTTGCCCACTTTCCGCAAACAACAGCACCGGAACGTGAAAAAGACCATGACCGAATTCCAGAACCTTTTTTCATTTTTGAATGGGGCCACTCCTGAAACTTTTGTGCCAGCACTTCCGCTTCCCAGCACAAACTACGGGATCAGCAACTCCGAAGATTACAACAAGACATTGAAAAACTTCCAAGAATGGTTCGACCGCATTTCAGCCGATCCACTTTTACTCCGAAGCGCAGAACTCGCGTTCTTCATCGAAAGTGATTTCAATACATACACTCCGGTTGGCAAATTGAAAAATACTCCAGTTACGGGACTAAAACGCAAAACTCTCAAGCAATTGACCCCACCGTACGACGAATGTCTAGAACTGGCGGAGTTCAGGCCCTTGGTCAAGTCGATACACCACTTGAGTAAAGACATTCAAGTCAAGCTGTTGAAACTATGCAAGATACGCAAAACGCTCTCGCAAGATGAAAATGCGGTGGGACAAGGCTTCAAAGAACTGGCTCAGGACTCCTCCCACGCCAAATCGCACGGAAAATTCTACCTCAAGTTTGGAAAGACTTTAACGGCTGTAGGTGACATTGATAGCGTTATGGCAACGTTGGATGCGGCTACTTTGTACGATGGCTTAGAGTGGATTGGCGAAGAAACTTATACCGTGAAGGAGGCCCTGACGAATCGCCACTTTCTAATGCGCGAGCTGTTGCAAGCGCAACAAAACTCCAAGTTTAGACAAGAACAAGCTCGCAAATTGCGCGCCAAGAGGGATGTAAGTCCGCTAAAAGTTGACGACGCGATTCGGGCCCTTAAGACGGCAACTACGGCCGAACATGAGCTGACGCTAAAGCTACGCCGTATCACGATGAATATGTTGCTGCAGAAACAAGAATGGTTGGAATGGTTCAATACGTTTTTGATCAATTGCATTAAGGAATACACAATGCGCAAAATTGAATATGAACGCAAAAAGCTCTCGCTCTTGGAAAGGATACGAAGTGACGTGAGAGCGGTTGATGAATCTGGTGGACTGTCGCGTCTTGGCCGCGGTACTCGTACGGGACGAGACGCGTCTGCGGTGATCAAGCCGTCGCAAACGTCGCAGGGCGACAGTTGGACAAGCGACCCAAGATCGCATGCTTTTGAGCCTTCTGTTTTGAAGACCGAGTTTGATGCATCCATAGACACTGAGCCAGAAGATGTTAGTGTAGCGGAGGATCGGTACGCGTTGGACGCTAAAAGCGCAGCACATCTACTGGGTACGAGCACATTCTAGGGAAAATAGGGTATGGATGTAGGAATAGCACGATCGTGGATGGATAGTGCTCGCTCGGCCCTCTCTCCCCCCTCCAAAAAACCGTGAAGAACTGAAATCTGACGCTACGATTCCGTCGTCGTATACAATGCTATAGAGGAGGATCGTGCGTCAGCGCTGCATATCTGTTCGTCACACTCGTGGAAACAAAGAAGAGTTTGAACAGCAGGGACAGAAATCCATAAGTCTGCGAAACGTGGCATATCATCAGGGTACGGATGGAGTTCAAATTTCGTCAGGTGGCTTGCCAATAGGATTTGAAATTCGAATCAATAGAAATAGTCCCTTCGATAGTGGAGACTCGTATAGAAAACATTCTCCACCAAAGTAAACCACGTCGGTTCACGACCACCACAGTCATCGCCAGATCACCCCTACAACAACTACTACTACTACTACCAGTATACCAACAGTGTACCACTCTACGTACAAAGTGACAAGTTTCCCAGTATTATTTTCGTCTCTTCAGGGGCATCACAGATTATTCAGGAACCTTTCTATTCGTTGCCTCAGTCGCATTTATCCCAGATCGTTTCGTTTTCCACGTTCTAAATATTTTCACCGTATACTCGGACCTACTCAAGTAAATTTCCCCAGCGTAGCTCTTGGGCCGGCATCGGTACGTTTTCTTCGCAGAAGAACTCGCACCAAGTGTCCGAAAAAGGCAATTATTGTCAATTATGCCCCGTTCCGTGTTTTCACCCACGCACTGAAAAAAAAAAGATATCAAGCTCCCATGAGGTCTGCAATATAAGGCCAGCGTAATAACCCTGAGATTTTAACTTATCCTTTCAGGCCATTTTCTGTTCTTCTGACCTACACTTGTTGGTTAGTTTTTGGGAAGTTTCTTCTTGATCTTCTTCTTGCCTCAGTTAGACCACTCCCACAGCTCTTCAAGTACATCACCCAAACGCAATGGTCGCTTTCACTGTGGACCAGATGAGGTCCCTTATGGACAAGGTCACTAACGTGCGTAACATGTCGGTTATTGCACACGTCGACCACGGTAAATCGACTTTGACCGATTCTTTGGTTCAAAGAGCCGGTATTATTTCGGCTGCCAAGGCCGGTGAAGCCCGTTTCACTGACACCAGAAAAGATGAGCAGGAACGTGGTATCACTATCAAGTCTACTGCCATTTCTTTGTACTCTGAGTTCTCTGACGAAGATGTCAAGGACATCAAGCAGAAGACCGTTGGTAACTCGTTTTTGATCAACTTGATCGATTCGCCAGGTCACGTTGACTTCTCTTCTGAAGTTACTGCTGCTTTGAGAGTCACTGATGGTGCTCTAGTTGTTGTGGACACCGTTGAAGGTGTGTGTGTGCAAACCGAGACTGTGCTAAGACAGGCTCTTGGTGAGCGTATCAAGCCTGTTGTTGTCATCAACAAGGTTGACCGTGCTTTGCTAGAATTGCAGGTCAGCAAGGAAGACTTGTACCAGTCTTTCTCCAGAACCGTTGAAAGTGTCAACGTTATCATCTCCACCTACGCCGATGAGGAATTGGGTGACATGCAAGTCTTCCCATCCCAGGGTACCGTTGCCTTCGGTTCCGGTTTGCACGGTTGGGCTTTCACCATCCGTCAATTCGCCAACCGTTACGGTAAGAAGTTTGGTGTCGACAAGTCTAAGATGATGGAACGTCTATGGGGTGACTCTTACTTTAACCCAAAGACCAAGAAGTGGACCAACAAGGAAACCGACGCTGACGGTAAGCCTCTAGAGCGTGCTTTCAACATGTTCGTGTTGGACCCTATCTTCAGACTTTTCGCTGCCATCATGAACTTCAAGAAGGACGAAATCCCAGTCTTGTTGGAAAAGTTGGAAATCAACCTAAAGAGTGACGAAAGAGACTTGGAAGGTAAGGCCTTGCTAAAGATTGTTATGCGTAAGTTCTTGCCTGCTGCCGATGCTTTGCTAGAAATGATTGTCATGCACTTGCCATCTCCAGTCACTGCTCAAAACTACAGAGCCGAGCAATTGTACGAAGGTCCAAACGACGACCCAGCCTGCATTGCCATCAAGAAGTGTGACCCTACTTCCGACTTGATGCTTTACGTGTCTAAGATGGTTCCTACCTCCGACAAGGGTAGATTCTACGCCTTCGGTAGAGTCTTCGCCGGTACCGTCAAGTCCGGTCAAAAGATCAGAATTCAAGGTCCAAATTTCGTTCCAGGTAAGAAGGACGATTTGTTCATCAAGGCCGTCCAAAGAGTTGTCCTGATGATGGGTAGATTTGTCGAGCCTATCGATGACTGTCCTGCCGGTAACATTGTCGGTTTGGTCGGTATTGACCAGTTTTTGTTGAAGACTGGTACTTTGACCACCTACGAAAGTGCTCACAACATGAAGGTCATGAAATTCTCTGTTTCTCCAGTTGTGCAAGTCGCCGTCGAAGTCAAGAACGCCAACGATTTGCCAAAGCTTGTCGAAGGTCTAAAGAGATTGTCCAAGTCTGACCCTTGTGTCTTGTGTACTATGTCCGAATCTGGTGAACACATTGTCGCCGGTACCGGTGAATTGCACTTGGAAATTTGTCTATCGGATTTGGAAAACGACCACGCCGGTATTCCTTTGAAGATCTCTCCTCCTGTGGTTGCTTACAGAGAAACCGTTGAAGGTGAATCTTCCCAAGTCGCTTTGTCCAAGTCTCCAAACAAGCATAACAGAATCTACTTGAAGGCTGAGCCAATCGAAGAAGAATGTTCTCTAGCCATTGAGAGCGGTAAGATCAACCCAAGAGACGATTTCAAGGCTCGTGCCAGAGTCATGGCTGACGACTACAACTGGGATGTCACTGACGCCAGAAAGATCTGGTGTTTCGGTCCAGACGGTAACGGTCCTAACGTCGTTGTCGACCAGACTAAGGCTGTGCAGTACCTAACTGAAATCAAGGACTCTGTTGTCGCTGCTTTCCAATGGGCTTCCAAGGAAGGTCCTATTCTCGGTGAACAAATGCGTTCCGTCAGAATTAACATCTTGGATGTCACTCTGCATGCCGATGCTATCCACAGAGGTGGTGGTCAAATCATCCCAACCATGAGAAGAGCTACTTACGCTGGTTTCTTGTTGGCTGAACCAAAGATCCAGGAACCTGTTTTCTTGGTCGAAATTCAATGTCCAGAACAAGCCGTCGGTGGTATCTACTCCGTCTTGAACAAGAAGAGAGGTCAAGTCGTCTCTGAAGAACAAAGACCAGGTACTCCATTGTTCACCGTCAAGGCCTACTTGCCAGTTAACGAATCTTTCGGTTTCACCGGTCAATTGAGACAAGCCACTGGTGGTCAAGCTTTCCCACAGATGGTGTTCGACCACTGGGCCACTCTAACTGCTGACCCATTGGACCCATCTTCCAAGGCTGGTGAAATTGTCCTTGCTGCTCGTAAGAGACACGGTATGAAGGAAGAAGTGCCAGGCTGGCAAGAATACTACGACAAATTGTAAGAAAGTTCTTAGCACAGCTATCTACTTTCACGTTTTGCTCGTAGTCATATTAACTTCGGAAACATACTGAGCGTTTATAACCTTGTAGAACCGATTTAATTCTATTGTATATTTCTAACTTTAAAAGGATCTCAAAATAAGTTCGTTTGTTTGCCTTGTGAGCTTTTGAGCTTGTTCAACTTTGTTGACAACTTCGTTGACAACTTGGCTAACAATATCATCAAAAGATAACTCTTATATCAACAGAAAGTGATCTTCCTGATGATACTCGAAACTAAAAAGAACCCCCACTTGTGTTAATGATTTTAGGTTGTACGTTTCCAACCTGAACTTCTGTTGTACCACACTTAAAGCATCATGTCACTTCCTGAAGATCTAAAACCGTTGTACACGGAATGGCTGGGAATAGAAACAGAAAAAGCTGCCCAAAAGAGTGAGAAACTGGGCGTCGTTTATGCCAAAGCTTTGGAGAATTTGAAGACGCATGAAGCAACTCTTTTTCATCCGAATCAACTGCTAGCTGTCAAGGGAATTGGCAACAGAATCAAAAATGTTTTGCGAGACCGTTTGCACGCTTATTGCCAGGAATCCGGGTTCCAGTTACCGCTGGATCCTGCTTTGCGCGTAGAAAACCTTGAAAAACGGCAAAGGACCAAAATACGATCGTTGCACGCTACGGATGACCTTGATGACCATCAACCTTCCAAAAAAAGGCGCAAATACGTACCTAAACGGAGGTCAGGAGCCTACGCAATCTTACTGGCATTGTTAGAAGCCCATTCATCTCGTCAAGGGTCTTCCAAAATCGAAATTGTGGCTATGGCTGGCAAATACTGTGATCATAGTTTTAGCTCCAATCCCGCATCCCGCGATTTCCATAGTGCATGGAGTTCAATCAAGACTCTTCTAGCTCGTGAGCTGGTTGTCGAAGAAGGACGGCCCAAGCGCTACATTTTGACCGAAGAGGGTGAAGATATGGCCCATTCTTTGAAGAAAACCGATCAGATTGAATTCGAAGACGAGTTGGCTTATCAAAATCGTCTGAACACACAAAGATCAGGGTCCCCGCAACGGGACGATAGTGACTCACCGGATTTCTCCGTCAACTATTCTGCATTGATGGAAGCTTCGGCTTCTCCAAGCACGAAAAATCCTTCAATTGCATTAGCTCGCCAAGAAAGCGTTCTTCATCAAGACTCTACACCTTTCCTCTCTCAGCAAGCCGGTTTAAGAGAAGACTCTTTCACAGGTCAGAGTCCACCACAAATACCCGCCAGTCCTTTGAAGAAAGTGCGAGACAACATAGTCAGAGCCCGTTGGGAAGGTATTAGCTACGAGTTCTGGAATCCCGGTAGTTATGAGATTGTGCTCATCATTGACCACCGAGAGGTTAAATCCAAACAAGAGCGTGAGTTCTTCGCAACGCAGCTGCAAGCCAGGGGCGTCTCTGTTGAAACACGACAACTTTCACTCAGTGACATGTTGTGGATCGCACGGAACAAAGTTAGCAAACGTGAATGTGTTCTTAACTTCATGTTAGAAAGGAAAAGGCTTGACGATTTTGCCATGAGTATTATGGATAATCGGTTTGTGGAGCAGAAAAACAGGCTAAAGAAGACCGGTTGTAAAAACATTCATTACCTCGTGGAAGATACAGTAAGCGATACGGCCAATCGTATGGCAGATGCCATTAAGACTGCTGTTTGGATCACAGTTATCTACAATGGGTTCCATGTCAAAAGGACGAAAAACTCAGACGGCACTGTGGCTTGGCTCAAAGGTATGACCCAGACGATTGAAAGCTACTACACTGAGAAAGCTTTGTTGGTGATGAGTCCCCGAGATTTGAAGAGCCAAGAAGACTATTTCAATACATTACACAGGTTTCGTGAACAATTCGAGCGCAATGAACATCTCGAATGTTGTCAACGGTTCGATTGTTTCCAAGAAATAATGGATAAAAGGTCATTAATGACAGTGAAAGAACTATATCTTCGTGCTCTTTTGACTAACAAGGGTGTTTCTTTGGAAAAAGCCATCTCAATTCAAAACAAATTCCCCACTTTGAAGTCTCTACTACTAGCATACCGGCGTTGCGATACAGAGGCTGCTGGTAAGAATCTGATAGCTGACGCGCTAAAAAATGAACCCGGGACGAGGAAAATCGGTAAAGCCCTGTCTGAAACCCTATGGTGTAGTTTTGGAAAGTCCTAGCCGTCTGGCTTGGTGCGGGTTTAGTGATACTTTCTATACACGTAGTGAACATCTATTCCATTCTCGAAAACTTGTCCGATCTCTTCTAGAGATAATCCCTTGACTTCAGGATACCAAAAGTAAACGAAACACCAATTCAGAGCAGTCATCACGGTAAATAGAGTCATTGTGCACTCGTTACCGAATCCTCTGACCAACGGAAGGAAGGAAATTGATAATGCCGAGTTGGTAAGCCAGTTGGTACACGTAATACAAGAAGCCCCAAACGACCTCTGATTCAAGGGCAAAAATTCAACGCTCATCCATGGAATGGCGCCCATTCCAACTGCATAGGCCGCCACGTATACCAACAATGCTGCCAAAAAGGTAGCGGGAACCTTGTATTGGAATCCAACCGTGCTGACAATTAGTCCAAGAGTCATTATCCAAATAGTGTGAAGGAGAACACTTCGCCTTCCTGATCGGTCGACAACATACATTGCAACGATGGTGAAGAGAAAGTTAATGGAAGCTACAGCCACCGCTGGTAAAAGTGGGTCTTCGACGCCAATTTTTGAGAAAATGAAAGGCGAGTAGTAAACAAATGCATTGAAGCCCGTCGACTGTTGGAAGAACATGAGAACGCAACCCACTATAAGGGCTCGGCGTGTTCTTGGGTCCATCTTAGTACGTCCACCACGTTGCGCTGTTGCTCCAGCCATATTACTCGTAGTTTCTGAGATCAAAGCTTCTATGTCAAAGGAATCATTACGCGCTGAATAAGATGAGCGTAGAAGAGGCGCTGATTCTTCTTCATTGGTGCTTATGCTCGACATATTGTTCACAAAACTTACCAATTTGTTAACTATTTCGATCTTGGATGCTTTGGGATAGATAACATGTAGTGATTCTTGAGCTGCTCGCGGATTTCCAGTAAACAGCAGCCATCTTGGAGACTCCGGTAGCGAGTTGACAAGTAAAAGTAGTACTACGGCTGGTAGCCCACCTAATGCAAAAAGTATTCTCCATCCACCTGTGTGGTTGTGTATAAACCATGAAAGTACACATGAGAATAATTGACCACTGGTAATAGCAAGGGTATTAAGGGCCAAAATTGTTCCCCTCGCCGAACTTGGGGAAACCTCACTCAGATATATTGGTATGCACTGCGCCGCGATTCCCACAGCTATTCCCAAGAGGAGTCGGCCTGCGACTAGAGCGGGAAGTGATTGCGCAGACGCCATGTCAATTGCTGCAATTGCAAAAAGCATGGAGCAAAGGCCAATTGTGCGTTTGCGGCCCAAACGGTCAGCCAACGGGAACGCGCATATGGAACCAATAAAGGCGCCAAGACCTGCGGTTCCGGTGATGAAACCTTTTTGGTAATCCTTCAATTCTTTTAATCCCAAATCCTGGGGCCGTAATGACATCAAAACCCCAGCAATGGTGCCTCCGTCGTACCCAAACAGAAGTCCCCCGATCGATGCGCTGATGTATATTTTGGCAGTTTTCCAGCTTAGCGGATACTGTCGAAGGTCAATATCATTAGCCGTAGTATCAGTTACTTGCGAATAAGCAGTATATATGTCAGTAAAGGGATCGTTGCGGCTTCTGTCGTTTGAGGACTCCGCTGCCATGATATGTAACTATTTGAATGATACGGGTTGGTCCCTGACCATAGAATGGGGCTAGAAAAGAGGTTGAAGAACTAAATTATATGTAATGGACACTAATTACCTCTTGAAGAGTAAAGGTTTGAAGACTCAATGGGGTTTTCTAGTAGGTTTAGCTGAAGTTTATTCTCGATCCAACCGGGACTGAACTCTTAAATTATGTAGTCTATATGAACCAATTTACCTAAAACGAAGTTGGAGCCTCGAGTCACGTGATAGAAAGAGAGTTAAAATCTCATTGAGATTCAAGCTGACGACGGCAACTGTGGCGAGCGTATATCTAATATTTCGCTGTGTGGTTGGTTGAAATTTGTAGTGGCTCAGGGATAGCTCTAATTTCACCCGAAATAGTCAGTGATTTGATTCTTTTCGTTATTCAAATACAAGAGCGTTTGTCGAGCTGTGTGTGATTATTCCGTTGCGGGACTGAATTTAAAATTTAGTAATGGTAAATCAGGGTGGGTACTCTAGTTTTAAATTGCCGTTCAAAGGTTCTGCTATTTTCTCTCCTAAATTGTATTGTGAATAAATTGTTGTTGCTCGAACGTAGAAACGGGGTCTAATACAGTGTGTATGGTGTTTCAAGACACGTTGATTTCAACCAATTGATACAGTTTGACTATTCTTTTTTGTAGCAGGCTCATGCTTGATAGCACAAGGTCTTTATATTAAATAGACACTTTAAACTGACATAGGTGACAGAGTAGGAGAGAAGTGATAAATGAACATGTTCATGGGGTGAGCCAGTGGGTTGCTATAAACGTGAAGTTGATTGCTCGGCTACATCAGGGATTGAGTGCTGCTAAAGGTAAAAGTCAGCTACTAACCTTAATAGTGGATGCTCATATCAGTGACTCTTTTTATATCCATCGTCAGACTCACCTCGGTCACGTGATAAAATGACAGCGACAGAAGGACAGGAGGTTCGGACTTTTAAACGATGCTCTTCTGCTAATGCGGATGAGTTACGATCAAAAGGCTGTACTTGAATCAACTTTCGTCTTTCTTTGAGGTCTCGACTACGTGTGTGAAGTCCCATGAGAGTGTTCATGCTCGCTGTCGAGTTAAGAGTGGGCCTCTAAAGTGTCTTGTTACGACGACCGTTCCATACCCCTTGTGATGTCCTCTTTAGTAAGTAAGTGAGTGCTTGCACCTTAGTTTTCCATCCGCTGTTAAGAACAAAAAGGATCGTCCCAGAGCTTGGACAGACAAATCACCATCTATGGGAGTGAGAAGTTTTCATTTGGACTTAAGTGCAACGCCAAAAAAATCTTAATTATAAACAGAGGAAACCTCTGCTATTCAGTGCGCTTGGCTCGACCGGTGGTTCGAAATTCAATGACTTGTAGTCGTTCAACTCTTTTGGTCACTTTTTCAAAACCTGTCGCTTCATGACATCACTATATACGAACCTTCTCTAATGTTTCCAACGTCACGCATTAGAACAGTGTCCGGAACTATAACTCTCTCCCAAAAAGATGTAGATAAGAGGTTAATACCCGCTTCAACCATTCAGTTTCCATTACAGTCAAAACGTATAAATTCGTCAGAAGTCACGTGACAAGAAACTAGATTCTCACTTCAACGCTAAGGAGACATAAGTTTAGGCAAAATCCAAGTGACCACTAAACATTTCTGTAAGATCTTCAATCATATCACCCATCACAACATTTTCAATACCCTCTCTCTCGTACTAAAACTCCAAAAATTATTAGCTTTACGATCCTGTCATGTGACTTTCTCATCAAGGCTCCGGATATCAATTTAGTAGTTAAATGAACTCATCATCAAGTTCATCCGCCAATTACACCTTTGCCTTGAAAGGGGTTACAACATTCAAACCTATAAACACTCTTACACCAAGAGCTCCGCTGCAAAGACATCCTCACTAACAAAAATGAGTTTTAAAGGCTTTACCAAGGCGGTCAGCAGGGCTCCTCAAAATTTCCGTCAGAAATTCAACATGGGTCAGCAGACAGAAGACGCGGTTTATGAAGATGCGGAAAGACGGTTCAAAGAGCTGGAAGGCGAGACGAAAAAACTCAGTGACGAGTCCAAACGGTATTTCACGGCTGTCAATGGCATGCTGAACCATCAAATAGGGTTCGCCAAGGCCATGGAGGAGATTTTCAAGCCGATTAGTGGGAAAGTAAGTGATCCCAATGCTACCATCCCAGAAGACAATCCAGAAGGAATTGAGGCAAGTGAACAGTACCGTGAGCTGGTGGCCGAGCTGCAAGTGACTTTGAAGCCTGACTTGGAGCTTATTGACGAGAAAATCGTCAAACCGTCGCAGGAATTGCTTAAGGTGATCGATTATATCCGGAAAATGGCCACCAAGAGAAACCACAAGAAATTGGACTTAGATCGTCATTTGAATACCTACACAAAATACGAGACCAAGAAGGAACCCAACCCCAAAGACGAGGAGAAACTTTACAAGGCCCAGGCGCAAATGGAGGTGGCTCAACAGGAATACGACTATTACAACGACATGTTGAAAAACGAACTACCCATACTCTTTGAGCTGGAGGCCGAATTTGTCAAGCCGCTGTTTGTGTCTTTCTATTACATGCAGCTGAACATTTTCTACAGTTTGTACAACCGCATGCAGGACATGAAGATCCCGTATTTCAACCTGGACACGGACATCTTGGAGGCGTATACGGCGAAACGGGGCAATATCGAAGAACAAACAGACTCGCTGACGATCACGCGGTTCAGAGTTGGTTACGGCAAGGCCAAGTTGGAGATGACCCGCAAAAAATATGGGGTGTCATCGCCCACCAGCCCCGGGTCGCCTGTGACACCTGTAACGCCGCAATTCGAGACTGTGGGTGCCGCTCCCGGTGGCTACAATCCGCCCCCATACCCCGCAGGTCAACAGCAATCCTACCCGGTTGAAAAGGCCGCCTACGTGCCTGCAGCTGTACAACAGCCGGCCGCCTACGCTGCATACACACCACCTACCACGGCTCCAGCTCCAGCTCCAGTCGCGCCCGTAGCGGAAACCGTCACTGCGTTGTACGATTACCAGGCCCAAGCCGAAGGTGACTTAACTTTTCCTGCTGGGGCTATCATACAAGTCGTAGATCGCACTGACAGCACTGAAGGCTGGTGGACAGGAGTGTACAACGGCTACCAAGGTGTTTTCCCAGCAAACTACGTTCAATTGAACTAAAACCAAATGCGAGTCACATGATATTTGTATCACGTGGTATCAGTCACGTGCTGTTTTCTACTCACGTGATGTAGATTTTCTGTCTATAATTACCACATAGTAAACCTTTAAATTGTTTCAACTATAATAGTAAACTTGAGCTTGAACTCATCACCATAAACTTTCAGTCACGTAACTTCCACACAACTGCCGCCCTAGCGCTGTTGTTTTGGAGTTAAAGGACCCGCATCAGTGCCGTCAGGAGCCCCGACACGAATTACAACCACACCCATTCACAGCAGACGCGTATGCTTGCCGGTAAGGGCATGGAGCAGCAGCATCAACAGCAGCAGCAGGAGACTAAGAATCCAGACATTTCGCCGTCGAAGAACCACTTGACCCAATGGTGGAAACAGATCCGTAACAACCCGAAAAGCATGTCGTCGGACTCGCTTTCTGTCGCAGGTAGTGCAGAGGAGTCGTCGTCGTCGTCCAGGTTACGGCCCGTTTTGATGTCTCATTCGCGATCCTTCAACAGCAAAACACCAAGTGACGAATTTCGATCGTACCGGGACTCGTTTTTGATGAATCGCAACCAGTTCATGGGCCAGGTGTTTGGAGTACCGTTGTCGCAGTCGTTGAGCGTGGCCAGCGCAGAGGTGATTGTGCAAAGTGAATTGGAAAGTTTTGGACGAATTCCTATTCTAGTGGCCAAATGCGGAGCGTTTTTGAAAGCCAACGCGCTGCAAACCTCGGGAATTTTCCGCATTGCAGGTAACAACAAGCGGGTCAAGGAGTTGCAATACATTTTTTCTACTCCACCAAGCTACGGAACCAAACTGGGCGATTGGGACGGGTTTACGGTGCATGACGCTGCATCTGTGCTGCGTAGATTTCTCAATAACCTCGATGAGCCTCTCGTTCCGCTTGATATCTACGAAAGGTTCCGCAAGCCGTTGCAGGACAGGCCTCGAATCTTGAAGCATCTGGCACAAGGAATGGTACGAAGTCAATACGAAGAAGTCTCTTCTGCTTCAGCAGGGCCTGATGCTAACAACCTAGGTTTTACTTCAATAGACCCAGAAGATGAAGCGAAGCAAAAAATGAAGGCACTTCGCCATAAAAAACGACTTTCGCGCGATATCAGGGCAGCTCTCAAGGAATATGAAACACTCTTCGGTGCTTTATCATCTGATGCTCGGCAACTTTTGATCTATTTGCTAGATCTACTCAGTTTGTTTGCACAACAAGCCGATGAAAATCTGATGACGGCCCGTAATTTGGCAGCTGTGTTCCAACCATCGATCATATCACACCCACACCACGACATGGACCCCAAGGAATACGAGTTGTCTAGACTTGTAGTCGAGTTCCTTATCGAATACTCGTATAAACTACTACCGCACTTGCTCAAGCATCATCGCTCGACTTCAAAGGTTGCAACAGTCAAGCCCCTGGCAGAAAAATCTGCCATTCCTCAGCAACAGAAAATCATTTTACCTCAAACCATTATTTCACCAGAATCAGAAAGTATGACAGGGCCACAAAATGGTCAACCGATACCCACAACGCCCACAGAACATACTACCAAAAACCTTGAAGAACCCTCCCAAGCACTAACGCCTCCAAGTCCTTCCTTCTTGGGTAAACCCAAACTTGTACCGAAGAGCAGACCCCACAGCAAGTCTTTAAGCTACACCCTAAATGCTTCCGATATCATTTCAGGAAAACGAAGTTCGCGACTCTCTTGGCTCAACCGCGTTCTGTCAAATGACACCGCAGAGCTCAGTGGTACCGAAGAGGAAGGAGAAGAGGGAGACTACGACGACATTCACTCTCCAGGAAGTACACATTCGGGGTCAGTTCCTAAACAGAATTTTCTGGCACTACCCCGTCCACACGCTCCCAGAACTATGAGTGGCAACAGTAATAATTCGGGCGGTACTCGACCCTTGTCAGAAGTCATGAATAAATCACTAGAAGAAATCAGCGCTTCTCTAGGATGGCGAAGAAATAGCAACACCGATAATTCTGCTGTGGGCACCGATGACGAGAGCGATTCGCGGAATAGGTCAAGATCTGTGCGCAGAAACTCTTGGCTAAGCAAACTGCGAAGCCGTTCGCGATCTGCAAAGGCAGAACGCACTTGAGCATGTAGCATTCTATTGTAACTAAATAATAAATTATCGGGTCACACTTGGAATTTGTGCTGTTTTAGTCCAGTATGACAACACCTTCGTCGTGCGTCGTGGCTGATTTTTTAGAAGGTGGTAAAGATGACGATGACTCTTCATCTTCTAAAGGCCGCTTCTTCTCATTCTTATCTTCTAAGGCATCCAAAATTATTTCGCCTGAAGCGGTACTCTCTATGGCGCCAACAGCATCATCAGTCTCCTCAGTAGATGGGATGACCTTAACGAGAGGAACTTCTATGTTGGGAAGTCGGAGTTGCGCATCTTTAACTTCATCAAGATAAAACTCCGTCGTGCAGCGAACCTCATCCGCAACGCTCTCATCTGAGATTGAAAGAATAATGCCGTGCTTGAGGTTTAGTTCAGCTAATGTTTTGTCGAGCAGATCTTCAAAATCATAATCTGCAAGAAGTCTTTGGGTAGATTTATCGAGAATAGACACTTCTCCTTCAAACCTGTATTTTTCTTGTATTTTCTGGATGAGCTCTGAAAGCGTTGTAGTCTTCAATGCCTCTTGTGAAACATGCAAAACCCCACGCGCTATTGAGCATACTGGACATTTTGGGTTAGGATGTGCCAGTTGTGGGTTCGATATGTAGCGGTTGCTAGAGATATTGCTCGCTTTCGAAGTGAATGCCATGTTGAGCTCCTGAGCTTTAGCCTCTGGCTGATTCTTTATGAGATTTAAAACTCTGAGTGATGCAAGTGCGGAAAGGCCAGAAATAATAGCGTTAGTGGTTGCAATCGCGGGAATGATATTACCAGCAATTTGCTTAATGTCAAAGAGGGACTTCAGAGGTAACTTGAAAATGTGAGCGCGGATGTTTGCCGCTGTTGTGACGAATTCTAAGGTGTCTTGATCATCTTTATCAAATTCTATCTGTCCCTCTTCAGGGAGTCTCTTCATAAGACGTTGCGTGGAAAGTACAAATGCGTTGACCTGTTCTTGTATGGTCCAAACCGAACTTAAGTCAGTATTAACAATTCCATCAACTTCAATGTCTGGCAGCGGGACTGGCTTTTCGCGCGTTTTCCACAGTTCTTCAATGGCCAGTAGTTTCTGTATGTCTTGGACAAATATTTTTTTAATAATCTCCGGGATCTTAGACTCATCACCGGCCCTGACATACTCTTGCAGCTCAAGCAGCTCATTAGTCTCCTGCTGTATTCTCTTTATTTCTTCCGGATTATCAGTGCCAAGGTCGCCGTCGCCAATTGTTGAGCCGCTGGACGCAAAGAGCTGTGCGAAAAGGAAGTTCTTGGCCCAAACAATACAGTGAATGGGTTGTGAAGGGGTCGATCTGATAGTACACACTGGGAAAGTTTTTGGTGTTTCCTTAGTGGTACAATCGAAGCATTCTGTCGAGCCAGGAATTATAGGTTGAATATACCCGTCAAACCCTGCAGTGCCACTTTCCAGTAGAGGCTTGTGCAAGAACTGGGCCATTTGATTGACGTAGCGACGGGCCTCCAGATTGTCGAGGGCATTGAAAATGATGGCGAATTGGTCAAACCAGCTCAGCGGGAACGTTTCTACATCCATGATGTTTGCTGTATGTGCCGTAAGCTTAGAATTGCTGACATGCTGGATCGCTTTGATCGCAGTTGTTGATTTTGGCTGTTTAATATCACGATGTCTAAACAAAAACTGGCGATTTAAATTCGAGAGATCAATTGTATCCAAATCCACAATATCGATTGACCCAAACCCCATCAACACCAAGTTTTTCAACAGTTCACATCCTATTCCACCTGCTCCCACCAATAAAACGCCTGAATTACGCAGTTTTTGATAATTTTCAGACCCCAAAAGTCTCTGGTTGACAGAGCTAGTATCAGACATTATTCGCAGGGATCTCAAGAGTTTGGAACACAAGATAAAGGCTCAACTAAGGTATCTCTCGGGTGCTTTGACGCTATGTGATCATTGGACATACATCATCTCACTTCTTATACATATGGCTAGGACATCGAGAATGAACCCTTCGTGCGAGAGGATAAACATGAACTTTAACCACTACCAACCACATTCAACAACACTTGGGCGGCTAGAGGAGGTTATAGGACGTGAAGGGCGTTTTGTAGCGGCTAAGATACTGTTTTACTAGTTTAGAAGTGGCCAATCAGCAACTTTTTGGCTTTTCTACGATGGTTTTAGCTTCACTGTCAGAACTGATACGAGAGCAAGTAAAACCTCCCGGTTTCAAGACCCTTATGAGGTGCAAGCAACTGTGAGGTACAAGCAAGTGTAATGTACTATTGTTATGGAGGTTTGAGATGATTCAAAAGCCATGGGACCGTTTTTAGTGTGAAACTCGTTGCAGAAAGTCTTGAAACGCTCGGCGGCAGGGAAATGTGGAAGACTAGAATTATCGGTCTGGGGATATACGATGGATACATTGGGAGGGCCTTGAATAGGATTCCTTGATGAAATAAACAACGACTGCGATGTTTCTTTTGGGAGTAAGTGATGGGATACGCAACGACAGTGATGTTTTCCTTTGCGGATAAGCGATGGGAACACAACGACTGTGACTACTGTCTTGTGAAAAAGAGATGAAATATACAACGGCCACAATTTTTTCTTGGAATACACGACGACCGCCATGTTTACTCCTAGAATAAGCGATGGAATTTACAATCACCATGACGTTTGCCTTGCAAATTACCGGGTATTAATGCTGCAGAAATTGTTCTCAACACACAAAAGTTAAACTTCTCAGCCCATCTACAGTCCATTCCAAAGACAGCAAGATAAACTTATTCTCTTTTATCAACCCTCAATGGCTCAAGTGCTCATGCAAGCACTTAATTCGAATTATTTCGAAACTAATTCATAACCACCATCATTAAACCATTCGAGACCCCATATACACACCCCGGAAGCTTCAAAATCTCTTCAAAACAACTCGTCCATTACTAACACCATTCTCCCGCAACTCTTGAGCTAATCAACAGTCCTAGGGCCTTCTGATGACAGTTTTTAGCCAATTGTCGATTTGCTGCAAAATAAAATACTAACAACTACAGCAACGTCCGAAACAGCCTCTCTAGCACAGTCTAAACCAACCACAAGATCCTGGTCTACAATACACGTATCCATCGCTGGTTCTATCCGTCCATCTCGTGCGTTTCACGTGTGCTCATGTTCACCTGCTGCTCAATGGCCTACCTCGGATCCGAAAGACCATTCGAGATCACGACAGCCATTTGCTGGGAACAAGTGCATATAAATATATCAAAATACCAATGGCCCTGGAACTTTGAAGCTTGAGATTTGATTTACGGCCCAAGTTTTAACGCTAAAAGGTGTTCCGAAAGTCAAATAATCGGCATTTCGCTAAGCTTTTTGAAGAAAGTTAACTCAGTTTATTCGGTGGGAACTCAGGGAACTCTAGAATTAAAAAAATTCGGATATTTCAGCTTCATTCCTCGCACTTTTGGCATTGATCTCGGTTTTTTTCCACGAACTTCAATTGACACTAGTACTACAAAGTTCTTCAACTACAAACTTCATAAGCCATGTTCAAGTCTCAATTTGCCAGAAACTCTGTGAGACTCTTCGCGACGAAAAAACAGCCATCCATTGGCCGTTTCACCGGTAAGCCCGACCCAGCTACCGGAAAATACACAGTTTCTTTCATAGAAGGTGACGGTGTGGGACCTGAAATTTCAAAGGCTGTTAAGGACATTTTTGTCGCGGCCAAAGCCCCAATCCAATGGGAATCCTGTGATGTGAGTCCACTGTTCATCAATGGTCTCACCACGATCCCACAACCAGCACAGGACTCTATCAACAAGAACTTGATTGCATTGAAAGGACCACTAGCCACTCCCATCGGCAAGGGTCACAGGTCTTTGAACTTGACCTTGCGTAAGACTTTTGGTCTTTTCGCCAACGTCCGTCCTGCTAAGTCTGTAGAGGGCTACAAAACCGCATACGACAACGTTGACTTGGTGCTGATCAGAGAAAACACTGAAGGTGAATACTCTGGTATCGAGCACGTTGTTTCCCCAGGCGTTGTTCAGTCCATAAAGCTTATAACTCAGGATGCCTCTGAGCGTGTTATTAGATACGCTTTCGAATATGCAAGAGCCGTCGAAAGACCAAAGGTTTTGGTTGTTCACAAGTCTACTATCCAGAGACTAGCAGATGGTCTGTTTGTCAACGTTGCTAACGAACTAGCCAAGGAGTACCCAGACATCGAACTTCAAACCGAAATTCTAGACAAGACCGTTTTGAACACCGTTACCGACCCATCGAAGTACAAGGATGTCGTCGTCGTCTGCCCTAACTTGTATGGTGACATTTTGTCTGACTTGAACTCTGGTCTAAGTGCTGGATCCTTGGGTTTGACTCCTTCCGCCAACATCGGTCACCAGGTCTCTATCTTTGAAGCCGTTCACGGTTCTGCTCCCGACATTGCTGGACAAAACAAGGCGAACCCAACTGCTTTGCTGTTGTCCTCAGTTATGATGTTGAACCACATGGGTTTGACTGAAATTGCCGACAAGATTGAAAAGGCAGTCTTCACCGCTATTGCTTCTAGCCCAGAAAACAGAACTGCTGACTTGGGAGGCAGTGCCTCTACTTCTTCCTTCGCTGAAGCAGTCATCAGCAGATTGTAATGGAGTTGAGTTACCCGAGTTCTAAATGATATAAACCCGTTAAACTTCTCTATAAATATATCTAATCTCCATCCTTATACAAAAACTGATAATTGGAGACCTCGTCGGGTCGTTGAAACCCGCATTTCCACATCCTCAACCTCTCTCATGTTGCAGTCGATGCGGAAGAATCGCATAGTCGAATTCTCGTAGTCGAACAATGACGCCCTGATATACCGGTTTGCCCTCTATAGCACAGGCAGATGTCATTATCAAATAAAAAACAGTCATTTGCGTGTTCTCTAGCGCAACTCAATGCCTGCACCCTAGACGCCTCGTTGCTACCCAAAGATCAAATTGTGTTACATCATCCAGTCTTTCCATACTATGGAACGTTCTAACGATTGGCAATTCGTCCTTGGAACGGTAATGCGGCGTACGCGTATACTGGAAAGCTAGAGGGTATTCGATGTTCCTTTAAACATTACATCTAATTTGACTATGCGCGCCACCAAGAAATCAACATTGGAACAAGCACTGCTTGGGTCTCATATACAGATTGAGCCTTTCAATCTATTCTCGCTGCTGAACTCAATTGCGGTGATGGTGTTATTAGCGTCAAAATATGAGACAATCTCATTATCCAACTTGAACAAGTCGAAAGAGAATCCCCTCGTAAGGTTCAATATCTGACCTTTCGAAGCACACCTGGGGTAATTTTATCAGTTCGGCTGAAGTTTCACAGCAATTGTGACATTATCACTCCTTTGGGAGCCTTGTATATAATGGCTCCATGATCGGGTGTGTTATGACCATCAGTAAGATCACCAGTAAAGACAATCAAGCCGAGAGAACTTTATTCCAAGCCAAGGCGCACAAACTGTCCCGTCCAGTGACTGTTAAAGCAAGAACTTTTACACTACTCGTTTGTCAAGCAAGTCGTGTAAAGATCAGATAGTTGAAGAATATTGACTTGGTTCCATATGTTGAAAACCTCTGGGCAGGATACGAAAACAGAATCCTTGTAGTGGTCATAATCCAGATACCCTACTGCAAAAGGTGGGCCCATGTTCTGCAGCAAGCTCACAACTGCGCTTTCCACATGGGGCGCGGATTTACGAAGTCATCTGCTGCGAAAAGCTGCACATTGGTCGACAGGTTACCTTCATAATCTTAAGATGCTGAGTAACACTTACACCGCACTCCTTGTTCATCGTACTGCCAGCTTTCGCTCTGTTCCATTCAGTTTTGTGTCCCAAGACTTAAATTTTGCGTCCAGAGCTGTGGTTCTGCGTGTGCAACGTCGATGTCCATTCGAGCTTTAGTTGATTGTTGACATTTTGCAGGATTTAAATCGGAGCAACAGAATTATCCCTCGAAATGACTGAGTTCAAAGGAAGAAGATCGTCAGGGTAGCTGCGGCTGGATAAACTTACAATGATGGGCAGTGCAGTGGTGCTGAAATAAGAAGAAAGAGCTCCTCGTTGTGTAATTCAATCACAACTAACCGTCGCAAAATAACTTTGTAGTCCATATACCAAAGATAGAACTTGAGGAGTATAATTTCTAGATGGCCCAGCCTCATATTCTTGCAGTTTCCAGATTTGCCTTGACTTATTCATCCCATTATACGCTGACCAAAGTGTAGAAAAATATGCAAAGAGAGAAACAAGCGGCAAAAGTATTTTTCGGATAGCATCAGAAACTTCTGTCTTCTTGGTGTATAACCATTCAGATTCCCTGGTGTTTCTCGCAAAATGTTTCTTTTCTGGCAGTTTGTCAAGGACGGTCAGAGCCAAAAACCTAGTGCCTTGAGCGTCGTGAATGTAACCACTTACAGCAGGGAAAACAAACACTGATTGGAATAAAGAAGAAATCGAATCTCATCCGATCAAATATCTTATATCAATTCTACTTTCTTTTTGATCTGGCTGCAGTTAATCTTGACCAGAACCCTTCCGAACAAGGTTTACAAGTTTAAGAAATCCCGGTTTTGAAGAAATTTCATATCCTTTGGGTGTTAAACTGAGCTGATGGATTCCGCTCAGTTTTTATACTCAAAAGTCGATCAGGTCTTCATGATTGGAAACCCCTGTCGACTCTTCGAGAGCTTGTCGATCCTTCAAAGCAAAATTTGTACACCCTGTGTTTTTCTGTAAAGTTTCCTGTATTATCTCACTGCTCTCAATAGCGCTCTCTTTGAAATAAGTAAACATGAGCGGCGTCTCCGAGGATGCTCGCGTATGTAAACGAATCGTGTAAATGACATCTTTGGGGGTTACTGGAACAACGTCCACATCACCGGTGATACTTCTTGTCAAAACGTGGTGCCATTGCCCATTTCTTTGCCTTAGAAAATAGTTAGCAGGAGATAATACTGCAGACGTTAAAATGTATGGCTCGTCAACAATTCCAAGAGCCTTGGCTGCTTCTATAATGCCCAGTTCTGGATGTGACAAGTTATAGTCATTATTGATCTTGTGCGTCAAGTTTTTATACTCGTTCATGCAGCTGCTCTTACGGACGCTTAGATCTTCTTTGAGTTGTTCTAGAGTGGTTGTTAGAACTGAGATTTCTGGCAGCTGCTGGTTCAATCTCGAGTCCTTAGAGATGAAGTCAAGTGTGCTGTTTAGGAAAGAGTGGATCTGCTTTCCCTGGTAGCTTTTCAAATCACTCAAAGTACGCAAGGCCTTGTGGGCCTCCCCTTGAAGCTCGCGAGATTTCACCAGTACTTCGTTGATAAGAAGTTTCTTGGCCTTTTCCGTATAAATTTGGGGGTAGAATTCGAGTGGAACTTCTACCCCATTGGCGAGATCTGGGCTATCCGTGCTTTCATCCATCTCATCGAAAACAATAGTGATTAAGGGTGCTAGGTTGCCCAGGGAGTTTTGGCTGTCCTCGGAGTCGGAACCGGAGTCCTCCTCGGGGAATAAAAGCGCGTTGAACATTTTGTATAGGTTTGATTCGTATTCTTCAGGCATGAAGTGTAATAGCGAAACCAGGGTCTCTACCATGTCTGTTTCCGAGGGGGGTTTGTAGTAAGCAGTTGAAATGAGAAGATCTTTTACAGATGACATTCCGGGGCACATTTCTGCATCATTGGAAAGATTTTTGATAAAAGAAGGTAGTGCGTCGTGTAAATGTTCGCATTGATTCAATTTATCTATCACTTGCGGCTCCAAGACCTTGGTGAAGATTTTCGAACTTACAAATTTCCTTCGACTGGTCGTTGTGTTTTGAATAGCAAGTAGTTTTTGGAACTGCCACAATAGTTCTGGTTGCAAAACCAGGCTATCCTGGCCGGTGAGCTCTTCTTGTGGGACTATCGCTGCCGTTTCGTTAGATTCAAACTTGAGTCTGAATCTTGGTCTCAGTGCCTGTCCTTCGCACCATTCCTTGTTGTAAGCTAAATCCTTGAAATCCGGCTTCAAGAACCTGTGAGGGAATCCATAGCCCACTGCAAGAGCGAAAAGAGCAAAATAATTCTCCATGATTGAGTTACTGGTACCCATTTGGACGACAAGCGGATCTTGCAGATCATTTTTGATGTTCTGTACCAAATGGTGATCGTCGTAACCTGGAGCAGGATCGGGCCAGTGGTTGGATCCAGCCTCTGAGGGACTCGAGTTTTCCGTGGACGGCCTTGCGTTTTCCACGAATTCTTCCGCTTGAGGGTAGTTTCGAAGCTCTACTGTGTCCATTTGAGAGTCCTGCTGCTGTGGTAGCTCTCCTGAGAAGATGTAATTGACGGAAGCCTCGACGTTCCCGTTTGTCTTGGCCAATGCTTCGATTGCCACTTCACGAGTAATTCCCATCTCTAAAAGAGAATGAATTGAAGCTTCTGACATATTGATTGACGCGCTTCGGCTGGGTGAGATACTGTTGGATTGAAAACTACTGGTACTGTTGAAGTGCCGAAGTGTAAAGTACCACAGAGTATTTCAGAAGAACCCTGTTCTCTTTAGGTTCGAATCTCTGGTACTCGCATCACATGGTGGTGAGTACAGCTGAAGTGACGGTATACAAGCATCGTCCCTGGGTCGTGGATACCTTGCGGCTTTGGATTCGAAGTGATTGATATTCCAGGCGGAATCGGTTGTAGTTGTTCAATTGAAGCGCCTGTTCGGGTCAAGACTAATCCGGGATCAATGTTAAAGTTAAAACTGTTGTTATCTTCAGATGGGATCATGGTCGGAAGAGAGTTAAGAGCACTTGTTCTGCGAAAAACGCAGGGGAGTTTATTTTGACTGCCATATTTTATCAGAAGTCTGCTTATAGGCTTGTTGTGAAAGGTTAGTCCTTGTGTGATAGCTCAATCCTTGTGTCTGTGTCACACGATGAGACGGAACTTTCTCTCCATGAAATTGGAATTAAACGGTGACCGTAAACGCAAATGCTCAGCTCTGGTTCAGGTATAACACACGCATTGTAAGCTCCTAAGAATGTTCCTTTTATTCTTCTGAAAATTTGAATTACTCCCTTTTCAATTCAGTCGGATTAACCGGTGTATTCTCCAGATATCCATGTCGATCTAGTGGTATAGCTTGGACTATTCTTATCCGGTACAATAAGAACCGTCTCTCTTTCATTCTTCTTGTATTTGTTCTCAGCCAAAAAGAACCATCGAAACCACCTCAGCGGTTATATTCCGATGTAGGAACACGTATTAATCGTTCAAACACAGCCCATGTCGAACAGGTATTTCGCGAATTTCGATGGATTGTTTGTATTTATAAAGAGTGTTTACTTTCTCGCTTGGTCTTTCATCAAGGCCGGAGTTTTCATTCGAACCCCTTATTTTCTTCCAAGAACGACTATATAAGGGAAGGGAAAATTCGCACCGTCGCTCTTCTTTCCAGCCACTCATTAAAGAGAAACTCTGAAAAAGATCAAAAGAGCTGAACGAAAGACTAGAAAGAGGCGACGCTACAGGTTTAGACAAGCGATATTGTAAGGCAGTCTCACTTTGGTGAGGAAAAGAAAGCAAGATCGGACGCTCGAGGGTTTAAGACGAAATTCACACAAAACCGAATTCACTATGGTGTATGGTAACGGATCTTGAACAGGCCTTTATGAAAAAGAATATAACAAATTCAAGTCCCGTTTATTGGATAGGGCTAGTCGCTTATAACAAAAGTCGAGCATTAACAGCGGAATCTTTAAATTGTGACCAATAGCCGCTGACCTTTTGGGCGCCAAAAAAAACAGAAAAAGCAAGAGAAAATACGGCAAGACGTGGACCTGTAGGATCAGAGGCGTTTAAGTTGTGTCATGGTTGCAATTAGGCTTGCTCTTTTTCCGAATGGAACTGTGTGGACTTATACTTATCTCAGAAGCCAATGGTCATGTGACCATACCACACGTTGGCACCGTTCATCCCAGTGTTACGTAATCCATGAGTTCGGTAGTATCATTTCCCACGGATCTGGTCTCGCTTGGCTATTCTCCTTCAATGTCGAATCTTAACATCCGATTGGAAAAGAAACGGGCACCCTACGCTGATCTTATTTTTTTTTAACATCACATGGCGGCGATCTGTTGGGGCCGTTCACAGGAGCCGTTCACTGGCGCGTCCCATACCAGCATTCCTGTCGCTGCCGAACCGCGGCTTTTCGCCAGTTTCATACCGAATTAGCAACTGCAGGAGAAAAACTGAACAAAACCCCTTATGCAGAATCGACGCAATGCACCCTTGTGCACTAGAGTGCACGGTTAAGCACTGTGGCTAAGTGGTCCTTGTTCATTGCAAGCATTCAGGCCACTTGAAAGGCGCAACCAACTGGCGCTAACCGCAGCGGTACCAATCGAGCCACCCAGCTTTTTTTTTTTCACTAAAGCTCTATTCAGTATTAACTTGGCCAAAGCAGTTCTGCATTCGTACCCCAGGGAAACAAAGAATTAGCGTGGTGTGGATCTGCATGCTCTATCGACAAACGGATTGACGCACAATTTCCCAAGATTCATGTTTTATGGAACGATACCGGCCTGAGAATCACCCTTGGCGGACCCGTGTCGAATATGCAGAAGGAAAGATCTTTTCAACTCACCCACTTATGGCTCAAAAATTACGATACTACGAAATTTCTTAGATTCGTTGTTTTTTTGTTAAATTGGTAACGTAAAATTGATATTGAACATAGAAGCTAGCTGCAAATCAGATTGTCACTTGAAAGTTCGCAGGAAAGCTGACGTGAAAAGTATACAATCGGGTCTCAAGGTGGTTGTTGAGCACTGGGAGTAGCACCATACGTTGAATTTATTGATCTTTAGACCTTTTTACCTCCGGGGTATACTGGGCAAGGTCTGCGCAACGCGAAAGGAAAAGAGAGACACATTGCTTACAAGAAAAAATAGTAGTAATAAAAACAGGATCGTCTCACCCATCTCTGTGTCAAACACATCACTGGGCAGCTTTCAATTATGGCAGATGAGAAGTCTCCAAGCATAGCATTTGCAGACTTACAGGGAAAGAGGCCAATGACTCGAGATCGAGGATTAGGGGCTGAGCAGGAGCATGACAAAACCGCGTCAAACGCCCTTTCCAATTCAACAACCGCAAATGGAATTGCAAATACAGCGTTCATTCAAAAACTCTATAACATGCTCGAAGATCCAGCCATGCGAGAGCTGATTTGGTGGGCTCCATCAGAAACGTCTTTTTTGATTCATCCAATCGAAAGGTTCAGTCGGGCGTTGGCGACGTATTTTAAGCATGCTAATATCGCGAGTTTTGTCCGTCAATTAAACATGTACGGTTTTCATAAAGTAAATGATCACCATCGAGGTAACCAGCAAGCCATACGCACCAAACATGAAAATTCTTCCGCCACAACGACCTCGGCAGGTCCAATCAAAGTTCCAGGGACGGAAGCAGATTCTTATGGTGACACGCACAACCCAGGTGCCAATATTTGGGAATTCAAGCATAGTTCTGGCGCTTTCAGAAGAGGTGACTTTGAGAGCCTCAAATCCATCAAACGAAGATCTTCGCGACAGCATACTTCTGCTCGAAAAAACTCGAACAGCACACATTCTGCATCCTTGGACTTTACCGCCGCTGTAACCGAACAGTGGTCAGAACAGCTGCCAGCAGTCCATAGGTCGGCGTCACACGCTGAACTAACGCATGCGTATCCCTTTTCCAGTGCAGCACTACCCTCTTCAACTCCCAGTACAGCAGGTATAGTTAATCCGGCAATGGACTATTTTGGGACTATTCAATCTCAACATCAACAGCAAAACTATAGATTGGCACCACCCACTAGCCAAGCGCCACAGCAATCATATGCATCTCAAATACAGGCACCCGCTTCATCACAGGCACATTTTCATCCACAAGAAAGACCATTGTTCAATAATAAAGCTAGCGACTTAACACAGTGCACGATTTCACAGCCTATAAGGCCAGAAATTGTCACCCAAACCCAATTTGAATTTGCTGTTGATGACCTGCGTAACACAAACATGGACATGGTTCGACTGCTAGACTTGGTCAACAACTTTGTTTCCTCCCATCAAATCATTGGAAAGCCGGAAAATGTGAAAAGAGCAGCCACACCTGTCTCCAATCGAGCTGCTGTGAGTGAGACTGGTGTATCACCCGGAAGCTCATCTACTCAGCAACGAAATTCTGAGAATCTAATGACCGAAATAACAAAACTTCGCAACTCCGCAATGAACAGACTTCAGAGGTCGACGGCATCACAGCAGAATTCGGGATCGGTTCGCAGTTCGATAGACCACCCTCCTGCAAATTCGTTCAATACACACTTCCCTCCTGTGAGCTCCTATAATCCAAACTATGCGAACCGCCCGAACAATAGAAATTCATTTTCCTCGCCTGCCTTATCGCAACTTGGAAACAATCAGATTCCCCCGTCGAGTGTCTCACAGTTCCCACAAATTGCATATCAACAAACGCAACATGCACCAACTCTCTATCCCAATTCAGGAGGAGCACCTACTGGCTGCTTCGGTTCAACAAGTACAAAAGTTACCGGTACTGGGGGGCCTCACTTAACGCTTAATCCCTTTGAAAGAAAAGATTCGGCCTCGCTGAACAAAAGCAGACATATGAGTGTTTTAATGGATCCTCTAGCTCCTGCACCTATAAACCCTGCTGTCTCTACCGGTGCAACATCAACTCTATCTCAGCAACACAATTACTACCTAGGTCATCAAGTGGCAAGTTCGCTGCCTTTAGCATCTTCAAGTGCTTCAAAAAACGACGTTAAGAATTTGCCGACGTCAATCCCAAATGGTCGGGATTCTAAAGTTCTTGAGAAGAGGCCCGTATCGCCTTCCATGGCAGAAATACCCGTTCATCCGCTGCCGGTAAGAGGGGGGGTAAAGCAATCTGTTGGAGGCGCGAGTAATGCCATGACATACAAACCGTACTTTCCTTACGGTACAGTACCAGGCACGGGTCGTACATCACCATTAGGAACACAAGCGGCTCAGTACTCACAAATGCCAATGCATTCACACAGATCGCAACAGCAGACGGTGGCGCGACCTCACTTTGTTCAACGAGGACCGTCCCCTTTAAATCCGCATGTGAATGAGGTTGCTGATCAAGAGTCACCAGAAAAGGGTTCACACCAGTCGCACTCCACAATGGATCAAGATCTAACCACCCACCGCAGAGATGACACTATTGGTAGTTCCTCGAGATTGGCTACATTGCTAAATTATGATGCAAAAGAACAATCTTCCAAAAAAATGAAGCTTTAAATTTAACGCGTTTGTGCTCCGCGCCGACAAATTATCGTGTTGTGTTATAAATGATGGGTGCGCATTGGAGAGTATAAAATCTCTACCGGCATTCTAAACCATTCGTTGGTCGCTTGCTTGTCGATGCTCTCCAGGTAGCTCAGAGACGCGAAGGTCGTCTTGACGGTACTGAAGGTGTTGTACTCTGTGTATCAATAATCGAAAATGCATTTGTATTGTAGAATTCTGCTGCCCAAAATGTCCCAATCGCTATTAGTGACGTAAAGCTCTTCAATCAGTTTAAGTCGAGCAAAGACGCTACCACCCTTCCAAGTCAGTAACGATGGATCCATTTCTCGAGGAGCAGGCAGAACGTTTATGGGAAAGACACTTTCGTTACCACCAAGAGCGTCGACGTCTTCCCAGTACGACTGGAGCTCCGTTTTAATGGTCTTGGCGAGCTTCTTTTTCTGTGCTGCCATTTCCTCTTGATCTTTAATGTCGCTCAACTTATTTGTCTGTTCGAATTCCTTTACCAGCTTAGCAATTTTATCGTAAAAGGTGGGCAGAGTGCTTACACTCAGCAGACGTGGTCGCCATATGTTGATTCGGTCCGTGAGGATAAAGTCTAAACTTGGAAATTTAGAACTTCCACCCACAACCAAGATATTTGAATAAAAGTTCATTGCTTTCGAGTGGTTGTTATCGAGGCACACGCAGGCATTTGTAATGCTCTCTATGATGGCCTTTTCCAATGCAGTGTAAGTGGGAGTGAGGTCGGCTATAGTAGCCTGCTGATATTCGTCAATCTCGGAAGGTAAATTCAGAAGCTTTTGCAGAACATCGAGATCACGACCGAGATCACAATAAGACGTTTCCTTCTGACACGAATACTGACTTATTGACTTAACGTTGTTATCCTTATAGGTGAAAAGATCCTTTGAGCGAGGGAGTTGTTTTGAAACGTACCGGTTCACCTCCTGCTCTTGCGTTTTCACAATCGGGAAGATTTCGGGGAAAAATAAGCCCATGGGAGCAGTCATAACCTCATCAAATACCTTAAATTCAAACTTTTCGGCACCGGGCTTTCCAGGCAACCGTTTTAAAAAGTTGTAAAGTTGGATAGTTACATTGGCATCTTGGAAAGTAGCATATTTTTCTTTCAAAGATTCGATCAAAGTCCATCCTTGCGGACTGTTCAGATCAATATCCTCGTATGGAAACTTTGACTCTAAGAGAAACTTTGCAAACAATCGCGTCACGTCATCTCCGCCAAAATCCAATGATATAATGCTGTTCTCCAAAACAAGACCCTCGTCAACGCATGCGATTTTAGTAGAGGTGGCGCCGATGTCAACAACGCAAGTGGAGTCACCTATACCAGCGCCATAGCATGATGCAAGTGATTCTTGCAATATTGCCACAGCTTGAAACTTCAAATCGATCAACAGGAGCCGTATGAACGATTCGACGTATGCCTTATCGTAAGCATCGGGTACCACCACAACTACTTTATAATTGGGAATTTGAGACTCTTTTATGTTTAGTTTGGGATGCATGAGAGCAAACTTCAAAAGTTCGCAGACGTCAGACAACAACTCTTGCAAAGACTGATATTGCGGAGAATCAACGTTGAACTTACCCTTCCAAAATGGACTTCTCACTATAAAATGCGACGATAAGCATCTGGTAGCCTCCTCTCCATAATATACTTTTGAGGGTTGTTGGATCCACTCTACCCTATGAAGGTCGTTGTGTTCGGGAATTTTTTCGGACTGGACCCTGGCATTGAAATTTACAACAGCCTCGTGAGAGTTGGGCATGATTTTGCGTTTGTAATATCTCATTCTTTCTTTAAAATCTTGTTGAATGCTTTCTTTTGCCTCATGGTACGCCTCTTGGTCGAAGGGCTTTAAGATTGGAGGTGTATCTTTGAAATTTGCGGGTCTTGGTATAGCAACACAGCTGGGGATAGACTGCGGCAAAACGTCTGTGGCAAACCCGATCTTTAAAGATTTGGACCCGGGGTGGATAACAATGGTATTGGTTTCGCTTTCTTCATCGATGCTGTCCTGATCGTCGTCCTCCACGGGATTTTCAGGATTATTCTGAGACGAGGTTGCGTTTCTGAGCTCTTTCCGTTCACGCATGGCGAAAATCTGGTCGTCCCGCTTGAGATAATCAGAAGAGTAGTTTTTTTGGTTAATCAACGACAGAGCGCGGAAAAGACCATTTTGATGAATGGCACTATTATCTCTGCGTTCAATTCCAATGGTTTTCATCTTTTGCGCATATTGTTCTGCTGCTTTGAGACGCCCCTGTCGACGCTTTTCAAGCAGATGCATGGGCATTTTGGTCAATTGCTGCGGTTGCTGTTTTGTGGGTGTAGTGTGTTCTGGTTTTTTCACTTTAGAATTTGTTTGCAGGGAGCCTCCTGCGCTGGGAACAGGGGTCATGGAAAGAGGGGTTTGATCTGCGGTGGAAAAGTCGCCATCGTGGTCAAGTTCTTCATCTTCAACATCGGCGATGGGGATGTCCTGGACATCACCATGGGCGTCCTCAGACCGCGCTTCTTTCGCGGGACTGGTCATTGTGGGTGTTCCGGACGTAATCGAGTGGACCTAGCGTTATTGTGGGATCTTGGTGTGTCTACGTGGCAAGTTAAACACTCGATAGTGATGACGGTGGGTGAAGGTGATGATTGGATTTGATGATGTGCGTGAGATGGATATAACTTGAGACGAAAAATGATGATCATGTGTTTGTCACGCTATTCGCATGTGATACCCATGGTGTCTGGGTGCAGTGATAATACCACCCAGACACCAATCGATATATCTTGATAACCCGATAACACCGGCACAATGTTTCTCAAATTTCCCAGGGGTGTCACCCACCACCACCCACAGGACCAAGTTTATAAAGTACGTACACTCGCAAACCCACTACTAACCATTACACACACCACTCTACTGACCACTGAGTAGCCTCAACGTCACTACCAGCTGTGGGTAACTCTTTCCTTCTCTCTCTCCCGCGCGCCATATATATCATGGCTCAGAAACGCAAGTTCTCTTTGGAAGCATCTCGTATGCTGAAACGTAAAAGCTCTGAGTTGTTCAGAAGCTTACCAAAAGTGCCCACCACTCAGTACTTGGAGCATTCCAAGCTCGCGTGTGATATTCTATACAGTGGGTATAGACCTGTTGTGTACCCTGTTCGGGAAACACCGCTGGGCCATCGGAAAGTCCCGGGTGCGGGCCAAACGCGAGCGCCGTCGGAGTTATTGTCATCATCATCATCATCATCATCATCATCATCATCGGCTAGTAGTATGGCGGGAGTTTCCGGGTCGGGTGGGATCGGCTCCGGTGGTGTCAATGGCACATGGCGACACAATCCTCGCATCCCGTCCCGGTTACTGCCGTACAATCTATGGAGCAGTTCAAGCATGGCTATGGAGTACTACCCAGAATGGCTTGGAGTTCCGCGGAACGTGGTGGACGGACTGCGGCCGTTTGAAGGGCCGCCGTCGGAACGCCGAAAAGAAGCGGTAGCCGCCGAGCCATTTCGGGCCCGGAGTTCGGCGTCGGCATCGGCGTCGGCATCGGCGACTAAACTGCGCAGATCCGATAAGCTTTCGGGACAGGTAGACCAGTTTATGAACTATCTGCGCGAAAAGGACGGGAACGGATAGTGGTGAGGGGCGGGAGCACACAATGAATGGAGAAACACACACACATTGTATAAACAGCAGGTCTTTATATACAAAACAATTAATAAGAGCAGGAGCAGGAGACGACTTCTAGTGGTAGACTATCTAAACCGTGAAAGGCCGGGATTTCCCTTCACCAAAAATGTTAGTCACGTGGTGTGCGATAATGACCACCGGAGCAGACATAATCATCAAACTCTGAACACCAGACGAGATTTATTCATGGATTCAGAAAAATCTTGTCAGTAACACATTTCAAAGCCTCACAAAAAATGATAAACGCGTGTCTGGTGGAATGAGAACCTAGTTCTTCCATTTTCTTTCATCACGTGACTTGGTTGCCGCCCACATAATCGGACTCTCGTAGCACCATAACCCAATGTGAGCTGTTGGATCGTTTGAAGCTCTTATTCGAGCATCTCCAGCCTCACCTTTGACACAGCCCTCTGCATTTACCTAGTGCAAGGTAAGCTCGGTAAACCTTCGTTCCCAGTCATCACTAGCATGATTTCATTCGAACCAACACCAGTGTTGAACTTTATACCATAAAAATAAACATACCATAAGCTTCTTAAATATTGGATATACCTAATTGAGTGCACAATGCTGATCCCTTAGGGCTGTGTCTATACACCAGCGCTCTCAAATATACATCACCACTTGTCTCTAATACTAGCACTCTCTGAACTTGAAGATTACGATAGTTTCAGCGGACGCTAGCTGTTCTTACTGGCAAAGCCCCGAATGACTGGTACTCTCATAGCCTGCAAAAAATCACTTTTCGTACACTAAACTCCTTATCATACCAATCTATCAAGTCGCTGAGCATTATTAGCAACAGTACAGTTCAACATGCCTCGCGATGCAATGAAACCTTCACTTTGCCCTCTCATATCGTCGGCTGCTACCTTGGGCGTACAATTCAAATCTCCCGCGATGCAATGTCACTTACACTTTGCCCTCTCATACCATTGACTGCCACCTTGAGCCCACCGGCCACTTGTATCTGCCATTCATCTTAGAAATTCTCAACACATCCTTCGCTGTTCTCTTGTCTTTTCTCAATGAGCTCCCCACAGCTCGCATGTATCCGTCTCAGCGACAGTACTCCAGAAAGATCCAAGAAACTCGAACCACAGCCAATGGCCATCTATCTTCAAGAAGCTTTGATCAGTCACAACCTTTTCCTGTCTCTGATAGTGAAATGGGTTTTGGAGGCATCCTATAGAGGAGATTTACGATCTAAAAGATGAACCACATCTAAGTCTGGTCACTGACTGGACTATACTCACCCAACACTACATACAAATCACCGATCTGACATGGTCGCCATACCGCGTACTGTTAAGAAAATCTACGAGACGCTCCTTGTACCGTCACTTCCAGACTTTACCAGAGTCTAACAACGAATTAAAAAGGTAGTGTTACTTCTTTCAGTACGGTCAGCAAAAATGACAGACAATCACACCCGAAGTTTCTCTGCATGGGAGGGCACACTTGAAACTCAGCATCAATGAGTCGAGATGACGTGGTAACGTCGAACTCAGATGCAAAATCTACAGGCAGTGTCTGCAAATCATCCATCCGTGGTTGTCTAAATCCATACACAATGTCTTGAGCCCCTAACTTCTTCTTTGCATTCTCCATTCTTCTTCACAACTTGAACCATCTCTTGGGCTTTTCAGCCACCGCAATGCATTCCAGTTCCATTTTCAAACTTTTGTTTGGAAACCCGACCACGATACACGAGCGAGCTGGACTGTTGGGGAAAAATTCGCTATAAACCCGGTTGACGACGCCTGCATAAGAGTCGTCAGCAACAAACAGCAGTACTTTTACCACCTGGTCAACTGACGATCCGCTCTTTTCAAGCACAATTTTCAAGTTTTCCAGTGCGTTTCTCGTCTGCTGCTCCAAACTTTCGGGAAGCTCTTGCGTCTTAGGATCTGTTCCCACACATCCTGACGTGAACACCAGATTTTCGCCGCTGGTCACAAATGCGGGCGACAAGAATGTTGGACCCTTGGCGACTCCCACATCATTCCACAGAATCTTTTTGGCCATCTTTCAAGTATTAGTTGTTGAAGGTTTTGTATGGAGTAGTGGTAGATAGCTCATCTCATCTTATCAATTTTGATAATTTAGAGACGGTTTTTATCATAGTTTAAGAGAGCCTGAAAACAAAGGCTTTCCTCGAAGAACAGCTTGACTGAACCCTATCATCTTTTAGATCTTGTAGCTGGTCCTCTTGATCCTCCATTCAAATAATACTTTACAAGTGCATCGTGCGCGGTGTAGTCTTTGGCGCGGACCAAACATGCCAAATCGATATCCAAGGGCGAGTCTGGCTCTGGATTGGCAAGTAATAGCCAAATGGCATGTATGCAGTGTAGTAAGTCCCAAGCTGGACTCCAGTGGTTGGCTTCGAGTAAATCGAGACATATGCGACCAGAATCGAATTCTACGTTGCAGTGAGGCGCCGTTTGCGGTTGGAATTGAACGCGGGGCGGCTTCAAAGGATACTCATCATCGATATCAATTTGTAAATTGAATTTGTGGCCGTTGTAAGCCGTTTCTGGTGGTCCTGTCAGTGTGGCTTCCCATTTATGGAGATTTTCATCAGATACTGGGGCCAACGTAAGGATGTGAGAGAAAGTGGGATCATTTTTAAGAGCGTCTGCTATTTTTACATATTCCTTCACCAGACGAGACATTGGCCAGGGTGAGATGCGTAGATTCACGTCTCTCTCTAAGTTTTGAGTCTATAGAAAGAGAGGCCTAGAAAGAAACCTTCAAAAGTGGGAAATTAGTATTGTATTGTACAGGCATATAAAAAAGTATGCATCCGAGAGTGTGGCAGAGGTCAAAGAATGAGAAATGCACAGGTTTTGAGAGTCAAGACACTGCTCGGATATAGATTATAGAGTTTAGACTGTCCATGACCGATCATTGTGGTGTAAACTTACCATACAGCTCTCATCACGTGACTGGTACATTTTTATTGTCAAGAAAGAAGGTAGAGAAGTACTTGTAGATGACATGAACGATCTGGCTCAAAACTTGGGGAGAACGTCTCTGTTGCTGAACGACACTGTATCATAAATGCAGGACGTACAAGGTTGATGACTTTTTCCTCGATTGTCACGTGCCACATTTTGTAGAAAATGGCTGAAACAGTTTCACTCCAATTCAGTATGAATACCTCAATATACCTAGACATTAGCAATACTTTCTTCACACAGTGCCTCACACTTGGAATGAGCTTTATTTGCTTCATTCTGTTCTATTTAGGCTAACGCTTGTAATCACCGTTCACGAAGCGGATTAGGGACACTGGAATTAATATATATATAATTGATTAACCATCATACTTCAATCATGAACCCAGCTAAGAACCATTGCCACCAGTCAACTAAACACAACTCCTACTTTAAGAGTAGAGCTTATTGACAATACCTTTTCCAAATGTCTAGAATAGCAGATTCTTTGGCAAGAATTGCGATCCCGTTGGGTCTCGTTGTCTCCGGTCTCCAATACTCAATCTACGATGTGAAAGGAGGTTCCAGAGCAGTTATTTTCGACAGATTGAGCGGTGTTCAACAACAAGTTGTAGGAGAAGGAACTCACTTTTTGATTCCATGGCTCCAAAAGGCAGTGGTGTACGATGTGAGAACCAAACCTAAAAACATTGCCACCAATACTGGTACTAAAGATTTGCAAATGGTGTCTCTGACGTTGCGTGTGTTGCACAGACCGGATGTGATGAAGTTGCCCTTCATTTATCAGAATTTAGGTCTGGACTACGATGAAAGAGTACTTCCATCCATTGGTAACGAAGTTTTAAAGGCTATTGTTGCCCAATTTGATGCTGCAGAACTGATCACGCAAAGAGAAACAGTTTCGCAGCGAATTCGTCAAGAACTGTCTTTGAGAGCCAACGAATTCAACATTAGGCTGGAAGATGTGTCTATAACGCATATGACGTTTGGACGTGATTTCACCAAAGCCGTAGAGTTGAAACAGATTGCTCAACAGGACGCAGAAAGGGCGCGTTTTGTCGTGGAGTTGGCAGAACAACAGAGACAGGCTTCTGTTATTCGTGCTGAAGGTGAAGCTGAATCTGCAGATTATATCTCTAAAGCGCTGGCAAAAGCAGGTGATGGTCTACTGTTGATCAGAAGAATTGAAGCGTCCAAGGAAATTGCGAAGACGTTGGCCAGTTCTTCGAATGTGACATATCTGCCCGGTAGCAATCATGGCGGCAGTGAAGCTCAGAGTCCAAACTCTTTGCTGTTGAATTTGGGCCGTTAGCTACGGATTTTCAAACGAAGTCTTATTAGATTCCACCTGTATATAATTATTACATCACTATATGCGCAAACTGCTTTTACAACAACAGGTTGAGGTAAGTATAATATCGCATTAAGCATTATATTTAGGTCCTTACTATTAAAAGGAGAATGGATCAAAGTTTATGTAGAGATTCCAAATATGCGCGATTGAGGAAGAACGAAAGGGTATAACATAATGCTGCGGGATTGCGAAGTGTTAGAAGGTGGGGATATGAAAAGATGGAGAAAAACCGTTCGAAGGGTCCGCCCACGACAGTGAACAAATAAAATGAAAAGAAGAAAACAGCGGAGAGAAAGAGAGAGAGAGAAAAAGAGAAGGGTGGGGATTATAAAGAACCCTTCAAACTTTTTTTTTCTCGTCGAACTCCATTCGTAAGATATTGCGCTGTCTTTTCAAATTTGTCTTTTTTTTTGATTTTGATTTTGGAGAATTGAGAGAAAGAAGCAGTTTGCATGCGCGTATAATCATCTCTCTGAATTAATGTTACAGTGATGGAGGAAGGATCGGTATTAGGATAAAAGGGAAAAAAAAGAGTAAAGATAAAAGGGAAGGAGGTTCAAACACCGATTTTCTTCTTAAAATTTTGGGCCGGCTCTCTGGAAGGAGTGGTTTTGATTTGAATTGATTTGGTGTGTAGACGGAAATGGTTCACTTAAACCTGAGAGATGGTTGGAACACCAACGTTGGCTCTGCGGGAAGATGAAGAGCCAAACACACCGGTGGTGAAAACGTTGGTCAACGACAAGCCAAGCTTCGCGAGGAAAACGAAGAAGGCAAAGTACAAGAACGCAACGGAGGCCTGGGCCTTACGACAACGGTCGGTGGAGCCCTGAGTGACGGTGTTGCTGTCGAGGTAGTCCTGGTTGGTACAGGAGTGGGATCTGATGGCCACGGCAAGGGCGGTGGCGGCGGCGAACGTGAAGACAAAGTTCAAAAAGTCAAACACGGCGATCAAGATGGGCCATGCTAGCGCAGACAAAAAGTTGGCTGGGATAGCGTAGAAGGTATCGAACAACAGACCGAAAGCGGCCGTGAAAATGGCGAAATTGACCTGGGGGTTGGTGTGGTCGCGGGTGGCGGCCAAAGACGCTGTGAGACCTAGCACGATGGTCAAAAACACAAAGTTGGCTACACGGAGCGAGTTGTCTAGAATAGAAAGAACCATTGTGTGCGCGTTAAAAAAAATTATTGGGTGTGGTGTCTGGGTTTTTCGACAAAAAAAAAGTTTGTGAAATGTCCCGGGTGTGTGTGTGTTTCTTCGGGGAGAGGGTAGTTAAAGCACTTAAACGTATTAGAGTGTGCTATATGTGCGTGTGTGTCACTTGGTGTGAGACTAACTGTTTTTCCAAAGATTGTCGTATTAATAATGACAAAACGGTTAAAGTAGTATTCACCCCTTCCTCTTATATTACGCCTTCCGGGCCCCTAAGCCGCCCGTATTTATATACTTTTAGGGTCGTCTCCCGGCCCTTTGAGCTGTAATGGGCCAAATAGCAAGAACTCCGTTTTGGGAAATACACAAAAACGTAAACATAGAGCAACAAAAAAAAACCAAGATGAGTTACCCGGGTTTCGGAGGCGGGACAAAGTGGAGAATAATGTTATAGAGACGGATGAGTTAGCGGAAATCTCGGGGGGGTGAGTGGGTGCGTGTGAGGGTGTGGGTGTGAGTGTGTGTGAATGCATAAGAGATGTCTTGATACTTATATACTAATAGACAACGTATATGTGGGCTGGCGGGTTTGGCTAGCCGTGTGTGTGTGTGTGTGTGCTGAACATATAACAGCGTACGAAATCAAGGGGTATTCGTGTGTCGTGATCTCTGCTCCGAGTGTTGGTGGGTGTATGGGTGTAGTGGGGGACAGCTTCTTTCCCGGTTATTACGTAAGGTTTTTGTAAGCATGCAGCGAGAGAGCACGTATGTGAGCACGAATGTGAGGGTGTGCGTATGTGAGCGTGTGTGCGTATGTGAGAGCACTAGGTGAGAGTACGATGTGAGAACAGAACACTACTTGTATCGGTTGTTCGTGCAGATTAGAGCAAAGTGAGGCGGCAGTAGACGACATTAGGTTTTAGTTATAGTAGTAGTAGTAGTAGTAGTAGTAGTAGTAGTAGTAGTAGTAGTAGTAGTAGTAGTAGTAGTAGTAGTACTCAGTTTTGACCCACCCACTCACGTGCGTATGTTACCCGGCCCACGCTCCCTTTTTTATTTGCTTTTGTCCCCTTACGGATTCTGCGCGTGTGTTTGGTCCTTTTGTTTCCCGTAGGTTTCTGTGTTCTTTGCAGGAGAGGGAAAGAGAAAAATGAACCCACGTCATGCATGGAACCCGCGCTCGAGAAACATGAAAAGGATGCAGAAGCCGCAGAGGAAACACGTATTGAGAAGGGTGAGGAGTGGACGGGGGACCTTCTTTGCGGGTTTTTGGATGGGTTTTGCAGTGGTGCTGGTGGAAAGCAATTGGTCGGGGGAAAAGTGGTATACACCCGTCGTTTTGTTATCATTGTATACGTAAATAACGTATCACCTTCCACGAAGAATCTGTTTTTTTTGACGCAGTTCTAGTATTTCTCCATAAGATGGACCCCGTATTCTTCGTCTTTGTCTCCGCCCAAGCCATCGCCACGTACCACCGGCGGTCCTCTTTGACCATTCCCTCTGTTCTTGGTTTTTTGAGAGTTGTAAATTCTTGTCGTACAAAGCGACCCCGGGTAACCCCTATTTCTCCCCTCTATCTCCCGTACTAGCAATAAAAATCAAGAGTCCCCTATATAAATACCAAAGGCCCTATATAAGCTCCAGGGATCCCTCTTTCTACCCCATCGTCAATCGCACCGTAAACAATCAACAACCAAAAAGAGCGGGAAAATCAACTGTTAGTCGAGTCTGTAATCCCTTCAAACATACTCTCACCACACACCACACACCATGTTCAAAAAAAAAACTGAACACGACCCGTTCGAACAATTGATTAACCCTGAACCGGAACCTGTTCAAAAGGGGTTTTTACAACGAGTAGTGTCTCGTAGCGAGAATACAACCGCTGAAGAGGCTGATGCTGCTGCCGCTGCCGCCAATTCCAAATACAATTCGCCCTTTAGAAACTCGCAACAACTGGCAGCGGCTCAAAAACGTAAATCGCAAAAATTCCCTACGGTTTCGGCGTCAGGACCCGGGATCACGGGACCAGACCTAGGTTATAAAGTGATTGATGGCGCCAGAAAACGCGCCAAGGACATTGCAGTACCCAGATATTTGCAAGGAAACGACGAGCGCCAACGTCGCAAATTGGACAAATTGGAACGCAAGGAAGACTCGTTGCAGTACAAAAAGGACTCCCAAAAGATTGTGGACGTTAGAGAAGCCAGTAAGAAGCAGGAACAAGATGCAAAGGCTCAAAGTGGAGAATTGGAAGTCCCAGAGCCTGTAGTTGAAACTGTAGCCCCAGATGATGTGGAAAACGGTGAGGAAAACGGTGAAGGTGAAGTGGGATCTCTTGAAGCTTCAGAGAATGCTGCTGAGCCAGTTGCTGAGCCAGTTGCTGAGCCAGTTGCTGAGCCAGTTGCTGAGCCAGCTGCTGAGCCAATCGATGAGCCAGCTGTCGAACCCCTCGCCGAACCCCTAGATGAACCAATCGTTAACGACTCAGAACTGTTGGGTGCGGAAGTACCCGAAGGTGTAGACACCGCTCCTCTTGCCAATGCAGAAGAACCCGAGATCTCAACACCCGAGATCTTATCACCCGTAGCCAAAGTATCCTCAACGTCAGCCAAATCTGAAATTGCCCCCGCAGAGGTGGAAAACGACACGACTGAAAAGGACTCCACAACTACGGGTTTAACCAAGCCAAAGGATCTGAAAGAAGCGCCTCGTGTGCCCTTTGCAACCGGAATTTTTGCACTGTGGACCAGATCTGATAAACGGGGCCAACCCGTAGCTTCGCCCAATGATCCCGAATTCATTGTCAGATTCGACAAAGGTTACATGTCAAAAGCTTTGTACGACACCTTGGAGTACGAAGAAGCGGTTCACAAGCAAGAAATGGCGGATTTCACAAAGGAGAGTGATGCCAAATACGATGCCAAGGCCCAAGAATACGAAACCAATCTAACCTCTTTGAGATCCCAGATTGCAGAACTCGAAGCCGAAATGGACCAGATTAGAAAGGACACAACTGAAAAGCTTAGAGTTAGTGATACTGTTTTAACGACAAAGATGATTGAATCGAATTCTGAACATAGCAAAGAAAAGAACCAAATTTTCAAAGAAACGGAAAATATCAAAGCATCCAAAGTTGAAGAAAAACAGACGGTTGAAGACAATCAAGAGGAAAGAAAGCAAGAAATCGCGGAATTGGAAAAGGAAAAAGCCGAGTTTGACGCCGAATTTCAAGTTCACCAAACACGTGTGGACGAACTCACGTCTCAGTTGGATGTTAAGTTGGCTGCTATTCAAGAATTGACGGCCAAACAGGAGGAAGAACAAAATTCCATTAATGTGTTGACGGAACGCAAGGAAGCATTGATCGCCGAGGCCCAAGAACACGATGACCAACATGTGTCGAATGTTGCGGTTTTGAGCAGCATCGAAAACAAGGAATACTTGCCCCAGCTCAACGCAATCGATGCCAAGATCTCCGACCATTTGTCGTCCTTGACTGTCATTAAGCAAGAAACAGCAAACCAGGAAGCAGAATTCGCGGTTGTTGCCAAACGCTTAGAAGAAGAAAATGAAGAGCGCAAAGAAAAACTAAGACAGGAAGAAGAGGCGCGCAAACGCGCTGAAGAGGAACGCTTGCAAAAGCAACGCGACGAACATGATCAAAAAGTGTTACTATTGCAACAAGAACATCAGCGCCAATTGGAGGAAGCCAACCAGCAAGCCCTAGACGTTCAACAAGAACACCAACGTCAATTGGAAGAGGCCAATGTTGAGGCGACTCGTTTGGAGCAAAGCTTGCAGGATCAGCGCGAACAAAGCGAAAAGCACGAAAGAGAGAATGTAAGACTTCGTGGCGAGCAGGCTATTCAGGAGCAAGAGAAGACACTTCTCGCTGATAAGGCTCTAGAAGAGGAAATGAAAGCCAAGTCTCACAGCAGGGCGCAAGCATTGGATGCTGCGGAGATCGTTCATCAGAGAAACTTAGAAGCCAATGCTGAAAATAACAAGGCTTCTTCTGCAAACAAGTCTGCGTCGGATGTCTTGCGCAATCCAGCGAACAACGGCACCAAAGACAGCTCACTGTTTGAATACTTCACCGAAAAGGAAGTCGCCTATGTCAGCCCTCATCAGAGTCACGCTTGAGTGGAAAAAGATTCTTACGAAGATGAGGAGAAAGCACCGGGATCGACTGCAAACTAATGAAAAAAGTAAGACCACCACACCCTTGGAGATCCTACAATACATGGGATAATCACTGACCTTTTTAAATAATTAGTCCTATCACGCACAGCTTACAAGGAATAAGTAAGTAAGTAATTGTAAAATTTATCACTGCATGAGCATGAACCTTGATTATCCTTTTAGCTGTTAAAGCAGTGTTGGTTCTTTCGAACGAAGGGGACATTCAATGGTGATAAAAACCCATCTCATTTTTAAAGGATAGTTGTCGATTCTAGTGAAGAGCTAAGTTCTTGTTCAAACTAACAGAATGTCCAGCTATTTCAGTAGTTTCTCTCTCAACAAGTTTACCGATAGTATCAGCAATGCCGCTCATAAGACCCAGGATACTTTGAGCAATGCTATCTCAAACATTCAATTAGATGATCCCCAAGCTATATTGTCTTTAAAAGCTAGAAAACACCATCTTCAAGAAACTTTAGGGACTATAGAAGACATAAGTAAGCTTCCGCCTCAGTACCAATTTTTGGAGAAGAAATGTGATTCGCTGGAAAAGGTTTGCAGGAGAATGCTGCTCGTCACGCAAACTTTCGAAGTCGAGGGCTACGACTACCCACCCAATTTGAGCGAAAGCATTTCGGATTGGTGGTCAACAAATAGAGACGGCTTGTTCTCGTTTGTAAACTCCTCTAACAAAAAGGAAACCAAACCAGAACCTGCTAAAGAGACAGACGCCCCAGTTACGGCCTCTTTTGCTCAAGCCATCTCTAAAGCAGCTAGAGACTCCGGTGAAGTGTTGAAGGCTTTGAAAGAAGAAGAGAAACGGGCTTCACAACCACCCGAGGAGGATGAGGAAGAAGATCAGGATATTTCTCGTTTGATCAAAATGTTTGAAACATGGGCCAATTGTGAGCACAAGATGGATCAGGGAAAAGCGGAAATGGACTCTTTAATGGTCAAAGAATTTAACTCCAAGCTATCCAATTTGGTGGATACCAAATTCAAAAATAGTCGCGTCCTGCGCAAAAAAGTTGAGGATTCCCGACTCAAATTCGACACTATGCGCTACGAAGTCAAGTTGAAAGAGCAACAAGCTGCGGATGTCAAAGAGACCAAACCTGAAACGGCCAATGCGCAAACCGAGGGCTCCACAGAGCATAATGGCAGCAAGGCGGAAGAAACCTCCGCTAAAGCAACTGAGAGTACCGAACAGAAGTTACTTGAAAAATTGGAGGACGAATTTGTTTCAAACACCACAGAGGCCGTAGAGCTTATGGGCGAAATAACTGACAGCGCCGAGCTGATCAATCTGGTCAAGTTGTTCCACAACTTTCAACTCTTGTACCACAGACAGTGCGTCAAAGAGCTGGAGACCAGTCTCGAGCAGTTGAACGAGCTCGAAACAGAAACCTCCTAGTTTGTTAACGCATTTGCTTCTCTTCAAGTTGCTCTCGCCTCTTTGCTTGACGTTCGAGTTTTTCATTGAATTGTTTGTTCTTCTCATTCACGAACCCGGTGGACGAAAAGGTCTCGCCCCCATTTCGGCGTTCCAATTTTTTCCGCGTCTTGGCATATCGCTGGCTGGCATTTTTCTCCAAATCTTGTGCTAATTCGTTCACCAGTTGTTGATTGTCCTCGATCACAATTTTCCCTTTGCTGTTGAAATTGCGGGCCCTCTGTTTCATTATCTTGTTGCTGGCACCGTGGTCCTCAAACCGGTGAGCAATCTTTTGAACTTGTTTATCGTATGTAGCCTTTGCCAGGTCTCTGTATTGGCCAGAATCTGTCCTTTTTTTCCTGTTTTCCCGGTCTTCCCACCGCTCATAATCTTGCATACTGATGTCCCAACCACGATCCGGTAATGAATCCCCGCCTACTGAACCACTGCCACCGTCATCCTCTTCCGTGTTTTGGTCTTCATTCAAACTATACACTGCTGGTTTTTGAGACCTTTTACTGAGTCTATCCTCTCGGTTCACTTCTTTACGGTTTTCCACCGCCAAACTCACCCGTTTCCGCTTCAAATTTTTCAGTCTCAACGCATACTTATCGACATCCATGGGCTTATTCTTTCTAGACTAGAATCTACTACGTCAACGCGTTAAAAACCAGCCCAGAAGAGTTATCCTTCCTAACCTAAACAGCTGTGCGATGCGATGCGATGCCGCTTCTTAAAGCTCATCGCTAATTTCTCAAATTTCAATGTTTCGTCTCAAGCGATCAATCTTGTGATCTTTGGAAAATTTTTGATATTTCAAGACTCATATAGTATTTGAGCTGAGCGATGAGATGCGATGAGCTGAGCTTCTAACAAGTTAAGAGGCAGAAAGTGACACTTGAGAGGCGGTAAAACAATGGCAACTTTATCACAGCCGTTCAGGCTTGCCGTTCTTCCTAAGATTGCCTCGCTGAACAACTATTCATCGCAGGCCAACCTATTACCAGTGGCGGACAATTTGGTGCCCTCTACGAATTACATCACGGTTGGGATATCAGGATCTGCGATTTCGCAGTTTGTGGTGAACCCCACGCCAAAGGCGGTGTATAGTTTGCCCATCTCATCGATCAGCACGGTTACTGCCTGTGACGTCACAGAATCCGCGGCAGGAACCGAGGTATGGTGCTATGCTTTGCAAGCTAACAAGAGTTTTACAATCCATTGTGTGGAAAAACCCACCTCATCCGCACCCGCTACGGATTCGCATTTTGGAGAAACACATACCAGCAATAAAATCGTCGTGGCAGACCTTGTAGTGAGCGTCAAAGTAATGAAATCCATAAGAGCCGTCATGGTGGTGCTTCGAAGCGGATTGGTGCACTTTTACGACTTTTCACTGAGACTTCAGTTCTCTTACGATTCCTCAGACAAAGAAGTGCAGTTCGTACAGCATTTCAGCAACGAAAGCAACGAAAGTTTCGTTTTCCTTTTGAGCAACCTCGAAGGTGGGAAAACATCGTTCAAGCTTTTGAAAGTGGGATCCAATTTAACGCTACCCGTTAAAGAATTGAGCGCCATCATCCTGGAGGATTTCTGTCTCAAGGATTCCAAGATCTTTTACGAGTTTGGCAACGTTTATCGGTTGCGCGGTGCAAGCATAGACATTTACAGCTTGCCCTATTTCCAGCATATCCATACAGTCTCGTTACCCTTTTTGAAAAAGAGCACCGAGACGTCTTTCAAGCCAATTTCCAAAAACAGGGCTCTTCTAACATCGGATAATCATATCTTTTTACTCGATCTGCTGCATAATGCCATCTTGAGTCAAAGAGAGCTCGCCCACCTAAAAACATTCCAGATTCTAGGTACGGCAGTCATCCCAGGAAATTCTGAGACTAGTAACGAAACCATGGCAATCGGGGTCTCGATCAAGCACGGTTCCAACTCCACAAGCTCGTTGGACATCATCAACATTGATGTGGGAACCGGTACTCTCAAGGATTCGCTAGGCAAAGGCTTTTCGCTGCGTTCCTCCACCGACAGACATGTACAGCCACTGATAGACGATATGGATGGGGTTGAAACTCACGAATACGATTATGACCAGATCTTGAAAGATTTGCAGAAGGCAAAGGGTAGCATTGACAAATTTGACGCTTCGTTTTTCAAGAAACTGGGGATTAAAAAGGATTATTACACGGATTCAGACCGTTTTATTAATGATCAAGACTTTCTGCACGATGTCGTGTCCGTTATCTACAAAGATTTCGTTTCAGAATACCCTAAGGCCTTGCCATACCTTTTAACACATCCACTTTTTCCAAAATCGCATACACCGGGAATTTTACAAAAGCTAAAGGACCACCCCCGGCTGTTCAAGCAAGCAATTGTTACTTGTCCAAGCCTCCCGCTGGACGATCTACTGCAGGAGCTTTTCACGGTGATCAATGACGAGCTCTGTCTAGATCTTTCATTACGCATTCTGCAAGATTTTAACAAAGAGACAATCAAAGAAGCGATCAAGACTAAGAGTAAAGTTGACGTGAATAACTTCATTGAGTTTGTGATGGATGAAAACACGGACGACGACAGGATTAAAAACAAGCCTCGTTTATTCCAACTACTGGGTCTCATTCTTGACACAGTAGGTCTTTTTGCCCTCACAGAGAACACTCTTGGCAAGCTTTCATCCTATATCGACTGCCAATTGAACGTTGTGAAGCAGAACGTGGAACTATTCTATTTGCTGGATGACAAGAATCTCAAGATCATCAAAACGAACCCTCACCAGGAAGAGGCCTCTGACTCGACAGAAGGACGTCTTGCAGCATACTCAGTTGAGCAATTAGAGCTATGAGGATAGGTATCAGTACGTAATTTTATGTTTTTGATTGTCTAGTTGACTTTCGAACCCTGAATGGTCATTTCGTTGGTTGCCTCAACCACTTTTTCAATAACCACACTAACGCTCTAGGGAACAGATTAGTTATCTGCTGTTGGAAAGCCATCAACGCATACCTAAACACTCATTTCGCCGCTGGGTTCGATGCCAATACAAAACAGTCCTCCTGGGATCTTACCAAGTTCCATTCTGCACTTGCAGAGCACACAACAAGATGACAGCTCTTCGCTGTTCGTCTTCATTCCTGGGAATCCGGGATTGATAGAATTTTACGAGCCATTCTTGCTCCAGGTTCACCTCAATAATCCCGACTGGGAGATCTTGGGGATATCCCACGCTGGAATGAACTCCTGCGATACAATTCAATGTCCGGTCTACACCTTGAAAGAACAAAATGACCACTTTGTCGCAGTCATAAACAGATACTCAAAGGCCGGAAGGCCATTGATCATCATGGGTCACTCCGTTGGGGCCTATTTGACCCAGAGAGTGGCACTTTCCAATCATTTGGTAGGAAATGTCGTTCGAATCGGTCTAATCACACCTACGCTGATAGACATTCATGACAGTGACAAGGGAAGAAAATTGACGCCAATAACTGCGTGGATCCCCAGGTTTCATGAACTAGTCGCTGGCTTGTCGTGGGTTTTGTTCGAAAAGATGCTACCGACGTCACTCACATCGAACCTTCTGTCCACCTTGATGAGAGTTGATCCTCAATCAGCAATGGCCATAGCGACTAGAACTCTTGTCACAAACTCCAGATTCATCAAGCAAGCGCTAGGATTGGCTACTGAGGAGATGCGGGTGATTAGGTCCGATTGGGAATTCCAGCGAACTTTCACAGAATTTTGCCAAGCTCGCAACATCAAGATCTGGTTCCTTTTCAGCAATAACGATCATTGGGTGAGTGAGCAGACTCGTAAGGACTTAATTCAGTTTTTCGAAGCAAACGGAGACCCTACAATGCTAAAAATCGATGTATCACCTACTTTAGAACATGCGTTTGTGCGTAGACATGCAGAAATCGTTGTGACAGAATATTTCGGGCATTAGTGATCGACCCTATTCAGTGCACCAGGTCAGGACTATGATTCAAGGAAGCTGTATTAATCACCCTCCTCCGATTATTTCGCTTCGAGGCCATGTTATGCAATTCAGTGGTGTCGAGTGTTTTGCGCAATGGTCAACAGGGTTCCATTTTGGGCTACATAAAGCAAATGAAATGACATATCGCTCGTTTGTTCCTACTACTCAAGACTTTTGAAGCCTGCTACTTTTATGACTATTTCATCCATCTCTCGATTGTGACGTTTTCAATGGAAATATCTCGGTTGTGCTTTGACGCTTCCATGTTGAAACCTCTCATTCAAAGAGCGTCACTAACGCTTGCCATGAGGCTTTCCTCAAGCTGTACTTTGTCAAATATCAAATCAGCGTTCCACTCAATATTAAATTGTATTAAAGGTATTGAGGCTATGATTTTTTATATTTCAAAATAAGTCAAGCAATGTCGGAGCCATGTACACTTCCACCAAGAGCTATGTGTGTTGGATAATTTCTCAGTTGAAAATCTTGGCTATAAAGCTCTTGACCCCACCCTTCTTTTTACGTTCTTGGTATTTTTCGATCTGTTTTTGATTTTTTTCGACTGCTCTGCGCAGCTTCTCGGAATCCAATCCATTATCAGTGCGACTCTTCACGCTGGTAGCATCGGGCAGCTCTAACGAGGCGATTGAAGATTTCAGCGATTTTTTCTGAGATTGGCCACTTCGTACTGATGTTCGACTATCGAGTCTGTTGAGTTGTTGCAACGTAACGGCCTTCACTAACCCCGTTTCAGTTTCCAAGTTGTACTCTTCTGGAAACTCAGTGCTCGAAGACAGGGCAACAGGACTATTAATATCAGGGTTCGCCTTTTTCCGTAGATTCAAACCTTGTTCTTCGAGCGACTCGACATTTTCAGAAAGTCCCTCTTTCACGTTGTGTGTTACAACCTTATCCACATCGGGTAGCGAAGAATTAGACGATGCCTCTTCTTGTGTTTCTGGGCCTCCCCCAAGCGTCAAGCTGCTCTTCTCGGATGCAAAGTCCCTGGAGGCCGCAGATGGCAGTTTGCTTACCTGTGGACGCTTGGCATCGACCGGATTGCCTTCAAATGCCCTAGGTTCAAAGGAATCAGACGAAGACAGCGACGAGAGTTCAAGTTCTGAACTTCCAAGATCGTCCTCCTCCTTGTTGCCGGCAGCGCGCATGTGCTGTGTGTGATCTTTGAATTTTTGGTAGTAAATTATCCTTCAATGACAAAAATGCTCAGCAGTCCGTTATCGTAACCTTCATACCACTCGAAGTTTTATATGAACTAAAAAACAATCCTAGAAGACACTCCTAGAAGTTGCTTTGTCTCACCCGCGCCTTTTTAGTGTCCTTTAAGCTAAAACAAGTTTAGCCTCAATTTGGCAGAGGAAATTTCAATAGTGATCGACACGGAACAAAGAGAAGGAGTGTAGGTTTGAGGGTAAATGCGATGATCGCAGTTGCTTGTAAAACGAAGAGGTTAGGTTCAGCGGACTTTTGATGAGAATTGAATGTCTCTAATTAAGGTCTTGGCAGGATAAAGCTTCGACTAATTTTCTAATTTAAAGATCGTACTCGTAGTGCTGGCGAGTACGTCCGGCTGCGTGCGCCAGCTAGCCAGGCTCAACTCGTGAAAGCCAGCGGACATCTTCTAGTAAGCTCTGGAGCTTTAAGCTTAGCTGCTGACAAGACAGTAACCCAGAAGCTCTTTCAATCGATCTTGATTGATGCATAAAGTGACCAACAGAAGTTCGGTGTAGAGGTTCAGGTTTTCGTTCCTGAGTTTGGCAAGGCCCACATCATCAATCACCCATATGACACAGTCGGTCTCCATAGTCACCTCCACAGATGACACAGGGTATCCACCCGAGTTTTGAGCGCTGATTCTGCCGTAACAGGTTTTCCCAGAAATGATTTCGTATAGCTGGCCCTGGCGCAAATTGTAAGTGACTTTGACCATACCGCTTTCAAGAACAGCAAATAGATTATCCTTGTGCGGCAGAAGTGTCTGTGCTGCAAGCCTTCTTTTCACGAAATAGCTGCCAAGTCCAGACCACAACTTCTCCTCTGCTTCTTTCACCTTTGTGTTAGACGACAAGATCTGTGGACGGTATTTTTGCAGCGAGGCAAACAAGAACAGAAGAACAGGTTGTTTCTCGCGGTAGCTGTGTTTATACGTTGGCATGGACTGTTCGTCGGTCAATAGCTTTTGGGCTACTGAGACAAATTGCGTGTTGCGCGGGGTGTTGAGCGGTAACATGGCTTTACTCATAGCTCTGTCGCGCCTTTTCTCCGCCTTCACATTCGATTTCGACCGCAGCTCTTTGAATTGGAACAAAAGCTTGTTTTCACACCATTCTAACGCACTATTGAGATCGCTGAAAAGCTCAACGCCATCGAGTAGTTCCACTTTGTTGAACGCGTGATAGATCCTATCGGTGGTTTTGATGGAAGAGATGATCAGATTGATTCGTTTGGAAGAAGTGAATCTTTTAATTCGATTGAAACCTTCCGCAGCGGAGTAATCGATATTGTCCGCATTGATATTTTTAAAATCAAGGATAAGGAATTTGATCCGCTGTTTGGAGGCATCATTGTCGCTTATCTCTAAAAGCTTGTCGATCCTTTCTTCGATAGACAAAATAGTTCCGAAAAATAGAAGGTTTTGTAGCTTCAAAACGTGAATCTGCTCTCCTATCTTGTTTAGAAATTGAGTTTGAATGAAATCACGACGGACTGTACTACGCGCCACCTGTCCATTAAATTCGCCATTGACTGTTTGCAGTTTTGCGCTGTCAACCAAAAAGGAGAAACATGCGATGAGGATTCCTACAATGATTCCCAACACGAAATCGAACATTCCCATGGTCAAAATAATCACGACGACCGTAGCGTACTCGAATCTAGTCAGCTTCGACCATGTGTCGTATAATGCCTCCTTGATCAACTCATAACCTAAAAGAAAAATCAAAGAGCCCACGATGCAGATGGGAATATATGAGATGATCACAGGGCCGGCCATCATGACGCCGAACGTCGCTGCCGCCAACATCAACCCTGCAAGTGAGCTGTCTGCGCCTGCTCTGATGAAAAGGACACTGTTTGTGTACACCAAATAATTTTGTACAGAGCCGATCAATCCAGAAAAGAAATTGGAATAACCGTGAGCAATCAATTCCTTGTCAACGTTAATCTTATCCATACCAACAGACATCGCAAGAGCGGGAACATTAATGGGAACGTGCAAAATTCCGAAAAATGTTAAAGCCAACATAGTCGGTATCTGTTTGAAAATCAACGACCACTTAACTAGTCTGAAATTGTAGAGTTTGTAAAACCCGTACCACTGTTCTGTGGACTCTGCAGAAGAAAAAATCCAGCCGCTCTCTCTCAACATATCTAAAGATAGGTTTGGGACCAACGCAACGACGAAATGGAACAAAACCATAGCTGCGATGTAGAACGATGGCAATACCAATGAGTTCTCAAAAATGTGTTGAACAATCACCAGTAAAGCAGCCATTGCAAGCGGAAGAAACCATTTGCCAAATGTCGCGAAATCTTTGAAAAGGGCTTCCAAGAATTCCAAAGCACCTTCAGTCTTAGCACTTCTCGTTGTTACTTCGAATCCTGTGGCAACAAGGAAGTAACCCACACCACCTATGCAGCCAATAAGAATATGTCTTGGAAAGAAGCCGACTATTTTACCTAGGCGCAATTTACCGAGAACGAAGAACAACAGTCCAGTCATTATAGAACTCAGAGCATAGCACACAATTGTAGTCGAAAGAACTTGATCCTTTTGATCTGATAGACCACTTGTAATTGAAGCAGCCATGGCATGGTAAAACGGAGTAATTTCAATCATCTCACTGCCAATGGAGTTTCCAAATGCCGAAAAGCCACCTGAATATATAACTTGGGAAACGATGCAGGAAATGTAAAACATTGACATACCAGAGGGGCCCATGTGTGCGAACAAGGGCTCGGTGATAGGGAAGATGATCATACCGTAAGACAAAGCATCTAAAATGTTCAGTAAAAGTCCCAAAATGACTGCTGGGACATATCTGGCCATTCTTTGTAGTGTGAAAGTAATTTTGTCAAGCGTGGGAGCGTTGGGGTCAATCGAAGGGACTGGGAAAGTCGAGTCCCCAGGAGAGCGAAGCGATACATATTGACCGTCAGATCCGTCAATCGCGCCATACTCCACATCTCGTCCTGATTGTAGAGAGATCAAAAGTTCAGAGGGTTGGGGGCCCTCGCTTGGCATAGCCGTGTCTGGCTGACTGTTGACAGGCGACACTACCGCCTCGCCGGATAAAGGGTCTTCGTGACCCTTTGAAAAGTCTTCCGAGTCCCGCGATGGATCTAGTTGATTGTCAAACTCAAAAGAAGCGTCGAAATCATTAGACAGCGCTGCTGTTTGTCGATGCAAATTAGCAGACTTGTGTATGGATTGCAGCTCCGCTTTCGACATTTCGTTGCTAGGAAGACGATCTTTGAGGAAGTGCGATGTTGGAGACAAAGTTCCCACGAATGAACGACCATAGTATTGGTGGGACGAGTTAGCCATGCTTTGGCTCAGTGGATTAGCCCGAGAATAAGCCGCGTAATCACTGTCGCTGGAAGTTTGGGAATTGAGTCCCAACGATACGGTAATGGCTTCCGAAAGTGAGCCTCTGCCTCTGGCCTTCTTGTTACCCATGTTGCCCGCTTGATTTTTGCTCAAAGTGGTGATATTCTGGTATCCAACTTTACACATGCATCCTTCGTTTTTCCAATTGATAACGGACATACAGGATCCACAGTCAATCTAAACTGAAATTATGTCCGCATGCACGAAGCAAGTCCGTAGTTTGGTTTTACCAGTCCAGCAAGACTGTTCCAAGTTCATCTCGAGGTATTAGTGCTTGGTGAGTGAGTGTGTGTGTGTGTTTGTGTGTGTGTGTGTGTGTGAAAATTCTCTTTCTTTTTGAAGCGTCGAAAGAGTGATTACCATGGTGAAAGTTGTCTTGCACACGAAAAGTTTGGAGCACGGTCCTAGAATTCCAACATATGTCGCTGTTTCCTGAGACCGCCCTGATTGAACAGCTTCAAGTCGTTATCGTGTTTGTGGTCTCACGTTTTTCTTTGAAAACTGTCCTGTTTGGCAAGAGTTTGCACGGTTTGCACCGCACAATGGATTAAAAAGTGGAAAACTTCGAGAATGGGAAATTAAAGGGCCGGGTTTTATGAAAACGCATCCACAGAGGGGCTCTAGCGTCCAATTGTCGTTTGACATTATTATTGCGGTACATGTCCGCTCACGGCTGATAAAGCTTCACGTTGGGTCCCTCTCTTCCATCTTTTTTCTGTGCGCATAATTACAATCACTATGTGTCTTCTTTCCCAATTTCGTGAATAAGTCATTGGGAGCGTATTTCCAACGCGTTTTTCTCTCTTAGGGAGGTGGGTGAGGTTCTGCTTCGATTGTCCACACCTCTTTAGCTCCTGTGGTGATGAAATTGACTGGTCCAGTAGAGTTCAAATGTGTGCTCATTCTCTTTGTTCGTGGAGAGCTTTTCAAACGCCTGTGTTTGTTTCGATTTAATATGTGTTCTTGTGTTATTCGTACAACGCGATATAATTTAGCCGCCGACCTTTTCTTTTCTCTTTCCCCCTCACCTCTCAAAGTTCGAGACCTGGGCCCCTTGAAGTCTTCCACAACAATTCCCCCTTATTCACACTGCCTCAAAAGCCGGTAGGTCCTTCTTCATCTTCCTCATCTTCTTCATTTTGTTCTTTCGGCAAATGCCGAGCGTTCTTGACCCACGCGTCACGAAGAAATCATCCGTCCGCTACCTGGCACCGTACTTCCAGGAGACCTCCCTTCCAAACAGCGAAGACTACAACCCGTCTTCACTGCCAATTCAACACAGTAACGGTTTCCTCCTGACAAGCGTTTCAAACCCCCAAACTCTGAACTCTCATCGGCACAGGCTCTCTTATAGTTTAATCAGAGTCCCCCGTTTGAGAGATACACAAAATTCTGAAAGCAAAAGTGTCAGTTTGGGTCAAAGTGATACTCTTTCAAATCACACCCAGACACCTTACACGTGCTCCATGTTTTGGTTTTGTTCGTCGCGTGATGTATGCCAAGTAGCTGCAGTTCAGCACCCAGACACCGCACCAAAAGGCTTTGCTTACAAATTTTTTTACACCTTTCTGTCTCGGCCGTAGTGCGCAAATCTCAAACTCTCTTTCCATGGCATGGCTATAGGCGGATAACGGATGTTTTATTGCTAGTGAATAAGCGACTATTGCCGTTATTCATCAACACATACTAGCATTTCCGTCCAATATCCTTACACCCGGACACCCGGTCTCTCAATTTGTACTATCAAGATTTCCACGGAACCCACGCATTTGTCACGATTATGTCCGGGCGATGAGCGGCGTGCGGAACGAACCTGTGTTAAACTTCCTGTAAGGGACCTTGGATGCCAATGTCAGCACGAGAAACAATGAATTGCGCTATATAATAGTGTGGGATGCAACGTCAATGGCTAGAGGAAGTAGATCGCTGTTGAAATCGATCAACGTATGCTGCTTGTATATCGGTATAGCGTGAGTAGTACCTAAGCTAAGATTTTGTGCAACTTACGCCGAATAGGTTTGAGAAGGCTCTTTGTACACAAGTAATTAGCTGAAATCTGAATCCTGATTCCACATCTACTGTGAAGGTTCTGGTGCGTGTGGTATATTAGTTCCTCTCAGCCAGCTGTCACCGTGTCGTCAACTCCGTCAAAAACGATCATTCGCAAGAATCTCTCTGCGCAGTCCCACACCAAAGCTAAGGATATCTCACGCAAAGAAGACTCTCGGCCAAAAATGAAGCTCAATATGGGCCCGCATCTCGCATTGAGTCCCAGAAACGCAATCGACAAAACTTGGCGCTACATGAACGGGGCCTTCAACGTTGTAAAGTCGTCAGGAAAGCTCGTCCAAATGATCCCACATCACAACACGGGCCTTTCAACAGTCTGTAAGGGACTACGCAACGGCGAAGAGGGCTCGTTTTGCGCCAAACAGACGTCGCGTTCAAATAGTGATAGTGGCAGCACAAGGCGCGACACAGTCGTACAACGGCATGTGGCGCGCTCGCCCATATCGTCAGAGACGACGCTCTACACCACAGAGACCACATCATCATCATCACAGAGCTCATCGCATCAACAAGACACAACAAGTCATTCAAGAAGGCGGCGGCGCCATCGTCGAGTGGCTCAAAGAGTTCATTTCGAAGACGAGGTACCGCAAGACCCCTTCATCATCACCATCCCCCTCAACTAGTAGATTATATTGTAAATAGACTGTACATAGGTTTATAATGCGCTAATGGCCTTGTAATGCAATGGCCTTTTAATGTTAACGAGGAATAGACTTACTGTTTTGTATCTTTTGCGTGCTTAGCAAGAATGTCTATAATTTTTTCTGTATTATTTACATCTGTAACCGGGTCTGAGTTCTCGTATGCGACGGTAGGTTACTTTTCGACGTGTTGGTCGTGAATCTTGGCAAATCTTCCGGATGGATCCTCAGCACAGCCCCAATCGGCCTTTGGAATCCATCTCATGACGGTCGTAGCAGCAGCCTTGGGGAAAAGCGCATCGAATTTGAGTCTGTACCAGTAGGCCTCCTTGGTGGTAGGAATGTCATCGCCCCATTCGGCCTTGGGTTGCTTGAATTGCTCGTCTGAAATGGTCTCCTCCGCGGTATCTTTCAAACCGTCGATCCAAGAGTAGCCCACACCGTCAGAGAACTGTTCCTTTTGTCTCCAAAGAATCTCTTCTGGCAAGTATGGTTTCACGTCTGGCTCATCAGAAGTGTCGAAAGCCTTTCTCAAGATGTATTTCTCGATACGGCCCTCAGAAGGCTTGATCATCTTCTCTTCTGGGTCAATGTTCATGCAAACATCCAAAAATTCCTTGTCCAAAAATGGTACACGGGCTTCCAAACCCCAAGCCATAGTTGACTTGTTGGCTCTCAAACAGTCGGCAAAATGTAGGTTTTTCACACGTTGCACACATTCGGAATGGAATTCAGTAGCAGAAGGAGCTTGCGCAAAGTACAGGTATCCACCGAAAATTTCGTCAGAACCTTCACCAGACAACACCATCTTGACACCCTGGGCCTTGATTTTTCTGGAAAGTAGGAACATAGGAGTAGATGCTCTGATAGTGGTAACGTCGTAGGTTTCCAAATGGTAGATTACGTCGTCCAAAGCATCCAATCCTTCTTGCAAAGTGAAAGTGTGTTCATGGTGAATGCAGCCAATGTATTTGGCCACTTTGCGAGCGGCTTGCAAATCTGGAGCGTTTGGCAACCCAATAGCGAAGGAGTGCAGACGCGACCATCCGGCGCTGTGTAGGTTTCCGGCATCGTCGACACCAGCCAAATGTTTGCTCTCAGAGTCGTATTCGGAAGCGTTCAAGGCAGTGTTGGCCTTTTCAGTTTCTCTAGCGGCAATAGAAGCGATCAAAGAAGAGTCCAAACCACCGGACAACAACACACCGTATGGCACCTCGGCCATGAGTCTCTTTCTCACGGCTTTTTCTAGAGAATGACGGATCTTGAGTAGGTCTAGAGGTTCCGAAGGAGTGTGGCCTTCTTGCAACCAGTTAGGGTTGTAGTAGCGAGTAAACTTATCAGTGATAGAGTCGTACACGTGACCAGGAGGGAAAGCGGTGATTTGGTCGCAGTTGTCGGTTAGCGACTTAAGTTCCGACGCAAAGTATACGGTTTTAGGGCTGCTAGAGCTGCGGCCCATGTATAGCGTGGTAATACCAATAGGATCTCTGGCAGCGACGATACGGTCTTTTTTGGCATCGTACAAGGCCCATGCAAACATACCGTCCAAATGCTTAGGGGCGTCAATGTCATACTTCTCGTACAAAGGAAGAATAGGCTCACAGTCCGATAGCGTTTTGTAAGGGTAAGACTGTAGTTCCTCTCTTAGTTGGATGTGGTTGTAAATTTCACCGTTGACGGTCAACGATAGATCACCGTCCTGAGAAGTGATAGGTTGAGCGCCAGAATCTAGACCCACAATTGCTAGTCTTTCGTGTACCAAAATGGTAGAGTTTCTGGTGTAGTTACCAGACCAGTCTGGACCACGGTGTCTAATTTTCTTCGCCAATTGAAGGGCGTCTGATTTGAATTTGTCCACGGACTCATGCTTGTGACAAGCAAAGATACCACACATTTTGGCTCTCTGATTTAAGATTCAAGTGTTAATGATAACAAGAAAAGCTGAAAGTGTTATTCTTGACTTTCAAAGAAGTTTTCGATCTTTTCTAGCGGAATGTTATAATCTAAAGTTCGTCAACGATTGATGGTGAGCATTGATATACTTTTTTTTCCACTTTGATAGTGAGAAGTGAGTCAGATCGAAAAATGACGATATCATTCAAATGTTTTCCCGTCGCCATGACTGACAGAATGCTATCAGCAACAGCTTTAACTAGTCAAGAGGTTGAGAGTCATAGCAAGCAAGCTATTCACTTACTTCGGTAAACTAATTATCGTAGTTGACAGAATTGGTATATACTTTAGGCTCTATAGCACGATTTACTAGTCGTAATTTCTGGCGAGATTCATACAAAGTACGAAGTAGTAGATGAATTGTTGCAACAGTTCCTGAGGAATAGCATGACGTTTGTGAGGAGGGGGGCGAAATGATATTTTATTGCCAGAAAACAAACTTAGAATTGACTTGTCCTACTCTTATTGTGAAATACGTTCCGAGCCGTACGGCTTGTGGTGCAAAATGCAAGCCGTCGGAGTTCCTAGTATTTCAGTATGCTGTTGCCCCGAGAAGCCATTAAGCTGTGCTCTCATGATACAGACCCGGCCCATGCTCTTTACGACCAGATCCACCTTTTCAAAGGGGCTCGAGTTTTCGAACTATAGTAGAGAGTTTACGGACGCTGTCGGCTAGGCTTTCATCCGCAGACACCCTCGTCCAGCTCCTGCTGGACCCGGATCCCAAGTTATTATTTATCAAACAAGAAAAGAGTAAGTACCGAATTACATGACTTCCAGGTTAAAAAAAAAGAATCAGAATTTTCTAACTAGTGTCCTTGGCATTCATAGAATGTAACAAGATTAAAGGCTGCGCAGGAAACACTTCTCCATCAAAACCTCAGCAAAGCCGAGAAGAATTGTTCGATTAAAGACGCAAATAACTTCATCGTCTTCTTAATAAAACTTGGAAGGTCAATAGGGTTTCGAAAGAAAGAATAAACGCATGTAATAAGGAGGTCGCTAAGAAAATTTTACCGCTTATATATATATTATTTATCATTTTGTACGTCGCTGTTAAATAATGAAGATTAGGGCCTCATTGCTAGCACAAGTCTCAGTATTTGTAGAATACAAGTGGAAAATTGCAGGGCATCGAGTACAGGAATCTTAAAGCTACGTGGGTTCACGTTCTTCTATTCTTTGGAGACCTTCAAATGAATCAAACTACGTTGCTCATGCGGAGAAAAATATTGCTCCCGGATGTCATCTAATGAATAAAGAAAGACATAAGATGAAGCAAGAGGGACTTGTATAGTGTGACTAGAAGGCGACTAGTGTTCACGATTAGCTAGCTTCCTACAAACTTGGTAAAGGCCTCGACATCGCGTCGCGGAATTCTAACTATATACATCTGGTATCATTATCTACGTCTGTGACGTCGTTTCGAAAAAAATTTTAGTACAGTAACAGATGGGATGAGATGAGATGAGATGAGATGCGATGAGCAGTGAAAAAGGTTTATAGCGACAACTCGCGCTCCCCGCTGATAGCTCTCAGGAATAGAAACGGTGATCTTAGTTTCGGACACTTCTGACAGCAATTTCGTGTATTTGTTGTTCAACTATGGCGCTTACAAAAGATGAAATTGCTACCTGTGCCAAGCGCCTAGCATCTTCCAATGATAGAAGACACTATAATGATATCGTGAAACTCGTGTCTCAATATCCTACCATGTCGAACGTTGAATTGGGCACTTTTGAAAATGAGGAGCCCACTCTCAGGTATTTGACACTGGCTCTTTTACCAGTTTTTCGAAAGCTTTTTACTAGAGGTCAGTTGAACCCTACTAAGGCGTCCTCTGCGAGTGAAAAACAGTTTTTTCTATGGTGCCGTAAACTGTACAATTCTTTCAAGTCAAAACTGCTACATTGCATATCCACTATACCATTTGAGTCATCTTTGGCCCTAGACTGTCTCGATGCGTACATGCAACTAATTAACCAAGAGGCTATTCATTTGGCATCTCATGAGGACGCTCCTTTTTTCCCCAACAAGACCTTGAAAGCGCTCCTTGTGGCTTTATTCAAATGTGACTTTCCCAGCAGTGTTGACGCAGCCGATGGCCATTCCAAAAACCCTGTTGTGCTGGAATTCGCTCAAAGCTACTATCAAAAGTATGTGGACATTCAATACTACTTTCAAGCGGAGCTAGCTGGCTTGACGCTGGAACCTGACTCTTTAAAGAACCATGATCACACTCAGCTTATGGCCAAATGGCTTTCCATTATGAATCACGATAATCACTACACCAGCGGGGATGCAGACTTGGAGATTTTCGTACCCCAGCCACCGCAAGCGATGGAAAACGAAAATCAGTTCAGAACTAACCTGGAGAAGAACTGGCTATTTTTCCTCAATCTCGGGGGACTTTCTGCAACTCAATACAAAACTACCCTTCTCATCTTACACAAAAGAGTAATACCTCATTTCCACACACCAACCAAGCTCATGGACTTTTTGACCGACTCTTACGATCTAGGAGATCATGTACTTTCGTTACTAGCATTGAATGGGCTGTTCGAACTTATGAAAAGGTACAATCTGGAGTACCCTCGTTTCTACACGAAGCTGTACCATTTGGTAACTCCCGGCCTCATGCACGTAAAGCACAGATCACGCTTTTTGAGATTGACGGATCTTTTCCTGTCGTCTACGCACATTTCGGCGAATTTAATAGCTGCTTTCATCAAGCGACTAGCGCGACTAACGTTGGATGCACCCCCCGGTGCTATAGTTTCTGTGCTACCATTCATTTACAATCTATTAAAAAAGCATCCCACTTGTATGATAATGCTGCATGATCCAGACTACATTTCTAATACTTTCGCGGAACCCGATCAAGTTGCCTTAGTAAAAGAACGCAGAAGCCAGTATCAGGATCCTTACCAAATGGATGAACCTAACCCGGAGTTGACAAATGCTATAGGAAGTTCTCTTTGGGAACTCGATTCTCTCACAAATCATTACCACCCAAACGTGGCGACACTGGCTAAGATTTTCTCTCAGCCCTTCAGAAAGCATAGTTACAACATGGAGGATTTCTTGGATTGGTCTTACGACTCGCTGCTACAGGCTGAAGTGACTCGAAGATTGAAAATTTCACCGGCTCTTGAGTTCGAGGAACAAGGTGCACCTCTCGGCAATTACATAACGTGTGTAAACTGGTAAATTTACTGCACGATTTTTGGCAGGATCGGACTTGGTCATCGAATTCCTCCTTACACAGCGATGGAAAGAAACTAAAGTAAAATTTTTGGTAATTTAAAAAAATGGTCTCTAGCGGGATCGAACCGCTGATCCCCGCGTTATTAGCACGGTGCCTTAACCAACTGGGCCAAGAGACCTTTTTGATGTGGGCCGAACCTCTTGAAGCTTATTTAACGTTAGTTTGGAGCATCTTATATGCTTTAAGATACCACTCTCATATCTTCTGTGTGTCTGCAAATTTTTGATCTGTTTGTATGCTATGTATTTCCCTGGTTTACCTTAATGGTGTAAATATGACTGTTGTGTCACGTGACCGCAAACTGTCAAAACTAGGTCATCGAGGATACGTTTACGTAGGAATTTGCCCTTCATATCAAGTAGATGACAGTAAAAATTAACACTTGAGAGAATCCTGTTGATACTGTGCACATTTTTCATTGGAATCTGTAATCGCATTATCCGATGTTGTCTGTTTCAATTCCTAAAGTCAGTCTCGTAAATTTTAGTTAGCGTATTTCTTCAAAAGAACATTGATAACCGCCATCACCGTTCACAATCAACACCATTTCTTCCTACGATACAGCCGGTTTGTTAGATACAGATGTCAATTTTACACTAGGTACTACCTAGCATAGGTGCAGACGGTTGTTCATATCGCGGATTCCGATTTTGTGTTTATGAACTGTATAGAGGCTTTAAGTTGAATTATGTGTCACTGTAACCAAGAAAGGACAATTCCATAACCTGATGCAAAACAAGACAGATCAAGGTGTCAAAAATGTGTTTTTCACCAAACACTCCACTTGCGCGATGGCACTCTAGATCTACGACCAGACAGAAAATCAAGAGCTCTAGAAGTCCACTTTCTATGAACTTTGGTGTATAGAAATTGTGATTAGGACGATCAAAGACACCATTTATATGAAAAGATTGGTATCAACTGAGAGGGAAGAGCTGGGTCTTTTCAAAATGAGTTTTCTTGAAACACACATTTTTTCCTGTGTTCAATGGACTTTAAAAACACTCAAACAGGGTCTTGCGTTTCTTACAGTGCATTACAGTTTAATTAAAATTTGAATCTTATTCAAGACTTCGAAAAATTTCAACTGCATCAACAGAACAACACCAGAAATATAGACACTCAAAGCTATTCTCTGCGATGGTGGTGAGTGCACAAGCAGCCCAAGAAGCCTTAGACTTCAAAAATGAGGGCAATGAATTTATCAAGCAAAAAGACTATAGTGCAGCAGTGGAAAGTTATTCGAAGGCCATCGAGCGTGACGACACCCAAAGCATTTACTTTTCCAATAGGGCTTTTGCAAGACTGAAGCTCGATAACTTCCTCACCACAGTGGAGGACTGCACCAAGGCTATTGAACTGGACGGGAAAAACATAAAGGCGTTGCATCGAAGAGGACTGGCACATGTTGGACTCTTAGAGTTTAGTCTTGCACGCAAAGACTTCAAAAGGCTTCTTCAGCTAAAACCTAATGAATCTGCAGCGTTAAAAGCCCTAGAAACATGCGAAAAATTCATTCGTCAAGAGAAGTTCATGAAAGCAATCGCTGGGGATGGTGATGTGGCGAAAATAAATACGTGTGCAACAGTACAGCTTTCGTCTTTCGATGGAAACTCCGATTTCCTGAAGTATGAGGGACCTACGTTGGAATTAACTCAATTGGTGAATGACAAAAATGAACCCGCCGGAGCACAGATCACGAATATGTCCCAGGAGTTCGTCTCTTCTATGGTGAATGATCTGTTCCTGAAGGGTAAGAATCTGCCTAAAAAATACGTAGCGGCCATCGTTTCGCATGCAGAGCGTTTATTTCACATGGAACCGTCAGTTGTTGAACTCAACAACGCTACTGAAACCGACGTCAAGATTTCTGTATGCGGTGACACACATGGTCAATTCTACGACGTCTTGAACATTTTCCGCAAATTCGGCAAAGTTGATTCAAAACATTCCTATCTCTTCAATGGTGACTTTGTCGACCGTGGCTCCTGGTCCTGTGAAGTTGCGCTTCTATTCTACTGCCTGAAGATTTTATTTCCCGGGAACATGTTCATAAACAGAGGCAACCATGAAACCGATAATATGAATAAAATCTACGGATTTGAAGACGAGTGTAAGCACAAGTATTCTCAGCGGATTTTCGAGATGTTTTCTAGGAGTTTTGAGGCTCTTCCTCTTGCAACTGTTATCAACGACAAATATCTAGTCATGCATGGTGGTCTCAGCGCTGACAGTTCTGTATCGCTGAAAGATTACAAAAGCATTGATAGATTCTCTCAGCCACCAAGAGAGGGTCCCTTCATGGAGCTGCTATGGTCTGACCCGCAAGCTGGTAAGGGTTTGGGACCCTCAGAACGAGGATTGGGCCATTCTTTTGGACCCGACATCACGGCTGAATTCCTCGCCAAAAACAAGTTATCCAAGATATTCAGGTCCCATGAAGTCAGAATGGGTGGTGTGTTGTTCGAACATGATAAGAAGCTGGTTACCGTTTTTAGCGCGCCAAACTACTGCGATTCTCAAGGCAACTTGGGTGGTATCATCCACGTTGTTCCAGGCATGGGAGTAATAGGCCAGAATGGGAATGATGACGAAGACTTAATGGTCGAGACATTCGGAGCAGTTGAGCATCCAAACGTTAAGCCTATGGCTTACTCTAACGGCGGGCTCGGATTTTAAACAAGCCCTAGCATATTAATATCTCTAGTAATTGCAATGTAATTTTTTCCTCTACCACATCTCAGGTTTCACTGGGGCAGGTAGTGGTGTTGAACACACCAATTTCTTAAAATCATTTTCCACCTTAGAGGCTATAATTTATTATACAAATATGCAGAGTAGATAAGTTGGAGGTGGATGCTTTTTAAAAAGATGTGCTACGCGTATTATGCATATCCTATGAGTCTCCGGCAGCCTTTACAAGATCCAAAAACTTTTCCTTTGATAGATCGTTGAGCATGTCCTTCTTTTCGGCACGGTTCTTAATATCACCGAGCCTTTCAGCACTGTCTCTCTCGGTTTTAACTTGTGTGGATAAAATAGCATTGAACAGTTTCACAACACCCTTCTGTGCAATCTTTCTTAGTCGTCTCTCCTTCTCCAAAACTTCCCTTATTTCGACCCCGGAATCTGTCTCTGCAGATGCAATTGGTATGATATCTTTTGTTCTGGTTTTATTCAGCAGTTTTTTCTTCTCCACCAAAATGGCCTTTTTAGCCTTGGCTTCTAGCTTATCACTTTCCAGTTTCTTCGCTGTGCTCTTCTTACGAGCCATGATCGGATCTTTTCGATCGTGTGCTTTGAGATGTGATCCAAGAATAGCATTAATGGCTGTGGAGAAGTCTGAGGACCCGTCATTATGTTTGCCAAGCTTCGCTTTCTTCTTTTTGGGAAAGTCATCATCCTCTTCTTCGTCTACACTGTCGTCGTCACTGGAAATTTCGTCTTCGTCTTCACTAGAGTCTTCTCCACTGGCATCTTCTTCTGCCAAATCCTCACTTTGAGCACCAGAGTCGTCCTCACTCTTTCTGCCACTTATTTGGTTCTCTGAGTCTCCATTATCGTGGTCTAAGTTGCCGTTGTGACTATCATTCTGTTCAGTCTCAGGGTTTATCTTGTTGTCACTGGCAGGAGTGACATTTTGAGCAGGTTTCTCGATCTTTTTATTAGCCTGAGTTTTCGCGGTTGATTTGCGGTTCGAAGAACCCTTTGATCCCACCATAACAGCTCGCTTGTACAGATTATTCGGAGGTGCTCAAAGGCGATGAGCTCCATTATTCTAAAATTTTTCGAAGTATTAACATATTATTGAGAATATACATCAAATCGATGAGCTGAGGCACGTGACCAGAACTTTTAGTGCGATATTCAACAACCTTTGACGAAATACAATTGAAGCTTATCGAGTGCAATAGGTGAGCACTCGAAGACAGTTTAGTTTTAGCCCTACTAGTTATTGAAGCTATAATATAGTTCCAGGACATTCCATCTCGAAATCAAAACAATAGATCACTATATACGAACACATCATCGAGTCCTTCCACAGACCCATAGATAAAATTAGCTTGTTGGGGGAGTGCATTTGTGACAGCTCTCAATCATCAATAGCTTTATATGATGAGACAAACACCTTTGATCTTATGTCTCTTCGCCTAAAAATATGAGAAAGTGAGTAGATGACGTTGATTTCGAAGTGTCACATAATACGGAAGTGTCACAGAATCCGTTTTCCAGCAAATTTGACATTTGGAGGCCCATTTCAAGCACCTTATCAAGACCGCAATTGTCGTCAAGTGCATTTTTGTCCCCGCAGTTTCTCCTTCCCGAAATTAAATTTAAATCCACTAAACATCACTTTTCTTTAACAACAGTAATAGAAGGGAATAAGTGCCTATACTCGTTAAGAGAATCATATAGAGTCCGGCGTGTCTTGGTAAGATACGCATTTATGCCCTGGAGACTTCAGTTTATCGAAGGATGTGTCATTCAAAGCCTACACAGCTGATTAGCGTCAAAGGAATGCTCCTGTACGTTAATGACACTATGCCATTTAATACAATTGAGACTCTTTCCATCATTGAAAAGTTTTGTATAAACTATGAGCACAACCACGGTAACTCAGACAGGCTAGATGGTACCACCCAATGCTGTTAGTCCGATGATCGTTGGAGAATCAGTAAACTGTAGTTGATACAAGTGTGCCTTGAAATTCCGTCGCTGTCATCTCGTCACGTGACGGAAAATTTAGGATTATGAATGCGACACTAGCTAAAGAGTGTCTCAAAAGGAGCTACAATAATCACATTCCAATTCATCAGCACAAGTGTCTCAGTTTCCGGGCTCTAACATGACAAGCCATGCGTATTTGATTTCGTTCAGCTTATACACTTTGTTTTTGTCGCTATATACGTAGTGTCAGATAATAATTTACTGACGCGTTCTAATTACATGTCTCGAGAGACCAATCACGAAAACAAAACACTACCAACTTTCCCGCCAGTGGCTGAGCTGAGTCCTTTTAACACACCCTTTCTTTACCGACGTCGTCATTTAAGCCAGATCAGGCCCATTCATGGAGTCTTACTATCGGTCTACTACATTGGAATTAGGTACCTTGATGATTCCCGCAGTTCCAAAATCTTTGGTTTAGGTGTAACAATGAACAACGAAGTTCCAAGAACGCCCACTAAGTCAAAAGCACAAGTTGCAGGAGACGCAGAGTCCAGAATACCATCACCAAACGCTACAGAATCTCCCAAGTATCGCAAGAGAAGCTCATCGCCAAAACAATTGCCAGTTAGTGCTTCGGAGCATCAAAGCATTATATCCCACACGAAGAAGCCTAAAAATGATGTTCTTAAGGCAACTAATGGTGATAACAGTTATATGGCTCACTGTGGAGTCGAAGAACAAGGATCTGAAAGCTCTTCGCATATGACAGCATTCTATAAAGAAAATATCCGAATTTTGAACGACTTACAGGATGTAATGTTTCAAAAGAAAGCGAGACTGGATACGCTCAAAGATGAGCTGATGGAAAACAAGAATGAACTCAAAGCTGTATTACTGAAAGTGGAAACTTACAAGGAGGAAAAACATGTCAAATCACAACAGCTCAAACTTAAAATTAATGATGCAAAGAAGCTTCGCGATGAACATAATACCAAAACTAAGTTCATGGTGAAAAACCATGAACTAGAGGGGCAACAACTACGAGCAAAGAGCGTTGCAGAAATGAATCGAAGAGAAAACGAATACAGACAGAAAATTGAAGTTCTCCGACATTCCAGAATCAAACAATTACAGGAGAAGCGTGAAAAACTGCGAGAGGAAATTTCCGGCCTAGATTTCCAGGTGTCCAATAACAAGTCCATTCTTCAGGATGCTCTCAAAGAATGCGAGCAAAAGCACAAATTAAGCAAGGAAGAGGCACTGCGGCTCCACCAAGCAGAACTCGATGGTCTTATCGAAAATAGTAGAGAATTGAGTGCAGAAAATGATTCTTTACGGACCGCCCTAGATTCAAAACTCAAAGTTGCCTTCCGCGCAAAGAACGAAGATTTTGAGCGCTTAAGTTTTAGCTTGCAAGAGCTGGAACAAAAGCTGAAGGCACTTCGCTCTGAAAACGCAAAAATCAGAAATGATACAGAGACTTTTAGCCGTGGTTCGATAGAATCGTTAGCAAAACGAGATGACTTGAAAAAGTACATTTCTGCATCCACATCTGAGCTAGGAGAAATCGAAGAAATCTTGATGAAAGAAGAGACCATGAGGAGGAAGCTTAACAATGAACTGCAGGAATTGCGAGGCAACATACGCGTATTCTGCAGATTGCGACCTAGATCAAATCAAGAGGCTAACCAAGTTTCAAACATTCAGATAGATGATTTCAATGACGATGGCGGTACACAGCAAATGCACATTCGACGAGACTCGAAGTCTCATACTTTCACGTTCGACAAAATATTCGGAGAACGGGACTCTAACAAAGACGTTTTTGACGAAATAGGGCAACTGATACAAAGCTCTTTAGATGGATACAACGTGTGCATTTTCGCTTTCGGCCAGACAGGCTCTGGTAAGACATATACAATGCTCAACCCTAAAGACGGTATTATACCATCCACCTTAAACCATATATTTCTGTGGGTGGACAAACTGAAAAGTCTAGGGTGGTCTTACGATATTTCCGGACAATTTATTGAAATCTACAACGAGAATCTAAGAGACCTTTTGAAAGGTCAGGACGGAGAGTACGAGGAAACGAGTGATAGCGCTAGACTGGAGATTAGACATGACGCCGAATCTTCTACAACCCACCTCGTTAACGCGACCACTTGCAAGTTTGCAAGTCAAGAAATGATCAGTGATGTTCTCTCACGAGCTTCGAAAATGCGGTCGACCGCGGCAACGAAGGCTAATTCAAGATCTTCAAGATCGCATAGTGTTTTCATTATAAAACTCCGGGGATATAACTCCAAATCCGGCGAGCACTCTGTGGGAACACTCAACTTGGTGGATTTGGCGGGTTCAGAACGTATAAACTCCTCTCAACCGGAAGCTGAACGACTGCGGGAAACTCAAAATATCAATAAGTCATTGAGTTGTCTTGGTGATGTTGTACATGCCCTGGGTGCCAAGGACGCTGTTAAACGGCACATCCCTTTCCGGAATTCCAAGTTGACCTACTTGTTACAGTACTCGCTGATCGGAGATTCTAAGACGCTAATGTTCGTTAACGTTTCCCCTTCTCTGAAAAATCTGCCAGAAACGTTAAACTCATTGCGATTCGCTGCCAAAGTGAATTCTACCCAGATGATGAAGTGAAAAACGTCACATTCGTGGCTATGCATTTGAATATATTCGTGCGGTGGATATATAAATAGAGAGGTCATTTCTTGGCATCGGATTTAGTGTCATTTTCAGAAGACTCGGCATCAGATTGTTCATTTAAGAATTTTTGCAATCTTCTTACTGCCCAGTTTTTGCCAATAAATCTGACAGCTGGGTCTGAGCTACCCTCAGAGTCTGTGTATTGTTTCCACCACTGAGGGGATTGAAACCTCTCATCCTCGATCGGAAGATTATGGCCCTCATGACGAACTTCTGCGACATGTGCCCTCAGTTCCGAGGCCAATCTGCTCCGCAAATTTTGTGCATCTTTACCGACCTTCAATTCTTCGGTGAGATCAGTTGGATGCTTTGGATCATGGTATTTTTCGACTAGTTTTTTCCACTCGTCGCGATATGCTTCTATTATTTCGTCATTTATAGGGTTACCGACCATGACTTTGATCTCGGCTCCAAAATTACGCGGAAGATACCGTTCAACTTTCGTCCCCGCTGCAGACTCAGGAGCTATCTTTTCGAACCCTGTGCTGAAGATTGGAACCACGATGGGAGCCTTTGTGCTTTCCAAAATCATACGGGTGATGCCCCATTTGAAGTATCTCATGGAGTTGGCATAGGGAGACTCAAGTTGCAAAACGAAACCTTCTGGATAGACATGGACCCACGAAGGTTTGCTTCTTTTCACAGGAGGAGTATAGTCTTGCGCAAGTTTCGTTAGTGTGCTCATTTGCTTTTGCTGTGGTGTTTCCTTCTCTTCTTGAGCCCAGCTGGGGGTCCATTCGAGATCTAGCGTATCGTCTGGTGAAAGAAGCCTGATTGAAGCGTCAATGGAGCCTTGAAAAGGCCCACCACCAAATCTTATGGTAGACAGCACTTTGCCGAGCGAAAAAAAAGTGGCTAGAGATTTTTTTTGAAAGCAAACGTTGTGGGCACCAAGACACCAACGAATATGATCCAGGTCCGTGTAGATTCGCCATGGGAAAACACCCCATATGAATGGGTCGTCCACCACGGACATATGATTCATGACAGTCATCAATCCACGATTCTCACTTACTGAGCGATCTATTGCAGTCTCAAGTCTTTCAAAATGGGTTAACTGCACATTGTAGAATGTTTTCAAAATGAGTTTCGAGATCCCAACTGTCAAAAGACAAGTGGCATGCGATCCCAATTGCCATAGCGGACTGGTCCGCGGATACTGTGATAAAAAGTCATCGCCTCGCTTTAAAACATCGGGAAGTGACATACCAGAACCCAAAAAATTTCCAGAGTGAGCCTAGAGCTTCAAGAACAAGTTCGAGTACTTAGACCTTAGGATAGGCCTTTACGAGTGTTGTCTACAGCAGTGTGAGTGTGAATGAAGTAAGTAAGCTGAGCCGATTGACCATAATCTCATATATTTCACTCGTATAAGTCGATATCGAGGGTTCGTACATAACTACAATAAAACAAAAGCACGTGATCCAAGTTGATAACTGTACAAGGAAAGCAGGGTCTCCAATGCTTTCAGTTCACCTATGAAATATGAATGTTTGTCGGTAGGAGCCGCTCGGATACCAAGGTATTTGTCTGGACATAGAGAAAGTTTTCTCCGGGTCAATTCATTTTTGACTCTTCAGTTTTCCACGTTTGTCGTATTCCTTGAGAAAGTGATACTTCTTACAATGATGGAGTGACAGACACGCAGTTTTAGAGATCGTTGAATAGCTTCTTCCGTCTCTTTGTCTTCTCAATGGACTTGAAAAATGACGACGTTGCGAGTGATAAAAGTGATCATTATTTCCCAAAAAGACGCTAGTCTGATATTGTCGTTAATTAAATAGCATTGATGATGATCTATGCTGCAGTATAACCATCAAACTATCAACGCTCCGTCGAGTGAAGCCTCTCCATAGAGTAAGAGAGTACTCCTGATGGAAAAATTCACCAATTGGAGAGACAAGGGCACAGGGATTGCACCCTTTGTACCTACGCCACCTCCTTTGTCGCAAGAGAGGGGCTTGACAGGAGCTCTCAACAACTTGAAATTCGTGCTGAAAGCCATATGTGTGCTGCCTCTGGTGCTTGTGGCTTTGATTCTGCCCGAATCTATCTCCAAAAACATATGGCCGACCATTTTGAAAGTACTGGTCAATTGGAGCTCGCAATTGACAACTCAAGGTGTAAAGAAGCGGGACCAACGGGGAGAATTGCCTACCGCTGACAGCGGTATCTACTTGGCGAATTGTAGCAGTCCTTTTGATGCGGTTGCATTGTGGTTCTTAGCCCAGGGCCCCGTCGCATTTTGCGTGCCATTGGGAAACGGAAAGCAGTCTCGAATCGTTCAATTGGGTATTTGGCAGTTTTTACAGTTCGCTCTCAATAACGGGCAGTTGCGCCAAGATGAGTCTCACTTTCAACAAATTAAGACTAAGTCTCAATTAAAAGGCCACGTTGTGTATTTGTTCGCTGAAGGTACGACTTCGAACGGAAAAAGTGTGCTACCTTTTGGTCTAACACAGGAAACATGGGATGAATTCTTGGGCCAAAAAAGCATAAATACCGCAAGTTCTACGTCTTACAGCGGTGACAATAACAACAGACAAGTAGCTGCTGATGTCAAGGTTCACGCCATACTTTTGAAAATCAATAGCTCTCTCACCACGCCTTTGAAACTTGATAAATGGAAATATTTGGTTAGAGCTTCAGCCCAGGGTGTCAGCTACAAGTGTAGAATTATCAAATCGGTAGGTCCAGAGCTGACAAAAGCGCGTGCAGCACTTGTGGGCGGAGATAAATTTCGGCTCGTTGGCAAAGAACTGAACACGGAGTCCAAACGTAAATTTATCAAAGAATTTGGGAGCCGTAGACGCTAGTGAGTTAGAAAAAACAAAGGCTACATGGCTCTTAGTAGTATTCGCTACCTGCACCGTGATTGATTTCTTCTCGCAGTTTTTCTCCGTCAAAAATCCACGTCGTACCAACTAAATCGGGAGTCTTACCCTGCGGCCATGTGTTAAGCAGTTTTTGGCGGTCCCGGACTATTGGCTGGAAAAACACCTTATCATTAGTCCTTAAGTACCGGTAATGCAATAAAATCATTAAGGGAATGATAAAGTCTTCCAATGTAAATTGCAGGAAATAATGAAGTCCTGTCGGTTTTGAATCGTTCTTTCTTTTGAAAGGATTGATCTTTGCTTTGATGCTCGTGCTTTCGGACTTCAGCTCATTCCACTTTGCCGAAAACTTGTGCTTCAGTTTCCTGGTTTCTTGTATAAGCTTGAGTTGTTTCGAGGTAATTAAGCCGGTCGACAGACAATCGGTTGCTGCTTCCAACATGCCAATAGCGCTTCCACAATCGTCATTTTTGTAGCGATCCAGTGACAGCAGAATAAAAGTGAGGGCATCGAGATATTGTATCAGAGGCTCACATGCACTTGAAACATGGGTATTGGCCAGTTGTGAACACGCAGATCGACATCCGATGCACAAGCGTGCGTAAAGCAGGCTCGATTTGGCCAAGTCCTTCAGATCAGATTCTTGAAATTCCAGAAGCCGATCGTAACGCATATTGCTTGAATTTTTCGCAGAGTTGACACCGCCATTGGTATTGGGTGTATCGCAAATACGGGATCTGAGCTTTGATAGCGATAGCATGACCACACCCAGCTGTTGCGATATCGTCCAGCATTTCATATACGTTTGCACCAGCCCCAAAGACTGAGGGCTGTTAGCAAGATCTAATCGACGCAAAAATTGCAGAAGCCCTATCGCATTTTTATTATACAAGCCACTGCTTGCCCATGCCTCTTTGGAATCCTCTGTGAACGCTTTTTGAGCAAGCCCTTCTGCGATCTGCTGCAGGAAATAAGCCATATTCGTGATCACCTTGCACTGCAGTTCGTCAAAATGCGAGCTCGATGTTTCAGTACCATATTTGAGAAGTGCACTCGCAAATTGCAAGTGTACGTCGAAGCTATTGAGAAGAGATGAGTTACAGTTATTCACGGCTGTAATGGCCGCTTCGTTTCGCAGCACCACGAGATTTGCGGGAAGAGAATCTTCCTGCGTGATGTCCAAGGGTAGATTGTCAATAACAAGCATATACAAAAGGCTATAGAAAGGTCTTTGGAGTCGATTTTATATACTTCATAGATCTCGCCTGCTATACATTTGGAATAGAGCGTTTGATATATCTCTTTGAAGGTTTCGTAGAAGGTTATAACAAATCAATAATTATTGAATTCAAGGTGTTGTTGGAATAGGAACACTATCCAAAGAAGAGCCATACAGCGGGAGAGCACGATAAATCAATGTACAAGCACTTTCCTGGGGTTCTGAGATTAATGTGTGAGCTTCAAGGTTTCAACCAAGCCTTTTGGGCTCTTGTAGCAACTCGAACTACTCTGTTTGCGTTCTTTCAAGAGTAAACTACACGTTTCACAGGTAACACGACAATTGAAAAATAAAAGAAAGCCGGTATACGAAGCTGTGTTGGTACCAGAACATCGTAAGCTGTAGACAGAGAGCTACCGCGATATCAATAGCCGTCCCTATCTCGCCGAAACAACCATCTCCGTACCTGGGCGGCTATTATGGGAAATGGAGGGTTTTTACGCGAGTACAACAGAAAGTACCATTTCATGCTTAGATAAGCATATGTGCTTACGTAACCACTATTTTCAGCACGTGATAAGGTTTTCTTTCAACACCATAGGGACCGGAACAAGTGGTACATACAACGTGTATCCGGTACCCAATGGGGAGCATCCAAAAACAGCTTTTCTCCACTTCCTGAGTGACGCGCCAATATACCAATTCTCTGGTCGTTCAAGCCATCGATTTTGAAGTTGAATGAGAATACGTATTACCATATTGGCCGATTGCCTGCCATAAAAGCGGTCCAAAGTATTACGAGAAAATGAATGAAAATGGCACGTTATTGCGAACTCTAAAAAGCCACCCCATCTGACTATCATGTGCATCCACTGGCATTCCTTTCCTTATCAGCAAAGGCAAGCACGTTACTTTCATTTCCACTTTAAAGTGCCGTACAAGTTTCCGTTTCCTGCTTCTCATTGGTGTCTTTTGAAAAAAAAAAACAACCTTATCGTTGTTTGTCAGTTCTGCTGCGCATGGTTTCTCAAAAGGGTCCCACTTAATGCGCTAAATCGTGCTGCGAACTCTTATGGGTAGGCTCATCTGGCTAGCAAAGCTGTAGTATACTAGTAAGAAAAACAGTTGAGTCAACTAAGGTTCGTGGAGATGGATGGTATTTTGAGCGGAGAAGAACCTGCGGAAAGTGCCTTAGTGTCGGGCACGGGAAAAAAACTATTCAAGAAGCATCGGACTATAAAAGGTTCAAGGCTTTCTGATGCAGCGTGTAAGGGCCATCAAAATCAGCGTAGGGTCCCTGAAAGAAGGAGGAAATCCAGCAAAGTAAGACTGGAACCTCTACGGATTTCTCTTTTGTCTTCTTCAACAGGATGGGTTATGTGTGGGATGAGACTTATGAGCCGGCAACTGTAGCGTTCATTTTGTTGGGCTCCGCGCTGGTTTTTATCATGATTCCAGGACTTGGATTCTTATACTCAGGTCTAACGCGAAGAAAGTCTGCTCTGGCACAAATATGGATTGTTCTGATGGCCACGCTGGTAGGAATTCTGCAGTGGTATTTTTGGGGGTTTTCGCTGGCGTTCTCCAAGACGGCTAAAAATCACAAGTTTATTGGAAATTTGGACTCGTTTGGGTTCCGAAACGTTTACGGGAAAGTTGACGAAGACAGCGTTTACCCAGAAATTGCCTTTGCCGGATTCCAAGGTCTTTTCATGTGTGTGACTCTCAGCATTATCGCAGGCTGTACAGCTGAAAGGGGTAGACTCCTGCCGCACACTGTCTTTTTATTCTGTTTTGCAACACTTGTCTACTGCCCGGTCACGTACTGGATCTGGGATTCTGATGGATGGGCTTACCGCTGGGGAGTACTAGACTGGGCTGGAGGTGGCCCTGTTGAAGTTCTATCCAGTGTAGGAGGATTTGTCTACTCGGCATTTTTAGGCAAGAGAAAAGAAAGCCTGCTCATCAATTTCAGACCTCACAACGTTTCTATGGTCACCTTGGGCACTTCATTGCTATGGTTCGGATGGTTAGGCTTCAACGCATGCACTTCTTTGAGCCCGAACCTTCGATCTTCTTACGCTTTCATGAACACAAATTTGAGTGCAGCTGTGGGAGGCATGACATGGTGTCTATTGGATTACAGGCTAGAGAAAAAGTGGTCGACCGTGGGTCTATGTTCCGGTATTATTTGTGGCCTAGTGGCTGCTACGCCGAGTTCGGGTTGCATAACACTGTATGGTTCTGTGATACAAGGTATTGTTGCCGGCGTGGTATGTAACTTTGCGACCAAGATCAAGTATTATCTCAAAGTTGACGATTCCATGGATATTCTGGCGGAGCACGGAATCGCTGGTGTTGTGGGGCTAATATTCAACGCATTGTTTGGCGCAGACTGGGTGATCGGCATGGATGGGGCCACCGACCATGACGGTGGGTGGATTTCGCATAATTACAAACAGATGTACAAGCAAATTGCTTACGTGGCAGCTGTGTACGGTTACGGTATTGTTGTAACCGCTATCATTTGTTTTGTGATAAACAAAATTCCTGGTCTGCAACTCAGAGCCAGCGAGGATGCTGAGGAACAGGGCTTAGACGAAGACCAAATCGGCGAGTTTGCATACGATTACGTTGAAGTACGGAGAGACTACTATTCCTGGGGAGCCAATAGACCGGAGGGTTCTTCGGATGACAACGAGTCCCAGCCACAAGAGGAAAAACATACTTGAGTTTATAGATCGGGTAAGTTGTCTTTACACTAAGAAATATTCACGTTTTACTGCTGCATGTAGGATAAGTATATAACCTGGTTCTGAGCGTCTAACTTTAGCATGGCTTTTCGCTTTGGTTTCTAAAAAAATTCCGACCTCGGTGAGGATTGAACTCACGATCTTGCGATTAACAGTCGCACGCCTTAACCAGCTTGGCCACGAAGTCTACTGAATGTGAAGAAATCGGCATTCCGAAAGCGTTATAAAGGAGGAAATTAGACCCATGGAGGACTCGTTATCATGGAGACCGCCAGTATGCTTACTAGATCTGTAATCTAATTTTTAACCTAAAAAGGCCATTACAGAGCTTATGATAAATCAAATACTATATGGAGAGTATTCTACTTTCCTCAGGTGTGCAAAAAGATAAAAAGAACACGTTTCGTAAGCGCATCTGAAGGCTGGCACATGACTATTAAAACTGCTGATACAGTAAGGCTATTCGTCTTTTCTGAAAAGTAGCCACTTTAGTATAGTGGTTAGTACACATCGTTGTGGCCGATGAAACCCTGGTTCGATTCTAGGAAGTGGCATTTAAATTTTTGTGATTTATTTTCATTTTTTTCTGGCGCCAAGAAACATTGTTTTGATTTCGTACCTTTTAGGAAAAACATCAACAATCACGAACTATGTTTCTGGTAAATTGATCTTCAACGTTGACCTTACTTTGGAAACTTGTCGCGTCCGCCAGAAACTCTAGAAGTGGTACATTTGTCCTGCGCTGTTTTCTTGCCTGTCAGGCAGGAGTTGCCCCGAGTTTCCTTTGCAAATTGAAACTATCAATGCTCCAACGACGGGCGCGAAATGGCAACCAGGAGCTGCCTGACTTCAGTAACACCTAGTAGTATAACGTCTTGCGAGCAATTGCTGGGCAAAATTTTTTGGTTTGTCTCCGTGAAAATCCCATAATCAAAGCTATATCAGCAACACAAATTGTGTAAGTGGTGCTATCTGTTTGTAGTTTAGCGGTTGATATGACATTCTGTTGAATCTGTTTTTCAAGTATATCATCAAAAAGGAGCACGTCGAGAAGTAAAACTTGGCTATTCTTTGGTTTGGAGTTTTTGAAGTCTTTTGAAGTTTAGTCGTTCGCTCGTTGTTACGTCTCACCACTAGTCTCTCTGATAGAACCTCTCTCTTGTTTGAACTTCAGAGATCACAGGCAGTTTTTGTCCGTTGAAGCACACTTTTTCGAACAGGATGGTTTCTAAGACTACGGTCAGAGCTGTTTTGCCAGTTCTTATCGCCTCAGGCATTGTGAGTGGCCAGAGTGTTGCAAACAGTGACGCTACCACCACCTACACCTCAACCATTTTGGTTTATACAACACAGGCGAGCTCGGGCCAAGCAAAGCCAGTGGCTTACGCACAGTCGATCTCTGCTTAATGACGCAAGCACGGAAAACTCGGCCACTGTGAACTCTGTTCATTCAATCAGCTCGGCGTCTGTTGCTTCAGTTTCTGCAGAACAGGCTTCTTTGGCCTCGATTTCGTCCGCCAGTGCTGCCAGTGCTTCGTTCGCCTTTGTGGCTTCGGAATCCCAGATCTCAGCGTCTCAGATTTTGATGTTGCAAGCTTCTGTTTCGCTGTCTTCCGCAGCTCAGGCTTCCGCATCTCAGGCTTCTGCATCTCAGGCTTCTGCATCTCAGGCTTCTGCATCTCAGGCTTCTGCGTCCCAGGCATCTATGTCGCAAGCGTCTATGTCGCAAGCGTCTATGTCGCAAGCGTCTGCATCCCTGGCCTCAGTTTCTCAAGCCTCTGCTTTCGAAGTATATGCTTCTCGAGCATCAGCCTCTCTGGCGTTTACTACAGCAGGAGCTAATTTTCCGACTTCGCAAAAAACCGGCCAACGCGTTGAAGCTTCTGTTTCTGGTAACAGTACCATTTCGCAAAGTTCATCTTCCTCCATGCCTATTTCTTCCACTTCTACTGTCAAAACTTCATCTGCAGCTCAAAGTTCTTCATCTGAAGCTCAGATTACATCCTCATCAGTATCTCGAAACTCTTCTAGCACTGCTTCGAGCCACGGTGCAGGCGCTCTTTTAACGTCCAACGGTCTTCTACTGGGCGCCGCTGCAGGTGCTGTACTTGGACTTCTTTGAGATTCTCAAACACGTCTTCACAATCTTTAGAGTCCAATGGTTCGTAGAACCGGGTCTTATGATTTATCCACACTTTACGATTTTGTCAAGGTCATGGCTACCCATGACCTTGACAGCTTTTTGATATTTTTGACCTTATAATGAAACCAATAATCAATTGTACTATTATCTCTCTTCTCATCTTTACTAAAGTTCATGTTACTATAATACATGCTACCTAATTATGCTAATATGTTACCGGTTTCAATTAGAATCCGGCTTGTTCGATAGTTGCTGAAAATATACCATTTCTGGCACCAGGCATGTTGCTCATCCACCTTCCCAGTCTATGCTCTTTACTCACGCTTGCCAAGATGCGAAACGTTTCCCGCCCGTGCTTCCCGCTCTCCACTGCTTGAATGTGCGTTACTACACCGCTGCAACCAGATAACTGACCGAGCAATTCGAACTCCCTGAAGTTTTCTGACAGCTTCCATACTCTCAGCGCACCGTCCCATGAGCCGGATACAAAGACATTGGAGTATGGGATCGCGTATAGAGCGGTGATCCAATAAGGATGAGAGATCTTTTTGTCTTGGAGCTGTTTGTCGCGCTTTTCGGCTTGAACCTCGGCAGATATCTGGGTCGAGTCCGGTAGTGGAACCACCCCATGCGCGCAACGCTGAGTGAAAACAGGTTTTTTCCTGGCAAGAGACCACAAAGAGATGTTACCGTTATCAGAACCAGTGATGAAATGAGAGTCATCCATCATAGAGACGCAATCAATGCTTCCTTCTCCAAAGAACAAGGGGATGTCCTCGCTGCGAGGGGGTACTTCTTTACCATCCTCGGTCGTTTGTGTATTTTGTTTGATCCATTTTTTCGCGAGTCTCTCAGGATCATCTCCGCCTCTAAAAGTAAGCCTTGTCTCGTCAGCAATTTTCCACAACATCGCGGTCCTATCGCGGGACCCTACTGTAACACATCTTTCCATTCCTAGGGCAGAAATTCCAACAACAAGATCTTGATGTCCGTACAATATTTCGAGTTGTGAGAATTGATTAATCGAGTAGGTCCTGATTTTGTAATCGGCACAAGCGGCATAAAGCTGATCAGAATTCTTCCGAAAGGTTAATGAGAGGATTTCACCTCTTCTGTCTTTCGTGGGAATGACCTTGACTGGAGCTAGGGATTCTGTGCTCCACACAATGAGTTTTCTGTCGCGCCCGCCTGTAACGACGTATTTTCCATCTGGAGATGCCACCAAGGTAAGAATTTCATCGTAGTGGCCCTCCGTGGTATTCTCATACTCGAATTTGCTCTCTGGGATGAAACGACGCCCACCTCTGGCGTACTTAAGCTTCTTAGGTCTTGACTCAAAGTTTGTGACATCGTATTTGGTTAACACCATGTCTTTACTGACTGTGTAGGCAAAAAGCTTGGCGCTGTTCTTATGCTGGGATTCCTGGTGCGAGAATTTGTTTATAACTGGCTGATAACACGAAATAGCGGTAAGGCATTTCTCGCCAACTCGACTGAAAGACGTCTTGGCTTCTGACAAGAGTAGCTTGTCGCCGATAAACCTGTAAATACGTCCCTGTTGCTCAGCGACGTCTTGCTTCAATCTGGACGCCACGATTTCACGGTCCAGATCCTTGGCATCGAAGTTATTGTAATCTTCGTCCGCTGAGGCATATTTTTCTTCGGATTTTTCACGAATTTCATTTGACGCTATTTCGTTAGCTTCTGTTTTCAAATTTTCCAAGTATTGTTTTGCCAAACGACGTCTTTTGTCTGCAGCATTTTCCTGTTCGAATTCTTCATCGGAATCGAGCTCTTCCTCTCCATCCAACTCCTCTGAACCTGCTTCAGCATGACTATCGTCTTCATTCGAAGATGGTTCTGTGATTTCTTCGTCCACCACGTTCGCAGCGGGTTCACGAACTTCAGACCTCTTACGTTTCCTATTGTCAGGTTTGATACGTGCCATTTCCAGTGTGAAATCTTGGTATTAATGGTATTATCAAGAGGGATCGGATTTCTGTTGTCTTAGCTCATCTCATGGTAGAAGTTGTAGCTTTTTCTCAAATTTTCTTCACGCAGTAGTTATAGGTGGTGAAAAAAAAAGATCACGTGCAGAACTGATCGTCGTGTCATTGTGAGCTTGACGAACCCTTCCTCTAACAAACAGCGCCTTTTTAACTGTGCATATACTGACTTCTGTTGTTTGCCGTTATATTTCAAAGCTCATCAATTTACCATGCAGCTTTGCGCTCTTTGTTGTTGTATGGAACGTCATGTTCAGACGTTATTCAACTGCTGCTCGTAGCGAGCTTCACGAATATCGTTGACCCTCCTCATCAAGTTCATGAGCTCAGCTCTTTCTGCAATCTTGACAGCTGCATTAAGAGCCTTGTCTTGCTTGAGCTCTTGAGCTAACGTGAGAGCTTTCCCAATATCTTGTTCCGAACAAGCCGTCGCGAAAAGTCGCAGTAGGGATTTGTCGTAGGCTGCATTTAAGGACGCTAGAATCTGGGTCTCGTTTCCGTAAACTTCACCCTCATGCTCTAAAGTGTCCGTCAATAGCTCACTCATGAACTTGGAACGCACAAACTCCTCTTCAGCGGCCATCTGTACTGGGATTTGTAACTCTTGTTCGTTTTCCGCATCGCGACCCAATTGTATTTCACTTTTAATGAGCATTGGAACTCTGACCTCCATTTCAGACGGTAGCGGCATAGGAAAATCAGGCCATACGTGATGACCCTTCACTAGGATGTGGTTGAGCACATTAAAAGTCAAGCCCAACGGCCACACGTGCAGATCCTTGACCTCTCTGCCATTAGAACTTTTCCATAGCTCCAATTTGGTGTCCATGAGTGGGATCCATCTACTCTGCGCAACAGATCTCCATCTTGAAAGGACCAGAAGCACGTCATCTGCTCCGAATACACATGGGTCGCCATAAGCCGAAAAAAAGACAGATTTTATACCCAATGGACTGAATGCAGCGAATGTTTCGCTCAGCTCCTCAACATCATCATTTTCAAGGTCTACTGGAAGCTTGATTGGCAAAGATGTTTCTCTGTTGTAGTATTTGCTGCCAGTCTGGGCATTTTGTTCGAATAAGGTATACGTGATACCATGATGCGGAGAAAAATGAACGGCAAAGACCTTGTAATCTTGGGCAGCCAATGCAACTACAGGGGCTACTTTCTCAATCTCAAGTGGAAGTCCAAATAAGTTGAAAGTTCTGACGTAGCCAAGTGATGTTCCAACGACTATTTTTTTTGAGGTAGCGGCGACCGACGTGATTTTTTCGGAATTTTGCAGGGGAACAAGCTTATTCCAAGACTCAACGTTGTTGTGAGCGCGGTAGTGCAGCCGTCCAATTTTGGATTGTGCGAAAAGTGCTCCATCTTCAGTCAAAGAACAGAGGTCGTATCCATACAGATCTTCGAAATGATATTCTTTGTAGCGCCCCAAGTCGAAAAAAGATGTTGTAACGGTACTTCTAGAAGATGATGAACCCTCGCCTGTCTTGACGGTAAAGGCGTATCCGATGTTATTCATAGTCAAATAGCGTCTATCGGACGTTCCAAATGGCGTGCCTCCTGGTGAGTATGGACGATAGCGGAATCTTTGTGTGCGGATTTCCTTGTTGGATGAGGAAGGTCTGTACGTTGCAGATGCTGGGTACTTTGGTTTTTTTAGAACATAACCAGCGCCATCATCATCGTCAATAAAATCGTCCTCGTCATTAAGATGCAATCTTTTAGTTCCGCTTGCTTCGTCGTCTGTGAATAAACCTTGCGATTCATCCATGTCGTCACGCCCATTCTCTGTAGTACCGGCTTGGTTATAATGATCGGAAGCCTCGCTATGCTCATCTTCAGAATTGACAAAAAGCTTGTTCTCCAAGGGTTTGTCCTTTTCATGCAGGATCGGCGGCTTTTTTATGTTTTCTGCCACATTTCTGATACTGATGATACCACCATTCCAGGTACCGAAATGAAGGTCCAAACTATCGTTTGACTGAAGAGCCCAACTGAGGTTCGTAATATTGTGCTTTATTTCGCGGGTGGTGTGAACCTCACCGGTAGTCGTATCCCAGACTGTTAGTCTGTTGTCAAGGTCGATTGCTGCAAGGTAGGAGCCGTTTTGTGGACTATACCTTATATCAACAAACTCTCTCTTAATTTGGGAATAGGTAAGCGTTTTAATTTGAGCGTAATCCTTCAGATTGTAAATCCTGATGGATCTGTCTTGGCACGGAACGGCGTATTGCAGTCCATGTGGATGCCATTCAACCCGAGAACTTACCCTATTTTCGTCGCAATACTCAGGATCTTTGACTTCGTCCGAATCTTCTTCTGCTTCTGTAGGATCGACAGCCTGTAGAAGTGCATCTTGAAAATCGTCATTATAAAAGTGCGAGGCTATGCAATGGTCAAGCCTATGGGTGTGACGCGGTGTTGTTGACGTCAATGAATAGAAGTGGATACTCCCATTGACTTGGGAAACCGCCAAAACGCTCATTTGCGGGTTGTAAGACAGTTTGCGCACCTGGTCTTCGACTTTTAACGTTGTCTTAACTCGTTCTGATTGGTCAGAAAGCGAAAAAAGTGTAACCTCGAGATCATCTCCGCCAATGGCTATTGTCTTACCATTATGTACAAGTGCCACGTCTCGAACTGGCAGAGCGCACCTCAATAAAAGCCTGCTCTCTGATTCTTGAGAGCTGTACAGATTGACATCACCTTTCATAGACCCCATTATAAAAGTGGAGTTCGACAAAATTGCAATTGATGTAGGGTCTCGACAAGTTTCGAGGACATCGGGCTCTTCCTCCGGTTTGTTCAACTGTAAGATTTTGGTCAATCCGCTTTTATTGACTGCGAAAAGACGAGACCCATCGGTAGAGCATTCGATTGAGGTCTTCGCGCCAGAAGTGAAAATCGACCTATCGATCATGGATGCCATTGCTGCTATTACACCCTTTGAGCGCTACCGCAGTGGGGTTCGATATGGGCTTTCTTTGGTATGTCTTTGGGAGATTTGACGCGTAAATTAAATGTTCGCGATTTTCTGAAAAGCTAGGTGTCAGTATTGGATATAGTGATACCAACACGTGATCAAACAACAACATTCTAATGTTATGTCAAATCCATCATTTGACGTCGAGTCTCAAGCGGTGAGCGTTGAGGGTGGCATACATTGTCACTAAGCTTTTTATCAAGCAGCTTTGGACTGTTGGTGCTGAAAGTTAGATATTCGATGTGAGACCAGGCCAGGACGACACAATCTCAGGTTTTGAAATTGGCAGACAATGGATGCTCAATCCTCACAGATGTCCAGAGTTGTTCGATAAACCCATTTGGTTTTTTATGTCATGGATCCCTACCCTCATACCTAAAAGGGCGAATCGTTCCCCGGCTATATTCTGATTCTCTTTTTTTATTTAATGTTGGTTTGTGTTTGTAGAAACAGCCCGATTTTAGGGCTTCTTTCGCACATCAGATCGAAAAAAACCGTCGTAGCTCATTCGTACACACCCAGCTGAAAGTTTCCTCTAGCGCTGACGAAGCGTCCCTTCATGGTTATTTCATGGTACTCTGTATAAGCGTTGAAAAGTTAATTAAAGATTCACTTTGACATTATTTAAACTTGTCGATAGCGAGGAACACCAGCCGTAGATGGACCTATTTGACGAATCCTGGGACCTTCCGGTGACCAAAAATATCAATAGAGACCTCTTCACGAGTTACGAGGACGGGGAGGTCTTTGACGTCGATAGTTTCCTTCTAGACAACAATTTTCATTATGCACCTCTCGACACACTTTCCAAAGATCTGACGCTTCTGACCCAGGAGATGGACCATGCGCTGCTAGAAGCCTCAAGCGAGAGCTACAAAGATTTTGTAAATCTGTGCGACCAGTTCTCAGATACGGCTGAGACCAGACCAGAACTTCAAAATGTGAAATTGGACCTTACTCAGTTTCTGAACAAATTACGTAAACTGACGGAAACCGACATTCTGAACACCAAAGAAGTCGTAAAAGATACCGTGGATTACCTCGAAACACTCGACAAGCTAGTTGCGGTGTTGGCGGATACTAAAGCGCTCAACTCGGGCCTTCAATTGGGGGAAAAGCTGTGCAACGTCCTAAATTCGCTATGTGCCGATAACCAAACGGGAAACATAGAATTTGCGCTTTGTGGCCAAGTGCTTACACAATTGCATCACATCACTACAAAAGCGCATACTACTCTACAAAACTTACAGCAAATCGATTCCCCGATGATAGTTCAGCTCAGATCTGGGTATCATAGCATCATAGTCGAGTTTCGAGCTTGTCTTCACGTGATGTGTGATAAATGTGTTGCAAATCCTAATGAAACCAAAGAGCTAGTCAGTCAACTCTCTGACATGCTTCTAACAGAACACTAGACGCCGATACACTGCCATCTTGGCCCGAAACGCTTCAGATTTGCGACACCTACTTGATCCATTTCGTGATGATGATTTTGGCCTATCAAAATATATCACCACACACGAATGGCCCTATAAGCCATAGGGCTTTCAAAGCTATATTAGAAAACTTTTCCGTTGAAGTCGTCCCGATCTGACCCCATCTAGCTGATAAAATCGGGGCTAGATGTTCAATTTTGGTGGCTCAGGGACCAATGCTGGCAACACAGCTAACGGCGGATCGCTGTTTGGTAATAAGCCGGCTAGTACGTCTGGGGGCTTTTCCAGTGGGATGAACAGTGGCAACTTATCAGGTCAACAATCAGGATCACTTTTTGGTCAGAATAACAATAACCAGCAGCAGAATCAGAGCTCTGGCGGTCTTTTTGGACAACCAACGTCAGGAACAGCATCTTCATCCTCTGGTGGTCTTTTTGGGAACAAACCGGCCGGAGGTTTCAGCATTGGCCAAAACGCGAACCAACAACAACCGCAGCAGCAGCAGTCCAATGCCCAGAAACCGGGCCAGTTGGGGGGCTCTCTCTTTGGCAACAGTAATACCACGCAACCACAAAGCACAGGAATAGGCTCAGGCGGTCTGTTTGGCAGTAGCCAGCAGCCACAACAACAACAGCAGCAGCAGCCAAATCCTCCTTCAAGTGGTCTCTTTGGGGGAAGTAATCAGCAACAATTTGGTTCAGGGGGGCTTTTTGGAAAGAGCAGTCAGCCTCAAAGTAGCACAACTTCTGGTGGCCTCTTCGGAAACAACCAGCCACAATCTGGTACGCCTGGCGGTTTATTCGGCAGCAGTTCCAACACTAACTCTGGCGGTTTGTTTGGCAATTCCAACAACACCTTTGCCAACAAAAGCTCCACTTCCGGTGGGCTGTTTGGCAATAACAATCAACAACAACAGCAGCAACCCCAGGGGACGTCTCTTTTCGGTAACAATGGGCCTGTCGCTTCTACTAAACCATCTTTTGGCTGGTCTCAGTCCTCTAATTCTCAACCAATTAGCCAACAGGCAAACCAGCCTCAGCTCCAAGATCAGCAGTTACAACAGCAATTGCAATTCCAGCAGCAACAGATACAACAGCAGCAACATTCCAACTTTCCTCAACAGATTCAAGAACAGATAATGAAGTGCAAAGACTCCTGGGATCCCCGATCTTCAAGAAGCAAGCTCAAAACATTCTTCTATAACAAGGTGAACGAAACAGAGGCAATGCTGTATAACAAGCCTTCCGAAATATCTCAGGAAGATTGGGATGAAGCGTTATTACAAAAGCCATCAGCGAGCGTAATACCCGTCCAAGCTTTCGGTTTCGACGATTTAAACGAAAGAAACAAGCTACAAAGAGAAAATGTCGCCCAAGCTCGTCTAATTTTGAATCAGGTACTCGAAAAGCTGATCCAACTTTCTCAAAAACACGATTTGGAGACGGCTTCCAGGATACTGAAGGCCCAGAGTAGAAACGTGAAAATTCAACAGAGGATAATTAAGCTTGGCTCGCAGCTGGCCATCCTGAAAAGCAAAGGTTTGCCGCTATCAGTTGGTGAAGAAAAAATGTGGCTCGAATACGAAAAGCTGCTGAAGCGTAGCAATGATCCTGCTGGTCTTGGTAAAAATAATGAACTTTGGGCAAGGCTGTCTGTGTTGAAGGAACGGTCAAAGACTATTTCGGATCAACTAGACAGCACTTTAGTTGTCATAAGTGAAAACAATGGCTCAGACGTGCAGCCCAAGAGGTCTGGAAAATACGAGGATAGAAGGGTAGACGAAGAACTAGAAACCAGGGTTAACAAGATTGCTGAAATCTTGAGTAATCAGCAACGTGGGCTTTGTTATTTACAAGATGTTCTTGAAAAAGACGAGAAACTCGTCGACAAATATGTAAGTCAACGGTCTGCCTAAAATAGAAATGCATAATGAATGATATAACTTAAGATCATCTGTCAAAACCCTTGAACCCGTGTAATAGGAAGTCAAGGCGACGCAATTCGTCCCTCGCATCTTCTTGTGGAGGTGAAGAGGGTCTGACAGAATCGTCAAGCCAATCTTGCAGCTCTCTAGGAAGAGAATCAAAATCAGAGTACAGAACTGGATCCAAGTAAACATGTCTTGCGTCAGCTGCCAGTTGACCGTTTACATATTCAAAAAAGGTCTCCGCTTCAGGCTTATTTTCCAACCTGACATCGCTTTCATGCGTAGGTTGCCATCTGCGAAAGTTGAAAAATCGACTTCCATGAGGTTGGCCATCGGACTCTTCAGGTTCTTCGTTTGTGTATAGGGCTGGAGGTGCCTCCAGTGACGTGGCAGCCGATGTCTGAATGTGACCAACGGGTGTGCTTTTAAAACTCCACGGGCCTACATTGGTGAAAGGCTCAAGATCTCGAGATCCAGACCGCTTGCGATGCTCATTTTTGGTCCATACTGACTTCAGCTCTTCGAACACCTCCTGTAGCGGTTCATAGTCCTTCAGCGATAGAAACGGGTCCCATTGGGGTGCTTGTGAATTAAGACCTCGTACGGGAAGTGTGAAGCCCCGCAAATTGAATAATATACTTGACAAAGCGTCCAAATTGTTGCTAGAGATCACCAGATCGATTTTGGGCTGGGTTCGGTTAAAACTTTTCTGCCATGCTGCAGCGTTGGATCTAGAATACAGGACATTACCAAGCTTTTGTAGCTCCCAAGTCAAAGCTTGTTGCACCAAAGCTTCGTTCGGTACCGAAACACTCTTATACGCCACCCTCAGTTGTATTATTAAACATTTCGACCGTATGAACCTTTGCAGCATTACCAGCGGGCGGTGCGATTACTAGGAACTGAAAAGTACTTAAATTGATGCTTTTATTTATATACAGGGTTGGCTGGTTTTGAAAATCAGTCGTATACTCGTTAAATACTGCAGGAACCCCGATGCCAGTTGGGAGTTCTAGCCTTAATTTCTCTCTCTTGCTCTGTTTCTTTGAGCAAAGGGCTTTCCATAAGTACACTATTTTAATTCAAAGGTCTTTGCGCTTTTCTCTTTGGAGCCGTCTCCTTATTTCCATTGTTTTCTGATGAAATGCCAAACCATGGGCGACACCCAGAGCAGAGCTGCTGCATAGCCAGCAGTAATTAGAGTCTGGTTCGATTGCTGTTCATGAGCTTTCTTCTCTTCTTCTGAAGGAGGTTGTTGAGGTAGTCCGAACATGGCTTAAAACTATAGAAAGAGTGCTCTTTTTTGGTTTTTAATCAAGCTAAGATCAGAACTAAAGGTTCTGGAAACAACAGACTGGGTCTTGGATACGTTTTGTTCAATTTGAAAGCTGTAGGTTGTCAAGTTAACTAGGATCAATTTCTAGATTTTTCAATGCTTTGAGTTGAAATTTAAAAGGTCACTATTTACATAACTGACACGTCATTATCCACGAACGGGAATTTTCAAGTTCGTGAAATTTGAAAGCTCATCATCAAAGCATTGTATGTCAAACTATCGACAACTTGACCCTAAACAGGGCCAAAAAAGTTGCTGAACGGGTAGTTTTACAGACGTTAGTTGACCATTGATTAATTTGAACTGGATTGAACCCGATAGTGGAGTGCTGACGGAAAAAACGGAGGAAAAAGTGTCAAATTTGAGTACACAATGAGCAGTGAAGAACCCGTTTTAGAAACCAGCCAAAAAGAGGATGAGAATGTGAACGATCTGGCGCTAAAGGCGGTACAACAGGCCGAGGGGTCCACTGATAAAGTGGAGAGACAACGTAAACACATAGATACGGGGACATCGGATGATGAAGACGAGATAGCAGCGAATCGGAGGCTGGACTCGCAACGGATTATTAACAATAGCAATGGTCCAGATGAATTTGGACTTGACCAAACCACCAGAAGACGTCAGGAACTGGAAGATCGGTTGGACCGATTGTTGAAAAAACCAAAATCCCGTAGAACCAGAAGGGATGAAGACGATTTGGAACAGTTTTTGGACGAGCGGATCTTGAGACTCAAAGACGAAATGAATCTGGCAGCGCAAAAAGATATCGAGACCTTGAATCGTAGACTGGAAGGCATCGACGAAACTGCAGTGGCTACGGAAAAGGTCAGGCTGCTTCCCAAAGTGGTGAGCACGTTATCAAAGGCGCATCTGGCAGACACAATACTGGACAATAACTTGTTGCAAAGTGTGCGTATTTGGCTAGAACCGCTGCCAGATGGATCTTTGCCCTCATTCGAAATACAGAAATCGCTGTTTGCTGCTCTGGAAACGCTGCCCATCAAAACAGATCATTTGAAAGAAAGTGGGCTAGGTAAAGTGGTCATCTTCTATACCAAGTCAAAGAGAGTGGAGGCCAAGCTAGCGCGTCTGGCAGACCGTCTAGTCGCAGAATGGACAAGACCCATCATCGGCGCTTCCGACAACTACCGCGATAAGCGGGTAATGAGATTGGAATTTGATGTGGAACAACATAGAAAGAAGGCTATGCTGGACAGTGCCAAAAGCAAGAAAACAAAAAAGAGAAGAGCTGAAGATGACACCAAGGGTAAATCTCCATACGAATTGGCTGCTGCCAGAAGAAACAGGGCAGCAGCGCCATCGCAGACTACAACGGATTACAAGTATGCGCCGGTCAGCAATTTGAACTCAGTTTCTTCTACTGCACGGACTTCTGGAGTTGGGTCGTCGCTGAACAACAGTGAAATGTACAAGAGGTTGAACTCTCGACTCACCAAGAAGGGTAAGAGGAGTAAATAAGTAATTGTTTAAAAGTTCGGTTGGTTCTGAACATCTGGAACGTATGGAGCGTGTGAAATGCTAATGAAACCATGTACCACTTACTACAATATGCACAGGCTGGATCGCTTCAAAAACAACGTATCACTACTGATGTGCAGCAATTCACCGCATACGACGCTTGCAAAAGAGCTGAATTAAGCTATGAGCGTTAACTAAAACGTGCAATATAAATTGGTGTACATAGTACAGTGGGGTTTGTAGTGTTATTGTAGGAAATATGACGGAAAATAGAAAAAGTCATGAAGATTCGCGCGGTTTTCACCAATGCATGAGCCTGGCGATACTTCGCATGCGACCTCGCGCTGTTGCGGGGACTCGCTTACGATCTTGGCTTTTCCTTCTTCTCCTTCCACAAGGCAAGCAAGGAGACACCGGAGACCTTGACGACCTTGAATCTGACACCTGGGATATCACCCTTGGCCTTACCCTTTCTACCGAAACCGGCCAACAAAACTTCGTCGTTTTCGTCGACGAAGTTCAAACAACCATCGTTAGGCACAAAAGCAGTGACTCTCTTACCGTTCTTGATCAACTGGACTCTGACACACTTTCTGATAGCAGAGTTAGGTTGCTTGGATTCGACACCAATCTTTTCCAACACAATACCCTTGGCGTGAGAAGAACCACCGAAAGGAGAAGACTTGAAGGCAGTTCCCAGCAATCTCTTCTTGTAGGATTGTTCGGCCCAACGGCTGTGACATGAGTTAGTACATTGCTCACCAGGGGACGAAGAGAAACGGCTTTCTGGAAATGTCGTAGATCAAAGTTGAGCAAGACCTTTCTAAACTTGTAGGATAGAAAGTTCTCTTAGAAAAATAGCCCGGTGGAGTATTTTCGATACTTGCTTGTGGAACCAACAACCTCGATCATTGCCTTCGTAACGTTTCTTGATTTTTTGCACTATTCAACATACTTGTTTCTTCTGTGGACACGCAACTTTCTAGCGGCGTTCAAACCTCTTGGCTTACCCTTACCCATTGTTGATTGTTGATATGTGGTTTTTCTGTATCTAGAGGTGTAACTTACTGCAAATCGTGTCTTGAATTCGTATATCTAGTTTTTTTCAAGATAGGTAGAACGGGGACTGGGCGATGGATCGGAGGCCTAGGCTGAGGCTAGGCCGGACAGTGAGGAAGTTGCTGGTAAGGACCAATAGGATCTAGGCAGAGGAATAGGGCGGAGTGGTAGTGGAGCGGTTCCAGTGCCAGGCAGGAGTGAGACAGAGCTAGAGAGAGGCACGCGAGAGGTTAGGCAGAGGCAGAGCAAAGCTGCTAGGGAATGGACTATCGAAACAATGCGCCAGGAATGGGACGCACAAAGGATTATTCAGTTATTGAGAGTATGTTTTGTAATTTTTCTAAAATACTTATTATTGATTTTGGTGTACGGATGTTACTTTGAAAAGCAGTCATGGGAGATCTTTAGATGACGTAAGTCGTGTACACGTGATATATATCGAATTAACTATTTTTGTACGAGCACAGTAACGATTGGAGCAGGAGTTCGGCATTTGCACGATGTAGTTGGTAATACACATTGTTCGAATGCTTAATGGTCGAATGAGAATGAAGCACATGTTACACTGCTCTGGACAATTGACCTCTACTCTAGAAAAGATCGCGCACGTGACTTTCAGTGTCGACGATATCAACGCCCGTAGTGATACTAAATACAATCCTAAGACACGATGAGTTGAAACGCAGCATTTTGAATCTTCTCTATTGAGTTCTTTCACTTTACAAGCCCACAGTTCATAACGGCACCTAAACTCATGATTTCATTCATAGAGTCACGTGACCTAAACCATTCAATTTGGGTTTACCAGTCTGGTAGTAGTCCGATGAGCCGCTTGAGCATCACGATAATCTCAACATCAGTTCTTGGGCACCACTTGGAGGTTTTCCATTAAGTCATGCTCCCAGTTGCGCTAGTAGATTATGGGATCGACCACTGCAGAAAAATTGAGCGAGATTTTGGTTGCTCAGTATTTGGCAAAACATGGATATGACGGTGCGCTTTTGAATTTCCTGAAAGAATCGGATCTTTCCAGATCTGCTGTTCAAATCGGCAACGATAACTTCGAGGACCTCGAAGAAATTGTGGCAGAACGAATTGAATTCAACGAAACGAAAATAAATGCGCAACTTGCCAATTTGTCTCTTAACGATGCGATTGCTCCACTAGATCCCAAATTTTACCTACCGTCGTGGGACCATACCCAAAATTTGGTCACAGCAGATATAACACAACAACCCGCATCTTTGGCGGTCGATCTTTCGTTCACCGGAGATTCCCAACTCTCTGTCAGCACTGTTGATCGTAACGTTTATTACTATGGATCTGATCTGAACCTCGCAAAGAAGCTGAAAATAAACTCTGGCGTGGTAAAGCGGTGTGGTACTCTTTCGCGGGATAACGAAACCTGGTATTTTGCTTGTGGTATGCATGGAAACCTGACAATCTTTGATAATAACTTCCAATTTCTAGTAGAACACCAACTACACACACGCATTGTCAAAGATGTCGATTTCTACCATCATAAGGAAACGTCCAAATGCTATTGCTTCAGTTCTGGCCTTGATAACTACGTCAAGGTTCATCTGATTGACCTGAAGACCCTCACAACTACTCTCGTTGCGTCTCTGAAGCTCACGACATCCTGCACGTCTTTCCAGGTCGCACAAACAAAGGAAGAGCTACCGGTCTTACTCCTCACACATCAGGATCATTCTCAGCTTTTCATCTATGCTTTAAACGAAGACCAGTTGGTGGAGACACACAAATTGGCGATGAGCAATGCCCAATTCAGTTCGCATTCTTTCAATGTTCAATCTTCATGCATTTTAAGCTTTCGCGACAACAGAACTGACACCAATCGCGAGCAACTGAATTTTCATTTACCAGTTCTGGAAGATGGATCCATGGTGGCCATTGCTACTTCTCATGTACCTTACATGCGAGTGATAATACTGGAATTACCGATTATCACTTCACAATCCACATCTCGAATTCACTACGATAAAATACTGAGAAACATGGCAACAATGATTCCCCAGGATTCGTTTTCAAGCGCGATCTTGAAAAGCTGCCGGCCATCGAGAGGTTTAATTGTTGGTTCCGATTTTGGTGTGTATGGCATTGACGTTGCGAATTGCGACTCCTGGCCATTAATTCAAGAGGGAAAGAGAGTGAAAGCTCTAGATGCTTTCCAAGACCGATTGGCAATAGCTTATGCTAACTCACAAGTAGACGTCTTTTACTGGCGCCAAGAGGCATAGTTTTTCACGGCCAATGTTCTTAAAATTGTCGATGATGAACAGGTCAATGATCTTCTGATCAACGTTAGACGCATGAAGTAGCTGGATGACTACGATCCAACCATTTGAGGCAACTGACCTGCTGCGATTGAACAATGTCAACTTGGACTCTTTAACGGAAAATTTCCCTATAGAATTTTACTTGGAATACCTGATATTATGGCCAGGGCTCTTTTTCGAAAGTCAAGAGCTGACCAAGAGAGACAAAACCGGTCAATGTGAGATATCGGGCTACATGATGGCTAAAACCGAGGGTAAAGGTAACGACTGGCATTCTCACATTACTGCTGTAACAATAGCACCAGAATTTCGTCGTATTTCTCTGGCATCCGGCTTATGCAACACACTTGAAACTATCACTGACAATCAACCGCACAATGTGAATTTCATCGACCTGTTTGTCAAATGCAACAATAACCTCGCAATCAGTCTCTATGAGAAGCTGGGATACTCGGTGTTCCGGAGGGTTGTCGGGTATTACAATTCTTCCGGAGATCAATACCCAAATGCATTGAATAAAATTCACGACGACAAGGACGCTTTCGACATGCGTAAAGGGATGCAGCGTGACAAGGGACGCAGCACGAGAACCGAAGGTAGAAAAAATCGCTGCTATCCACACGATGTTAGGTTTTGACTAAAAAAATTGGTACATACTGTATACGGTTCGCAAGGATCTCAAGTCCTGGTGAGAAAAAGGGCCATACAAGTCCAATGAGTTTGTTAGAATTCCACTCTTTCGCTGGCAGAGCCGAAATTGTCATTTCTTTTGAATCCACCACGAGCATTACCACGATTGCCTCCACGTTGACCCCCGCGTCCACCACGAAAAGATCCTCTTCCTCCACGGAATCCTCCACGACCACGTCTGTTTCCAACGCTAGCTTGTCCAAATGTATCCATGTTAAGCTCACGTTCTTCTTGCCAGCGCATATTCGTGTTTGTCTCTGTTGATGTGGAGATAGTGTCGAAAAAGGACGATTTGCGATTGTAGAATGCTTCGTCATTGTTCGAAGCAGTATCATTAGAGTGTTGCTGATGAGGAACTGATGAATCGTGGTCGTTCTCGAGCTTGGAATTGTTGGACTGGAAATCGAAATCTTCATTGGGGATCTCGACTTTACGTGGGGGTCCTTGTTTGGGTTTCACGGGAGGTTTAGAACCCGCCACACGGGCCTCTTGTGACTTCTTAGGGTATTGTTGTTTTGCGGTACTGTCATTTTGAGACATTTTACGCTCAACATCGACCGCTGGAGCAGATGGAGCATATACTCCGTAGCCAGTCACTGCTGCAGGTACTTCCACAGCTGGAGCCTGATACTGGGCATTCTGCGGAGCTTGGGAGTTCTGTATCGTACTTGGAGCTCCCTGCTGTTGCTGTTTTTTCTGTTCTTGTTGTGGTTTTTGTTGTAACTGCTTTTGTTGCTGATGCTGTTGATGCTGCTGTTGCTGCTGCTGTGCCAAAATTTCAGGTGGAGGTAAGACCGGCTGCACTTCGTCGAGGGAAATGTCCAGAATGCTCAAATCTTTGACATCATTACCATTGAAAGCAACTGTCTCATAAACGTTAGGATTGGGATATATCTCCTGAGGGCCCCATTGCTTGCGTCCCTCAGTGCCAAAACAGCGTACTTTGTTCAGTGTTACTACACCTTTCTCGGAGTCAATACCTTCCAAAAGACCCACATATCGATTTTCGGTCACCGAGATCAAAGAGATCGTCTTCCCGATGTACTGAGCCATTGCCTTGGTATCTGAAATTGCAATTGTTGTGGACAAAATTGACCCGATTACTGTTTAGTTTGGTTAGATGATGAGTTGTCTATCTAAAACAGTTTGGAAAATTACCATCTAGTAGATTGTCTAGTTCATTACCTAGTCGATGATGAGAAGAGCGAGTAGCTGACGGTGGGTTGCTAGGTGGAATGAAATGGCAGAAGGCTAGGAGACAGTAGCCGTGTCGAGACAATTCTTCCGAAATTATGCTTCAGCGATGTGGTTAGACGCTTTTAAAGGAAATACATGAAGTGGGCTGATGTTACTATAGTGAGGGGGATGATTCGACGGAAAATAACAATGAAGTGCCGGTCACGGATTGATTCGATTACGGTAAACGTTACGAGTTTTTTTTAAAGCCCGAGGAAATTATTGGTAATGCTGGCCGGTGATATAACGTAACGGATAACTTTATTTCACTACTTTGCTTGCACAGCGCTGGGTTTTATCGTCGAACACTAAAGAGAGTAAAACGCATGTAGTGTGCTGTCACTCCATGGGAAATCATAAAGAGGACTTTTATCAAATCGAGTGAGATTGCGACGCTAGCTCAGGTTATCATGAAAGCGTAGCGGGTGTGTCCGTCGGCTGTCGCATTGGCACGAACAAACAGTGGCACTGATCAAATTATAACCACGTGACAGGTAGGTTTCTGTTTATGGAGGATCAAGAGTACATAGAAGCGGAAGAGGGAGAATCCGTTTCAGTTAAGCAGCAAATGTGTTCACAAACGCAAATGTAAAGCGGGTAGTCTCAGCCACCAGACGTCTCATGGAAGGGTTCAAGAATCTAGTAAACTGTAGACAGCAAATTTAAGATCACGTGCTCATGGTGTCAGCGACGCAGTGAGATTATGTGATAAAGTCCTACCAAGACAAGAAATAACAGCGGATTCGCATCAATTGCGTGCAAAGTGTACTAGAAAAGACCTACGTTCATGTAGATCCGGATCTTGCATATTCATCGAATGCTTATGTCCTTGTAACTGCCAATCTTGTCGCGGAAATACCTAATCAAAAATGGAAACTAGCAAAACGTACAACTTCGCTGTCAAGACAACGACAGCGGATCAAAAGCTGAGAGTTCAATTCTAACCAATTTGTTGGTTGGTACCTAAGCCAAGCACCGTCCTTTTGCTTCTCTTTCACCGGAAACTTCTCTTATAATTTGTCACGCGATCTGGTTTTGACCCACAGTTAGCTAAATATATAAAGCACAGGGCTCGAGAAGATTTCAAGGTCATTGGGGAGTTAACTCCATTATCAGACCTAGATCTTGAGCTATAACTTCATTTAAATCTCCTTTTCTAACTAATCGTTGACTGAAAATAATGGGATCGCTTGAAAGTGCGATTACCGGAGCAGTAGCGTCTTGTTTCGCTGATACAGTTGTATACCCTTTAGATGTAGCCAAGACTTTTGTCCAAACTCAAGCCAAACGAGACAAAACAAGAGATCTTGAAGATCGAACCGATGGTGAGGAATTCTACGACAATACTGGCGACGCTTTGATCAAAATATTCAAAAAAAGGGGTTTTTCGGGACTTTACCAAGGGCTTCCTGCGTCTCTTTTGGCGGGATTTCTTCAAAGCTTCTCCTACTTTTTCTGGTATAGCGTTGTCCGAAAAACGTTTTTTAGGTACAAAGCCGCCCGAGGTAAAGTGTCGAAATTCAGCACGCCCGAAGAGCTTATTTTGGGAATTCTGGCCGCTGCAGTTTCTCAACTATTCACAAATCCGATCAATGTCATTTCCAAGCGTCAACAAACTGTTTCTAGATCTGACGGTGCCAGGATCAAAAACATCGTTAAACAAATCGCTAATGATGATACCCATTATACTGGATTTTGGAAAGGTCTGAAAGTTTCTTTAATTCTCACTGTTAACCCTTCCATCACCTATGCGTCTTATGAGAGGCTTAAGGATCTATATTTTACGACGAGCAGCAGTATCCACCAAGGCGAGTTGCTTGATTCGTCTGCACAACTAACGCCCCGTCAGAACTTCATTTTAGGTGTCTTATCCAAGATGATCTCCACAATCATCACCCAGCCACTTATCATATCGAAAGCTTGGCTGCAGCGATCCAATACCAAATTCAAATCGTTTCAAGAGGTCCTGGTGTATCTTTATATGCATGAAGGAGTGCTGGCACTTTGGAAAGGGCTTCTTCCACAAATATTCAAAGGCGTCCTGGTTCAAGGCCTTATGCTTATGCTCAAGGGAGAGTTCACGAAGCTCATGAGACGCCTTTTCTTATTTCTAAGAGTTCTGCGAAATTCAAAGCGTATAACAGCAGTGTCATCAAGGTGAGCCAATGGAAGCTCTATAAATCCGTCTGGCCTAGGGCATCATATAGCGGCATCCTTTGGTGAATACGCTTTGCGGAGAAGCAGGTTTTACTTACGATGTTCATGTGTTTGAGGGGCAGATCGCGAGCTAATATCCAGTTCCATTTTGCTGAAAAACTACAATCGCACAACTGATCTGATGAATGGCATCTTCTTCCAATCGAGGATATTCCAATTTTATTTACATATGGTTTACTTTGCTTTGTTTGATCCGCCTGAAAGCTGGTCTTGTCTGTCTATTTCATCAAGGCTCAATTCGTCCCTGATTCTAACGAGAGATCCCTTCTCTTGAGACTCCTCTTCTTTCATAATCTCTTCCTGCTCCTTGATTTGTGCCATCTTGGCGCTGTTGGTAGCTGCCTCTTCCTCTACCACGTTGACCTTCACTTCGTGATACAGCTCATCGGGGATACCGCTGAGAACATCACACAAAGCATCATATAATGACTTTCTAGAGCTGACATCACCGTACGTGTATGCGGTGGCCATAATTAACAAAGTCGATGGGATCTTGTCTTTCAGCCTCATGGTCAGCCAAATTTCCAGATTGTTTCGCAGCACAGAGTCTTCAACATTCAAATTCCGGATACCACGGGAAGCACAGGCTGTACGCAATTCGGCGGAATCCAGGGCACTTACACCTTCATAAAACAGCGAGAAATCGTCCTTCTTGAGTTCCAGCATCTTATACCGAATGCGGTACCGCAACATAACGTCTGTTCCAAAAGGTTGCAAGTTGATATACTTGGCCAAAGCAACTAAATAGGGTCTTGTGGCATTATCCAGAACGGTATCATCAGTGAACAGACGTGCTACATGAATCAGTTGCTGTCTGGATTCTGGTTCTCCAGTAGCACGAACATGCGTGTAAAAACGGTTGAAGACGGCTTTCTGATCCATGGAGATATCTCCCGGTTTGTAATGAGTCTTCTGATCCTTTATTATGCCTGAGACCAAACCTCTTGTTTCCCTCAAGCTGCTCAGCTTAGAGAGTTTTTCTTTCTTGGATTCATAAGTAGAAGGTAGCATGTTGGGGAAAAGCTTCAACGCAATGGGAAGAAGCAGTTCAGCAAATGGGACCAAGACAAATGCAGAAAATGGTACGAGACGTACCACATCTTGGGTGGTTCTTTTCAATTGCAGGTTTTCACGACGACTCAATTGATGGCCGGCAGCACTCTTCATCAACAATCTCGAGGCAATTTTGATCTCCAAACCTAAAAGCTTAGTGCCATCCCAATAATGGTGAACTTCATGTTTGATTCTTGACCATAGCGGAGGCTTGGGTGCTTCATTATCTACCACTTGAAGATCCAATGGAGCATTCTTGTTCTCATTTGGGTTTTGAGATGCAAAAGTTCTGCATTGGGAACCTAGCGATCTTGGTTTTACTGCAAGGCCTCTGGCTCTTAGTAAGACCTGGGTCCCGTACTTCAGCGACGTTGTCATCAGATATCAACCGAACTACAGGCAAGAAATCAACTGGCAGATCAGTAGTGTGCTGAACTCTAAAAATTTTAGATATAACAACAAGTTATTATTTAAATATGAATAAATTACTGAACACCTGTGTGTGTTAAACAGTATGTTATTCTCATAAACTTTCCTACTAAAACAACTAGCACATCCGAACACCGGTGCACCTATATCTGGAACTTCAATTCATAAAGCCACTACTCCCATTAATCTCATTCATCAAAATCTACACCATCATCATTGTCATTATCATCAACATAATCGTCAACACGATCTTCATTACAGGTCATTATCGTCTTGCCATTATGATTATCAATATTACTGAAAAAACCAGCATATTTTACATTTCAAGCGGTTCTTGTATCGCTCTATCCTTCATCCCTTGCTCTGTTTATGTCCGGGCAAAGAGACGTTGCGTAGCATGGTCTGCAGTTCTTCTTGCTCTAATACCTCGTCTGTAATCTTCTGCGCATTTTCGAGTTCAAAGGTGCCATTGGCAAGTAGAAGACCTGGAATAGAAAACAACGATGAGGACGTAGAAGAGCAAGACGAGCGAACTGCAGAAATGGAATCCAACATACGTGGAAATGTCCCCTGGAAAGGTTTGTGAGGATTCCGGTAAACATGATCCAAAAAATCGAGTAGACCACAGTCAAGAGCCAGTGACGTCTTTTGTAGGGGAACGATGTCGGCACCTTTGTCAATCACTTTGATTTGATCGACAAAAGCGTCGTCCTTGAATTCTTCTACCACGTTGCACGTCTCGTAAACGCGTTCGTAGTTCAGTAGTCTGGAACGGAAATCGCGATAGCACCATTCTTTGTCTGGATTCCGCAAGTAGTCTGGAGACATAGTAACTTTATGCAGAATATTGTTGTGGATGGTCTTTGCGTCATTGCAAATGCTTTCGATGAATATTATGGGTGTCTTTTTGGACGTGTGTGCCCTAATAGTTTCAAAAGTCATGGCTCTTCGTGCGACGGTTGTGTTGGTGGCATCAAATAGAGCCACGCGGTGAGAATCGTGTGACTCTAGCCAAATGCACAGCTTTTGGATGGTGGCTAGCGCGATTTGGTCACGAGCCTGTACGGCGTCTAAGTTTCCTGTGTCAAAGAGCATGTTTGGCGGGACAGACAATTCCGACGAGTATGGCTCATTAGTGCTCATCCGAACCGTATCGTTGTCATCGTCCTCATCTCCATCAGACTCATCAGATTCAGGTTTTTCAACCACGAATTTTTCGTGCAAACGGTAGCCCTGATGGGGATCATCGATGTGATGCCGTTGGCGAGTAACTGTGCGGTACAGTTGAGGAGAACTGCTGTCTGATTCCCCAGTGACCTTCAAAGTCTTAAAACGACGTTCTCTTCCTGCATTAAACAATCGACAGCTCGAACTGTCCTGATATGCGTCTTGATAAAATGCAACTATCTGCTGTGCGATGTACGATTTTCCACGCGCTGGAAGCCCGACCATCACAATAACAACTTTATTGGGCATCTTGGTGAGTGTTTGCCGTACGTTTTCAGTTTTTTGTTCTTGATTCATGGTTTTATCCTAAATAGAAGCGAGATAATGGACCCGCTCAGAATTCGATAACTTGTCTTATAGCGGGTGATTGGTGGATGCGCCCGTATAATCGGAGAAACTTATTGTATGATTGATGAAATTTATTTCCGATGACTCGTTTAAAACGTATGATGATGCGTTCTCCGCATTGTTTCAATTTCAAGCCGTACGGAAAAAAATGTAAGTGTAAGTGTAATGAAATTAGTTTCACGACAATCGCCTGCAATAGAAAAGGAAGAGCAAAAAAATGACACTGTCCAGTTTCAACGTGTTACTTCCCAACATCAACAACAACGTCCCCTCGTTCGTTTTTATAGGGCGTGGTAACGAAATTTTCTTTATGTCAAAAGAAGTTGCTCCAGGATCCCCATCTCGGTTGGGTTTCCTAGAATCCAACCTCTTTTTCCTCAAGAAAAGCTCATTAACTGTCAAACACACGGGCAATTTCTAAGCGGAACGCATGGCATTGTCCGGAGGAGCCAAAATTGAACAATGTTCGGAAAGGCCAAGCTGAAGGGCGGAAAATGCTTTTTGCCCCGCTTTTCCGTGTAGCAAGTTGATCTTTGTCCCTACCATGCCCTCTGTCACTGAGCCCTTCGCGGAAAAACTGGAAGCCGTTCAGGACCTCCGGCCCTACCCGTATTTGGAGGAGTCACCCCGCAGTCCGGTAAAGGGAGAGAGGAAAAAAACCGGAAAAACCGGAATTTTGATGAAAACCGAAGGGAGTGTGGGAGAGAAGTTTCTAGCACGTGATCTACACCTTTTTCGTAGCATCTTGGACGGTTATCGGTTACATAATCAAAGTCCAAGATAGTTCTGGCTGTCTTCGTTCGTAGCGACGAATAAAAATTGCCGCCGAGGATGCGACTAAAAAGACGATTCCCTTACCACTACCACCGTTTTATTCTCATTGAAGCCCAGGTATTATTTTTCGCGTGCAAGTCTCTCACGGTGTTATGAAACGAAACCTAAATCACTTTGTCCTTTAATGACAGCGGGAAATGTGCAACATTTCTGTTGGCGCAGCTAACAGCTCCCTGCTGCCATGAATGGAGGAATAAGAAATGGTTTTGCATGGCAGCGGTGCGTTTACGTCAAGCGGATACTATGACATTGTGATCTTTGTCCAGATCTAAAAACATCAAAATTTGATAAAAACATTTAAAATTTAAGACTTCACTAAGTTTAAGGGCTGATCAATGCTGAAAACACCTTTAGCATAACAGTTTGGGGATTTGATTGAACACAGGGCAAAACTAGTACATCGAGCTTCCGATGCGTCACTCCCCAAATAAACAACTACGAATTCTTACTTACGGGCCGAATTTCAGATGGTTATACGTTTCTCTTCAAAAGATATCAGTAGTCTAACGTCTAAAAAAGTATTTAGCATCATCATTATAGGCCCTGGGTTCCTCGATTCGCTACTCAGTTTTCAAGAAAAGTCTCATTTCCGACTTTGGTCAGCTTCGGTGTTTTCTAACGCCAGAAGGTGTTCAGGTGTCTGAAAAGACCTCGAAATCAAGATACCAGCATACGCAGAGCTACGGGTGCGTATTGATGTGAGTACTACATTGCCTGCACACTAGACACTGGGTACTTGTATGTATGTTGCAGGTGGTAGAAAAGTGATTCAAAATATGTCGTCTTTTTCATATTCTTACTTTCGACATTACCCTGAACGCGGTGAATTTCGATGCCCACAGAGCCTGAAAGGGCTTCGCCATGAGACTTCCTCCCAATACGCACACTGCTACTTTTCCCACGTATATCTTGGTCAACTACGTACTTATAAGTTGTGAATGATATCAGGTTGAAAAAACGGTCCAGATTGGCTGTCTGTATGGCCACTTAGGTGCCATTACTTTCCCTGGGAGATTGATCATCGAAAACTTCGCTTTACAGCCGATGAGTTCATAGCGACACCAAACGATAGTATCGAACGATCATACACAATATCTAGCCATCATCAGATAACATTTTGAGATTTTATTACATACAGACGCCAGTGTTTCTTACCGGTACGCTTGCACCATCAGTATCCGTAATAACCACCAGCAGGGCCTGCTGTTGCTGTTGGAGCGCTACTAACAGCACTTCCAGGTCTTTGGGTCCTGTTGCTGGTCTTCAATAAGGTTTTGAAACCATTGCAGAGCTGGATTACAGTTGGATAGTTATAATTGACCAAGAAAAATCCTGTGTGGGTCAACCTCACGTTCCAAGTGTAGAGCTTACTCTGAGCATTTATCTTAAACATCAGGAAAAACCAACCTGGGTTTTCATAATTGAAGCTGAAGTAGTACACGGATCTGTTGGGATTCACTTTGGAATAGTCTTCAATAAACTTCGTCACCTCTCTCTTTGTGCCTCGTTTGAACTTTTCATTAGACGTGATCTCGTTCAAGAGTCTCACCTTATTTTGCAGGTATTCTACCACGATTTGATCCAAATCATGGTATCTTTGACCTTCCACCAGCAGAATCCGACCTAACGCCAAGGGATTTTCTTTCTCTTGCTCCACTATATCGATATGCTGAAACAAGTCCTTGTCCAGCTTCCAGGTAATCGATAAATGGTCGTCACCACGCGACGACTGTCTTATTACGAAATCACCACGTTCCTTACTTCTTAGGTAATCCTCGGCTTGTTGGCCGTTGAATGGGAAATAATAAGGATGATTGATAACTCTATGAGTTCTTTTAGCGCGAGCTTCGCGCATGGCAATTTTTTTCTCCTCTTCACCATCCTCGAGCTCTTGCTTTAGATCCCAAACAGAAGGATCTTTGCTGTAATGAACAGGCACGAACTGGTGTTTAACATCATGCTCTAGCAGAGATACCTCGGCGCTGATATTTTCATAGTCAATAAAAATCACCTTGGCGGGATATGTCATACCGATCTCGTACAATTCCGACGCAGGCCGTTTCAATTGAGCACCTAAATGACGCTGTGCATTCACAATGCATTCCACCAAAGAATTGGTAGCACAGATGATATCGCTGTGTCTAAAACGCTCAACTTTTACAGGGACAATGCAGCCCTTGAAAAAAGTTTTGTCGGTTTCTCCTGTCAAGGTGGTGAAGACATCCTCACCGTGTAATGGACGAAAATCGTTTCTTAATTCTTCAAAGCCATTCAACAATTCTAAAACTATTGTATTCAGACTGTTGAGTTTCTTTTGTCCAGTATTTTTCTCCAGCTCTTCAGCATAAGCGTCCAGATTGAGCGATTCAAGTTTCGCCTTGCAGTCAGAATCATCTCTCAATATTTCGATGAACTCACTCATTGCGCCTTGTTCATCCTTTTCTGCAATATCGTCAGGGTCATACTCTAGCGCATCGGCAGCAACTTTGGTTGCCAAATGGTAATCTTCTGGATGGATTCTTGTGCTATCTAGTTGATCGTGTTGCAAGTCCTCATACCTCTGATTCTTTTGATTCCAAGAGATGTATAGAAAGCCAGCAGAGTTCATGAATATTGTCTTATGCAAAATGTTGTGAGTAATTAACTGCTGACGGGCCAGAAGAGGCTCGTTCAATCTTTGCAAAGACTCCAAGAAATCGGTCGCTTTCCGCTTACCGAGACCGGAAATATACTGCAGACAGCGAGCGTAATACCCATTATCTGTCGACTTGTTAACCTCAACTCCAACTAGATTGACGAGGTCAACGAAGGATGTTTCGAGTGCCTTCATGAAGTTATCTTTAGTCAATAAAGATTGACTAGGATGGATTGACAAAGACATTAATTCATCCGGAGACAGATTAACGTACTCCAATAGGGGAGAATGCACGTACCTAGCCAGGGCAATGCAGTACTTCACCAATGAGGGTTTGTTCGGAAACTCAGCTATTCCCCTTTCTGAGGATTGGTACCGTGTCGCAAGCTCATCTTCAACATAAATCACGGGGATGTTATGTCCTCTGTTGTCAACAATCTGCTTTTTTTGTATAACTTCTTGAATCTTCCGTACCAGCCGTTGAGTCTTAGGGTTTGGCCCGTTTATAGCAATGACGTTCGGTTGACAAGCCTGTATTATGTTATCCAACGTTTCCTCAAATTTCTCTGGATTGCTTCTGTCGAATGGGTTGTCAACAATCTTGTAGTCACGAACGTAATCGGACTTCCTGTTCACGTAAACTGCAATGATAGCGTCAGAACCAAAACGACCTTGACCGCAAGTAACAGCGAGGACTCTTGGAATCTTGGGATCACGCGGGTTAGGAATATATGGTGCTTGGTCAAGCTTGGTCATGAATTTATGACGTACAGCTTTGGACACGAGCTTTTGACAAGACTTTCTCAAGTCATCTTTGATCTCTTGACTTATTTCCAAAAAAATTTTGTCGAGAGCCGAGAGGAAAGCACCTTTACGGAAATCATTCCATTCTGTCGCAATTTCGGACGTGTTGGTGGTGTCGAGTGCTGTTTGAAACAAATGATCACAATACTGGGCCTGAGATGACATATGGATCTTAACCGTCATTAGGTGCAGGGATTCAGCTTCTAACATTCTCAAGAAGACTTCTGGTTCTTTCCTGAAAAGGACGGGCGTCCGGTTGATCGCATATTTGATATCTTCATAAGGCGAGCCCCGCTGTATTTCCTTTTTACCTTTAACCGATAGCACAACATCGGCGATGTAATACTTGTAAAAATCAGCTCTTACCTTTTCCCTTACCTTTGGATTGTTCGCAATCTCTAGTGAGTAGTATTTTTGAACAGTCTCCAGAGCTAGTTTATGATTCGTCGTAAAAACTTGAAGATCTGCGCTGGACTCTAACATAATGTCAGCAATCACTTGTTGAGGTTTGGAATCTGGGTGATCTATTACGGGATGAATTTGATGCTCTGAGTGGATGTTCTCCCCCACCTGGTCGGATGTTATCCCAATATCATTTACAGCTTTGTATAAAGGACTTGACTTGAACCTTTCATAGCTTGAGTTTTTCATGTGCTTCTTTGTTGATCCGTTACTTTGAGTGAGTAAGGCTTCGTTGATCTCATGAGCAAACTTGAACTCCAGGTAGTTGTAAATGTCTTGTAAGGATGTTAGCTCTGTCATTGACGAGGCTTGGTTTCTAAAGTACTCGTCGACAATTGGGTCCTCAATACCCAATAGCTTGTAGAAATTTTTGACGTAATCTCTCTTGTAGATGATACTGTGAAATTCGGAGTCCATATAAACAATTTCCCATAGATCGTCCTCGTTCAAAACAAACCCGTCTTTCTCTTTAGAAGAGATGTAGTTACGGCGGTAAGCATAAATGAACGGAACCTCCATGTTGTCTTTACTCACAAACTTGATGGCGTTACCCACAGCCTCTTTAAATTCCGAAAGGTCGAAGTCAGGGTCAAAATTTTTGTCCACGCAGAGCTTGTCGCTAATCCAGTTTTTCTCAAGCTCTTGATCCTCAGCGCCCAGTTCTCCGTAATTTTTTAGACCAGCTCTGAGTTCTTGATACCGTTCCGGTATATCGGCCCTTCTTATGACCATATCCTCTTCTGTAAGAAGATTTTTCCTCAGATCTTGCAAATCGTAGATGTCCTGCAGCGTAATTTTTGGTTTTCTCGACTCGTGGGAACCCTCAGCGTCAAATTCATCATCATTGCCTGCAGCTCCATCTCCGCCTTCTACCTGATCGAATTCCTCATTTTCGACTTCCAGGGCCCAATCGTAGTCGTGGCCGTCACCAAAAATGTCGTACATTTCGTCAATCTTTTCTGAAGAAAGACCAGTTATTTGAACGGGTTGATTCATTCTTTGCTCGCGGATCATCTTACGCTCTTCTAGGCGTTGCTGCCGGCTTTCTTCATCTTCGTCAGAAAATTCGTCTTCCTCGATGAAATCGTCCAGTTCGTCGATGGTACCTACGTCTGCGTTTCTCCGACTAGAGGGAGCTGCTTCATCTTCTACCGAAGGTTGCTCTTTTTCGGGACCTTCATCTTCATCCTCAGAAAAAAAATCGTCGAATCTAGAAGCAGTTGTTGGACCTTGGGCAGTAGAATCGCTGGGCTCTTCACTGCCATTATCCCCGGCCCTTTTAAGCCTTTTGAGTTTAGCCTTATTTGAATCTGTGCTTACTGGTCTCTTCACGCCCGCATTTTCCATCAGTAGGTCGAGATCGTCTTCTGAAAGCTTATCGTCTTCGTCCTCTCTAGGTCTTCTTTTATGTTTCTTGCCCCTTTTCCTCCCAGCAGAAGCACGTCCTTCTTCATCATCATCGACAATGAATCCTTCGCGTACTTTCTTGGCTTCTTCTTCGTCTTCGTCAAGATCCTCGTCTTCTTCTGACGAATCGAAAACATCTTCACCTTCTTCTTCATCGCTGGGTGCCTTGTCACCCTCTACATTATCGTCAACCACCAATTCCTTGGTGGGCTGAACGCCTTCATTAGACATCGTTGGCTTTGCTTGACCCCACTAAGACGAATCAGGCCTGTATTCACTTAGGGTTGGGTTCCTTGACGCTGTGTTGATTAGCATTCATCTTGGAAAATTTTTGGTGTTAATTTGACTACATTGACGCCAGGTAAACATAAAGTGATATGAGAGAAGGATGAGCAGAATCCAGTCCTCCACATTCTGATGAGGTTGAGTGTATTGTAGAATCTGATTAGTTGGTAGGTTATTTTATACAGTGGTTGGCGATATCTATAAGAATGAGGGTTTCAGGGGAACTTTTCTGCGGGAATTAGGTTGACGTCCATTGCTCCTGCTTGTTCATTATTACTGGAAAGTTCGCGAGCCTGGCGTTCTTTAAAAGCCTCGTTGTCGGCATAAGATCCATCGCATTTGCATGTGTCTGTGTCAGGATTGACGGGATCTGGAGCGCAACAGCAAGACGCTTTTTTCTTTGTCGTTTGTCCGGCGGAAACATTAGGTTTTTCTAAGGCTGTCGAGGCACGACTAGAACCGCTAGATGATGATGGCTGAGCATCTCTGCCACCATTTTCGTTGTCGTCGTCATCGCAAGGGCAGACTTCACCACCGTTGCAGTTACCTTTTCTTTCCAGTTGTCTTTTTAGCTCCCATCTCGCAATGAGACAGATCTTCCACCTGTTGAAAAAGACTTCGGCCAAAGCCAAACCAAGAATCACGGCAAACACATAGGTGAGCACAAAAGTCATGGCCACCAACATAAGCATGTAGATGAACATAGTGGAGGTGAAGATCAACAACAAACGGATGAAATCATGGCATAGGTCTTTGACGGAGGGCGAAAACACCTGCACGAACAAGTTGGGCACTTTGGGCAGAAACTGGCTCTGGAACTCCAAGTCCTGCGTGTAGTTTTGCGCACCGAGAACGGAGGAGCCGTCGCTTTCTTCCACAAGGCCGGAACCTTGAGCTGGACGGGTCTTAGCAGCAGAGGACGGATTCCACTGTTTGAACCATTTCACCTCGAGACACCAGCTGGTGAAGAGCAGAAACTTGTAAGCAAAAGCAGCGGCAACGATGAGCACAAAGATTCCGAACGCTTCGCCCTTGTTTTTGGCATTCAAATGCGCAAATAGTACCGGGTAGTTCATGTATTTTGGAGTCAGATACGAGTTCATTCCCACCATAGAATCGTCCATTTGCATGGACGAAGAGCCCGTGGACATAGCCATGCCACCAGAGCTGGACATAGTAGCTGCAGACGAAGACATCGGCATCGACATTGACATTGACATTGACATTGCACTGTCGTCCATTCCACCGTGGGCGTTGGCACCAACTGCCAACGCTGCCGCGAGAAAACCAAGCGTTTGCTTGCTGGAAACCATTTTGAATGTAATTCTAGTTTTGAGTTTTCTCACTGATTTCCCAGGTCTTCACATTGTTCAACAGGTGTCTTGTCGGCTTTGTCCAGTCTTTTTATATCTACTGTTCTCATTTTCTATTTGCTCGCCTCGAGCCATAGGTAATTGCTCAATTTTCAGATATTCAAGAGCCTTTAACACGCCTAATTTCATTGTCACCTGGAAAACCAATAGTTGTGGACAATTTGAAGGTGCAACGATTACAAATCTCGACAGAGACAATAGTTACTGTAGATTGAGCAAACAAAAGGTTCTGTGAGCACAACGGATGAGCCTTTTTTCTTTTACTCCCGTAACAGAGCTTGCTCCATGCAATCGAACTGTTCTCGAACGGCCTCGGTGACAGTTTTGAAAATAGTGCTCTATTTCCAATTACCTAAATGGAGGTCTTTTAGGGTTTTTGGACGATTCTTTGGAAATTCTTGCTCTTGTGCTATTTCCGATCGTTGCAACATTCTTGGTAGGCCCAGTCCCGGGTCGCGAAGCTGTCCTTCGTGGAGGATCAACAAGACGAGATGCACTGACGGCTAAAGACCGTCGTTTCTCACGGTCAGAAAACTCATCGTATGCGCCAGATGCGCTGCTGCGCATAACGTGGAGAATTGATTTCCGACGCATTTTGCGTGACTTTTCAGCTGCCAAATACGCGGCCGGATTAGCAACTGCTGGGTTCGAAATGAACGAGGCATCAGTGTTGTCGTCGTCGTTGTTGATGATGTAGTCGGGTTCTGGTGTCAGTGCAGGAACGTGACCAGACGCCAAGTTTCGCGGCGGGGACCTCCTCACAGGTTCGAGACGCTGGCGTACTACTACAGGGACCCGCTTATTTTCGGGGTTCCTCTCTTGATCGTCTTGAAGCGCTATCTGCGACAAAAGGTGCTGTTTCTCTTCTTCGAGACTGTGTAGTGTCTGCTTGAATTCGATCTCCGCCTGCGTATCGTGAGGCATATTAGGAAAATCCACACACCACGAGTTGCACATAAGGCCGTACAACAGTGCACTGACCGATTCGTTCAGATCAACCAAACTTTCGTGTATAAAGTTCATCTGAGTGAAATTACTATCGAGAGTTATCATCGCGTCTGTAAGCTCCCTTAGCTGAGGCAAAAAATACGTTACCACTGAATTGTCCGTTTCTAGACCTTCTGTGTTATTGGTGGTACCAAGGGATGTCCGACGGGAGCCTGGAGTGCTGGAAATTGAAAGCCTATATTCAGTTGCCGTTCGGTGATCCTTTACAGGAGTATTTTGACGTAAAATATTTTTTGGATTCGACATTTCGGTATCAGTTATTTAGATAGCATCCAAGGCCATCCACTAAAAGCTTTGGCGGGTGCTTTCTCGAAACATGTCACCTACTCTTGGATTCGATGCCTTAAAGTGTTTATTGATTCCAGTAACCATTACATCGCGCACGTGATCCAGGTTTTTTGCAGGTGTCAGCGACAGTTCAACTTCAATGGCTAAGGAAGTAGCAGGAATGTTTTCAATGTTGGTAGTTAGTGTCATAGGACAATGCTTGTCCTGTGCTTACATATTTTGAAGATGTGTTATCAAGTTTCAAAATTTTTTCGATAATTTCATGAATTGCTCAAGGCTTACAACGTTTCCACGCATGAGCTGTTCTTGTCATCAACAATTTCTCTGCTGAGTGCCTTTCTTTTCTAATACAATGGAAATTCGATGCTGAGAAGATAAATCAGCCGACAATTTGAACGTGAATTGCTAGCATACTGTGGTAACAAAAGTATCACTTTCGAAAGAGTGAGACCGTCTCAAAACCTTTGGCCTTTACCATATTCATGAACAACTTCTATTTACAGATTCATTTGGACCCAGATTGAGCGTTGAATATTCAAAATACTCTCTAAGGCTTGAACGGACACAATATAGGTAATTCAAACCATGTCATCGCCATTATCACATATATCTACTCGCATGTCTCAATTTGTCGCGTTTAAGCTGATCCTGAGAGACCGCGCCACCCCGGCTACGTCTTAGGGCTACGATCAAAAAGATAGAACTCAAAAATGATAGTCCGTACCAGGTAACCAGGTATTGCAAATGATTGTTTTTCAGATCGATCTTGGGGACCCTGCCAATTGGAACGCCGGCTTTGATAAGCTGCCATTCGTGAAACTCAATGTCTTCAGATTGCGATGATTTGGAGTCAACAGACTCGCCAGCATATTGTGGTGCTGAACTTTTCCAGAACTTCCACCATGAGACCTTACTGTTGCTGGATTTTTGATTTTCACCACCTATTCCTGCGTGTACCCAGTCGTGATCTTTTAAATCGTAAAGGGCTTGCAAATGCAGTGGAGTAGCACCGCATGCCGCTGACATATCTGGGTAATCCACGATCTGCCACAATCTGCTATTCTGGTCTTCCTTATCCCATTGGAACGTACCCTTATTCTTAGAAACTCGCACAAGACACTCGATTTCGATGTTTCCAGTGGGCAGTGATAAATGAAGCATATTTCGATCCGTTGGAACTACTTTGTCGTCCCTGATCCATCCTCTTTCTATCAGAAGTTTTTCACCAGTGTCCTTGCGTATAAATGGCGTGAAGAGCAGGTAGCCCTTGACTTCATTTCTCACACGAGGACCTACAAAGAGCTCTTGGTCGTGTTGAAACTCCCCTTCGATAGTAACTTTACGGTATTCCCAATTTTCAGCATCTTCGGGATCAAAATTCTTGGGCAATGCACAGGGAGGATAGATTAGTCTATCTTCGCAAGAAGCAATCAAGTTGGTCTTCCATTTCAAACGGCGTAGCTGCCATGATCCTAGGTAAAAGGACACAACAGGCATTGCAATCATAAGTCCCAAGAAGATGAATCTTGTAGGGCTGCTGTTTCGAGGTTTATCATTGGGCGTCTTAGTACTTTTGATGGGTTTCCAATCTACACTAGATGTCACTGATCTTTTTCCGGACGTCCTTGGAATAGCCCAGTTCGTTCTCAAAATGGAACGTCTGGCGATGTTTCGTTTCAAGTAGAAGAGAAACATAGGCTGCTGTGGAGATACGACTGTGAACTTTCGGATGTAATCTACCGTGAAGAGCGCCTAATAAGAGATTAGTATTTTGAATTTATTTTTTGGCTATTATATCAGACAGAAAGGTTCTTCAAACCGAAATGATGTAGAAACTGTTCACCAATTTCAGCTTTTGATGCAGTGTTTGGCGCAATAGGAACGCTTTGTTGCTTCAACTATGACCTTTTTCTTTTCCCATGTTATAATGAAAGTTCTTGATGGCAACAGAGTCTACAAATTTAATGACGATTGCAAGTCAGATTCGTAATTGAAACGTCAATAAACCCTTTTGTTGGGTACTTGTCCTATTATATACACGGATTGTCTAATGCTAGTTTTTGGGGCCCAAAAAAGATCAAATAGCTGATCAGCTGGAATAGTATACTTTTCTGACATCGACTACTTTTTTACCTCTCCCCAATGCGATTTCGTCCAGCGTCTTCTGGGACTCTGTGAGGGCTTCGATAGTACCCTTTGCTATGTTCATCTCATTCCTACTTTTGTAGACTTTCCCGCTCAAATCCTTGATTCCGGCGCACTCACAAATCTCGAAAATGATATGATTCACTCGCAAACCGAAACCCGGCTTGACGGACCTGAGAAACAGCTTGACACCGTGGTAGCGGTGATCAACGTCTCCGTAAATAGTTCTGTTCTCGTAACGAGGAATTTCCTTCAAGTTACGCACTGCGTCCCAATGGGCCTTGGAAACCGCTTTGGACATTTCATCTCTTGATTTACCTTCACCCAAACCAACCATACCGTTTTTGTCTCCGACCACCACTAAAGCGTAAAAACTTGGGATCTTACCCTTACCGGTTTGATTCGAGACCCGCTTCATCACCAATGGACGCATTGTTAGTTTGCGGGTTACGAAATCGGGGTTGATACCAGTTTGCCGTTGAAGGCCGCGGGCGATATCAGCTGTGGCAGAGTTTCTGGTTCCGTCGGGACGAGGGAGAGAAGCTCCAGGGGCTATGACCCTCCCGTTGGGAAGCGGTTGACTTATATCGTCAAATGTATATTGCGTGGAAGCGTCAAACGAATGCAGATGCGGCGTACCTGGTTTGTAATCCCAGTAGGAATCGATCTTGGAGAAATCGTCCAAGTAGCCCGGGGCGAACTCCACATTTTCTGAAACTTGGAATTTGGTGCTGGGAGGAATGACCGATTGCGCCAGCTGTATGGACTTGACGATTTCTTTCGGATAGTATTTGGCAAGAAACTCGGGGTCCGGATGCGAGATTGACGCAGGCGATTTCGATGCCTGTTGCAAGGCACGATGCCCAGTGCAAAAAGCACGTTTGAACATGGTGGGGTTGGTTGGGAGTAAGATCAGAATTTGGACAACACTCTTAATTGACCGACCATCCATGGACGTGGACTGGATGGATGGTAGTATTGTATTGTTCTAAATTTTTCATTCCTGTGAGAAATGACCCGTCAGGCGTGATATCACGTGTGTCAAGTCACGATAGGACATTCAACACTACACGTGATCTCGTTCGAGTAGTCTTGTTACACACCCACACACCCAAGGAGTCCTCAATTCATTTGCATATGTGTTCCACGGCGAAAAGTGGTTCGTTGATCCCATGGAGCCAGTTCTCATCGCAACATCGCTTTGTGATTGTTGTTTCTATGTTGTTAGTTACAACCTCGCTAGTCCCTCTCGTCTCTATGCATTACCATTGGTGCTTCTCTGAGTTGCTGTGCGATGTGTGTGTGGGACATGCTATGACCTGTGTTGTCGGATCCCGCAGGGTGATTTTTTGAGACCCGCGAGCACGTGACTTATGCCCGCCACTGTCACAGGTGTGTGTGTGTGTGTGTGTTCACGTACGTGCCACTATAGATGAATTCTTTCACCCTTCTGTGGCTTACGCAGTCGCCAAGACCCGCCCAAAATTGTTAATACCCAGCACAGCCCAATGATACAAGCGCTGTCGTAAACGGGGCTGCCCGTACACAGCGCTCCCTCCGTTCCATACAAAAAACACCCGAGTATTCCCCGTCGTGTTTCAACAGCTCTCTTGAGTGCTCGCGCCATTAGTGTCCCGTAATATTGCGCGCGCGTTCGCTCACGTTTGGCCTGCCCGCGGCCCCATCCACCCGGCGGGTTGGTGGGCTTATGCCCGAAACACGCCCTGTCCGCTCGCCCCCCTCATTGCTTTTTTTCTCCCTTTGGACCTCGTAAATGTCCGGGCACGTCCGCGCCGAGGCCCATTGTCTGGCCGCATGCACGGCCAGCATGCATGCGCTGCATGCATGCATGCAGCACTACGGGCAGCATTGTCAGCCGTGGCACACATAGGCATTATGGTGTTTGTGTTTTATATCCGATCGGTGGGATACCACCCTTGGTGGGCCCCCTCGACCCGATTGTGCATTTTGTATATAAAGAGGAAACTGGAACGCAAATGTCCAAACCCCGGAAGGGTGTCGTTCGCGCGTCAGAGGAGGCCAACAAAAGGGCAAATCGGACGGTGCATTATCTCCCGAGTGGAAGTGCAAGAGCTGAACTACTAACAAGAATTCACAAACAGGATAACGAAAGACTGTTTGTGTGGTAAGTGGTTGAGAAAGAGAGAGAGAGAGAAAGAGAGAGAGAGAGAAATCAGAGAGAAAGTGTGTGGAGCGTGTCATTATCACTGGACTGGTAGACTCGTATCAACGTATATCCTCGTTATAACATTCCTTCTCGCAACTTGAAACGCTGTCAAGAAATAACAGAAACGACAAAAATCAATCATAACAATACTACAATCATGAATCAAACCGGTGTTCGATTGCCCTCCATTAGTGCTCTATTACAAGCATTCCCGGTCACGTGCGCACCATCCTCTTCGTCGTCGACGACGACTTCTCCATCATCACTATTCACGGAGAAGCCGCTGCTGGGTCACGTGGGAGCAACTACTATCGCTCCTACCAGCTGTGGCACTGCTGCCATAGTGGGATTGCCCACTCCGCGTGCATCGGCCGCTGATCTTGCGGCTCACAATCTGCACCACTATCAACACCAGCACCAGCACCAGCACCAGCACCAACACCAACACCAGCTGTCACCTGCGCCCTCACGGTCGTCGTCAACGTCGCTGCTGGAGGTTTCCGGCTTGACACCTCCAATGTCAAGCAGCAATGCCACGACCGCCGCGATGATGGTCGAAGGACCTTTGAAATGCGTGTGTCGCAACAACACTGAAACAGGCCATCACATCCCGCGGCCCCGCAACGCGTTCATCTTGTTTCGCCAACATATGCACCAACAATTGTTCTCCAAAGACTCATCGCGCCACACGGACCACACTCCACCAGCCACAACGCCTGGTACGCCAGAAAGTAACGGCGCCGTGTCTGGATCTTCAGACGTGTCTTTCAAAACCAATTCGCAGATCTCGCGGGAAATCGGACAGCGTTGGCGTGAATTGCAGGATCACGAACGCAGTTACTGGCAGAATCTCGCATTGCAGGAAAAAGAGGCTCATCGTCTACGGTATCCGGGCTACAAGTACATACCTCGCAAGAGTCGTGCGGGCAAGAGACAACGCAAAGACGGTTGTGAGTTTTGCAAGCTTCGCACAGACACTCAACTTCGTTAAGTTTGGGAAAATCGGGGACGGCAGGCGTAAAGCCATCAAAGCGGGAGACCAGTTTTCAAGATAATTCTTTTTTCTCATTGTTACAGCCGGTCTTGTACGTGAGAAATCCCCGCAGAGAGACGTTACCCACATCGATCGATGATCATGAAATAATGCGGCGGTTTTTTTGAATTTTACTCCCCTCTTTCCCGTTTCTTCTGCGAGCAAGACACATCATAATCATGATCATCATCGTCATCATCATATCATCATCACACACATTAATGGGGACATGGATTAATCAGAAATGACAACTGATTTGTTTTCGACAAACAAACAGTAGCATATAGTGTTAGTAAGTGTAGGACAGTACAACGATCTATTCAATGCTTAAACTAGCCTGATGGCGCGACCCATCAAGATCCTGTTGGAAGACAATCGACGAATACTAATGGGCAGCGTTTGTGTCGAGTCATGTGACTTCACCTCTATTTTCATACTTAGCCGAGGCTTATGCAGTGCGGGTAGGATTTCCATGCAGCTGTATGCCGTGCAGGATACAGGATGCAGGATGCAGCAAGGTTCCTCGGCTAGCTCGAAACTCCCCAAGTTTTCCCCGAAACCCAAAAAAAACACCAAACGAAAAGAAATAGAATAGTCTTTGGACCATTCTTCACACGCGAATCGAGACAATGCCCATTTAGCAACGCACAGAATTAGACGCGGAATCTGAAAAGAAAATGGGACAATCAGATGAAAAGGACTTAAGGAAATTCTCGAAGCTGCGGCGTTAAGCCTTTTTTAGGGACTGTATCCAACGTAACCGTAACCGTCGTCGTATCACCTAAAACATACCACCAATACGTATGACCCACAACACCGACAATGGCCTACAAGGTACCTCTTTACAAAATGGGTTGTTGAATTACAAGAAACTGCTGTATTGAATGAACTATGCGCAAGTGACCATATCCAGGTGGGAACAAACGTTTGTTTCACGGTGATAAGGGTTTAAAAGGCGAAGTAATTTATGTCACAGTATACGAATGACGTATCCTCTTGAATAATGGCTTTTGGCTGGTGGTGGTGACACATTGGAAGAAAGTGATATCTGTGAAAGCGGAGGAAGGGAAACGGAGAGAAGTCGGATAGCTTAAAGTGATCCAAAGTGGTTTTTCCATATTCACAGCCGTATCGCTGTTATTCACCATCGATAGCTGACGCTCTCAATTGTCTTTTGTCGGAAGGAGTCACGTGACAGAGTCACAGGACAAGCATTGTGCAATGAGTAACCCAAGTAAGTGCTGCTTGTTATTCAGTTGCAATGGGTAAGTAAAAGCTTGCTCTTGAGTAAGGAACATGTAACTTACCTGGCGCATGATAGGTTTACTCAAAGGCATTTCCGTGTGAAGGCACACATTTACGAGTAACCTTCAGATGACATGACAGTATACTAGTTGGAATTTTGAGATTTCTTGTTACCCATTGTGCATGTCTAGTGACAGGGCGACAAGGAGACAACTTCGGGTTCTAGATTGAGAGTCGCATGAGCGGCAAGAGAACGATGGCAATGACTAATCTGCATTGCAGAATCGCCATGTCGTTCGCCAAAAGAAAAACAGTCTGAACACCCTCCAAAATTGACCGTCCGATGCAACGACTTCATCTGAATAATTCCTCAAATCTTCATTTTACACAATATTCGAAGACCAATGCCAACGCTTCAGCCAAATTCACTGCAACTCCTCTGTTAACCAGAAATTCAAAACTTTCCCAAGCCTTATTGTGTGAATAAATCCCATCTGTATTTAAGCTCGCCATGACTTGAAACGCTTCGCTAGTCACTGCCCACACCAATCCATTTCGAATCTCTCATTCATCGTAAATTCAACTCCGCAGTCGTCGCCAAATTACGACGTCTTCTACCCATCCATCTACCCAAACCTCCAGTCGTCATAACGTACAAAGTAATACCAGTGGCGAAAATAAATTAATGATCCATCTCTAAAGTCAGGTTGCCAACTTAAGGTTGCGACCTAACTGCACAACTCCAGTCCCAACCCCAGACTCCTATATCATACTATCCCGAATGCTTCGCAACATACTCTTCTCTGCCTCGGGCAGGGGAGGCCGATCTGTTGTAACTGTGAAAAAACTACCTCAAATACCGTTCTACAACAGCTACAGGACAGCAACTAAAGTTGGATCCTTCTCTGGTGTCAGATACCAGCATTCAAAGCCGCCAAATAAGGATTCGCAAGGTGAAAATCGCAACAAAAATGATAAAGATGGCAAGAAAGATCGCGACACAGATGACTTCAAAACTTTGAGCGAATACTTTAAATCACCGCAATTTATGAAAACCGTCTATCTAACAGCAGGACTCACTTTTTTGGTTCATCTGCTAACGTCTCCCACCTCGGATCTGGAAGATGGCCCGGCGCTGACGCTTCAGGAATTTAAAAGCAAATATCTTGAAAAGGGTCTGGTGAAAAAAATGTATGTCGTTAACAAGCAAATGGTGGAAGCAGAACTTGTACCACAGGCCATGGACTCCCTGGGTAGTGGGAATGGTTTCTTCTCTAGGCCAAATACTTCACCCGTAGTAGCGTTCACCATAGGGTCCGTGGATGTTTTTGAACAACAGATCGATGAAATTCAAGATAAGTTGCAAATACCGCCCAACGAACGAATCCCCGTCACCTACGTCGAAAAAGCATCCATTCTGCAGTACTTGTTCCCCTTTGTACCTACCATCATTTTACTGGGAGGTTTATACTTCATCACGAGACGAGCTTCGGGCTCTATGGGTGGAGCTGGTGGAGGTGGTCCCATGGGAGGTATGTTTGGCGTTGGGAAGTCCAAGGCCAAACTTTTCAACAAAGAAACAGATATCAAGGTGAAATTCAAAGACGTTGCTGGATGTATTGAAGCCAAATCCGAAATTATGGAGTTTGTGCATTTCTTACAAAAACCAGATAAGTATCGTGCGTTGGGAGCCAAAATCCCCCGCGGTGCTATTCTCTCTGGCCCACCAGGTACCGGAAAGACTTTACTTGCTAAGGCTACGGCTGGTGAAGCTGGTGTTCCATTTTTGTCAGTATCTGGGTCTGAATTTGTCGAAATGTTTGTCGGTGTAGGTGCCTCCCGTGTACGCGATCTATTTGAAAACGCCAGAAAAATGGCACCTTCCATCATTTTTGTCGATGAGATTGATGCCATCGGGAAAGAAAGAGGGAAAGGTGGTGCCATGGGTGGATCAAATGACGAGCGTGAGGCCACACTTAATCAGTTGTTGGTAGAGATGGATGGTTTCAGTACGAGTGATCAAGTTGTTGTTTTGGCAGGCACTAATAGACCAGACGTTCTGGACGGCGCATTGTTGAGACCTGGAAGGTTCGATCGTCACATTCAGATCGATGCTCCTGACGTCGAAGGCCGCAAAGCTATCTACCAAGTACACCTGAAAAAGCTAAATTTGAGCCCTAAGTATGGCGAACCAGCCGAAAAGGAACTGCTTGCAGGTAAACTTGCCGCACTAACACCAGGGTTTGCCGGCGCTGACATTGCCAATGCATGCAATGAAGCTGCTTTGATCGCAGCTAGGCATCAAAAACCATTTGTCGAGCTTTCAAATTTCGAACAAGCCATTGAAAGAGTCATTGCTGGTCTGGAAAAGAAGTCAAGAGTTCTTTCTCCGGAAGAGAAAAAGACTGTCGCTTACCATGAAGCTGGCCATGCAGTCTGTGGCTGGTACCTACAGCACGCAGATCCGCTATTGAAAGTGAGTATAATTCCTAGGGGCCAAGGTGCTTTAGGTTATGCTCAGTACTTACCTCCTGACCAATATCTTGTTACTCAGGAGCAATTTGAACATCGCATGGTGATGGCTTTAGGGGGGAGAGTCTCTGAAGAACTGCATTTCCCCTTCGTCACCAGCGGAGCGCACGACGACTTCAAGAAAGTCACAAATATGGCTCAGGCAATGGTCACTAAACTTGGAATGTCCCGCACTATCGGGTATGTCGCTTATGATCAAGATGCCGGTGGTGTTCAAGTCAACAAACCATTCAGCGAGAAGACCGCGCGCAAGATTGATCAAGAGGTAAAGAAAATTGTTGACTATGCCCATCAGGCTTGCAAACAGCTCCTGGTCGAACATAGCCAAAACGTGGAACAAGTCGCTCAAGAACTGTTAAAGAAAGAGGTGATAACCAGGGAGGACATGATAAGGTTATTAGGACCTCGACCATTTCCAGAGCGGAATGAGGCATTTGAAAAATACCTGGATCCAAAGAATAGCAACGGAAATGTGGTAAATGCATAAGAAGGCCTAATGATGAAAGAAATTATAACTTGACCTGTAAATAACATTCAAAATCTGTAAAGTAAGGTGATGTGATAACTTTTTTTTTTTTGACAAAGCATTGGGTCAAAAAGTTTCCTCGTCAATGATCAAGTTGTGTGCTGGTTGGTTTACTGCTTCTTGCACTGTGGAAGCAGCTATATTATTCGAGTTTGCAGAAGGGTTTGGAGAACCATTGTGATTGTTGCTAGATTCATCGATGGCTACTTCAAATCCTTCCTCCGTAGCGTACAATATTTGTTGAATTTTACTCAAAAACCGAACGAGTTCCTGAGGATCGCTAGAATACACGCCTTCTTTGCAGAGGTCTTTGGTGGACTGCGACAGGATTTCAATGTCCCGTAGCTTACCGAAATAGAAATCGCGTTCTCGTTCCATTATTGCAATTGCTTCTCTATATTGACCGACTTCCTTTTCCGTACTTTCGAGATTGCTTTGAGCTTGCGAAAGCTTTGTTTGGAGACCCACGACATGTGCTTGTTGCTCCGCTGATGATTTGCGTGACATTAAGCCTGTGGTGGATAATCTTGCAGATCCCATTGACGCTGTATTTCGCAGTGGTCCATTCACACGTTTTTTAACCATACTTGTTGGAGCAGAAGAACTCGATCCGCCGCCCTGGTGGTAACCACCTGTAGATGACGAGATTGATCTCGAAGCCGGAACTCCATCCCCATGTCCCGCAGGAAGTGCTGGGGCCCGATATTTGCGCCTCGATTCTGCATCGTACAAGCTTTCGTCCTTGTTTTGGAACCAAAATTTCTTGAGCCATTGTAAGAACTCCAGGTTGTCTTGAAACCTACATTTTACCAGTTTTTCAACCAAGATGGTTTTTTCAAGTCGATGTTTGGTAAAAGAACTCTGCAAAATCTTGAAATTCGTTAGAAACTCGTATTCTGCCGTTGCATTGAACTTCACTCGATGCATTGGAACATCCCCATATATCGAATCCACAATTTGACAATATGCAGCACCAGTGCCACATTGCTCGATTTTGCCGTAATTAAGCCGTAGAAGTTCGTTCAACCACCCCAACAATTCCGATCGCGATTCACCAACCCCGCTCATAATGTCATTTACCTTGTAGGAGAGCACCGAACCGGAGAATTTTCGTAATCGTTTTGGGAAGCCCTATGGATCTCGAGTGTTGATTGACGCATCACGAATTTGGTGATATTAATTTAATATTACAGGTTTAAGTCAAAACAGATAAATAAGAATGAATAGTTAAACAACGAGAATTCTGACCTTGAACACCTATAAAAGTGGGAGAGGATCACTGAATGCAAAAAACATGTAGTTAATGCGAAATTGGCGAATCGTGGCTTTCGATTCATGTAATTATCGTACAGAAATGTCGCTTTTAAGGAACCTAAAAATTGGTGAAAAGATGTGTGTCAAAACCAAAACTGAGTTGTAACACTACAACCGCAATGATTCAAATTTGGTATTCTAAACTACCATTAGTGATATCACAAGTGAAGCGGTGGAATTTTTTGGAAAGGAAAGGGTTCATTAAACTACACAACGTCATTTTTTGCCTTGTGAACAGAATTGGAGCGTGCGTATTGTGACAAACGCCCTACCCGGTCACAATTTAGCCACCATTGATCTCACTACAACTTAGTATTGAACAATTGCAGTTGTCGAGAAGTCACCCGCCAAAAACCTCGACCCAAGCCTTGAGTCACACCTCGATGATCACCTCAAGGAAAACTGACTCTAGGTCACACCATACGGATGGCTCTTCATTTAAATTAACAATATCTACCTGGAAAACAAGAACCACAACGAATTTCCCTGAAAGCTCCAAGTTTATCCGGAACCAAGACGGGTGGATACCACCTGCAACAGGACCAACAGTGCGCTGAACCCTCCACTAGAAATACGCGATTTAACCATTGCACTTTCCCGTTAGTGTGTGCTCTTTAAAACTCCGCCGCTTGCGGCTGTCGCGACGGTAAAATAGCACTTCTCATTTGCAGTAGACGCTGCTTGATTATTGGCCCAGGTCTTTCAACCTAGAGAAAGAGAGGACGCAACATCCTGGAAGTGTTCTAAAACACACTTTTGGACGCTCATAGTGCTACCTCAGTTGTCCAAAAGGAAAAAAACCTCCCACCCAAGAACCGGCTTTTAGAGGCTTTTCTAATTATTTCATCGCGAAGAGTAACAACCGTTCTTTTCCAGGCGTACTGCTTTGAGACTCTGTATTAAGAAACCCAATTTCGCGTCCCTTTTTTTCCAAATTTGAACGTTTGAGGAATGACCAGCGCCCAACAAACTTTCCCAAAAGCTTCTTTAACTCCTGAAGGTTGTGCCCAGGCAATGGAATTAATGAGATCGAAAATGGAGGCATTGCAACAGGAAGTCCAGGCTCTTAAGGGTCAGTTGTTGCACGAAAAAACTGAGCGTGAATTATTTCAAAAAATGGTCAGAAAACGACTGCGAACCACGATGACTGACTTGGAGACTGTTACCGACACCAATTATTCGAGTCTACAGGAAGAACACGCAGCAATTCGCAACTTTGATGACGTGACTTCACTGCTGAACGCGGCAGAAACCAGTTCAAATTCGGAATCGAGTATTGCACAACACACGCCTACAGCCGTCACACCTAAGGAAGGACAATCCTACATTTCCAATACAAACAACAATTGTAACGCAGAGAAGGTTAATTTCCAAGGTTTTGTTGACTTATCATCTCTAAACCAAGGGATTCCAGACTCTAATGCCGAGCTTACTACTCGACTCACGACTCCGTATCCGCAAGGGGTCTTGCCACCCTTGGCGTTAAAGGACTATGATCAGAATTCAATTGGAGAGGACATTACATCGCTCATCAATGATGCGATGACCCAAAATTTAAAAAAACGAACTTTCTCAAACGATTTTGTCTTGGCTCATCCTCAAAAGGCCAGAGCAGGCGTTGGAACGCAACAGAGCAACTCTTTTGATTTTTGCCCAAACAATCATACACGTCAATTTCCAATTTTACCGTTACGACTAAACACACCTGCAACTCCCTATAACATCCCATCCAATGGTCTTCCTACACCATCCTCTCAATTGGATGAACGCGATATTTTAGACAAATGGGGCATACAGTTTTCTGAGAAGTATACCGCAGTCAGTGAAGTTTGGAACGAATATCATAAGATAGGCTCCAAAGGAGTTTCTATTCGGTCTTTGGAATCATCCTTCTCGACACGGTGGAGAGCTAACCTACGCAAAAATGTTAAGAAGAAATATAGTAGGCGACTGATAATCATAAGGGCTATTGAAACGGGAATGAAAAGAGGCAAGACTTTAAATGAATGCATTGCGATCCTGGAAGAATTCTTGACGGACGCGAAAAAACCAATTTCGTACTTGTATCGGAAGGCAAATTTACCAGCAGACTTTACTTAATTAAATATTTGATATGTATGCTACCATTATGCCAAGGAATGTATATTTGATGAAAGCGCTACAATTTCTCTACCTTGATTAGGGAACCTTCCTCGTAAAGCCTGTTTAAGTCTTGGTGATACTTCTTGGCGGCGTTCACTCTTTTTACTTTAAAAGTGGGAGTGATGGTGTCATCAGCCACCTTGAGAGGTTCCAAACCAACTAGAATATTGTTGATCTTTTCAAAACCCTGAAGACCCGTTAATTCACTGTTCATCATTTTAACAACCTCTTTTCTGTATTCACGGTTATCATTCAATAATTTTATGATGTCCTGACCATGAAAACGTTTTAACGCTGGTAACCGCTGTTTCAGCACAGGTTCGAACGTTTCCAAATCCAACCCTAAAACCGCTACCAAGAACGGCTTGAAAGAATCGCCATGAACAAAAATTTGAGAAATGTAAGGGCAGGACGACAGATACAAATTCTCGATCTTTTCAGGTGCAATGTATTCTCCTTGAGCCAATTTGAAAAAGTTCTTAACCCTATCAATGATGGAAAGACGTCCTTTAGCATCAATGTAGCCCACATCGCCGGTAGAAAACCATCCGTCTTTGCTTAACACTTTCCGCGTTTCCTCGGGGTTCTTGTAATAGCCAGCGAAAATCTGGGGCCCCCGCAACTGAACTTCACCTTTCTGATCACGCTCTGCGTCGTATTTCATCTCTGGTATTGATCTGAGACGGCATTCTGTTGAAATGGCCATACCTCCGCAAGTTCCAGAGTCTTTTTCAAGAGGTTCGCTAATACATATACCAGCAAAAGTTTCTGTTGATCCATAGCCTTGCCTGATCCCAGTGTCCAAGGCACTTTTCATGAACAAAAGGGTGTCGTTGGAGACTGGTGCAGACCCCGTTACCAAAAAAGAAACATTCGTCAATCCTAATGAATCTCTGATCTTGTCGATTAAAACCCTATGAAAGACCACTTGGTTAATAATGGAGCGATCAGGTCCTCCGCGGGTCTGAAACCTTGTACGTTTTTGATCCAATATGTTCGTCGCGACGTTTTTAGTAAGAGCTGAAACAGAGTCTCCCCGAAGACCGTTTTTTATACCAGCTTCGAATTTGGTTAACACTCTTGGTACAAGAGAAAAGGAGTCGGGTTTCAGAATTTTGAGATCTTCCACCAGAACTGCGGGATCCGCCTTGTGTAAAAAGCCTAGACCAACTCCAGACGACAATACATAGCCCGCAATCATTCTTTCAAAAATATGTGCGAGAGGAAGAAAGCACATATCGTATAATTGTTTGCCGCGCTTTTGGGGCGGTACTCGGAAAATGCTCATTACAAAAGTGATTCCAGCGGCGATGTGACTGTGATTCAAAAGAACGCCCTTTGGAGTTCCCGTAGTGCCTGACGTAAATGAGATGGTGTACAATGTACTAGGCTTCGGAGGAATAATTGGCACGTCATTGTTCGCACCAATCTCTTCCACCTGTCTGAGGGTTAAAACTGAAATGCGTTCTCCAGCTTCGTTAGTTGAACGCGGTAGAAGAGGTCCATTGAGCTGACTGAGCTCGTCAGAACTGAGGTCATCCATGCAAATCACGGTGCTCAAATGGGGCAATTGAGGCAGCAAGTCCAAGATAGCATATATTTTGACTTTGGACACGATGAGAACGGGACTTTCGGTGCTGTTGAGGATATATTGCGAGCTGCCGACCCCTAAGGTCTCGTACAAAGCGGTGTTCGCAACCGAATAAGCCTGGCATGCCAGATCAGCGATAATCCACTCCTTGCGGTTGCTCGACCACAAACTGACTATGAAATCGTTTACGTCAAATTTGCGCTGGCGTTTCAAATTTACCACCGTCATGATCCCGCTTCCGAGATTCCGACTGCGTTTCTGGATTTCCTGGTAGCTCTCAAAAACATAGTGATCGCTAAGCTTTCCGGACCCATCCAAAGGCACACGTTGGCCCAAACAGTCGCGGTCGGGGAAACGTTTGACAGCAAAATTGAACAGATCGAAAAAAGTGGTCAATTGCGGGTGCATGCTCGAGACCAAGTGGTCGGGACTAAGCGAACTGCGGTACACAGCGCTATAACCGGGGTTCAGTTCAGACCCTGGAATAGGAACCGATTGTTTCTTCAAAAAACTTCGATAATTCGTATTTTCTGTCAAGGGCATCGCATCGATCAATGCAGAAATATATTCTGGTGAATTGGCATCGTATTGAGACAATTCTTCTTTCAAAGGCCGAAAACTAAGATTTGTCTCCACCAGCTCGGCCAAGCTGATGTAATTATCGCTTTCATGAACGCTCATTTTTCGATAACCGTTCTAAAAGGGTGAACTTGTCCATGGCCCGGTTTGTCGTCCTTTATATACTCCTTCCGAAATGCCCCAAGTCGTCTGGTCTTGAAAAGCTGTCAGTCATGCCTAACATGCCTGCAACAAAGGGCGATCCGGTTTCCCCAATGTCGCAAGTTATATTGTTACATTGACACAAAAGCCGGGGGCCGTACGGAACAAAACTGCGGATGCTGCTGGTGATGCGTTGATGCGGGGGGAATGGGTGTAAAATTCGAAGTTGGTGCACGTGCTTTCACGAGTACATTTTGGAAGTTACTCGTCACATGAGTATATCACTAATATGATTTTGTGACGCGGCGGTTAGGATTCTCTTTAAGGCTTAACCAAGTTGGAATCTGTGCGTGCAAAGGCTATCCGTAAAGGTTTCCCAAAAAACGATTCATGCTGTAATGAAATCATGGCTAGGTTGGCCTCCTGAATGCTTTTAAGCACCACAAACGCCTGTCCTCGCGTTGCCTTTGAGACTTTAACCTCTAGCACCTCGCCAAACGTCGAAAAGATCAAAAACAAATTTTCGCGTAGTGTATGCAGTTTTACAGAATCGTTGAGATTGTTAACATACAACGATTTCTTGGGTTCTGATTGAATTGGCTCGTCGGGGCTCATTTTTTTTGCGTTTTCAGACGACGAAACAGGCTCCGAAGCTCGTTTTTTCGCAGCGGGCATGGTGCACAGCGTAAATGTGTGACGGTTTCCGCAGACGTTCAAAGGGTATCTACCTGAAGTCTTCCAGCTTTGTCGTACGTTCAGTTAAATCCAGGTTTAAGCGCGGAGGTTGATGTTGATGATGAAAGGTCAGTTCATACTTATTATATTAGTTTATTGATATAAGTTTCGTGTATCATGATATCTATCCAGACAGGGCATCGGCGTCTTGGAAGCCATCCATAACGACGTCAGGAACGCCTGGACCTTTACTGAAGGCCATCCCGCCCAAGGAGAGACGCGGTCCAAAGTTTTGTGCAAATTTGGTCTTTGTTTCAGCCACCCACCGGTTGTAGTTGACGAAAAACTGCGGAAGACAATCAGTGGCCATTGTGACTTCCCAGTATCCGCGATCTAGCTGATCCTGTGAGATTTTTAGGTGCCGCAGTAGTGCGCTTTTCACTTGCTCCACGTAGTAAGACTCTTCTCGTAAGCTGTGCTTGCTTAGATAGTGTCCTCCCACCATGGCTGTAAACTTGGTAAATTTCTGGGGCTCACGCTGATCGTAGGAGCTATGCTGCGGTGCCAATGGCTTGAAGTTCTGCTCTATCACCGAGTCAAAAATGACGCCCAGCAGTTGCTCCTTGTTGCTATTCGATTGCGGAACAAGATACCCAAAAGAATGGTATTGTTCCAGAAGATCGGTTTTGGCGAGATAGAAATTTACAAGCACAACGGTATTGGCTTTCACTTGTCGCAGCAGTTGCGCAAGCTGCTTGTCTCGAGTCATTGTAGCCATGACTGCTGGCGTGTTGGTTAACCGGACATGCTCGAGCTCCCTCAGTTGGTGCCCATCTGCAAGCGATATCTGACATTTGCCATTCCCGTCTGTCTCAAGTTGCGAAACCGGGTGACCAAGAACAAACTGAACTTTTGGATTTTTCTGCAGTGCCATATACAACGCTTTCGGGAATCTTTCAAGTCCATTGCGTAAACCAATCATTGGAAGCTTGCGCAACTGGCCGTACAATTCAGATAGCTCTTTAAGATCCTTACCCATTCTTTTCTGATATTGAGCCAAAGCCTCGGGCAGGTCGGACTTCTTTTCATTCGTGCTGGTACCAAGCATTCCCTTTACTAATGACCCATGTTTGGCCTCTAGAGCCAAAAGAGGCGCTAATGTTCGTTGTGCACTTAACTGCTTAATGTCATCGGCATAAATACCATGGAATATGGCGCTGAAAATGTTGTTGCCAACAAGTTCACTTCCAAACCGTCGTTTGATAAAATCAGAGGCACTCTCATCCTCACATGGATACATACGAGATTTGCGGAATGGTTCTGCCAAAAGACCAGTAACGAAATCTCGACTTAGCGAATTTCTCAAAAATTTGACCAAGGACCCAAAAGACGAAGGCACCTGAACTAATGAATCATCCTTGTCGACCAAAAACTTGCGGTTTGCCACAGAGTTTTTTTCGATGTAGTAGACAAATTCTTTCTGGTCCAGTGAGCTCAGTGTGTCGACAATTAATGTAGTTCCTTCCGACTTCCCGCGCAGAGTGCGGGGGCCTTTTTCGATAAGAATTGGTAACTTCTCTTTGTCTTCAATTGTAGCAGAATTGATCCACCCACCGGTCCTTTTGGAACCATCTATAATCGTGATATTGACATCTGGTCTGAATTTGGCCAGAAAATAGCTAAATGAGAGGCCTCCTACTCCTGCTCCAACAACAGCTATGTGAGAATTGGCCGCCAGCTTTGTTGAGCCTACCAGCATCAGTTTGATGGTGATGCTAATGGTTTGTTTGAGTCTTTAACTTGATCAGGACCTTTAACTTGAACAAATGTCAGTATATTTTATATAAAAGAGTACTAAACGACAAAAGTGACTGACCCGTAGCTTCGAAAATGGGGCCACCTGTAGAGCACTCTTTGAGTGGAAGTTACTTTCTGGATATTATAAAAAGAGCTCAAGTCAATAACAAAGTCAAAATTCCAACCTTTGAAGTTCGGCAAGTTTAGTCATTTTCATGCCTGATTTGATTCTTTCTTATCGTAACACCTTGTGTTAGTTGGTCATTGGTCCCGGAAGATTCCAGATCTCTCTTGTGAATATTGTACCGGCACAGTTGGGTACTGTTACTTGAGAGTCAAGCCTTTGAATTGTAAGGAGTTGTCAGACGCTGAAGCCAAAACTTTGTAGCCCATCGCCACCAATCAGAATAAGTACTAAAACCACTCCCAGATAACAGCAACATAGTTTGAAATCTACTTCAGTGGGTTAATAATAAGCCTTACCTTCTAATTCCTAAAGCTTTTTCCTTTGTTTGGCGTAGTGAGCTTAGTCTCCATGAATCTTGGTTCTGGGAAAATTTATTGTGCAGTGGAACGATTTTTGCTTTCTTTCGGGACTCGCTCTCGCCGTCAGAAACTTTATAATAGTGAGGTGCACTTTCTACTAGCCAACGCGGATCTATGGCGGTGACGAAAGACATATACTCTCGAGTCGTCAGAACCAGACTATGGTAAATAACGTAATCATAGTCCTTTCCAAATAGTGAACTTGAAGGATGCACAGCGACAGAAGTGCCATCCGATATTGTTTTGTAACCTGTCTGAGACTCCCTCTTGGCAGCGTTTCTGAAAAATCCAGAAACTAGCGTGCTGCGGATCACATCGACATCTCCACTGCTGTTTGAAATAGAAAGCCTCAATTTTTTGAAGAGGCCCACAAGTTGCAGCTTAACATCCTTTGCCCTCTTCAAATGTCTCTCATGCAGATAATTGTTAACACAAAAAGTTTTCGAGAAGTTGTCGTCCCGCCACCTGTTATAGACATTCAACAACGTCAAGTGATCGCCATAAGGATGGTGAAATCTGGCCTTCTTATTATCTGCTTCTTGTTGCTTATCTCGAGGTCGGTAAAATACGCTTTGCACAGACAGCATGGATATTATCGTTGACAGCTCATCAGAGCAGCCTCTGCTGGTAGATGCTATAAGTGCTTTTGAAAGGGCTGGCTCCATCGGAAATTGAGACATCAAGGCACCGAGTTTAGATAGCTTTCCCTCCTCGTCCAAGGCTTGAAGATTGTATAAATCCTCTAAAGCACCAACCATAGAAACCCGTGGAGGAGGGTCCATAAACTCAAAATTCAGCAAATCATTGATGCCCATTGCTTTTAACATGAGGATTGTATAGGACAAGTTCTGTCTTTGGATCTCTGGAATAGTGTTCGGCATCATTTCGTTCAGAAAAGCTGATTCTGTATACAGCCTATAGCACTTACCAGCGCCAGTTCTACCTGCACGTCCTTTACGTTGATTTGCTTGAGCCTGCGAGATGGGCGATATTATGAGTTGTTCCATTCCCATGCGAGGGTTGTACGTGTTTACTTTTGAAAACCCAGGATCAACAACGTAAAAAATACCATCGATAGTGATAGATGTCTCTGCAATGTTAGTGGCAAATATCACCTTTCGACAATTAGGTGGAGTGGGTTCAAAAATCTTTGATTGGACTTCACTCGGTAGTGCCGAATAAACAGGTAAGATCAATAACTCTTGGATGGTATCTCCTAGTGTCTTCACCCTCTCATACAAGACCTCACAGCATGTATCAATTTCTTCCTGACCTGTCAAGAAGACTAGAATGTCGCCCCTTCCCTCGTTGATGTGAATCTCCATAACCGTATCCAGCGTGGTCTCTATGTAATCCAGCTGCGGTGATTGCGAATACAGAACTTCAACCGGGAACGTTCTTCCTGGTATTTTCAGCACAGGGCAATTGAAAAAGTAAGCGGAGAACTTTTCAGCATCCAATGTCGCAGATGTGACTATGATTCTTAGATCTGGCCTTCGGGCAGCTGCCCCTTTCAAAAGTGCAAACAGAACATCAGTAGCAATAGTTCTTTCGTGGGCCTCATCTAAAAGTATGACTGAATACTTAGACATTAGAGGATCCACCAAAACTTCCTGTTGCAGCATACCATCTGTCATATATTTGATTCTCGTCCTATTCGAAGTTTCGTTTTCAAATCGAATTGTATAACCCACATCCTCGCCCAATCGGCATCCAACCTCTTCGGCGACACGCTTCGCTACAGATATCGCAGCGACCCTTCGTGGCTGTGTACACCCAATGATCCCATTTTTACTGAAACCTTCCTCATCCAAGTACTGTGTTATTTGGGTAGTTTTTCCTGACCCTGTTTCACCCACTATGACTAGAAATTGGTTGTCTCTGATTGCATCCACTAACAGATCCCGCATCTTGAAAACAGGCAAAGACTCTCGTTGGGCTTGGATCGGTAAGCTCGTTCTTTTACCGTACTCAATGTTCTCTTTATTTCTGCTGCGCTCCCACGCTGATAGACAATCTTGCTTATTCTTGTAGTTCAGATCCGATTGGCGGGAACTGGGGTCGTCTACCAGGTTGTGTTTACGCCGCTCATTCTCGACCTCTTTACTCTTCTGGATTTTTTCCGCCCGGTGTTCTGACATCAAGTTTGAACCACTTAGCGCTGTCCTCGTGAGAGACCCTTGTGGGACTTTTGTGAGCTTTGGCATTTCGAGCTTGTGAGAAGCGCTTGCCTCGCCCTTCAGAAACTGAGGTTCGTCGTCTGTTTTCAACTCAACCTCAACTTCCTCTATTGCATTATCTAGAGGTTTCTGGGAAGACCCCCTCTCTTGTTCAAAAGTGTCTTGAAGCTCTGGGTAGTCTTCCGCTGACGCTGCTCCGCTGGAAATGAGTTGACGGATTTCCCACCTCTCCGGTGATGTCAATTTTCTCTTAAGGGTCGATTTTTCTTGCCTGTTTGTATTCCTTCCTCTTTCTTGGCTAGCCTCTTCTTCTCTTCCTGTTCTTTGATCTATATTCTTCATTCGAAGCGAAATCTTCCCATTGTCCTGAATTTTAATGATCTTGACATAAACTTTTTGATCTATGGATACTATGTCAGCTGGATCTCGAATCCTTTTGGGCGCAAGCTCCGAGATGTGCACAAGCCCGTCACTGCGATAAGTGCGGACTCCCAAAATGCGTACAAAACATCCAAATGCCGTGATTTTCTTCACCACTCCCGGATAGACTTTCCCGAGTATAGGTCTTTCGTCAACGCTAGCTTCAGTCCTAATTGTGTCTTGCCCGCTACTGTCTGCCCAGCTACCAGAACTGTCCCATCGTATTTTTTGGTTAGGCATTCCTAGAGCCCCATGATTTCGCTGTTTTGGTTTTTCTTCCTCCATTGCTGCGTATAAAAGTCTCGAAACACCCGGTTCAATACCGCAATCCATAGCTTCCAACTCTGAGGTAAACTCCTCGAGAGATTTGCATTTAGAACATATCTCAACAATAAAATCTGCCACCACGGGATCATCTAGAGAAAGTGCATCATGTAAAATGCGTACCACTTTGGCTGTGGAATCCAAATCCCTGCTTCTGGCGATATCATACACTTTGAACGCCACATCGTGCGAAATATCCACATCTAGCTCATCGATTTTGGTCTGAAACTGTTCTAGGTTAGAACTTTTTCTACAGATGTCATAAACGAATTCTGAGACCGCTGAATCTTGTGTTCTGAGTATCTCCCCAATTTTGAGCAAAACCGGTTCCATGAAGTGGCTTTGCAGAGAACGCGTTGCGATCTTTCCCAAACTGTTTCCCTCTCAGGATAGATTTAAACATCAAGGGCATCGTCAATTTTGAACTGCCCTTTCGTTGATGGTGACCATACAAAAAGTCCATCGCAGTGTGTGCAACGGTAGCCAAGCTCTTATCCTCAGCTGTCTGGTATCTATCCGCCTAAGCCTCGAGCTAACAGCTCTGGAGTAGCTTTTTGAGAATCAAAAACTTAGAAACACTGGTTTTAGAGGCATTATTAGCATAAAAAGTGCGAAGTACATCACTATCGCCATGTTCCTCATCACTCGTGTATCAACCAGGCCATTGACCGGCTGTCGGGATGTTACAAGTGCTCCATTTCAAGCAAGAGCCATGCCTTATATCTACGGTGGCTTTGATCCGTGATCCTTTTGTAGAAAACAGATGATAGACACACGTAGTATTTGAATTTCGAAAAGTGCCTTGTATTTATATGTGTGACTTAAAGGACGATGTTGGATACGGAAGATGTATAAATGTATATACATACATAATTGAACTGTGCTTTGATAAGATCTTGGGGCATGGCAGACATCTCGTTTTTTCGACATGAATTTTTTGTCTTTGATGTAAAATCGCAGTGATCAGAGCCCCAAGATTCGCCGCCAAGTTTGCAAATGCTATTTTATATTTATTGTAATTGTTGTTCATGGGGGGAGAGACCCCCAGATGGCTTACCAATCAGCGACTTCTCGACATCCATCTTTGTCCACCACTTTCACCAGAACGCCCTTGAAATCAACGGGCATTCTGCGCTCAAGCTCCTCAACACACAGTCTCAACAGCTTTAGACCCTCTTCTTGCGTCATGTCGGGACGGTAATGACGATCTAGCAAGGAGAAAGTGTAAAATCCAGAGTATCCATGGGCAGCGTAGGGCAGTTCCACTTTCGTGCCCAAATAATCGATTTGGTAAAGCTCGGTCTTGTCACTGTGTATGTCGTAGCCCGCTAGCAGGACGTTGACTTGGTACGGTTTTCTGGAGCGGATGGATTTGGCCAGCTCTTGTCTCACAAAGCTGGAGACCGCCTGAGGCGATAACTCGTAGTTTTCTCTAATGGAATACAATTGGATATTTGCCTGGATATACTCAGCGAACTGGACAGAATCGCCTGCTTCTCCGTTGAAAGCCATAAGATTGTGTTCAGATAGTTGTCTCGTTTTATCGTCATCGGTCTTGAGTACAGAAATGCCTCGACTTACCGCCTTAGAGGTCGCTACTATCACCGAGTCTTGAACCCTTATACCTAATGCAACATCCATTTTATTAGAGGCGGGAGAATAGCAGTGGAAATATGATTAAAAACAGACGGCAGTTCAATTTAAGTTGGAGCGTATAGTTGTCTGGTGGGAAATGACAATAACCTATTAGTAGAAGCTCTCTAAGTTCTGTCGAAGTTTGTTCTTTGCCACCCGAACTTCCTATGGTTGATGATATTCTACTTTCAAAATCCAGTTCAATAATTAGGCAGGAGATCGCGATATACGAGTGGGTCGCTGGACGAAGAAGAAGTATCGAACTAAGATAGAGGAAGTACACAGTTGAGGTCAAGGCGAGCATCCATAGTTAGGGAAAGCTACATTTCGATACTCACCTGTCAAGATTGGAGCTTCAGTGATACCGATTATGCTAAGATACATAGTTTAGAGTGATCACGTGACTAAATTCAGCTATCAACACACATTAGTTACATGCAACTGATTGCACCAATGCTACCGTGTCTTTAACGGTTATTGGACAGTGTCACGCAAGCGTTCCATTTCACCACAATGACTGAATCAATTGGCTTACCACATTAATTTGACAATCGGTCATTCTCCACCCAGCCATCGGCAATTAAGTGATTCTCAGTTATATAAAAAGTGACATATGGCTCGTCCAGCTCACAAGACCACCTTCCGTACACCATACACGCCTGAAACGTAAACTACCACCTATCTAGCCTACATTGTCCACCCAAGCCCAAATGTACACATATTGTCATCGTCATCTCACCACGACACTGTGGAGACTAAACATGAGTTTTAAAATGACATGAAATAATCCTTTTCCTAACGATAAAAACTTCCCAAGTCACTTCGAACTCAACTAAAAACCAAACCTGGCTTCTACTTGTTTTTAATGACCTTAAATCGATATCGACTTTCAATACATCTCTGACTTATAATATAATTTCCTTTACGCGTCGCTTTATCTATTTCACGCGTATTTTGAAATTCCCTCGTGTGTCATGACCATTATTCGAACTATAACACGACCACCTCCAGACTCAAGACTCATCAGCTAGACGTTGATACCAAAAAGAAGCTTTAGAGAAGCAATCACACCTTCCAATTGGCCCAATGGCAACCCAAACGTTACCCCCGGGAAATGGACCAAGTGCCACAGACATGCAGTACTATTACCAACATCTGTACCCATTCAAATCGGTGTTTCAATGGCTAAATCATTCACCAAAACCTGGTCGCGATATGATGCATAGAGAGCTAGCAATGGCTTTCCGTTCAGGAGCTTACAAAAGATACAACTCGTTCGACTCTGTGCAGGAATTTAAAGCTCAGATTCAGCGGTCAAACCCTGATAGGTTCGAAATCGGAGCTGTCTACAACAAGCCACCGCGCCAAATGGATTCCCTTCTGAAGGCAGACATGAAGCCACTAGAAAAAGAGGTCGTCTTTGATATCGATATGGACGATTATGACGCCCATAGAACTTGTTGCTCGGGGGCCAATGTATGCTCTAAGTGCTGGAAATTCATCTCCTTAGCAATGAAAATCATCAATGTCGCCTTAGAAGAAGACTTTGGTTATACTGATTACATATGGATCTTTTCGGGCAGACGTGGTGCGCATTGCTGGGTCACTGATAGAAGAGCTAGACAGCTCAACGACATACAAAGGAGGAGTGTACTCGATTACATGAACGTTGTGAGAGACAGGAATATTGATAAGCGACAAAACCTCAAACGCCCGTACCATCCTCATTTGATGCGTTCGCTGGAAATACTTAAACCGTTTTTTGTTGAAATCATTCTGCGAGAACAAAACCCGTGGCAGGACGACGCCGTTGCCTTTAATGGACTACTCTCGGGACTGCACGACAAAGTTCTGATAGAGATTCTGAAAAAACACTGGACAAAGAATTCAAATCGCACAAGTGAGCAGAAATGGCAAGACATTGACAATCTGGCAGCAACCCAAATAAAGCACACATCTCCGCTAAAAAAGTCTGACTACTTCAATAGGCTTCGAGAGTGTAAAGAAGACCTTGTTATGGCCACCCTTTACCCTAAGCTGGATGTGGAAGTTACCAAGCAGACAATTCACTTGCTAAAAGCACCATTTTGCATCCATCCGGCCACGGGCAGTGTCTGTGTTCCGATCACAGAAGCATTTACTCCATCTGACGCACCGAAGCTCATAAAACTGCAGAACGAGCTGGAGTCTAATGAAAATAAAGTGGAAAGGACCTCTTTGCAACCCTTTTTACATCAGTTCCAGCAGTTCGTCAATCAAGTCGTTAAAAAGGAGTTGTCAGGTGCCAAAAGAGAAAGGGAGGAAGAAGCTGTCAATGACTTTTAAACGTTTATTCTCGTAAGAGGATATGATCAATAATTCCATCAATGTATTTTTCTAGTAGCGTACATACTACCCACCGCGGTGCTGATTCATCACATAAGAACACACCCGTCAGAATCATCAAGTCTTTTTGATGACTCTATTTCTCTCCGTAATGATATTTTTTGCTGACCGGAATCGTGCGACCATTTTAACAACTGTTGATTCGGATCGTAAACAAATTTCCCCGAAGTTGTTTTAATAATGGTTTGACCCATTGGAAAGTGGAGTTTTGGTAAAAATATCAATGTCCCGCCACGACTGCTATCAGACTTGGGATCAGGCTTCGCATTTATCGTCAATCTGTATTCTTGTCTACTCAAATCAAATTCCGCGTTTTCAAATTCTCCAAATATTTTGACCGGGTACGGACGAAGAATAGCATCAAGCGCTCTTAGCCCATCATAATCGTTATGGAGATCTTCGTCATTCGAGCTATCAACATGACCGTGTGGGATGGTAGAAAAAGAAGATACAACATCAGAGGCGCTATCACTGTCTGAATTAGGTGCCGGGTTTGAAATCTTTATTTCACTCACATTGTCTTTACTCCATATTGAAAAATCCTCATTATTCCAATTATCTCCCCATTCATGAGAATTATCGCTGCAATAGCACCACAAGCTAAATGAGAGATTACTTCCTTCCAGTGCATAGCCTAGAGCGTCGAGTGCTCCAATTTGTGAGCTAAAGTCACCACTTCGGTAAGCTTTTTTGTTATCCATATCGAACGGCATACCGATCTCAGTGAAAAAAACTGGGATGTTGGTACCTAAGGAATCTCTCCCTTCTTCTTTCATTTGTGCAAGCTGCTTCCGAAAGCATTTTCTTATCATATTTTCGCCAAACACAACACTCAATACTGGGTTGGCGTATTTCTCACGCATTATTCCTAATGTATCAACATTGTAAATCCTATTCCAAGATTTGAACATCAGGGACATACCGTCGTAAAAATGGCAAGCATAAATTGTCTTGTCATCTATCAAATCTGTGCCTTTGAGTCGTGGGGGTTCTTGTAGTGTTGGGGGTTGCAGAAACAGAAATGATACAGTATCAAGGCCCCTGAATGCTTTTCGAAATTTCTTGAAGTGGTCAACGAAAAAGGTGTTAATAAAGTATCTCAAGTCCACTTTTGCCCCAGTGCTTGGATCGTGAGCAAAATAATCAGAGATCAGCAGCTCAGATTCTTTAAGCTTTTTTCGGTCCCAAACACCATGTAACCGCCAAACACAGACACCGGCTTCCCATTCAGATCCCCTCTCCCAATGGTAAAGTTGATCGATCTCGTCTCTCATGTCTTTCGAAAGCCAAGCCGAAATTCCCTGAGGGTCTATAGTAGCGGTTCCAGTCTTTCTGGGTCCAAAGACGGTAATGTCATATGTTTCTACTGTTGAAGGCAATCCCTCGCCTAGCTGAAAGGACTGAAAAGCTGTAGGCATTGTCCCTCTTTTGAGCTTGCGATCTTTGGGCAGTTCTGACAAATTAGGATCGGTGAAATATCCTATGTTAGGCTCGTTCATTGTTTCTAAGCCTAATATGCAATGGTCGTTGAAGAGATCGGGGGCTGTCTCCTGAATGCGCTGATAAAAAGTCATAACGGAGCCTATGAATCTGTCCTGCAGATAGTCCTGGATGTTTTGGCCGTTTATGACACATTTGGGTGCGTACTTCTTGCCACCGAAGAATAGAGTGAACATGGTTTGGGCAGCAAGACGGTAGTAATTGGTTGGCCACAGCATTTTGGGGTAAGGTTCCCGTTCTTTTCCCGTATTTGGATTGATGTACGTATTTTGTAGAATCGTAGCTTCTGTGTCTGAAAAGTGCCGTGGCTGGAATCCTGCACAGTAAAATGTCCACAAAGGTGCGCCAGAGCCGCCGGTGAATCGTGACCATACGTCCTGGTGTGGGTCCAAATAGACGTACATCCCCCCGAGATCATTGATTTTTTTCAAAACCTTGATTGTATAGTCCATGAACGCAAAATCGTATTTTTCTGGCCCTTCATGTTCAAGTGCTTCCCACGTAAAGGGGTATCTAATTGTGTTATACCCTAAGGACTTTAGCTTAGAGATGTGGCCCTCAACTTCCTCTAGCTTCAAAGGATGGTTGATGAAGCAGACAGAGTCCGCATCATCATAAAATGATGGTGTTAAAGGGTCGTGGGTTTTGCAGTGAGGTGTGGATGGATATTTCACACTGGGATCCAGATTGACACCTCGCAACTGAATTTGGTTTCCGTCAGGGTCCAAAAACTCACCTTTTTCCGACACCAATACTTTGGCTGGCATGCTTCGATTGTTGTTGGTTCAGAACTTCCCAAAAAAACTCCGAGTCTCGACCTAGAAACCTAGAAGTTTTAAACGAATAACGATTCCTTTACAGCTCCCTTTATAGGAGACTCTTGAGGCTTTAGTCCCAAAAAACCAGAAATTGAGGCGAAACTTGAAAAAGTGAAACTTTGCAGTTTTGGACACACCCCGTAAAGCTCGATTGGATACAACTGCAAGAACGAAGAACGTTTCTTGCACTCTTACCGTTTCTGCCTTATAAATGGGGATCTTTATAATGAGAGGTTTCTCATCTATGGGCTAAGAATCTTCACGTGCTAATGAATGTGATAAAGTTCCTGATAGAATGTTAGTGCCACTCATCATTAGAGGACGTGAGACAGGGAGTTCCGGTACATCGATACCTTAGAATTAATTAAAAGCTCAACTCTTATCGTAGTCTCGGTTGCGTGAAGTTTCATCGACGCATTCGATTGACGTGACGATTAACGCTGCAAAAAAAAAATCGATCGAACTGAGAGGCTTAATTGGTGTTTGTGCTTGGATATTTGTGCTTTTCGAAAGACCGATTGCTTCGTACACTCTTTGGTATAGCTTTGATCAATCTTTGGTATAGATTCAGAAATGCAAAAAATCCTGAAATCCTAAAAATTGATTGGGAAACACTTTCTCCTAACTTGTGTACCGGTCAGTTCAAGGAATGGCAATCTTTCAGTACCTTCAAAAATACCATTTCCCCTTTTAACTTCAAACTCTTCAGATTCGTAACTTCAGTTTCTAGACCTCTGTATCTCAAGTGATGTTGCAAGCTTTCATAATTCCACCTGTACAACTACCTTGTGACGTCATATTGGACTTGGCTTCCCGGTAGATTTATACACCTAACTTTCCCCCGAATGACTTTGAGGCTTATGGGTCGCAGAACTTGTCAAATGACGGAGCATTTATCTTATCTCTAGCCGCCGAAACAAGCCACCGCAACAATTCTTCAAGACGCGTCATTATAGCAGCTACTAGCACTCATTAATTGTTACAAATCGGAGTCTTGAAGCTGCCTTTATCAAGCTTCTGGCTCTCTCCACTGTTGAACTGAACATCTTAGTCCTACCACTTTTACTCTCTATATGAACCACTTCTATTGGCGTCTAGTCTGATCACGTGCTGACTTTTTTGGGTGTATCTCGATATGTATGAGAGTCATGAACATCGCCACAAGGTTCCAGAAGTGTTTTTGAGCTTGAATAATCCCATCAAACATGTCTGTTGGGGTTTATCGTTCTCCCGAGAATGGTTTGCATGAAATTGGTGATAAACTTTTTTTTGAGTCCGACTTTCTAGCTCAAGACCGATTTAAACGCTGTATTAAGGGTTCCGATTTCCAAAATCGATGTATGTTCCTTATAAACAGCTTTTAGAGGTGCAGTTGGGGGTTGAATTTCTCTTTCTGACCCTCAATCGCCACCTGAACGTCCATATTAGCGCTTTCAAGCCATTTTCACCATATAATAACAGCCAATTCAGGAACCCTCGAGCTACTCTTAAACAGACTTTTGACTTCCTAAGGACATAGAGCTTCACAGTTTTGACAGAGACTTTAAACGCTTCAAACACGGAGACAAACGCATATCCTGTGAACCGTCTTAGAGGACGTGCTTTGCGATATCTTGAGGTAGGCTTAACGACATCGAAAATGAATCATAACATGAGTCACCGGGGTTTTTCAACATATTTAGCGCTATATCAAGAGAAGAACAAGGTGACAGAACACCTCTTTTTGAGTACTGCAAACTAGCACTTTTTGTAGAAAACAGACTATGACCAGATTAAATTCCTACGGTCAAGTCATAGGTGACGCTGTACCAAACTGGGATCCCAGACCGCTGCCCGAGAAAGTGACTTTGGAAGGAACACACTGTAGGTTGGAGCCGTTAGACTTCGAGAAGCATGCAAAACAATTGTATGCATCCTACTCCAGTGCGGAAGACGACCGCTCTTGGACTTACGTGCCTATAGGCCCCTTCTCGGATTTTTCTGATTACGCAAAGGTAGCAATCACATTTGCGAGTTCGACCACTGTGTCACACTATGCTATCGTGCACAGCGGTACCGGACATGCAATTGGTACTTTAGCATTGATGAACTGTGATCCTAGCAACGGCTCGGTTGAAATTGGGTATGTGCTTTTTTCACCGAAATTGCAGCGCACTATGGCTTCCACTGAAGCGGTGTACCTGATGATCAAATACGTCTTTGACACTTTGGGATACCGAAGATGTGAATGGAAATGTGACAGCCTTAACATCCCATCACATAGAGCAGCGGAACGCTATGGTTTCAAGGCCGAAGGAACTTTTAGAAATGCTGTTATCTACAAAGGTCGCAGTAGGGATACTCAATGGCACTCAATTACAGATTACGAATGGCCCATCGTTTCGCGCGCTTTCGAAGAATGGCTGAGCGAGAAGAATCATTCAAATGGCCAGCAGAAGGATAAACTTGCAGACATCAGATCAAGGTTGGAGAGCGAGACTGCAAGATGAAATGTGGTCGCATTTATTCTCAGTGCTTCCATAATCCTACCCTTTTCAAATGAAAAAATCAACAGCAAAGAACACTTGAGTGCTTGATAAAGATACTGGGGTCTGTATGGTTCTCTCCGATTGCCAGTCTTGCATTGGTTTCTCGTAGCATTTTGGCCGGCGTGCCTTCACACGCCTAGCAGGCTTTCTGCGCGGTTTCACGAAGTGCTACAGCAAGAAAAGATTTGAATTGAAAGAATGAATATATGACAGTCGTTTGGGCTCCGTAGCCCACTTTTTATCTAGAAGCAAATATGATGGCTTTTGGTAATTTCAACTAAGATAAATATATTATTCTCTCTTTGTTAGAGAGCTCTCAGCCGCATCTTTGATAGGGACAGGAGCATTGGAAGCATCTTCGTCCAATACAATGTCATCGTCAATGGCTTGTCCTGAAGACGATCTCTTCCTCGCTTCTTCCTCTTCTTTCTTGATCAAAGCCTCCTGTTCCTTCAGCACGTTGAGCTTGAACTCATTGTCATCAGAGCGTGACGGAGACTCTTCTTCCTCTTCTTCCTGTACATCTTTTTCTTTTCCTTCTTCATCTGCCTTCGAAATTGGTCCTTTTTCTGCTGCCACTTTTTCTGCCGCAGTCTCGTCACCTGTAGGAACAGTAGTTGCAGAGTCAGAAACAACCTTAGCAGGTTTTTCGGGGCTTTGGGTTGGAGCCGTCTTCTGCGCAGAAGGAGCTGGTTTTTCTTCTTCTGCAGGTATTTGTTGTTTTTGTTCCTTAGACTCACTAACATCTAGCTTGGCGACATTGTAAACTGGGTCTGGAATGGATGACAGCACTTGAAGGATACCGTCGTAATAGAAGTCCATGAGTTCACTGAATTTGGTGTCGTCGACTTTTTGAGCTGAGGTCGAGTGTGCATTGATGTCCTGTTGCTGAAGACCACCGAATGTGTACGCACTACTGAGAATAAGGAGAACACTTGGTACTTTATGTCTCAGCCTTAATTCCAACCACATATTCATGTTCTCGATAAGGTCTTCGCGCTTCACACCGAAGGTCTTGATACCGCGCGAAATGCATGTCTGATAAAGTTCCTCGTTCGAGAGAGACTCGGCGCCTTCATAGTCTATGATCTTGTCATCTTCCATGATGGTTTTGAGGTTGTAACGAATTTGATATCTCAACATATTGTCATTTCCAAATGGACGCAAAGACATGTATTTCGCAATGGCGACCAGTTGAGGTCTTGACAAATTATCAAGAACGCTGTCGTTTTTGAACATCTGGGCAACAGCCAAGATTTCATCATGTGTGAACACATTCTCGTTTCCGTCTTTCGGGGAGTTCAGTTTTTTGAAGAAATTCAAAAATTTCTTCTTCTTTTCGACACTTTCGATGGAGTTGTAGCTGATCAAAGAAGATTCCTCGATGGTTTCCTGTAGGAAATTGGAAGTCTTCTCCCGAATGTCGTTCAACTTTTGCTTCTTCAACTGTTTGGCACTTCCAGATTCATAGGTGGAGGGTAGCAAGTTTGGGAATATCTTCAATGCCACTGGCAGTAGAAGTTCTGCAAAGGGTACGATGAGAAACGCACTGAAAGGAACCAGACGAAACACATCGCCCATGGTTCTTTTCAGTTGGTTTTTTTCACGTCTGGACAGTTCGTAGCCTTCAACAAGTTTCACCAGCAGCTTTGTGGAGATCTTGATTTCGTAGCCGAGAAGTTTGGTTCCGTTGACGTAGTGACGAATTTCATGCTTGATCCGCTGCATGAGAGGTTCCTTTGATTTTGCTTTTGCAGGCGGCGGTGAGCTGGTGGCTTTCTTCTGTTCTTCTGCCTTTGCTTCCGCAACATTCTCCTTCACTGTTTCGGATGCTGGGTTCGTGCTTACAGAGTACCATCTGTGCTGATTTAAAGCTACGCTAAAGGTCGGATTTACCAGCGGTTCCACTCGAAACCCGAGTCTAACGGCATGGGTGATAGGCTGTAGTCGAAGCAGTCTCGAAGTCATGGTTAGGTGTTTGCAATGGCTACAAACACGCTATTTGACCGTGGCTTTTAGAAAAACGGGAAGTGAAGTCTAACTTTCTACTCTGGAGAAAAGCCGAGATTTTAAAATTGAAATCTGGCATCTCGAAGTCACGTTACACGTTCGCTTTGGCTGGAAACGTGTTTGCATAGGATTAGCCCTTTCACATGAGTGAATGGTATAACGTTTAGGCCTCCATAATATCCATCAATGGCTCAAACCATTGAAACAATCCGAAACCCGTATCCACGGTCCAGCTGGGCGTGCTTTCCTTGTACAGATCGCAAGAGGAAACTTTTGAAAACGAGTGTAAACAGGTGAAGGTATGTTACTTTGATGTCTATCTGCCAGTGACGCTAGAAGCCGTTTAAAAAATTCACACTTGCTTCAAGGATTTTGCAAACAGCTCGAAATTCGCTTGCGGGCACACTGCATTTGCCTAAGAATGTCAACAAACGTCTCTCTCGTGTCATTTCTTTCCCTGCAATGGTTTCTATTTTGCTCATGAACGCTCATTGCAATGGCAAACAAAGCTACGAAAGGTTTGGGTAGCCTGATTGAAACTCATACAATCGTTAGTTGTTTGCCTGTCACCTTCATCCGAAGCACTGTTCTAATCCAATATATGTAATATCCAAGCCTGAAATTTAGCTCTACTCAGAAACGTCCCACAATAAAAGACCGTGAACTCAAGCTCGAACCATGCTCACATCGCAGCTATTCGGACTGGTGTGCTACGTGCTGACATATCTACGGTATGCGAGGGACAACTCTCTGTTGAATGTGATTCTCTCGGTCCTGGTAGTAGTATCTTCACAGGTTCTACAACAGATGGTCACTCTGTACTACAAGAAGTCCCAGAAGCCATCTCAGGAGCAAGCCGAGCGTGAGGAACTGACAACCATTTTCAACGTTCTTCTAAAATGCCTTAGATACTACCAGGTCATATTTGTGTTGCAATTTGTGTCGTCACTACTCTACCATTTGACTCTTGACATCGAAAAGGATGTGTGCTCGTGGAAACATGGCTACATTTTCACCGACATCATCGGCGAGTTTGATTGCGGGCGCGGTGGGAAGTGGGCAGTGTTTGCTCTCGATCTGGGTCTTTTACTGTGCCAACATCTAGCGTTTAATGAGTCCTTCACGGTAGGAGGAAGGGATCCTCACGAAACCGTACGAGAGGCCAGCTTGGACGGTTTTAACCCACATGAATATGGCATTTTCAGCATCCTGCGATTCGACTCATTCAAGGTAAATGATACCGCTGTGGTATTTACAACCGAGGGCAACACACTTGGCTCTCAAGCCAACAAGTCTTACGGGAGCGTCGTAACACATGATGGGTGAAGTTGAAGGTCTTCTTTTTTGATGGAAAGAACAAAAAATGTCTATTGAGACCTACCAGTCGCGGAACACATCGTTCGACGATCTCCGAAAAGGATGGTGAAGGGTACCGCTACCAATAATGCCATGCCAGCTAGGAACCGGGGGAAGGGTCAAAATATCAACGAAGATGGTGTTCTCATAGTACCACCTCCAAAATCTGTATCCAATAAGGATCACATGCAGCGACTGAACTACCTTTTCCAGGTGTCTACATACCACACAATGGTGGACGCAAGTGACGAAAGTCACGCCTTATCGCGCATATATATGCGGAACCTCGATTTGATCCAAAAGAAGACGAAAAGCTCGCTAACGCCCGGGATGAAGCGCCAGATCTGCAAGCGATGCCACAGGGTCCAAATCCCTATGAGAACACAGGACATTTCAATTGTGAACGAAAGCAAGGAACAAACTAGAAAAAGCCAGGTTTTAGAGGTGAGGTGTAGATGCGGGTCCAAAAAGCGGTTTCCCTTTGGCCGGGATCCAACCTACAAGACGCATGCTGAGAAGAGTAGTCTTGTCTACATCCAGAAGTAGCCGCAGGACGGCGTTCTATAGCGTTACATTTTACTCTTTAAGGTTTACGAATGAATCTTGCATGAAATCTAAATATTTGGGAATTTTGGGGCCCGCAGTTGAACACATCTACAAGAATGTGTGCTCTTTTTCCCTTACATCTTGTCTAGCAGCGAATTTTCGCGATTCAGGGTAAATCTTATACCCGGGATTTGACTTTCTAAACCAGTTTAGTTTCCAGCTGATTTCATGTGCTATGAGCTCTCCAAACCCAAGCATCAGGCCGTTCAAGAACGGGAGAACAAGATTGACAGAGCAGGAGCCTGCAAAATATAAAACTTTCATCCAATTCTTGTCCTCAGGACGTAAAAGAGCAGACACGCCATCAGATTCAGATTTAGCTGTGTATTGTGTTTCATGTAGTGGTTCTTCGTGCTCATCGCCCTCTTCGACGCCCGTTGGTGCTACGGGCCCGGGAATGGCAGCTGCAGCGAGCTCTTCTGGTATGCGCTCTGCTAACAATTCGGTCATGGGTTCTAAGCAAGAGCAGACGATGAGTGCTTTCAATAGATGTAGTAAAGCGCTGATCTCTGCTCAAAAATCTATTTGATCTTGAACTCAATTCAATTTAACATTGATGTTAAAGTCTTGCAGTAGTTATAAATGATGAGCGACTGCGATGTGTGCATCATGTACGAAATGTAAGTTTTCGAAGCAAACCAAACGCTCATTGACCAAATTCTTCCATGAATACAAATACAGTATAGTCTTAAAAGCGCTGTAGCTTTTAAATAAGGCCCGTTGTAACTCTATGCAAGAAACGTCTCCTAAACAGCATTCAAATATCATTTGTGTCACGTGACTAATTAAATTTATGACAGTTTCCTAAGGGTTCTCGAGGATTAAGACACACCATACCGGCTCCTCCTATAGTTTATATCTACTTCTTAAAGCTACATCTAAACTGACCGCCCTCTTGTTTGAATTACACGAGTTTGATTCCAAAAATCAGTTACATCGTTGTGAACGAAGGACATTTGGTCAATTCGGTGTATATGAATATTAAGAATTAGGAACTTATATATACCAGTTCGCCACCGGGAAAGCACAACTTACAAGTGGACCGTCAAACCGAGGAGATCTAGTGAGAATATCTCTTCAATTGACTGTAAAATGAGTGGTTACGATAGAGCACTGTCGATTTTCTCGTAAGTACAGATTTACAATCTTCAATTGGTGACCGCCCACCTACTAACGTAGCCCGAGTGCAATAGACCCGATGGACATATTTTTCAGGTAGAGTACGCCCTGGAGGCTGTCAAGAGAGGAACATGTGCGGTTGGAATCAAAGGAACAGACTGTGTGGTAGTCGGTTGCGAAAGGAGATCTACTTTGAAGTTACAGGACCCTCGTATCACACCGTCGAAGATCTCTAAAATCGACGCCCATGTAGTGCTCTCGTTTGCTGGACTGAATGCTGACAGTCGAATTCTTATCGAAAAGGCCCGTGTGGAGGCACAGTCGCACAGACTCACACTGGAAGACCCCATCTCTGTCGATTACTTGACAAGATACGTGGCTGGAGTACAACAGAAATACACGCAATCCGGTGGTGTGCGTCCGTTTGGTGTGTCGACACTAATTGCAGGATTCGACGCCAACGACAACACGCCGAAGCTGTATCAGACAGAGCCCAGCGGGATTTACTCTGCGTGGAGCGCTCAGGCCATTGGCAGAAACAGTAAGACGGTACGCGAGTTTCTCGAGAAGAACTACGTGAAAAACGAGCCTCCAGCAACCGAAAAAGACTGTGTCAAACTGACCGTGAAGGCATTGTTAGAAGTGGTGCAGACGGGTGCGAAGAACATCGAAATCACCGTGGTGCGTCCAGGGTCGCAGATTGTCAACCTTTCAAGCGACGACATCGGTCAGTACGTAGACGAAATCGAGCAGGAGAAACAGCAGGAGCTGGAAAAGAAGAAGAAGAAACGCGGCGAGAACTAGCGGTGTATACAGGTGTAAATCGAATCGAATGCATGAACTCTAATGCGCGGTATGATACAATACTGTACAGTTGGCTCGGTGCGTTGTCATCATTGTAGACGGCTCATCGCCTTTATCATTCTATCTCCATGTATAACAATACAAAATCATGTAGGGCAGCACGTAAGGTAACATAACGTGGATAGACATTACAGATTATTTCACAGTAAACCTCTATATCTTTCAAATAATTTCCTGTCTTTCGTGATGCCAAGAAAGCGCAACTGCGATTCTTTAAACACTTCGCCAGTAGAAAAAGGAATATTCAAGTTTGTCGATGCCCCACCCGAATCACCATATGCAATTAGTGCATCCCGCATGAAGTCCAGAATGAAACCACATCCGGTCTACAACAATCTCCACCTAAAGTTTACGGACTTTCAGAAACGCACTGGGCGGCAGAAACTGCCGCTGCTGCACACCATGCAAGAGTCTGAAAACTACACAACACTCGATCCCAGAAACACAACTTCATTGCCACGTCTGCTACGTCTTAATCTGGCGCTTACCGAAATCGGAGACGTCCCTCCGCGTATAGACCTTCTAACCAACCGCGGCGACATAAACGACCTGGCCTTTGGGTTCTTCCCAAGGGATTACAACAACTATTTCAAGATAAATCACGTGGCGTATATTTCACGTGGACGCCTTTTCGTGTGGCACGACCAAACGCGTTGCGAAACGAATTTCCCGTCGTTACGGGATCGCAACAAATGGTTCAGTGGTTACAAGTTTGAGCAGGCATGTGCATACTGTTGGCCTGCGAGTTTTGACGAGTGGGGCATTATGCCCAAGCTAGAAAGTCCATACTCCACTTCGAAGGTTCCCGTGTTGAACCTTTTGGAACTCCCACTTGACCATAACGTCAATGCGCTTTTCTTGGCCGAATACGACGTGATCCGTAAAGGAAAAGGCACCAAGACGCCCGCCTGGTACCTAGAGCTCAAATGTATTCAGCCAAATGCGAGCGCTAAGATCACGTGGCAGACCATATCGAAAGAACGGGCATTAAAACTGCTCATCAGAGAGGGCATGTGCATGAGGTTTTTTAAGACGTGCATACAATGTAAACTGGCCGGATGTGAAACTGTTGTTTATGGAATACGGTCTCGGGACATGGCGCTCGTAGGTGTGCGTCAGTTCCAAGTTAGAGAGCTAGAGGTCAGGCTGTACCAACTGGAACCGAAGCTGTACTGTGATTACTATTTGAAAGCACTAAGCAATGTAGCCGAGCTGGTGCGTACACTGTACCAACAGTGTCATGAAAATCAGTTTTATATGATGACGAAGGACGCTGCCTTGGCACCACTAAAGGTCCGCCCCGTGTCTCGTGACCTGGTGCTATATCCTGAGCCCATGCTTACAGAATTGGATGCGATACTAGAGCGCAATGAAAATGAGCGGAGGACAGAGCCGCGCGATTACAATGGCACTAAGACAAAGTTTGGATTCACGTTTGCTCCGGGAACGGTTCCCGAGCAATTAATAAAGGACGAAATAGCTGAAGCTGATCTTGCCGATCTTGCAGAGGAACTAGAAGCCATTCAAATATGAGTTTTCGCAAAGTGTGGTGTCTGGGTGTTGGTCGCGTGATCCTGAATCGCTTTATTTAGGCGATTTGTCTCGGCTTACCTTCTCCTCAGCAAGATATACTACACCACAGGAGAGCCTATATACTGATGTTAGAAGACATCCGGACGGTCCAAGTGTAAGCTTAAGTTTAAAAGATTCGTCAATGATATCTTAAACTCACTTTAAAGATTCTTGTCGTATTTGACCGTCCACTCAACGTATGCCTATCTATGACGTTATGACGGACTTTTCGATACGTCCCTCTACTATATATGTAAACCTTATCCCTTCAGCTTGGTCATATGCTTACGAGATGATTTCACGAGTTTAATCCCCCTTCGTCAAGGATGTCATCGTAATAATAACGCATTGAAGCATAGCTAGCATATCCCATGCAGAGGACAAAGCGAAGTCGAAAATCTCATCGTTCGGCATCGGAGTTTTGAAAGTCAACGGAAATATGGACCGGAAGGTATAAAAAGAACTGCAGATACCTCAACAGGGAAAGTCACAAAACCAAGTTGAACAAGTGCTTAGGATGGGATTTTCCCGGCAAGCTACGGTTTTGAGATGCGAGAATTGCAAAGAACACGAATATTCCGAAACACTGCTTTTCCAGTGGTTTCGTTCTCTTTGAGTCGGTTTCCCTCAACTGTTCCACGCGATCCGGCTCATCCTCGATGCCCTTACTCTACCCCGTGCTTTACGACCTTCTTCCTTACCTTATCTAGCCTCTTCTCTACTCATCTATCCACTCGCTTCTCCACTCGTCTCTCTACCCACCCCTCCACTCATCTCTCTACCCTCACATCCACTCATTCCGCTACTCGCGACCCAACGTCTTCTGGTCATCTCCTACGACATGCCTTTGTCCCACCACGCGATTAACGTTGTATCTCATTAGAAATTCGATCACCTTCCTACTTTACACAACTCTCCTATACACCTCACAAAAGGCGCACAAAACACACACAAATTCACCTCACCTACAGCCCCCATCGGGCCTTCTCGTTCCGCACATACCATTCACCCATACTAGCGCAGGTTTTGATCCTTTCTAGCGTTTTGTTTACGCGCTTTTACCCCAGTTTGCCAGAAACGATTCGCTTTGCATTCACACTCGGCGGGCCAAAGACCCTGAACTTCGGGTAGCCCATACATGGTTCCGTTACAAGATATTAAGGAAGAGGAACCGGAAACGGTAACGACAACGGCGGCAGCTTTAGCATCGCCCACAGCGGCACACTTCCTACCGGTCACCATTAACACTACTAGTACGGCCACATCGCTGTCACCACCTCAGTTGCAAAGTAATGTATTCGTACGACGTGACGGTGTTGAAAAAGAAGAGAACACTGTCGCCTTTGACGACCGCTGTCGCGATGAACCAGATGCAGCATTCGATGTAAACCCCGATCAGCATCTCTCAAATCCAGCACCAGCCACGCCAGTGCCAGCAACAAAGCTCCACGATGCACGCATGTCGGTCCTGTCGCCTGTTTCTCCACAAGCATCCCCACCAGCGTCACCTCCAACGGCAACGTTCTCGGTGTCCCAAGAGTGTCTTTTGCCACCACTGCCGGAAGACAACACAGATTTAGCATCACCCATGGCGGCGCACCACTCGCAGCTGTCGCTCGATTCCGTCCCCCCGGGTGCGCCATCTTCGTCTTCCCGCAGCACAAGTGTACCCAGTGTGACCAGTCCGGCCGTATCGCGCTCACGAGCACCGTCTGTTGTACGCCGCGCCCTTTCCGGCTCTCCCTTGGCGTCCTCGAACTCTGCATCAGTTTTAGCAACAGCTACAACTCCAAACCCTCCCGACGTGCTATCAGATTCCTTTACAACGACGATGGAACCCTTTGACCTCGCAACAGCGTTTGAAATGCGCGGAGATACTGAACCGAGCTCTTCTTTCGACCTTTCTAAGGCCTTGCAGATCACTCCAGATCCAACCCCTTCTTTGATGAACGCCAGTAGCGATAACAGCGTCACGATCATGGGCAGCACCACCAATAACGGCACTTCCGCAAATTCCAATACCGCACCGAGCTCGCCACATCCAACGCCTCCTAAGCTTTCTTTCAAAAAGAAATTGGCAGCAGCCGGAGGTGTGACTACGGGCCTTACAGACAACACCGCTAGCGGGAAATCTGTTCCGGACTTTCCGCTACAGCATCTTCAACGCTACGGCTCAGTCAGGTCCCGCACCGCGATGTCAGATCTGCCTCGAGTCAGTTCTTCTGGCAACGAACTCCATAACCAGGGCCTCGGTATTGAGAGTGTTGATCTTGCGCCTTTGGCTTCTTCTCAACGGACCCACAAAGCACCACTGCGCAAGTTTAGTGTTGGTAGTAGCAGCAGCTCATCGCGATCGTACCAGGAAAATGACGAAATCGATCTCTTCATACCTCCACCAACGCTCAACACCGATGTTCAGTCTTCGGCGAGTTTGCATGACCTGAAGTCCCCACGATCGTCACTCAACCTTTCAGAAGCCTACAGCGTTAAACACAAAAAAGCGCCGCTGATCAAACGAGCTTCTAGCGCAATATGGCGGAAAGCATCATTGAGCAAGACGTCACCAGCTTCGTCCCCAAAAATTGCAGCATCCCCCGTTTTCCCCACTTACAATGATCTACGAAGCACTTCATCATTTGCCACAATGCCTTACGACGCAAACGATATCGGCCGCAATACAGCTCCAAACGGTGATATCGAGCGTACGGTTAGTCATAAGATGGATAATAAAAATTCTTTGATTAACCCGAAAATGTCCCGTGGTGGATCTCGTTGCGTCAGCAGTCCGGAGCATTTACATCAAGTGTCATCTCTCGCGACGCCTCATGTTGAATGTAGTTCTTCTTCGACACCTAACACCCAATCATTCGGTACTAAGTTCAAAAATGGTTTGACAAGAATAATGAGTGGGAATGCGACGGATAAGACGTTTAGAAACATCGAATCGAATACCGATAGATCTCAAGCACTAACAGCGCTTTCTGCTAATTGGAATGATACTTCAGAAATACAAAACATGGTCGGGCTGAATTCTTCTGAAATCACCTGTTCGAACGGTTCGAATTACACGAAAAATATGAACGGTGGATTTTTACCTCCAAAACTGACATCTGCGAGAATAAACCAAATAGCGTCCGACCATTCTCCACCTAATGCCTCAGGCAAGAAGAAGCAAGGAACCAAAGTTAACGCTGCCTCTAGCATGAACAGTGGTACCACTGCTAAGAATGATAGCGTTTTCAGCAAGAAGAGTGACGAATCGTTAGAGCAAACCTCGGACTCCGAAGAATTGACAGTCGACATAAGCGAGCTGACGAAGACCCTTCCGACGATCACCGTCACGGAAAAGCTAGGTGCCAGGAGTATCACACCAATACAAACACAATCTAATTTGATATTAGACCTGATCTACAAAGACGGTGCAGTGAGCAAATCTTTAGCTAAGAACGGCCGCAAAGATTCCGAAACTCCTCTTCGAATCAGTCTTAAAGAGTACATCGATGTTTTGACCAAGCAGCAACGGGTTGAAGATGAGCGGTTTGCTGTCTTGGAGTACAAATTTGCACACAACGGGTGGTGCTCGCCGGACGACCTGTACAACCTCCAACAGAAGCGCATTATTATCAACAGGAAATGGGCAGAGCGCATTTCTTTCTATCAGGGACGGCTGGAAGCCTGAAAAACGTAGCACCGGCACGTACTACCAAAAATTGCATGATATAAGGAATATATATAGAGATAATTTCACAACGGTTTGACATTTGGACTGAGAACCATCAGTTGCATGGCAGGCAAGCCATTCGATCATACTTAATGTTGGATGAAACTGGGGCAATTATTTACTTTACGATATAAACGTCTATAAGCTGCGTAAGAAGTTTCTTGCGGGAGATAAATAACAACATTACCAACACCGCCGTTTGTTAGGCCGTCGCAGTGTCGCCCTCTTCCTTCAGTCGGCGTCTTTTGATACTGTCGAGCATTTCGCGGGACTTGCGTTCGTTCACCTCCTCCAGCTTAATCTTCCAAAACCTATTTTCGTCCAGTAAGTTGTCGATCGTCGAATACAGTTCTGAGATCTGGCTATTGAGCTGCTTGAGTCGTTCTGCCTTTTCACGCTGTTGTTGTTTCTTGCGCACTCTGAACCGCGCCGAGGCCTCTGTGTTCTTGCGTCTTTTCTCGAGTTCCACTTTCTTAAATTCGTTAAGTTCCTGCTCTGTGTATCGACGTTGAGTAGCACGAATATCTGACGTGCCACCACTACCGGTGGGCAGCTGGGAGGCCGCCTGCAAGTCCAGTTTCTTGAGCCCTTCGAGATCGCCCTTGTTGACCGCACATATGATGTCTTTGGCATTGCCACTGCTCACCAGGAGCAGCGACAACAGTCTGGAGCCCAGCTCCGAGTTGCTAGAGATCAGATCATGAAGCTGGCGGGACAAATCTGGGTTTTCGCCGCCCGTAGCGTGACGCCCTTCTCGTTTCCACTGCTTCGGATGCGGCGGTTGTTCCTTTATTTCTTTGTGTTGCAGCAATTGTAGCTGAGAGTCCTTTTGTTGAGCTTGAGATCCCCGTTGCTCGGCACTTTCATCTTCGCTGCTGGCGTCATCGCTACTACTTTGGTTCAGAAACCGAGTGTACAAATCCTGGAATTTTTCTCGGTATTCCTGGCTACTGGGTGTACCTTTATGCGATGGTGATATTCCTCTATCCAATAAAGGCCCCATCTTTTCGTAGTCCATCTTCTTTCCGGTCCCTCCACAAAATTTAGATCTGCTTACCTTTTTCTTCCTCCTCTTCACAAAACTAACTGGCTCACTACCTAAACTATACCTGTGAAAGGTCTTATTCGACCCCACTAGTGACGATCTCTGCTCTACTTGTCGTCGCTAGCAAGCACTACCTACACCAATCTATACCATCTACAATTAGCGCAAGCATGTACCTTGGATGACTAACTGCCTATATACTTTGTTGATGCCTGTCGAATTCCTGTAAACTCTTGTTGTGGCTTACGAATGCTACATATCCAGTAATTTGTGAACCCAACACTGTCTCTGATGGATTAGCCAGCCCCATACGCTTCTAGTTGGGCTTCGAACACATCCAAACGAGAGTCGTGTGGCTCTAATTAGTTACGGATGTGTACATTGTGTGGTGGCAGTGCTTTCATAGCCGTTAGTTGGCAACATCAATGCTTGGAAAGCCACATCTGGATGAAGCGTGATTTCCTGGATAAGTTCTGCGACGTGCGAGTAGAGGAAGGACAAGATGGCGGGAAAGAAGACGCTGGGTGGTTGGGAGTAACTACAGAGGAAATTTGGTGGGAAGAGACACACCCACCAAGACGATACAAGTTCTGAGATTCTAAGTTTACATACGCAGTTTATAAGTACTTGAGAGAGCTGGTGCAACTGGTGCATTCCTTCCAGACAAACTATAAGTGTGGTAAAATATATATATATACATATATATATATATATATATATTCGTTAGATGAAAGACATCGTTTGTAATGATCACAAGCTACTGGTTGTGTAGAAAAGAATCATAAGCCTGTCAATCCGACATTCTTCTTCTGTTGTCTAGCTGGTCTTCCTATTTCTATGCTGTACTTGACTTTCCCATTTGCAACGCCCTTTTTATACGTTATTCTCGATTCATAAGCAGGGCTAATTATCAAATTCAATTTCTGATTTCATGTAGTGTCTCCGCGCCTCACAATAGGCTGTTGTGTACTCATCTTAGGTCGCTAGAAGCTCTTATTCGCCTGTGTTGAGATAGATGCCTTGCGTTCCAAACTTGACGTTTAGTCATAACAAGACATCGAATGCCTATTAAATAGTATCTATGTATTTTTCTGCTCTCAATGTCATAGTCGCTTCTATGGCCAAGTTGGTAAGGCGCCACACTAGTAATGTGGAGATCATCAGTTCAAATCTGGTTGGAAGCATATTTTTTTATCATTTTTATTAAGAATCTGTATACAGGCATGAGAGGAAAGTGCACATTGGCTACGCTAGCTCATCGGTCAACTGAACCTGTATCATATTGAGGTTCCGACTCTTATGACATGCGAAAGTTCGGTATATCCCGAAGACCGCTATGCTTGACGGTTCTTATTATCAGTTTCGTGCTACTACTGCATCGGCATCACTACTACAGCTTCGAGTTTAAGCCACAGATCAAAATCCCACAAGAGTTGGCCCTACAACGCAGAGCTCTTAGCAATTCTCCATTCGCATTATTTTCGGGACAGGACCGGCACCAACTCGCAGAATCAGGACCATTACAAGGGTTCCGTTCGTGGCCCTTACTGGAAAAATGTCGCTGGTTTTTCTACACTACGTATGCACAGGATTCTTCGTGGACCAATAACCAAATTCTGGAACGCTTTGAAGACTCCCGCGCCGACAATTCCCGTTTATCGCATGTTTTCGAGAGATTGCGTATGTTTGATACATGCTTCGTGGAAGGACAATTGACCATGGCACAGGTACTGCCGTCTGGTGAAGAACCGCTCGATTTCCATCACCGCATGTTCCCGTTTTTAGCTTCATTCTCAACGTTAAAGGACATATGGCCCACCATTTTCCATTTGAATACCTGGAAATCCCTCCCAGCTCAAATCAATCCAGCGTGGAACTCCAACACGCGAGTGCCATTCGATATCGATTCTTCCCGCTCGTTCTGGGAAAACTGGGCCGCATTTTCGTCCGGCAAAGGGCTGGTTATGTCACTAGCAGAAAGACACAAAGATCTTTTCTTTCGATTACTCCGAGTGCTGGACCATCTCGACAACAAGTTCCCTATACAACTGGTTCAGCAAAGCGGCGAACTCTCGCCGGAATTTTTGAAGGCCGTAGGCCGCTTCCTGCAAACCACTAACCAACAGGTGTACCTCATTGAATGTGGATCGACTTTGAATCAAGCCTACGCCCCGCATATGACCTACTTCGTCAACAAATGGATCGCAACCATTTTCAACACATTTTCCGAATTCATCCTCTTGGACGCCGATGTTGTACCGTTTGTCGATCTAGAAACCTTTTTCGCGAATCCTCAATATCAAACTACGGGCTCTCTCTTGTACAAAGATCGCGACATATCAGATGAATTCACCTTTGATTACTGCATCGAAATGTTCCGATATTTAGAACCTTCTACAGAAGCCGTGTTGTTCATGGATCACCGTACAAAAATTAATGCATCTGTTGTGAGCCCCTCAACGTCGAAGTTTGCATCCGAGGAGGAGCTGGTGTACAGCAGGTTTTTCTACAACAAAATTCTGCATAATGTCGACAGCGGTCTTGTGGTCTTGCACAAAGTGCAACAGTTGCCCAGCCTATTGATGTCATTCTTTATGAACCTAGATTCCAAAGCCAGCGGGTGTGTCTACGGTGATAAAGAGCTTTTCTGGATTGGCCACTTGTTTAGTGGCAAGGACTTCTCCATTGACGCCAGATTTGGCGCAGTGGTGGGACCAATACAAACCCAAGACAAATCACCAATTGGAGCAGAATACAAAGTATGTGCCACTCAAATGGGCCACGTAAACGCAGAAAAAGAGCTACTATGGGCTAATGGTGGATTGAAGACCTGCAAAATCCCCACTGCTGCAGATCAGGATTTCGAATCGAAACCCAACTACTTCGAAACTCATTACAGCTCTCTACAACAGCTAGAGGACTTGTATGATACTCCTCTAGTCATAAATGGTTATATCATTCCCGAAATAGTGACAAATCCGTGGCTCAAGGTCAATGAATGCTGCGAATACGCCTATTGCGCAACGGCAAAAATTCCCATGGACCAAGGTACCCAAAACATTGAAAACATGGCTGTTTTCAATAAAACTACGACTGGTCGCTATAATGAAATCGCCGCCATCTGGAACCGCGAGATAGAATCATAAACTGCCATTTTTTCGTTCACACACAACTCATCATAATTCGGAAGAAAACCTTGAATCTCACTTAGCATTCTAACGCAGCGAATAAGAGCTACAGTATTATTCTATCCTGGTTCAAATTGTTCCTTTAAAACCTATGTAAGATATCCAGCGTCGTGCTGTTCAGACCATGTAGAAACATTATCACTTTATACTTACGTGTCGGCATTCTTTTTCTGGCATCTCGAAAAACCCCTATTGAAAAAGTAAATCTATCAAGTGTATGGATCAGATATGTACAACACACTTCTTGAAAAGCTCCAAAGAGTTTCCAAGGCTGGCAATCTGAACTTTATGTTCAATCCGTATCAGACACAGGGTCAAGGCTTTTCCCAAGGCCAGGGAAATGCTTTCAGCCAGCAGTCCACAGGGTTTTATCCGGGGAATGGGCAACAGCAGCAGCAGCCCCAGCAGCCTCAGCAGCCCCATCCTCAACTGAACCAACGTCCAACGACAGAGTTTGGCACTATGCAGCAAAATGTTCCTTCTTCCTTCGGATTTCAGCAACAGCAGCAGCCCCAACAGCAACAACAGCAACAACAACAGCAACAACCACCATTGCCCAACTTCTCAAATGCAGGGAATCAATTTTCGAATTCCTCAGGATTTGGGGGCAATCAACAATCTTACGGCTATCCAGCGAGCAGCAACGGCATCCAACCACAGCAAACGGGGTATTCTCAAGCGCTCCAACCACAACAGACTGGCCAGTTCTCCCAACAAGTCCCTCAGACTTCCTTCTTTAACCAGGCTCAAAACCAGTTCCAGCCTCAAGCTACCCAGTTACAGCAGCAGCAGCAGCAGTCTCAAACTGGTAACTTTTTCGAACAGCCCCTCTCAAACCACCAGTATCAGCAACCACCTTTCCCAAATCAAACACTTCAGTCTCAAAACACAGGCTACTATCCTCCTCAACAGGCACAGCAGCAGCTTCAGCCACAGAGTACCGGCTTCCCTAACCAATCTCAGGGAATGGCTGGATCTCAGCCATTACAATTGCAGCAGACCAATCAGTACTCTCAACAATCCCAGCCAGCACAATCCCATCCAACTGGCTTTTACCCACAGCAGGGACAAAATCTACAACAATCTCAGCAATCCCAGCAGAGCGGATTCCAATCATCGCAACAGCAGCCTCTCCAGCCTCAACAGACTGGCTTTTACGCACAACAACCACAGCAGACTGGCTTTCATTTCGGAGAGCCTGTACAACCGTTGAAGCCGACTGCCACAGGTTTTGTCAACTCATTTGCTAATAATGGTATTAATGACAGTCTCAAAATTCCTTTGATGCGACTATCATTTATGACAGCTGCCGATCAGGCGAAATTTGAGACTCTGTTCAGATCTTCAGTGCCTCAAGGCTCAAATACAATTTCTGGTGGAGCTTGCAGAGGCATTTTGATGCGCTCCGGTGTATCTCCCTCGCAATTGGCCAAAATATGGACTCTTTGTGACACAAGTAAAGCCGGTGAGCTTTTGTTTCCTGAGTTTGCTCTAGCCATGCATTTGGTAAATGAGGTGATTCAAGGCGATAGTGTTCCCTTCGATTTGAATACGAAGGTTAGAAACGAAGTAGCCAGCTTTGTGGATGCTATCAACGTTAGCATTGCTGGCGGTAGTGAGAGCAACGTTTCCCAGCCGCCTAGAACTCCATTTGACGATCTTACTTTTGGCGTTCAAAACCTTCAGCCACAACCAACTGGGGCCATGCCTCAAATAAGCTTTGGGACACAGTTGCAGCCTCAAAACACGCAGGGACCATTGAATCCCCAATTGACTGGGTACCTACCTCCCACTTCTTTCAACCAGATGCAGCCTCAGCAAACAGGCGGTCAGCTACAACCTCAATTAACTAACCAATTTCAGCAACCGGCAGTTAACGGACCTTTGCAATCTCAGCTGACTGGTGGCTTTTTACAATCACAAGCAACTGGAATGATGCCTCCAACTTCATTCAACCAACCTCTCCAATCTCAGTTGACGGGAGCTGCAAACTTGCAACCCCAAAACACGGGGTCATTCGCTGGACTGTCTTCCGTTTTGACTGGCCAGCCCACTGGTCAACAAGGTGGCCAATTTCTGCCAAGCGCACCTTTTTCGAACTCTTCTTTCCTCCAGTCTCAAACCACAGGATATTTGCCTCCCTCGAACTTCAATCCCACGGCCCCTCTCAGTGCCCAAAAGACGGGATATGGACATAACGAACTCTACAGCCAGACCAATATGGCCAACAAATTCATGCAAGCTGATACTGACTCGCTAACACGCGAAGAGATGTCATTGTTTTATAAGATGTTCGACACCTACGATACTTCAAATAAGGGAATCTTGGGTTCAGACATCGCTGTTGAGATTTTCAGGAAGTCTGGTCTGAATCGAAGTGACTTGGAGCAGATTTGGAATCTTTGTGATACAAACAATAGCGGGCAATTGAATAAGCAAGAGTTTGCCTTGGGGATGCATTTAGTATACAAGAAACTGAAAGGAGGCGAGTTGCCCAATCGACTCCCACCTAGCTTGATCCCCTCAAGTACAAGGATTCTGAATTCAGTCATCAGTCAAATGAAGAACGATACCAATTCGACCAAAAAGGAACCTACGAAGATAGACGGGTTCTCTTTCAAGCACGACGACGATGAGCTTTTACCAAGCTCAAGGAACCGCCGTAAAACTCAGCCAACCCAAATCAATTCACCGCAAGCAAATAGCGCTTCGACCTTTCAGGCCACTCCAAGGGAACCTCTTGATACCTCTCGGTCTTCGCAAGTTGCAGATAAGAACGATGAGTTGGCTATCGAAGATTTGAGTAGGAAGATTCTCGCTCTGCCATTGCCCAACTCAACTTCGGATTATGATGCGAAAGGCTTACCACAGGGTACAAAAGAAAAATTTGATTTACTCACGAACAAAGTGCCACGGCTTCTTGAAGAAATTTCAGAGGTCAATAATCAAATTACGATGGCCAAGATCGATCTATACAGGCAGAGGAATCCTTCTTCTTTGGTTGGCACAGGGCAAAATGGTGAAGTTACAGATGATGACAGGAGAAAAGCCAGGAGTAAAGCTCTGCTGGCCTCGAGGATGGCTGCTTTAACTGGAAAGCCGTCCACTGGTACTGACGTTGATCAACAGGAGCAGAGATATAACGAGGAAGTTGCTAACATTCAATCCCAGAATAGAACCAATAAGTCAATTATAGAAGACATTCAAGCATCGATCTTCGAAATCGCAGCAGCTGTAAATTATGCGATCGAAGGAAAAGCGCCAGTCAGTGGTCGGGAATACGAAAAATGGGAGCTAGGAGTTGGTGTCGATCCTCGAGTGCGCTTTTTACTCTCAAAATTAAACTCTAAGGTGTCCCCACAAACTATTGGCTACCGCGGGGCCAAGAATACGGGGAGTGGCTCCTCTTCGCCAGCTCCAGCAGCAGCATCACAATCAACGCCAAGCGATAGATCCGCGTATTTAAAAGAGCAGGCACAGAGAAAAATGAGAGAGCGTCTTGCAAATCTCGGTCTGGGAAAGAAAAACGTGGCTGTACAGCCAGATAGATCAGGAAAAGACGAGGATGTCAACAGACTCCCTGATCGATTGGATGCCCTCGAATCGAAGCCTAGTAGTACCAGCAGGGAGTCAAATGCGCCCGCAGTAATTTCTTCCAACCCGGTACCTGCGGCTTCTTCGTATCCTACAGAAGGTTTCCAAAGCGAGGTCGTGCAGAATGGTGGTGGCACCCACCTAGCGGCTCACGAGTCTGCCAATCCCGGTCAAAATCTTGATGCTGTTAAGGAAGGTGGGCATTCGTCCGAACAAAGAGATAAAGACCCGAGCGTAAACGTTGCTCCAGCTCCTAAGATAGCAGCTACACCTCAACCTACGACTAATAGTGTGAAACACAATCCATTTGGCGTTCCTCGTGCAGGTTCCGTTGCGTCGACGCCAACGGGTGGAAGAAATCCGTTCTTTAAATCATCACAATCGAGCTCATCTTCATTTGATGCTAAGGCTGCTGAAGCTCAACGGAGAATCCAACGGGGACTAGACGATGACGACGACGATTGGTCTGATGACGACAAAAAGGTGGAGGAGACCACTGCTCGAGGAACTCCAGCTTCCGTGGCATCAGAAGCGGCTCCAGTTGCGCCAGCTACGGCTCCAGTTGCACCAACCCCCGAAGCACCAGCTCCAGTGGCTCCAGCGCCAGTGGCTCCAGCTCCAGTGGCTCCAGCGCCAGTGGCTCCAGCTCCAGTGGCTCCAGCTCCAGTGGCTCCAGCTCCAGTGGCTCCAGCTCCAGTTGCAGCTACCCCAAATGGTCCTGCTCCACCAAACGGTGCACCAGTGCCAATTGCTCCTCCATTACCGCAAATTGGAACTAACCCCGGAAACCCAGTGCAGGATGCTGCTGTTGTACCAGCCAATTTAGCGGTCAAGACGGAAGATGATCAAGGTGACCGTTCCGACGACGATCTTTCGATTCCTGAATCTGTTGATTCGTTCACCGAGGCCCAACCTCCACAAGGAGGAAGTGTTCCTTCCTTCGGTATTCCTCCCCCACCTCCACTTCCCTGATTTTAACGATCCGTATGCAAAAGCGATTTTCCTTCTCTATATGCAATCATATATAATCTGCCATAGGGTCTTTAAAGTCATCATCAGCATTTAAATCATGGGCTGGGTGTGGTTGTTGCCCTTTGAGCTTGAATTCTACCGTCAATGGCTTGCTTGCCGGAACTTTAGAATTTCCCTCTTCAATCAGATCTTTTCGCAGCTCAGCTTTGACAGCATCGACATATTCTTGGTCCACTTTCCGAGGTGTGTAAAAAGTGTGGTCTACACGAAGTACTCGACCACCAACGTTGACCCCATTGAGATTATCGACTGCAAGAATGCTAGACCGTTGATCTTCGTATTTCAGGTAGCCAAAACCTTTTGATTCGCCGGTCTCGTTATCTCTCACAACTTTGACATCCACCGGAACACCAAACTGCGAAAAGATCGTCAAAACATCGCCCTCCGTGAGTTCTTTATTCAATCCTCCAATAAATATATATGCCTGGTCCCTATAGTCGTGATGCCATGAAGCTGACGGTGCAAGTATACCACTTTCTAGCTCCTGTAAACTTAATCTTTGAATCGATTTGATCTGATTCATTATGCCACAGCGTTTTTCTATCAAAGATGTTGTTCCCTCTCCTGCAACGCTGTCTATACTTTTGGTCAAGAAGGAGTCGATTGATGATGGTGATGCGACGAGATCGGTGCCGGTGGGAAATTGGATCAATTTGATTTAAATCTGCTCTTTTCAAGGGTGTTGTACCTTAAGATCATATAGAACTTATCTGAAAGTTGATCAAACTATATCCAATGTCTTCTTACGAATCTAAACTATCTAAGTTTTCAGCTTGCGATGTTTCTGACGGCCTTTTGAACTTGTACAATGATGCATCCGGTGGCTTTCTTCCCAACTTGCATAAATGGTCCGGCCCTGAAAACGGTGTTGTCCTAGGTCGAGCGTATACTGTTCTGTTCGCACCTGTAGACGACCCAAGACCTGAAATTAACTACATCGATGCGGTAGAAGCAGGGAGCGTGATCGTTATCGCCCTTACTATTCCTCTTCAATTGGAAACTGCACCGTACAGTAGAGTATCGCAGGCAATGTACGGCGGTTTAATGTCCCGAAGAGCTCAATACCTGAAATCTAAGGGCACTGTAGTTTTTGGTCGCATCAGAGACGTGGACGAGCAGAGGGAACTTAATTATCCTGTTTACAGCTATGGACTGGGGACCTGTGCGTCCAGACTCGCCGTCAAACCGGTCGAGGTTCAAGTTCCATTGCAGGTCTTAGTGTGCGAATCTAAAATACAGAATATACATCCGGGTGATTACATCTTGGGTGACAACAATGGGGTCGTTCGCATTCCTACGACTAGCGTTGACATGAGCAAACTCATATGTTACATTCAGAAATCAATCGAGGCCGACAAGCTTGTTGTTCAAGATGTTGCAGCAGGGAAACAGCTGAAAAGCTCTCAGAGGGAACGTAGAGCGGTGCTCAAGCAGCTTTGCAAGGACTAGATTTGCCCCAAAAAAGGTTGCAACTTGAACACCAAAATATTTCTAGCGATGCAAATTAGTTTATGGTTCTGTTCCGTTTATCTGGGTTAAAATACTAACGACTTCACTCCATTGGCTCACTTATGCCTTGATTTCTTTTTAGTGGCGTCAGCCACGAGTTCCTCGAATATTTGTGCTTCTTCTTGTTCCACTTTAGAACGTAGAGCTTTCTTGAAGACCTTGCCCAATATCACTAGTGCTTCTGCTCTTCTTATCAAGGTTCTCTTGTCGGTTTGGTTATCTTCTAGAACTTTGTCGCAGACGGATCTCAGTGTAGACATAATTTCGAATTTGGAGCCATGCCACGCTGCTGAAAGGACTTTCCCCATCAGCAGCTGCTCTAGTTGAGCTAGTTCCTCTTGTGTCGGCTTAGCTATTTCCTGGCCTTTGTCATCTCGTAGAATTTCATTTGATTCGGCAACCGCCTTCAGTTTCTCAAGCTCCTGCATCGTATTTTGCGCGTCTAAGGCAGCAGACACGGTTTTAAGGGTATCCATAACAACGCCGCTTTTTGCCTTGATCGACTGGAACACACCTCCAAATCCCCATACGTGTTGCGATTTCAGAAAGATCTGGCCTTTGTCGCAATAAACATAGCCTATAGTGTGCAAAATGTCAAGGCCAAACGATTCCATTTTTAGCATATTCGCTTCTTCCTCGAATTTCTTTGCAAAGGACTCCTTGCAAGCTGCATTATAGTCACTTTCCGTCAAAATCGAAAGCCGGTCACTTAGCAGCTTGCTAAGTTCTTCTATACTCCGTTCCTTTTCGATTTTCTGTTCTTCTTCGAATGCTTCAAGTTTCGTCTTCTTCTTAGGTTTCTCGGGAGCGCTTTCGGTAGCATTTTCTTGAGCTTTCTCGGAAGATTCGGATATGTGCAGTTTCTTTAGAGTTTCAGCCGCACGGTTTGAGTCGTCTAGATCGGCCTTTTCCTCTTCAGATTTTGCTTTCTCATTTGCCTCATCCTGTTCGTCCTCGGCGCTAAGCTCTCCGGTCTTCTGTAGATTTTTCAGAAGAGTCAGCTCTCCGATATAAGAGGAAAAGGCATCACCACCAAAAATCATCGAAAACTGCTCAGCAGCATCTTCAAATCCTTCCTTTGGGATCGCTTCTTCTTTTCCAAACTTATCATACTTTGCACGCAGTTCGTTCTTACTCAAAACTTGGTACGCCTGCGATATAGCCTGGAATCGCTCTGTAGCGCTCGGGTCATTAGGATTTTTATCAGGGTGCTCTTGAATAGACTTTTTCCGATAAGCCTTTTTTATTTCTATAGCTTTGGCATCAGGAGCGACGCCCAACAAGTCGTAATATGCGGTATCAACCACCATACTGGCGAGTTTTGTGGTCCTTCAGCAGGCGGTATGCAACGAGATGTCTTGATCTAGAAGAATAGACATCATAATGAAGTGACTAGTTCGTGAATGGTGACTGATATGTAGCGCTACCGAAAGAAACGGTATCATGAATATGTAACGGTTGATCCTGGGTCCTCAGCACCGGTTGAGTTGCTCCAATCAAGACTTGCCATGTTTTTAAATCTTGTTTGAAATCTCAGCAGTTCTTTTTTTCGCCCTTGCAGTAAACTTCCAACTTTGAACGAACGTACAAATCAGACCACAAATCAGACCTTGCTTCCGCTCAGCTATTTGGAGGTGAGCATCACTTTGCAGAAACATGGAGTTTGTTCTTTATTCTAGCTTGAATCACATCAAAAATGTGCAACATGATCAGTAAATTCATAGGAATCAGGTTTCCTTGAAAGATGTATTTCTCAACAGTCCGAAACGATGTAGAGAATCCTCGTCACGTAGTTGATGCGCAACTTGCGGAGTACTGGGTGAAAACACTCGTTAAAACTACTTGGAACCTCTCATCGCAAACTTCTATGGAAGCAACTAAATTCGAACGCGCGGAAATTGCCCATACACCCATTTTTCTTCTTCATCTTTTAACTCCGTGCCACTTCATGCGGATTTTGATGAACTTCAATCGTCTCCACTCACCCCATTCGAAGTTTTGGACAAAGAGGAAGCTGGCCACCCTCAACTTTCACCTCAAGTATCTCAACCATTTCTGTGATCATTCAGTAGACATCGATTCTCGCTTATGGTGTTACTCTAGCAGGTCATTGAGGTTTTCTCCGATCCTGGTTTCGCTTTTTCTCTGCTCAATGTTGCGGTTTAGTGTTTGAGTATCCTCTCCGCCGCTAATGGAAGATCTTTGCTCATCATCCTCGAGCAAATCATTGACTATATCATAAGTTGCATCGACGTCATCACCTTTTGAGCTCAGGGAGCCGTCCTCTATGTTTGGTTTATCGTCGCTACTTTCCGCATCTATTTTAGCGACTGCTGAAATTTCATCCGGTATACAGACTTTTTGACCTATAACCGCCGCCTTCAAGCCCGAGGCTGGTGTATCTGGCACTTCTCCGTCTTCCGGCCCTCCTTCACGAGTGTTCTCGGCGATTGGAACCTGAATGGGCTCTGTAACCTTAGCTTGAAAGCTCAAGGACCAAGCTTTGACCACTTGGATCTCATAGGGGCTTCCTTTACTTTCGACTTTTTCCACCCCCGCTAGGTGTGTTGGAAGCTTTCGACCTCTCGGGCCTTTTGCTCTTCGTTGTGCGGTTGGTTCCACTCTTTTTTCTGTACTACTTGAACTACTGGTAACAGGCGCTTTGCTAATCTCATTTTCTTTCTGTGGTGCAACGGATTGTGGAATGGGAACGAGCCCACCGCCCATGTTTGGAAGGCCAAAAATTCCATTCAGATTAGATGCAACTTTCGCTCTCCGATCATGCAAAGGCTGCCCATTCCCTTCACCACCTCTCGATTTCGTTTGATCCTGTAACTGTTGCTGCTTGAGCATTTCCTGGAAAGCCGCGATCTTTGAAGATGGCTTCTTTGGCGGAGCTCTCTTAGCAGGTCTCTCTGGTATTTTCGGAGTTAAGATTGGCTGCTCTTTTGGCGGTGAAGAAGAAACGATGTCACTTGAACCTATTGTGGGTTGAGCTGCCACAGAAAGAGGTTCTTCTCCGTTGAGCACCTCGGGGCTTAAATCGGGAGTTTTTGAAATCTCTTTTAGGTGCTCTTTACCGCTGATTACTGCCTCATCCTCTATTAGAGTTGTCGTTTCAGTCTTTCCAAGGTGGAAAGGTATAGGCTCTTTTGAGACGTTTCGGTCCGTCTTCTCAATTGGAGCGCCAACTTTAGCGGAAGTGTCCTTCATAGCTTCTTCGCCAGGGCTTGAGGCTACATTATTTTTAGGGCTCTTTGGATTTTCACTTCGCTGAGTGTCTGCCTCCACATTCACGGAATTTGAGGAAATTGTGGGAGTGGTAACATTGGTCCATACCTTCCCTTCAAATTCTGGAGTGAAATGATTATCGGCTGGCTTTGATTCGCCAATTGATGTTGAAACTTCATCAACAGCTGGAATCGTCTCGTTATCTACTTCAAGCCCACTTGAGTTAGTTTTGCTCAGCTCTATTTGAGAGGGGAGCGGAGTTTTCTCACTTTTTGATCCGATAGTTTCATTCGACTCATTGATGGTATCATCGGGTTGATCTTCATTCCTTGGAAAGTCTTGAGAAACCTTCCTGGACATCTCTTCGATGACCGCATTTTGTCCTGTCTCGCTTGGAGGCTGCACATCCTCTTTTTCGCCGTTATCGTCTAGTTTCACATCAAACTCCTCAGTGTGTCGTCTGATTGGTCTTGTAGAAGGAATTTTGGGGGCTAATTCGTTCAAAAACCCTGTAGTGCGATTTCTCAAGGGTCGACTAGTGGGTATGACAGGCAACTTATTCTCTTGTAAGCCTTCTGAACGCTATCGACGGTTCGTTAGTATCGATTGACGCGATAACCGGGATGTGACTGCAGTTCTTCGAGATGCTTGTCAATCTCACAAAATAACATAACATACTTTTGTGGGTCTCGAAGGAACCACTGGAACCGTAGAATCTTCCGTTTTTCCGTCTGAGCTCATTGGATTGCGAAAGGTTGCCAAAGGTTTGTTGAAAGAGGCTCAACCCCTACCGGATCTGTTTTGATTTATGTAAGGGCACATTAGCATCTCAATTATATCGACAGGTGTCAGAATACATTCCTACACGTGAACAGTGATCGAAGACAACGCACCTTTTTGTAGTACACAGGATAGCTAGCAGCAGTGGATCACGTCCCGAAACCCATCCATTGATTCCTTTATCACAGTTTTTATGTGACATTTATCAGACTTCGCCGTCGTCCAAACATCGACGACAGTGATAGAACATTCTAAGAAAGCGTGAGACATTGGTTCTGTACACAAGGTCGTAATACTTAAGCGAGGTACGGAGGGGTCTTTTGAAATTTGCTGACAAAATGGCTGACTGAAAAGCGTTGTTTCCTAGTCATATTCTCTAGGCCGCATAGTTGAGACGGAAAATGTCGTTGAAGACGTAGTAAGAGCTGCCCTCTGGCATCAAGTGGAATACCTGCGAGAATCTCTGTGCGTTTTGCTCCTCGTCAATCAGAAGATCACCTGTAATCATCACCAACACGTCCCCGTTTGGCGACGCAGGCTGGGCGTCCAAAGTGCTAATTCTGTGGCCCACTTTTTGGAATGGAAGCGATACCAATTTCTCCACAATATCTTTGGCACCTTGTAGCTGTGTGGTCTCGAAGGTCAACATCGACTGCTCACGGTATAGATTTCCCAATTGCGTTCTGTCCGTGTCAAATTGATTGTAATAAAACTCAGTAAACTGTTGTGCTAGGGTGTTGAAATCGACAGACATTGTTGTAGTGAAGGCGGTAGTTGCGGGTATTTATAAGAGCAGGATCAGTAGTAGATGAATCCAAAAAGGCAAGAGTCAGGTTGTTGATCCGTTTTGAAATAAGGATTATCGATATTTCGATATTTCAAAAATTTTCGAGCTTCCGGGTAGCACTAATATATATAGTTCAAAAGTTCGTCTAGCATAGTACCTAAGATCAATTTCAAATATCGAATAGCGAAAAATGGTCTAAAACCGTTCGAAGGGTTGGCAAGTTTAGCAAACATTTAAGATCGAGATTTGAGGGGTTGTGGAGCTCAAAAAGCATATTTAAGACGCTCAATTGTGTTTTTATCGACTTAACTTATTATGGTAGGAAAAAGCTCGCCGTTCAAGAGCTTTACACACCATCGTGGGAACTCCGCTGACGGGACACAACATCGCAAGACTCCATCGATTGGACAGCAAAATCCACCTGTTGCGGGCCATACGAGAAATGCATCACGTTCATCCAATACGTCTGTGAGCTCCAACTTTTTGGCGGAACAATACGAGCGTGACAGAAAAGCTATTTTGAGCAGCTGTTTTACAGAGGACACAACAGCGGGTTCTGGAAACGGCCCAAGGCTTTCCAAGACATATGTGACGCATGTGCGGATCATAGAAGACACACGTTACCCCAGCTCTAGACCACCAGCTTCGTCCCCGCTAACCAACAAGAAAAAAAGGGTGCTCATCGTGAGCGCCTTGACAAATGGGGCTGGAATGCAGATTCATAAAGCGCGTGAAAATAGCAATGGATCGTTTCAGATCGGCAGAACGTGGTCCCTGAAGGAGCTGTTGTGTGTTGAGCGTGACTTAGAACAATCGGAGGGGTTTTTGCTCACCATGGGTAAGCGATACTATTGGGAAACCAATACTGCCAAAGAGCGCACGGTTTTCATTAAAACCCTAATCAAAATATATATGGAAGACTCTGGTGGACGCGTGCCACAATTACTTCACTGGGACCTAGCGCTGTTCTATTTGGACAAAAGCAGCTACCAAAGAGCTTTGATTTCCTCGGCTCAACGTAAGGACCCGCCGAGCTCGGCCTCCGTTACTTCAAGACCACCGACAGCTGGCTCCGGGCAGTCCTCGAGTGCGAGCGCTCTTGATGCACCACCCCATGTCTCTCCTGCCCCGGTAAAGCTTCCAGCACTCGCACAACAACCAAAACAACCGCGGGGTCCGTCAAATGCAATGTCCACACCAATAGCGGCTCCAAAACCTGAGAACCTCCGACAAGAAGTCCCGAAGCCTAGTGCGGCTTCTAAGTCTCAAGTTCGTGGACCTCCTACACAACAAATTGTCAGTCTTTCTCGTACGCCATCCTCTCAACTAAACAGGTCGACACCGTCTTTGAAAAGCCAGAACGAGGCTACCAGCAAACAACCAGGCGTCTCAACCAAAGACGAAAATTCGCAACAGAACCTGAGCTACGTCGAGCCGTTGAATTTGCCATCATCTCAGGCAACACCTACTGCTAATGAAGATCTGAACAGCAAATCCACAGTCTACCATTATGCAGAAGTGAGACGTTCTCAGACTCCTGAATCGAGCAGTTTTTTATCGGAACTCAACTCTGTTCTCAGAGAGCCGTCTAATCCGCCTGATATCAAACCTCATGCTTTGAGCGAAAAACAAGACATCCACTCTACACATGGGAAACCTGCCATCGAGAAGAATGAGATGATCGAATTTGATGACTCAAAAAGATATGCTTCATCGACCGAAGGACCTTCACTCGATGTCGACGAGAATGCTAACGAGCTTTCTTTTGAAAAAGGCGATGAAGTTCGCTATAGCCAGATTTGGACCGAAGAAGAGGATAACTTTAACACAGAACCAGATACACATGAAGTTGGTGACGACAAAAGCGATGACGAACGTCATGCATATCATGAAGTTTCCGTGATTCGGGAAGAGCCTGTTGAATCCGCGGTCGGCGGCGCAAAAAAAGAAGCTTCATCTACAGCTCTTAATGCTCTTGGCGGAATAGAAAATGAGTTGTTGATGGAAACACTTGAAGGTGTCAATTGGTCTGTCGAAGACGACTCTGCCGAACTTCTCTCTAAACTTGCCAACAAACTTGCGAATACCGAGTATCTCCTGAACAAAGAGCTCGTGGCTTTGCCAACCACCAGTTCGGCATTTCCCACTTTCCGGCAGAAGGTCCTCGCGGAATGCGAAAAAGTGGATCCCACCTTGTCATTTTTTGCAATGGAGCTATCAACAGTGTCAAGAGACATCGAATACGTGGAGAATCAAGAAAATGGACTACAAGTTGAGAGTGCCAATAAGAAGATGCTATGGAAGGAGCTCTCAGACGTCTTGAGCTCAGTCTCTGTGGACGAGGTCACGCTGAACAATATTTTAGCGCTTCCTCTAAGTGAAAGAAACTTACAAATGATCGAAAACCTGCTGCAGCCACTTTATACAGCCTTGAAAGCCATTCGTGGCGATGCTGAGGAGAGAGATAGAAACCTGGGCGTTATGAGAGCTTTGATCGAGAGGAGACAAGCTTATGAGATTGTGACAGAACGCTTCATCAAGCGCGTAGCCGACGAAATCCACAATAAATTTGTTAATCTGCAACATGAAAAGGTTGCAATCGACCAGCTCTCAAATGTGCTTTCTAGATTTTTGATGTTTTCCTCAGTAATTCTCTTCACTAAAGACATTGCGTCTGAGGTTTATACAAAAATGATTGATGATGCAGCACACGAAACCCAAATTCTCCTAGACAAAAAATCAGCTCCTCTCCTGAAAAGTCTGGGGGCACGCCTAAAAATGGAAGGCAACAAGGATGCCGTGTCGAGTCTGTCTGATCAGAAAGAGCTACTTAACCGGTGGAAAACCGATCATGCAATGAAACAATTCAGACCAGTGAAGCCAAAAAATGCGGAAACTTTACATGAGTTGATCAGCGCTCTTCAGACAATGGAATCGCTAGCGTTCACCTACCAGAATTTTTTCGGAGCCTTCTTTCATTTAAATGATGGTCTCGTCTTTGAGGAATACGTGGCTACGTACCCTGAGCTAAGCTCTCGACTTCTACCAATGGGGGACATCCAGCCAATTGAATCAGACCGTGAATCTGCACAATTGAAGACTCAATTGATGACAAGAATTTTTCAGTCCATTTACAATGATTTCTTTGGTGAGATTCTGAACTTGTTAAAAAAACGAGCCTCATTAATTCCGCTTGTTCTGCTTTATCTCGAAGGCTCTATCAAACGCTACAGTGAATCAAATCAAGAATTCCTTGTGACCACATTTCAAAAATTCTTCACGAGGTTTGCCGTGGAGTGGCAAGGATATATTGAAGATCAGAGTACGGCAATTGAAAGGGTTTCCATCGATTTTAATTCCAAAGGCGTAACGCCTTTTGCCGTAGGACTGCCCGCTTTTGTCGCGCAAATTGAGGACGAAGTATTTTTCACGAGTGAGGAGTTGCGGATTAACGACTACGAGTATCCGAGATGCCGTGGAATTCTTGACAAGTCTTTCAACGACTTGGGTCAAGCTTTGCTGACGCTTCTTCAGAAAGGTTCGCACATTGCCTCATCAGATAACATGATACCACCTACGACTGCACTGAATGAAACCTCCAAAACGGTCTGGTTGCTTAGAAACTGCAACTGGATGATGGAAGTTTTTCCGAGCTCTGGTAACGAGTCTCTTTTCACTGATTGTCTACAGGCCACTAGACGCATTTTCAACGTTGAAAGGGACAGGTACGCAGAATCCTTGTTACGCAACTCAATGAACCATTTATACAGTTTTGTTGACGGCGCTTACAATCTGATGGAGATGTCGAAAAACCGCGTTGTTACATCTTCACAATGGACCGTCTACAGTCAACAGAATCTGAACAAGATTCTTGAGAGGTATTCCTCCGCGGAAATTACGGCGGTCATCAGCAGACTTTACGAAACGATACAGCAAGACATTCCCAGCAAAGATCAGAACGAGGTAAATGCCGTTCTTTTGGATAGATTGTGGTCATGTACCCAAGGCCAGACAGTTTCGCTCTATTTGAAACTATACACTCTGATTGAGAAGCATTACAAAGGTTGCAGCCCTAAATTTACAAAGAACGACATAATATCTGCCTTCAACTACCATAAGAGCGCAGTTTGATCTCAAAAAGAGTCGAAAGCGATGAGCAGACGCCAAAATCACGTTAGATCCTTCGATACGAAGTGTTTTTAAGTTCATCATAACAAACGCGTCAAATATACAAGTCTTTGGCTATACAAAGATGAGCTTTACTGCAAGAGTGTCAAACAACGAATGAGGTATGGCCAGCGACAATTCCAGCGATGATGAACTAGAATCCTTTCTGGAAAATAATGTTAATAGAAATGTCGAGCACATTGTAACAAGAAAGAGTATACCTCAGCAGAGAGACCTCTTCGGCAAGGTCCTTCCGAACCAACAACGGTACTATGAAGAAGTACAGACAAATGTTACGTATGGGCCCACGCATCATGAGCTCAACATGGACTCTCTAGGAACGTACATCTACCCAACAAACTACGAGGTACGAGAATATCAATTCGAGATCGTGAAGAAGGCTCTCTACGAAAATCTGATTTGTGCCATCCCTACAGGTACAGGTAAAACGTTCATAGCCAGTACGGTGATGTTGAACTACTACCGGTGGACAAAAAAAGCTAAAATCATATTTACGGCGCCCACAAGGCCCCTGGTAGCCCAGCAGATCAAGGCCTGCTTGGGTGTCACTGGAATTCCTCACAACGACACCGCCATTTTGCTGGACAAGACGCGGAAGAACAGAGTAGAGATCTGGGCCTCGAAAAGGGTTTTTTTCACCACACCGCAAGTTGTGGAAAACGATCTCAAAAGAGGCGTGTTGGACCCCAAAGAGGTGGTGTGTTTGGTGATTGACGAGGCGCACAGAGCACGAGGCGCATATTCCTACGTTGAGATCACAAAATTCATGGATCGGTTCAATACATCCTACCGTCTCTTGGCTTTGACCGCAACACCGGCAGCAGATCTAGAAGGTGTACAAGAAATTGTTCAGAATCTGAATATTTCCAGAATCGAGCAGCGAACGGAAGATGATGCGGATGTTTCTCGTTATATGAAAAGGAGGTACAAGGAAGAGATAGACGTTGGCCTGATTCCTGAAATTGAGGATATTATAGAACAGCTTGGTCTGGCTGTTACACCGGTTCTCAAAGAGGCCGTGGAGCTGGGACTTTATGATGACTGCCATCCTTCACAGATAAATGCATTTGTCGCGTTGCAGAAAAGTCAGAAGCTCGTGGCCAACCCTTCCATACCAGAGGGAGTCAAATGGAGGAATTTCTTTATTTTACAGCTTCTGGCTCATGTTGGGCATATGCTGAAAAGACTAAAGATTTATGGGATACAGTCTTTTTACAGATATTTCGAAAACAAACACAAGGAGTTTACAACCAAGTATGGATTGGGGAAATCAACTAATAAAACTGCCGCATCTTTTTACTACAACCCGATTTTGAAGACTGTGATGAAAACTTGCGAGCATCTTTTGGCGAAGCAAGACTTTCTAGGGCATGATAAATTGAGACTTCTTCGACAGGAGCTTCAGGAATTCATACAGGATTGCCAACCAAGTTCAAGGGTCATTGTCTTTACCGAACTGCGAGAGTCTGCGCTGGAGATTGTGAAGATCATCGATTCTATGCATGTTGATGAGCTTCGGCCTCATATATTTATTGGTCAAGCTCGGGGGAAAGAGGGATTCGATGACGAAGAATATACGAGAAAGAACAAGCCGAAAGGCAGGAAAAAGTCGGATCGTGCTCAGCGCTTGGAAGAGGAACAAACCATAGCGGAAGAAAAAAGGAAAGAGAAGGAACAAAAACGTTTGCAAAGATTGGCAAGCCGTACTGGAACTTCGGAAGAAGCTCAGATAACAGGTATGAATCAGAAGCAGCAAAAAGACGTTCTAAAAAAATTCAAATCTGGTCTTTACAACGTTTTGGTGTGTACATCTATTGGCGAAGAAGGTCTAGACATCGGAGAAGTGGATCTGATCATATGTTATGACGCAACTGGCAGTCCGATAAAGAATATCCAAAGAATGGGCAGAACTGGGAGAAAGAGAGACGGTAAAATAGTCCTCCTGCTAAGCGGTTCAGAAAACAAAAAATTTGCCCAGGCGATGGAGGACTACGCAGAGCTACAGCGAATAGTGAGTAGAAACTCCCTGGACTATAGGTCATCTGACAGAATTTTGCCAGTGGGCATAGAGCCTGTCTGTGAAAAGAAATTCATATCCATAGGAGCGGAAGAGGATGAGTTGAACAATATTGACGATTCAGACGAGGTGATCAAGTTCGCGACTCAGTCGATGATGGGAAAACTGGACACTGGGAAAATAAAGGGAGCGAAAAAAACGAAGAAGCCTAGAGAGAAAGCAAAAAGATTTTTCATGCCAGATAACGTTGAGACAGGCATTGTGCCCGCTACGAATTTAGTGAACACGTTCGTTCGTGATGAACATGGCGAGAAAGTCAAGGTTGAAAGACTAAAGAATCAAGCTGACCTAAGATACCAAGTTCTAGATGACATCGCTCTCGAGTCGCCGATTTCATCACCAGTCAAGCCCGAACCTGAACCTGCTAGTCAACTCGAATCACTCAAAATGACAACAGTGCTTGCGCGCCACAAGGCTGCCTTAAGAAATGCAGGAACTGCAGATACAGAAGATACCGCCCTTTTCTCTGACTATCCCATATCCTCCTCAAAACGGCCAGCAAGTTCTGCAACCCCAGTCAATTCCTCCGATGAAGCGATTCCGCCGTTTAAAAGCGCCAAACGTGGTGGGAATACATGGACATTTCCCAATCCGCATCAACAGGCTATTCCTTTGACGGCGAAAAGCCAAGAGAGCAGTACAGGAGGGTACGAAGACATTTACAGAAGCTCATTCGGAGTATCGGATGGACTTTTAAGTTCACAAGAGCGTCAATATTTCGAGGAAAACTACTCTGCGCTTTGCGGTGTTTGCATAGAGACAGTACCAGATTTTGTTGTCAAGGTGAAGACAGGAGATCTGCCGCATTCAGCGAAATCGCGACGGCTGATAAAAGCTTTTAAGAATATGGAGGCCAACACAAGAGAGGGCATAATGGCAATGAGCAAACATAAATCATTAGCCAACGGACTGGAGGTGTCAGGATGCAATAACGATTCTTTGCTTCCTACTTTGCACAATGTCACTGTTGAGGACCGCGATGTCAGATATTTCGCCGGTAGGACGTCATTCTCAAACGCAACGTTGCCAGTTTCAAACGTCCCCCATCTCACCAACCTAAATCAGCTTTCGGACTTGACAGACTCGGATCTTTCAGAAAGTTTCAACTGAGCTAAGGAACTATTAATGATAAATACAAGACATAAACTTCATCTGTCATAGCACCAAATCTGCCGCCAGTGACAGACACAATATACCATGCGTAATTACCAGTCTTCAAAGTCGAATCTTCCAGTCTGGGATCGCCGTAACGGGAAATTACCAAATTTCCGAATAAAAAAATTAGTGTATATAAGAGGGCAATTCCTGCGAGCACCGAACAAAAGCATGCTAGTTCTTAAAAAACCATCCTTATGCACGGGAAATACGCATATCAGTGAGGATTCGTCCGAGATTGTGTTATTGCTGGTTGAAATTAATATTAACCTGACCCGCTCCTCATAGTTTTAAGTGTCCTTTTTACACTGTGGCTATGTAGGGAATTTTTGGAAACTAGTTACGATTTGTAGTTCCTTATTCACAAAGGAGTGTTTCGAAGCATTTGAATCAACTACAAGATTTCGCTGTCTTGCAATTGAGTTGCAAGTTGGTGACGACGTGAGTACACGTCAAGATTTTGAGTTTGCCGGCTTATAAAGCCTTGTAGCCTACTTAATCGTTATTCCCGTAGTTCATGATCTTTCATTTGTATTTACATCGTTTTATACGTGATTCATACTTTAATGTCTCGTGACTCGCTTGTAGATTTAAAAATTGCAACTCTCATTCAATACTTGGTTGGTATCAAGTTTTGCCGATGAGATCAGATTTTAGCGACGTATACAATAGAGGGTGTTGCGGTCAAAGGCATACATATACAACGGCATTTGAATTATGTTCAGAAAGTATGTCATGGCGAAAAGGCTTACTTTTTCGAGCGTCTCCGACTTGTACGTTTACTAACTTTTCGTTTCTTGCCTTCAGATTTTCTAGAGAGGATGTGCACTCCAGGTCTAATGTCAAATCTTCAGTCCAGCGAACTTTGAAAACAAAACTGGTGTCTCAATTTCCCGATTTGGAACCTGTCATCGATGAATTGATTCCCAAAAAAAGTCAGGTCGAACTCTTCAAGTGTGAAGATAAAATTCAACTATATTGCGTTGATGGAGAAGTTTTGTTCTTTCAAAAATTCAATGAGTTGATTCCTACACTAAAATTTGTGCATAGGTTTCCACAAGCTTTCCCCACTGTCCAGGTCGATCGCGGCGCAATCAAATTTGTGTTGTCAGGCGCCAATATTATGTGCCCTGGACTGACATCACCGGGAGCTCACTTGCCTGAGGCGCCTGGTTTTGAAAACGATAGTCTCGTCGTCATTACAGCTGAGAACAAGGAGAGTGCTTTAGCAATCGGAAGACTACTTATGAGCACAGAAGACATCAAATCCATTAATAAGGGCCATGGTGTTGAGCTTTATCATCACCTGGGTGATTGCTTATGGCACTTCAACGTTGACTGAGGCAAGGGCTTCCAAATTTCTCCCATAAAAACAGCTTCGAAGCTATCACAATCTGAAAACTTCGTTCGAACATAAGAATTACGCTTCTTTTCTGATTACATGAATGGTATCGTAGTCTTCCAAATTGAAGGAACTAATAGGCGAGAATTCAAAATTGAATTCGTGTGTAAGGCCTCCGTTTTTAGAGGTGAACTTCAGCTCAAATTCGAATATCGATAACGAGATTTTCTTTGATATAATGTTTTTCATATATCGAACCGAATAACAAGGTAAAACCTTCATTTCTTGAACTTTGTGCTCTTCAATCACCACCTGTAGCACTAAAACTTCGATTTTAGGAACTGAGGTAACAATATTGGTCGGCCGTTTTATTTTGCCGTGTTTCTTGACCAGGTACCGCCATTGTAGTGTATCCTCGTCGATATGAGCTTGCTTTTTGGCTACGAGAGACAAAAAATACAGTTCCGCATCTGTCCTCTTATGTTCGTTGATGAAAGTGCCATTTAAATACTTCAGCTCCCTAATGCGACCAATAACCTGCAGAATTGCGTCCTCATCTTCAATTTCCGTGATAGGGTTACCATTAATTTTGAGACTCTCTAAGTTGGGCAGCTTGATGCATAAATCGTCGACTATCCCCCATGAGCTCAACTGGCAAAAAGATATATCAAGGACTTTTAAGCTCGCACATTTTATAGTAGGAGATTCAGAAATCAAATTGAGAGATATGTTTAGCTTCTCAATGCCAGATGAAAGGACATTGGTAGGGAATTGTTTTAACCCATTATGTGCCATGCTAATTTCTTTGATTGAGGACGAAATCCCGTCAGCTCTGAACCGATGGGTGTTTCTTGCTCCATTAATGCTCAGCTTCTTCAATTTTGGAAATACGGAGCTCAAGTTTTTCAGAGAAGCATCTGCAAACTCACAATCATCAGCTATCAGTTCTTCAATTGTAAAGTCTTCGCTATCAAATTCATTATTGAATGCGGAAAATCTGTTACCGCTCACATTCAATGTTTTCAAGCTTTTGAGGCCACGAGCGATGTTTAGCACTTCTTTAAAATCCGTGAAAAGATTGTAGGAAAGATCTAAATCCTTGAGGCTCTTTAGGTTTCCGGTACACAGACTCAATTCCTGTTCTGTTCCGCTTGTGGATATTCCTCTAGTGGAGAGATTTACAATTTTCAAATTTCTGATGTCTTGGTTCCTCGCGCTTAAAACGTCCAGCCCTAGCATTTCTACTCTCTTGGAGCCAATGTACACATCTGTATTATCCATTCTTCCGGATAAGTACACAGTGTTCAAGGCTTCCACAAAGGAGTTTCTGGCGCAGCTCGCCCTCACTACTTTAGCTTCTTTCAGAAGCGATCCTGCATCATCGATCTCTGTTTCAAAGTATTTTACGCCATTAACTGTCCCAGAATGCTTCCCTCTGCTCGCATCATCCCATTCCAAGCCAAATGCTGTCAGATCGCCCCATTGACGAACTTTTCCGATGTATCGGACGACGCAAAAATGACCATCAACACATAGACGATCGCCTGTACTTAAATTCATTCATTTATGACTCAAGAGAGAGCGGTTGTGGATCTCAAAAATCGTCTACAGGTGTATGAAGTTTACTGTGTTTACTGTGTTTACACTAGGCTTTTTTCTTTGCTCATTTCGATGTACAGATTTTAAAGTCTCGAGCCTTATTTACAACAATTGGTTAAACTTTGAATCTGTGAAAACACTATACTATCGCTTAAACAGATATTGAACTCATTCTACCAGATCTATGATGTTATAATGTACATAATATGTGATTCTATGAACAGATTTTTGTGCTCTTTCCAAACCAAGAGTTTTTCTATTTAGTATCGCTTGCGATGGCACTGTCCAAAGATGCAAATAATCCGTCGAGATCAAATTCCTTTGACCATTCGCTGACAATAGCGGTTTGTTCAGCACTTGGCAAAGGCTTGCTACCCGTGGAGTCACTAGATTGCGCTTTACTTGCTGCCGCGTTGGAAGAATCCTTGGAGGAGTTGGGTAGAACCCACGCCAAGATCTTACCATCTCTCCAGTCATTGAGGACAGATAGACCAGCGCTGTTTAGATTTGGAATACCGCCTTTGCCAATTCTTCCCCTTTTGCGTGCTACATGGATAAGGAATTGTTTCGTGAAGGTATCGGCATCAGGTGCTGGAATAGAAGGGAGCTGATAAAGCTGCTTGAAAGCCTCTGTCATCTCTTCAGATTTCGAGAGCCTTTTGACCATCATGAGAACAGCCGGGTATGAGTCAACAATAAACTTTTGTGGAAGAGCACTTAGAAGGGTCAATTCAGCTTCGCGTTCCTTCTTACTTTTTTTGCTACTTTCACCTGGGAAACAAATACCTGGAGAATCGAGGATTTTCAATTTGTTGTCCACTTTGACTTCACGGAGGGACGTCGTAACACCCGCTTGATTACCTACAGGGCAGACTTTGCTGGATCCTCCTCTGCGAGATGTCAGTGCGTTGATGACAGATGACTTCCCTACATTGGGATAACCGATAACGCCCACCACGATGGATCTCTTGAAGTTGGAGTTATTGGCATATTTTTTCAGACACTCCAGCAAAGCACTGGCAGTTCCGCCTTGCGTCAGCTTTCTGTTGAAAGACGAAGCATTGGTGGCACCGGGGGCGGCTCTCAACGGAATCGTAGGAAAACTTGATTTCAGAAAAGTCAACCATTGCTCAAGCACGAAAGGAGGGATCAAGTCCACCTTGTTAAGGATAAACAGCAGTCTCTTGCTTGGGTTTTGCAGCACAGCTTCTTCCACCTTTCTTGAACGGGTGCCCTCGGGGTCACGGGCGTCCAAAACGTAAAGTACAACATCGGCTGCATCGACTACGGTCTTGAATATCTTGTCGTAGGCCTTACGGGATTTATCGAGCTCGCTGGAAGCTGACTCACCATCAGCGATGTCACTGTCTGCGAAAAAATCGATATCATGCTCTATCACCTCTTGAACTTCTTCATCGTCAGCGTTTGGTGCCGTAACGGTCTGTCCAGAGCCCTCATATTCAGCAGCAGCCTGTTGTGCTGACTCTACAAGAGCGGCCAACCCATTACCACCATCGCTGTCGTCGTCCATGTCGTCGTCCATGAGTTCTTCGCCATTTTCAGCGGCCCGTCTCTTGGCTTCTAGTCGGTTTTGTTTTTTGATCTCCTTTTCTTCGATATCTTGCTGTCTGCGGACTTCGATGGCTTCCAGAATTTTGTTTTTGTAAGGGAAGTTAGCTGGAATACCAGGATCCTTCTTCTTATTCGATTTCCACGTTACGTCTTTTTTGGCGTGTTTTCTCTCTTTTCTGTGTTGCGCAGCAGCCTTTTTCTTGATACCTTCTCTCATCCTCGTGGACGTTCTCTTGGATTGCTTCTTTCTCACTTTCATGCTTGCTTGTTCGTTTCTCAGAGCTTGCTTGTTCGCAACGTCTCTCCTCTTATAAACTCTTAAAGATGAGATGAGATGAGATGAGATGCGACGCTTTATTTCTTAAAATTTTTTCGAATCCCATCCCTTCGGTTCCTGCCGTACTATACGACAAGAGGAAATAATTTGAAGTTAAATTAAGTTGTTGAAACGTTCAAAGCAGTTAGTCAGACTGATGACACTGGAGTGGGACCGATTGGATACAGGAACCGCACTATTGAGGTCTTAGATTTGTGTTTTCAGACTAACTGACTGCGCACTAATAGACAGCTACGGAACTTCTTTGTCACTGTTCTTATATCACAAAGACAAAGGTGTTTTTGTTGAGCAGCAGCAAAATCAATCTAGTGTGTGGTTTCCATCCTTTGCATAGGCGAAAGCATGTCTCTACCTGCAGCAGCATCCGCAAACGCGGCAGCCTCAGCTAGAAGAAAGGGCCCCAATCTCAACATTGTGGTTTCGTGCCCCGAATGCAAGGTCTACCCCCCCAAAGTTGCTGAGCGTTTTAGTGAAGGAGACGTTGTCTGTGCTTTGTGCGGTCTGGTACTTTCCGACAGAATTGTAGATACCAGGTCTGAATGGCGTACGTTTTCAAATGATGACCAGAACGGTGATGATCCAAGTCGTGTTGGTGAGGCCTCCAACCCGCTTCTGGACGGTAACCATTTGTCTACGAGAATAGGCCAAGCTCAAGGAAGCGACATTAAACTGATGAGGGACTTAAGTCGTGCCCAAAGCAAGAGTATTGTCGACAAAAAGGATAATGAGCTGCAAGCTGCTTACGCTAAGATCACGATGATGTGCGACGCGGCGGAATTACCTAAAATTGTGAAAGACTGTGCGAAGGAAGCATACAAGATTTGTCACGAAGAAAGAGTGCTCAAGGGTAAATCACAAGAAAGTATCATGGCTTCTGTTATTTTGGTGGGTTGCAGAAGGGCCGAGGTCGGTAGATCCTTCAAAGAAATTCTCTCCTTGACGAATGTTAAGAAAAAGGAAATTGGTAAGACCTTCACCATCATAAAGAACATATTGAGGGAGAAGAATGCCAACGGCTTTGCAAACATCGATACCTCGACCATCTCCTCCGGTCAAACCTCTGCTGAGACTTTCATCCCTCGTTTTTGCTCTCATTTGGGCCTCTCTGTGCAAATTGCGAACGCTGCTGAGTATATTGCAAAACATTCCAAAGACATCAATGTGTTGGCTGGTAAATCTCCGATTACAATAGCCGCATCCGCTATTTACTTGGCGATTCAGTTGTTCAAAGTTAACATCACCGCCACACAGGTCTCTCACACGCTGCAAGTCACTGAAGGAACCATTAAAGGTGGGTACAAAATCCTATATGAGTACAGACACAAAGTAGTCGACCCTCAACTTGTTGCTTCAGGAAGGATTAATCTAGACAATTTGTCCAAAATTAGTGACAAAGGTGAAAAGATTGCTGAATAGGCGATAGATGAAATCGGTTTTTAAACGTCTTATTATGCTACTAGTATTCAAAGTTTTAAAGGTTTGAAATCATTAAATACTTGAAAGTTTATTCTTCTTGTTCGGCGAAGCGGTCCTAATAAACTTGCTGAAGTCGGCTAACGAAAAAGCGGTACGTAGCTTCACGCGTTCTGGTAAGTTTTGATCCAAGGGAGCACGGTCTTCCATCTGAAAACTTTCTTTTTGTGCATGCATGGCTTCCTCGAGATTAAACATGCTCCTACTACGAACCTGAATGCCGTCTCTTTCCACGCTGCCTCTTGTCGGCCTAAAATAGATTCCTTCTTCCAAGTCGCTCAAGGAATCGACAGAAGAAAATGCCGTGTACTGCAGCTTACCAAATTTAGCCTTCAACTTTGGAAGCAACTTAGCAACAGACTTAGCCATGGCGGGATTATGCTTGAGGAATTTGCGTCCTACTAGAGCGAAGACAACAGCAGCCACAAGTAGAAATACCACTATCGAGAACAAGGACTGCAGAAAAACGTTGTTTCTTTCCTGAATTAAATGAGTCGCACCGGGAATGAATTTTTTATTGAAGTTTTGCATGTCGTTAGTACTAGGTCTAATCCCAACGGGTAAACCGCTCTGACCGTCCGCCACCAGGGCAGAGACATACAAAACGATTTTACCTAAGGTCCATGAGAGCTCATATCCATTGACTGAATCAGTACTTTGAAATGCAGCAGCAGCAGCGACCACTTCTGCCTTATCAACGTCTTCGTCGTCGTCGTTACTGGGCAACTCAATCCCGACTCTTGGCATTTCAAAACCCTCGTGTAAAACAGAAAGGATCCAGTTGGCTTTGAAACAACTGTCTAAAAGAAGCTTCGGAGACAAATCTTTGAATCGTCCAGTTTTGCTCAATTCTTCAACCTCGCCCCAGTCAGTTTCGCAAAACTGTTTGACCTCAAGACTAAAATCATAAAAATTATACTCACCTCCAGTCTGGAAAACATCATTCGCCGTGTACCAAAATTCTGATGTTCCTACAAACTTGTCCTTGTAGAAGTCAATGGCTGGGGCATGGACCCCATCAAATAAACATGGTTCCTCCCTACACGGAGTATCTTTCCTGAGTAGGGGAAAAATCGATTTTGAACAGTGTTCGTAGTTTCCTGAACCGGTCACCTTGAAATCCATATCTTTGAACTTGAACTCGCTGGAAGAGCCCTTGAGCATACAAGGGTCTGTGATCGTGCGGGTAGTATAGTCGTCGTCGTCATAGTCGTTGGTGTTTTCTGGAAGACCGTTGACAGCCTGAGCTAGGTACCTGCTTCTAGCTTGATTGGCACCAAAACCTAACCAGCTACTAACAAAGACTCTCCAATTCTGTGTGTCACCATTGACACTTTTCAAAGTGACCGTGGAGATGTCATCATCGTGTTTCTCAACTTCCGCTTCGTTGCTCGGTACAAAAGCTATTTGCGCAGAAGCACCTCCCATGTCCATGAACCCCGATGACTTGTGAGAGCTCCCACTCTCAGCCTGATAATCATTGAAGTTTCCGAGAAGATAGTTCAGCCCGATCCAACCGTAAACTCCCTCAGTTTCCCCATCAATGACTTGAATCTGGGAATCGCAGTCTTTTATTGCAAAGCTATCGAACTCCTTCATTTCATGACATAAATTATTCAGTATAGCGGACCTCTTTTTTGCTGGGAGAAGTCTCATGCCGGCGGTAGCTTGGACAAAGACAGGTGTCGAATGCAACTGTTCCTTGGGGACGATTTTCTCAGCGAATTCGAGTAGAGGTTTTATGTGTTTCCGAAAGGCCTTTTTAGGCTTCGAAGAAAACGATGATAGACCAGGTGAGGTCTTGTAAGTCCATTCCCTATCTAGGTATATTTTAGGAATGGAATGCTGCTCTTTCTCGCTTGCTTGCTCAGCAGTAACGGTAGGATCCTCCCACTTGTACACATAGACTCTAGAGCCTGATGAGCCAGCATCAATTACAACACCATAGTTGTGCTCAGCAGAGAACTCAGGCATGTTCTCAGGAGTCGAAAGTATCTATCCTTTATGATTCTTGGAAGCTTTGTCAAAATTAGAAAGTATTGGAAAGTTAAATGTGCATAGGCGACAGAAAATATAAAAACCGCCCAAAGGCCATTACCCACTTAACACCTGCAACGTATAGTGGGTCATACCGCAACTAAACGAGCCTATTTTCTCGACTAAAGCGGTCTGCAAACTAGTTTGACTGTTTGGGTGAAGGAAACAACGTTTGAACTCTGTTTGACCTTTGTATACTGATGGTAATATGATCCTGCACACTAGGAGCGATCAAGTAGATTAAACGTGGTTTCATGGCGAGCTGCTGTGCTGCAGATCCGACAATATTTCACCCAAATCGACAGGAATGCCCCAATATGCCTCTTTACACCAATTTTCAATAGATTTTCGAAGGCTGCCCGGCAGAGGTATAAAGCGGACACTGCCCTTAAACTCAGGGTGCTTTTGCACTCGCGTGAAATGCGGTACTTTACACAATTTCGGTACTGTCACGTTTGGTTCGACTATTACCACATCGCCTAATTCGCAACCGGGAGAAAGAGTACAACCAGAGCCCACGATAACCCTTCGACCGATTCGTCGGCAACGAATCTCGCTGCTGTGGCCTATGAGAACGAAGGACCCCAAGGTAAGTGTCTTATGGAGAACTATTTTACTCAACACACTTTCATGATCTTTTCCTTTACAAGCAACCTCAGGGGGCTCTAGGAGACAGAGCTCTTCTAGAATGCAAAACAAGCCCATCGAGATGGCTTCTGTTTTCTCGTTTTGCATGTTGACGTTTCCAACGAGCCTGCATTTCTCTGACACCACACACATCCCTCCCATCACTATTTTTTCACCACCGCGGATCTCGGCCAGCCTGGACAAGCGGTTTCCCGACTTGGTGTCACGCCAAAGCTTCGAGTAATCCATGATATCTCAATCGATCATCGTATTCCACCATTGACTAACTCTTGTCCTGGCCTTCTCACCATCGAGTCTTAACGTGTACGGTGATCAGAGGTGGTTGAAGTCAAATTAACAAAAAAATCAGTTTATGAACAATACAAACCAGAAACGACAACAAACCCGCTTCAAACGCGTAAACGAATTGTAAAGACAATCGAACATCATGAGCGACAAACTCTTCAGATTAGATGCTGGTAAGTAAGCTGAGAAAGACAATGTACATAAAACTCGTTTACTAACAGTCTGTGCGTTTGTTCACAGGATTTCAGCAATATGATTGGGGAAAGGTAGGTTCCACTTCTGCGGTGGCCCAATTTGCCTCGCACTCTGATCCAAGCATCGAGATTGAGGAATCTAAGCCCTATGCCGAACTATGGATGGGAACTCATCACAAGGTACCATCTTTGAACCGCGACTCGAAGAAGAGCCTGTGTGATCTTATTGCAGCAGACCCCGCCAAAATGCTAGGGGCAGAAAACGTCCAAAAGTTTGGTTCCACTAAAGAACTGCCCTTTCTTTTCAAGGTCCTTTCCATCGAAAAAGTTTTGTCAATTCAGGCTCATCCCGACAAAGCTCTAGCCGGAAAGCTGCACTTGAACGACCCTCAAAACTATCCTGATGACAACCACAAGCCAGAGATGGCAATTGCAGTCACAGATTTTGAGGGATTCTGTGGCTTCAAGCCATTGGCCGAGATAGCAGATGAGCTAGAAAAAATTCCGGAGTTCAGAAATGTTGTGGGCGAAGATGTTAGCGAAAAGTTTATCAAGAACTACAATAAATGTCCAAAAGAAAACTCTCCAGAAGATGTCGAGAACAAAGCACTTCTTCAGAGTGTGTTCAACAAGGTTATGACTGCCAGCGAAGAGACTATCATAACTAACGCCAGAGCTTTGATAGAAAGGGCGCACAACTCCCCAGCTGATTTCAATAAGGAAGATTTGCCCGGCCTTCTAATCAGACTCAACAAGCAGTTCCCAGATGATGTTGGGTTGTTCTGCGGCGGGTTACTTTTGAATCATTGCCGTTTGAATGCTGGTGAAGCCATCTTTTTGAGAGCCAAAGATCCTCATGCTTACATCAGCGGTGATATCATTGAATGTATGGCGGCGTCTGACAATGTAGTTAGGGCAGGTTTTACTCCAAAGTTTAAGGACGTTTCCAACCTTGTAGAGATGCTCACTTACACCTACGATTCAGTCGAAGATCAAAAGATGAAATTGGAAGATTTCCCAAGATCTTCAGGAGACGGTAAGACGATCCTTTACAATCCTCCAATCGAAGAATTTGCAGTGTTAGAAACAACTTTCAAAAATGGCCTTGGTGCAAGGAGATTCGAGGGGCTGAACGGCCCTAGCATTGTTATTACTACGAAGGGTTCAGGTTTTATTCAGCACGGGGACACGAAACTTCCAGCTGAGGCGGGATTCGTCTTCTTTATCGCCCCTCACACCGAGGTGGAGTTGATTGCGGCAGATAATGAATTCACCACTTACAGGGCTTTCGTGGAACCAAACTAGAAATGCTATTTATATATGTGTTATATATATCAATCAGTTGACTATCAAGGCTCTGGGCGAACTTTCTAATTTACAGGGTCGTGGGCAAGTTCACCAGTCAATCGCGAGGATGATGTGGCGTGCTTCATGCTGTGCTGTTAGCTGCTCTCCACTTTATGATTCTTTTCTTAATATCACCCTCCGATTGTTGATTTACATTGAGTTTTCTATCCATGAACATTGCACGGAAATTATCTCCATGCTTCTGACTGAGCGCCTTTAACCAAGCCTCTTCCCTTCCGCTGGGCTTGCGGGCACTTTTGATAGCAGGTCGCGAAGCATAATCTTCTAGCTCTTTGACTGTCTCCGTCTTAACTGTAGATTCTTCATCACCAGCCTCATCGACATCACCAGAGCCTGCATTGCTCTGTTTTCTTCCGTACACGACTTTTACGACATTACCGTCCGAATCGCGTATTATGCGAGCTTCACCTTCGGGAATGTCCTCTTCCTCGGGTTCAGAGGTAACATTTTGCTCAGTGGGCGGCGCCTTTTCCTCAGGGCCAAACTCATCCTCGTCATCATCTAAAAAGGACGGTGTAGAGAGCGGCTCCTTCATGACCGATGTACCAAGTTTCGCTTCTTGACCGCCTGCTGGAGTTTGAAGCTTAGATCTTAAACCCAGTATCTCATAGTTTTGAGCAAGGGTGAGAGAATAGTCCCAATTCTTAGCAATGATTGGGTTACCAGATATGTTGATCTTTCTTTGACGATCTTTGTGTTTCCTCGAGGTTTTCTTAATGGAGGACCTTGCCATCTTTCTCTTCCGAACGGAAGCCATCGTGACGTCTTAAGAGGGGTTTGGTACTTGCTTCGTTAGAACGATCTATTGTCGATGCTGCTTCAGCTTGTCTGTACGTGAACAACCAAGCCGAGCTCATCGCCTTCATAAATTTTTTAAGTGGTCGTAGAAGCTATTATCACGTGTCAGTTATAGATGCGTAAAGTGAGGGACGAAATAAGATCGTATATTCATATAGCACGGTACTACAGATAGCATGCTCGCCAGTTCACAACCTACAGGTGCATCACTTTCATGAATAACGCTGCTAGCGAGACAAAAGCGGAATTATTGGAAGAGTTGGAATCATGGAGTAAACACCCTGTACAGGTGAGACGACTGAGCTCGTCGCTCTCAAACCGAGAAAGAAAAGCCTCTGTTCCAAGAGAGCATGACAAAGGAGGGGATAATCTGCTGGGCAATGAAGTTGACTCATGTTCTATATTTCTTCGAAATATTTCAACTGATACGAATGCGTCTGTACTAGAGGAGAAATTTCAGCGTTTTGGCACGATCAACCGTATCACCATATTCAGTAGAAAGTCAGTTGGAAAGCTTAAGTGCTACGCCTATATTGAGTTCGACAATGTGGAATCTGCAGATCGTTCTCTTGCGCTAAATAAATCCACGATCGATGATCGTACAATCGATGTGTTAAAGAAAAGGAACAACGTACCTGGGTGGCGAGGAAATAACAGTCGTTTTTTGAGAGGGCGCTAATTGATATATGTGTCAGAGCCTTCCCTCAATTATTTTTATCCTATGGCTTTGAAGCTGATGAGGTTTAAAGCATCTTTTCAAAACGTTTCACAGCTTCAGGGATAGGCTTGAATCTCAGCCCCTGGAAATATTTCTGAATAGTGCTCGAGATAATGAGAGTCGTTTTCTTGCTGCCGCAACAATCTCTACATTCTAATTCAGTGTTACTCCCGGCGACTAAGTTAAACACTTTTTTGAGTGGCACTCAATTAATTCTTTATCGTGCAGTACTTTAATGAAGAGAAAAATACTAAATAATTTAAAAACAATTTTTAATCAGGTAACTGTCTTGCTTACAAAAATATTATTTAGTTTCGGAAATCTAATGTTTTAACAAAAACACAAATTATAAAACAAATAGTTTTTATTTTTATAACAAGCATTGTTTTGTAAATTTTAAAACAAAAAAATATAAAAAAATAATCACATGATATACTTTTTAGCCACTAACCCGTATGTTCATGGAAGGGTTTTCCCAATGTACTTTCTTGCAACCACGAGACACATCTCACGTTCTTCACGTTATGCTAATTAAATGATTATTCGGGACACATTGAGAAAAAATCACGGCACGGTAAACATTCATCTCCGACTTTTTATTGTAAGAAGCGCTGAAAACTCTCACGAAGACACCGCAGAGACTCCATAATGAAGCTTGGCTATCTACAACTTGGCTTGACTATCGCATTGAAGACATTGCATGTGTTAGGAAGTGATGATGCGTCAGAAGTAGCTCAGGACAGCGCAGCTGAAGTAGATGTACCTCAACGTGCGAACTACGAAATAGTCTACGAGACACTTGAGAAAGGGCCCGGTGGAACAGCCTCATTCTTGGAATTCGATGATGGTGATAATGTTACTTTGCGTTACTCATTTTCAAACAGAGAAAGTGGTAATGTCTCCATTGTCGCAGTTGGCGGTGCCATTTACGATATTACTACTAATGAAATTGCTGCCAACGTAAGTGCTGCTGCCCTTGGACCAATTCCAATCGCGGTTAATGAAACCACCGAATTTCAGCAGATCATTAATCTCATTCTAAAAGAGGGCGACTATGCCCTCTCCCCAGAAATTTACGTAGAAAAGGATCAAGAGACTATGAGAGTAGTGGCAAATCCTAGTCTCTTGAGAATTTTACCGCCAACAATGTCGTTCTTCAACCCCCAGTTTATGTTCATTCAACTCATTTTGGCAACACTTATCGCAGGATTTTCCTATTTTACTTTTGTTAAACCTCGAGATGGCAGTAATGCTCGTATTAACAGCAAGAAGGGTAAAGAATTAGCGGCCGCTAGAATTAAAAAATTTGATTCGTCGTGGCTCCCAGAAAATCACCAATCAAAGCATTCCAATTGAGATTTCACGCCTACATGTAAAAAGGATGTGTTCATTGTTACCAATTTATTTACTGCTCAAAAAACGGCGCTAGACGTTGACATTCATGTCTTGTAGCAGATTTTCTAATCTTTGAAAATCACTTTTATACGTAAAGATATCCTTTCGTGTTATTGATTCTTCTCCATCGTTCTCGTCCCAATTTATTTCATCCAAGTCTTCAACGTCGATATTGTACTTTTTCAAAAGGTAATACCGTATGTCATCAACGAGTTCAATAGTATCCGTCTCTTCTCTTGTTTGCAGCATTGAAGAGCTGCGTAAAATAGCTTCCCTCATTGAGGGCTGTGTCACATAAAATGGGATGTTGTCTGCGATTGTTTTGGCAACATGATGTTCTAACCTCTCAAGACGGAACTCCCAAGCGACATCCAGGACGTCGAAAACTGTGTGCATCTCAAGGAACTCAGAAGATTGAGTTATCGCGACAGCAGTCATGGTTTTCAGCCTGTCAATGAGTAGAGCATCTGACGCACGAAGTACATTAATGGCGCTCTGCCAAGGAATATCGGTTCGATCATAATAGAGGTAGGACAAAATCAATTCAGCAGTCTGACAATCACAGATCGGGAAAGATACCACAGGAAAATTCACCGTCCGATCGAGAATTCCTTCTTGAGTTTGTCGATATAACGTCGTCTCGTCAAAAGATGAGGCGAACATGACTTTGAAGTATTCTGATCGTGTCAAAATCGATCTGTGGCACGGGTATATAAATCCTTCCTCGGAGCTCTCCCTTTTCCGAACAAAAAGAAAAACGTCCGGCATAGTAGGGCCAACCTTCATGCTGTGGAGAACATCTAAAGGTATTCCATTAGTGACACTTACAAGCCGCTTTTCTCGTACGACTGTTGCTGCAAATTCCTGCATTTGTTTCCTCGCCTCCTCCGTAAAACGATGCTGGAATTCAGTCATCAATTTAGATATCTCAACCTGATCCTGCAGGTCGCTCGCCTTCTCCAAAAACTCTGCAAGTCCGTCGAAACCCAGCAACTTGCAGAATCTTCCAACCGCCAGAGAATCCTTGCGACTTATGCCATGCAAAAGCGGGACCAGATACAGGTATTTCGATATAACGTCTAAGCCTACCGGAGGGACGTCTTCAGGTAAATCCAAAGCTATGTGATCGTCCCCCATGGATTGAAGTTGACTTGCAAAGTGGGAACTCCTTGCGAGTAAAAGGAACCGGTGTAGTTTGACTTTTTGCCCAGCTCGATCTTGTAGTATAAGGTCGTGACTCTTGATGCCGCGATCATTGAGTTGTGAGGATAGGTGGGCAGCAAAGGGCTGCTTCAAATCTACAGCTTTCGATATATCGTATTTCAAAAGAATGTTCCGAATAGAGTCAGTCAAAGCACCATATATACAACGGGCGCCTTCGTGTCTATCTCTATCGCAAATGGCACCCCGCTTCAGAAGCAAAGTGACGAGATCCTCATGCCCGCATAAGCTAGCAAGAAATAGCGGGGAATTGTTGAATTCATCGTTATCATTCAAGTTAACTCCTGTTGATATCAACCTGTCAACATTCTCAACATCACCTATTCTGCACCAATAGCACAATTCTTTGAAGTTTTGATCCGTGGAGCGCATGAATGTAGCGTGAAATGGCAGTTCAAATATTCGATCTAAGAGTGTAAATATTATTGTAAAGACAATATAATATGAACTACACACCATAATGAGCAAAACATACATTCGAGTTAAAAAACAATGAAGCTTTTCATTCGAAAAGAGCCTAGATCATTGGCGCTCCTATCCAATGGCTACCTTTTGGTTTTCGAAAAGTCTAGAGCTTCGAATACCGCGCCAGATGGAAAGTACACACAACCCACAACTGTAGTTGTTTCCCTTCCAATTGATGCCTTGAGCGAACATAACTTCACAGAGGTCAAAGGACGCATGTTCAATGGGCTACTTGGTTTGGTGTGTGTGAACAACTACTTATTCGTTGGTCTCATAACAAATATTCAAAAGGTGGCATATCCAAGATGGAGAATCACCAGCGGTCAGGAACGGCAAGATATAGAGTCAATCTATCAGATCCTGAATGTCGAGTTCTTCTGCCTCAATGGTGACACATTTGACTACTGTTTGAACAATAGCAACGAACAGCTAGAAAGGCCATCAAGTGAGCATCCATGTACAGACTTAATGAAGTTATTTAGCGATGGAACATTTTACTACTCAAGAGATTTTGATCTATCGAACACCCTTCAGGAGCGCGGCTTAACGAATGGCTTAGACTATGCAATTGATAATCAGGATCATAATTATATTTGGAACTGCAACATGATTAATGAGGTGGTACAATTGAGGGGTAGGGTTACAGCCTCAGAAAGGTCACTGTTTGATGGTGCCTTATTTCTCACATTCGTCATGAGAGGATTCTGCAAGACGACTATTACCTCTGACAATTCCACATCTTTATCGACTCTCACCATTATATCAAGAATTTCCACGGAAAACAAAGAAAATATCTTTGATTTGGAGGGTATCGACAGAGAAGGGCATGTCTCTAGTTTCATTGAAACTGAAGTTATTTTCTGTTCATCACAGTACATTCTAGCTTACGTTCAAACGCGGGGAAACGTTCCTCTCAACCTTGAGGTTACGGAGGGACAGATTCTTCATGGCAAAAAAGTGAAGTTAGTAGAGGACCCAGCATATTTTCAGGCATCTTTCGACAAACACTTTGACATGCTCGCTTCCAAATATGGTGTGATCAGTGTGCTTAATCTCACCAAACCCAAAAGTGAGTCTCAGCAGATCATGAGTAACGCCTATAGAACATGCGCCGACAAAAAGAGTGTTCGAATCATTAACGTTGACTATGGATCGGATCTCTTAACAAAGCAGACACATAAACTGATCTACTTGCTCAAGCAGGATCTTTATGAGTTCGGAGCTTTTGTTTACGACAACAGCAGAGGGATATACGTGGGTAAGCAAACAGGCTGTTTGCGTATCAGCGCTTTTGATTCTGTAGAGAGGCCAAATGCTGTTGAAAAGTGCGTCAGTAAAGAGGTCATTGAATTGACCATCGGCGAGCTTTCCGAAGTAGAGCTATCAGGCGCCTTCGAAAGCGCTCACGACAAACTTTGGGCGGACAATAACTTTTGGTTGAATAGATTATTCAATGAAAACCTAAAGAATCTCAACAAATACAAGCGGGTTCACTGGAAGCTTTTTAGCACAACTTCTCGAGTGAACCTTTACGACCCACTTCATGTTCACATAACGAAGTTCATGCGCAAGATTAAAAAAGAGTATACTTATCAGAAGAGCATTAATATTTTTACTGGTACATTCAATGTCAACGGTAAAACCCAAGTGGATGACATAAGTGAATGGCTTTTTCCAGATGGCACAGCTTTTGATCAGCTGGCCGATTTTTACGTTCTCGGCTTCGAAGAAGTTGTTGAACTGAGTCCAGGTCAAATGCTTGCGATAGATCCGTATCCCAAGCAATTCTGGGAGCGCAAAGTTTTAGAAACTCTGAATGACGTAGGATCGAAAAGGTACATCCATGCTTGGGGGGGGCAGCTAGGTGGCGTTCTAATGCTTCTATTCATCAGTGAAACAGAACAGAAGAAAGTAAAGCATTTAGAGGGTGACGTTAAAAAAACGGGTTTTGGTGGAATGTCATCCAACAAGGGAGGGGTTGCTGTGCGATTCACCTATTCCACCACAAAATTCTGCATACTTGTTTCACATCTCGCTGCCGGATTGGAAAATGTCGAGCAGCGACATCATGATTTCAAAACTATTGTTAAAAATATTAGATTTGCGGGAGACATTTCTATTAAAGATCACGATGCGATCATATGGATGGGGGACTTCAACTATAGAATCTCTCTGCCGAATGATGAAGTCCGCAAATGCGTACAAGCGGCGGATTTTGGGAGACTTTTTGAAAAAGATCAATTGAATCAACAAATGATCGCAGGGGAAGCGTTTCCGTACTACAATGAAATGGAAATAACATTTCCGCCGACGTATAAATTCGATCCTGGCACCAAAACGTATGATACAAGTGAGAAACTTAGAATTCCAGCTTGGACCGACCGTATTCTGAGTCGTGGCGAATCATTGAAACAACTCGCGTACGGATCAGCAGAAAACATTATTTTTTCTGACCACAGACCGGTCTACGCCACTTTCACTTCGTTGGTCACAGTTGTGGATGAGAACTTAAAGGCTAAGCTGACGGCCGAAATTTATGGAAGGCTCACAGAGCAGCTTTCTGATTTGACTGAAGAGGAACGATTCGCTGTGCTTAATAGCAGCGATCTCATTATGGAGAAATCTGAGAGTGAAGATCCCGTTGGTCCCGAAATTAGGCGAGGTCGAAAATTGCCACCACCAAGTTCCGCGACAAGAAAGTGGTGGATTGGCAGCTCAAAGCAGGCCAAAGTTTCACTCGACGTAGATCCGACCAAGTATAAGATCAATCCACGAAGGACTGCGAACCCTTTCCTGGAAAATAATGAAGAAGCTCGGTTTGTTCGAAGGGAAGCTGACTAGAGGCCCAACCTATATAAAGTTGTAACAGTAATCATTCATCGCTCATGGAATCTATCTTGCCATTCGATTTCTCACCACCATTAGAAACATCCTGGGTTTGCGAAAGAAGGTCATCTAGCTTTCCTTCCAGCTGATCAAGCATCTTTTCAAGTTTTTCTGCCGTCTTCTCACCTTCCTGCAACTGTTTGAAAGTGTCTAAAAAATCTGACGTATTTTCAAGGCTTTCAATATTTGAAGTATGCTGATCTGCGGACATTGTTGGTGGCTCTGATTCTATTTTGTTTAGCTGAATTGACCGTACCCTATTCTTTTTCAAAAGTGTTACGAATTTAAATAACAAAATTTTTATGCACACGTACTACCGTAAAAACATAATACAATTCACGGCTGGTGCGCGGTAACACTAACTCATTTTCGTACTATGCTTGGATTGTTAATCGCGCTAGTTCAGTTGATAGCTTTTACTCAAGCGAAGTCGTCTTCTGGGTCAAGATCATTGGTAATTTTCGACCAAAGGTTGATATATTTGGATGACTACAGCGTGTTCTTGGGCAGCCTGAAGGAGCGCTCATTCGAGCTGGACTACGCGCCTGTGACCAACGATTCTACTCCTGTCGAGCTTTTCGATGGAGAGGCTAGACGTTATGACAACTTAATAGTTTTCCCAATCAAATCAAGACATTTCAACAAGCAATTATCTGCTGAAAAGCTTCTCAACTTCTATAATGAAGGAGGTGAAATTATGGCCATCACAACGCCCGATGGAGTGGCTGACAATGTGCGTGTTTTCTTGAATCAGCTTGGCATTTTTCCCAGTCCGAAAAACTATCAATTAAGGGACTATTTCCAAGACAATAGCGAGCTGGTTTTGCATTTACCGGCATCCAAAGTTCTCAACGAGCATGTGGTCCCCAAAAATGATGGAGAGATTGTCTACCAAGGTTCCGCTGCTCTGCTTGGCGACTCGGACTTGATCATTCCTGTGCTGCAAGCTCCAAGGACGTCGTATTCCGAAGACGGTCAGAAACAGGGTGGAAAGTGGACTATCGGGTCCCAGGGATATCTGGCGGCGTCTTTTCAGACCTTGAAAAACACTCGTTTGTCCTGGGTGGGTAGTGTGGATCTTTTCAGCGATAAAAATTCTGATTCTAATAAACACTTTGTTCAAGAATTGACAAAGTGGACTTTCAAAGAAAAGTCGGTAGTAGAAGTTGTGTGCTCTAACCATGCTCATTCTAATGGTCTTGATTATTCAGATGTCCCTTACAAGATCAAAGACGAAGTCGTTTATAATATCAGCTTGAGAGAATGGGAAGGTGAGAAATGGGTTCCTTTTGTTGCTGATGACATTCAATTTGAGCTTAGAATGGTGGATCCGTACTACCGCATCACCTTGACTCCTATTGGGGACTCGTCTTTTACGTTTCAAACATACACAACAAGCAAGTTTAATCTTCCGGATCACCACGGAATATTCACTTTTGTTGTGGATTACAAAAGGAGCGGGCTATCTTTTTTTACAGATAAAGATGTGAAAGCCATCCGTCATCTAGCAAATGATGAGTATCCAAGAAGTTGGGTTATAACCAATTCCTGGGTTTACCTCACTGCTATATACTCGGTCATCTTTACGTGGGTAATCTTTGTGGCACTTTTTGTGGGAGTCAAGAAGAGTGCTAATGTTCCCATTGAGAAGAAGACAAATTAAAACTAGCTGGCTATAAACATATAGATGAACACGGTACAAATCTTCATTTGAATTCGAAACTCGCCGTTACTGTCTCACTACCTGAATCTTGTTATCTTTCTTCCATTTCTCAAACTCCTCCGCCGTTTTTACCAAATCTGCTTTCATTGTAGATATTGTGCCGGTGAGGTGTTTCTCTTTAGTTTCCAGGACTGGGATGGTAGAACCAACGTCAGTTTCCACTAGAGCTCCACCGATCATTCTGTAACATTTACGTTCCAAATCTGTACCTACTAGCGTTGAAAGGACCACATTATGTTCGTCTTTGTCATTTCCCAGCTCAATGATTTTAGACTGCAGATCCTCCATAATCTGTTTGTACTCATTGTATTTCAACTGTAGGACTGTACGATGTTAGTAAAGATTCGATCGGCATTTCAAACAGAAATCATCTGATTACTTACCATTGGAGCGCTGTTCCATCTCCTCTATGTGCTGATCGTTTTCCTTTTACTTAAACAGCGCCCGAGAGGCATTCTACTAGGTTCAACTATCTCAATTAATATTAAAATGAATCCACCTTAAGAAGAAGAACTCGAAAACATATCGGCAGCAAAATTGAAGGATTTGATAGATCTCTTTTCACTGCCCGTACTATCGTAGCTGAATGCATAACTGGGTGTCTTCCAGAGACCCGCAGGTTTCGATTGGGGCCTTGTTTGGCGCTCACGAGAATCTAGAATACTGGGTCAACCTAAAAGAGATTATACACGAAAAGGCAGCATTCTAAATACGCGAAATTGGCGCCAGTTGGTGGTGCCATCCATCATCTATCGGCTGTTCGTAAAATTGATAGCACAGCACCTTCACTTCTACTCAAACTGTGATACTACGCGTCATTTCATTTTAACGTCAGTTTTAGTTGGTACAAGAAAAGGTCGTGACACGATTGGAGCCGGCTAGCAAAAAAACTCGGCATCTATCTATCAGTAGTAAACCTCATGTGATAAGTAAACGGTGAACACTGACATCATATTCGACTGATCAGACTGAAGTCAGTTTCCTCAGTAGTAGGTGTCTTCAATTCAAGGTGAAGATGAGTAAAATTGAGAAATTAAAAGCGCGACTTTAATCTACCCTAATGTGCACTTGGGCGTTCTCCATATGCACAGATCGCGTTAGTACCAATCCCCTTAGTCTTTTCTTATGTCGAGGATATAGCTATTCTGAACTTATGTAAGTTAGATAGTATTAATGATTCTCAAATTAACCTATTCCAAGCGAGATGATGTCCAAACAAACAAAATCACACTCAAACAATTACAGAACGCTGCCAATAGATTTTTTATTCCGAGCTTCTTTGTAAGTACCAAAGTTGTGAGACTTATCGTTAATATAGCAAGGCGCGTATGGATTCAGAGTCTCCCTGATTGCTATGAACAACGGTGCTAGGATTCACGGCAAGGTCGGTCCGGTTGATAAGCGAAGAACACATGAATTCCGCACAATCAAGAGCTCTGAGTTCTTTCATGCTATCAAGCAGCTTCCCGAGTTGACCCCATCGAAGCAGCTAACCCACGAGGCCACATTTCGCGAAGTTCAGGCAGAATTCAATCAAGTCAGAGCTGATATTGTGAGAATCGACACCCTTGTCGAGAAAGATATCTCTCTCGAAAGAGCTCAAACCAGTCAAATCGAGCTTCAACTGAAATCTTCAGTAGGTCGCCTTAATCACCATTATAAGAAAGTTGAGCGCATACGCGAGAGGCGAGAAAGAACAGCTGAGGCAGAGCAACGGGAATGCATCGGCATGATTTCAGAGCTTGAAAATACACAAGTGCTGCTACAAGAGCAAGTCGAGCTTGTTTTACATAAAGTTGCGAAGAAAGAGAGCGAACTTCCCGTGAAACACAGACTTCTGAATGAACTGTCTTTCAATAAGCGACATTATCCACTGCTTCACGAACTGCTTGAAAGCAGATTTGCATCCGTCACCTCCTCAGAAAATCCTGAGTCTCAAAAGGCTGATAGCACAGTGCGACCGAAAAGCGAGGATGACAATAATAACGGCAGAACTCACGCGGATTCTATCTCAGCAAATTCACCGCCCAAAGAATCCGAGCAACTCGGATTCGCATTTGGCGAGTCACGACAGTCATCAACTCTGAGAAACGCCTTGAAGTCGGAAATACCCCCTCCTAGTCTCATATCTGGGCTTTTTCGTTCAAAATCTTCTGCAGCATCGGCAAGTACCACTTTTCATCAAGCGACTCGGTCCAACCCCATAACAAGCAATACGAGTGAAAGTGACACGTCAGAGATTGTATGATGATTTAAGCATAAGGAGATGAAAATCAAATTCTCATTACCTGGCTCACCTGTTTATCCTGGACGGTACGTTTTGGCCCTGGATGGACGAAATGATATCTTTGAATATTGGGAACAGAGATTGACTGCGATACAGTGCAACTAGATTTGTTTCTTCAGATTTCTGATTTTCTATAAGCTCAACAAAAGTCGGATCGATAGGAACATTTCCAAGGTATGGAATCTCAAATTCTTCACTTAGCTTTTGACCTCCACCGTTAGAAAAAATGTAAGTGCATTCGGCGCAATGTGGGCACACAAACCCCGACATGTTTTCAACTATCCCAAGGATGTCAAAATTTACTTTTCGGCAAAAGTTGATCTCTTTCCTTACATCGGCCGTAGCTACAGTTTGGGGCGTAGTGACAATAATAGCTCCGTCTGGGATGGCCCAACGTAGCTCCTCTGCTATGGAGATGTGCTCATCTGAAGTTCCGGGTGGAGTGTCTATCAAAAGGTAGTCCAATTCTCCCCAAACCACGTCCTTGATAAACTGCTTTATCATTGCGGTTTTTTTCGGTCCTCTCCATACAACGCTGCTCCCCCTGTTGTTCAACAAAAACCCTAAAGAAATCACTTTAAGAGCTCCAGTGCCCTCTTCATATTTAGAAACTGGCATCCACCCCTCATTGGATTGGAAAATCGATTGGCCTTCCAGACCAAACATACGCGGTATCGACGGACCCGTCAGATCGATATCAAGCACACCTACTTTATTCCCCAAACCGGCCAAGGCTAGCGCAATTTGCGTAGTTACTGAACTCTTTCCTACACCGCCCTTTCCTGATAGGATGAGAAGAATATGCTTGACATTCCGCAAGGAAGAAGGAGGGTCTGTGTTCTCGACATTCATGATGCTGTTGTTACAACTTTAAACCTGGATTCTGTTCTAACTAAGCTAACCTAAGTTAGAGGTGATGAGTAAAATGTATTTTTCGTCGAGAAGGATTCGAGATTGTTCTGAGTATCATTATATTTACCTTAATCAAAAGTGAATATGGCCCAGCTTCACACATTCGTTTAAACTTGAACCTGGAAACCCTGGAAAACAGGTATCAGCTACTAATATCAGCACTTTGATGAGTTACTTGTAAGTTTGTTGTCACAGAACCTAGCACGAAGTGGAGACCAATTCTGTTTGTATACTAACTGCATTCTAGAAATCAGGATAATAATTTGCATCAACGAGAAAATGGCAGCCGCACGCAGCTCTTCGATACCAAATTTGATGATAAATCCAGCAGGCCAAGCTCCCCATACGATAAAGGCGGTAATTTAGACTACTCGCAATCGACGCTATCAAATCTGGAGAATCAAAATGAACGTCATGTCAGCGCGATGAGCGAGAGAATAAACGCCCTTAAATCTCTGTCGCTTAAAATGGGTGACGAAATAAGAGGCAGTAACGATACTGTGGAAAAATTAGGGGAGGTATTTGAAGGTACCAGCAATCGTCTAAAAGCTACTTACCGCGACATGATGAAGATGGCAAAGAAGTCGGGAGTACCACTAAAAACATGGCTATTGATATTTTTCATCGTATTTTTATTCTTTATGTGGATATGGATATTTTGAGACCAAATGTCCTTTAGGAGAAAGAGACTATGAACCGAGTTTACGAATGCTGCACTTGCTAATCCTTGCTTTTTTGCTTCCCGAGGATTCCTGTGACATCTCTGCGGTTACGGTACTTGCGTCTGACAGATTGTTTCCTGTAGAGTTGTAACAACCTAGCGAGACTAACTATTACCACGAATAGTAATAGGTATCCCAAAATGCCGAGATTCTCCTGGGAACGGCTAAGAGCATTGAGTAAGAAGTTTTCGGAATTTTTGAGGCTCTCTTTGATGATCCTGCGCTTTTCGTCAACTGTCCCAAAAGCTAACACGGAAAGGGTATTTTTCAAGTCAGAGGACTTCTCGGTGGTTAAAATTTCGCCGTCCTGAGACTTTTCAACGAAAAACGATAGGCTTGTCTTGTCTAGAACGAGAACATCACCGTTTTTTGGACTGTGCCCGCTCGACTTCAGTCCGGCTTGCTTCAAGAGATCACCGTGCAAGGCCAGATCCAAGAAAGTGAATTGGACGCGCTGCTTATCATTATGAGCAATCTCGTGCCGCATTTTTGTAATGATGTCAGAGGAAGGTGCTTGTTTTGATTTTAATGATTCAACAGCTTCTTCCTTTGTAGCCCTTCCTTCCTTCACCTTGTTGAAAAGATAGTTTATGCGGTCAGATTCGTATTCGAGCGCGCTCATTTTGAAATTCTCCAAGAACTTTGAACTTTTTGACAGTTGTGCATTGCTTGAAGTGTCAATGACCTGAATTGCCATAAAATTATAGATCTCTGGGTAATAATTGAGCACCTGCTTGTATGTATCAGGCGTCAGTTGGCTGAGAAGTGGTGCACGGTTTTGGTCAAACCAATTCAAAATGAGGTCCAGTTTTCGCATCTCAGTAGTAGAGTAACCGTTGAGCACATGGGAGATCAAGCTGCCTTGTTTGAAAATGAAGAAAGTAGGTAGCTGAGTAACTGATTTCATTGTAAAGTACTCCTCATTGGGTGACAGTTCGCGGTCCCCCATTGGCAGGTTTATCTTTTTGTACATATCGAGGAACAAAGAGTGTGAAAGAGACTTGAGGTCGTCAGTGCTCTTGTGAAGGTATGCATTTGGGATGTTCGAAACAGGCTCCACGAGATGCTCCAAGACGTCAAAATCTTCAGGTACCGCGGTTTCAGAATCGTAGTTGAAAACAATGTGTATGCTTTCATCCGACTGACTTAGGCCCTTTCTGAGCTCAATAGGTGTTGAGATCAGTTTTCGCAGGGCCTTTCCACTAATTTCCTGCACTTGGGCGTTTGCGCTTGTCCGCAACGCGAAATCCTCTAGCGCACCTAAGCCGTAATCTTGTTTAGTGTAGTAATACAAAGCGCTGGTTTTTTTTTGAGGAACAATTAGAATGACTCGTGGCACTCGGTCGGCTCTGTGATTTTTAATGTCAATCAGATCACTGAAATCTAGCTCTTCACATATGTTACGCTCAGACTCGCAATTAACATGGGCTGAAACAATGTCTTCAGCCAAAAGTTTGGCAGAAAGCGCGGTCCAGGTTTTCTGGAAGCCATGGCATTGATCGCAATTTTCGAATTCGATTGAGCTGTCGTCCACCGATGTTAAACCTTTAGAGGGCCAAAAAGACACTATATGAGGAACGTCGGCCTTGCCCGATATGAGCTTCAAAAGTGAGGCTCCTTCGAGCTCTTTGCTTTGACTAGTCAGAAGCGACGTTTCTAGATTATCGACATTTTGCGCTTCCTGACGAGCAAACTTGATAAAATGTTCAGCACTTCTTTTAATTTCAGGATAGTCCTTGATGAAACCTCCTGGGCCATACAGTTTTATAGCGGGATACGCACTAATCTTTTCTCTTGCACACAAATCGGCACTTTCTACACAATTAACTTGAACCAAGGAGATGTTCAACTGAGTTCCTTCTATATGAAAGTCTCTCCAAGCTTTTTCCCAAATTGGTGCTAGTGTTTTGCAATGGTGACAGTAAGGGCTGTAAAACTCCACTAAGTGAAGATGTTGCGGTATCTTCTCGTCAAATTCGGCGGCATTTATGGGCTCAGGAAACTTCATCTCATCGATATCTTGCTTGAGAGCATCAGGTCCTTGAGCCAGACCGTATCGAGAAAAGAACAGCGCACCCAGAGTCCAGCCAAATATATGCATCGCTTCCCTTGCTTACCTGGTTTTGTGAATCTTTGAAAGTTTGACTAAGGTTATCCCTCTTCTACACATGTAATATATAATCTAAAAGAGGCCCTTAAGATCAACATTATCGTCGTAAGTGCGTCAGCATGAGTTCATCCATTAACAAAATCAAGCTGAATCAGTCTACAATGAAGTGAGGCTGTTCACATGCATGAGGAATAAATAGTATATGTTATAGTGCGAAACTATCGTTGATTGAGGTCAGATATCTTCTGAAATACTCAAAAGATACCAAAGTTATCGCAGAGGCGGGTACAGTTCTGACGAGATTCGTGGTGAAGCCCGAGTAGAAGCCTCTCAATCCCTCCTTCGTGTAGGTGAGGTAAACAAGCCGTATGAGGGCATGATGTGTGGCTACTTGTGAAGTGCTCTTCCTGTCTATCGGGGGTGCTTTCAGCTGCATCCGCGTGCGAAGAATTTCATGCGGGTACGTAAGTGTGCTAGCGACCATTTTGGATACGCTAGATGCGGTGATAAGACGAAAAATGTCTAGTTTATGGTCTTCGGAATCAATGAAGGACGGTGAGCAGCGGAGCCATACTTTGAGCTTCTCATAGATAGGGAAATGAATGGCTACGTGAAGCAACCCAAATAGCGATGGTAGTAGCCCCGCGTAGAAAGTCTTGAAACCTTCTGTGGTGTATATTCTATAGAAAGCATCAAACGTGCCTCTGTAATTCGTCGAGTTCTTGTCTACATGCGTCTGTAGCATGAGTCTAGTCTTGACCACCCAGACCGGGTTTGTCAAAATGGTGGAAATGGAGCCGGCCGTAAGTGCCGACAATGAATGCGAGAAAAAATCGGAAGAGCCAAATATCTGTGGGTAGCGTTTTTTACTCTTCTCATAGACAGTGAAGTATATCATCCATGTGGGAAAATAGCCCATGACTATTGGCACGAGACCCTTGTATAAGCCACGCACGCCTTCGTCCCGTACAATTGTGCTCAGTGTCCCAACTATGCCATTGTAATACTTGATGGACGCCGGACGTAACCCCTGCGCTTGTAATCTAGTCTTGGCTACGTCGAGGGGACAGACCGTAACACCGGCAAGAAATCCCGCCATAGCTCCAGCTAGGGCGGTAATTTCGAAATCCCCCAATTTTCCTCCTCCTACAGGAATTGAACTATCATTTTCTTTTCCCCCATCACGCCTGGCCCGTCCAAAATCCTCCAGTACGTCTGCGGAAGAGAGCGGGGTGGAACAATCTGGGGCAAATATTTCGTCGAATACAAAATGACGCTCTCCATGTATTTGGTAAAACGGCTTTGGACTTGAGCTTCTTACGGGTGAATCGTTCTCAAAAAATAAGGCGCGACTCATATGACTGTATCGGATCCATAAGCCAAAAGCTCTTGTTCAGTATATCAAGTATCTTTCCGTTATTCTGTTTATTTTTTGAATTCATCTAATTTACTATAGGTTAAAACCTAATGACAGACACCTCATTCAGTGACAACTTAATGCCAGTGTCTTCAAGATAAAAGCTTTTAGCCAAGTGCACGATATCGTAGCATTAGACCTTTGAGAGAATACATAGTATTACGAGGGCACTTGTCACCAACTTCTCGTGAAGCTTTATTTTCAGCATGTGGCTGTTTACAAGATGGAAGTTCAAAATTTCAAGACGACATATTCTTTCGAGCTTCAACGGTACAGCGGTGTCGAGTTCTCAGCTAGGTCTACAAGAAGATGGAAAATTTCAGTATATCTTGATTGCGATTAAAGTGGAATGACTTGGTTACTGTGGTCCTTTCAATTTTCACGGAGAGCCAAAAATAAGACATAGCAAATGGTTTGCACTTGGTAAATTTAGGTTGTCTTTTTTATAGTATCCTTCTCTTCAGCGGTGCGTTGCAGTTGCAAAAAATGACCTTATAGAATTTGGTATAGTAACAAGGTCGCATTAACCTTTTAGCAGATGTTAGGTGTAGTAAACATGTATTAGATTTAGTTTTTGTTTTTTTTTTCATGACGGTGACACTGGAGCCTAGGAAAATGGAAATGATCTCCAACGGGGGTAGAAGCGGTGTCGATAGGCCAGTTCGGGTTCAATTAGAGACAAGATTTAGCAAATTGAGAATCAAAATGGTATATATCCTCGATCCCGTTGTTTCAGGACATACACTCATGTAAAGGGCGGTTCAAGGTCCAGTGTTCTCATATAGAAACGAACGCATTGAATGTCCACATCCATGAAACCCTGTTTTTCATGCTCAATGGACTAGGGACCAACGGTGTGATCGCGAAGAAAGGTAATAATAAACGCCGAACTGCACAAAGTACTCGCTGAAGATCGTCGATTGTTTGAGAACCAGTAATTGCAACAATAAGGGAGAATATTAACAAAGCGTACGAATCGTTGGTCTTTTTAACAAGAGGAAGTACTTATACAAGATCTGTGGCGGTTACTGCACATAGCGCCCTGCTGATTTATTGCACTTTTTACATCCAGCAGTGCTGCGGCTCTCACAAGTCTAAAGAGAGGTTCTTTTCTACTATAGTGATCCTCGTATATGCGCTTCGTGTGGCAATCGTGTCAAGAACAAAGAAACGTTTCTACATATCTGACCGCCAGGAAGATTGCACTTATTCAACGTCTAACTGCCAATTGTACAGTATGTATGTGCGTGAGTCAAATGATTAAAGAACAATTAAATTGTCAAAAAAAACATGAAAAAAACAAAATTTCAAAGAAATAGCCATATTAATCACGAAAAAAAGCTTTTGTTCGTGGGAAATGAATTCGAGCAGTTGCGCGGCCCAAGGTCTCTGAAAGAATATGGGTTCTTCTCACCATCACCTTCGTGCTGCTCGTGCAAGTAAGGTTGCAAATTCAATAGTGGAAGTCCGATTGTCTGTCTGTCGCCCATTTGTCTCCGTGGAGATGCGGACGGCAACAACCCGTATATGGTAGTTCGGCATTCACGGCCCGACGTTCCTCCGATTTGATAATAACTTCACGTCCTGCGTCTTTACTTACAGAGTGACAAATGGGTCATCACCACGCGCAGGCATTGGCTTTGTCTATGTATCCAAAATAGATATTACGTGCGAAGTGACTACACACCGTTTCGTTTAAAGTTTAGATCTGAAGTGGAAAACAGACCTCAGACCTGACAATGAGAGCATATGATTGTCGTTTTTCAATCCGCATACGGATCTCTGGTCCTTGATCCGCTTGTATTGTGTGCTTACAATCGAGAAACGTTACTCTTAAAACTCTCTCTCTGTTCTCGTCATTGTCGTTTTTAACGGTCGGGTCATCTCCAAGCCTTTTTTCATAATCAATGTATTGTGTGTGACTCACGCAAGCATTTTTCCCGCTCAAAAGTCGAAATTGTTGCTGGACTACGGTCTGTTAACTATCGTGCTTAGCTCATCTCCACCCGAGTCCGATCGTTTGGCTAATATTGGAAAGATAGCGTTTATGCGGAATTACGAAATTAAAAAAATTTTCACTTCTCACAGGCTTATCGTCACTTGAGCAGGACTATATAAAGGCAGCTTAATTCTTAGATGACTTACGGAGGAGTCATAATGTTCTGACTTAATCTGATTTTTCTTGACCAAAGACAATCTTTGTTACTGCGGTAAACACAGCAACTCAGTTTTGAGACGCGAATTACGGAACTCCGAAAGTCCCTCTTAAGCAAACTACACACTTCACTCACAAAATAATCAAGCTCCGTCTGTCCTATCCCAGCGGCATTACCTACAACACTACTACTCACAACGCAAGCGATCAGCACTCAAAAATTTAGCATTTTTTTTCACCAAGTTACTTAAGTCCACCTACAAGCACAAGTGTCTAAGCAAAATGGCCTGCTAAATTTTTTTTTCTGATTTAAAAGAGTTAAAAGAAATATATTAGAAAGAACGTTCCAACCATGTCCCAATAACACGAATTCCCAGAATCCAACTGTGAATTTGAATTTTTAGTACATCCTTCGTTTCTTTCTGTCTTTTTACCCCTCCGCGCGCGTAATTGAGTTGTCCCCAACCAGCATCCCGCTCCAAACCCCCAAAATGTCTCCGTAATACATCCACATTCAGTGTCTGCAATGATGCATTGAACCACGACATAACGTCCAACATGGCGAGTTATCAAACTACATTCCTATTTCATTTCAAAGAAACCAAAACCTTATTTTGAAAGTTAAATTTCCATTCGAACTATCCCCAACCTTATCCAATATACAAATGTCTGCTGCTCAGTTTCCCTCACTATTCACTATGACTGCCTTAGAGCAGCAGCCCCGCGTGGCAGCGGAAATGGAGCCAGAAGTGCACCAATCCCATGAGCCCGTTGTCGGTGAGCTCATTTTCGACAAATTTGCCCAATCGAGACCACGTCCAGAATCGTTTTCCGAAGCTGGTGTTTCTGTCAAGACAGAACTGGAAACTCCGCTTCTCGGAAACATTCCCTTGATTAGCAACGGCCTTGAAGATGGCGCGGACGAACTGGATCATTTCTTCGCTTCCAGTGCCGACTCGACACCCTTATTTGGCCTTGAAAGTGTCGAATCTGACCCTCAAACTTGGCAATCTCTCTTTGATGATGACATTGCAGTAAGTGTTGCCGACTCGGGTTTGAACCACATTTCTAACACTGAAGAGGCTTCCGTTGATACTTTCGAAGAGACTTCAACTGCTATTGACCAAAACTCATTTTTGCCAACTCCTGTCATTGAAGAGGCAAAGATTCCTGGCGTTGGTAAGAAGTCTCCATCAACCGGCATGGTGCAGAAACCCTCCAACTTAGACAAGCTGGGATTCGTACCTTACACCCGTAAAAATCGTGCTGCTCCTTTGACGCCTGTCATTCCAAACTCTGATGACCCCGTAACAGTCAAGCGTGCTAGAAACACTGAAGCTGCCAGACGTTCTCGTGCGAGGAAAATGCAGCGTATGAGCCAGCTCGAGGATAAAGTAGAAGAACTTCTGAAGAAAAATAGTGCTTTGGAACACGAAGTTGCTAGTTTGAGATCACTTCTCGGCAACCAATGCTAAATAGCCAATTTTTATTTACATATGCTCAAATTGATGATATAATTTTAAGGATTGATTTATTTGACGTCGGTGTTGAGCAGTTCATTCATCCTAGGTGATCATGTGCTATTAAATTGATGCATTAAGGCTAGCGAGTTGTGCTAATGATTCATTCACTCTGCATATGTTATCAGCCACATAAAGATGCAGGTAGAAAACCGGTTTGACGTTCTGTCCGGAGGAGTAGATGATCCAAATATCAACGCTCATGTAGCGAAAAAAATATCCCGGCTTTCAGAGCTCTCAACCGCCGAAATCTTCGATCTAAAAACGGAAATAGAAAGTGAGCTTGATAACCTGTTCGAGCGCTTGACAGCTCAGGGTGTGGATCTAGAATCAAGCTTAATCACACCCGAGGGTTTTCCACGTTCAGATATTGATGTCCTTCAAGTTCGACTGCTTAGACGTAGCATCAATATGCTTAGAAATGATCTTCGTGCCGTCATAGACCGAGCACAAGAACTTATGGCTTCGCATTTTCAAAAATTAGACGCCAAGACACGCAGGGTAGATGATGGCAGTGCCGTCAACTATCGGATCCCATTTGCTTTGGTCACTGAAGTGGTTCCTGGCAGCCCTGCAGAAAAAGCAGTATGTTATAGTTTAAGGAAACTTAACGCATCAAAGCTCAATACTAACTCAAAGTCTATTCAGGGTTTACTCCATCACGATAAACTTGTCCGTTTTGGTAATATTCATGCGGGAAATAACCAATCGTTATCTGCTTTGGGACAAGTAGTAAAAAATAGTGAAGACAAGGCGCTTGCGGTTCGCGTGCTTCGAGCTGATAACAGGTTTCGCAATTTAACTTTAACACCTTCCAAACACTGGGCAGGAAACGGACTTCTGGGCTGCAGACTGGTGCATGTCTGACCAGGTTATAGTATCTATTTACAACTAGTTTAAAAGCGTTACAAGGTTAACCTCCATGAAGCGTTGAAGTGAAAGATACGATGTCGCCATCTTCTAAAACATATTCCTTTTCGCCTTCTAGCTCCCAATCAGTGTCATTTATAAGAGTAAGGATTCCAGGTCTCACGCTATCATTTTCGATGAATACACACTTGTCTCCAGCGTTTTTGATCATTTTTTCAACTATGTAGTCGATGAGTGTCCCAACTGTTACTTCTTCTCCGCTATTGCTTGGAACATTTAGTTTGTGGGTTCTTTGCTTACCAAAGATAACATCAAGACCTCCTAAAAACTCTACCTTGACGCTTACCATGGCCGAAAGCTTCCTCTCTTAGCTGTGTAACGTGTAGTGTGCTGTAAATTTGGAAAGCGATGAGTTGAGATCTCTTTAAAGACAGACAAAAAAAAATGAAATAATAGATCACTCAATTTTATCATTGCTACTTATCTATCTTTTATTCCTTAAAGTTCACAAAAAGCTTGCGTGGCGTAATGGCAACGCGTCTGACTTCTAATCAGAAGATTGTGGGTTCGACCCCCACCGTGAGTGTTTTTTTAATATACTGCTAGTTTTTTTTGGTTATGGTGTGGGCGAAACCGAACGAGAAAGTAGTGCATGGCGGCCTGAAGCTATTGACGTCCATTAGAGGGGCTAGGAGTGTGATGTGATATTCACGGATTTGAGAAAATGGTGTTTTTCCCCCTCTTTGGAACTACTTTCTAGATATTGGCACTACGACGAAGTTAGAGTGTTTGATATATGATTATAACTTCTCAGTTGCAAATATGATTTAGCGTATTGGCTTGTTTACTTGAGTCTAGCTTTACTGGAAAAAGAATGTTGAGTTAACTTAAGCTTGTCTATATCAGATTTTGGTTAACAAACATTAAACCTATTGGAATTTCAATCTATTCAGCGTCAGCCCATGTCAAAGTGATCACAATCACGTGATATAGCGACAGCGTCAAAATTGAGAAATATATATGTACAATAGCAACGTCATGCTCCAACTCTAAAGACCAGGTAGCCACTTAATCGAGTAGTGGCACCATAAGCGTTCTGGTGATTGAACACTTCTCGCAAATTTGGGGGAGACTGTATTTTGTGTGAAGACACTGCAAAGACAGAGTCCCACGACGAGTACGGCTTAAAAACAAGTAAAGGCGTGTAAGTTAGATTCGAAATCCTGTATCGAAAAGTTACCCATGACCGTCCGTTCCCCAACAGCTGCCAACGTTCGAATGTGAATCTATTAAAACCTACTCATACCCTGCTTAATAAAATATTTCGTTCTGCCGTATTTTTGTCATGCTACGGTTCCAGATAATCGATCCGAAGTAGTGGTGGAACTTAGCGATAGGTTCCATTACATCGGAGCGGACATGATGCTCTACTTTATCTCTTTCGCGTCAAAGAGAACTTTAACCTGAGCGCGACAACTCGTTTTGTGCAATAGGGGTGTGATTCCATGAAGATCCGGCGATCGTTCCCTAAGATTCGAATTTCATGGTCATGCTGTATTGCAAAGCCTAAAACTTTCGCTAGGTTGCAATGCCTTAGAATCTTCTTCGCATGATGTTCTCACAAAGATCTGTCATTGTATTTCACCGTGGCTGACATGATATTATGGTATATATTTATTTTGAGTGCACTTCTTTCAGAAATGAAGCGGTGGCTCAATGGTAGAGCTTTCGACTCCAGTTAAATTCTGGTTTATACGGAAAAATTGCAATCGAAGGGTTGCAGGTTCAATTCCTGTCCGTTTCATTTTTTAAATCTTTTTAAAAACGATCACGTGATAAGCATTTGAACTGTTATTTTGAAAGATCGGTGAATTAGATCAAACAGCAACGTTATTGGAAGCTGTATCTTACTGAACACGTACTTGATAAAAAAGTCCCTGGTAGGAGTGGGATCATGAGATTTTGTAGTATAGATATATTAATGATGCTCTCTCTCCCTTTTATAAAAATCCGCGATAGTTTAGTGGCTAGAATTCGGGCTTGTCGCGCCCGGGACCGGGGTTCAATTCCCCGTCGCGGAGTAATTTTTGAACACGTCTTCAATGTGTTGGTTTTCATTTTTTTTGTACTTTGATTGTCGTGTTTACTGCTTCATTAGGGACCGATTCCATCGTTATTAGAACTGTTAACAACGGTGGTCGTGACATATCTTACAACGGTCGAGCCTGATGTCTAAAGTCATTGTCAGCCACAAGAAGAAACAGAATGAATCATTCTACCTACGCTCATGGATAGAGCCCGAGATTCGCACGCTTGTCGCCATTCATGCCAAATATCCAGCTTGGCCTATCGTCAAGAAATTTACTCCTCCGTGTAAAACGACCAGCATCTCATTGTTCAATCGTTACAATTTACAGGATCCAAGACATTTCGTGAAGATTACGGGATTTCACAACGTGGAAACATTCACCGTCTTTGGGTCAGTGCGCGACGACTTTTGCCAGCTTCTTAGTTGAGTTTACGCCCACATGCGTAACGAACTTCGAGAGACATCACGCGATACGAATAACATCGCAGACGCTTAATACCATTTTACTTATTGGTGATGTGACCATCAAATACGTGTCAGTTTCAGATATCCGTGACACGGCAAAATGGTCGTTGAACCTGAATCTTAACCCTCAAATTTCGGCTCTTCCGGTACTCGTGATCGGACAATGTCTAGCTTTCGATTTGGACCAAGTCGAGGCACGACTAAAATTCCCCTATCTGTACCAACTTGGGTCTTTTGTTGATATATTCGCGCGAGACCTGCGTCCTACTTCCTGACGATCGTAAAGCTTTCGGAATGTCATAGTTGAGTTCTTGATGCGTTTCTTTGCCAAGCACGTGCAAAGAGCCATACAATTTCAAAGGGCTCGAAGGGAAGACGAAAACACCTTGATTGAGCACCTCATAACAGACCAAAAACCAGAGTGAAGGAAGACCCTTTGTAGACATAGCGATCACTTATCGAATGTGTTCCGCAGGGCTAGTAAAACATAACGTTTGGACTCTCATTTTCTACCAATCACTTGATACGTAAACAGAGGCGACCTTGTTTAATATAGAAGCATACGTACATGCTATCATGAAAGAAGATCCACCTACTTGATTCACGACTCGTAGCGAGCCTGTAATACTTTTAAATCGTATTTACTATGGCTTCTAGCATTTACTTCTGCGATACCAAGGGTAAGACGATTTTATCTAGAAGGTATCGTGACGATGTACCAGCATCTGCGATCGAGCGGTTTCCAGCGCTGCTATTAGAAGCAGAGCATGAATCTAGCATAATTCCGCCTTGTTTGACGCATAACGACGTGCAGTATTTGTTCGTTCAGCACAATGACATCTACGTCTTGACGATGAGTCGCTCACTATCTGTGAATGTCGCTCAGATCTTTTCATTTCTTTATAAACTGATCGCAGTGTTGGAAGAGTATGTCAAGACTGTGGAAGAAGAATCGATTCGAGACAACTTTGTGATCATATATGAGCTCTTGGACGAAATGCTGGACTATGGCATTCCACAAATCACAGAAACAAAGATGCTCAAGCAATACATCACGCAGAAATCTTTCAAACTAATAAAATCAGCCAAGAAATCCAAAAATGTGGTACGGCCGCCATCTCAACTTACCAAATCAGTCAGTTGGAGGCCTGAGGGCATTGTGTACAAGAAGAATGAGGCGTTTTTGGATGTTGTGGAGTCGATAAATATGCTAATATCGGCTAACGGCCAGGTTTTGCGTTCTGAGATACTGGGCAAAGTCAGAGTTAAGTCACATCTGTCGGGAATGCCTGACCTGAAACTAGGTCTCAATGACAAGGGCATCTTTTCAAGCGACAACTCTGCTGATAAGCCTGGAGAATCAACAGGAAAGAGAGCCAACATAGAGCTGGAAGACCTCAAATTTCATCAATGTGTCCGCTTGAGCAAATTCGAAAACGAGAAAATCATCACTTTTATCCCACCAGATGGCGATTTCGAACTAATGAATTACAGACTATCTTTGCCCATTAAGCCCCTCATTTGGTGTGATGCCAAAATCCAAGTTCATTCGCAATCCAGGATAGAGATTCATTGTCGGGCCAAGGCGCAAATAAAGAAAAAATCTACTGCCAACAGTGTTGAGATTCTCATACCTGTGCCCGAAGATGCAGATTCACCCAAGTTTCGGTACTCGCATGGATCTTTGAAATATGTTCCAGAGAAAAATGCTATACTATGGAAAATCAAATCTTTTACCGGTGGCAAGGAATACTCATTTGCCGCTCAACTAGGATTACCATCAATGTCAGATGTTGATGTACCCAAGGTGAAACGGCCTATACAGGTGAAGTTCCAAATTCCCTACTTTACGACGTCGGGAATTCAAGTGCGTTATCTCAAAGTTCATGAGCCTAAACTTCAATATCAAAGTTATCCTTGGGTAAGATACATAACAGAAAGCGGTGATGACTACACCATTAGAACAGCATAAAGATAAATTTCAGTTTCTACAGAAAAAGAAGCTCTCTGAACCATGCAACTAACACTGGCATTCATGGAAGAATAGAGCTATTGATACAATTGACACGAGATGAATTTGTTTTACCACGGCCAGGAACGGCTAGTCCTTCTCTTCCACATCGATATTTTCTTCCTCTTCGTCCAAATAATCTTCACCCTCGGTGCCCTCTGCCTGTAGATCTTCCCTCTCAGCGTCAACGCTGTCAAATGCGTTTTCAATATCTTTTTCTTCCCCCACAACGCCTTCGTCTCTTTCGTCTGTCTTTAAGTCCTGAGTCTCGTACTCGACGTCATCTTCTTGGCCGATTTCTTCCAGTTCGGGATCTTCAGCATCATCAGCAGCATATTCGGCACCATCTTGGTCATTGTTTTCATCTTCTTCATCATGCTGCTCCTTTTTAGGACGCCCGCGACCATGAGCCTTGGCAGCAGGCTTGTGGGTAGTCTTATGGGCATCAGCTGCATCATGTCCATCTTCGTCTTTGACTTCTTCATTGTGCTGCTCCTTTTTTGGACGTCCCCGACCGCTGCTACCTCCGTGGGCTTTGGAAGCAGCTTTTATGGCATCCGCAACTGATGATTCTGGGGAGACCCCAATTTTTTTGTCAATAAGCTTACCATTCAAGAACACCCAGTGTGAACGTTGAGTAGAAGTGCCCTTTTTCGCTCCCAGAGGCTCAATCAACTCACGGCCAGGATCAGAGAGAACGTCGAAGGGCAATGACTGCGATTTTTGAAAGTCCTTGAGTGACCTCACATCATCGGCACTAAGTCCAAAGACTTTCGCTATTTTCTTCAATTCGCTCTGGTGATCTTTGTACGCTGACGCCTGTTCAGTGCCTCCGATTGTGCCCGCTTTAGGGTTTGAATAGATTACTACCACTTTGGTCTCGTCGGTCACCTTGGCCAATGATACGTCCTCCCCATCTTGGTTTTTGAGTATCACGTCGGGTATCTTGTCACCTACTTGCAATTCCTTGGAACTGTGGGCTGTACCACTGGATTTTTGTCTCTTGGCAGTATGTTCCCCTGCTGCTGCCTCGTGCTTTCTTTTGATATCATGATGTTCATGATGATCGGGACTCTTTGCTTTGGACGAGCGCCGCAAGGCAACCATTTCTTGCTGTACTGATGTCTCTACTGTCCTTCAAATAAGTAATAGCGACCTTGCCGCTTTAAACTTATGGGTTTTGATAACCCCTAATTGCAAATACTTTCCTGTACTGGTCATTGACACTTTAGTTCAAGTTTATATACGCCAAAAAACTACTCCATAGCTGCTATGTGTTGAGCGCAAACTGGATTTAAGGGCATACACCCAGTCAATGACAAATAACATAATCAATTGCAATCAAACCTTTTGGGTTGGCAATCCAATGAAGAATATTGCTTGCAATTAATCGACCGATGAAAAAATTCCACATTAAGCACCACTGACACATTTATAGTGAGTATTATATATTCAGTCCTCAGCGTGGCTCGTGGTTGCGTAATCATCTTCATCGTCTTCATAACTATGCTCGCTGTAATTGGCGGAGTACCCTTCGTCGTCATCATCATCGTCATCATCGTCATTGTCATTGTCACCACGGTTGTCATCGTAAGTACGGCTCCGCCTAGCCGTGTCCACGAATTTAGTGGTATGCGGCTTGCCCCTATAGTCGCGGCTAGTAGCGAAGGGACTGGCAGTCCTGGTTGCCCTCAATGAGTGATCAGTACTTTTAGGAGGATCCACAGTGGTGTCCGGTTGATCGGTGGTTTCTTGAGAAGCAACATCGTCTGCTTCACCATCCGAACGATGGCGCTCTTCCGCCTCAATCTTCAGCTCGTGAAGAATGTCGAAACACTCTGCAAGTAGCGCATTGAGCGTACCTTGACCTTCTGGGATATTGCCCTCTGAATCGTAAAACTTGCCATCCACACGAAGGTTGTCTAACGACGCAAGCTTCATCTGATATGGATATAACTCTCTGTCGTTCTCCACACCACCCATTCTCTTCAATTCAAGTAAACAGCGACGTACGGTCGATAATTGGTTGTGCATCTTTTGCAAAGCCTCCGAAACAGGTTCTGAGCATTCAAGAAGCTTGTAAATGATAGCGTAGCACCGACGAAGCAAATACAGTAATATAGATTGCCCCTTCGTTTCCGACGAATCCGTTGGAAACTTTCCACCTACTCTCAGCTTGTCAATCTCTGACAGTCTCTTCTGATAGCCAAACAAGTCCGTCTCTCTCAAAGTCCAACGCCTTGTCACCAACAAATTCTCCAGTGTTGTCTTTATGTCTATCAAATTGTCGTAAATGGGTTGAAGTTTCGAGTCCAAACTGACTGCATTGCCGGCGTGATGGAAAAGATCGCGTACGAGGTCATTGCAATCATCCAAGAGCCCATTCAGAACATTTTGTCCTCTTTCTACAACTTCTCCAGTCTCAGACGAGATAAATTTACCGGATGGGTCTCTGCGAGACTCAATTTCCTCTAAATCGGTCTTCAAAGCATGTAGCTTCTCCTGATCAGATTTCTGGAAAGCTGCTGAACATGCAGCCTTCGGTTCACCAGTTCCTGGCTGAGTTTTGGCGGAGGCTGCAAGTGACAAAAGGCCACGTCTGAGCTGGAAAAGTTTCTCCATCGTTGATTGCAGGCCACTATCTATTTCTTCGATTTTAGATTCAATATGTTCATATTCTTGCAAACAATGTTTCAATTTTGCACGCAGTAAAAGATCTTGCTCAATCTTGTTACGGTCTTCTTCATCTTCGACCTTGGTTAAATCGATGGCAATCCCAGTATCGTCGCTTTCAGGAACGCAGGAACTCCGTGCCACAATCTGGGAAATCTCGTCCAATCTCTCTTTGATAGGGCGCAGATCGTGATGGGTGAAAACGTTAGACTCGTCCAAATGCTCTAAAAGCCGTTGTACTGTACTCAAGGAAGCATACGTTGCAGGGGCCGAGTTTTTGAGTCCCACAGTTAAAAAGCTGAGGGACAGTAACTGGAACACATCGTCTAGCACTGAATCCACCCTGTTGTGAAGCTTCACGTTGTGTATTAGCGTTGTCGTACTATCGGCTGGAATGTGGTGTGCGGCCTTCCTGATCGCGTCCAGCTCACACACCTTGGTAAGCACCTGCTGGTATGACTGCAAGACATCTCTGGAGTTCAGGTACTGTGATCTGTTCTGTTTGAGACGTGAAAGAAAGCTCCGAACCTCTAGAAAATATGCCAAACTGGCTTCTTCGGCAGGGGGCACTGGTTGTAGCTGTTTCTGCATTGCAATGACAACAACAGGGTTTTTAATTACAAAACGAAAAAAGTGCCGATTCCGAAGATACGATTGGCCTTCTATCCTATTTGTACTCTTTCCAACACCTTAAGGACCGAGTAGATCAATCCGAAGTCTGGAACGCTAACGGCTCAAAAAAAAAGGTTCCCGCTTTATAAACCCAAAAATCGAAGTTCGAAACCCAACTTTCGAGTATTAATAACCGAGGCTAATCTAAACTTAACTGGTCCAGATGTGTAACAGACCTTCGATACGATCCTGTTGCGTCCTTCAGGAGAATTGTCTTGAATTCAAGAATTTGTTTCTTACCTTCCAAGATAAAGCTATTCAAAATCGCTCAATTATGAAAAAAGTGTTGATAGCACTTTTCACGAAGGGCATTTGGGTTCTTAACTTTAGGAACTTTGACGGCCCTTGTATTATATGACCGTGATGAGTAGAGTTTAAATTGAATTCCAAAAAGATGAGAAAACATGCGGTTCCGATATATATCTCCTGATACTATGGTACAAACGGTATGCGCTGGAAGATGAAGGTTGTGTTTGAGACCAAAAATTTTTTTCACACGCCTTTCCCGATCTCGCCAGCTACTGCTCAAGCGTCAGGATTGGCAACTGTGAGGGTTTTCTGGGCATTTTGATCCGGGACACCGCCCTGATCTACTAGCAGGGACCCGTTGCTGATCCGACGGGTGTCGTCAAAAGGGTTGGGATTGGGACCCTTGGCTGTTGACATCGACGAACGGTACAAAGTTTCGTCAAAATCGACGGGCTTGATGGCTTCTTGGTACTCTTTTTCCATCCGCTCCTGTTCGCGCTTTTTGCTCATACGCCGCAGGACTAACAACACGAGCACGGCAATCGCGGCAGCGCCGCAAACACCTCCCACTACGCCCCCTATAATGGCGCCCAAATTCTTAGGTTTTTGGGATTTGTTGTTACTGTTGTTGTCATTGTTTCCATTCGACGAAGAAGCCGGCGGGCTTGCTGTAACGATTTGTGTGACGAGGCGAACGGAGCCACCGGACGTCTGCGTCGAAGTCACAACGTTGGTGTTGGAATTTGTGGCGGTGGACGACGCACCAGAAGTAGCGGCTGGACTGCTTGATCCAGCGCTTGTGGCGGACTGGGACGAAGTTGAAGCTGCTGCAGAAGAAACTGACGAAGGAGACGACGACGAACCTGAAGCTGATGATGAAGACGATGCCGAAGACGAGGACGAGGACGACGATGCTGCGGAAGATTGCGATCCGGAACTCGACCCACTCACCTCACCTCCTAGGTTCTCTGTGATCCCAAACACCGAAAACGCTGAAGCCCCACCACACATATCCTGTCCGTAACCGTTACATTTCACGTTGCACTGTGAGCTGGTGCTTTGGCTGCTCGTAGGATTTGAGTTCCCACAATAGCAGTCTCCGCCGTTGTGGAGCGCTATGTACTTCGCGTTTACGCCCTTGCATGTATCGTAGCATAGAGAGCTCGTCTGATACTGGTTGTTGTTGTTGAAACTGAAATCTGATGGTAAGCTCGCAAAACAGTTGACGTACGACGTGTCTGCTCTGCAAACCGCCGCTATCGCCAAGCAGATATAGTAGAACTGCATTTCCAATGAGAAGATGATGCTGTTCAAGCGTGTTTCGATGTTCACCTCAAATTTCCCCGCTTTACTGTGTTCGTTGTCGATAGTTTCTTGTTCAGTTTGGTGAAGAATGAGTATCGGTTGGTTAATTTCAAGATAATTTTAACTTATTAGGTGATTATACTTATTATCACGAAATTTCGACATCACTCCAAAATCAGAGCTGACAGTTGTATAAAAAGTGAGAAATGGCAAGCATAGAGCGGGCATCTCCAAACTTGAGTAAGACTACTAGCTCGGGCTTGATCCGCACTTCAAAAACATGGGTCTTACCACCAAGAACAAGGCCCGGACGACGTCCTAAGACGTCTTGGCAAGAAGAAGAGGTGGGTCCGGCTGAAAGTAGCAAAAAGACCAGGAATAGAGACGCGCAACGAGCGTTTCGAGAGCGGCAATCGAAACAGCTCGAAAAACTGGACCAAGAGGTGATGAAATGGAGGGAAAAATGCGCTTTTTACAAGCAGGAAATGACAAAATACGCAGAACAAGTCAAACGGATGGAACAGGAGATTCAGGAGTTGAAATCTAAGGGTAGCAGACGTGAGAATCTGGTAGAAAAATGCGACCTTTGCACACATGACTTGTGTATATGTCGGGACGCGGAACTCGATGCTATAATTGCAGCATTAACGCCTTCTTTGCGGGACAAAATCGATACTTTCAAACCTATGCAGGCAGTGGCTCTTCCGCAATCGTTGCAGGCACCGGCACGGAAACGCAGAAAGCTGAAACCCCAAGAAGAGTCTGAGACTGTGCAAGTTCCCAACCATAGTGCAGCGGTGGTGAGCGAGTCATTAGCTTTTCAGGTCGATAACGAAGGATGTGGGTTTTGCTCGGAATCGTCTGCATGTCTGTGCAAAGATGATTTGATACCTCAGTCTAACTGTCTCTCAACTCATAAACGACTATTAAAACCTACGGGTATGTAAAAGAAATAAAACTGACAAATACCATGTAAGGTGTACAATTACAAAACATAGTTCCAAACATGCAAGAAGGCGCGGAACACTGTTGGAACTTGAACGGCAATCACCGCACTGCCCTTCGATTTGGATGAGCTCTTGGAAGAGCTAGTGGCAGAAGAAGATCGAGAAGCACTGGTGGACGTGGAAGAGCTTTGTGATGATGCAGACGATGAAGAGGACTGCGAGCTGGACTGGGAATTGGATACGCTCGAGCTGCTTGAACCGCTCGAAACCCTGAAGTAATCGCTAATGTTTGCGTCCCCACATCTAAATTGCGTTGGGTATTTTGTGCCCATGGGTTGGCCTGCGCCTTTTGAAAAGAAAGCCGATGCAGCACTTGGCATTGGCGGTAAGGTGTTATTGGCTTCCCAAGTGCCGGACTCGAATGAGGGGCATGTGGACACATTATTGTTTTTGGAGTAGTTACCATCCCCTTCTGGATTAGGATTATTTTGAAATTCAGTTTTTAGATTATTGTAATCCTGGAGGGTGGTTACTGAGTCTTCACCATCGATTTGTACCAAACCGTAATTGTTCGCTTCATTCGAGTACTCGTAGACTAGTCCTCCGGAAAACACAGATGACATTTGCGTCGAGTAGATAGCACCGATTTCCGTAAAAGGTCTTGGGGTAACCTTAGTACACCCAAATTCACTGAGGAAAATCGGAATAGAATAATTTTTGTAGGACTTCATTTTGATGGAGTAGCCTGACAATTGAAACGACGATTGGCCGCACCAAGAGTAGTCGTTTACCCCAAACATATCGATACGAGCATCATCATCGTCGCCGCAGTTGAAATAATGAGCCGCTAGCAAGACGTTTTCAGTGACATCTGCTGCAGAGTAACCCACAGGAATCTGACGGTACTTCCTGGCCCGCATGTACTTCTTCATATCTCTGACAACCGCTTTCACATAGGTAGCGGTGTCTGTGTTAGTTTGATCGTTAATGACCTCGTTCCCGGCGAAAAATCCTAGCACATTGGTATAGTTTGCGAAGGCGTCTACTGTAGCGAAAACTGTCTGCAAATAATCTGCGTTGTAGGAGCATCCGGGGTCAGATCTGGAGATCGAACTGTCCGGGGTATTAACGTCGAGAATTACATAGATTCCGGCGTTTGCAAGCATTTGCATACATTCAGTGTGGTCTTGAGTATTGTCAACGGTGTAGATTCGCACGGCGTTCAGTCCCAAGTCCTGGAACTTGGGTACATCTCTTTTACAAATCTCTATGTCACCCAAGGGATCTGTCAAATTGGAGGATCCACCAGGCTGGTAGTCTACACCACGAATGTAGAACCTCTCGCCCGTCTCGGAGTTGAAAAAAGCATTGCCCTCGATTTCAATAGTCGGCAGACTGTTATTATTGGCAGTCACAAGTGATGCTGAGAACCCCAGAACGGACAGCACTGAACTTAAAGCTCCTATCCGCATAGCCAAGAAACTTATTTTCCGTTTTCTTGAACTTTCGTGATGACTTCAGTCCAATCACGTACTATTCTGTCAGTCAAATCACGAAATATCAGTTTCAAAGACATAAACATTGATTCAAATCTTTGCAGACTAGAAAAACAACATCATCTCTGGAAGACTTGCCAAAAAAAAAAAAGAAAATCTCATCGGATACTGGTCTCGAGCTTAGAAAAATTCGTACAAAAGTCACGTGCTGTTAAAGTATCGATAGTCTTCATACCAGGAACAAAAAATTATGCTTCCAACCAGATTTGAACTGATGATCTCCACATTACTAGTGTGGCGCCTTACCAACTTGGCCATAGAAGCTTTGTTGAAAATCCAATGTGAAACTAGCGTCCTAGAGCGATGTTGCGATCACAAGCACTTAAACACAGCGGTAAGCACAGTATAGGTTGATTCCAAAAGCGAGTAACAGTTACAGTCCAGAAGCTTACGCCTAATTCGTGGAAGAGCATAGACAGCTTTGTATATATGTCTCTTTCCTCTATCGGCTCTTTCCTGTGTGTGTACATGTTTAAGTGAGGTGTTTAGAGTCAAGTAACCGCTCAGGAGTATAAACTTTTGTTTATATACTTATTAAAATATCATTTGTCACGAGTAATACTTTTTGTGTATTCAATAGCGGTCAGAGCATTTTGAAGATATTGACCAATCAATCAGAAGCTAATCTCAATACTTCTCCTTCTTATCGTACCGGCTTCTTTGAACATGCTGGGGAATGATTTAGAATAGTATAGTGTTCATCACGTGCCCAAATGGTTTTTTTCACTTTAGGAACTTGAATATGAATTTGATTTAATGGACATAAAGTAACTCAGAAGCAAACTCACATTTAACCCCAACCGTTGGGCTCTATACCTTATTACAAGTATCGTGCATTTTCTTTTCCTACTAAATTGACACGGTTTCCTTCATTTCCCAACGGTAAGCGCCGTGGCGCAGTGGAAGCGCGCAGGGCTCATAACCCTGATGTCCTCGGATCGAAACCGAGCGGCGCTACTTTAATTTTTTCCACTAGTCTACACACTAGCGTGTGTGTTAAAGGATATTATCTGCCACAGTTGATGAATTGCAACGAATTATTTACTGGAACATGAACATCTAAAGATTGATTCGCTGACGTGAATAATCCTGTTCCTCTCTTTCTTACCACTACAGGGATCTTCACACGTCTATCTTCTCAATTTAGAGCATTAGTTCATAGCCCCGTCTGTACCAGAGAATCATAAGCCAATGGTCGAAGCTTATTATCACGACAACGACGATTCCGTTGACTTCCGGGAACCTCATAACTCTGGCGAAAAGGTATCACTGGAACAGCTAGCCCGTATAGGCGCATTTTACAAATTCTGTCCCACGTTGAAAGAGGTAGACCAGGTGGCCCTCGATAGAGCCTATAAGAACAGGGACACTGTAAGCATTTCTAAAGAAAGTCTGGGCGACGCACTTCTCCCAAAATTGCAAACGTTCTACGCAGAGCATCTGCATGAAGACGAAGAAATCAGATATATCGTGGACGGCGAAGGATACTTCGACGTACGCAATGCATCTGACGACAGATGGATTCGCTGCAAATTGACTCCGGGCGATCTATTGGTGCTTCCTGCCGGTATATATCACAGATTCACACTGACAACCCAAAACTACGTCAAAGCCATTCGTCTATTCAAAGACGAGCCCAAATGGGTTGCTCACTCTCGTCCTGATGCCGACGGAAACCCAATTCGCAGTGAGTATCTCGCCGCACTTCAGTAACTTTTCAAAGTCCAACAACAGGTGTTTGTCGTAATATGTACAGTTCGCTGCTGGCAAGCGTATCTATTGTTTAGTATTTATGGGCTCGAGTATAGACTTTCTCGTTTGAAAGATAGCTTCTCAGTGTAATGAAAGTGTCAATACTGCATAAGATGATTATCGCTTAAGTATACTTCTTGCAAACCTAAACGAATACAAAGAGAAATCGAAAAACAACAAACATTTGATCGGTTATCAAGGAAAGAAGCCTCGTGACATTCCTATTTACATTTCATCTCCAGGCTTTTTGAAGAAGACTTACCTATCGTTTTTGCATTGGAGAATTACTCCGGCCTTGTTACTTCTTACACCTAGAGCTACTTTTTCTCGTATCGAAATTCATGGCAGTTGTGAGCGCGGAAGTGCCATCGGCAAATGGGCCAGGCAGTCCGGGTGGATCTGGATCTGGACCTGGCTCTTATTTGCCTCGAATAGATCAGTTTTACATCCCTGAGTGGCTTACCATGCAGTTTGTGTTGAACAACATGATCAGTTTTACACCACTGCTTTCGTATGGTACAACCGTTATGAGCATTCAAAAATCCAAAACCGCTCTTGGATTCTCTATAGACATCTGTGCAACCATGCTGTTGGCCAGCATTCTGCGCATCTCATATTACCTCATTACGCCCTACGACGTGGTCCTCCTGCGACAGTCTTTGGTGATGATTGTCATCCAGTTGGTTTTACTACGAACCAGTCTTCACTATAGACCCGAGGAGTACAAATACGACAAACTGACACCCGTGGAATCGTTCGCGCAATTATTTCACGACGTGTGGGTCGAGTATTTTCCACTCCATTCTTTTGGATCCGACTGGAAACAGCTGCTGAAATCTCTGTCCTTGAAGGGTCTTCTCCAGTTTGTATACAAGTTATGTCTTGTGGTGGTCTACAAGTTTCTGAAGTTTTTCGATCCAAGCTATCGCCGTTACGGCTCGTTTTGGCAATGGAACCGTGAGATCAGCTTTTGGATGTTCCTATTGTACTTCTCCACTGCTCAACTAACAGTCACATTATTTGTGGCCAAGTTAATGCATTGGACGTCCCTCGCACAGACCATAGGATCGGCAATTGGATCACTGGGTCTCTTCATTGAATCCTTGTTGCCTCTACCTCAGATCTCAATTCTGAATAAACTCAAATCCGTGCAAGGCTTCAAACTTATCCTACTAGTGAGTTGGCTCTGCGGCGACGTCATGAAAATAGGCTATTTGGTTTTTGGCGCAAGCAACATATCCCCGCTTTTCTTATTTTTCGCTTTGTTCCAGATGTCTCTGGATTTTTACATTGCGGGGCAATACGTTTACTACCGTTTCTACTCTCCAAACGAAGCGGAAGACAATACTTCGCATGAGTCAATTGAGCTCTCGTCGCTGAGTTCAGCACAAGCAAAAACGATTGATTCAAATCATCATTAAAACATACCATATTATAGAAAAATAAACATGCGTTAGCCCCAACATCGCACTGGAATTCCAATGCGTCATGATCAACAAGAATACTATTCATACTTGATTGCGAGCTCTTAATTCTCCCTTTTTAGCGTACGCTCTTAAAAGAGCCTGTAGCTGCGATATCTCATTTTCTTCACTCGTTTTTCCACTAGCTTTCGAGTCATTTTTAGCCCCACTCATGAATTTTTTGATGCGGTCAGAGATCTCCTCTGGCGTTGCGTTTGCCGACTTTTTAGAGACCGTTTGACCCTTTAAAGCCGCTAGTTTGTCGCTGAGATATAACATGTACCGTTTACTCAATTTCTCTTGATTCGTAATCTGTCGGATATTAAAAGCAGAAGACCAGGTCATTACATCTAGTGGATGGAAAAATTGCATGTGCTTCCACTCCGCTGATTCCTCATAAAAATTTTGATTTGCTCTTTTCCTTACAAACTGCTTTTCCTGTTCCGTTAAAACGCTCGATTTGTTGCTTGCGATACGCGGCTGTTTGATGGTCGCTGGATGATGCTGTGCTTCATGGTTGACAGTAACCTCGAATCCGATTACATTTTTAGCAGTTTCACTGTTAAGCTGTTCTGTTCTTTTGAGGTAGTCATCAATGTGCTCCGTGTCTTGTAGCTCCTTCTTCAGGTCGGCTTTTTGAAACTGATCAGTTTGATTTTTCGTTAGAGGCGCTACCAGTACATAAAGTACCGGAGCCTTGTATGATTCACCGTTCTCATCGGTTAACCTTTTGGTCTCTGTTTTGAATACCAAACGACATGCATGAAAATTCTCTGGTAAAGCGCCTTCTACCAGTTTCAGTAGTTTGTCTAAAAATTCAATGGAGCTTTTGAATTCTGCATCAGCAACGTTAGATGCGATGGCACGGTCCAAACTTGCGTAGTCGTGCCGTAAAATATATGCCTCCTCGCCGAAAATGGCTTTCAAAGACTCGTTACGTTCGCCCAGTACTTCATGGAATTGTGGACATGCGTAACTATGCAAAATATAGTCCATATCTTCCAATGGCATATACTGAAAGCCAAACATCTTGGAAATGTTATGGTAGGCTATAAAGATACCATCCATACGGCCAATACGTGCTTGCAAGGAGTACTTCAGCATGGTGCTTCGTATTAACTCGAATAGCTCCCTTTCAAAAGACTCAAATTTGCCTAATGTTTGTTGAATTTGGTACCCCGTGTAATTGTTATTTTCTTCGACGTAGGCAATGTCGTGCCTTACCGCTGCAACGGCCCGGGTCTTGAGGTCAAAAACCCCGGTTCCAGGAAGATTAGGATGATACGCATCGAGCTGCGATCGCAGCACAAAGTCTGCAATCTTCGAATAGTGGTAGGCGCCTACGGGTTTGCTAATACTAGCTTGATATCCGTCTGTGGTTTTATCGAAGGTCTGTCTGAATTGCTGCTCTTCAGTTGTGAGAACCGCTTCCAGTGCGTGGCCTAAAAGTGAGAGTACCAATTCCCGATCTGACGATTTATCGGAATCTATGGAGAAGATCGTTTTTTTGGGGTCCATTCTTTTCATGATCACTACAGCAGGAAGCTGGGCGCCCCAGCTGAAAGTAGCCGCCCGCTCACTAAAATTTTTGGAGAGTAACGACATGTTGGTTTTCCGGAAATTAGACAACAGGAAATGCAAATGTGACAGAATGCCTGTCATGGAGCTGGTGGACGAGTAGTATCGTTGCTGGTGAAGTTCCGTGAGCTTGAGCATCTTTTCGTCTCTGGACGCAGCGACAAAGGTGGAAATAGCTTCGAAATCGAAATCGTCAACCCTTATAATGTCTTCAAGCCATTTACTGAAGTTGTAGGATCCAGAGCGGCCGTCTTGAAGCGTATGGAAGTTCATGGGCTGGAAAAGTACTCTTTCCAGCTCGTGACAAAGACGCGGTGGTTTGGTATCTACGTCTTCGAGCGGTTTCATGCTGATTTTGGAGGGCCTGATACGGAATTCAGACCTTAAAGCCCGACGAGGTACGCTCTTTGTATGCGGTTTTGCAGTTTTATTCGATTGGCCCATTTTTTGTTCGCGCGTGAGCATTTTATCGAGCTCTTTGGTATATTTGGGGATTTGGAATGACTTTGAAGGATGAATTTGCATGCTGGTCAAGTTGTTAGCAGTCTTACCAGTCTCCAACGTCTCTGGGAGCTCCAAATCACCGCTGGACCGGCTAATTCGTTGCGAAAGATTCAGAGCTTGCTGTAGCTCCTGTTTGACGTCTGTAACAGCCTTAGAAGCATCAGATCGGTACCGTCGTCTCACTCCATTCCCACAAGCTTTCTGAAACATATTCGGGCTCTTTATCATTGTCACAGAACGGTTTTTCATTCTGTCTTCCCAGCTTTTCTACATTTTTATATCAAGTATGTCAAGTAACACAATATATATAAATTAGATAGATGATCGATACGCTGGCTATAAAGCATTAATGACAGCATATAAGAGAGCACAGAAGTCGATTCCTCCATTCTCCTGTTCTCTTTCATAGTTGTTATAAAAAGCCGAGAATCGCACTTATCCCCGTCTGCTTTTAAACTCTTTCCTTCTTTTAGCTTGTAGCTGTCATGTACGTCGTTTTTTTGCATGGTCACACGCAAGAACGATTAGTCCACGGGTCATCGTTTAATTGATGTTTTTAGTGATAGATAGGACCATCTTCCATGACCTCATCTACCTCCTTTTTGGCTTGATTCTGTATCCTTTTGTGTGTCGAGAAGGGTGCTTCGGGGGATTTGTCCGGATCATGACAAGTGGGCTTGACAATTCAATGACCTATAAATATAAGGGAGAAGAACAGATTCGAACAACACTCGAGGTAAATACAGCAGTCCTGGGAAGAGAAGCATTGGGATTTTCAAGTAACCAGTACACATAGGAGTGTAATTCACTGGCAGAATTTACTTATTAGCTCATATTACATACACAGCTTTATATAACGATCTATATGAGACAGTGGAAAACGGCTTGGAGGCTTGGAAGACGCTTGAACAGTGGTGGGGCGCCAGGAAGGCTGGGATCTGGCGTTTCGGGACACGGCCAAGGTCAGGAGCATCCTTGGGGGATTGTGAAGACGATGTTCAACAAGGAGTCCACGACCGTCACTTACAAAGCACAAAAGGGCACACACACTGACGCTGTGCCACAAGTGACGGTGTCGTTTAGTAACTTGTTTCTGCGGGACTCTTCGCAAAGCTCGAAATCCGTGGATCCGATGTCGGGCCAGAAACTGTTTAGAACCGGCGAACTGCTGGCCAATCCGTCTGCCACCATTCCGCAGAATATCGAAGTTTCGCCCGACAAACAGGCGCTGCGGATCGACTGGGGCGATGGCGACTCCTACAGCTATCCGTTGGCGTTTTTGGACAAGTTTTCAGGCCACCCGATCGACGACCTGGCCGTCATGTCGAGGCCCTTCCAACAGCGGCAACAACCGGTCAAACCAGTGCTTTGGGATCGTGACTTACTGAAACAAAACATCGGGAACCTTTTGTCGGTCAACTACGACGCATATTCTAGTCCCACCAATTCAGACGCTTTGCATCACACGCTCGTCAATCTCCGCAAGTTTGGAATTTCGTTCATTGCCGATATGCCTCAGGAACAGCCAGAAAAACTGCTGAAACAAGTGGCCGAACGTATTGGTCCCATCAGAAACTCGTTTTACGGCGAGACGTTCGACGTAAGGAATAAAGCTGGCGCTGAAAACATCGCATACACCAATCGACCACTTTCTCTGCATCAGGATCTCTTGTACCTGGACCACGCCCCGGGTTGGCAGATCCTCCACGCTATTCAAAACTCGTCTGATGGGAGCGAAGCTGGCATGAGCTACTTTGCTGACGCTTTTAATGCTGCTCGTTTCGTTCGCGACACGGACGCTGATGCCTATGAGGCACTCACTCAATTCCCCATTAACTACCATTACGAACGCAACGAAAACCGCTACTACAACTCAAGACCTCTAATTGTGGAGAACGAAGTCAATGCAGACAATCTGACTTTGTTTGACTACGTTTCACTCATAAAAGAGGTAAACTACTCCCCCATGTTCCAGGCCCCATTCACATTTGGAATTTGGGAGAAACCAAAGGGTCAAGACCTGACTACTGCTAGCGGAAAGCTTACACAACGGCTGTTATTCAAAGATTTTCTACGAGGACTGGCACTATTCGAAAAGTTCATCAACATGCCTGAAAACCAGTTCAGGCTTAAATTGCCAGAGAATGCTTGTGTGATTTTTAACAACAGGCGTTTGCTACATGCCCGGACAGCATTCTCTGGTGAAAGGTGGCTGCGTGGATGCTATTTGGATGATGATGCGGTGAAAAGCAGATTGCAGTACCTTGAAGAAGTAGATGCAGATTTAACTAAGTTAGATAAGTAATTGTTGACACAACTTGTGTTGTTTTCTACCTGCATATTGTGCTGCGCGGTACAAATGTTAATTTCACCCAAGCGTCACTAAAATATTAAAAACAACATTGCCGCTCAATGGTTAACAAATAAGCAACAACTTCACAGGGCCCAATCGACATCATGAAAGGCCAAACCTCCTCGAAGCGCTCTCTCATAGATTATATGAAATGCTCCCCAACTAGGAAAGACTTCGAAGAAGCTTTGGAACCAGAAGTCAGAATTATCAAATTAACCAAACTGCAAAAATCCCATACAGTTGAGTCAGAGATCGATATGCTTTTGTCACTAGCTAAAAACGGCATAGAGCAACATGCCGAACACATAGTGATCACACTTGAGGGTTCAAATGGTCAGGTCAAAAATCCGCTTAACTATCCGTTTTACGGGTTCGAGCGATTGCAGGGCCCTCCAGCAGCGAAAAGCGCAGTATTAATGAGTCTCATGAGCCGCATCTCGGCAATTGCAAAACAGAAAGAAAGTTGTACAATTCGGGACGTTTTCTACATGAATGTCGAGCTTTATCAAAACCAGCAGATAGTTTCAGACTCGTTGCGTGAAATAGCCGACGCATTTCAGGTGACGGATCTGAACGAACTCGGCATATACGCAGCGCAGAAGGGCTTATGTTTTACGCCTGTGGATTTACACTTCGATATCGGGAAGATTATAATCCACAATCAAAAATCGCTGGTTCCGCTTATGAGTCCATCCGTCCACTTCTCGGGCGATTGGTTGCGGGTGAAGCGTATCATCGTAGTCGAGAAGGACGCAATTTTCAGCAAACTTGTGGAAAACGCAAGCGTGTGTAAAGATTGCATATTGATAACGGGTAAAGGATTTCCGGACTGGCTGACTCGTCACTTTCTTCACAAGCTAATGGTGTGCTGTCCGCCCAGAGTCGAATTCGAAATTTACACCGACAGCGATCCTTACGGTATCGACATTGCTCTCAAGTATACTTTCAATTGTGTCAAAACTGAATATCAGTGTCCGCGGCTAACCTACCGCGGGGTAATGATTCAGGACTTGTTACACGATCGGAACGCGGCACGCAATGGACTGCAGCTATTGAATCTATCGGCTCGTGACTTTCGATACGCTTCGAACCTATTGGCGCGTCTGGAAAATACGGCATTGAAGAACTCTAAGAAAAGGGTCCTGACGCGGGAACTACAGCGCCAAATGTTTTACCAAAAAAAGGCAGAGATGAACACAGTCCATGGTGCCAACTTCGCGCAATATCTGCTGGCCAAGTCCCACATTCTGAAATGACAACGTTTGAAAAAAATGGGGCGAGCTGGGAATTGAACCCAGGGCCTCTCGCATGCTTGTGGTTATTGGAGTCCGAGTTAATGCTCGAACTTCGCCCAAAGCGAGAATCATACCACTAGACCACACGCCCAATTAATTGAAAGTCCGTAAATCTTTGAAGACTATGCCGAAGGCAACAAGTCATAATAGAGAGATCTGAGTCGTCGAAGTGAAGTTCGTTGCTAAGTTCGACGTATCATACCAAAGAAGGTAATTACAACGCAAGTCGGGTCTACATATGTCTATGAAGAGTGCGGATACCAAGCCTTCGCGGGATGTGAACAACTACAGCCTCACGCCGATCATCTTTTCGTCAAGAAACGCACCTCAGGTGTTGGAATGAAAATTCAAATGTGTTTTACGAGGCCAAAAGATTATCTATCAATATTTACACTTATTTGAAGCGCTTACAATGCTGATTCATCGGCTCGTTGTATTATTTCTCATAACGCGTTTTTCGTCGATCGTGCGTAACTTGGTATTCCAGATGGGCTCTTAAAAAATGCCCACTCATTTCAGATCTTATGAAAATAACACGCGCTGTATGTTTGGTATTGGAAAACAACAAAAAAGCACACGGTAAGACATGTCTCTACGGTCATTTGGCGTTCTAATCACCGCTCTTGCACTGTGCGCTCTTGGAGTTTCGGCTTCAGGCAGTGCATATTCGCCCATTGCATTGATGCTGCCCTCTTTCACAAAGGAATGTCTGTACTTTGATTTGACATCTCAAGATGATTCGGTGGTAATGAGCTACCAAGTGCTCACTGGTGGGAATTTTGAAATTGACTTTGAGATCACTTCGCCAGACGGTCATGTAATTGCCACTGAAAAGCAGAAGAAGTACTCCGATTTTCTGTTGAAATCGTTCGGTTTGGGCCAATATTCCTTCTGCTTCTCTAATAGCTATGGCACAGCGCTGAAGAAAGTCGAAGTGACACTAGAGCTCGAAAAGGAGGCCCTAGGGGCAAACTCTGCGCCTGAGGACATTCTCTCCAGTCACTCGATCGAAGAAATTGAGAGAAACCTTTCGAAAATCAGCAAAATGATGAACTACTTAAGAGCTAGAGAATGGAGAAACATGGACACCGTTAAGTCTACGGAGAGTAGACTGGTGTGGATGTCCATGCTGGTTATGGGGCTCATGGTTGGCATCAGTGTCATTCAAGCAACGATCGTGCAGTTCTTGTTTAAGGACCGTCAAAAGAATTACGTTTGATGAGTGACAAAATTGTTCTACTGCTGTACATAAAGCAATGAAAGCGTTTCAGACAACGCATGCCAATTTTGCATTGCCGTCGATATATTGGTAATTATGAGACTTGGTTCTAATCTGGTCGCAATTAGCTCGGTAAGGTGTCTCCACGCAAACCAATAAACGCGTGTCATGAGGCCTATATACATCATGCAAGTGGTGACTTCAAAGCAGGCGATTGGAGGTGTTGATCTCGAAGTCTCGCTCTTTTCATGGTGGGGTGCCGTACATGAAGACCATTTTTATGAATTATCTGATATAACCTAGAAGGAACTTTATTAGCTCTATACACTACACCATTTGCCACCACAACACGGTAAGTATCGATAAGAAGACTCCATGGCTGAAGACGAATCTAAATACATTGAAACTAGTCTTAATAGGGTGCCCAACTATGAAGTTGCGGATCACGCTTTCATCTTGGCCGAACCTCGACTCAAAAATGAACATGAAGCCAGTTTGAAATTCGTGCTGAAAAAGGTTGAAGAAGAGAGAATGGCGCCTTTTTACAAATATCTTTACGAGGAATATCTACCCAAAGGCACATTTCAATGGGACGAAAAACTATATCAGTCGCTTCTAGACCGAAATCAGCAGGAAATTTCCGAATTGAAAGAGCGTTTACAGGAAGTGGAGGAGAAAGACGAAGGAGAATTGGAAAAAGCACAAGCGTGGGTGAAACTGGGGGAATACTATGCACAAATTGGAGATAAAGCCAATGCAGAGGATACTCTGGCAAAAGCTCTTGAAAAAGCAGTTTCTACTGGTTCAAAGATGGACATTATGTTCACGATAACAAGATTAGGATTTTTTTACAATGACCAGCAGTTTGTGAAAGAAAAATTGGAACAGGCCAACAGCATGATTGAGAAAGGCGGTGATTGGGAAAGAAGAAATCGCTACAAGACATACAAGGGCGTGCATTGTTTGGCGGTACGTGATTTCAAGGAGGCCGCCGATCTTTTGGTGGATTCGTTGGCCACCTTCACATCTCTAGAACTGACGTCGTATGAAAACATCGCAACCTATGCCTCGGTAGCAGGTCTATTTGCATTGAAAAGAACCGAATTGAAAGATAAAATTATCGATTCCCCAGAGGTTCTTTCCCTTATGAGCAGTACAAAAGCGTTGCAATCCATTTCGTCTTTGACCATATCGCTTTACACATCCGAGTATTCCAGCTATTTCCCTTATCTGCTTGAAACCTACGAAAATGTTTTGATTCAGAGCAAGTATTTGAACAAACATGCGGATTTCTACGTGCGGGAAATGAGACGCAAAGTTTATGCCCAATTGTTGGAATCGTACAAGACTCTTTCCATCAAGACCATGGCGAGTGCTTTCGGCGTGTCTGTGGACTTTTTGGATGCGGATTTGTGCAAGTTTATTCCTAATAAGCAGCTGAACTGCGTTATCGACAGGGTCAATGGTATTGTAGAAACCAACCGACCAGATAACAAAAATGTACAATATCATATGTTGATCAAGCAAGGTGACGGTTTGCTCACCAAGCTCCAAAAGTACGGCACTGCAGTGAGACTCACAGGTGCCGATCGCATAGTGTAAATGGTAACGTAGATATAATAAGTCAATGAAGAAAGTATCGTGGAAGGGCGCCAACGGTGCACATAAAAACAGATGTCTTTGGCTTAGAAGAAGGCTATCCCAGAGATTTTTATGGGACCCAGCAATCGAGAATTCTGGGCTCTAAACAGAACTTCTTGCTGAACTATACGCGGAACGTATTGCGATCGAGACGCTCGCACCATCGATGCTCGAGTCCTCGTTCCGTCTTCCACTCTCGAATTACTAAACGCCACAAACCAATTGTCATACCATTCCGGATTTATCGTTTCGCTTACTCTTGTTGAGCTATTCTAGACCCTCAAGCCTTATTACTCAACACTGAGGTTCCATCTCATAGTTTGTCATCCTTGAGCTGGACCCAACGTGCTGTATATGCGAGGGCCTGTACGACATGCACTCATACATGCACTCCGCATATAATATGCATACCAGCTGCATGACCCATGCAACCAGGGCAAACGAAATTCTACCCCGCACAGAACAACTTGTCCGGTTTCTCCCCTTCAATCTCCCTCAAAAAGCCTACAATGCTCATTCAATGCTTGGTCGCATTCGACTTAGTATCGCCCTGACCCACCTCCCTCTCTGTTATGTCGATTTAGGTTCGAAAGTCCGGCTCTCCGTTCAACATGAACGAACAACACGCAATCATCATCAGAGCCCCATCGCTTAGTACGTGAATAGAGACTCACCCGCTTACGTCAGAACCACCCTTGGGGCTCCGCAAATATCGGCGAAAGCAACAATTGCAGACTTTTAGGGGAGCTTGAACGAAGAAAAGACACAAAAACGAGCTACCAAACACATGCAAGAAGACGCAAGTGCGTGCATGTGCGTGCATGTCAAAGATGAACGCGCACGGCACAAGCATGCGGAAGCAAAAAACATCTAGTCTGACATATAGCTTTGTTGCTTCAAGGGCTAGACAAAACCGCTGGGCCCATATACGGAGAGCACATTTTACTCCAATTTTTGTGCCAAGGCGATCGATCCAATTGCTCCCTGAAAAAAGTATATAAGGGAAGGTAAAAACCCATGGGGAGAACGATCTGGATTAATTGTTCTCGATTGTGTTTGTGCGTTTCTTGTTGGAATATTTTGATAAAAGCAAGCAGCTAGCCTCAATTCAAGCAAACAGCTAGCGGCCGTTGCACTTATACCTATTTATTTTGTTTGTCTCTACTTCACCACTCACAGTATGATTGATACCAAAAATTCTAGTGGCCAACAGGTGTACTCGTTGGCTAATGGGTTCCCATACTCCCACCACCCTTACGGGGCCCAATATGCCCGTCCCGATGGCCCATTGTTGTTGCAGGACATCCATCTGGTGGAGTCCCTCGCGCACTTTGACCGCGAAAGAATACCGGAACGTGTGGTTCACGCCAAGGGCGGCGGTTGCCGTTTCGAGTTTGAGCTCACAGACTCGCTCTCGGACATCACGTTTGCAGCGCCCTACCAGAAACCGGGCTACAAATGTCCCGGTGTGGTCCGTTTTTCGACTGTCGGTGGTGAACAGGGTACTCCAGACACCCAGCGTGACCCTCGTGGGTTTTCGCTCAAGTTCTACACCGAATGGGGGAACCACGATTGGGTGTTCAACAACACGCCCGTGTTTTTCATTCGCGATGCCAACAAGTTCCCTCATTTTATCCACACCCAAAAGCGTGATCCTCGCTCCCATTTGAACCATGGTGCTGACAGTACCATGTACTGGGACTATTTGACGCAAAATCCAGAATCCATTCATCAAATCACCTACATGTTTGGCGACCGTGGTACCCCTGCCAATTGGGCCAACATGAGTGGCTATTCGGGCCACACTTATAAGTTCAGAAACGACAAGGGCGAACTCACGTATGTGCAAATACACGTTCGTCCCGATGGTGGGTTTAAGTGTTTGAATAATGAGCAGGCCGCTGAATTAGGTGGCTCTAGCCCAGACTTTAACCAGCAAACGTTATTCAAGCAGCTCGAAGCCGGTGAGCGTCCAAGCTACACATGCTACGTGCAGACCATGACCCTCAAGCAAGCAGAGGAATTTCGTTACTCCATTAACGATTTGACTAAGATTTGGCCCCACAAGGAATTCCCCTTGCGTAAATTTGGTAAGATCACCTTGACGCAAAATGTGGACAACTATTTCGAGGAGATTGAACAGATTGCTTTTAGCCCCAGCAACACCTGTATTCCAGGTATTGAGCCCTCCAACGACTCTGTTTTGCAATCGCGTTTGTTTTCGTACCCTGACACTCAGCGCCATCGTTTGGGTGCCAATTATCAGCAGTTGCCGGTCAACAGCCCCAGAAATATGTGTCCTGTCGCTGCAGGCAACTCTGGCTGCCCTTTCTTGGCGGGTAACTTCCAGAGAGATGGACCAGGCGCATTGTACAACCAAAACTCGTATCCAAACTACATTTCAACCCAATACAAGGAGAAGATCCAGTACAAAGACTTAACTAGCGCCAACGTTAGCAAGGATACGTTTGTTGGCGTTGTGCCAAAGAATGTGTCGGATGCAGGTGTGAAGACGCAAGAAGAGGTACGTCAACACGAGGAGATTATCAATGCTAAGATAAACGAATACTACTGGGTCACCGGCGCGTCGCCTCTTGATTTTGAACAGCCAAGAGCTTTGTATGAAAAGGTTTTCGACGATAAGCACAGAGAAAGATTCATTCACAATGTTGTTGGCCACGTTAGCACCGCTTCCAGCGAAATTCAAGCCAGAGTCCCGCAATACTTTGCACTTTTGAATGAAGATCTTGGTGCTGCTATTGCCAAAGGTCTTGGTGTCAAATATGAACCTCTTTCGTTTGAGGAATACGCTAAGCGCTTGAGTCTTGCGTCCTCATATTAAAAAAAATAGAGAGAGACTAATAGTTAGACTTATTTATTATCAATGAACGTTTATGAAGGCGAACTAGAAATGCAAGCAAAAAAGCGGCTTGGAAGTTGTATTGACGTTTGGACAGCGGTGTTATCTCCTGTACTGAAGATTGACTTGCTGTTCTTACAAAATTGAGAAAAAAAATATGGTAGATGCGAGGTTCGAACTCGCGCGGACAAATGTCCAACAGATCTTAAGTCTGTCGCCTTAGACCAACTCGGCCAACCTACCTCTTTAAGCGAGATACTCACTTTCTTAATCATCCTCCGAGGTTCGAACCTCGGAATCGATCTCAAACTGAACCACTGCGCCAAACGTTGTGATCCTGTTGATGGTATGAAAACTAACACGAACATATCGAGCAGCAATATTTTGTGGGGAAAACGTTTACGACAAACCCGTACCTCCAATTTGCTCGAAGACGAGCGCAACACTTAGTAAGGTTTGTTGCATCAAGACGTTTCCTTCGATTTGAATGACATGAACAATCGTAACTGTCACATTTCATTCCCAACACATTTCAGAAATAAAATTCAACGCATATGCAGCAGGTGTGCGTTAGCGCTAGCTGATATAAAACTTGATGTCCTCGTGTATGTGCCTTTATCGGGTTTTCTCAATGCTTCTACATACATGTATATACATATGCTCTAGTCAATTCTTCTCGCCTATGCATTTTCTGCTTTTATAATATTCTCTACGACTGCCAATATTTCGTCACCGCCATGAGATGTGTGACCGGGACTACCCAATTTTTGACCGATAACACTGTCCAGTAAGCCTCTGAGTTCCTTTATCAACACGCCATTCTTGCACCAAGTACGAATAGGCAGCCAATTGTCGATCACCAGTCCCGGAGAATGCGCGGTCGCTTGTAATTCGTACTTGATAGAACCACCAAATAGTAGCAGCGCCAGAGTAGAGGTTGGAGTGATTTCGCGCAAGTATAGCTTGCTGGTCGAGTGAGAACTATTGTAGATAATGAATGGGGCTTTGAGGTAATTTTGGCCGTTCGCTACCGCCTTCGCAGATGTAGCTTCCAAAGCGACATTTTCAGCAGGAGCATCGCTCTTTGTGGAGAAAAAAACAGAGCTTGGATGTAAGAATGCCCTAGTTGCAGGAAGGTTTGTATTTTCAACTTCTGATTCGCGGTCTAGGCCGTACAGATGATCAATGTATTTTTCATTTCGAAGCCAGTATCGAATCATCTTTGCCTCAGGATCCTTCTCTATGGCACCAGAACTGGTATTAACAAATTTTTGGTCTGGAAGCTGTACCCTAGCCACTTGTGGATAAAATGCACCCGTTAAAATGGCCTTGATGATCTCTAAATTATTTGCATTGCGGTTGAGATAGCTGGACTTTCCAAGATCGTAGTTATTAGGTAGAAACCCGATGTCACTCAAGATGCTCAACAATTGAGATCTGGAGGAAGTAATTTCATTCATCTTGTTATAGGACAGATAGTTTTGACCCATAAACTTTCTCCGAGACGCAGAATCCTCGATCGCTAAATACTGGCGCACAACCTCCAAATACGCCAATAAGTCGCCTGCATTACTGTAGCTCTGGCATAAATTTTTTATGGCATCTCGATTGTCTTGCGTGATAGCAAATGGAGATCCACTGCAACTCAAGATGGCAGCAATGTTGATCCCCACATCTGCGCACCCGAAGATTATAGAGTAAATTAGCATTTTTCCATGCTTATAATCCATGAGAGGCATTAAGCTAATGTATTGCCCCAATTCCGTGAGACGGGTATCGTCTTCACCAAGTAAGCCTGCAGCCGTCAGCAGTCGCTCTGATTTTTGTAGTGATTCCGCTGGAGGAGGATCTAGGCCCTTACCTAAGAACGTTATCACATCCTTGATACCCATAGACTTCACCGATAGATATAGAGACTCCAGACTTACGCGCTTGATTTCCGCCACTGGTTGTTCCGACATTTCTGCAAATTTGGTCTTGGAGAAAAGTTTATAGGAGAACCCAGCCCTGACTCTACCTGCTCTACCCCTCCGCTGTTTGGCCTCGGCTTTCGAAACAAAACATTCGATAAGTCTTGTTGTGTTTTCTTGCGCATTGTAGAACATTGATTTAACTCTACCAGAGTCAATGGTCGCCACACAGTCATCAATGGTAATAGAGGTTTCGGCTATGTTCGTGGAAACCACAATTTTTCGCTTTCCCTCAAATCGCTTGAATACGTTCTTCTGATCAGCAGGAAGCAGAGCGGAATGTAACGGCAAAACAATGAGATCGCTAGCACCTTTTGAGCGCTTCAAGATTCTACAACAATTATTAATTTCGCCAACACCAGGAAGAAAGATCACAATTGAGCCATTACTATTCTCTGCCTTCAACTTCAAGTCGATATGAGATACCAAAGATGCGATCAGATCGTAGTCAATCTGACCAGACTGGAAAAACTTGGAATCTGCCTTGGGCGTCAGGTATTCATCTTGTCCGCTTTCCGCATCTTCGTATGATATATTTCTGCGCTTGATCCTGTAATCTAGTGATTCAAGAATATCTTCCAAAAAGTAATCCTGAATTGGAAAAGTTCGACCCTCGATGTGGCAACTTCTCATGTTGCGGAAGTAGTTTGTAAAGACATCAACATTGACTGTGGCACTCATGAGCACAATTTTTAATCCTGGTACTTTCCCTCGCAGATTCTTGAGTAATATGACAATCAGATCGGTATCAACAGACCTTTCGTGGACTTCATCGATGAAGACCACGGTATTTGACAGATACTCTTTGTTTCCCTGTAGGATTTTGACCAAGACACCGGTTGTCATGAATCTAATACTTGTCGTAGCTTTGGTCTTGTTCACACCACGAATGATATATCCTACTTCATTTCCACATGGGGAACATCTTTCGTCAGAAACTCGCTCTGCTAACCCAATAGCTGAAATTCTTCTGGGCTGAGTGCAGATAATCTTGATTTTCCCAAGCTTCCCCTCTTTGGCGATCAATTGATCAAAAACGAATTGGACTATTTGAGTAGATTTACCAGAGCCAGTCTCACCAGTAATAAGTACCACGTCATTTTTGTCAATCAAATCGACTATACTTTTCCGAATTTTCCAAGCAGGTAACTGAGAGCGCTGTTTTTCCATCGCAGCAAACCCAGGCGTCCCAATCCTTTTCTCGTATTCAGATTTCAATGCTATTATCTCTTTGGCATCCAAAGTTCCAACTTTCGGGCCCCTCTTCCGCAATGTAGGACCCTTTGTACTCTGTTCATTTGCATTTTTCGCGGCTTGAGTCAAAGTCTCTGGCAATAACAATCCAGGGCTCTCTATAATACCTGCAATATGCTCTCTGAGCCACTCGTAAATATGGTAGATTATCATATCTCCTAGTAAGCTCGATTCCGTCACGTAGTTTAAGATTTTGGTTAGGATGTTTTGTTTGATGTAATTCGGCAGTTTGTAATCCTTACTGAATGTAGATACAATCAAACCGGGAAGTGTATCGGGGTAGCGTTTTGTTTTGTATACTTTTAGTTTGAGATTGAATTTGTCTATCAAGTCCATTGTATAACAGCTCTTGTCATCACTCAGAACATTAATATTCTCGTCTCCAAAAATACTCTGCAAGCTTTCAAGCTCTTGTATCCATGTCTCATCAGAATCTCTATCAGATATTCCTGAGACCGGTATAATGGGTGCGGCCAAAAGCTTCTCGGTTAGCCTACCAGCTGCCTCGTTTTCGTCATAATCAGTGGTCTCTAAAGCGTAAAGAACTTCATCGTACGAAGCTCCACTTTCCATCAAACGATTGATCATGTTCTGAACTCTTAGCGATAAAGAGGAAATCTCCACTTTCATTTTGGTATCCTGCTGACGTTTATGGAAAAACGGCGGAAGATCGTCCTCTGGCAAATTCAACAAGAGGAATGAGAGTGGATCTTTGTAGTGGAGAGATTCTAGGACATGTGGCTTCCTAAAACCCAAAGATATCAGCTTTTCTTGCAATTTCGTTCTTTCCGTCGTGATTTCACCTACCCACTCCTTAGCACGCCAATCGACGTGGGCTTTTAATGATTTCTCCATCTCGGCACGCGAAGACTCTCTAAGGTCAATAAAAGTAGCTGTATCCCAGACTTTTTGCGGGAATCTAATGACTCTTTTGTCAACTGGCTCGGTTTCTCGTTTCTCATGCTTACGTTTCCCATTTATAGGTTGCTGATCCGCTTCGGCAGATAATGAAGTGATCAGAGTGGGCGTTTGCCGGACCTTTTGCGCCTGCTGTTGTTTCGCATCGCGCTCTTTGTTCTTGAGGTCTTTCGTCTTTCTTTCCAAAAGCAACCTCTTGAAAGGTTCCGGGTCAAAAAGTCTTTCCGCTTGTGCCTGGTCCTGCTTGACGAGGTTTTTTTTAAAGTCGTCCAATTCGTACCATAGAGCTTTGTGGTTTGGCGGTAGCATCATTTGCATGTTGGACATCGAGGCAAGCTTGTACAGAGCTACGGTGGCGGCAAAATGGCGTGCTTCCATGGCCGTTTCCTGGGGTTTCAGGAGCCCCTTTCCGGTGGCTCTATCAAAAGCAGGATCGTACATTTTCACCACCAATGGCTCGTTAGTCTTAGGATCCTTGTGCGATAAACTTGCCGTTGCTATCATTCCATCATTTCCGGCTTTTTTCATGTCGTATTCAACCCTTCCCCATTTGCGTTTTTGGCAAAACTCATGCAGCAAAGTCTGCGGCAACTTACCTGTCCAACTAGACGTGGAAGTCACTTTAGCTCGGTTAAGTAGTCTGGTTTGCTTCATTTCTTCAGTTTCTTCTCTCCTGCCCTTTTTGCCCTTTTTATTGCCAGTAGCTGCCGAGCTTACCGGCTCTGGTACTACTGGCTGGCTCTTGCCATTTTTCTTAGCCATTGGTCGACTTTTATACTCTACCTTTCGTCTTTTAAGTTTGATTCAAACTTCACGATCATGATGCGATGAGATGGGTGTTTTCATTTCGGTGGTGAATTATTGAAAAATAACATGTTAGAAATCGAATCAAGTCGTTGTGAACAGGAAAGGTTCATCAACTTGACGAAACCGATCCGATTCATAAAAGATGAGCAGCCTGTGTCTGCAACGGTTACAAGAGGAAAGGTATGTGATTTGATTCATTTTGGAAGATTGTCCATGTTTTGTGCTTTTTATCGTGGAGAAATGATGAACTCCAAAGTTCAGAAGTTAAAAGGTCAACTGTACTAACCAATGACAACTTTTTGATAGAAAAAAATGGCGGAAGGACCATCCGTTTGGGTTCTTTGCCAAACCATGTAAGAAGCCCGATGGTACGATGAACTTACAAAAATGGGAAGCTGGCATTCCGGGGAGAGATGGTACTTTATGGAAAGATGGTGTTTTCCCAGTTACCATTGAATACCCCGACGATTATCCTTCTAAACCGCCAAAGGTCAAATTTCCAGCAGGTTTCTACCATCCTAACATATACCCAAGCGGTACGGTTTGTTTAAGTATCTTGAATGAGGACCAGGATTGGAGACCGGCCATCACGCTAAAGCAAATCGCCCTTGGTATCCAGGACCTTCTAGACTCTCCCAATCCAGATTCGCCGGCTCAGGAACCAGCTTGGAGAGCGTTTTCCAAGAATAAGAAGGAATACGAAAGGAATGTGATAGAGCAGGCTAAGAAGTATACCAAGTAATTTCGATCCATACCATACAGTATTAAAGTGACATTCTGTTGTCCTACAAACTCACTTTTATGGTTGGAAAATGCTATATGTAATAATATTTTGGGATATCACCGATGCTCTGTTGATTTGTAACTGATGAATCTTTCCAGCGTGCTCAAGGTCGTCTGACATTTTTCTTTCAGTTCGGCATCCTTATTCTTGTCCACAAACTTGAACTTCTGCTTGAGGTTCGGCACTACACTTTCTTGTAGAACACGAACGAATCCGCCTTGCACAAAAACGGGTTCATCATAGTCGAAGTTGGCATCGCAGTAGATGTCAATCAAAACATCGCAAATGTCAACCAAAGTGGCAGGAGAAGATTTACCGCTAGCCATTTGTTCTATCAGAAATTGTCCTATTTGGCGATTGAGATCGACGTGTCCTGGCAACATCGCGATACACCCTAGAACACCACAGCACCTCTGCCTTAGATCTTGTACTTCTTCTTCTTCTAGGCCTTCGATGTCGTTGTATTGAGCTATGATCGATGAGGCGAAATCTACGTTGTCGCACTGCAGGCGCTCCAGGTAAGCGGCTTGAGACTCTTGTACTTGCACTGTCTTTAAGAGCGCCCATGTAACACCCAGCTTACCCAAGCGCAAGCTGAGATCTTTGTCCTCTGTCTCATCGTTCGCAGATAAACGCTCCCATAAAGTTTGCCAAATTTCGTTAGGAAGCTCGAGAAAGTTGATTTGAAGAGTTAGATACAGCCACAGTAAATTGTTCCAAGCGATCAGCACCCGTACCTTGAAATCGTCAAATAACGATTGGAAGACCACCGGAAGGGAAACGGTCAAGCTTCGTATCAGGTCTGTATTCATTGGCTCACCTCCAGCTTCAGAATTTGCGGCAATCAGCTCCAGAGATGCAGTCACAATGTCAAGTGTAACTTCAATACTCTGCAGATGCATTGCCGCCAAAGCCCGCTGTTTGTTGAATTCTTTTATTTTCCCAGAGATCTGATCGTTCGATGAATCTTTGAGTTCGCTATCAATGTCAGCATTTGACAGGACTTTTTTCATCTGCTCTAGATTGATGTTTTCGATTGTAGAACAAACGTTGACTATTATAGCATTGGCCTGCTCCGATGTGATATCTGAGTCCAAGAACTGTAGAAGAACACCTTGAATCAAGACACCCGTCAATTCATTGGCTGTTGTGATTTGCATGGTTGGAAGAGCTTTGACAAATTCCGATAAATACGAGTCGGCAGTCACCGCTTCAATAAAGTCTAGAGATTCAGAACTCAAATCGTACAACAGATCCAAAATGGAATTGAATAGAGAAATTGGGATTCTAAGAGTGAAGCTGCCATTTATACCCTCGAGGCCGTACTCTGCAATCAAGCGCACTACGGCGAAGATCTCCTGTAACTTGCCAGATTTTAAGATATCGCTCAGGATGAAACCGCATCCATTCACCAGCGCAACGATAAGAGACAGTAAATTGTCTCCGAAATCAAAAAGTTGCCTGGTAGACTCCTTCTTGGTTGGAGTATTAGTCGATAGCCATTTGACGGATTTCTCTAGTTTGTGAAATCCGGAGTTGATGCTTTTCCAGATGTCTGATCTCCAAAGAAACGCACAAACGTCGTAGCCCTCCTCAAGGGCCAGATTTCTCAAAAGTCCATGCGCTTCCACTACAATATCCATATTATCGTCTGAAAGCAGCTTGGTTAGCACCAAATGCGCTAGTTTTTCCTTAAGAAACAGTTTCCGCATGTAAGGATCTTCACAAAGCACAACAACATTTCCAAGCGCCATACTTCTGTCGTTTGGAACTGCACTTTGAAGTTGTTTAAGAAGCGGCAGAATCCTCTTAACGTTAACCGCCTCATCGTTCAAAGCTGATTTATCTTTTTTACCTAGCGGTGCGCTTTTGAAGCGAGAAGCTCTAGATCTTCTTTTAGATTTACCCATAGCCAAACAGTTCAAGTCAGGAAAGAGACTGAACTAGTTTTCAGTGTCGGTCTTTGAGAATCTACTATTGCAATGAATGATTGGTTTTGAATGAACTTAGAGTAGTGCGATGAGCTACAGGTCAAATTTTTAGTATGTCAATATTTCAGGGCCTAGATCTCGTTTACGTACATAGTGACTATATTTATGTTCAAGAAAACGGTCAACATTTAGGAGCACAAAGCGCGAACTACGTTCGGCGGCTAAATATTAGACTCGAACTAGAGGATTAGCGCTCTCCAGTCAAATGGCGAAGAGAGCGCTTTTACTATACATATGTGAACCCAAACAGTGGTCGACGGGATTTGCCTAATTTCTGCACAGATTTTACGCTTTGCAAGACCCTTGGGATTCCGTTGAGGATGTCAAGAAAGATGTCTCTGAGGGACGATGACGGTGGAAAATTGAAGAAGAGTGAGGAATAGGGAGAAAAGTTTCATTTAAGTTTTCATGGATGACTGGGGTTCTGAACCATTGTGTAAACACATCTTGGAACAGAATCGTTGAAGTCGAAAGCTTTTGTTTGATCGGTCTGCTCTTATGCCAAAAGGAAAATTCAAAGTCTGAGAAGGACCTGGAAACCAGAATTTCAGAACGATAAAATAGGAACATGAGAACAAAATGTCACTGAGCCGTTGATCGGTTCACTACACAACATGGGCTATGCAGTCAAAAAATAGAGTGAGATGAGATAGCACTACTTAGTGCTATCGTCCATATTACTTTTTTTGATCAAGTTGCTGCTGCTGCTGCTGTTGCAGATCACTCAGAATACCCTTCTGCTGCTGCTGGATTTTTTCCATGTCTTCCCTCAAATCAAGCATCGATTTCGGAGAAACAGGATTCCCCTCTTCGTCATACTGAGGAATCTCCACGTCTGTTCTCAGATTGCCGTCTTTTCTCAGTCTGTCGATGATTATCGGCTCGAAAAATTGCGTTCCAGTGTATATTCCAACAAACCCCACCAGACCGAATGCGGCAACATCGAAGAACCTGATTCTGGGCATGTCTAGTTCTCGCTGACAATCAAACCTTCAAGTGTGAGAAGCCCTGTACTTGTCCTGTTTCCAGTTGTGAACGCTATCCTGTGAATCGTTTTTCAATATATCTAATAACCCACACACATCTGGGTCGAAAAAGTTAGTGGCGTCCTGGAAAACTTGACTTCACGACACTACAACACTTGAAATTGAAGTACAAAAGCGATTCACGTTTAAAAATCGCTGCGTGTTTATGAACCTGGTGAGGGCAACAATTCGTCGACCATTTGAAGAATTGAAAAATAGACTTGTAATCTCAAGACTGTACCCTTGGATAAATAATCAATTCCACACCCACACTCACAGACGACTTTCCCAAACAAAAATGAGTGGGTACCGTGATCTGGGAATTGAATTCCAAAAACCGGTCTTGGATGATCGAAACTACCGTTTTATCGAGTTGCCCAACAAATTGAAGGCACTTTTGATCCAAGACCCAGAAACTGATAAATCAGCAGCGTCGTTGGACGTAAACATTGGGTCGTTCGAAGATCCAGAAGACGTGCCTGGATTGGCACATTTTTGCGAGCATCTTTTGTTTATGGGGAGCTCTAAATTTCCTAACGAAAACGAGTATTCTAGCTATTTGAGCAAACACGGTGGCGGCTCTAACGCATACACAAGTTCGCAAAACACCAACTACTTTTTCCAGGTCAATCACGAAAGCTTGCACGGGGCATTGGACAGATTCTCAGGGTTTTTCAGCTGTCCGTTGTTCAACAAGAACTCCACGGACAAGGAAATAAATGCGGTTGACAGCGAAAACAAGAAAAATGTGCAAAGCGATCTTTGGAGACTTTACCAGCTTGATAAATCACTCACGAGTGACAAACACCCGTTCCACAAGTTTTCAACGGGTAATTTGAAAACACTAGGCAGCATCCCAAGTTCAAAAGGCGTGGACATAAGAGATGAATTGCTAAAATTCTACAACTCCTCATATTCTGCCAATCTGATGAAGCTCTGTGTTCTGGGAAGAGAAGACCTGGATACAATGTCAGAATGGGTGTATGATTTATTCAAAGACGTTCCGAACTCTGATCGTTCGGCTCCTTCTTATAACGCCAAAATGTTACCATCTGATTGCTTGCTGAAGATCATTAGGGCTAAACCAGTAAAGGATTTGAAAAAGGTGGAGGTTACTTTTGCATGTCCAGATGTCGAAAAACTTTGGGAGTCCAAGCCGGGGCACTTTCTGAGCCATCTGATCGGCCACGAAGGCTCGGGATCACTATTGGCTTATTTCAAGGCTAAGGGGTGGGCCAATGAGCTGTCAGCCGGCGCTCACACTGTCTCCGAAGGAAACGCCATTTTCTCTGTCGACATTGATTTGACTGACGAGGGTATTGGGAACTATGAAGAAATAGTAGTTGCGGTATTTCAATATCTCGAAATGCTGAAACAAGACCTTCCGCAGGACTGGATCTTCACAGAACTACGCGACATCGCAGAAGCCAATTTCAAGTTCAAGCAAAAGGGCAATGCTTCTTCTACCGTATCTGCCCTGTCCAAGGCGCTCGAAAAGGACTTCATACCAGCTGGCGATATTCTAAGCACCGGCTTATTGCGTAAATATGAACCCGATGCTGTCATGTCCTTTTTGAATGCTTTGACACCGGAAAACTCTCGTGTGACGCTCATTCACAAAGATGTTCATACTGACCTAGTTGAGAAGTGGTACGGTACGGAATACAGTGTTATTAAGTATCCAGATGGGCTACTAAACAAAGTCAAAGCTCCTGGTTTAAATCCGCGCTTACGTTTACCTCGGCCAAACGAATTTATCTGTACCAATTTCCATGTTGACAGGCTAGAATCAATCGAGCCGTTGCAAGAACCATTGCTGTTGAAAGATGACGGTCAGAGCAAATTGTGGTACAAGAAGGATGACAGGTTCTGGGTTCCCAAAGGTCACGTATATGTCTCGATGAAGCTTCCTCATACTTACTCTAGTGTCATAAACAGCATGCTCACTACTCTTTACGTGGACCTTGTGAATGACAGTTTGAAGGATTTAGAGTACGACTCTCAAGTGGCCAGCTTACACATCACTTTCAGCAAAACAAACCAGGGTCTAGATCTTTCGTTGAGCGGCTACAACCAGAAGATCACTACACTGTTAACAAGATATCTGCAAGGCGTTGCCGAGTTTTCGCCTTCTGAGTCACGGTTTAAAGTATTTCGAGACAAACTCGTTCAGAAATTGAACAATCATTTGTATGAGGTCCCATACTCTCAAGTTTCGGACGTTTACAACTCCATCGTGAATGAGAGATCATGGACCATCGCCGAAAAGATAGAAGTCGCGAAGCAATTGTCTTTCGAGCATTTGAAAAGCTTCGTACCAACCATGTATGAGCAGTTTTTCTTCGAAACACTGGTACACGGAAATTTTAAACAAGATGTCGCCATTGAAATCGACGAGTTGATAAAAATTTTAGCTCCCTCTGACATAAAGGTCAGTCACTTGAAAGGCTCCAAACCTAGATCGGTCTTACTACCAGAAGGAAAAACGTTCTTTTACCAGCAGCAATTGGCAGATGAGAAGAACATAAATTCCTGCATTCAACACATCACGCAGTTGGGTGTGTTTTCCGAGAAGCTTTCTGCCAAGGCTGCATTAGTGGCCCAACTGATTGACGAACCTGCTTTTAACACTTTGAGAACAAAGGAGCAACTGGGATATGTTGTCTTCAGCTCAGCACTGAATACTCATGGCACAATCAATTTAAGGATCCTCATTCAGTCCGAGCGTGATTCGGCATACTTGGAGTCGAGGATTGAATCGTTTTTGGCAAAAACCGAACAAGATATCGAAAAAATGAGTGAGGAGGAATTTGAAGGACACAAGTCAGCCTTGTGTAAGACGTTGTTACAGAAATACAAGAACTTGTCAGAGGAGCACGTCCGCTTCACTACGACGATTTACGTGGGAGAGTACAATTTTGTTCACAAGGAAAGAAAGGCCCGGTTGATTGAATCGCTGACAAAAACGGAAATGCTGCAATTCTACCGCTCGCATGTTATGTCCAAGGCGACGTCTAAGCTGATCATTCATTTGAAGTCACAGGTGCAAGACGAAGAGGCGAAAAAGAGAGATTTCGTGGAGTCACACCCCGCCGGAGAGCAGATCTTGGATATCGGCCGTTTCCAGAGCATGATGAGTTTAGCACCTGCACGTCAACCAGTGAAGAAGATCGAAGTGACACCCAAACTATAAGTTATTTTTCTGTAGTATGGAAAATTTGCCATGGGCGCCAATGACGAAAAGAAGTACATATGTAATAAACAATGTAACAGTCAAGAAAAGGAGCGCACATGCCCAAATATCAAACTACCAGAGCCTCCTACGACGCTCACAATCTATACAAAATCAAGTTAAAATGTAGCCTTTCTTCGACATTCCCGGTCTATCATCCCCTGAGGGACTCACCAACCGCGAACTTCCTAAAATCCAGTCATATTATAAATTGTTCTGGGAAACTCATATTCCAAATTCAAGAAAAGGAATATTGGCAATTAGCAGCTGTTAGAAGACAGACTAAGCTAACTGTGGCATCGTTTCCGTGCATTTTTGATTCAAAGGAGGAAGTAAAAGGTTCAAAAGGTGGTAAGGGAAGAAAGGAACAGAGCCGATCGAGCTTTCTCTTTATATACTTCCAGAACGGTCCGGGTAACCATATTTTAGTAATTAGAATTCAAACCTATCATGAAGCGCGGTAACTAGCACATCACTGCCTTTGAGGGCACTGCATCGAGACAGTTTTAAAGCCAAATTCCGGTAGTTAGGGCTGAGGACGTAAATAGCCGCCCTTTCACTGGGTATATTCCAAATGGGAACATCGAAACGTAATCGGATAAGTTTTCTTTCACTATGTAGATACATGCCAAATAAACAGCTATAGGGAGATGAGCCCAATAGGGAGCTCACCACAAACGTTTACCCATACGCACGCATGGTGCGGGCGAGCGAGCTTTTTATCTGTATTTGTTGAAGCCGATGTCGTTGGCCTTCTCTCTGAAGCATTGACGGCAGATGTTTAGGCCGTACTTTCTGATCAGACCCTGGTGGGAGGCGCAGACACGGCACTGGCGGGAGCCTTTACCGAAGTTTCTTGGGTGGGAGAACCAGACGTTTTCGTGAGCCATTTTGCTACAATGCGGTTAGTATTACGATGTTGAAAAATTGGGCAAAAAAAGCCAAACGAAAGGGAAGAAAAAAGGGTTGACGGAGACGGGTGGGAGGAGCCATTGGCGAAAACGAGTCAAAGCGGGACATGGACAGTCGTTGGTCCTGAATAAAGCTGCCCTTATGTGTGTATGTGTGGTACTGAACCTGTCCTTTAGGCTTTGGACACGCTCAAACGGCTTTTTCCCAGTGACCCACAGCTTTTCCCTACCAATGTACCCACTATTCTGGTGTGAACACCACTTGGAACTTGTGTTTACTCCCAAACACACACACACACACTGACATTCCATTCTCACCACATTCACTCAAACGTTTTTGTTTTTCAAGTCACGACGGCACACTGAGACCCTCTCTCATTCAACCACTCATTCCATTCACTTTACACTGCTGATGCGCGACATACTTTAGCGATAATCTCTTGCTTCTCGTGCTTCAGTCAACGGACGTATACAAGACTGCTAGAATTCAACTTCTTTCACCAAGTTTTCCAGAGATGTGTCCAAGTTTCAATTTTTCGTCAGTGCTAGTGCGGGCGTCCCACACACACAGCGTGGAACTCGTAGTCACGAGTGCTGACGATGTGGAAACGGCTGAGGGAAAAAGTTGCGTGGGTCAAAATAGAAAAAAAACACAACACACGTGAGAATGATCATGTGACGGTTTTGAAAATTTCAAAAATTTCTTGAAAGTGACTTTTTTGAAAAATGTGTGGGTTCTAAAAAGCAGTCACACATGAACGAGATACACGGGACGATGAAAATTTTAGATTATGATTATTACAGTGGGATGGGAACCTTGGAAGAAAATCAAGAGCGATGAGCATAACTACTTGCTCATCGCGGATATTGACAACAGTATAAAACAGTCATAATAGAGGATTAAACCTACTGAAAAGGTGTTTTATCTTGTTTCTCACTATCAGCATCAAAATCGTGTCTTTGAACCGTTGTGTGCTTTTTTGAAACGGTGAAGAAAGACCATATTTGAAGGCTATGGCAGGTCATTCGCACAGATCGTCTGTGAAAAACGGCCACAAGCCGTTCAAATCGAAACATGCCTCGAAGGGCGCTCTCAAAAATATGTACAAGGGCAAAGTGGAAAAAGCAGGTTCTTCCGTTTCTGGAAAAGGCGGCGTGAAGCCGATGTCCAGGCTGCAGCGCAAGAATACGGCCAAACAGGCTCGGGAGCACAAGATCTTGGACTCTCTGAACACCCGTAAACTATTCGAGGGCGCTGGTGGTGCAGAGAAGATTATCACGGTCATCCCATTGACGACGGACGTGGAACCAACAGAGTTGATCGCCAAACTCATTGCAGATGCCGACCCAGAAGCGGACTTTCAAGTGCCTTCTGCACCCTGTATTTTCAGCATCAACGTGAAGAAGTTTCGTTGTAACCTCAAATTCGTCGTTCCCGACACAAGCAACTTCATTAGTGTGCTGGATGCGACTAAAATTGCGGACTTCACGCTGTTTGGACTCAGTGCGACCGCTGAGGTCGATACTGCGTTTGGAGAGCAGATCATCCGTGCCGTGGAATTGCAAGGTATCTCCTCGTACATGGGGTGTGTTGCAAACTTGTCACAGGCCCATCCTAAGGAGAAATTTCAGCTAGATATCAAGCAATCGCTCGAGAGCTTCTTCAAGCATTTCTTCCCCAGTCAAGACCGCATATGCAACCTCGAAAAAGCTTCAGAAGCGGCCAATGCGTTGCGCACCTTGTGCCAGCGGTTCCCTCGCCAAATGAGCTGGAGAGACAACAGAGGTTACATGGTGGCCGATGCTGTCGATTTCATCGAGTCCGCAACTGATGGTGAAGATGGAACTCTAGTCGTAGACGGCACTGTCCGTGGGATTGGGTTCAATGCAGACCGTCTTGTTCATATTCCTGGTCTGGGAGACTTCCAAGTCTCGCAGATCGAAAAAGTTAGCGACTCAAACCGCAAGGCCACTCACAGCAAGAAAAGCGAAACCCTTTCTGAAGCTATGGATCTGATCCCAAAGACGCACTTCTCACCCAGTGCAGAACAAGACACACTAGACGAGTACGCACCTGAGATTGTGGACAATGGCATGGACGCCGATGACGATGGATTTCAATACGACGAACTCAAAGCTGCCCGTTTCGACAACCATGGCTTTTTACCAGGTAGTGAACAAGCCGCGAAAAGGAAAATAGTCCCCAAAGGCACATCAGAATACCAGGCAAGATGGTATCTGGACGATGTAATTGACGCTGCAGACGAAGAGGAACTAACAAACTTGGATGACGCGGATATGGCCATTGATGAGGATGCTGAGGATGGCGTTTCTAGTGATGAAATGGAACAAGAAGTTGGTGAAGAGCAGCTGGAGGATGCAGATGCTCAAGATGAAATGTATGTCGATTTGTCTCCGGAGGAAGAAGAAAGACAGCTCAATGAATATCGCGCGTTGGAAAAAGAAGACCGTGAGTTTCCTGACGAGATCGAACTCCAGCCTTCTCAATCTGCAACAGAAAGACTTAAGAGATACAGGGGGCTAAAGAACCTATACAATTGCACTTGGGATGTCGACGAGTTCGACCCCAACGCTACCCCAGAATGGAAGCGTATCTTGAGGATCGGCAACTATACCAATACCAGAAACAAAATTTGCAAAGAGTCCATCAAAAACGCCGAGGTGATTGCTGGTGACCGTATCAAGCTGCACATCAAGATGAACAGATCATTCGTCTCCAGGATAAAAGACCCTCGTGAAGAAATTTTGGCTATCTACGGATTGCTGAGACATGAACACAAAAATGCATTAGTGAATTTTTCGATTCAAAGATGGGAGGATTTTGAGGACCCTGTTCCATCAAAAGAGCCATTGTTTGTACAATACGGTATTCGGAGATACAAAATCCAGCCTTTATTCTCATCGACTTCGCATACCCCCAATAACGTCCACAAATACGAGAGATTTCTGCATCAAGATTCGGCTGCAATTGCAACGTGTATTGCGCCAGTCGACTTCACTCAATCCCCTGCCATTTTCTTCAAAGCGTGTCCGGGCGATGCAAAGGGAATCCAGTTTGTGGGCCATGGCTCATTTTTGGGTGTGGATCACACACGTATCATCAGTAAAAGAGTTGTTCTTACCGGTGATCCTTTCAGGTTCCACAAGAACGTTCTCACGGCGCGCTATATGTTTTTCAGACCTGAAGACGTGGAATGGTTCAAGTCTATTCCTCTATTCACCAAGAGTGGCAGATCTGGTTTTATCAAAGAAAGCTTGGGTACCCACGGCTATTTCAAAGCTACTTTCGATGGCAAGCTCTCTGCGCAAGACGTTGTGGCGATGTCCTTATTCAAGAGGGTCTGGCCTCGCACCTCAGAGCCGGTAGATTTTTAAAACTGTACATATAGACGGGTAAAATAGATAAACAGATACTGCAATGGCAATAAGTACAGGAAATTTGGGTGGCTGGGTGGCTGCTCTGGTTCAAAATATTCAGTAAACAAACCACCACTCTCACCGAATCAAATTTGCAATGGCTTCAGTTCTCAAATCCTAAATGAAATAGTTTGACCCATATATCAAAGACGGTGGTGACATTACAATGTACCCAGACATAGAAGAGACGAAAAAGAATGGTTCGAACTCGAGCAAAATCGGCAAAATCAGTATAAATAACAAGTTGAGATCTTTACAGCTCGAAAGTCCAATTGACCGCTTCTTTGTTTGGTTTTTATCAATTGTCATATAGAGCGTTCATAGTGTCACTTTATAGTGACACTTGAATTTTAAGCATTAGACATTCGCAACTTACAATTATTCATCTTTCGAAGCAACTTCCAAATACTCAAAGTTGAGCTCTTTAAACCTCCAGTGTCATCAAAGTTCATTGAAATAGACGTGTTAAAGTCAACTATGAGTGCAGTATTTACTTGCAATGCTTGCTTGATCCAGTTCCGCTCAAGCGACCAGCAAAGATACCATATGAAGACCGAATGGCATAGGTACAACTTGAAGCGGAAAATAGCACAATTAGAGCCCATTCCGGCTGATCTTTTTGCCGAAAAGCTGCAACTATCAGAGAAAGAAAGGGAGAAGAACCAAGTGGACGAGTTTGGGTTTCCAATTTTGAAGACTAGAGAGCAGCAATCACAGCATAAGAACAAAGCAAATTCCAAGCCCAAGAAAAAGAGAGGTCGTCGACTACAAGATGTGTTGAATGCTAGTGAGGATAAAAATGAGCGGTCTGTGTCGCCAGTGGGGTCTGTGGCATCAGAAATATCGAAAATTTCGGTTCATAGCTCGGACTTCGACGATGAAAGGTCACTTGATAACGGTTTCACCACCGATTCGAATGAAGAGTTCACCAGTGATTATGACACAACAGAAACAGAAACAGAAACAGAAACGGAAACAGAGGGGAACGAGAGTGAGGTCGATATCGCTAAAAACAAGCTTCAATTCACACATACAGAGTGTCTCTTCTGTGGTTCGGAAAGTAAGGATATAGAGCGCAACATCAGTCATATGTTCAGATCTCACGGTCTTTACATACCCGAAAGGTCTTTTTTGGTGGATCTAACAGGCCTTATCGATTATTTAATCGATGTGATAGTATATTCTCATCAGTGCCTCTGTTGTTCGTTCCAGGGCAGCAGCTTAGAAAGCATTCGAGCACATATTACTTCCAAGCGTCACGCAAAGCTACCATACGAGACGAAAGACGAGCGCTTACGATTTTCCAAGTTTTACGACTTTTCGTTAGCTGAAGATCATTGGGAAAGCGACTCTAGTGCCTCAGACTCGGAAGGAACCGGCTCTTCTTCTAGCGTCAACGAGCGCATCACCAGGGAGAGACAGGATAGACACCCTAATCATACTCATGCAGAGGTCGACGAAAATGGTGTGGAACTCACTCTACCCACAGGAGTAAGAGCGGGACATCGTCTCATGAGGAGAGGCCAGAGACAAAACTTTCCTCTACAAGCTAATGGCATCAATGGTAACAGGACTCAAACAGTTGGTGATAGAAGGTATCTGGGCGGTGTCACAGATAAAGCCATTAAGAAGAACGACAAAAGAGCCCAGCAGCAGGAAAGACAAAGCATAAACCGCCAAATTAGGACGGAAACCAGACGTAGTAACTTCCAAACGCACTACAGAGACGAGCTGCTACAATGAACACATTTGGATCATTATAGAGACAGTAAGCGCTATCTTCACGCGGCAAGGCCAGGACAAGTATGGTATGTACGTTCAATCTTACTTAGGCGGACGAAAAAGACTATTTACTATATTTATTCGAAATTAGGACTGCCTTTGCGCCAATTATCTGCAGTTTAGGCTGTGGTGGTCGCCAGAGGTTTTCGAAGTTTGACTTAAAAATAGCGGTATCATTTCTCGAGCTTTGAAGCAGAGCTTTCTATCAAGCACCCAGAATGCATAAGAGCGTTTCCCACTTTCACGAATCATGCCGAAGTAGGAAATGATTGGCGGGCCACCCAAGAAAGTTCGAAGAGGTACCATTTTAGCCGCGATGAGCAGAGCTTTTGTACTTTCGGAGACTTATCGAACCTACTTGAATACCCACACCTACCCTCGGTGTATAACAGATCCTGTGTCGTTTTCGTCTTCGGGTCCGTCCACCGGCTGACCGTTATTGATGGACAAGGAGTCTTGGGTCAAGACAGGGTCCCACAAAGCAAACCGTGAATCTTCGACCGCAGTGTCCTTTGGAAAGCTTAATTCGGCCTCACAAACGGCTTTGAAGTGCTCTAGTAGGCCTTGAAACCTGATTCGTTGATTTTGAAGGGAAGCTGTTGAATTGACCGATTCTGTGGACGAATACTCGCCGCCACTATTATTTCCATCCTTTGGCTTATAGAATGGACTGGGTGGTATTTTACGCGCTGCTAACGTACTGACACTACCAAGCCGAGTGTTGAGTATTTTGAATGCCTTCGATTGAGGTAAAACCATTAGTATACCATACAAGCATTTGTAAAGGTATGGATACCGTTCTTGCTCCAGCAATTGTAGCCTCAAACTGGTGAAAACCGGTGATTCCAATAACTGAACAAGTATATCGATTTGAACAAGATCATTCACGGACAGCTCATACTCGACAAAAGTTTGCAGGATATAATAGGCGAGCTCATACTTGCCTGCAAGAAGACATAAAGCCAGCAGTGACGTGGGGTTATGAGACCAGCATTTGAAAAGAGAAGAAAAAAACTCATTATTGGTACCGGCTTTCAATTTTCTTCGCAGCCTTTCAAGCTCAGGTGCTGTAATGAGATTGGTGTTCAGGATTTGAATCATCATTCTAACAAATAAAAGATCGTTTTCTTCCTCTAAGATAGATGAGACCACATTGTAAACCCTCTCAGCCGAAAGTTTTATACCGAGCTGCCTGAAGATATGGTTGGCTCTGGTTTTCAGAAGCCTGCTATCGCTTTTAAAGAGTAAAAGTAGATCCTTGACAAATTTTCTGAAGTATCCCTCATTGGAACTGTTACAGAGATCACTGAGCAGATGCAGCGCTTTGGATACCAGCTGATTGTCCCTATCTGAAAGCGATTTCAGTAAAGTAAAAAAGGTTGTATCACTGTGCTCAAGTAACTGATTGGGAACCTTCTGATAGATCAAAATAAGCCAATCCAGACAAGCGACTTTGGCAACCACATCACTGTCCAAGAAATGTAAGGTTAATGTGTTGACAATAGGACCGTAGTTAATCGCCTCCGGGCCATCGTTGTAATCGAATTTAGCGGTTAGATCGATAAGCTTTCCATTCACCTTTTGAGCCAACTGCCTAACTCTTGGTTCAACGTCGTTCAAAATCTTCAAAAGTAATGAAAGCAGCTTCGACAAAAAGGGCAAAAAGGCCGAAGGGCATATGTCTAAAATTGTTTCAATCCAGGTCAAGACCACCAATTGAATCTCCGGTTCTGAGGATCCCAATGTATTGATCAAAATCTCGATTATTCTGTGGAAATCTAGGTGAACGTCCTCACCAGGCGAGTAAATGTCCCCGTTGACTAGGTCCAAAGACTCCGATCCTTCTACGAAATTGGTGATGGCCTTTTCACAATCTTCACCCTGTATAACGGCAGTACCTTCGCTAAATTTGTTTTCATCGTTGCTTGAAGAAACCCTGCTCTTACTTGGACTTAGGTTTTTTACCATACTCAGTTGTTCAAAGGCAGTAAGCAGTGATTTTTTTCTTTCACTTATCAACGTACCGTCTTGTTTCTTGATAGACGATGCCTCATCGGAATTTATGCGTTGCTGTGCCTTATCGGCTACTCTTTTTTGTACGATGGCTTTAACCTCGGAGATACGTTGCGTTTCATGTAGCAGCAAATCTATGAGCGAATGCGTCACAGTTCTAACGTCCTTGTGAGAATCACCGAGAAAAGTGAAAAGTCCCCCTAGAAAAGATGGCAGGTACGATATCAGTTCCAAGTCTGGGATATTTTCGAGCACTTGTAGCCATGAAACGAGGAACATACGTGTGTCTGGATTGATGGCGTATATCCGTTCGGTCAAAAGAGGAATAAATTTGGGCAATGAGAACGCATGCTCCGGTTCTTGTTTGTACTCTTCGCGCAAAACTTCGCCAGTCTGAGGATCTGTACGAGTTGAGGGTGGAAGATCTTTGGGATCAAGGTTGATGATGCTGATGTAAGTCGAGGCTCTTTCCGCCACAACATCCTTGACAAGACGGTCCAAAAGCTCAGCCGCTCCTCTGACAGACGTTTCCGTGTCTGCACTGATTTTGCAAAGCACGTCGAAAATCTCGTTGAAATACACCAGAATCTCGCCTTTTGCGATCTTCGCGATGTTATATAAACTCTCACAAGCGTAAAACCGCACCTGGTCATTTTGGTCACCAAAACAAGCTAAAACGGGTGGTAAAATACGGTCCAAGTATCGTGCTACCTCGGTTGAGCCCAATGCAATTGCACAGGCTGCAAGGCCCATTAAACCTGCGTTTCTGGCCATTGGCTGGTGCAGCGCATACGCAAAATCACGACACAATTCATCCAAAATATTGTCCACTCTGTCATAATCCTCTTCCGCTAAACATTCCTTGACCAACTTCTCCAAGTTCAACGCCGTAGCTTTCCGTTTTTCGTACAATTTATCATTAAGGCCCTTTACAATAGCTTTGTCTGTAGAAAGCAAGGGGAACGCGACATAGTTAGTATTGTATATATAAATTAAGGTAAAGCACCGCCCAGTTTAACGAGAAGACTGACATACCCATTGAGACAATTTAAATAGATCCCTTGGACGATTAGTTCTTGGATTTTGTAAGTTGTTTTCAGTGTTCATGAATTTTGTTCAATTTATATAGATGTCAAGTTCATTATACAACTTGTATTTGATCCTGGAGAAATCTCGAGACATATAAAAGCAGCTAAAGCTCGATTCGAAGATGCCTCTAGCAGCAAATGTGGCATTGCTGATGCTCCAGATTGTTTTGTACAGGCAGCAAGAGCTTTCCCACGGCGAAAAAGGTGGGAAATTGAACGAGCTATTGGTAGATCCGGTAGTGGATGAAGTTGTACTGGATCGGTTCACCAATCATCGCATAGTGAAGCTTTACGCTCCGGAACTAGAAAAGGTGAGACTTCGTACGATGAAAAAAGAGGTTGCAGATCTGTTTAGCGCGGGTCTTCCGGATAAGAACTTGCCAGTTACGGTTATTACTCTAGCAAATCATTTCTACTATACACGTATAAATGAACTTGAAAAGGACCAAATCCCAAAAATCAACAGGCAGATGGTTAACTTTGTGGAACAACAGGAACAACAGGAACAGGACCATAAAATAGAGACTCCTTAATGCGTGTTACCGCTGATGACGATTCTATTCACCTCAAATTCCCATTTTTGGCTTGGCGTACAAAGCGATGCAAATTTTATTGGTAAATTGATGCATCTCGCGCATCTCATCTCTCAAAAGCTCATCGCATCACATCGAAGTTGAACGATATAGCCGGTTAAAGGTCTTTTGGACTGTATATTTCGACGAGAGGCTTCCAAAATTGTCCTAGATGCGAAACCTTATTACGCTTAATCATGGTGGATTCCAGCCGGCTTCGCTTAGCGTCCCAGACCTGAAATTGCTGACCAGCGTCTTCGATACTTTGTCGGACAGCATTACCTGTGTGCTGGCCGATTTGGACATTGGTGCATTCGAAGTTCATCAGTACACCAAAACAGGGAATTGTAATGTATTGGCGTCGTTCAATATCCAAACGTTTGGAGATGAGCTGCTATCGTTCATTCATTTTGGTGATATCAGTCAACTGGTTTTTGTACTGGGCCAAGGAGATATTGTGACTGCCAGCTACGATTCTGAAACGTACGACTTATCGCTTTCGGTGGTCGAAATAGTTGGATCAATTGAAGGAGGCATAAGAGCAGCCGAATGGTCTCTTGACGAAGAAACTTTGGCCCTGGTCACTTGCGAGCACAACGTCGTGGTTCTCAGCAGGCAGTTTGAGCCTATAGCCGAGCACAAACTCACGAAAGATGATCTCAAGATGTCCAAGCACGTTGATGTAGGATGGGGTAAAAAGGAAACGCAGTTCAGAGGGAAAGGCGCCCGCGCCATGGAAAGAGAGGCCCTCGAAAGCCTCAAGGCGTCGGGATTAAAAGGTACTCAGCTAAGAGATCCAACAATGCCGTATGTGGTCGATACTGGGGTTTTGGGACCAATGGATTCGGGTAATGCTTCGATATCATGGAGGGGCGACTGCGAATATTTCGTAGTGTCCGAGGTCGAAGCAATTCAATCTCAAAACGAAGAGGAAGAACTTACACGGAGAGTCCTCAGAGTCTTTTCGCGTGACGGGCAACTAGATAGTGCTTCAGAACCAGTGGACGGTCAGGAAAATCCCTTGAGTTGGAAGCCACAAGGATCTCTTATTGCGTCTATTCAACGAAAAGACCAGACACCTGGTGAAGAGTCGCTGGATCTAATTTTCTTTGAGAGAAACGGTTTGAGGCATGGTGAATTTGATTGTCGTCTCGCCTTAGATGATAAAGTCACAAATCTGAGTTGGAATTCGACCTCAGAAATACTGGCCATCACGCTTATAGACAGGATCATGCTATGGACGAGCAAAAATTACCATTGGTATTTGAAGCAAGAAATTCAGGGCCAAAACATCCATTATGTAAAGTGGCATCCAGAAAAGGACTTCACGCTTATGTTTGGCGATGAAAATGGTGTCAATGTGGTGGATTTTGCTCATAAACTAGCATTGGGACCCACCTTAGAACCTTTTGACTACGGTACCGTACTTGTGATTGACGGGTCAACGGTCAATATTACGCCGCTTTCTTTGGCTAACGTACCCCCTCCTTTTTATTACAGAGACTTTACAGCACCTTCCAGTGTTATAGACGCTGCCACAAGTATCTCCAATGAGGTTTACGCCGCTATCACTAAAGATGAACTTTGTTTGGCCTCTGTGCCCGGCTTGGAAGACATGAAAAAAGGATTGCATCCCGTTGTCGCCAAAATTATCCCAAAATCAGATTTTGCAGCTGCCTCTGACACTTTGAGACAAGTTGCCTTCATAAACGATAATGTGGTAGGAGTTTTGATAGACTCCCAGAACTTATCACGCATTGCACTGCTCGATGTGTCTGAACTAGAGCAGCCTGAATTGATCATAGTAGCGGACGCTCCGAGTAAGGTCGTTCTACTTCGTGTTGCGTTTGAAAATAATTATCTTATTTTCGAGACCAAGGATTGTAAGGTTTTTCAGCTGGACCAGGAAGGGCAAGTCACAGAGATTGCAACGTTACCGCAGCTTGTCCGCGATATACGTGTCAAAAGAGTAGAAACATTACCTGTGGTTGGTCAAGAACATTTCGACGAGTCTAGGCAAGTAGCTTTTGGTCTTGCTGCTAATGGTAAACTTTATGCTAACGACGTCCTAATAGCCAGTACTGCCACATCGATGGAAATTACAGATAATATGCTGATGTTCACCACTGCACAACACAACTTACAGTTTGCTCATTTGAATTCGACGGACTTCAAACCATTGCCAGTCGTTGGCCAAAGTGTCGATGACGAAAGGATAAGAGCAGTTGAAAGGGGCTCTCTTTTGGTGACAGTTATACCATCAAAGTCATCGGTTGTGTTACAAGCCGCACGAGGTAATTTAGAGGTCATTTGCCCCCGTATCATGGCGCTGGCTGGTGTGAGAAAAAGTATTCTCGCCAAGAGATATTATGATGCCTTCATCACATGCCGTACGCATAGAATTCACTTGGATATTCTTCATGACTATGCTCCTGAACTTTTTATCGATAATCTGCAGCTCTTCATTGAAGACATTGGGAGAGGTGATTATCTTGACTTATTTATATCCTGTTTGACAGAGGAGGACGTCACTGATGTGAAGTACAAAGAGACAACTGATATTGCAATGGATCAGAACTTTGGGCTTACCCCTCCAGCACCGACAGACATGGAGATTTACATGAAGAAGAAAATGTTCAACCCGGAGACTTCCAAAGTAAACAAAATTTGCCGCGCGATTCTCCAAGTCTTCTTGGAAAATTCAGAGTACCGGAAAAAATACTTGCAATCTATTATAACAGCATATGCGTGCCAAAATCCCCCAGATCTAGAAAATGCTTTGTCGCTCATCTCATCTCTCGCGAATGAAGGTGAGAATTGTTTGACCTACCTGTGTTTCTTGCATGACGTTAATGTCCTCTACAAAGTTGCTTTGTCTCTTTATGACATCAAATTAACGCTTGCAATTGCACAAAAATCGCAAATGGACCCTAAAGAGTACCTCCCCTTTTTGCAAACGCTTTACGAACAGGACCCACTTCTACAGAAGTTCATGATTGATGATCACCTAAAACGCCATGAAAAAGCGTTGGATCACCTCTCAGCGATTGAATCCAGTTCGAATGACCTTTCTGATAAAGTTTTGGAGTACGTCGAAACCCATGACCTCTACAAGTATGCTTTGAACCTTTTCAAGTATGATGCTCAGAAACAAAATGCTGTCTATAAGGTCTATGCACCTTTTCTGTCGTCTAACCAGGAATATGGTGAATCTGCAATCATTTATGAAATGCTCGGCGAGTTCAAGGAAGCTATGGAGACCTACACCACTGGCAAAAAGTTCAACGAAGCATTAACAATCGCGTCTCTTCATTTCAAGGACCAGGTGACTGAGGTTGCAGAAGCTTTGGTGTCCTCCTTAACCTTCGATCACAAATACGCAGATGCCGCGGATGTTGAACTCGATTATCTAAAAAACACCAAGGAAGCAATGAGGCTTTATTGCAAAGCTTACCGTTACGAGAAAGCAGCTTTAGTTGGTGCCACGCACGGTTCTTCGGAGCTGATTGAAGAAATTCTTGAGCCTGCTCTAGGCGAAGGCTTTGGTACGATTGCCGAGCTGCTAGCAGACTGCAAAGGTCAAATACTTTCCCAGTTGCGGAGACTGCGCGAACTAAGGCAGAAGAAGGACGAGGATCCGTACTCATTCTACGGGCAAGAAACAGATCAGGCGGATGACATTTCGATCGCAGCATCAGAAACATCGACTAAAGAATCGTTTTTCACTAGGTACACCGGGAAAACAGGCGGGACCGCTAAGACAGGGGCTTCAAGGCGTACTACAAAAAACAAACGTCGCGAGGAACGTAAGCGTGCTCGTGGTAAGAAGGGAACCATCTACGAAGAAGAATACCTCATTCAGTCAATTGGAAGACTTATCGAAAGATTGAGACACTCTGAATCTGAAGCTATCATGTTGATAGAGGCTTTGTTGAGACGAGGAAGAAGAGAAGAAGCGCAACTCATCCAAAAGAATTTCGTTGAAGTGATGACTCTGCTAAAAGATAACGTTCTAGAAATCTACAGCATCAACGAAAAGGATAGGGAGAGAGTTGACGATGAAGGTAACGTGTACCATATACCTGAGATTCCCTTGCCTGATATCAAGCTATTCCCCAGACGTCAAATAATCGATTTTTAAATAATCTATAAATGGATGCACCAAAATCACTCAATATTTTTTGGAATTAGAGCCGTAGAGCCCATCTACGTAATAATTCGTCGAAACGCGGCGCTCATGCTCGAGTATTATGCTTTCTAGCCGTAAAAAGCATTTTTTGAAGGCATCGTTGATGGCCAACTTCTTAGATTTGCTGAAGCTGTCTCCCTTTGTAGCCGCTGTAGTTGATCCGACACCCGATGACTCTGTGTTTGTACCATCTTTGAGCTTTAATCTAACCTTAGCTTCTGAAAGCACTTCATAGCGTTCATTAAGTGACTCAGACGATGGATCTTTAGAAGGAACTGACCTGCAGTTTTCAGCATGAATTTCCAAGACTTCTAGCGACCAACCATCAAAACCTAGTGCTTCGTTTGCATATTGTATGAGAACATGGGCAGGAATCAGTTTTGCCAAAGAGTGTTTTCCATAACGATTACGGTGATATATTTTGCCTGTGTATGACTCTATTTTTGATAGTAGAACACCGATTCTTTGAACAGCCCAAGCACTCGCGGGACGGTCCGTCCATTGCTCGGTGATCTGTAGATCGTCTAAGCACACTTCTTTGAGGCCTGGTCCCATCTCGAAGATGGCCCCATCGTAGGATAAATTAGTTAAATACGCACTCATTTAGGCTTGTCTCTCTGTTCACGTTAAAATTAAGTACACACACTACAGTGCTGTGAGCCACTGAGTTTAAGCTAAAGAGTGAGTGGTCTCAAACAAGGCTCGGCTTGCACATCAAATACCCTACAGGCTACTACTTTCTCCGATGCATCGGAAGACGTGCCAAGTTTTTAGCGTGCGCCATAGTTAATGTCACAAGCTAGTTCTACTAATTCCAGATCACGGAAAAACGACACATACGTATCTTATGACATTAGTTTCGCTCGAGACGACGACACTTCAACCACAGATCCGGATGGCAATTGAATTAGAGTGCGTTGGTAGGTTTGCTCATTTGAGAAACCGCTGTTAAAAATGTTTTGGAATCATTTGTCGATTGTTTAATGCCATTTCTGATCGATGACAGCTTCAACCGAAAGTACATGTCAGATTAACGCCTGGGTGCCATTACTCTAGGAAAAGACTCTCGAGTATCAAGATGAGTTTTACCATATTATTCCCCCCGTTTTCATAGATCTTCTGCATATAAAAATCATCCTCGTGTCGTAAATAAGTGAGTTTAGCGATGAACAGATGATTTCAGCCGTGGGCAATAGTAGAGAGCAGGCTTCTAATGGTAAGTGTCTTAAAACAACGATGGCACCATCTCAAACCGATGACACATATGTCTCTTCAATAGTATCAAAAACAAGCTTTGAATCCACCAAAGATCGAATGAATTTCTGAAAATCACATAAAGCAACCCCACTCCAAATTCCAAAAAAAAGCCCATAACCCCGCCCCATTAGCAACCTTTTGACCCTGTTAGGGCGATCATCATACACATCAAGAGGTCAGCTTTTTAAAGCTTAACAATGAAATCCTCTTTTAACGACAAAAGCCCAGCCCAGAAACGACAAAAAAAGACCGATATACCAGATCAAATACGCTATCACTTAAATGTAGTCACAGCGCTGAAACCAAAATCACATAACTTCCCTACTCTTACCAGTGTTCTTTCTCTGTTCATTTCACTGTCGCTGAATTTATATACTCTGTATTTAAATGAAATCTAGAAGAATGGAAAACACCATCGTTCGTCCATCACAAACAGAACTTAAAGAGAAGCGAGGCTCTCAGGCCGTGAGATGGAATTGATACAAGGGCTTATACAACCCCCCAAGGTCCAAACTGTAGATGACACAATTCCTACTTTATGCGATCGAGTTGAGAATGCCACCTTGCTCAGTGACAGAAGATCGGCAGTATTGGGCCTCAAGTCGTTCAGCAGAAGTTATAGGGAAACGGTAATTGCTTCTGGTCTCAAACCGTTGATCACTACGCTTAAGAAAGATGCAGAGGATGAAGATTCGGTGAAAGCTATTCTAGAGACGTTATTGATCTTATTTATACGTGGTGAAGGCAATGCGGATTTGACACGCAATTGGATTTCGCAAGAATCCAGGGTTAGAAATGGGAAATATCCTTCCCCACTCGTCATGAAGCAAGAACAACTTGAAAACGAGTCGGTGGACCAGTTTTCGCTTTGGATCGCAGATTTCATGACCCAAACGGACGAATTGGTGCATTTGTTCGTGCGTCTGCTGGAAGTTGAAAACTTCCACATAAAGCTGTACACGATTCAACTTTTGGAGGCTTTCATTGCATCTCGTGCGTCCAGAACTCGTGAGGCCATCATATCGCTACCGGTTGGGGTCTCCACACTAGTGGGACTGCTAGAAGATGTCCACGACCCCATCCGTGACGAAGCTGTTTTACTATTAATGGCTCTTGTCAACAACAGCGCACATATTCAACACCTGGTCGCATTTGAGAACATTTTTGAGAAACTTTTCAATATACTGCAGGAGGAAGGTGGTCTTCGCGGGTCCCTAGTGGTCAGCGATTGTTTAACGTTGATTTTGAATATTTTGAAGTACAACACTTCCAATCAAATACTCTTTGTAGAGACCGGCAACCTTCCTCAAATGGCGAAACTTCTAAATGATCCTATGGAGGGGGAATTTCATTGGAATGATCAAAGAGTGCTCAACATAAGAACGGGTTTAACGATTTTAATGCTTAGTGTAGATCCCGACAATAATGCTACGCCTAAACATCAAAAGATGCTCCTAGAGGCACATCTGCTCATGATATCATTGAAACTTGCCCTTTCTCCAACGGTACCGAATTCGGTACGTCCATTTGCACTTCTCGCTGCTGCTGACATGATTCGAGATAATGACATAGTCCAATCCGAACTCCAAAAAATTGATGTTCCATCATTCGACCCCAGCACTACTACGCGAGTTGCAGACGAAACCAGACTGGTGTCTGTGATTGAGCTGGTGATGAATTGGTGTTTTTTTGCCAATTCTATTCATACTTTTGAGATCAGACGAGCCTCTTCAGAGCTCGTCAAAGCATACCTAAAGAACAATCAAAGTTTGCAACTGAGATTTGTTACAGAACAAATAAACATCTATGAAAAGTCAGACCATCTAGACGATGATGCTGACGCAGGTCACTTTATGGCTGGAATTTTCAACGTCATTTTGGAGTACGACCCCGACCTAAAGCTTAATCCCTACAAACTCTACTTTGCATCGGATCTGTTATTTTTTCTTCTACAAGGAGACTCAGAACCTCAAATCAGAGAAATTATCGGAGGGATCGAATGCAAAGGCTTTGAATCAATGGACGAGGTTGGCGAAACAATGAGTCCAGTGCAGACGATTCTAGAGCTATTACTTACTTCGCTTACTTTGGAAGACTCAAGAGTATCTATATCGTACTTATGCCTTTTGATATACTGGCTCTTTGACGATCCTACCGCCGTGAATTCATTTCTTTCTGATAAGACAGTGCTCCAATCATTAATTGCTTACACTTCTCAGATGAAAGAAGACGATGTGACTGTTAATTGCTTGGTTTCGGTCCTCTTAGGGGTTTCTTATGAGTTCTCATCGAAACAAAGTAAAGTAACTCGAGCTGAATACTATGAACTTTTGGTAAAAAGTGTTGGAGTCAATAACTACATGTCAAAAATAAGACAGCTTCAGGAAAACTCCCTTTTCACCGACTCTGAGACGGAGGAAAACTTTCTCGGCGCTTTCGAGACCGATTCCACCGGATTACCAAAAATATACTTCAGTCCATTCTTCACAAGACTTCTGAGAGAAAACTTCTATCAAATCCAAACTGCTTTGAAAAGAGGGCCAACATATGAAAGCGTTGTCAAAGTCTCTTTTGAATCCTTCGAGGACCTTCGCCAGGAAAAAGTTGAATTGGAAGAAGAGCTTTCTAAGCTGGAGAAAGAGTCGAAAAAGGGGATCGAGGAAATCCAAGCTTCGTTGCAGGAAGCTGCGAAGCAATTAAATGAAACGCAGGAGCAAAATAAGCAACGCGCTTCAGAGTTGACTGATAAAACCGAGAAGATTGCCTCTTTTATAGAGCAAGAAGAAGAGTTGAAGCGCGTTTTGGCAGCTTTGCGAGAAGAACACAAAGATCTGGTGCAAGATCGCGACGAAAAAAAAAGTCAGATATCTGGCCTCGAAGAAGAATTATCAGCTAAGGCTGTCACAATGCAGAAACTTGAAAAGGATCTAAAAAGTGCTACGACAGGTCGAAAGTCAGCAGAAGATGGAATCAATAAAATGAACAGAGAGCTTTTCACGCTATCTAAAGAGAATGATCGGTTGAAAACCGAATCTTCAAAAGCTACGGCTGAGCTAGAGAGTAAACTCAAATCTATGCGTAATGATCTGCAAAAGCTAGAAACCAAAAAGAATTCTTTTGAAGAGGAGCTCGGTATTACCGCGTTAAATCTCAAAAAGCTGAGCGAAGATAAAAAGAAGGCGGAATTCGAGAGCAATTCATTGCAAAAGGAGCAGGCAGATCTCAAATCTCGATTAAAAAATCAAGAAGATCTTGTTTCGAAGTTATCTACCAAGCTTAGAGAGCTGGTTGAAACCTGCAAACAGCTCAGCGAATCAAAAGCTGAAAAGGATGCAGAAATAGATACTTTAGCGACAAGAAATCTCGAAGAGGTGTCCAAACTCGAGAATGAACTTAAAAATGTTCAAGATCAATTGAAGATCACAGAAGACAAGAAGCAAAGTCTGGGTGAAGAAATTAAGTCTCTGAACTCCACGAGCAATGAAAGAGACGAGAAGTATCGAACATTGTCTCAACAGAATGAGGGTTTGACAAGGAGATTGAAAATGTATTCGGACTCTCTTTCGGAAATTAAAACTTTCTGCAGCGGCCTCAGAAAAGAGGTCTCCAATATACCGGTAAGAGATAGGCTCCTTTACGAGCGCCTTCAACAATTGCAAGATGATAATGTACAAAAATTCAAAAAAATGTTAGGAACAATGGACGGCTACAAAGCCCAAGTGGTAAGTTCGGAAAACAAAAGAAAAGTTATTTCGGAGAGCTTTGAAAAGTTGCAAACAGTGAAATCTGAACTTGAAGCGAGGGTAGAGAATTCGAATGCGGAACGAATTGAGGCATCCAATGCCTTATCAAAGCAGACCACCGACCATGAAAAACAAATTCAGAGCAAACTTGATAAAATATCTTCCCTCGAAAGAAAGCTGGCGGAGCTAGAAAAAGAAAGAGACGAAGCTATGAAATCTTCCAAAAAGCTTCAATCTGAATTGGTGCATCTGCAAGAAAAATGCGAAGCGCTCAAATTGAGCCGCGAAGCACTTTCCAAGAGTTCTAAAGCTTCCGCGTTAAAAGCGGCAAGCAAAGTGTCGAGTTTGGAGAAAAAGTATGCGCAGCTTTCTGAAGATTATGAACGTTGTCAGGTCGAACAGGAGCGCAGTATAGCTGTAGCGAAGGCTGCAGAATCGAATGCTCTTAACCTTGAAAAAAAGATAGAAGATGCCAATGCGAGTTTGCAGGAACAGAAAAGTGTTGCAGACACTGGTGAACTCAAACTTTCTAAGTTTAAAAGCGACCTTGATGCAGCCCATTCTGAGGTCGACACGAAAGACGCCGAATTGAAAAACACCGAAGCATCGCTCGTTGAATTAAGAGATAGTTTCGCGAGTCTGGAAATTGAACTAGGAAATTTGAAGACAGCATCCGAAAATGAAAAAAGGCATTTATCTGAGGAGGTCGAACGGCTCAAGCATGTAATGAAGGAAAAAAAGGCCGAGTTAGAGGAAGAAAGAAAGCTTCTCGCGGAAGGATCTATGAGCGATGTTCAAAACTACTTGAAGAAAATTAGCGATCTAGAGGCCAAGCTTGAATCATTAGAACATGCCCATGCAGAAAAACTGGGAAAACACGAGGAAATCAAGTCAGAACTAGAGAATCTGCTCAAAAAATCCAAAGAGCAGGGATCTGCAAAGGCCAAAGAATTGGAAGAAGTCAATCAAAAGCTTGTGAAAGTACTAAACTCACAAGAAGAAAACAAAGTAAGTTACAGGAAGCTGGAGGAGTCACAGCGGCTGGAAAATGTGGAGGCTGCTAGTCGAACAAAGGAACTCAACTCGACAATTGAGCAAAAAGAAAAAGATATGACCTCACTCAAGCTTTCATTATCGACAACGGAATCCACAGTGGCGAGCCTTAAACAAAAAATTGCCGATTATGTGGCACAGATTACCAAACTGGAGGAATCGGATAATTCCTTGAAGCTTTGTGTAAAAAGTGCAGAAAAGTCTCTCGATAAATCCCAAGCAGCGGCCAACGCTGCAAAAGATCAGTCTAATGAACAGATTCGCCAGCTTGAGGAGAGCATAATAGCGAACAATGTTACCGTCAACAAACTTAATAGTGATCTGAAGATTAAAAACGAAACTCTGGTATTGCTGGAAAATCAAATGATAGAACTTGTAAATACCACAGAGGTGCAGCAGCAAAGGCTAAAAAAACTAGAAGAAGTTGAATCATCGAATGTCAACTTGGCCAAGGAACTTGAATCTACAAAAGATGAGAACAAAGCTGCAGTAGTTGAAAATAGGCGGTTGAGGGAAGTCAACGAATCTCTTTCCGAGAAGCTCAAACGCTGTGAAAATGATCAGAAAAACAAGAGCGATTATGATGACAAAGACAAGCTTGCCAAAGAATTAAGCATGCAAGTTGAACATTTAAAACTCGAGGTAAAGGACTGGAAGTCGAAAGCATCAGACCGCTCTGAGGTTGACGATTTGATGCTTCTCGTCTCTGAACTTGACGAAAAGAATAGCAAATATCGCGCTAAGCTCGAGCTATTGGGGAATCATTTCTCCTCGGATGAGGAGGAGGAAGACGATGATACAGCAGGCGAAAGCAAATGAGGCAGAATGCAAAAGAATGTGATAGCTGGTAATTCGAAGATTTTTGTGGACCTCTCCGAATCCATATGTTTGAGACTTCGTGGGCCCATCGCTGCGTTCCAAATGGCATTAATAAAGTCCAAACCTTGTATACACATTTAAGTCAGTGTCACCGAGCGTGAAGTACGTTACGGATGTTATCTTCAACCTCTGCGTCTCTCAGGATCATTCATTTTATGAATGCAGATCCCGGGGTCATCAAGATCAGCAATTTTGCCGATATCCTGTGGTGTAATTATAATAGTTTGGGTCCTCTCATCACTAGAGTATTTTGATATAATCAGCTTCGTACCTATCTGGCGATTGACTTGGTCCATGAAAACGTCAAACTCGTCTAACGCAATCACTCTTGACCGCATTGGTCTCCAAGTAGCAAGTAATAATGAAGTCTGAGCAAAAGATTTTTCCCCGCCGGAGAACGTGTCTACGTTACGTGGACTATTATCGTTTGGCGTTTTCATGAACATGTTCAGAACTTTTTTATCAAAATCATAGCTGAGACCGCCAGAGAAATTTCTCCTTTGTAACGACTCTTTAAAATCAACATCTGCGGTGAAGCATGTATCAGATCTTGCAAGATCGAATGACTGCAACCGCTTTCTCAAAGATTCGTTGAGGCATATAATAACTCTATCGACTTCCACATATTTTTTTTCCGCGTCCTCGTATTTCAATTTGGCTTTTTCAAACAGTTCTAGCACTTGGTCTTGCGCCAGCCCAACGCGATGCTCGGCATTTTGAATCTGGCGAGAAATTCTTTCAATTTCTGTATTCGTCTCATCTTTTGTTGAAGGCATTCCTGACCCGAAAGCGGTTTCTCTAGGACAAAAGAGGGTTGCGTTTGATATTTGCCGCTCAATTCCAACCCGGAATTCCTCTTGCGCTTTTTCAGTTTCTTTCGATTTTTGTACGTATTCATGAATCTGCTGAGTGTAAGATGGAACATCCTCGCGCAGTTTCGAGAGTTTTGAATTTCTCTGAGCGCAGAAACTTTTCAAATCTTTCAGGGAATTTTCGGAAGTCTCTACCTGGGCCTTGGATTCGCTCAAGTCTCTCCTCAGGTTTTGTGCTCTCTCGCTTATAGCTTCTAGTTTGGCGTTGATATCAGTAACAGTCAACAAATAACTAGATATAGCGTCTTCGTAGGTTCGCTTTTCGACTTGAATTTGTTCAATGGCTCCCATGTCAATTTCTCTTTCTAATTCGATCCGCAACGCTCCCTCCCGTCTACTCAGCTCTGAAGTCAAGGACCTCAAAGATGATATTTTGGCCTCTATTTCGCTTTTTTGTTTTCGTCTTTCTCTGAGCACGCAATCATTCTGTTGAACTACTTCATTCAGCTGCCTCTCTTCCTCAATTATCAAGCTTTTTAGAAGCGCTATATCGTCTTCTGACGAACTTTGAGTCATCATCTTCAGCGGACCCTCATATTGTAAGGAGTTTACGCTAGTTGCTGAGAGAAAGTTCACAAATCTGTCAGCTTTCACCCATGACAAGGCACGTTTCGCGTTGGTATTTCTCGGCGAATAAAGAAGATTTCGAGCCTCTGTCTTGTCCTTGATCAGGAGTACTTTTTCTATGTTGTTAAAATCCACCAACACAAACTGAGTACCCTCAGAAAACTCTAAAGCATCTATTATGGTCGGATGGTTGACCTTAGGTCTTCCTCCACTGTAGTCAAATGTTGTGGGCCGCCGTGTTATGATGCTTGGGTGTTTTCTTTGGGGCAAGTGTGCTCTGAAAATCTCCCTCAAGATTTGATTGTCCTTGGCATTAGAGACTATGAAAGCTCCGAGGCTATTACCAAGATATGCCTGAATGCATTTTGCCCATTCTCGAAACTCTGCCTTGACTGTTAAGTAGGCACCTAGTGGTCCGATCGGAGGAGTGGAGAAGTGATGCTCCCGGCGCTTCATTTCTCTAACAACTTGATCCATCTTGGGGTCAAAATTGGATAAAAAGTTCTGTTTGCCCGCTACGTAACCGTTTAATTCTTTCTTTTTGGAATATATGCTTTTCTTCCTGTCAAGCAGATCTTTTTCTTGGGCTGATTTTAAGTCTTCTTCTTCTTCATTCATGACTCGCAGTGATTTGTTGTAGTGGGCGAGCTTTTCGTTTGCTACTGATATTTCAACCGTCAAACTATTCATCTCTTGTTTTATCCCCTCTTTGTCGCCACCCGTCTGCCTCCTCAATTGCTCCTCAAGATTAGCTATGCTGGCAGCACAATGATCGATCTTGGTTCGAGCTTCGTCCACCATAGCATTTGTTTCCGAACGGTTGCGTTTGTGAACTTCATATTCTAGCTTCATCTGATTCATTTTTGACCTCACATCTTCGAATAGTTGTTTGTCATCCTGTAGCTTAGTCTGCGCCTTGAGAAGGGCTTCTTCTGAAGCAGACTGGTCAGAAGTGTAGCGCTCAATTTTGTTTTCCGTTTGTGTTTTCTTCATTTGCAACTCAATGATCTTGTCTTGAAATTCGTTGTAATTTTGACCTAGCTTTTGAAGCGAATCCTCATTCTCTACAACGCTAAGCCAAAGCAATTTTCCCTGCAAGACTTTCTTCCGCCTGCCCAAATCGCGGCTTGCGTGTAGCTCCTTCATTAAACGTCTCGAGTCTTGATATTCTTGTCGCAGTAGCTTTACGTTCTTGGCGTGGAATAATAAATGGTCTTGAGCCTTTGTAGCGGTTTCCACAGCCTGATGCAAGTTGGCTTCAATATCTTCAATTAGGGTTCCTCGCATAAAATGTTTGTACTTATCTGCCGGTGTGCTGGCCGTTAGGAAGGACCTTGCAGCGTCTTGTGATAAGAAACACATTGGATTCATAACTGGAATGGCAAAGTAATCTGCGATGGTTTGCAGATCACGTCTCTTGGTGGACACGACGCCATGGTCACCCCTAATGGCAAAAGTTGCCGCCCCATCTTTTTTGATGGTCCTGATAATTGTTATTTCCGTACCATATGTTTCCGGATCGTAGACACCAAAACCTTCATTATTCAATACAATTTCAACTCTTGCCGTGGAACATCCTTCCCTAATAAACTCTTTCAAATTTGTACCACGATTAGTATCTGTGGCCTTGGCTCCGAGCCCTATAGTTATGGCAGTTAAAATGGCGCTTTTACCACTCCCATTGCTCCCAACAATGAAATTGAGTTTACTGCCAAGCTCAAGATGGAAGTTTTCGTGACACATGAAATTGCGGAGCTTGACGCGTTTGATATACCCTGGGAAATGCCAGCTGGACATTGATGAGCCATCAGTACCATCCACTTGCTGTGACCGCTGGGTTTGGGTCATAGGTGCATAGTTTCGAGCTCGCTTTTTTGTTCCGCCGGTTCCGGTAGGAGTTACTAATTGCGTGGGAAACGAGTCGCCATCGAAAGAACTTGACGTTCGTGGACGTTTCCTAGCGTTTAAAGACTCTCCTAAACCTACCAAAGCCATCTCTTGGAGTTGTTAGACCGGATATCAAAGCGATGAGATGCCCTGGATCAATGTCAACAACAGTTCAATATAAACACCATATATATACATGTATAATGTCTAACGCGCCGCGAGTACTGGTACTCGCAAAGTATTCCTGGAGATCATGTGATCCAAACTGTTTCCTATATATTAACAAGCATTAACTACTATGCTTCTCCAGTTATTGTTTGGCGTGCGAAGGTCTTCTTTAGCTTATTGTTCTACGAGTATTATTTAAACCATTAACGTATCTATTTTAGACATTGAAATTAATATTTTGGTGTGAAATTGAACTTTGGGTACATAAGGTTATGTCAATGAATTCGAAAAGGAAGTTTACAAATGATGGCAAGGCACCGGGATTGACAAGAGTATATTTTTGAGTAGCCAGGGCCTTTCTGCTTATTACCTTTCAATGGCGTAAATGTTAGATTCTGTTTTTACGTAACGCGTCAAAGCCATCTAAAAGCGATTAAAGCAACGTGACTCGGTGACAGTCAAAAACTTTCAGAAAGAGTAAAGAAAATGGGACAACCACGAGTACATAATAATACATACAATCAGTTTTTGAGCTTCATTTATGCAATGATTAAGATGGCAGTCTTCCTGTGATGATAGGTTGAGATCGGAAAAGCCAGATCTAGATCACTTTTACCCAATGCGACGCTGACACCTTACCACGTGACTCTATAATCTAGGTGTCTCAATGCTCACATTCCACACTCCAGTAGGAGTCTTCTGTACAATATTGGTTCTTCAAGCTTTTCCTTAGAGACTAAACCATATTTCAGTCGCATCTCAGCCGTCTTTGCCAATTGTTCTCTTAGGCCTGACTTTTTCTGAGCACCAGTCGAAGGCCCTGACCACGCCGACTCGACTTGCAAGCACCAGCCTGCTCTCTCTACTTCTCTTTGTGAGAATGGTGATTGATTGGTCAAAACAATCTGTGCTGCGCGGTCTTGCTAAAGAGCGAGAGACTGACAGTTGTTCAAAACTAATTGCAGACACCAACTCAATTACGATTGATGTCTGACATGATTGGCTGGCTATGCTACAGGGTGTAGATCCAGAAGCTCGTGCTTGTAATATTTAGATTTTCAACCATTTTCCGAGGTTCTAAAGGTCCAATATTGATTAACGACGCATCTAGCCGTCATTATAATATCACCAGCCATCAGTTGTGAATGAAATTAGCAATAGACACAGCTAACAGCTTTAAGAACAGCCACCTGTTGTTTTTTTCGTAAAGCCATCTCTAACTAGTCAGCACTGACGCTCTCAGTCGTCCAATTGTTTCTGTCATCTTTGTTCAAGATTGAGAGCATGAAACTCACTTGTTAAATTAAGCTTATAGTCGTCTATTTCATTCATGAATTATCGCTGGTGATCGTTTATCGTGCTTAATTGTAGTCATCCATATTCGCAACAGATCGCTGTCGCCCTCAAGCATGCCTCCGATATTCACAATTGATCGCTGATACTTTGGATTGCGCAAAAAAATTGATACCCGTATCTACCATTCCCAATTGATCACTGCTGCTCTCAAATGCTCTAAAAAGCTTATAGCTCTCTCTTCTTTTCACAACTGACAGCTGTCGGTCTGAAATGTTCTTCTATGCTTATAGCTCTCCAATCGCGAATAATAACCGACGCTTGCAATACTTGGATTATGCCAGTCGCTATATCTGCTAGCCAAAGCCAGTATATGACGCTCTGAGTTGTCCAACTTTGGTTACTTCATTATCGACTATCCACAGCCGATGGCTGGCGTTCCCAGTTGTGTAGCTATGCTTATAGCCATCATAAGCTTGTCCCAAGTGACAGATCATTCATTATTCAAGCAAAGTTCGAATAAACATCATGAATTCCTGTATGTTCCTCTAATGTTCACAAAACATCACTAACGGCTCAATTGGTTTGTCAAAAAACTTGCTTTGATCTAAGTTTCTCTATTGTTCTTGAATTTTGAGCCTGAGTTCTCAGGATATTGTCGAATTAGTAGTAGTTTACTGAAAAATCAAACCGGTCTTGAATTCACTCAAAACTTACTCGACTTAATTCCTGAAGAATCGTCCTCTCGATCCAATATTACATTCATGCGTGTCTCACATCAATGTTGGAAATGGCTGCGACGGTTTTATGGGACTGTACCGCCTGAAGAAGTCAATCTTGTAGAAATAGGTCAGAAATGGAAATCCAAGGTCTTGAGAGGTCCAACAGTACAAAATGTCACTGAAAAGAAGAAAAAATACATTTTGTCTATGTTTCCATATCCTTCAGGATCACTTCATATCGGCCATTTAAGAGTATACACCATTACGGACGCTTTGAATCGATTTTACAAATTGAATGGATATCAAGTTTTGCATCCGATGGGATGGGATGCTTTTGGACTACCAGCCGAAAATGCAGCCATCGAACGCCAAATAGGTCCCGCTTCATGGACCCAACAGAACATCGCTAAAATGAAGCAACAGCTGAATTCAATGCTGGCCAATTTCGATTGGGATCGCGAAGTAACCACTTGCAGTCCTGATTACTATAAATTCACACAAAAGATCTTTTTAGAGCTTCATAAGCACGGTTTGGCCTACCAAAAAGATGCAGAGATCAATTGGGATCCTGTAGATCAGACTGTTTTGGCAAACGAGCAAGTAGACTCCCAAGGAAGATCGTGGAGATCGGGCGCGGTAGTAGAAAAGCGAAAGTTGAAGCAATGGTTCTTGGGTATAACTAAATTTGCACACAGCTTACAGAAGGATCTACAATTACTCGATGAGTGGCCTCAAAATGTCAAAACAATGCAGAAAAACTGGATCGGAGAGTCCTATGGAACCGAGGTTAAATTTCCATTGTCCCAGAAAGATTCTGGTCAAATAACGGTTTTCACGACAAGAGTAGAAACTGTATTCAGTGTACAGTACATCGCATTAGCCACAAAACATCCATTGGTGGAGAAGGCAGCACTTTCTGATCCAGGACTGAAAAATTTCTTGAAACATGCAGAGTCCTTACCGGAAGACTCTAAAGAGGGTTATCTTCTGAACAGCATTCACGCACAACATCCACTCCTATCTGCTTCTAAAAAAGAGGTGCCAGTCTTTGTGGCACCCTACGTACTTAGCACTTACGGTCATGGTGCTGTTATGGGGTGTCCTGCTCATGACCAGCGCGATTTCACATTTTGGAAGCATAACATGCCCAAAATCGAGATGAGACCCACTGTCGTACCAAAAAATGACAGTCCTGCAGCTCTGAGGGAACTTCCTTATGTGGGTAAATCAGGCGTTATAAATTGCCCCGGTTCCGACTTCGACGGCATGGACACGCAGGTTGCTTCACAAGCCATAGCCACAGCGCTAGAACAGAAAGGAATGGGAAAGGCGACTGTGACTTACAAGCTGAGAGATTGGCTGATAAGTCGCCAAAGATTTTGGGGTGCCCCAATCCCAATCATTCATTGTGACGATTGTGGATCCGTTCCTGTCCCGGAACAAGACCTACCGGTAAGGCTACCAGCGGTTGGTAGTTTGGCAGGCAAGGGTAGCTCATTGAAAACTATGCATGAGTTCGTGAACACGACTTGTCCTTCTTGTGGCTCCCCTGCCAAGAGAGAAACTGACACTATGGACACTTTTATGGACAGTTCTTGGTATTTTTTCCGCTACACTGATCCCAAAAACACAGAAAAACCCTTTGGCTTTGATGTTGCATCAAAAAATCTCCCTGTTGATCTTTATATTGGAGGAATCGAGCACGCAATTCTGCATTTGCTTTACTCGCGGTTCATTTCCAAATTCTTGGCTTCTGTTGGAAAGTGGGGTGACAAGTTAGGAAATGGCGAGCCATTCAAGAAACTTGTTACTCAAGGTATGGTACACGGGAGAACATTAATCGATCCTGAAACTGGGCGTTTTTTGAAATCAGATGAGGTTACATCAATTGAGGGCGATGACCTCATTATCAAGGCAACGGGACAGAAACCATCAGTTGCCTACGAGAAGATGTCAAAATCCAAGTACAACGGTGCCGATCCTGACCTGTGCATACAAACACATGGTGCTGACGCAACACGGGCTCATATCCTTTTTCAAGCTCCAATTAGCGAGATTTTGAGTTGGGACGAAGCTAAGATTGTTGGTGTCGAGCGCTGGCTACACAAAGTGATTAAGCTCACTCGTAAAAGTGCTATAAAAGATTCGGCGGTCAACGATATGAAAGCACCAACTGCGAGCGACCACGAGATTTGTTTTTTCAATGATGTTCAAAAGCTTCTAAAAAGTATAACGTTTTCTTTCACAGAGTCTTTGTCACTGAATACCGTTGTATCTGACTACATGAAACTTACGAACCTGATTGAGAATGCCCACCACTCTAAGCTTATCAATTCGACACTATTGACCAAATCACTGAAAATCTTAATAACGTCGATGTACCCCATAACACCGACAGTAGCCGAGGAGGCTTTTTCCATTCTTTCTGGGAGCAAAAGCAATGGATGGAATCTATATGTCTGGCCGGAGGCGGAAGCTATAAAAGAGTCCGAGCTTGTGAACTATCAAGTTGTTATTAATGGTAAGATGCGCTTCACTCATAACGCGGCCACTTCTTTCATCAACGACAAAGATTCAGCAATAAAGACCCTACTTTCTTCAAAGGACGGTCAGAAATACCTATCCGGGAAATCTATCAAAAGAGTCATTATGAGAAACAAGGTAATAAGTTTTGTTGTCAACTAGTTGACAACTGAGCATGCATGTAAATAACTAGTAATTGCGAGTCACAGAACTCACACCTCAAGCATTCTTTTCAACTTACTACTATTCCTTTCTGCATAAGTTCATGTTTTGGCGTGTACTGAGCGTGATGTCTCCGGGTTGGCGAAGATAAGAATTCTGCAGCGAGTCCAGTAACTCAAGTCTGGTTGCATCTCTTGCCTAAGACGAAATCAAGATGAACCGCTATCTGTGATATCGTGCAAATAAATATACAAGAATTTCGCAATTCCGCCGTATGCATCATGATGTCTTAATTTGCCAAGTATCGCAAGCTTTAGTTCATGAAAAGAAGAAATCGTATCCAACCAATCTCCAGGGTGAGCCTGTGTGAAATCCGAATACGACTTTTCGCTTAACCTTTGATTGAAGTGAACTCTACTGGTTAGTGCATCCTCTAGGCCCTCAAGGGCGACTCGGGCAGGGAAAGCAAGCGCTGGTATATTTAAAATACCGAACATCAATTCCAATTCTGCATTTGGGAGATCTGAACCTGGTACTTCTAAAATGCGTCTTATAAAATCTTCGGGGATTTTAAATGTAGGTAGACCGTGCCCTAGCTTGTTCCGCCAGAGATAATTGATGAGATCAAGAATACTTTTGTTGCGCGCTTCGGCTATCGACTTTTCATCACATAGCCCTTTCATCACAGATTTAGACGAAAGGTAGGAGCAAACGGTGTTTAGCACAACAGGATCAGAGGATATCATCATCGAGTCTAATGCCGCTTGTGGCAGAAGGCATATCTCAAAGAACCTCTTGTCATTATCATAGCATGCCAACTCGCATAATACTATCACTAGAAGCCTCGAGGTGGTAGTCAAATGTCTGTTACCAATGTGCTTTGATGAGTGTTCAGCAATGCAGGATATGATAAACTTAAGAAGACGGAAGATTTCCGGATTAATCTGCCGCCTCTTGTTCAGTACATGAATTCGATACAATAGGGTTCTGCACCTGTTATAGAAATGTCCTGTCTCGAAATTTGGGGCTAGTCTAAGACCTTTCAGCTTTTCAAGGCTGTCCAATTCAGGTGTACCCGTTTTATGAAGCATAAATTCTCTAAGGTCGTCAATCCAGCTGATGTTTGAAATATGTTGTAATGTAGAAGGTTGTGGGTTTAGCAATTCGGCAACCAACAGCGGCCTGATAATGGACTGGCGGTAGCTCACCATATTAGCATGAATTGAAGCCGTATAAAATTTCAGTCTGGTCCATTCTGACACGCGACTCCAAAACTTGTGGTGGGGATCTAAGGTAGCGAGAAAAACGAGAGAGCTTTCATCACTATTTCTGAACAGCTCCTCCAGGTCGTTTGGTAACGTAAGGAGTTCAAATGAGGCTGCCAGTCGTTCAAGCGTGCCAATATTATGGACTGCAATCTTGGTTAATGATTTTCTCTTAATGGAGGGGATATCTTGCTGTGAACAATTGGCTAATTGGTTGTCGAGTTCTTGCACTAAGTTCTGAAGAGTTGATTGGGAAACTCCATGTGAGTGTTCAACTATAGATGCCCATTTCGACATAAATTCCAAGTCCCAGACTTGACGCTTAAGCGTGTTGAGCCTTCGCTTGTTGCAGTTCAAATGCTCGATTGCATCGTTGATTTGTCTGTTAGGCACTAGACAGTGAAACTTCTCCAGAAGTAGAGTAGCGCAAGCTTTTGCATTTGAATACCCAGTGTTGTCGGCTATCTTGGTGATTAATTGCATGCGCCATGGTTTCACGAGCGGCTTCGTGGTTGACCAAAAGAGCAGATAAGTTATCCACTGCTGTAGGTAGTCTAGTTGCCACAACTGAAGCCAGTGTGAATAAGTATCTTCGAAAACAGTGACATCTTGCATGTAAATGTAAACGTGAACAAGCCATTGGCATAGTTCCGTTTGCAATGCCCTTGGAGTTTCTGATTTATTTGGGGTGGATAGCGATCTTACTCCAAGACGTCTGAGAATTGCGTAAATGGTAGACCTCGGAACCTTGCCATTTGGTAGAAGAGCATCTTTTATCAGCAGAATCTTTGTTGAGATCGATATAGATAAAGTTTCGCACAAAAACCCAATTATGGCATCGAGGTTAAGTGTTGAGATGCCCTCTTTGATGACATGAGTCTTTATTTTAGTTAAAAGTTCATGAATCTGATCCGTTCGAAGACTTTTGTTATCGATTAGCACACGAAAGCAGTCGTCAGCTATCCCCATTCATGAATGAACCGGCAGTTGATAGTATCTAGTGAATTTTGTAGACTGGCAAGGCAAATCTTAAATTCTTGAAATTTAGCTAATATTACTCGCTCTTAAAACATAGGATAACTTACCCAGTTACATTACAGATATTTCAGGATATACTGTCTAGATACTCGTCTATCGTGTATAAAGTCTCATGGACGACCTTTTAGAACTTCCTGGCGTTCACTAGACTTTTAGCGTTCCATTAACGTCGTAAGTTGACCTTGATCTAATGTACGGATCAAGTTGTCTGTAGTTCTCCGTAAGTTCTTGACTAATGGAGATTTTGGCTTTTAGCCATTTTGCAGAAGTCTCATCGTCGGAACTTTCAATCCAATTTTTCGTGGCATCAATGAAGGAATCAATGATTGTTTTACGCTCTTTCAAGAGTTTGTCACGCGTTTCCGTGTCCTTGAGCTTGGCATCTGCGGACTCCTCGGGTTTCACGAATGTATCGTAATCATAGTCGTCATCACCACCCAAATACTTTGGAATGTAGTTATTGGGCACATATTTGGCAAGATCGTCAGTACTTTTGGTGAAAACAATCTTTGACGCAACGACAGGATCCAGCCAGTTTTTAATAATATTCCAAATTGGTGGGAAGATCCAAGGCGCCTTGTGAATGAAAAGGTGGCCCAAACATTCAGGGTAGTGCGCCTCAAAACAGCTGATGAGATATTGCACGGGGGCATAGTCCATGTTGGACATCGAGAAGCCGGTCAAATCGAAAAGAATTGTGGCAGAATCCACAGGCTCCTTGAGAAACATTCTAGCTTGTTCGATGATCAGCAAACAGTACTTTTTCATCTCTTCCTCCGTCTGGTCGCTGGAATGGTGCAATTTAGGCCTTACAACCACCACGGGACGACCCTTGAGGTCGAACCCATGCAATGTAGCCTTGCACAGCTCTATATTTTTGATGTACCCGGTTTCGTCGTTTTTGTAAGCTTCTAATTCACCACCACGAATGATCGCATCGGGATGGCTTTCCTTCAGTCTCCAGTGAAGGGTGTGAGCGATCATCCCAAGAGCTTTATCCGTGTCCCATTTACGGGCTCGAAGAAATCGCAAGATCAAGTTGTCTGGATAGTCGGTACGTAGCATATCCCAGAAATTCTCGCTGACTTCATCTGCCTTCAAATCCTTCAGTGCTGTGTGGATCATGCCAGCTGGATACATTTGCTCGACACTTTCTGCGGAACGACGGGACGTGAATGATCCGTTTCTTACTCTATCACTTGAGGCCTTGGAGTTTTCTGAATTGCTCGAGCCTTTGCGAAATTTGCCAAACAGCTTGCTAGCTGCTTTTTTACCAGGTTTCGAATTCTGTTTTTCTTCTTTGGACGCATTGGAAGTACCACTGCCATTTCCAGCCGCACCAGCACCCGTGGACGCAGTTCCGGCTCCATTGAGCACCTTTTCGCTCTGCACTGCAATGCCCCAATGCTGGAAAAGATGAGCCCATACTTGTTTGAGATGCAGCTGTTCGCTAGCGGAGAGCGTTTGAACCCGACCCTTGGGGATTTCAACAGTCATTGTTCAAGTAAAAGTTCAATTACTCGCAGTTGTCACAGTTGTGTATATCTTTCTAACCTTGTGAACAAACGTTAAACCGTTGGGCCAACAGCTCGTACATTACTCAACATAGAGGGCTTTACAGAAAATTGAGGTTTCTTATACTAGTGTTATACCAGGTGAAATTTTGAAAAAGTTCAAATATTGTTGTCTCCTTTGAAGATCGAACAGAAGATGAAGCAAAGGGTAGACCACTACACCATTGATACAAAACGTCTACAGTGATCAAAATGTCTTTTTTAGCCATAAGTATACTTCTTTCAAGAAGGAAACACGAAGGACTCGAACCCATGCCACAATTCCTGAATTGTGACCATTGAACTACAAAGCTCATTCGTACTAAGCGATACACTTTTTACATACCCAGGTATGTCAAAAGTGTCACGACCAAGCTTTACAAACTAATTACCGCACTCGTTTCTTTTCGTAAAAAAGACATTAGTAGTCAGTCATTTCAACCAAGATGACTCGCATTGACGCATTGACATCCACACTTATATAGAAGCTTCAACGTCAGTCTGTCGGGTTCTTTTCAAGTACTGTTTATCACCTCTGTCTTTTAGCATTGCTACAAATACCTAAGTATATATATACAAACAAGTGGCTATTTCAGCATACCAAAACATCTGACCCATCCGCCATGGTTCAGCAAGACATTGTAGAGACTACAGTGATAAAAAAACAAGAAACCGATTCTTGGCAAGAACGGTTTCTGTACTTAAAACACAGCGAATACCATGCGTCGACGGGCATCGCAGGGATTCTAACGGTCCCCACGTCGTTGCAGTTCGAGTCTATGGCGGAAAAAACGGCGCATGAATCGCAATACGGACTCCCACTGCATAAACTGGTGCTGCTGTGTCACGGCCACTCAGCACATAAAAACACGGTTTACATGCCACTGCTGGCTCGAAAACTAGCTGACATTGGTTACTATGTGTTGCGGATTGATTTTCGCAGTATGGGAGACTCTGAGCCCAACAGAGACAGTCATGTTGGACGCACGATTGCCCAAGACTGCGAAGACATCGAAACAGTGTACCAGTGGGTTCAAACTCAGCAATGTGGTAAGCTGGCGGGTCATCAGCTTGTGCTTGACACCATCGTGGCTCATTCCCGCGGTGTGATGTCCATGTTTGAGTTTGCTCGTTCGCGGTTCGTCCCAAATCTGGTGAACGCTTGTGGACGGTATGTGGCCCACGGTCTGGTGGAAAAATCCCTGAAGCGAAACCCCAATTGGGACCGTGACGGCGGATTCAATTGTACAATTCTTCGCCATGGTAAAATGCAAGAGGTGTGGATCCCTAAAGCAGAAACTATGAGCGCTGCAACGGTGGATACGTCCAAATTTGCAGAAATTGATTCAAGGACCTCCGTGATGTCCATCTACGGGTCTAAAGACTCGATCATCCCGCTCAGCGCTCTGGCCCAGTATTCCAACTTGTTCGAAGGTCGTCATACTGCAGAACTAGTTATGTACGCAGACCATAATTTCTACGGTCTTCCAGAAGACCCCAACGTTGACCAATTACCTCTTCGTAAGGGGCTGGTCAATTACAACGTCAAAACCGTTGAGCGTATTGCGTCTTTCCTTGCACCTGAGCAACAAATGCAAAGGTTCTATAAAACTACGTTCTCAATACAGGACGCTGCAAATCCTTCGAGAACGTTTGCCCGTTGGTGTTTACCCCACGATTTTTCCCACATTTCGAATTTTCGCGATGTGGGGGGCTACGAAACTAGCGATGGTCATCGGGTAAAGCCACGTATTCTTTTCAGATCTGCAAATCCTGTAGATGCCTCGACAGAAGGGTTCCGGTATCTTACTGAAGATTTAAAGATTTCAAAGGTATTTGATCTACGTTTGGCAAAAGAAATTGAAGACAACGGGGCCATTGCTGGCGTTGATGTGGTGAATCTTCCTTTCAACGACCAAAAAGTTGCAGACCCAGAGGACATGTCACTGGTGTACAGAGGAATGTTTTTGTCACCACTCACTTTCCCACAGGCCTACATGGTGATGTTGAAAAATAGTACTGCAGCAGTAGCACACTTTTTCCATTACATCATCGAAGGTCGGTGTGATCGTTCGCATGCGGCTCTAATACATTGTGCAGGCGGTAAGGACCGCACCGGAATTCTGACAATGCTAGTTTTGGGTCTTTTAGGTGTCGACGATGACACAATTGCCAGAGATTATGAGCTCACTACCATTGGGCCGAAGTCCGAAATGAAATTGTACAAGGCGCTTGAAGAACGCGGTGATGGGTTTTACAAGCTTCTGGACTCTGAAAAATTGGCAAAGGAATACAACGCTACTCCTGAATCAATGTGCCGTAATTTGATTTCGTCAAGATATGAGGCAATGCGATTATTTTTGGATGCTTTCAGAAACAAATACAGCTCTTTCGAGAATTACTTCCGGGCGACGGTAAAGTTATCGACACAAGACATTAGATATTTCAGGGATGCATTGCTGGAGCAAAAGGTATAGTGCTTTTTCCAGCACATAAGGGACACATTTGAGTTCGGAATTGGAACCGAAGGGTATATTTATATGGGGCGAAAAGCATGTAGTTGGAGGTGTTTACGATAAATAAACATAACTTATCATTGCAAGCGATATACGGGCAACAGAAACATTTGACCAGGGGGTATTGTGTGACTTAAGAGATTTTCGTAACTTGATGGCAGGTTTAAGAAATAACGCAAAATATGAGACGCCAGTGAGAGGATTCAGTAAAGCGAGTCTACTGCCAGATAAAGTCAGAGTAAATAGGAGCGGATTCGACTAGTGAAAAATAAAAATTTCATTTTCTCTATTCTAAAGAGGGTCTCTTTGGAATCAAGCGTTCCAATGCTGTTCTATATGAAAGGCGAATTACTGAGAAAATCTACGATAGCTTACAATCTTGTGCGCATGCAGAGATTGAAGGGTTGTCTGTAATCGATAGGTAGACAATCCACACATAATACTGCTCTACTTTTTTGAAATTTCCCATCTTCTTTAGCGATGTGCGTCCCACTTTATTACATTATTACCTTTCTGACACTAGCGAGTCCTATTTTGAAAGTGAGAAAAGAACAGAATTGTTTACAAGTCTAACAGTGCAGTTTCAAGGTGAACCACCAGTTCAACGAATTGATATCTCATCCCGTTCGATTCTCACTGTGAAACACAAAGCTTGTTCAAACCTGGCAGGGTTTCTCGACTATTGAAGAAAAACTAAAACTAACAGACAAGATTCCTCGACAAATGAGTAGGATTAGCTCACATCATTGTGAGACATCCATCAAACATAAACAATCATCTTGCAACAGGTCTTATCCGTCTTTGAACTCATCTTGAAACTTTTTGACGGAAAACGAGACCGTCGAACGTGACAAACAAACCCTTAGTAGGTTTGATGAATGGAGCATCTCAAGAAATGAGTTACATGTAGCCAAACTTGACCAGTAAAAGAATCGACTATAAGAATCAATTGAGCATCTTCCAGGCAACACTCCCAATTTCTTATAAGATTCTGGGCAAAGATAATAAGAAGCTGGTATCCTTTGCGTTCATCCTGTTTTTCATAAGCGTCTTTATTCACCGTTGACGTTACTTTATAGAAAATTGGGAAAATTGACACTGGAAAAGTTGTTGAGCCTGGAAGCAAGAACATCATCAAGGGGACTGAACTAACATCTGTCTCAGATGTCAGCAGATCAGATTTATTCTGCCAAATATTCTGGCGTCGATGTTTATGAGTTTATACATCCTACGGGATCCATAATGAAGAGGAAAACCGACGACTGGGTCAACGCTACACATATCTTAAAAGCGGCAAAGTTCGCCAAAGCCAAGAGAACTCGCATACTGGAAAAAGAAGTGATCAAGGACACCCACGAAAAGGTGCAAGGTGGATTCGGAAAGTATCAGGGGACTTGGGTGCCTCTCACCATTGCAAGAGCACTTGCAGATAAATTCGATGTTTTGGACGAGCTCAAACCACTATTCGACTACACGCAATTAGAAGGTTCTGCTTCGCCTCCAAGAGCCCCAAAACATCACCATGCTTCACGGACGGATTCAGGCCGCAAAAAAGCTGTCAGAACCAGTTCTACAATTTCAAATACTGCTGCACACTCTAACTCTTCAACCGGGACCCCAACTGAAGCCACAACGCCGAAAAATGTACCGAAAAAACGCGGCAGACCACCATCGAAAAAAAATAAGAACCTGGGTGGCAGCGTTTTGGAGAGGTCCCAGAGCGATATGACTTTCCCACGTCCTGCAATCCCACTTTCGTCTATCTCATCTAAAAGATTGCCCTCTATACAAAGTCCGCTTCAAAGAACAACAAGTTTAGATCCGACAATAATGCGGGAACAAGACACTCCGCCGCAACACTTCAAGGAACAGGACATCGACGACGGTCTTTCGAGTGACATAGAACGTTCTGAAGCTGTCACAAAAGTAGAAGGAGCTCAATCTTCCTCATCTTCGCTCCCGACTTCACCGAGTGGTCTGTCAGACGACAATACCTTTGACCAACGCACAGGTCCCGGCTTGAGTGGTCGTGACGAACTGGGAAGCACCACTTCTCCTCTTTCGACCATGATACCTCGCTTCAACAGCCAGTCCTTCAACAGCCAAACCTCGGATATTAATACCAAAGTAAATGGATATTTGTCCAAACTAGTGGATTATTTTGTGTCTAGTGACATGCACTCTGAAGAAACCGCACCTTCGGAGCTTTTATATCCTCCTCAAAACAGTGCTCCTTATATTGACGCTTGGATAGACCACGAACATCATACAGCATTCCACTGGGCTTGTGCCATGGGGAATTACGCGATAGTAGAGGCTCTTTATAATGCGGGCGCTAATACGCGCGCCGTTAATCTCCAAGGGGAAAATCCTTTGATTCGGTGCTCTACATTTCATAACTCATTCACCAGGCGTACCTACCCTCGAATACTTCAGCTTTTGAATGAAACCATATTTGACGTTGACTCGAAACTACAAACTGTAGTACATCACATTGTGCAGCGCAAATCGTCGACTCCATCTGCTGTGTTCTACTTGGATGTCCTGCTGTCGAAACTCAAAGATATGTCACCGCAATATCGAATAGAACATCTTATAAATGCTCAGGATCAAGAAGGTGACACTGCAGTTCACATAGCTGCTCGCAATGGAGACAGTAAATTTTTCGAACGGTTGATGCAGCAAGGAGGACTATCCACAATCAAAAACTCAAAAGGTTTAACAGCAACGGAGCTTATGAATCAGACTATACTCTCGTCACAACCGTCTTCTGCTTCAAATGGCAGGTTCAAGCAAGCGCTTACTCCGTTGTCTCCCTCGGAGTTCTTCATGTATCCTTCACAAACTGCTACGAGGCTAAGCCGCGGCATACCCGAAGTGGTTAGCGCGATGAAGGAAATGATCGACTCTTATAACAGATTACATCAAAGCAGGGACGCCGATATAATAAATCTCGAAAAGACACTCAAGGGTATGGTGAAAACAATTTCCAACGTTAACTTGAAAACTTCAGAAGCTTTAGAAGCCGATGACTACCATCGGAGTCCAAATATGGAGGACCTCTTATCGGCACGCACCCAAGAAACTCAGGAGTTACAGATCCAATTGAATCATATTGAAAAAGAAATGTTCAACAGACTTGAAAGACGTCAAGCTAAGCAGTTAGCGAAGCTGGTCCAAGATCAAGAGAGCGAGATTACACAGCATGCCGAGGAACATAGTCAAACTGACAAAACAGAACAATTGAAGCTGGCCCTTCAGTTGTCTCAAATGCAAATGAAAAGGCGAATCATGTTGTCGGAAAGCATGAGGGTCATTGGTGATAATTCCAAGATCTACAAGTACCGTAAAATGATTTCGCATGGAACTGAGATCGATATTACGGATGTAGACCAATCTCTTGACGTGATATTAACTAGTCTAGACAATAATGGTATAGACGTGTAACTTTAAGCAAATTGTAATAATAACAAGTACACAGGAGTTAGAACCGAAGTAGTTACATTAACCTAAAACAAACATTAAATTGTAAACAAGATGTATTTACGGGATAAAAATTCATGAACAATCGACTTCTTTGAGATCGATTTACATGATAATAGCTTCCTTAGGAACGTTGGCGGAAATGGACTTGTGAGGTAGAACCTTACCACCGTTAACGTAAACTTCGTCCTTAACTTCGACATCGTCACCAAGAACGGTGACACCCTCAAGTCTTGCCCACTTACCAACAGTAGAGTTCCAGCCGACAATGGTGGACTTGACCAAAGCGTGGTCCTTGATGTGAGAGTTTTTCAAAACAACGGATCTGGTGATTCTGACACCGTCACCGATAGTGACGTTAGGGCCAATAACCACATCTGGACCAATCTTAGCACTGGCTGAGATTTTGGCAGATGGGTCGACAAGAACGTTACCAACGATGTTGTTACCCTTGGCCACGGATTGTGGACATCTCCTGGACAAAGAGTTTAGGTAAAGCACGGTACCGGACAAGAAGTCCTTGGGTTGACCAACGTCCATCCAGTATCCTTCAAGGTCGAAAGAGTACAAAGACTTCTGCTCGACCAAAATTGGGAAAGTTTCCTTTTCAATGGAAGTGGGCTTCAAGTCGATAAGGTCAATCACCTCTGGGTTCAAAATGTACAAACCGGCGTTGATTCTGTTACCAACAAACTCGACAGGCTTTTCGACAAAACGGTCGATCAAGTTTGGGGTAGCAATGTCATGGACAATGACACCGTACTTAGAAGGCTCGTCGACCTTGGTGGCGACGATGGTACCTTTACCACCGTGGGCCTTGTGGAAGTCAGCCAGCTCTTGGAAAGGGTAGTCACAGATGACGTCTGAGTTTAGCACGAAGAAGGGCGATTTGTCCTTTTTCAACACTTGTTCAGCGAGTTTCAACGGACCAGCCGTGCCCAAAGGTTCAGTTTCCACCGAGAAAGTGATGTTGACGCCGTATTCCTTTTCGTATTTTTGCAAAGTTTCAACCATAACTTCTGGTCTGTAGTTGACGGCCAAAACGATGTCTGTGACGCCTGCGGCGGCCAAAGCCTCGATCTGGTGAAGAATCATAGGTCTGTTACCGAATTCCACCAATGGCTTGGGGACCGTTAAAGTCAATGGTCTCAATCTGGTACCGTAACCTCCGACTAGAATTAGACCTTTCATCTTGCAATATAGAAGAGAATGGTAGGGTATATAAAGATAACGAGTGTTGTTGGAAGGCCAAAAAGCGAACTGAACTAAACTGTTTGTGAAGAGCTCAAAGTCAGACTATAGAGTGCTATCTAAACTTGTCAAAAGTCAAAGAACTAAGAAATATTCAAAACTTTGTCAAAACTTGTTGAAACTTTTCAAAACTTTTCAAATTATATCGATATATATATATTTCTAGACAAAAATAACAATTTGTTCAAACTCAACTGTTTAACGTATAAAAACCCACGTAAACTAAATAACTGAACACGTTAGCTGACGAGAACAACATGGAGAATCTAATAACAAGAAGACATAGCGTCAAGGCCATATGAAAGGGAAGAAAGACGTGTCTCGCATCCTTTTCTCTTAGATCCGTCTGTGTAGTCAGTAAATAATGTAGTAGTAGAAAAGTCTGAACTCAGTACGCCGCCAAAAAGCACCAAAAAAGAAAAACACGACAAGTCTTGTTAGAAGAACGCGACGTGGGTGCAAGAAACCTCCGAAGGTGTGAACATTTCGTTGTTTCGTGGGATTCTAATTTTTTTTTTCTTGCAAGAAAAGGCTGGGCAGAGAGAGAGAGGAACGCTAGATAAGCCTGAAAAGGCTAGGTGGCAGACGGTGCGGCGGGGGCAGGACGCGAAATACGGAAGTTATGCTGCAGGTGTGAGCGGCGGGGACACTAGCCGGGGTTTAGTCGCAGAGAGAGGCAGAGAGAGAAAGAGAAAGAGGGAGACAAAGATCTAGACCTCTCATGAGAGATGACACTGTGTTCTTAATCGGGTAAGCCAGTTGCCCTTTATGGGAAAGGAGCCGTGCGTAGTGCTTCAACAGGACCCACGAAAAACTCTCGAGAAATGACGCTGGCGTCTTAGAAAAGGTGCGAGGAAAATGGTAGGAAATCTCGAGCACAGCACGCAGGGCACGTTGGCTGGTGGTAAATAGAGAGTCAGTGTTGTTGCAAGCACGGTTGATCGCTTGAAAGCGTCAGAGATCTGCTGTGAATAAACAAGACCTCAAGCATGGTTGCGCAATTGTAAGCGTCAGAGATCAGTTGTGAACAAACAAGACCACAACAATAGTTGCGTAATTGGTCGCTGACGCTTTCAATTGTGAACGTGACAATGCTATCAGGAAAGTTAGGAGAATTGAACCTTGTGAGTTCGTGTGAAAGTGAGTAGAGGAGTGACCAGAGGAACGGATAGAGGAGTGACCACAGGAATGGGTAGAGGAGTGCTTGGAGGAATGGGTATAAAAATGGATGGAGAAGTGCATGGAGGACCGGGTCGCGCTAAATATCCATTTACGACGCTCAGTGACGCCCACCTGGATCGAGTGCCTTCGTGAAGCTCCGTATATCAGCTCTAGATATTCGTTAAGGGAATGAACTCCAGCGACTACCAGGATAAAAGATGCCCATCTGCGGATCAATTGATTTCTGAACCCACAGTGGTGAGTCTGCTGGAGGAGAAGCATACCTCTTTCAAAAGTCAAATGTGAGCTCACTCTCACATGCACCAATACTTGTCGGAATACTTCAAACCTCACGATTTTTTTTGCTTGAAGTGCAGTCGAAATTCTGATTGATGGTGCGAGCGATGCGTGGGGACGGTTGGAGATACCAGGTTTCAGGGCAACGAAGCTTGTGTTCTCTTCAAGGACAGCAGTGACTTCGAGAAGTATCCAACGGCAAAGCGATTTTCGTTAGAACAGAGTGTTACAAATCCATCATACCTTAGGAGCTTTGCTCGATAGACCCTTTTCAATACTGGAGAGAGCTTATAGCATGAAGGCTGTTGAACGGGTTTGAGAGGTCTCACTCGTTAATATGACCTCTGCATTTTACGATTGCACTAACAGTTTTTCACGGGCTCCAGCGTCAAAACTATCCGCTGCAAGCATCTCACAACTTCAGACGTTTTTCACAAACTTACGATGGAGTTCTTGTGCGCTAAGAGCATCGAAACTGTCTTCACTTGGTCATAAAAACGGCCCTTCGACTTGAAGAAAGCAGCTTTGCGTGAGGTCATTATCAACATGCACACAAACAAAAACCAACTGGAACAGCCGATTTAAGTTTGGCAACATTTTTTCAATAGTCGAAATTGTAACTTTTACCACCACAACTCATGCATCCATCTCACATTGCATGAATTGGGGTAGAATCCAAAATGTTTGACCTAGATGTTTATGCTAGCGCTTGATCTAAGTTGCCCAGCAAACCTGAGCTCTTTAAAATCGACACGTATTTCAATACTCGCCCTCATCAAAAACAAATAACGTCGTTTTCCAGTAAATAACAAACGGCCTGCTCCCAGCCTTAACTGATCGATAAAAATTACAAAGTCTCTAAAAAAACCTCATTACAACCCCGAACACTCCTAAACTTTGGGGTTAGCTTCAATGTTTTCTTCCACCGTTGAGGAAAATTCGTCCGTGTACTCATCTTCTTCTTCGAAAACATCAGCCTCGAACTTCTTACGCTGTTCCACGAAATCTTCAACTTCTGTCCATCTTTCAAACCAACGCGAGAAATCAAAGTAACCTACGCCCTCAGGCATGCCAGGCACAGGGAACACGTAGCAAATACCACTGTAAAGCGTAAATGACACCAAGAAGCCCACGAAATAGTTGAGATAATAGACGCGCATGGCGTTCTGCGGAACATGAACGTCCAACGATCCCAAAAATCCTAGGAAGTTTGGAACAATCCCCAAAACATATGATAGCACGGCTCTCCAGTTGGTGCCAAATCTCGTACCATACATGTACAAACTGCTTGGTTTGTTGGTGTAACAGTGCTGTAGTTTGATCAAACCTTTTCTCACCACGTAGTAGTCCGCACAGACTACGCCCGAAATAGATGAAAGAAACACCGCATATGCAGACAAAGCAGTTGTGAACTTTGACGAAGAAGCCAACAGGTTCCAAGGACAAATCGCCAGCGAAATGGCCGCGCAGATGTAACCACCTCTTCTGATATTGATAAACTTAGGCAGGATGGCTGTCATGTCAGTACCAACAGAAATAGAGTTAGAGGCTATGTTAGTACCAAGTTGAGCAATACCGAAACACAATGCAATCATGAAGACACCACCTCTATTTCCGGCAGTTTGGTGATCCAAGAATCTACCCAAAACGTCCAATGGCGACCAGTAATTGACCCCATACATGGTGTAAGCAGCCGAAGTGACCAAGATACCGATGATCGAGATAATAGCGTACATCAATGGTAAAATAATCATTTGAGAGTAGATTGACGAATGCCTGGTTTTTGCGAAACGTGAAAAATCTGGGGCGTTCAGGATCAAAGTGGAAAAGTTGTCCAATGCGCTCATGATACTAATGACAAAGTTCCATCCAAGCACTGAACCGGTTGGATGGATTGTGGTTAGGGACCCAAGAGCCAAACGACCGTGAGATTTTTTGAGAGTCCAGATAAGGAAACCAAATGCTGCAAAAGGAGTGATAATACTTTTGACAGTGAACAGATGGCGTAAAGTTTGGGGAGGAAACCAAAGGGCCGGCAATTGGGCCGCCCAAAAGAGCATAAAGCACATGAACCCATAGGTGGTGATGTTTTGCGTATTCATGGTGTTTGGAATCCGTTCTTCCAAGTCGGTGCCGAAAATCGACATCAGCATAAGACTGATTGTCTGGGATCCAATGTAGGTCTGCACACTGTACCACACACAGCCCATGACCACTCTGTTCAACACAATCCACAGCGAAAAGTAGATTCCGTACGCTATTCTCGACGAAATGGGGAAAGCGATGTGATAGAAGTTACCGATACGCGAGTTGACCACCACGAAAAACGCCACACAGATGTACCCGATCCAGATACATACCCAGGTCTGCCACCAGTTCAGCCCCAGCTGCATACCTGTTGCTGAGATCTGCCAGGTGTTGACGTTGAAGGATCCGGAAATCCAGAAAAAAACGTATTGTTTCCAGTCCCACACTCTTCTGCCGGCTTCCACGGGCGCCAAATCGTCGTTGAACAAAAACGATTCCACGATGTTCTCGGCCCGGTTTGCGGAAGCACGCTTTGTTTGGTGCACTTCCAAAAATCTCACAATTTTTTCTCTCCAGTTTTTGGCCGGTTCATCGTACTGGTTTTCAAGACGGCCTGAGCCGACTGCTGCTTTTAGTCTTTGTCCTAGCGTTTTGTGAGTTTGTGGTTTTTTTTCGCTGTCATCGCTGATGTCCAGTTGAGAATCGTCAATTTTCCGATTTTCTGTGGAAACACCGTTTCGTTTGCTCATCATTTCGCTGTTGCTCAAGGGAGACCTATGGGTTAGAATTTCAAATGCTGATGCAGCATCATTAGCAGAGTTCATGGTTGTTCTTGCTTGCAATGCTGATGCACTTTTTTTCTTTCTATGTCCCACTATCGGTGAAAAAAAATGGGCATCGCATACAAGCCGCTGGGCTTTTATCTGAATAATCCTGAACTCAAAAATCAGAAAGCCCAAAAGAAAAAAATGATAAAAAAAATGAGTCCATTGCTGGTCAAGCTACGATCCAGGACTAATCTCGATATTGCCAGTATCTATCGCTCAGTTTGAGTGTATCCAATCTTGTGCTCTACCCCTAGTTTTCGTCGGCGAATTGAAGATATCTGCGAGAGTGTGAGCTACTACAGCTGGAATTAGCGTCATTGTCGTTCTCTTTCGTGAGAGATTAGAGCTGTTAATTTCTTATCTCAGTGTCAAGAAGCTAAATGCGACGGACTTATGGGGGATAGTTGTGGATTTCTACAAACGAAGCGATGTGAAGGGGAAAGAGCGACGGAGCAAGTAGTGGAGAAAAGAGAGCGAGGGGAGAGCGAAGAGCGAGAGGAGCGATAGTGGTTTGTCGTTGAATGGCAAAAAAATTACAAAGATAGGCTTGAAATGAGTGAACTAAGGGGATAGAGACAAAATGGAAAAGACTTGGCAAGTGTTGGGGGTCTCGGACATCTTCAACATGGTCAGTTTCTTTGATATTCTTGATCCATATCTCTCTATTTCTCTCTCCATCTCTCTCTATCTCTCAGTCTCATCTCATCTCATTGTTCAATTCTATCTCTTTTTTTCCTTTTCTTGTCTTCGTAATGGTTTATCTCGAGTGGGTAAAAAGACCCTACAGCAGACACACACAGAACACACAGTACAGGAACCAGGGCAGATCGGTTTTCGGATCAGAAAATGGGTTGTAGTTCTGTACGAAACGGCGGGACTCGAGTACACACGAATTCAGTGACTATGATAGTTGTGAAACTTCAGGACTGGAGACGAATGTGAGGATCCAAGAGCATTTCAAAGCACCGGATTCGCCGGGTTCTTCCCCGGTCTTGTGTGAAACCACTAGTAGACCCCCATAGAATATGGCCAGTTTACTTCGGTGCGGGAAGTGTTACCTTCTCCAACAATACCTGTTAGCGTCAGAAAACAAGCTTCATATTTCAAGTGACTGGTTAGGTGAGGTGGTCTTGGTAGTAAAATTACAAGCAGGTCAGTGGCTTCGCTGAGGTGTTTGCCAGATTGTTGTAATTCGTGTGACATGCCTCGACATATCTTTAAAGCTGGGGCAAATATTGTATCCTGTATGAAGAATTGTTTATATTGATTGCCGTCTTGCATAAACAGAGTTGATCCCACGAAAATGGGTGTCAGCTTCAAAAAGAACCTAAAGAGTAGTGCATTGTCTCGTGTGAACGACTCGTGAGAACGAGATAATATTACTGTCCCCTATTTCTGAGGAAAACATTGAACTTAGACGCTAGATGGTCTATCAAATCTTCGGCTTGTTTCCCGAGCTTCTTTTTGAAAATGTTCTTAACATGGCCAAACCATCGTATTCTTACAAGTACAATCTGCGAAATTGATTCAAGTGCAAGTAACCTCTTCAGACGAAGTTACACCGCATTCTTGTTTGATAGTGCACGTCACAGAACTCGCAAACCTGCTCATCACATTTGTAGCCAAGAAAAGAGTCCATAAGCCGTCTATTTGTTAGGATTAGCTTCGTGTTACCGCTGGTGTTGTTAAACTCTATTCGCGGTTGTGCACGTCATTCAACACGGGTGCTCGTACGGTGAGGAAAGGAGTAAGAAGCCATCGAGCAACAGAGGCCAGTAAGTATATTGACGATACGCCAATGAGGTATGAATATCAGCGTCTGGGGAGTTTCGTGGAAAGGGAACTTGAAGGCTAGATGCTAGCACTAACGTATACGTACGAAGTGATGAGTTCCAGTAAAATGGCGAGTCCAAAATCGAAGAGCACGACAGGATTTGTCTTCAGAACTGTTAGGCAGAATGAAGCAGGCGTTTTCCGTTTGTTTTGCCACATCCGTAGGTTGATTCTTTCAAATGCGTTTGGATCATAGATCACGTGTTTGATGATCGAGGTTGGATTTCTCTTACTCCCACTGCTCATGAACTCCTGATCCAAGCGCGAGTCCGGCCATATCTGAAAGTATAACAGACTCACACATCCTGGAGCTTATTTCCTTCTCCCAGTGTCTTTTTACAACATTGCCCTGGGAAAGGGTCAATGGGCTTATAACACTCTCAAGATTAGTAACATGAACCGTACTTTGAATCGATTGGAATTGTAACGTTACAAGCTCCCATACTTGTAACTTGCCTTCCTCAATTTATCTTGAAGTTCACTTTCTACTAGTATCATCGGCCCGATGCAGATTTAACATTGTGAATTAGAGCCCCTGGCATTTTCAATTCGCATAACATGCTCTATTCTCCATTATTGACAGAATTAACCGCGACATGAAGAATTGAACATGGAACTTCGTGCAGTTTGAAATCTGAAAATTACTTGGCTCTTGCGTAAAAGAAGATCGGCTATTCGATTGCTCACACCTTGCAGCCTTGTCACAAGCCGGATTGGCTTTTAATGATGAAGCCTACTCTGAGGTGTTGATTGTCACATCATTAATTTCTGACCGCTTCAAACAGCAAACAAGAGCCGCTAGAAACACTACCTTGAAGAATGAGAAAATCACCCAAATGAGCCATCAGGAGAAAGCGCTAAATATTTGGACTACTGGCTCAAAAATCGAAGTAGATTCCCGCATTTTTTCTCAATGGTGATTTATTTTTACAATACGAGACGTTCGGGTTGAATGATGCTTTCTCATCAACAAAAAATTCTTGCATAACGCACTTCCACTTCCTTGGAACATCAAGCGCCGGAAATTTACACGGGCGTGAGCTTCAGTAGCCAATACTATCAAGATGAATGCTGCCACTCCTTCATATAGCACACTGGATCAGTAGGCGTCCCAATTGGGAAACTTCTGCCAGCTCAGCGGGCTGCTATTTTTACTCTAGCTGTTAGGTCAGTTAGAGCCATGTCTCATCAACGGAGGTAAAATCAATGGAGAAGACTATACCAGAGGACCTACTTGGTATTTCACGACGCCTTATCCTGAACCTGGGCTTCACAACTCGAGCCACAATTCAAACGGACGGCTAAACTATCGTCGCACTATTGACCACCATCAGTGTTGCAAATGTATCAAACTCATTACAGCAATTATTTATCCATATTGAACATGGAAACTGTATCGTCTTGATCATGTTCTCGAGAAAATGGTTCTCCTATACCCAGATATGAGCTCGAGCACCTAATATAAAACTCCGAGATCTTCGGTGACATCCCACAGCTTACTCCACTGGCTAACTAATTCAAAGGTGAGTCAGTTAGCCCATTTAACCACCTAAGGAGAAACTATCCGTCCTGTCTGCAGAGCATTTCAAGAAATGGCAACTATCTTCATCACTACAATTCATACTCTCTCAACAACATGAAAACGCTCAAATGTATTGGCTCATCCTGAACCTTAATCACTTACAGGACCTCTGAAAGATGTGACAGTCCAGTAACTCAAGTCTCAAGGACATAAAGTAAAAATCGCAGATCTTTATGCTCAAAATTGCAGGGCATCAATTAACTGCCCTGACTTCCACCAGGTTTTGGAAACCGATGAAATGTTCATAATAACTTCCTCGAGCACGGTATATGCAGAAAATGACCTGACTAATGATGTCAAGTTAGAGCAGGAGAAACTCTTGTGGGCAGACACTTTGTTGTGGCATTTTCCATGATGGTGGTTTTCCATAACCGCAATAATGAAGGGCTGCGTGAACGGGTCATTTCTTGCGGAATGGTGTGCGGCGTTGGCGAACACAATGACTACCGGTGGAATGTTAGCTATGGAGAAGGAAAGTTTGCGGGTAAACGTGCAATGATTATGGTCACTATAGGCGGATGGGAAGATCATTGCTCAGATCGTGGGATAAACGGACCTCTGGCCGATTACTCTTTACCGTACATCATGGCGTGCTTTTTTATCCCGATCCCACAAGATGGATACAGAGAAGTTGGATGCAGCTACAGAGAAATTACAAGGGGGTATTTGCACTCTTGCGAGTGACCGATCCATTTACTTTCCGCAGACAAAACTATGGTGACTACATCCTTCCTGCACTCGCACTACACGAGGATATCGAGCCCGGTGTCACAGGACTTCCAGTACATTTGGACAAATTAGAGACGGTGTAAAAACTTGTGGCGGCAGTGCCTCATTGCGGGTCAAGATTTCGGTAAATATTCCAGCCTTGTCGAGTTGTGCTAGCTATGTCAGAGTTAGGTCCGTTGAGTTCTGCTTAGACATGTTGATAATAGACGGTATTCCAGTAAAATAGACAAGCGAAGGTAACGGCTTGAACTCATCGTGTACTGCAAGTGGTTATGACATATCGCTATACAACAAACGTCGCCGAGGAAAGTGGGGTGGAAAAGAACTCGTAATTGAGAGAAATAAGAAGGTTCATTGAAGATATGAACACCAGCGTCTTACTAGTTTCCATTACAATGGAACTTGGAGCCTTCAGGCTACCACTCTTGAATCGAATCTCGAACTATGATTGCCAATGAGTCGGACCTATTGATTCGCAACGCTTCAATTACCTGTTTGTCAAGAGATGTACACTTAACTATATATACATTTGTAGCCTTCTCCTCAGCAAGAACTCGTCCTTGTTAGCTCAGTTGGTAGAGCGTTCGGCTTTTAAGCACGCTTGCAAGGAACCGAAATGTCAGGGGTTCGAGCCCCCTATGAGGAGTTCTTAACTTTTTTTTGGTTTTGGGTCCAACTTGAATTTATGACAGTGAGAGAGGTCCTTGCCAGTCTTTACACATTGTACAATCTCAAATTATACTTACATCTAATCCTGGATGATATCAGTAACTGGTTTTCTTTTTTTAATTTGTGCTAAAAGATGGCAAGGCATTAGGCCTGTAAAGCCCTATATTTCTATGTGAACTGATGCTTTTGTTGTTTACATCAATTCAGAAAAACCTGCAACCAGGTTTTTGGTGAACCCACCTTCCTTGGCAGCGGTCTCGTAGTACCCGTAAATGGTTGTTGTAGCCATCAAAATGGAAGTACCGGAGCCCAAGGTTCCTAGTAGATCGGATCCAACGGAAAGCGCACCAATAGTAGCACCACCAAACGCAGCAGCAGTGGGGATGATTTTCTTCAACTCTCTGTAAACATTTGTTTCTCTCTTTCCGTTAATGACAAGACCCTGATCTTTGAATTGTTTGGCCACATCGCGGGGAGAAGTACCGGAGATCTCAGTCCACGTCTTGGAGAACATAGCACAGGCACCTAGAACAAACGCAACGTAAATGACGGTCTTGATTGGATCCAAAATGGCATCAGAGACAGAAAATGGTGGCTGGATGTAGTACGACAATCCACTCAAAGCCACTTGTTGGCCCGTTGGAGCGCCCGGTCTGGCGCCCCAAACTCCGATGAGACGCACCACAGGGTTAGAAGGAAATTTCTGGTACATGATTTGCGAAATCAAAAAGACGTTAGAAGTCAAAGCACTTTGCAACATGATAGGAGTGTTGGAGGTGTAGAAAAGCTTGATTGGGTAAGCGCCAACTTGACCTCTAGTTCTGGTCGATCTTACCGGCAATTCATAACGGAAACCTTGTAAGTACAACACAAACAAAAACACGGCCACAGTGGATAGAACTTGGAACATGTTGGGCAGGTTTTCCCTGTAGAAGGCTTCAACTAAGGCCCGCTTTTTGTCCCTTCTCACGGAGAGCAAGTGGAAGAAAGCAATCACGGCACCTTCGAACTCGTTACCACGACCGGAGTTGACGGTAGTGGGTGCAAACGCCTTCCAGAAGATTTGTTCTGCGATGTTGGTAGCGGTAAACAAAGAAATGCCTGATCCAAGACCGTAGCCCTTCGCCAAAAGCTCGTCGAGCAACAGCACGATGAACGACGCGAACATGAGTTGGAAGATCAACAACAAAGAGATGGCAATGCCAATGTCTGAGGGTCTACCGTAGTTGCCTGACAGCACCACCACGACGGCTTGGCCGAAAGTGAGCAAAATTGCACACACTTTCTGCGCGATCTGGAACAATTCCCGGTCCTGCTTATTTTCCATGTCAACATGCAACAATTGGGTGCCTTGCAAGAACTGGAAGATCATCGACGATGTGATGATGGGTGTCACTCCCAGTTCCATCAAGGTCCCTCTATTGGATGCCAGCATGGCACGCAGCCAGTACAATGGGTCTGAAGTTTCACTGGAAACAATCCCGTACAGCGGGATTTGGCCAAGCACCAAAAAGATCAGCAAAGACACACCGGTCCAGATCAATTTCTGGTTGTAGGGCACTTTTCTCTCCGGTGCAATCACCTCAGGTAGAAAGGCCTCGAACGGCTTAAACAAGTCCAACAAACGGCCACTCATTGCTCAATTACTACACCAGGAAAAGAACTCTTGGATAAATGGGAAGAATCAAAAGGCGCACGTTAAATTGGGGCGTGAGTATCGTTTCTGGTTCAGATCGTCTAGGATATTATCCAAATGAATACGAAGCTTCCTCTCGTCAACACCAAATGGGCAGTTTTTCGGTCTTTGCCTTCTTTTCTTTAAAGCGCGAAAGTATATCAATAATAATTGATCTTTCCTATTATTTAGGACGGGACACGCTGGCTGGTTAAAAGTTTTAGAAAGAGCCGAAAGCATAGAAGAGTTATTTCGTGCGATGTGATTGTTATGTGGTCACGTGATACTCGCATGATATTCACGTGGATCATAGGCTTTAGCTGTCGGATGAGCTTGAAATTGTAAGTCTATGGGGGAATAGGACTGAGTTCATAGTGTTGCATTGGTTGTTGGATGTTGAGTGCTGTACTTGTTTGAGATTGAGCCAAGGTTTCATGCTTTAGTGCTTGTTTGTCAGAAATTATGGTGTCTTGACAGATTCCATGTCAGCTGCTCCAAGTAGAAATGTTACCATAGACACGGGAGCAGTAGGACGATGTTGTAGAGGTGATGAATCATTGACCGGTGGGTTGATTTGACCATTTTTGTGTACTGTCAGTAGATGCCAGGTTCGATAGATGTTTGCCATTTGTATTTATTGGCAGTAGATGCCAGGTTCGATAGATGTTTGCCATTTGTATTTATTGGCAGTAGATGCCAGGTTCGATTGAATGTCTTCGTGGCGACGGTGAAGGATCAGTATTGGTGACGAACGAGGTAGTAATGGTACCCTTGCTGCTGTTGAACCTCTGTAATGTTCGAGAAATAGCGCGCTTCCGGTAATTTTAGATCGTGGGAAGGGGGCCTTTCGCCTATGCACCACGTTGGAAGCATCATACGAGTCTCGTTTTTAAATGGATATCAGTCCAATGAGTACGCTATCACCCACAAAATCCAGGATCACTCTTGCTATACTACTTCCCTACTGGTCTGCGTATTTTCACACTTTATCGTTTTTCCGCCTTACACTGCTCCACCAGTCAACGACTGACACTACTGGAGTTTCATAACCACCTTCAAACGCTTCAAATTGGACCTCATAACTTCTAGAATCCCATCTCTTGCTTGGAAAAAGCGACCTTTCTTACTTAGGTTTAGCCCTGACAACGTTTTTTCCCGAGTTGGCGGCTAAAACAATGGAAACTTAATCATTTTGGCACAGTTGAACACCCGCTTCTTGATTTCCAACTTGAAAAAGCTATTAAGAAGCCTTGATACCTTCAAAACATCTTTGAAATGTTCACTTTTGACATGTTTTCGATAATTCCCGGATTTTCATAACGATTCCAGTATATCTTCATATGTATATACCACAGATAGACTAACTAATTGAAAATGGAAGGGGTCTCGAACCTCCAAATGACATCTCATGAACAATTAAATAGCTATTCGTTCTTGTAAATCTATATTATAAACAGGTAACTGATCTTCATCGATTAATGACGTTTGACTACCAATATCAGCCACTTGGCTACAGCCAACATGGTACTTCGATGCAAATGCCCTTGTAAAACTTGAAATGCACCAATAGCGGTTTATTTCAAGGAACCCCACACTTGCGTAAGTAATCTCTCAACATGGTCAATCGAAAAAAAATCGCCTCTCTTAGTGACGACCAGTTCATCATATTTCAATATTTTTACGTCTCCAGAAGCCGAAATACGTGGAGATACTAATCGCCAATGCAACTAGGAATGAAGCCGCAGTCAGGGAGAAAATAGGTCTCACACATTGCGCTCCTGGGTATTGACCAATGCACTGTGTGTCGTAAACACGGGCGTAAAGTATACCGAAAACCGTCGATGCAATGGCAGGTGCTACCATGAAGCATCCGTAAGCTGTACCAAACACACTAGAGCCCCAGATACCCAGTGTTAACGTGGGGAATATGGTAAAAAGGCCGCCATAAGAAGCTCCGCTCAAAGCAGAAGCAATACTTATTTGGGTCTTGTTGGTCCCGACATTCAAGATTAGTACTTGACCCGATAAACCAAGCAACATGCATCCATATAGGATCCAAATGCGAGAGATTTTGCGTTGCGAGAGAAAATCGGCAGCCAGACCTGCAAGCAAACGTGTGCAAGTCGAAAGTAAGGCGTAGTACGATAGCACTCGATCCTGGATGTTGCGATCATTTGGAGAAACTAATAATGCGACAGAACCCATATTAGTGAGGAACATTTCAAGTGCACCTATAGTCAGGAAAAACATAAGCAGCGTCAGGTATGTGCTGGGGTCCCTTACGAACTGCGCAATACGTTCCTTGTAGTCCTTTGTAGAGGTGTTGGATTCAGTGGGTAACAGAGGCCGGTGCTCTTCTTGTTCAGCAGCAAGCTTCAACATAGCCACGATACTGGTAGAAATCCATGTCAAGGTCCCAACTACAGCATAAAAATAGGCAAAGGTCCGAAAGACACGCCCCAAGTTTAAATATTCGTAGCCCTGGGAGAACCATTCACGCTTCAAAATTTCAGAGCCAACTAAGGATGACAAGCCGTAAAATGTGGTGGGACAGCTTATCGACAGGAATTTGTATTTTGGGAACAGTTTGGCACAGGTCAAGAGACCGCTGAAAAAAAGTGCGCTTGTAGAGACTCCTATGGCGCAGAAAGCGACGAGTGTGAACGCAAAATGGGCTTCACCATGCTCGAACACGTACGAAGAGTAGGCGTAGCTAGGAACAAAGCCCACTACAGCCAACCAACTCAGTATCACTGGACCATGCGAATCTGACAATATTCCCAGTAACGGAGGGGTCAAGTAACCTCCCAAGTTAACAGCACTGGAGATCAGATTGATCTGGAGTGCCGTATAATGCATGTGGTCTCTCCATGGTTTGGTGAATAGAGATATAATTGTGATCAGACCTGATGCAACGCATGATATTAGGGCAATCAGGAAAGCTACTTTGCGTAGCGTCGAGATGTGAAACCGTGTGTGCAGGCATGATCGAATGTGTAACGTCAACCAATGTTCGATGGATGACAGTGTCATGTCTGTGTGTGTGTGTGTGTGTGTGTGTGCAATCAAGTGATTACTCACGTTGATCTTCGGACTAGTCTATAAAGTTTGTCGATGAATTGATCAATGGTCAAGTTTCTTATTTAGACTATAAGGGAAAGAGGTGAGTCAGTTAAATACACTCGACAAGATCAGCTAGACAGTAAGTCCGTTCAAGTATCCTTGGTGGGGTTAATGTGAGTAAAGGCTATGAACTGAGTGTATGTGTTTTGACTGAGAAGCGATTAATTAGGTTAGTGAGAAAGTAATTAGAGAGGTAGGCAGGGTGGTAGGTTGATGAGAGATGAATAACTTAGTGCCGGGATTGTTTGTAGTTTGTGAGGTTTGCGAGCCCAGAAAAGTAGTGTGGTTTCAATTTTTCAAAGAGCGCGCAACATCAGCCAAACATAGATATTTTTTGGATTTCCACCTGTTGTTGGTGGTGACACCCCAATCAGGAGGACTATTGGATGCATGTCTTGCGTAAATGACGGTGTTGGACGCATTGGCTTGTTTGGTGTAGTTGGCTTGTAAAAACTCCAAAACTTGTTCGGAGTTGAATGCAGGTTTGGATGCTGGTGACTTTTTAGACTTCTTGGTTGTCGAAGTTGGTGCAGTGGTATTGGCACCATGCGATTTCATGGAAGATGCAGTGTTTGTTTTTGTGGGTTTATTTTGTTTGATGGGTGTTGTGGGTAGTGTAGAAGTAGAGGTGGCAGCCGTAGCTGGAGCTGCTTTTGCAGCAGCAGCAGCCCACCCTGTTAGCTTGGGTTTTTGAGTGACCGTTGACATTGTTTTTCGGTAAAGGTGTTAGAGGGAGCCCAGTGAAGAGAAGTGGGCAAAGAAGGTGGTCAACAGGGGTGCGAACTAAAGATTGTTTCTTGTCTGTGAGATGGGAAAAGAGCAGCTAGAGTGTGTGTATGTGTGTGTGCCAGGCGGTGATAAAGACGATCTATTGGGTTATAGTGGGATCGTGAATAGTGATGGAGAAAAACCAAGAACTGAGGTGGGTGTCTAGGTGACCAAGGAGCAGGGCAGGTTTTAAGGAATTCAGACGCGAAGAAGTGGGTGCGAGTTGTGGTTTCTACATAGGTATGGTGGGTGTTGTTACATGTCGTACACAGTGACACAAATAGAAATCTGATTTTCGATCCATGATAGCCCTGAATTCTCGAGCCCAGACAAGGTAAATTCCAACGCCATCCCTTCTTCCAACTGAGAGGAATGCATTCCCCAAAAATTGCAGTGGTAACAGCTCTAAAAACCTATTATTCCCAGATCACTACGCACGAACAATATCTCATCTTTTCGTCTGTATAGCAAATGCTTATATGTAATCTATTTCACCTCATTCTGTCCCAACATGACACCCGATCGCTTTCTTTCACCACACAGCCAAAAATACAACGATCCCTTCTCCTTCTCTGCGTAAATTTACGATCCAGTCATGATCCAACTCTTCCCGGTCTTTCCCATTTCCATTCCCTTCTTTCCTTCCTCCCGTTAGCCCGTCTTTCCCCTACTCTTGTCACTATCTCCTTTCAATGACACAGTTGCCAGACGGGCCCACCAGCTTATAGCCCCATTGTCCAATGGTCTCGAACTTTGATCGCAAAAGGCCCAGAACAAACGCAAATGAACCCACTGGCGCAAGCCTCATATTTAGATCTAGACCTAATCAACTGTTCACACGAGGTTTCCGCTATTCCGTGTATGATACTAGTCAAGATACGACAAGACATTGTGTACATACGTAAGTGTTGTTAACCCGGACTGTGACGTTACTACCCCGGATTGTTAATATTGTAAAGATCGAGCCCAGCCAAACATTATCGCGCGGGTTATCGGTAGTAGGTTTGTAGGCTTGTAAACATTGTTCTTGAAGGTCAGGCCAATAGTAAAAAATGCTTAGGTCCGAGTCCGGAGTTTCTTAAGGCTGTGACAGCACATTCACATACACTCACACACATAACAGCGTTCACCGCTAGTTTTGTGGAAATGCGCGGCGGAGAGGGGTTGTGGTGACACAAGTGTATTAAAGGGATAGGAAGAGACGATGGTATCTGGGAGAGTATATAAAGGGATCGGAATATAGAAGGTTAGAGAACTTACTTGGGAGACGCTATCAAGAACAACGCCTCACTCAACAGTGAGCACTCACTTGTCAGTCTTTAGTTACATATCTAAGTACAAATAATCACCAACCCACCCATTCAAATAATGCCGGCCGCCGTGCAAGCAAGAAGAGACTCAGCAGAATCGATCAACACAGATATCATCACACTGTCGAGATTCATTCTGGAAAGCCAACGCTACGATGCGAAAAACGCTACTGGAGAGTTTTCAATGCTGCTGAACTCCTTGCAGTTCGCTTTCAAGTTCATTTCGCAAACCATCCGGCGTGCGGAGTTGGTCAACCTCATGGGACTGGCAGGTGCGTCCGTTAACGCCACGGGCGACCAACAGAAAAAACTGGATGTTCTGGGTGATGAGATCTTCATCAACGCCATGCGGGCCAGCGGGAACGTCAAAGTGTTGGTCTCCGAAGAGCAAGAAGAATTGATGGTTTTCCGTCACAATCCAGCCACCTACGCGGTTTGTTGCGATCCAATCGACGGATCGTCGAATTTGGACGCCGGTGTTTCGGTGGGGACCATTGTTTCGCTATTCAAGCTGACTCCGGGGTCGCAAGGCAATTCCAAAGATGTGTTGCGTCGCGGTGACGACATGGTCGCCGCTTGTTACGCCATGTACGGTGCTTCCACGCATCTCATGCTTACCACAGGGAAAGGCGTCAACGGGTTCACGCTCGACACCAATTTGGGCGAGTTTATCCTCACATATCCGGACCTCAAACTGCCTTTGCAGCATCCAATCTATTCGGTCAACGAGGGAAACTCCGTGTACTGGGAAGATATGATCCAGCAGTTCTTCCACAATTTGAAGGTGCCCCAGGATGCTCCTAATGGCAAACCTTACTCTTCGCGTTATATCGGGTCGATGGTCGCCGACGTGCATCGTACTTTATTGTATGGTGGGCTCTTTTCGTACCCTTGCGACAAAAAGAGTCCCAAGGGTAAACTACGGCTACTATACGAGGCGTTCCCCATGGCTTTCCTTGTCGAACAAGCCGGAGGTAAAGCCGTTAATGACAAAGGTGAGCGTATCCTGGATTTGACCCCCGAAAACATTCACGACAAGAGCAGCATTTGGTTGGGTAGTAGCCAGGACATCGACCGATTCCTAAAGCATATTGGTAAATGAGTTGGCATCAAAAGAGCATCATATTTGCCGTTTACGTACCTATATTCTATTGTTTCAATGCATGTTTTCCATTCCTCTATCTCAGGGTCCAAGATTACGTGGCCGCAGCCGGTTCATTTTGTTCTTCAATCACCTCCACGACTTCCTCCACCGTATCTTTTGAAGAATTATCCCGGTCTTCAGTAAAGTCGCCCGTTTCAGAGCGTTCGCTCACAGACGCATCGTCAGTGACAGGTTTCGCATCGGGTGGTAAATTTGTGTCGACAATAGCTTTAGAGTAGCCCAAGGACTTGATTTCACGTTCCATGAGTTCCTTCACTCTTTCAGTGAAAGCACTGACGTCCTCTTTCTTAAGGTCTGAGGTGGAAATTGGATCTAAAACCTTGACCGTAATGACACCACGGTTGAAAACCTTGAACTTGGAGTTCATAATGGTGCTTGTATTGGATACCACGATCGGTACAATTGGCACTTTACCCTGCTGGGCGAGATGGAAAGCGCCCTTTTTGAATGGTAACAAGCAAGGCTTGGTAGAATGAGATCTGGTACCTTCTGGGAAGATCCAAATAGCGCGTTTTTTACTTCTAATGTTTTCAATGGCTTTGGATAGAGTTTTGACACTCTTTTCACGATTACCACGGTCCAGGAAGAGAGTTCCGCTCAGACTCATAAACCAGCCCAAAAATGGAACCCATTTTAATGAGCTTTTGGCTGTTACCGTGCACCCTGGAGGAAAAGTTCTACCCAACATTAGAATGTCCAGAGCCGATTGGTGGTTGGCCACGAAAATGGCCGGTAGTTTATCTAGGTTTTCAGGATTGATAACCTCCACGTCTATACCCAAAAATGTTCCCATCACATAGTAAAAAGACCTAGCCGTAGTGTACTGAGCAAGGTGTCTTTTCCCAACTAGAGTGAGAACTATGGATGCTAACACTCCATACAGGGCGCAAGTACTCAATAGCGTCACACCCAGCACGCACCTAAATTGGTACACTATTCTGCCCCAAACACCCATATGGACTGTTGGAAGTGAAAGAAGAGGGACTGAAAATTTGCAAAAGATAGCTTCTTCGTTGTAAGTGAAACAAATTCAAAGTTTTGGAGCGTTTCTTGGATCCAATAACGGTTTACTTCTGCTTTGTTTCCTTTACTTCTTATACTTCACTTTGGGCAGTGAAACTTTTCGGCAGCAGTTTTACCAATGAAAGCTTGACTTTGTAAAATATTCTATAGTCTCCAGCCACGTACAGCTTTTAGACAAGACAAAACTAATGCTAAAGGCTCGAGCTTTGCAATAGAAAATTGCTAGGGTTGTGGATATGTCGTTGTTGGTTTATATGATGGATTGTTGGGTTCGAAGTTGTTTGAAGATGAGGGAACCTACCAGAGGATCGAGTAGATGGTTAGGTAGATAACCAGCTGGAGGACGCCAAGTTGAAGATGCCAAGTAGCTACGGGAAGAGCGGGAAGAGGTAGCTAAACAAGAACAATTCAAGTGCCCTGACTACTAGTTCCAAAACGAATTATAGCAGCTACGAACTAGAAGGAGAGAACCTAAATTTCACCAAGACAAGCAAGCTGGCAAATTTAGCGGTGCAAATGCCGTACTTGAAGTACGAAAGATATTTGAATTGGTAACCAGAGAACTTCGATCGTACTCTCCTTCTCGGCAACCTTGAACGATTTATGTCAGTTTTCTTACATTGCGTCAGGATAAATCGGCTTTCCGAATTTCGCATTCATGTGGGAGATATGACAATTTAGAGATGGATCACAATTACTAAAGAGGTTTTCAGGTCATTTTTAGCATTGGTGTGTGGCTTATGGCTCTAGCAAGGCCTTCGAGTGCTGGAAACGCTCTTGCATGAGTTGGCATTTTCCGGCATCGTAGAAAGGTACCGATTGCAGATCTCACCAAATTACCGTCAAGTACATCATCGTTTCAACTAACTGGACTAGCCTCATCTTTATCGTTTCGCGATGATTCGATGAATGTGCTGGCACATTGTAGAGTATACCCACTCTCTACCGTAAGTTACGGGTTCCGCCTTTTCTTTCAAAGCTATTTTCGAAGCTTTTCACTAACGTCGTGTCTCCTCAGTTTTACAAACCGGTTGCCATTAATATTGACTGGCTCGGTAAGGACTCGTTTGGCAATGCGATACTGGACTGCGAACAGCAACCCGGTGCTCAAAAACTCAAGCCGGCAGGGTTTCTGCACCTAATAGAGCACAGTTTTACGCCTACAACCTTTAAAGAGGAGCTCTTGACGAGATTGGTGGATAATTGTCCCGATCAGAGTTTCATCTTGGTGATTGATCTGATATCTTGTTTGAAGCCTCTGCTTTCGCAATTGCAGCTAGATGACAAAGACGTAGCATATCTGAACTCGGCATCGCTTGTTAATTTTGACTCGCTCATCAATTTTCTTGTGCAACTCAATGAAAGTCCACAGGATGCATTATCCCGTTGTCGAAAACAAGTCTCGTTGCAGTATCAGCTGGCAGGAATCGTCATTGACAACATTTCATACTACACGCATGATGCGGCCTCTTATGATCTTCTATTCAAAGTTCTGCGTTTACTAAGAGCCAGATATGGTTGCTGTATCGTTACAGTAGGATACGGTCTGGAGTTCTACAATGGCGTCGAGAAGGGATTGGCTGAGACATCTGTTCAACCTTATGAAATTCCAACCCGTCTGCCCATTTCATACGTCAAGAACATGGACTGCGTCTTGCTAAGGGACACGGAGACCGTTGCAAGAGTTCTCGATGTTAAGTGATTCGAACTCTCTTTTGACTGGCGATGAGCTGCTGCATTTCCTACGGTATAGGCTCAATAAAGATCCTTCGTACGAAGGGTTTTTCAACTTCTTCAATTTTAGACGATGAGCATTGTCGATCAGAATACACACCTCTCGAAAACTTTTACCTGTTGGTGACAAAAGAAAGGGTCTTCTGAGTGTTTATTTCAATAATTCGCTTTGATTCAGGCTGGAAAACTGTACAAAAGTTTACTTGTGAACCGAAATAACTCAGATTTCAAATCAGAGCATTAACAAAACCTAACTTGGTGAAAAAAAAGCTAAAAAGTTAGGAATATGAGTGACGTCAAAACAACTGATGAAGCTTCTGTGAGACGTAACTCGTACACTGCTGTTGAGTTTACCCCTGAAGTGGAGAAACAATGCTTGAAACAGCTTGAGTTTTACTTTTCTGAATTCAATTTGCCCTACGACAAATTTCTGCGCACCACTGCTGAGAAAAATGAAGGATGGATCCCCATTTCCACCATCGCTACGTTCAACAGAATGAAGAAATTTCGTCCGGTAGACAAAGTGGTCGAAACTTTGCGTAATTCCACCGTGCTGGAAGTAAGCGAAGACGGTGAAAACGTCAAGAGACGTGTGCCGCTAGATCTTCAACACGATGCCAGACTCGAAAGAAGCAAAAGGATGGTCACAGTGCAGAACTTTGACTTTTCGAAAGATGGCCAAGACAAATTGAGCGAGCAAGAGAAAACTGAACTCCAAGAAAACGTAGAAAGCTTTTTTGGCAAGCTTGGTTCCGTGAGTCAAGTCCGTTTGAAAAAAGACCATCGTAAGAATTTCAATGGTACAGTCATCGTGGAATTCGCCAGCGAGAAAGATGCCGAACAGTTTGTCGACACGTACGGCGCCGATAAAGAAGTACTCTCCTATGAAGGACGCAAGCTAGACGTCCTCTCTAAGAAGCAATACGATCAACAACGTGAAGCAACACGTAGTAAAAACTTCAGTGGATCAGGCCAACGTTCCCGTTCTTTTACCGGTCACAGAAAGAACATGCCTAAACAGAAGAGATCAAGAGACGCCCCTAAGGCTGAGGGAGAACAGTCCGAATCCACTCCCAAACAGGATGAGGAACCAGTTGCTTCCGAGTCCGCTGTACAGTAAATCTGTTTAATTCACTACCAACACACGTACACATAGATGCATTGTGACAAATGTGGACTGTGTAAATATAATTTAACAGAACATCCCAACGATACAAGAACTTGTTGATTTTTTTTCAATTTACGGACCTATTTACCTTTCGAGTCGTCAAAGTCATCTTGTCTGCACGTTTGTACCACCCGCCGTTTTCCGCGGGCATTGGTTTAGGATGGACATCATTAATACGGCTTGTAATCGTGTAATCCCAACCCGCTGTTATTGTAGTTTTTATTTGAGGTTTATAAGTGCCAGCTTTAAAGAAGGTGCAGGCACTTGTAGGATTGATTCGAGTCCATTGTGTTGCCGTGACTGTAGATCCCGGCTGGGTTTGCATGGCTGCAAAAAGGGTGGATCCGGTTTGTGACGCATAGGGAAGTTTGAATGAAGCAGAGTCTATCGGTGGTGGTGGCCCATCTGGGCCTATTTTCATAGTTTCAGGCGTTGGTCCCTGTGGTTCGTTCACAGGCGGTGCTGCTTTATTCCCCTGCAATCCAGTAATAGTAAACCTGTTTGAGTAGTGAATGGTAATCCATTCAGGAGAAACGGCCACCACTTGTACAAAATAAGTACCACTTGCGCCAGCGTTTGTGTCAACGGTTACAGTATATTTGTTAGCGGTTACTTCGCCCGCGGAAACTGTCGCCAGCGTAGTAACAGCCTCAATTTTATTATTTGGACCGGAACACAGAGTGAAAACGTATTGCGTAACTGAACTCAAATCTGGTACGTTACCAGCGTCTGTCCATTCTACATCAAAGGATGCAGAATTTGAAGAAACTGAAATCTGGTCACCACTACCTGGTTTTACAACGGCAAGATCCGCTGCAACCAAGCAAAGGTATATTTGAATTAGGGAAATTAGTGAACGTAATGGCATGGCGTTGGATGCGTCACTTTTGAGAGTTGTAATGAGTTTGGTGGGATATTTTTGAACATGAGACTGGACGTATTTAAATACGCAAGTGGGAAAGTGAAACTTCTAAGGTATTTCGTGGTGTATGTGGTCTCGACTTTAATGAGAAGGCTAATGTAGCAGAAACAAAATTGTTGATGATCGCTGACGCTGACATCTTGCTGGCGCCAGTAGGAAACAACGTATCGTTGGATATGACGAGGACTGAGCGGCAGGGTAGTGAGCACCGTTCGCCGTGTGTATGACAAGCATTATAGGTGGGATCAATGTCATCTGGAAGAGATGTATGTGAAGAATTTGGGATGACAGTTTTCAAGGCGATGTTTTTACGTATACGATAGAGGTGCAAACTCAAGATTTCAATTTTATGTGACTTCTGACCTGTGGGAACTAAGTGTAGTGCACAGAATGGGACAAATAAAGTCTGGTATTCCATGATGTCACGGTTTGTAGTGTCAAGTTGTAAAGAGTCGTTTCTGTGACGGGCTGGTGAGACGAGCTCTTTCGCGATTTTTGTCTGACAGTGCAGGTGACCGCACAGCAAGGAGTAGGCGTGTACGATTAGATTCAAGAGGCAAAAGACTACTGAGTGACTGGATGGGATTGCTTTAGATTATGAAATCTGTCAAGACTCAAGACGTGCTGGGTGGCTGGACCGCTATCTCCAGACATTCAATACATCTGGATAAGCATGTGGTAAGCGAAAGTACACGATGTTTCCGTATTTGTGATCCATTTTGAGTATCCATGGTTGACTGGAATAGATACCCGTTCCGTACAGAGCGACGACCCGTTTGGTATCCGGTTAGGGTGTGATAACGGAAGAGTAGATTCGAGTAGACCCGTAAGAGATGGTCAGTGCGCGAAGCATTACAATCACAGACAGTACCTGTTATCCTCAGATGTAGGCTCTCCATTTCCAAAGACTAGCAGTTTGAAATGAGGAAACCATGTATGAAAGGACACTGGCTTCAGCGCTCACTTCGTTGAGGTATTTCATGTGGATATTGATTTGATAGATCACGGAACTGGAGAACCCACAAGAAAGAAGGTGGAATGTTGTCTACATGTTACCGCTAAGGTTGAACAACTCTAGCGGTGAGTTTACTCGTCATTCCACACGGCTACTCATACTCGTCCCCAGTCCTGGTGGTAATGAATCTGGGCCCTCGCGGAGACGTACTCCACGTTTAAGCCAGCAGAGCCAGACTTGTGGGCGTAGAGAATCCAAGCAGTGTTAAACTGGGATGGATTAGCTACATTTTGAATTGCTTGTTTATTGATTTTGCCGGAACCTCTGTCTGCCTGGCGTCAGATCCATGACGAGCTGATCACGTACACGTGACAGAGGACAGCGTCAGAATCTGGAACAAGTACCGATCTAACGGAAAGGGCGTCTATTAAACCAAGTGATAACACTTGCAATCAATCGAGTGCACCCGGAACGCTTGAAAGTTCTCATATTCGTCAGCAACGGAACATCTCAGAGAACTTGTATGAGAAGAGACGTTTTGTCTACCCTGCAAGCTCATTTCATTCATGCTAAATAGATTACGGAGAGATAACTCTAACTCAATAAACAATAGTTTACACCTTACAAGAATGGACAAGAATCACCCAAGATATGGGACGTTTATCGTGAAGCGAAACTCCAGAGACAAAGTCCCAACATGACTATAAACAAATCTATTCAAATTCGTTCAAATAGCGCGAGTGACATCGGCGTCTAGCGGCTTTTGAAGGCTTGTTACTACCTTTACGCACACGTACGAAGTGATATACTCATAATAGAGCGCACTCAGCAGACTCGAGTACATATTTCGACCCACGAGCAGACTCCCACACCACCAGTACGCTCTATATCCCCTTGGGGTCATCTAAACAACACAACCATAACCAAGGTCGGTCGCTCCACCACTCACTTCGTTGAAACAATTCAATGTCAATTGGCATTCGCTAAATTGAAGAACAGGAACACTTACCAAAACCCTCACCAACCACCCTCACCAATCACCCTCACCAACCACCCTTGTACACAAGAAAGAAGGTCCTTACGTACCTTGTCCACATGTTACCGCTGAAGTTGAACAACTCTATACCCACGGATCTAAACTCGATCCCTACTCGTCCCCTACTCGTCCCCTACTCGTCCCCTACTCGTCCCGTACTCGTCCCGTACTCGTCCCGTACTCGTCCCCTCCCCTGCCCCCATTTCTTTTTCTTTTCTTCTTTTGTGGCCCCCCCTCCCCTTTTCTTTTCTTTTCTTTTCTGCTTTTTTTCGGCTTGTCCTCCTCGTCTCTCTTTTTCTTTTCGCGTCTGGAGTCTCTCGAGCCCGAGGCTCGCCCAACACCTTGCATAACCACTTTTCTTCTCACCGTTGCTCGATCCCACCTCAACAAACACGGGTAAAGAAGAGGACACCGAGGAAGAGCAGGGAAAAAAAAGCACACACAGAGAGAGAGAGAGAGAGAGAGAAAAAAAAAGAATGCCCAAAAAAACCCGTCGCGTACCTATCACGCGGATCTTCACAGACGTGTAGGTAATAATAACGATCGTAAGCAGTATATATATTTCGATATATATTTCGATATATATATATATGTATATACATGTACGTTTACGGAGGACCCGTTTCTCTCTTTTATTAAGCACCCGGGAGACTGTTCAGACGCCAGCTTGTGCGAACCACTCTCTCTAGTTCTCACCATTAGCCTCCGATGACAGCAGGATTTCAAAGATTTGCGTCTGCTACGCAAACAGAAACGGATGGTAAAAATGACGACCACCACACGAAAAACCCAGACACCACGGCCTCGGCCTCATCCGAACAAAAATACGCTATCAACGCACACGGCCAAGTGTTCAAAGTGCCTGATTACACCATCAAGGACGTGCTTTCGGCGATACCTGCCGAATGCTACCAACGAAGCTTGCTGCGGTCGCTAGGCTTTGTGGCACGCGATATCTTGGGGATGGTCTCGCTTGCGGTTGTCGCGCACCGGTGGGCGGGTCCTTGGCTGCAAGCGGCCGAGGCACCCTTGCTGGTGCGTTTCCTGTTTTGGAACGCGTATGCGGCAGCTCTAGGCGCGTTTGGCACCGGACTGTGGATCATGGCCCATGAGTGCGGCCACCAGGCGTTCTCCGACTACGGAGCCGTCAACGATTTTGTTGGATGGCTTCTACACTCGTATCTGTTGGTGCCTTATTTCTCCTGGAAGTACTCGCACTCCAAGCACCACAAGGCCACCGGCCATCTGCATCGCGATATGGTGTTTTTGCCGCCCACCAAACAGGAGTTCTGGCAGACTCGGGGCTGGGCCGCGGAACTGGCGGAAGTCACGGAAGACTCCCCGCTGCGCACACTAGCAGAGCTAGTGGCGCAGCAGCTCGGCGGCTGGCTGATGCATCTGGTGACAAACGTCACCGGACAACGGTACCCAGACGCGCCCGCATGGACGCGTAACCATTTTTGGCCGCTGTCGCCATTGTTCGAGACCAAAGACGCGCTGTACATTGTGCTGAGCGATCTGGGGATCTTGGCACAATGTCTGGTGTTACGTATGTGGTATGTGCGGTTTGGAGCATGGTCTGTGGCTATCAACTGGCTAGTGCCATATCTGTGGGTTAATCACTGGCTGGTGTTCATCACGTATCTGCAACACACAGACCACACACTTCCACACTACGATCAGTCTCAATGGACGTTTGCCAAAGGCGCAGCGGCCACCATCGATCGTAGATTGCCATTTGTGGGACCACACATTTTCCACGACATCATCGAGACTCACGTGCTGCACCATTTTGTGAGCCGGATTCCATTTTACAATGCACGTCCTGCGTCTGAGGCCATTCGTCGTGTCATGGGCGAACACTACCGTTCCACGGACGAAAACATGTTTAAATCGTTCTGGAAAGTGGCCCGTGGATGCCAGTACGTCGATGGTGACAACGGGGTCTACATGTTCCGTAACGTCAACAACCAGGGCGTGGGCATGGGCTCTGATGGCGTTACGGAAGAGATCAAGCGCTAGTGTGTTTTGTGGTGGCAGTAAGGAAGGTGCTTCAGGGACGAAGCAGTATAATTATAATTGATAGAGATTCATATTTTTTTTTCTGAGCTACGTAGTAAAGTATTATTGTCTATAATGGACAGGGTTGGTTTTTCAAGATTTAATTACGGGATTATATGAGTGTTTCGTACAGAGTGATGTTTAATCCATCGGAGTTTTATGTTCCTAATTCGAAGGCAGCAGTAATGGCAGTTTTGCTGGAATGTGTGGGCCAAGACGGCTCGAAGTTTCAGTGGAACGTAGCACCAAAGGCGTCAAACCCTGTTCATCTCGACAATAAAATTGGACTAATCGTCAAGAAAACATGTGTGAGAGAGAACCTATCGAGAAGCAATTTTGAAATCTGGTCTTCGCACTGCCGTCAAGATCAGCTTGTGCATCCTTGTCAGGGCGAGAAATACCTCAGTCGTAGTTTTCTGTTGGGATTGGTAAACTGTATGGTACAGTGCCAATTGCGTAATCAGAAAATGACATACTAGTACAAAATGACATATTAAGCGCTAAGGTGAAATAGACCAACCGTAAAGATATGAAACAGCAATACGTCAACAAGCAGTACAGGACTTCTATTAAGTAGTCTTTACTAATGGGCTGAGAGCCAGGACGTTACCTACTGTTTGCTATTGTTGCTCCAAGAAATCGTTTAAATATCCGTGATTTGGTAAAACAGAATGTACCAGACTTATCACCGAGAGATAAATAGAATCATAACCATAGCCATTCACTTATAACAAATCATGGCTGAGCAAACAAAGCAGTTTAACTACTCGAACACTGCCGACGTAGTCGAGCCTCAACATGGTAGCGCCGCTTGACCTACCATATCCGTACCCAGCGGCCCGGTACCATTGTCTCCATGCATATGCGTTTGCCCTGACATTTGCGACGCCTGTCAAAACTCGTGTTTTAGAGTAACACTACTTCTATGTTGCCGTTGTTCATCCAGGTTTAATTGCAATCGCAATCGCAAGTCCAAATCATCGTTAGTCTGTCATGTCGCTGTTGATGGCCTTTGAAATACCTAATCAAGACGCCATGTTTGTATAATTCAGCAACAGTTGGGGTAGTCGTCTACGATAACCGTTGTCAGTCAATCTCTTAGGTTACTTGGAGTCTTTTGTATATACTTGCATCATACTCACTTTAGTCCCGATATGCTGTCGACAACTATACTACCCGTGTTACAACCATAGATAACCCACACGTTCGCCCGTAAGATATTCTCAGGCATTCTGTTTGTTGTCTTTCTCAGCGCCCACAAGTGGTCGCCACGGTGTTTCGCCTATATCAACGATAGACAGCTGTTTCCCGCCTTCTCCTACACATGACTGAGAGTGCCATATTTAGGGAACGGTGCTAGTTATTCTCGGCCTGTGTTGCTCAGTTACTTCTCATTGATACTGTATGCGACGCATGACAGCCAACCGTCCCCGTCTAAATGTGGTAGAGTGCCACCAGTTATACTCAGAGTGAATATTGTCGTATCTATGTGCCTATATTTAACCACACACACACACACACACACACACACACACACACACACACACTAGCACAGACTAATCAAACCTACCAGTGACCATAGTTTCGTTAACTTCATCTTGCGCGTCGATGATTCTCTTTCTGTACCTATCTGCTATAGCCTTGCTAGAGGTAATGCGCATTAGCCAGTAATATATGCTCTCGTCTATGATATGGAAAGGTGTAAAAAGAAGTAATGCTATGATGGCCAAAGCTATTATCATGATAAAATGTATGATGCACAAGAACAAACTATTGCTATCCAAGGTAAGGGAACAGTTGAACTAAAGTTCGATAAGGTCGTACAACTGGAAGCATATCTATCCTCGGAAATATGCTGTGATATTATATCGACTTACTAACTCGAAAAGTTTGGAGTATTCCCACATTTTCAATCGCGACAATTACAAACTAAGGATGGTAAAAGAGTCGCAAACCTCATCAAAACGCAAGAGGCCTACTGGAGTTCACCCGAGACCATCATAAATGCTAAACAAATCAGGTATATCAGAAATACAAAAAACCTAATGTCGCTATACCAGTTTCATGAATCTCCAAGTCACATCAATGTGAAATACATCAAAAAATCTGTGGAACTTGGGTTGATAGCGGATATCACATCACAAGATGTAAACTGGAGCGATCTAGACAGTTTCAGCTGCGAATTCTGTTTAGCAGGAAAGGGAAGGAAAAATAAATTCTAATTCAAACTCAAATTTCGTTAGACACGGACATGTTGTGAACGCCAGAGAACGGTACCAGAAGCAGTACAATAATTTTGAGTTTCTACGCGCAGACGTTTTTGGACCAATGCACAAAATGCCATCCGGTACCCCAAATATTTCATAATGTTCACAGACGAACGTAGCAAATACAGATGGGTTTTTCCATCATATCATAAGGACGAAGAATCGATTGTTGATGTTCTTGAAAATCTCGTCTATCACATATTCACTCAGCACCGTATTAAGGTTAAATCTTTCCAAAAGGATAATGGAAGCGAGTACACCAACAATTCCATCAGAGCTTTTCTCGATAAGAAGGGTATTAACTTGCATTACACGTCAGTCAGAGATTCTGCATCAAATGGGATAGCTGAAAGAGTGAGTGTCCCGTTAATAAACGATCGCCGATCTATTTTACACATATCCAAAATGCCAAAACATTTGTTGTTTGAAGCCACCAAGGTTGCATGCCATCATCGAAACTGTTTCTCAAACCCCAAGTTGAAGACTTCGTCACGTTCTGTAGCAGGTTAAGCTGCTATCAACGCACGTAAACTACCGCCTTTTGGACAACCATGTATGGTGCATGATTATACAGCACTTAACAAAAAGTTATAGGCACGAAGTATCCTAGGGCATATCCTCAGAAATATAAAACGTCATAAGGCTTCAGAATATATTTGCCAACTATCGGTATAATAGTGGAAACCCAGAACTATAATATCGTCAACACACACAGCAGTCACCTGCCTCATGATTATTATGACATAGACGTTGATCAATCTGATGATGAAGAACTATTAAACGATCAGACGTCTGCATCAGACGACGAACTAGAAGAACAGGTGGAGTCAGAACATGAAGTAGAGACCACTTCTACAACGACAGATCCACCTCTCGTATCTTCGAAATACGAATATGTAACTCTCTCTCAATGGTTCGCATTACTAGGGGTCTGGAGAAATTACCATACGACAACATTCCAGGTGCTTCGCAACAAGAATGAACAAATATATAAGCACTTTATCTGGCTCACTGGCAATTAAGATCAGTGTAAGGCACTTGAACAAGTGGTACAATCAACGACATCAAACTATGCTAGCATTTTGAGTAATAATTTCGTAGCTGTATCCGATCACGTGATCTAAACTTCCTTTCGAGACGCCAGAATTACAGGTCTCCACAAGTATTTGAAGCATTTCGTCAACATTTCTATTCTTCTATCTTATTTTCTTTTCTATCCCTATATACATGACGTTCCCTATGCTTTGAATATTGCCCACTATTTCCCCACATGTTTCTCTAACCACTCGTCTACGTTATTGAACTCCTGTTCACAGTGCCGGCACTTTCCAGGAACAGATGCTCGGTCTCTTTTGCGGGTTCCCGATGGATATTTGAAGTGCAGAGCCTTCAAATGATTTTTGTATGTGTCACGTCGTGAGAAAATCCCCGTTGGATGACACGTAGTCAGCGCGGATCCGGTTTCAGCTGAGTCCATGCGTTTCTCATTGGCAACGCTATTGTAAGGACACCGAAATGCCCTCTTTCCAAGAAGTGTTGTTAACCCATTACCAGGAGATGCGTCGTCGGTAGTGATATATGGGCTTTCTGAGCTTTGATACCTGTCATCAGGTCCACGAGTAGGATCGTAGCCACTGACAATCTCTTCTTTCAAATGTCTTACTTGATGTCGTTGAATATCGTTTGGTCGAGCAAAGCTACGATCGCAAGTGGGGCATTTGTGTGGTTTTTGTCCTGGCCGCTGATGGATTGACCTGTATACTTTTGGGGTCCCATAAACCTCAGGGCAAACAAGACAGTTTTCTCTACATTTTAGCACAGCTGGATCGTTGTTAACTGCTGGTAAGCCCAAATGTGGTTGTAGTTCTTCTGCCGGGTGCGGTGTACGGACGTTCATTGCTGGCAACGTGACAGCTTTGGGTCTGTCACTTTCGTTAGTAGTGATCAAAAGACCCATAGAATTCTCAAAGTTTCGATTCTGTGGACTATTGTTCGCCATTGTGAAATTTGGAGAGCGCAAAACGTCTACACTATGCTCTCTCAACATCGCTTGAGGGGATAGCTCTGGTAAAAATGGGTCACGTGATTCTCGCATTTCCGACGACATCGAAATATAACGAATACTACTACTGTGACGAGTGTCATTAAGTAAGTGATCAAATGAAGATATGGGTGGAAGTTGAACAGTAGGAGTATTGTGATGTACCTCCATACTCTCATCCTCTTCTTCGTCATTCACAGGTATCATGACAGGCTAAATAAGAGTAGTAAACCATAGGGGCGCTCCACACTCAAGTCCAAAAAAATGCCCTTCAAGTTACCTCAACTGCTCACTGTTACCATTTATATCATCAGTGTTACCATAGTAGTTGTGCTATCCGAAACTGGAAACCAGGCTCACTTCAAGCAGTTTTCCAGAAATTTTGCCGCAACTGGATCCGCACGTCTCACATGCACGTCCATCACTTTTCGGAGAATATCGCCGATCTTGCATCTGCATGCCACGCTGCATGCAGTATAGGGAAATTTCCCTACTTGACTTACGTCCTACAATCCACCTCAACTACGTTACGTGAAAGAGTGACCACGTAAGTTCCCGGTCGACGGTTAGCAAGCTTTCGATACTATCACTGTTGAGAAATGGAACATCAAGAGCAGAGAGTAAGATAAATGCGTTTTGGCAGGATCTACAAGCAGAAGCTGAGGAAACCAAACAAACACGATCATGCCAAAAACTGCAGGCAGTGGCAGTGCAGTGCTAGAAGGCATTGGAACGAGTGCCAACTGTCTCTGATGATTCGAGTGCTTGGGTTCAAGTGATTTCCACGACAAATTTCTGTATTCGATATCTTGGTATTTTTTTTTTCGTCATTTCTTGCCAGCTTAACCTCGAGGAATTCTCATAATGTAAATATTTCCATGCAATAGATAATGCAGGGCTGTAGACTCGCCTCTTTTTTGCGTGTGGTTATGTGTATTCCGCTTCGGAACCACAAGCTTATAACATCGTAGAGCATCTTCCTGTCCTTTTTTTTTTTTCTGAGCTTTACGGACTTTGAGGACACGGCTATGCTAGAAGGCTCTGTTACGGAGTCAAACCGTCTCCTTTCGGACTTCCGTACTTTCGCAACGTAGTCTTTCAGGTCTATACTTGCGCATTGCATGGCGCATACCGTAAAATGTAGTTCCGAGCCATGCATAGAAGAAATAACCGATTTCAGCTGCATGCATGCTGCGGGCTCATGCACGACGTTATATACGGCTGATGTCTTGAAAGCGGAAGCACGTCAGTAAAATCATAAAGTGATATGGTACGATTTAGGGGAAGCCCGGTGGACAGAAAGGTACAGAGTGATATGAGAGTGACAATAAAGAGAGTATTGGTTGAGAGCCTATGAATACCAGTCTTACAGTATGCGATAGCCGTATTTTTTATACGTGCGTTAGCATCCCAATACTTTGTCCAGCTAAACCACTCTCACAGTCGCTTCTAGTGACTGCTTTCTCCCAGGGTACTCTTCGTATCTATGTCTGTACTCGCTTACGTAATTCGTCTTTTTTGGATTACGCACATCAAGAGCATGTTATAGCATCACACGCACACTTGGCCAGTACGGTTCACCAAGCTTTCAAACAGTCTTGCGTGATGAATATTGTATTCTACAAAGACGATAGCCATAGATTGTAAGGCCTGATATCCGTCTTACATAACCTCGCCTAAGTTACAATTCTTGATACAGCAATAAATTCACCTATCGATGCAAGTTTCATCGTGTGGTTCGCCACAACAGAGCTCGCGACTTTAAGCCTTTCTGGAAGTCGCCTTGGTGGCATGGACGTTGTTTCCGGTGGTAGCAGCGGTAGTGGCCTGCTCGGCGACTTGAGCAGCGGCGCGAACAGCGGCATTCTTCTTGGAAGCACCTCTACGGTAGCTCTGAATGTAGAATGAGATGAAAAGCACCAAGTAAGAAGTAAGGATCAAGTATCCGTAGGCAGCAGCGTCCTGGGTGCCGTAACAGGTGCCCTTGTTGGGCAAAATACTGTCGAAGTACTTGTGGGCGTAAAAAGTGTAAGTGGCGAAATACACAAAAACCAAATCGATCAGAAATTGAGTGATTTGGAATCTTGTAACCCACTCTTTCCACCACACTCTGATGCCACGAGCACTTAGGAAGTAGTACCAGTACATGACCACGTGGACGCCCAAGTTCAAACTGATTGGAACCCATTCAACAGAGGTTCTACCGGTCAATTGGGTGTAGCACAACAAAGCGGTGGCACCGTGGTGATAAGTGTGGAGAAACAAGAGCTTTTTGCGCTTCAAGATCAAAAACACGGTATCGATCAGTTCCACGTATTTGGTCAAGTAGTTCAGGTAATACAAAGTCACCAGTTTAGGCGCAAACGCATCCTTGGAGCAGATGGACCAGAACAAGCCGTGTTCCGCAACCATGGGCACCAATTGCTCGACCAGCAACAGCAATAGGACCAACGACACGGAAGTCAAAACCAAGTTGTGAAGCTGAAACAAAAAGCTCAGTTTCACAGCGGACGCGTTGGATGCACGTAGAATAGCCTGTCCACCAAAAATAACAATGTAGTAAACGATAATCACGCCGATGGCCTGGTACCCGTTGGCCATGAACGTCTTGTTGTAGATAAAATCAAAATCCTCCGCAGGGTATCCAGCGTACTTTTCGAACGCCTTGCTGAAAATGGGCCACAGCTCCAAACCGAAAGGATGCGCCACGGATGGAACGTGCAAATTGATCCACGAGTACGCTTCTGTCTTCTTCAAAACCTGTTCTGCGTATGGTTGGATCTGCGTCTTCAACTGGTCCGCATACGGTCCAATTTGAGTCCGGATCTGTTCCGCATACGGTTCAATTTGGGCCTTTAGCTGCTGCGCTAAAGGCTGGATCTGCGTCTTTAGTTGTTCCATTTTTGAGACTTCAAAAGACAATTCCACACAACCGGCTGAATCGACTATCCAGAAACACCAAAACACCAAAAACTTCTAAAAATTCAACTTTTTCAAAACTTTAGAAACTTTAACAATCAAATGGGAAAGAAACAGAAATTGTTGATGGGTTTCCTCAAACTGAATCTTGGGAAAAAAAATTTGTACGCGTGGTTCAATGTCGAGTGTTTCCCAAGGAAAAAAAAAAAAAAATTCAAATAGTGATGATGAATGATGATGAAGTTCGAGATCATGTGAACTAGGTTTTATGCTGGTAGTGAAATGGAGGATGTTGGATCATTTGCTCCAGAAGTCAAGGGACACCACTGTATCGTAGCCGTTTTCATCCTCGTAAGCGTATAGAATCTGCTGAGATGTGGCCTGCAACAAACGTATTTTGTCTCCTAGGACGCAGCGCACAAGTTCACCGGTGTCGATCTTGCGAATCTCGATGAAATTGGGGTCAAACGCCAAGATGTAGGGATACCAGATGGTGAACTTCTGTGGTTCACCCTCCCAGTGGATCACGTAAGATTCCTTCTTGCGCCAGCCTTGACTGTTCACGAAAAATGCAAATTCCGAGTAGCAAAGGAGAAACATGGACGTGCCAACACGGTAGATGGACAGCGGTTTCAACACGTCTTTGAAGGCAAAGTCCAAAGAGGTGTCTGCGGGATCCAACAGAGGTTCGTGTACGTTTTGCGACACGGAAACAATCTGGAAGCCTTTCTTGCAGCCGATGCACAAATTGGTCTTGAGGAAAGAAATCGAAACTGGTTCAGATTCAAAAACAATCTCATGCACTTTACGCTTCACATTCTTCTTGCCCTCTGCCAGCATGGGATGGTCGTGCTCGAAATATTTGATGGAATGCGATGAACTATGTGCCGTAACCACAAGCCGTTTCCCATCGCAGTCGCCTTCAGAAAAGAAATTGACATGATTTACAAGCTCCTTTGCATGCTTCTTGAAATACTGCGTGCCGTCTTTCTGCTCCTTCAGTAAATCCAACGGACAGCTATACAGCTTCTTGTCCATCAGCACCAGAATCGATTGAAACTCTTCAAGCACCGCTACCTGTGTAATGCTTCTGTGAAGAAAACGAATAGGACTTGCAAAATAGGTTGTGGCCTCGTGTCCATGTGCAGAAACCTCTCGCTTGGTGTCACTGACGTATAACCCTAGATTAGTAGCGATCAAAAGTTTGCGCCCCCCATCACACGAAGCGACACTGTTGATTTTATTGCTGAAATCGAAAAATCTGCTACTGACTTTTGTGACATTGAATATGTCATTCGAAGCCTGTAGAAGAGCCTGCTCTTGTTTGATCTTTTCCGAAAGAGTTTGCATCGCTGCGTACTGTGCTGCATACAGCGTGACTTGATACTTGTGTTTTGCCCCATAATATAGGAATGTGATTGCGTTTCTTGGGTTGCTGTTATGGCTGTCGGTAGGAATAACAACCCCAGAGCTTTCAGGCGACAGATTCACATATCTTCTGATTGGGGGCATGTCCTCCGCTGCACAAACAAATAAGAGAGGAAGCGGAATTGGTCTTTGGAAAACCTTATGTTGCTGCCACTTATTAACGGCTTTAGCCTTGAGAAATAGAAGCATATTGTCCAAAAGATAAAATTGAATGTCACCACCAAAAGTACTGTCGGATTTTGTCAACTCTTTCCTCGAAAGAACTCCTTCGTGTTTGATCTTTCTCTTGCCATTGTTGAGCCCCAAATTGACATACTCGTTCTTGAATAAAATCTTTTGCTTCAAAAGCTCGATATCATGCCTGTCCTGCGAAGCTCCACTAGCACGGTCGATTCTTGTCATGAATTCTCGAAGTGCTTCCAAAGCCTTGTTTAGATTTTCTAAATCTCTCTTATTCTTTTCCGGGTCGGATGATTTTATGATTTCTCGCACCAGCAAGATATAGCGGCCCGGTCTTGACACACCTTGCGACAGAAAAGAATCTATTCCATGCCTTAAAGATGAGTTCATCAAGTCCTCATCGAATCTAGCAAAGTACGGGTTGACTGACCTTTGTGTTTCTATAAGGTACTTTGCATAGGGTCTCGACGCAACGTACATCACAAAGGGCTCAAAAAATGGTATAAATCTGAGGAATAAGTCACCGATGCCGTCCGCTATAGTAGAAGATTTTTGTCGATCACTCAAGCTATCCAGAAAGCGTCTGTTCACTGAATAGATATCATTTACATGCGCGAACACATGCTTAAGGAAATTTTTCCTGATGTCGGATGCAATGATATTTGTTTCAGCAAGCGATTTCATAAATGTGTCTCTAATGACCTCCAGAGACTTGACGAAGTTCTTCTCTGTGATAAATACTTCATAAATCGCTTCTTGTCTTTTTATTTCTTTTTTCGAAAGTGAAGACCATACTTCTTCTGGGACGGAACTTGTCCATGAAGGTTTCTCCTCTTCTTCGTCATCCACGGCCATCGAAATATTACGCTTTAATCCAGTATTTGGTTTGAGGTTCAATCGGGCTTGCTGCTCCAAGCGACGAGGGCACGAAATGGAATAACAAAGTCTGTTTCGCGAGCAAGTTGGCACGTAACACTCTGCAAGAAGGGTAAATACACCGTTGACCTGGTGCATTTTGGCAGGATCTATTTGTTTTTCAAAAACTTCACTAGCAACAGAATTAGTTGATGCCGATGTTGCGAGGGTAGATTTGGATGCATGAGACGAGATGTGAGAATTGAGTGACCCCATCAATAAAGGGTCTTGAGATGCCGGAACCATGCCTGTTGATCCACCACCAATTATGCGGGAGTTCCCAGTAAATTCGTAAACTTCATTAGGTGAATCTCGCAGCCTATGTTCGTAAACCACGTCGTGAAATAGTTTCTGAGCGTCAAGGGCCCGACCTAGAAGAAGGGCCAGATTACGATCAGATGTTCTGACAATTGAGCAAATGATATCAACCGCTTGCTGGCCTGTAAATGTATCCCTGTAGAGAAGGCCATCCTTTTTGTGCTCACCTAATTGTATAGATTTTTTGAATCGGGTTGCAACGCGGGAAAGCATGGCGGGATAAACCTGAGGCCTCTTCATGGAGGTTGCGCTCAAAATTGGCTTGGAGTGTAAAGATGCGCTGCTTTGTCGGTGGAAATGCAGAGAAGAGGATGACAACTTCCTAGTGTTTGGGTTTGTTTGAGAGCTATTAAGTGATGCTGATGAGTTTCTTGACTTCAAGCCCAATCCAAGTGGTAGTTGTCCAGAGTTAGTGGCGTGGTGTGGATGATGCGAATGATTCTGATACTGAGTCTCGTAGAATGGATTAGTGGACGCTGAATGTTTTTGCGACACGGTACGACCATTGGAAGTTTTTTGTTGAAGAGAATTTGCAAAGTTCTTCAAGGACGATGAGGTGAAAGACATAGACCTCGAACTAGGACTGTTAGCATTACCTCCACCTGAGGCGGGATAATTGGCATGATGCAGATCTGGAATGCTCTCCTTCGAACTCGGTTTCGAGAAAAATCCAAAATTCTGTAGTGGAGATTTTTTTTGACCTGCAGCTGAACCATGCGGTTCGGAGTAGGTGTTTAAAATATGTTTTTTTGTGTAGTCTTGTGTGGTGCCTACAGCAAACTGGCTATGAGAAGACTTGAGCTTCGGAGCATCGCTTTGGAACCTCTGTGGAGAGTAGCTAGCCGGCTGCGATGTTGCAACAGACTTATGAGGTGCCAGCTTCGGACCCAAGGGCATAGTATCCAACGGCGGCGGTGGGACACGCCGATTGTGTTCAGGAGCCGCTTTGCGGGCTGATGGTAACCCCTGTGCAGAAAAGGGAGTTTGGGCCTGCGAATTTTCTAATGTGCGCTCAGCGACCATTGCTCCCGCACCCTGCGGCCTCTGAACTAAGCCCGCGCTATCGTCATTGCTGGACAAGCTTTGAGTATCTGAAACAGACCGCATATCTGCATCATTCGACAATATATAGTTTTGCACTTCCATAGGGACCATGTCATCTTGTATATCCCCAATAATGGCGTCTTGTAGCAGGTCTATGTGTTCGAACCGGTTGGGAACTGCAATTTGCTGATTGTGAGCATTGGCATGGCTTTTGCTGTCCTGTGGCGGACGTTCTACGCCAAATATCTCGCTGTATATCTCGTGTCCGTTTCTAACAGACTGCCAGTCCTGTGACATGCGTGGTCTCGAATTTTACTTTGATATATGCAAGTGGTGCTATTTCTTCAGCGTTCTCTGCCGTATTTCCGTGCGCCCCTATGGCTTGCTCTCAGTTGGTCTTCTAACCCACGGATTACGGTACAAACACACTTTCTGGAGAACTTGATATCAGCAGTTCTTACCAAAACGGTTCAAAGGTTTCTGGTGAGCTGGTTTTGTTTAATAGTGGCTTCTCTATGTTTCGTATTTTCGGTGGGAATGATTGATTGTCCAATGATTTGAACAATTAACATAGCCCGGTACTCATACAAAAAATTGTGTGCTTACACCCCGAAGTACGATGAGTACAGATTTTACATCATGTGATTGTGATGAGATGGTGAACGGAGTTTGGAGTCGCAACACCAGAGCGGCCTGTCAAATGGGCAGTGGTGTCTAGTGTTGTTGGGATGGAGTTAGTTTGGTTATTTCGAATATTACTGACTGTTCAGGCTCTCAGGAAGAGCTGTTGAGCTCATGTTGATGATGGCTGTGCAACAGAGGAATTTCAACCCACGCGCGACGGATACACTGCATTAGATGGGCATTCACTAAGGCCTGAGATAAAAGCCGTGTAGAAAAGAAAGACACGGTCAATGCTCGTCCGAAGGAAAACTCAAATATTCATATGCTTGTCGTCAATCTGCAATCCTTAAAGGATACAAATTGGTCATGGTACAACCGTCAAATGGAAACAAACATCACCCCATAGACTTGTCATTACGTCCGTCCTCAAAGTCAAATGGGGAAAAAGGACAATAAAATGACCCAAACTACGGTTTCTTCCACCAGCCTTTTTACCACGGAGGTCGATGGCCAACTTGAAAGACCTCCCAGATAGCATTTATGCCAATCTCAATTGCTTCAATAACAGAAGATGACAGTTCTGCTTCAAACCTCATCATTATTCATCCGATCAAATTTTGTCTCTTCTTTTTGTAGCCCTTATTCCACAAACAGAGAAACAAAAGCCTCGCGTATAGATTCTCAATCTTTAATCTGCCATTTTGAGCTTCTTCAAAGTCTTCTTGATGTTCTTTCTCTCCAAATGTGAAAACAGCCGCCGAGGTAGAAATCCAAAAACTGTCGTGGAAATCCCGTCAAAAGTCAACATTATCTCCTGTTTTCAGCATATATGCTCAAAAACGCTCTATTATTCAGGCTTCCAGTGACCTTTTCCCCCATTCACCAATCGAAATAGCGTAGCACAGTAGCTTTCAATGGTTGTTTTGGTGTCGGGATAAGTAAAGAACGACCTTACTATATATATAGTGGCATCCCTTATTCTTAAGCAGATTCTCAGTTACGTCTACAGTGATATCTAAATTAATTAAATATCCGGCCTACTTGAGTTAAGATTTAACCTCGAGAACATGTCTATAAAGGGATCAAGAGCTAGTGGATCTGAACTGTGTCAAAGAGCACATTATCTCCCCAAAGTTTACTTTGATAGTTTTTTGGTAATTTTCTAAGTTCACATCAGCGGTGTCAGCTTTCTGTCTACACTGAAAAGTCAAAAACAGAAGGAAATTTCAACAGCTCCAAATTCAAACCTTTCCTATCATGCCAGTAAGTTATTCTTTATCATCGGTTTTCAATTGTCTTTGCATCGTCTCCTAACATCTAGGTATTCAGGCTTACAACTCCACGTTCGCTGCGGACTCCCAAAATGATCGCATGGTCGGAAACGTGGTACTGCTGCCCCTAAAGACGAATTTTCGGGGACCAGCATACCAGGCAAATTCGGATTATGATATTATCGATGAGTGTCTGGACCTTTTCAGAGCCAATTCCTTTTTCAAAAACTTTGAAATTCGATCACCGGCGGACCGCATTTTGATCTACGGTATTCTATTCGTTAACGAATGTCTATCACAACTAAGACCTACCACATCCTACAATGAAGCCCTAAAATTGCTCACAAATGTGGCGCTAGACGATTTTGCGGTCCCAGGTACGCCTGGTTTTCCCATGAATAACGTGTACACCGTGCCAGTTCAAAATCACGCCGATATGGATCTGCTCAAATCATACATCCAGCAGTTCCGTCAGGAGCTTGGAACACGTTTGCTCGAAAGACTATACGTGGATTCCAAGGAGAGGCCCTCCAAGTTCTGGCTTGCCTTCACTAGAAGACGCTTCATGAACAAGTCTTTGTAAATGCTATATAGTGCTTACTCATACTTCGGGTCTCAATCTTCAATAAAGCTCGTAGGCATGTCATCAATACACGAATATGAAACTGTCCACAACATCCGGTATACACTATTCTACTTCTTTGACGCATCTTGAAAAAGTTGCATGGCACGTTTCTGTACCTGGTCTGTGGCTCTCTTAACGTCATTCACGTCCAAATTTAAATCTGATTCGTTCGCTTTGAAGTTGGTGATCATAGCACGCGTGCTTTCTAAGTCTGCGAGCACCTCAGGATATAAATCACTTTTCGTGATGGTCTCCTTAAATTGTTTAAATGCATTCTCGGTATCCGAGATCATGATATCAGCCTTTGTAATAAGCTCCACTCTTTGTCTTATCAAGTTGTCCAGTTCTTTATTGGCATTGGCATCTTCGACCAATTTATTAATTTCCTCTTCTGTGAGACCCGAATTCGCTACAACCGTAATGGATTTTTCTTTGCCAGTGCCAGTTTCTGCAGCCGATACATTGATGATACCATCCGCATCAATGTCAAACGTCACTCCTATTTGTGGGACACCTTTGGGCATCGGTGTGATTCCTGCAAGAGTAAAATCCCCAATTAGTTTATTATTTTTGACCAAGCCTCTCTCTCCTTGAAAAACTCTTATATCGACACCTGTCTGACCATCGACACCAGTGCTGAAAACTTCAGTTTTTTTAACAGGTACAGTGGTATTACGTGGGATAAGTGGAGAAAAAACCCCTCCGTAGGTTTCAATTCCTAGAGTCAACGGCGTCACGTCTAGTAGTAGGACATTTTTTATCTCCCCTGAAAGAACTCCTCCTTGTATTGCTGCCCCTAGAGCTACAGTCTCATCGGGATTCACAGTAGTATTAACTTGCTTCTCAAAAACTTCAGAGACAGTAGATCTGATCTTGGGCATCCTCGTCATGCCGCCTACCATAATTACCTCCTCAATTTCTTCTGGCTCAATTTCCGCATCTTTCAGGGCTCTCTTAACAGGGGGAATAGTTTTCTCTATAAGGCTTAACGTCATTTTGTCAAGCTGGCTTTCAGAAAGTTGTATCTCAAGGTGTTTGTTATTATGCAAAAACGGAATATCGACACTAGTGTGTTTGACGTGAGACAAATCTATCTTTGCTTGCTCGGAAGCTGCTCTGATCCGTTGCATTGCTTCCCGATTTTTTAAAAGATCTTCTTTGACAACGTCTGGATTGGCTTCAATAAACTTATCGGTAATGTAGTTAATCACAACGTTGTCGAAGTCTTCACCACCTAAATGGGTGTCACCGTTAGTAGCCCGGACTTCAAAAACGCCACTTTCGATATCCAGAATAGAGATATCAAAGGTTCCTCCACCTAAATCGTAAACGGCAATTACACCGGAATATTCGCTCGTATTAAGACCAAAGCTCAATGCTGCCGCTGTGGGTTCATTCACAACCCTGAGGACGTTCAGCCCTGCCATTTTTCCAGCATCTTTGGTGGCTTGTCTCTGGGAGTCGTTAAAATAAGCAGGAACTGTAATGACAGCTTTGTTGATCTCTTCGTTTAAGTATTTTTCTGCCGTTTTCCTTAAATAGCTTAAGACTGCTGAACTTATTTCTCCCGGCGATTTAATTTCTCCTGTCGATGTCGATAAATATGCTTGCTTGTTGCTAGGATTTTCTAACACTTTGAAAGGCATGTGCTTCAAGTCCTTTTGGATTTCAGCATCTTGAAATGAGCGTCCAATGAGCCTTTTTGTAGCATAGAAGGTATTTTCGGGGTTGATCAGCGCTTGTCTTTTAGCGGCTTCACCTACAACATAGGTACCATTCTTTACGTCGTATCCTACTACAGAAGGAGTCGTTCTTCTTCCTTCATCATTTTCTATAATTGTTACTGACTTGAGGTCTAACGGATCTCTAATGTATGCAACTGCACTATTTGTCGTACCTAAATCAATTCCTATTACTTTGGAGCTAGCCCACCTTGCAATCCGTGTTTGTGGAAAGCCGAATCTAAGTCTTGAAGAAGCCCTGAGCATCGAGTTGAGCTAGATATCTCTACAGTCTGGCAGTTAAGCTGGATCCTCCACGACAGCAACTGGAAAGGTGATTGATACCTTTGGCAACTTATATTAATATGTACTGTATGTTACAATGATGATTATACGTTAATGGTGATACTACCCAGAGGCCGAACAGGACAAACCAAAAGTAGCACCGGATACTAGAAGGGTACCTTCCTGATACCGTGAAGACTCAATTGAGAAACTTGGGAAGGAAGGGACGAATCAAGCCATTTATAAATAGCTTTTCCCAAATGACTGTCATATGTCCTCTGCTGGATTAGCTAATTTACGACATTTGGTCATGGCACTCAGCTGTCGAACATTCAACGTGTTTGTTATCCACGTCATTGTCGCAAGGAAAGCTTTTTTGTGAGATAAACATGTTTTAGTCCATAGAGACTTTACAGTGCTTTCCTGGGACCCCAATTTTGCCTTTTCTATATGGAGACCCTGGAACGCATTTTGAAAAAACAACCATTCGGTAACGAAAAAAAAAAAACATTCTGAAGCCTTGGGTATAGTGTCAGTTGAGAGTTCACCACCTCGTAACATGCAGCGGTGTAAAGGTCTGTTTCCTTAGTCCCGCTTGGTAGGGTCACGTGCATTGTGTCTAATTCGTTAAGAACCTTGGCTGGCGCCAGGATTTGGTTGAGCCTCAATTAAGCTATTGAGATCCCTGGCGCTACACTTGAGTCCGTGTATTAGTTTTATAGCGAATGTAAAGTGCTTTCTTGGGTCCCTTTGCCAAATTTACCACTGGAAACCGCGATTTTCTTCAACTGCTCGATAATGCAGATTCTTTACTGACCCTCAGGAATTGCTAGAATTTCGGCAAATCTCTATGTGCGTAGCGTACATCTGACTTAGAACAAATTTGTGGGTGCCTTCATCAAAATGTGAAAAAAACAATCCAAGGTCAGATAGTGACAGACAATGCAGTAATTCTTGAATAACTCCTAATGAAATCCGTTCAGGTTCCAATATCCTTGTGTCATCTTTCAAAAGAACCGTTAGTTCTCCAAATGGATTCAACAGATTGACATATTGAGAACCTCTAGGAGATGTTTTAGTGGCTACAATGACCTGTGCGAGATCTCGGTCTTTCTCTTGGACTATCCTCCCGACCAGAGACAAGTCACTCTCGCCAGCAGAGTACCTGGAAAACAATAAATACAAACTTCGAGGCCCATTTAAAAAGGTAGCAGAATTTTCTTCTTCTGGTTCTGCTTCCACGTCAATCATATGATGCACTACGAGGCGATCATGAGGGTACCGGGAATTTGTAAACCTCAGAAAAGCTTTTCCCAGCAGCCCGCTTATTTGGCCTTGGAAAGATGTCCTCCATAATTTCCAATACATCTGATAGTACTCATAGTCCAAACATTGAGCTGGAATCCTGCTATGTGGCATCAATGTCCGAAGAGACACCATCCGTTTATCAGAGGCCATATCCCAATAAGACTTCTTGCAGTGAGGTGAAAATTCGTCGAATATTTTGCACAATAGGTCTTGTAGTTTTAGTGGCTGTAGCATTTTTGGCAATACGGAGGACAAAACCGCGTGTCTATCAGGCACTGAATGCTGCATGGATTCTACAAGGTTTTTTCTGGTGAAAATTCTCGGATATCCCGATTGTGAAATTGCAACATACGTTTCGCCACTACGGATGCGCTCATCTCGAACAATTAGAAAACTCTCACATAACATGGTTTCAATGTTGTACCTTGTTGAAATCATCTGTATAATTGCCAGTAGCAAAATCGGATGGCCTCTCGCCTCCCCTGCATAAACCCTCAACAGTAGAAAATCGTCTAGAAAATATCGAGTTTGCTGGGGAAGTTGATCGGCTCGGGCCATGTCCAAAGCCTGAAAGAGATATTTCATGATGTTGTCCAGCCGTAGTGTGGGTGGTAGCTTCATAAACTGCGACCGGTCTTCAAAATTCTGGCTCAAACGCAAATCAACCTGCGCAAATATTTTGTTTCTATGCGATAAAAGACGGTCGAAGGCAATATCCATAGTTGCCAAGGGAAGAAAAACGGTTGCTTCGGCGTAATGGACCCACTCATTGGCTTCTGCAGCAAATGCTTGATTCACAAGCTGGAAAAAACTCCTATGTCGCAGCATTTGGAGCAGCTGTCGCCCAAGATATGTGACAACAAAACTGCGTCGGTCTATGTAGCCCTCAAATTCCATTTTTCGCAACAACGGTACCATTAAGATGCCATATTTTGACAGTCCAGCCATCAAATCTCCATAATTGTCCCATTTTTGCGATTTATCTTTCACAATGCTGAAAAGCGTATTCATGACATGTGTATCAATTCGATTTCGGTACCTGAAATAGTAGAACCAATCGTCTTTTGGCTGAAGTCTTGAAGGACCATCGAGCTGCTGAGCTAAAATATCCTCTTTCTCAACTTTCAACCATCTTGTGTAGCATCTTGAAGCCCAAATCGATTGGGTTTTGACCAGCTCGTTAAACTTATGCGAGCAAAGTCTTAAACTTAATAAATCTTGACTATTCAGATGTCCGAATACACTCAGCCAAATCTCTTTCGGTATATCAAATGCTGAAGATCCCATTAAATTACCTGAATTTGAGGATCTGAGTATAAGATCTTGCCAAGGTTTCCAGTTTCAAGGTAACGAAAGCGATTGAATGAGATGACATGACATGATCAGAATCTTTAATTAATTTAGTCTCATTCGAGGTTTTTCAAATACACACCCTTCTACAAGACGGTTCGAGCGTCCATCATCTTTCCCTGATCAGTAATCCAGCTCTGAGCCGGGCAGTATTGTTAGTGTTGGGGTGGCTTTCAAATGTTCTCGCTCGGTAAGCTATCTAACAACTCTGTTCAACCGGTTTATTTCGATATTAGGTTGAAATCGCCATACAAGAATATATTACTGATCCATGGGACCCCGTTGGAAGCATCACCAATCCCGATTTGTGGCCACTTGATATTATCCATCCCAGAGGCTGTTACGGTGAAAAAGATCTCTTTAAAGCTGGTAGGTACTTTCAAGCTGGAATTTCTGCAAGTAGGCCATCACAAGAATTCAAGTCTTGCAAGCGTGGTGAAAGAACGCAAGACTATTTTTGAGTGTGTATGGAACAATCTTCTTGTTTCGCCAGATGGGGTAATCACCGTGGGATCTGCGGAAGATGGAAATCCAGTATCGCACAGTAGTAGCTCCCAGGCAAGCTCGAGCTCTGCATTGTCGAGCACTTCCCTGAACAGCCTGCTGAAACCAATGAAAAAAACGGCATCGAGCCCGGTTCTTCACCTGCCACCTAATGGGGTAAGTTTCACTCCTTATGATGGTGTGGAAACTATTCCGGGACAATCGTTTGTTTTGAGAGAGGGGAACTACGAGCTCCCGTTTAAGGTGTCACTTCCCCCTCACACAGCAGAGACCATTGAAGGACTCCAGGCCGGCTCTGTGCTGTACAAGTTTGAGGCACATGTGGATCGAGGCAATTTTAAGACTTCGTTCGCTAAACACAAATATCTACGCATTTTCCGCACACTATCACCAAACAACTTGGCTGTTGGGGAGGAAATGAGCGTGGCCAAAAGCTGGCCTGACAGACTTCAATACGAAATTTCTATTCCTAGTCGCGCTATCCCAATTGGTGGCGTAACGCCTGTTACAATAAACTTATACCCTTTTCAAAAGGGCTATCGACTTCTCAAGATAGACGCAAATTTGATTCAATACTATGCATTCAAAGATGAGAATGGGCAACTATATGATGATGAGAACGTTGTGATGCACCAAGGGATGACCAAATTCCATGATTTGAGCGGTTGTGATCCCTCAAGAGATAACCTCATCACGGATAAAATCGAGCTGGAATCTTCTCTCAGCTTCCCCAAGAGCTTGAAGCAAGTGACGCAGGATTGTGATATTGGAGTTGATTCCATAAGAGTTCGTCATAAATTGAGCATAAAGATTTGTTTGAAAAGAAAAGTGGGCGACGAGGACAAAACTACAGAAATCAAGGCAAATATTCCGATTTTTTTGTATGTGTCACCACATGTTTCCATGGAAGGACGCCTGGTGTTGCTGGACAATGCAGGCACAATTCATTTCCGCCCTGGAGAAGGAGTGCGTATTTTTGAAAGACAGAATCCCGCTGGGCATTCTCAAAATTCTGTCCCGTTGAACAACTTGCAGCGGTTAGAAGATGGATCGCTAGCCGTAAATTACTTCCCTCTGGAAGATGTCGAAGCTCCTCCCACTTACTCTAATCACATGTATGATCAGTTGTACGATGGAGCGGAAAGCTCTGCTTGTCACACTCCGGAACTCACGCGAAGCAGGACAACAAGTCCAGTTCAAAACCGCCCCTTACTAAGAGCTACAACTGAGAGCAGTCTTTTGCTTGACAATCTCACAAGATCGGCTCAGGATCTTTCACTTGAAGAGCTCAACAAGGTCCCCGACTACGAACAGGTAGGAGAAGATGCAGAAGACGAACCAGCCTTACCTTTTCTAGAACTGACACCCTCTTATGAAAACACTGATGGAGCCCCGCACTTTGGGAATGCGCCTGGTGAACCTATAAGCGTCGCAGCTCACAGGCCAGGTCATGTTTTCCATGGCGGGTTGGCAAACTTTATGCATAGTAGGTCCCGAAATCAAGATCACGATTACTTGGCTATATCATCTTCTACCAGGCGAGCAGCGAGAGCTGGTCGTAGTGGTAGCTCGACGCCTTGAATTCAAAGTTCTGGTAATTGCAACTATATCTGCTCACAGCTTTGCAAAACATGCATTGATGCCGCTACGCTGAAGGAATGAGCAGCTTTGAGGTGACTCTTGCTCACCGTCAGTTCGCCATATTGGCATTTACAATTGATTCAAAATCTGTTTGATTCTAGTATACAGGGGTTAATACAACGAGACACTATACCTATAACAATTAGTAGACAAAGCCCAAAATTTTACCGGCGACGTGCTTTCTTCTAGCCTCTTCGTGATCCATGATTCCAGCGGAGGTAGTCAAAATTACGTATCCGAATTGTCTTGCTGGGAGAAGGTTTTCAGTCCATTTCTCAATGTCGTTGAACTTGATATTGAAACGTGGAGAAATAACACCACATTTGTTTAGTCTACCATTCAACTGAACAACGATCTTCCCAGATCTGTGGTCGTCAATGTATTCAAATTCGCCAATGTAGCCTGAAAACGTTAGTATGAGGATGATCGTTAACTTTCAAGTTATCTAAGGACACGATTTCCACCTTTTGGTTTAGAGTTTAGATGTCGAGAAAAAGTAAACGAGTTGGAACCATTGCTTGAGTTCCAGTCGTGTAAGAAGCATTTTCAAATCGTTATTATCCCGGACGCTTAAAAGACAGTATGGGACTGAAATTGCACAGTTTTACACTGCCCGAGCAAACCATCCAGTTATCAGTCCGGTTTTCAACCAAAAGGCAGAATGCGTCTCGAAAATTCACATGAATAATTGGAATAAGGATCTCCAGTTAAAAAGATTGACCAATAAACATACCATGCTTTTGCATCACTTGCAAGAACTTGATGATGACCTTTGAAGAAGGTCTAATCAAAACCTGACGTTTACCAGTTTTTTCGGCATTGTTGATGGAGTTAAGAGCGTCTGCTAGAACTGATGCACGGGCCATTTTTTCACTGAAGCAAATTAACTGTTAGTACTGTAAATCAAAAGCACTTTGCCTTCATTTTTTTCTCTTTAAGCTACGGGGCGAGAAATGAAAAATGAGCAGTTGCATGAATGAGTTTAAAGAAGTATCGTGAGTATCCAAATAGTCATTGGAGTCACAACACCGTTCCCTTGGGTCTGATAGACCACTGCTCAGGGAACCCCAGATACAAAAGGTATCGAGACATGCCACTTCATAATAGCGCCTATTCAACAGAACAGAACGGCTACTATTTCAACTTGTCGTCGAAGAGGCACTTATGCTCGATTCTTGCATCATATATTTCAGCTTTCGCGAATTTCGCGAGCTTGCCTAACGTAAAGAAAAAAATACAACATTGTCTAATTTTGTTATTCGTTGGCATTGGCACTTTCTGCAAGCCCAAGATCAAGAAGGAACCACGATTTCTTCTTCAAACATGAAGGGTATTCATGCTTGATTCATTGGTGTCATACCTTTATAATTCAGTTGATGCGTTGTTTCGTTCTAAAAAGTGGCGACCAGAGGAGAAAGTGATCAGAAAATTTTCATCTTTTTATATACCCGCGTGTTCGTACAGCGCGATGCCTGTTTCTGGTCAAGAAGAGAATGCATTGACATCAAAACATTAGACTTTGACAGCATACTAAGGCCTGTCTTAGAGTTTTGAACTGGGCACTTTTAATGCTTCCAGGCTACTATTGGCACTCAGTAGAGAAACTTTTCTCTGTTCTGTGGCTTTCAGGCCAAACCCAATAGCGCATGAGCAGACAATGATATCCGTTCACCTTTTGTCTTTGCCGCTTTGATAGAGCCATCAAGGAGATTGGTGATCCATTTGACTGATTACCGGAAAATTCGTTTTTTGAATTGGCGTTTCACGTTTTTCATCTCGGCAAAAGCTTCCCTAGATGTCTTGAGGAACCTTGTATTCTTCTGAGCACAATAATTCCGCTTTCATCCGTCTAACGATAGTATGAAGTATATGACAACGGTGCGGGGCACAACTGAAGTTGAGTGATAGTTTGCAATTGCATTCATGACCTCACCACTCACACACCTCGATTCGTGTCCCAACGAACTCTCTCCCAACATCTTTTTACATGGGTGTGGATTACCACTACAATTTCCTATCTCTCCTCGCCAAGATTTGAGCCAGACTAGCATAAAGATCAAGTCAGCTTTGGCAGAAAGTTGAATTTTTGAATCATTAGTGGGTCCTTTGACTACTGAGTCAGGTTATCATGACTCAAATTAATCAAGACTCTAACGAGATACATGAAAAATTACAGCAGGCAAATGAAGCGGATGAACTCAACAAAGACTGTACACCAAAATGTATTTAAACACAGAGATATTTGGCCTCCACAAATTGCATCTGGATAGTCAGCGCCTCAAGGCGGTTTGTTTCAAAGTAAAAGTCACCTCTTAGAGCACTTTACTCAGGATTCAATGCGTTCCTTTTCAAAGCAGCGTACATATCTTCCAACCCTGCGTGTTCTACCAGAAGAACAACTACTGTACGATGGCAGTGAAGGTTCTGTGAGCACTGTGGATGAGCATGACGAGACACTTGATTTTGGCAAAGGTGACGGAACTAATGTTGAAGCGGAAATTGAGAGTGAATCTCGGGACAATGAGAAAGTGCAACATGGTGTTCCATATGAACTGCGCGACGAAAAGGGCCGCAAATGGTGGAAATACTTTGACGAGTTTGAGTATCGTGCCAACTCAGAATACAGGAAAAAGCGCACTTGGTATACATTTCTATACCCAAACCATTTGACACAAACCAAAGCAGAACGTACGTTGCTTTACAAGCTAGATCTTATGATTGGTCTCTACTTTTTGATGTTATGCTGGTGCAAATCTCTTGACACCAACAACTACATCAACGCTTACTTTTCAGGAATGCAAAAGGACCTCAACATGACTAAAAACGATTACATCAATACCACTGCCATCTCTAACGTAGGTGCAATTGTGCTGCAGCTGCCATTCATGTACTTTCTACCAAGATTCCCTGCCCATCTCATATTGCCCATCATGGACTTGGGATGGTCCTTTTTTACCTTTGCCTGCTACAGAGCCAACTCTTTGGCTGAACTGAGAGCTTACCGTTTCATGGTCAGTGCATTCGGTTCCGCTTACTATCCAGTTTCTCAAATTGTTCTCGGTGCCTGGTACGCCCCTGATGAGATCAGCTCCAGAGTATGCCTCTTTTTCTGCGGCCAGCTGCTGGGAGGTGTGACATCAGGATTGTTGCAAGCCAGAACTTATAAAGATCTAAATGGAGTCCATGGCCTTGCTGGGTGGAGATGGATGTTTTTGATCGATGGAATTGCCATCTCCATTCCATGTGCTATCATTGGGTATTTTGTTATTCCAGGCGTTCCTTCGAAATGCTACTCCTTATTTTTAAGCGACGATGAAATTCGAGTTGCTCGTGCCAGAAATAAGAGACTACAGATCAAAGATGCTGTCGACAGCAGCAAATTGCTATCTTTGTTCTCTTGGAAAATTTGGAAAAAAGTGTTTTTCACACCAGCCTTCTGGGTCTTAGTCGTATTTGACACTTGCTCATGGAATAACATGACCGCGTTTAGCGGAAGTTTCTTATTTTGGTTGAAAACCGATCACAACTTTTCTGTGGTAAAAATCAATAATCTAAGTGTGCTTCCGGCATGTCTTGGATTTGTTTTTGTGTTTTTCTGCGCCTGGGGTGCTGACTTGTTCCGCACGAAATGGATATTCATGGTCTTCTCACAAGCTATGAATTGCATTTCCTGTGCCATTTTGATCAAATGGGATGTTTCCAATAGTGCTAAGTGGTTTGCGTTTTTGATCACCTACTTTTCTGTTGCTGCGTCTCCATGCTTGTGGTCCTTCATCAACGACTTCCTAAGATTGGACCCGCAATTGAAGGCAGTGACGTGGATCGCCATTTACAGTTTTTCGCAGTCTACTTACGCTTGGATCCCAACTTTGGCATGGAAAACAGTGGAACAACCCCGCTTCAAGACGGGTTACACCGTGAGTTTGATTTTCTCGATTGTCTACGGTTTGTGGACCTTTGTGGTGTTGTACTTTTACAAGAGAAACGAGAAGAAAAACGCACTTGGCAACGGTATAATCCTCTACAACAGTGATCATGGTGAAGCGCCTCCTGCGTTCATCGAAACGGAAATGGAGAAAAGAGGCGAATACTATTTCTTGAAGGAGAAGAGTAAGGAAAAGCAAGACATTTAGTGCCGATAGAAACTCGGCTTACTGTAATTGTTTTGTTTTTTCAGGTTTTTAATATATATAGAAGGAGGTCTTATATAATATAGTTGGTAATAGAATCTGTTAAAATCATAGCAGGTAATATTATAGAAGGCCTATTTTCTTGAGCTCTTCGCTCAGAGTACCATTTTTTTCGAACCGGTGCAGTTCGCGCTCTGTACCCCAAACTTTCCCGTTTACGAAAATGGTTGGTAGGTTTCTGATTCCTGCCACCTGCTCGAACGCATCTCTGTATTTCAGCTGAGTGGCCCTGTCGAAAGCACCGATTTCGAACAACAGAATTTTGTCTAGGACACCAAACTTTTTCCAGATCGAATTAGCGTAAACACAATCAGGGCAGTAATTGGCGGACAATTGAACAAATTTCTGAGACGAAATGACTTCTTTAGCTTCGTTAACGTATTCAGACATGGTTATTTTCAACTACAAACAAGTAAGTTCCCAAGTCAGTTCGAAAAAACGGTCTAATTTGAAAAATTAAAAACACAGCTGACTGAATCTTAGAGATTCAAGTCTACCGGATGGTCTACTTCATTCCTTCTTTTATACATTTCTGTCGGGAACTGATTAACTTCTCTTATAGCGGACGCAGCTGCGTTTTTATTTACCATGTTGGCCGCCAATTCATAGATAGTTGAGCACTTGGTACGTAAGAGCTTCAATAATTTAAGAAGTGACTACTAAACTACAGCGTAAAAGACCAGCCACACCATTGATGACTATCCATACGGACTTCTGTTCGATACCTAAGATTCGCTCCTTTAAAACTTGGTCAGGATGTCTTCTGAAAGAGCGTGTATGCTTTGCGGAGTAGTATTAACAACGGCAGAGTTCACAAAGGATGGATGTCCGAACTGTCAAGGAATATTTGACGAAGCAGGTGTAAGCACAATGGAGTGTACTTCTCCTTCCTTTGAAGGCCTCGTTGGAATGTGCAAGCCCACCAAATCGTGGGTTGCTAAGTGGATCAGCGTAGATCCTTATGTACCCGGGATGTACGCCATCAAGGTTGATGGAAGATTACCGGTGGAAGTCTCTGACATGTTGCCGCACTATAAACCAAGGGATGGGACTCAGGTAGATTGAAAAAGCGGAAAACAAGCTACAGAAAAAATGTACATAGTGGTATCGGGATCGTCGCGAGCAGCAAAGACGGCAATCAGACAAGGAAAGAAAGCGATTTTCAATGTGTCCGTTTCGTTCACGAATTGTATGCCAAAAAATTGGTGGGAAACCACTAAAGCTAGCTCACTGGAATCACGTTCATCAATGGTTTGGCTGATCCAGTTGCGATTAGCGTTTGAAGTATGTGAAATCGTGAGATGATGTTCTTATAATTTTTCAATATATATAGAGAGAAGAAAAGCCGCAGACATTTCAGAAGAACTTTTAAATACGGCAATCGACACACGAGTTGGTCACCACAATTACCAATCCTCCATACCAAGCGCTTCAGCTTCACAAATGTGAAACGAAGCCAAAGTGTGATTCCCACAAATAGATATCACTGTGTACGTTGAGAAGTTTTGCAGGGAAGAATAGTATTAAATTCCCCGTTACGTCAAGCTCGGCGGAAAACTGCATGCTCGACTGTGAAATAAGATCGAGGTTGGTAGCCTGTTCTACTTGATTTCTTCACTTTCAAATGCTTTCGATAGCTACTACCCGAAAATTTGTAGCACCTGGTCTTGTTAGAACGGCTCTTGCAAAACCATGTCAGACCCGATCTATCGCTTTCTTCAATGAAGTTGCCGAATCCTTCGTACTTTTACATGAGTTAAGTGGGCTACCATGGATTTTCCTAGTTCCAGCGACGACCTTCAGTCTCAGAACAATTTTTACGCTCCCATTCAGTATCTGGCAGCGTCGAAGAATTGTCAAACAGCAAGAGCTACGGAAAGTGACACAGGCAACAACTCCAGTGGTGAAATTACGACTGGCCGCTGCTACGCAGCGCCAGCAAATGGAATCACAATCTAGCTCAGCGGTATTGCAGAAAAAACCACCTTTAACGCCGGAACAAATTACTTTACTGGCGCTCAAGGAAACCAGAACCCGTCAAAAAAAGCTTTTCGAAGACAATAAGGTCCAACTGTGGAAAAATTTCATTTTACCACTGGTTCAAGTGCCGCTATGGGTATCTGTCTCGATGGGACTCAGAAACCTGACAGATCATCGGTTGATTGACACAAATCTCTCATCAGTACCGCCCTCATTGCATGGGTCGAATATGCACGAAATAATAAGTCAGATTGGTTCGCTTGACCTTAGCGTCCCGTTAGATAACCTCCCCATGCTTGCACCGCTATGCTTGGGTCTACTGGCGCTCATGAATGTGGAGAATAACGGTAGAATGATGACCACAACGACAGCGGGGGCGATGGGAATTAAGGTGGCATTGAGTCCGAACTCTAAGCTTTCACAAAGCACCCAAAGTGTCTTGAACATTTCTCGACTGAGTTGCATTTTTTTCATGGGTGTTTCGACCCAAGCTCCTTTTCTATTGTCCATCTACTGGATCAGCTCTCAGTTGTATTCGTTGGTTCAAAACGCATTTTTGGACATGCTCTGGCCTTACCAAAGGTAGAAAGGAGACTGAAATATATTGTCCTTACGAAGAATGAAAACGTACTATACAGGATGGGAACTAAAACTCGATAGATATGCTGTGGGCTAATTTGGTACTGACAGAGATGCATTATTTGGAGTCATTTTTCTTTTGTTTTGCCAGTTCTTTTCTGGTACCCTTCAAAAGCTCCAAATGTCCAACTCGGCTAGCTATCAGTTTCTCAGTCGACACAGTCAGCGATGAGACCTTATTCAGTTTTTTAAGATGTGATAAGGATTTCTTCTTGGACTTGATTTGCAGAGGAGCAGCTTTCCGCAGGTTTTTCTGCATCTTTGTTACTCTTCTGGGGTCCTTGGCTTGTTTGGTGACTTTGAGAGCTTTTTGTGGCATGGAGGTTGATGGATTGTTGAAACGATTGTTACCGATCTTATGGTAGGCGGGTACAATGCGATGAGCGATGAGGTCTTCCCCGATGTGAAGATTTTCAGATTACTTGGAAGAATTAGCTCCATCTTCGTGTTTGGTGATAACCCTCACCAAAACTGGATTTGAATAGTTCTGTCGCTGTTGCGGCAACGCGACCGTTAGGCGATACTTTAATGCTCAGCATTCACTATCAACAATTGAGATGATACGTTCTCTCTTAATTGCAGTGGCTCGCATACTCGGAAACCAAATTTAATTTAAGAGAGAAACGGGTTAACGAGCGAAAGGCTTTCAAACCGATTACGTCGAATCATCGGTATAATCTCTCTAACTGGTTGTTTGACTTTTGGCTCTAAATGTCAAGAAGCTCAAATGAATGATCGACGATCCCGACAATTTCGTCACGTGACTATTTTTGACAGAGTCAAAATATATGATTTTTCTAAGGAAGAGGTGGTAAGAAAAGGGATATAACTAACGAAACCCAGAAGAATGCATTACGAAACTATGCCATCTCGTTAAGTTATAGCTCGGAAGCAAGACAATTAGCCTAAGAGCAGGATTTTAGCTGTGTTCATCTTTTCAAAAATGAATCGAATAGTGTGAAATTCAATTCCCTTACTTTCCCAATTTAATAATTATATTCCCTGCATGAAGAAGTTAAAAATTGAAAAATTCCAGATATTGAAAATCGAATTAAATGCAAATATAAAATCTGGAATATCATCCAAGATAGTCTGCTTTCTATCGTTTCCTGAATCGGTAGAAAAGTGATTCACTTTTCAAGAGACCAAGCCCTTCCATAAGCATACGCCATGTCGGTTATCACTTTCCCAGGGCCCCAGGCTTTGAGTGCCTTTAGAGTGGAAAACTTGATCAAGGGCATCGAATCGTATTGCAATAGCTCTTCCGTTATTTCGGAAGTGCGGTCGTGCTACATCCACTACGTCGATGTTGAGGGGAAGCAACCACTAACAGAGGAAGCCACCAAGCTACTGGAAGTTCTTTTGACGTACGATATCGCCTTGGACGAAAGCGACGTTTATGCCCAGGAACTCAAGACCGCGGTGCAAAACAACTCAGCAGAATTGAGTTCCGACACTTATCTCATCAGGATTCTACCTAGACCTGGCACGATCTCACCATGGTCTTCCAAAGCAACCAACATTGCGCGTGTTTGTGGGCTGGACGCGAACATTGGTCGTATTGAGCGTGGTGAGGCTCTGCTGATCAAGACTGTTCCTGGATTCCCACTTTTGGAAAACTTGAATGATATCTCTTTGAAGTCGTGCTACGATAGAATGACCCAAAAGCTGTATGTGCTGGAGTCACCTCAACCGGAGACTATGTTCTCACATCAGTCGCCAAAACCTCTGGCCCATGTCCCACTAGCCTCTGACAGTTCGGCTTCTCCCAGAACAATTCTCGAGAAAGCCAACCAAGACCTTGGTCTTGCTCTAGACAAAGGCGAAATCGACTACCTTATTCACGCATTTGTTGAGACACTGCATAGAGATCCTTCCGATGTAGAGCTGTTCATGTTCGCCCAAGTTAACTCCGAACATTGTCGTCACAAAATCTTCAACGCTGAATGGACCATCGATGGTCTGAAGAAGGATTTGTCACTCTTCAAGATGATTAGAAACACACACGCTCACACATCCGAATATACCATTAGCGCGTACTCTGATAATTCTGCTGTCTTAGAAACCGGTAACGAAGCTTACTACTACGCACCTGATTTCAAATCTAAAGAGTGGAAAGCTGTCAAGGAAAACGTGCCTATGCTAGTGAAAGTTGAAACTCACAACCATCCAACCGCTGTTTCGCCTTTTTCTGGGGCTGCCACAGGTTCTGGTGGTGAAATCAGAGACGAAGGTGCCACCGGAAGAGGTTCCAAGTCCAAGTGTGGACTAAGCGGCTTTGCAGTTAGTGATCTGTTGATTCCAGGTCACAAACAGCCCTGGGAGCTGGATGTTGGAAAGCCCAACCACATCGCTTCTTCTTTAGATATTATGATCGAAGCACCATTGGGTTCCGCAGCCTTCAATAACGAATTTGGTAGACCATGTATCAATGGGTACTTCAGAACTCTAACCACTAAAGTTTCGAACTCTGAAAACAAAGAAGAAATCAGAGGATTTCATAAGCCTGTTATGCTTGCAGGGGGTTTGGGTGCTGTTAGACCTCAATTTGCCTTGAAAAACAAGCCAATAACACCTGGCTCATGTCTGATCGTTCTAGGTGGTGAATCGATGCTCATCGGTCTCGGCGGGGGGGCTGCGTCTTCTGTCAACGCTGGTGAAGCCTCTGTGGACCTAGATTTTGCCTCCGTGCAAAGAGGAAACCCCGAAATGGAGCGTCGTTGTCAGCAAGTTATTGATGCATGCATTTCGTTGAATTCCGGAAATCCAATTCAGTCCATCCATGATGTTGGTGCTGGGGGTCTGTCAAATGCTTTGCCTGAGCTTGTCCATGACAACAACCTAGGCGCCAAGTTCGACATAAGAAAAGTTTTGTCTTTGGAACCTGGTATGTCGCCGGTTGAAATCTGGTGTAATGAATCCCAGGAGCGTTATGTTCTTGGCGTGTCACAACAAAACTTGAGTTTGTTCGAGGAAATCTGTGAAAGAGAAAGAGCACCTTACGCTGTTGTAGGACATGCGACCGCAGAGCAAAGACTGATTGTTGAAGACTCGCGTTTGAACGAAACCCCAATCGATCTAGAGATGTCGGTTTTGTTTGGCAAACCTCCTAAAATGACTAGAGAAGCTTTGACTCAACCACTAGCTCTTCCTGAAGCTAATCTGGATGTAATTCCTTCGCTTGAAGATGCTGTCAATAGAGTCCTGAGCTTGCCATCTGTTGGGTCCAAATCCTTTTTGGTCACTATTGGTGACAGAACTGTTACTGGGCTTGTTGATAGAGACCAGTTCGTTGGTCCATGGCAAGTCCCTGTTGCAGACGTTGGTGTGACCGGAACTGCTCTGGGTGACCAAATTTGCCGTTCAGGTGAAGCTCTGGCGATGGGAGAAAGACCAACCAACGCTTTAATTTCGGCCGGTGCATCTGCGAAACTATCTGTGGCGGAGTCGCTACTAAATCTGCTAGCTGCTGATGTGAAGTCCTTGAAGCATATCAAACTTTCAGCCAATTGGATGTCACCTGCTTCTCATCAAGGTGAAGGCGCTAAACTCTACGAAGCCGTCCAGGCAATTGGTATCGATTTATGTCCCGACTTGGACATCGCCATCCCTGTTGGTAAAGACTCCATGTCCATGAAAATGAAATGGGGTGAAAAAGAGGTCACCGCTCCTCTCACACTGAACATTACAGCTTTTGGTCCCGTCAACGACACTTCTAACACTTGGACCCCAGTTTTGAGAAGAGAGGAAGGTACTGTTTTGGTTCTCGTTGACCTCGCCGCTGGACTAGCCAAACATTCTCTTGGCGGTTCTGCTCTACTCCAGGTCTACAACCAGGTTGGTAACACTTCGCCCACTGTGCATAACAACAAGGTATTCAAGGGCTTGCTAGAAGCATTGCTGGATCTACATCAGACCGATTTAGTATACTCTTACCACGATAGATCTGATGGTGGATTGTTTGTTACTTTGGCTGAAATGGCATTCGCTTCTAGATGTGGTCTTGACATCATTCTAGATAAATCGTCTGATGTTTACACTCCACTTTTCAACGAAGAGCTCGGTTGCGTTTTCCAAATTTCTGAGGATAAGATCACGGATCTTGAGGAGCTCTTTAACAAACGTGGAGTTTCTTCTCAATACATTTCGATTGTTGGTAGACCTAGATTTGACTCGCAGAAAATAACAGTCACAGATAAATCTGGTTTTGTTCAATTTGAGAGTGAAAGATCATTACTGCAAAAGACATGGACTGCAACCTCTTATCAAATCCAGAAAATGAGAGACAATCCAATTACTGCTGATCAGGAATTTTCCAGTATCGCTGATGATAAGGACCCTGGTGTGCATTATTCTTTGACTTATGATCCTGTTGACGAAATGGGACTCGCTAAACTTGCCTCTTCCAGGCCAAAGGTGGCAATTCTAAGAGAACAAGGTGTCAATGGACAAATGGAAATGGCTTGGTGCTTCCAGCAAGCTGGTTTCACTGCGATTGACGTTACAATGACAGACTTGCTAGAAGGAAGAGTCCACTTGGATGACTTTGTCGGTTTTGCGGCATGCGGTGGGTTCTCCTATGGTGACGTGCTTGGTGCCGGTGCCGGGTGGGCAAAGTCTGTCTTATATCATGAAGGGCTTCGTAAGCAATTCGTCAGATTTTTCAACGAAAGAGACGACACCTTCGCTTTTGGTGCTTGTAATGGTTGTCAATTTTTGAGTAGACTAAAAGATATTATTCCAGGATGCGAAAACTGGCCCAGCTTCGAAAGAAATGCAAGTGAGCAGTACGAGGCCCGTGTTGCAATGGTTGAAATATCACAAGACGAAGGTTGCAAAACGGACAGCATCTTTTTCAATGGTATGATCGGCTCTAAACTACCTATTGCGGTTGCGCATGGCGAAGGTAGGGCTGCATTTAAAAACGAAACCGAAATGGAGAAGTTCGAACAACAAGGCCTATCCAGCATTAGATACGTGGATAATTATGGGAATGTTACCAAAAACTATCCCTTCAATCCTAACGGTGCCACGAACAGCATCGCTGGTGTAAGATCTCCAAACGGAAGGGTCCTTGCGATGATGCCTCATCCTGAGCGTGTTTGCAGACTAGAAGCCAACTCTTGGTACCCTTCGGAAAAATACGATGAATGGCAAGGATATGGACCTTGGATAAGAATGTTCAGGTCTGTCAGAAAGTGGGTTGGATAAGGATAGTATAATACAATAAACACAGTAGAACATGTATAATAATGATGCTCAATCGTGAGTACAGGTTATACCGAATAGTGTGAAAGTACCGCTCGATATGTGCATGAGAATTGATGATAAAGGCTCTATATAAAAGTAAGATCGTGATGGTATATTGCGAAATTCTACAAAATGAACGATGATAGCATGTTGAATATGAAGCCATTCGATTAGGCAGCCTTTTTGGCTCTAAGCTCAGCTCTTTTCTTCATTCTTTCTTCTCTCTCCGCTTTAGCTTCAGGACCGGCCTCAGTGTCCAAACTGAAGTCCCACCAGGTGAAAGAAGAGGCGTAGTTGCCAATGAAGTAATGGTGGTGTAGGTCATGATGAGCTGCACCTGCCCATAGCGGTAGGAACTTGTTGAGGGACCATGGGAAGTCATAACCAGAGTGAGAATCAACAGCCTGGAAAAGTCTTAGGGTAATCCACACGCAAAGAGTGAACAAATGTAGGTTACCGGTGTACATCACATACAGGATGGGCATACCAACGGTACCAAATCCAAGCGATAGGGTTTCTACTGGGTGGGCATATTCAGCAGTGAGTCCAAAGGGCGCTGCGTAACGATGGTGCTGCTTGTGGATGTACTTGTAGAAAACACCGTAATGGAACAAACGGTGGGCCCAGTAATGCCAAGTGTCTTCTAGGATGAAAAAGAGACCGATTTGGAAAGCCATGGTTTTAAGAGAGGGGAAAGGTACGGACACAGAAATGCCCAACTTCTGGCACATTGGATGGAAAGTCCAGATGGGGATAGCCTCAACGAGAAAATGGGACAGTAGAACGGATTTCAAGCAGTGCCATTGCTCCTTGGCGCTTGGAATTTTGGTAGGCTGGATTTTGTAGCGACGGAAAAATGGGATTTGATCGATGATGGCCCAGGGTAGACATCTGAAGAAATACATGAATTCGTGCAGCACGAAAAACATGAGACCCGTGGCCAAGATGTCGTTGTTCATGTAAACGTACCAGGACGCCCAAACCTGTGCTATTAGTCCCAGCTCCGGTTGGCTTGACTGAACGTTGTGCAAAGTGGTGAGATACGACCCGCTATGGGCCAAACTCGATGCCAATGTGGCATTTTCGAAAACTGCAGACATTGAGGGCTATCTAAATCGGCGAAAAAAAAATGAAATGAACAGCTCTTGTAAAATCGAGCCCTATTTCAACGAAATCCTATGGTTTTTGACCGTTTTTGATCGTTTTTGTTCGTTTTTTTTCGAGAAACTCGGTGTGCCAATTTTGGTTGGCTGTTGAGAGCTCTTTGGTTCGAAACTAATTCCACGAATACCACTTTTGAGGTGGCTATCTGAGAACTTCTTGAAGTTTGGTTACAAAAGGCGTTTGTTCCAAGAGATGAGGTGCCAAAATCGTGGGTTCCTTATATACACCATACATATAACCCGAAATACAGGAAATTTGCAATGCTGTCTTTAAACGACGCTGATGAGATGGTCTCGAAGATAATGCGAAAAAAAAAAATATTAAACGATGGGAAATTGAGTTGATAATTGACATGCGTCGTGTGGGACGATACAAGGTAGGAAAGGAGGCGTAGAGTGCAGGAATAGAAGCCGGACGGAGCAAGGAGGAGGAGGAGTCTAAACTGATGGTTTAGGAAGAGACGCATAGGGACGGAATTTGCGAAAGAAGATGGAAAATGAAAAATCGCGTTCGTAGATGTAGATCCCTTTGTACGAATTGTTAGTTTTCGCTGGTCATTTCAAGAGTAACAGAATGGGGGCATAGCCTTAAGAGGGGGGATTGCTATTAAGACGTGCTTGTACATATTTTAGCTTCCGGATAATGAGCATGGACATCGGGAAACGTTGGGTAGTGGTGGTTCCTGTTATGTATCACTTTTCACGGATGTGTCGTTTATTGTCTCTCAAAACTGCGATGTCAACCGTACAATCAAGATCAGGCCATTATGCTTGTCAATATCGGCAAAAGGCTTGTGTTTTACGAGACACCTGAAGAACGGTTTGAAGGATTTCTTTAAATGGAAGGTGGGGAATTAATGATTATATCGGGAGCAAGGGAATTCGTACTGCAATCGTCAAAGTCCAAAAGAGGTTGATTGATGTGAAAGTTGATTCAACACTGGGCTCAAGAAGATTCGATTACAAAACTGCATATCAGGGGAGAGGCGTTGTGATTAGCATATAATGCCAGTGTTTGAAAGTATATCACGTGACCAGAGACATATGACGGTAAAGGTGAAAAGTGACATAACAAGATCACCATTCCTTCACACCTGACAACAGCACAGCTGTCTACTGTCTTAAGCAGCAAGTCAACTTACCGTTTCGATTCCAACATATCATACCGCGTGCACTGACCCATCGACCGAACAGAGAGAATCAAATATCCAATTTTTTTCAAAAGCTTGCTTGTGCCACCACATCCAGCAAAGTGTCTTTCCGACCATCATAAATACACCAAAACTCTCAACTCTTACAAACACCGCCTTCACTATCCTGAACCCTCACTCAAACAGTCTTCATATAGATCATTTGACACGTTATCAACTATTAACTTAATAATACTTCAACATTGAATTCCGGTTCTCATCGCGATGACCTCACATACACACGAGCCAGACCGCTGTATCGATGTCTCAGCTATGTTACATTTTAGATGCCTCTTGCATGGAGAAGGGCATCGGTAACGTCAAGAGATGGTTTGAAGGGGATCAGAATCGCCAGTTTTCTCAAATTAGCTTCTATATTCCAACTTTCACTCTACAAGAACTAGATTTTTTGAAGTATCGCAGGAACAGTTACACTGCCAAAGAAGCACTACGATTTATTGACGGAACAGACTTCCCACAAAGCGTGGACTTGATAATTGAGTTCCCTGAGCTTCTCGATACCATACCATGGTCAAACGTACTTGAACATCAAGCTTTCGAAGTACCTGAATTTGATTTGAAACCCAATTCACCTCATTCACTACCCCGTCGTCTGCGAAATTTGCTTAAAAGCTGTACCTACAAATGTCATTTAGAAGGTAGCAACAACCAGACTTGGACATTGGTCACTGAAGATCCACAGATTCGTCGCCTTGCCGATGCATTTGGCATTCCACATTGTTCGCTCGTCGCAGCAGACCAAGAAATTTGCAAAAAACTCGACAAAAGAGCTTTCCAACAAAGCGTCAAGTTCAGCGACTCTTTGAAAAAGACAAGTGTCAAGGGCTCATCTGGTGGGAAAGATGTGTACCGCGCCAAGTTTGACCAGGTTATGTACGCGAGCCGAGGCCCTGGTAACCTATGGAAGCCTTGAAATCCGACCCAACTACAAATAGAGCATGCTATGACCACTGCAAAAAGTCTTGCACCAGGTTTGGACAAAAACCGGTGTACTCTCCTCACAAGCGCTAACAGAAGTTGTCTTTACTCGTTTAGCGTTTTCGACAGTGATCGGAGCCGCAGCAAAGTGCTCTCTTGCCTCTGGAAACCTCCACTGTTTAAAACACACTGCTGCTAAATTTACTAACACAATATCTCTATGCAGAGATATCTCAGACATTTCTACAAGTTTACGTCTGTGACGCTACGTACAGTTTCCCTATAGCTCAGCAAGCCAGAAATACAAGAAACTTTATCTAATTTTTGATCCATCGTTGCATTTTCAGAATATGTCAATAGTTGTATTCATCGAACGGAGTACTTAAACGCCTGCCCTAACATTAGAGATGCCAGAAAAAAAGCTAAGAATAAATTCATCATTATGCAACAATGGAACAATTGTATACCAATTGCTAGGAGGAATCCTTTCCTTCTACAAGATTAGATATCGCGTTAGTTAACGCTCCAAGTCCTGACCTTCAATCTGGTATGTTCAAGTGATCGATTCAGTTAATAAAAATCTTGTCTTTTATATATACTCTAAAATTATTATGTGAATTACGTAATCATAATTAATTTAGTACGAGATTCGAAAAATGCTGAGATGTAGGGCTTGGCTGAGATGACGAACTGGAAGTTTGATCGATTTCATCGGGATTCCAGTATGAAATGAATAGTAGGGACTGGATTATAAAACTGTAATTCAATGCGGCAGAAATCGTCCCAAATACAGTGTAGAATCGATAAAGTCCTTGTACGGCACAGTAGCGATGCCTTCTTGATTAGTATCAAACTTTCGAAACATCTTGGTGAGGCGCATAAGCCAAACAAGAGCCTCTACGAAACGATCGAACTTGAGTTCTTTACCGTTTTTGGCTGGGTCAATGAACTCTGCGTACTGATCAAAAAGATTTTCGCTGACGTCGAACGGTACGAGGTATCCCAGCTCTTGCAGACTGTTATGGAACTCGCTAGCAGAGATTGTGAAGCTGCCATTGATGTCGTTGTCCACATATACTTTCCTCCATTTCTTGACCCGCTTGTAAAGAGAGACGAATTCCGCATGGTTGACGGTACCAAACCTCGAGGCCCCAAATAGATTGATGAGTGCGTCGACGGAAGAAATGCAGAAATGCGTGTTATCGTCGTTTTGTAATAGGTTTTGAAGCTCTTCGGCAGTCAACCGTCCTCGCTGCTTGACGTCATGGTTGTGGAACAGTTGTGTTGCAATTTGTGAATCTACCGCATCCCGTTGGTCTCCACCATCCAGTGAAGCTCTGGGACGTGGTGGATCTGCCAGAGGTGGAGAAGGAGGTGGTGGTGTTTTGCGTCTCTGCGCTACGTTAGGTATTGGTCTCGTCCGAGGAACGCGGTTCACTGACGGGGGAATTGGTTGATAACGACCACCGTTCGACACATTTTGTTGAGGATACGGTTGTGGGGCTGCGTTATATCGGACTGGCGGTATTTGTGGCATTGATTGAGTTGCGGGAATCCCGTTATATGGAGCGTTGGCCATGGGGCGCTGCATTGTGGGTGTTATTACCGGAGCAGAACTTTGTCTTGAATTGTGAACAGGCGGTAGGTATTCATATTTTCTAGCACGTCTTCTACGCTCCTCATCGTCCGCCCTTTGACCGGCTTTCATTGCTTCTTCAGGTGTAGCATACAACTATTTGAGCAAATGTTAAATGTTAGTATATCGTTATAGGGGCGATAAGCCAAGCAATCAAATCGGTGTTCAAACTTACCGGTAGATTATCACCTCCAGCGTAATTGAGCCTTCTGGCACACATTGTGGGTAGTTGGAAAATGAGGACTTTTATCGGGAGAATAGTGTGTTGATTAAGTCATCGCTTATTTAACTAGCTCTGTATATGCTAATTGAAGTTAATTTTAGACCCTGACATTATCATGGATCACGTGACTAGAGAGATACATCAAATGTTAACTTTTGCTTGGTTAAATGCTAACCAGAGACGTCCAGAGTCTCTGCTTCATTGATTGTACACGGCAATGGGGCTACATGGCATGCTGAGAGTGGAGGGCTTCGACGCTTATATATTTTTTCAAACTAGACTTTGACTTTTTATTTTTGGAGTACGCGACCCAGAAACAACCGAGATGAATGTCTATCACGTTGGATCAAATCTGTGACCACGTATCAATCCCTGGTGTCCCCTTGAATGACGCTTTTGAAGTATTTTTTTGGAGTTTCTGAGAGCCTTTAGTTCTGATCGTTTTGAACGTGTGTGTCATTGGCAAATCAACGTAGTGCGGAAACCACCATCCTGGACTAGAGGAAACCCTCATGAGTGGGTAAAAATTCGAAACGATGGGGGCTCACGCCCATTATATGCTTTGAAAACCAATTGATGTTGTGTTGTTATAGTTTAGATAGTGCTTTATACTAAAACATTATACAGTTTTTTTTGGACAGAAACCCCGGACTCTTGGAATCGACGTTTTCCCACTCTGCATTTTGACGTGCAGGCAGCACGAATGAATGTGTTTGCCCGTCGTTTAGTATCTTCTTTGAGGTCTTTGGTCCTGAGATCTCTCCTGCAAGTAAGTGGCTGGGACAATGTTCTCAGGCAAGTGCAAGTAGTCTCTCAAGTATTCCACACCTTCGTCGGTCAAGGTGTAGTAGTAGTATTGCCACGAGAACTGGGTCTTGACGTAGCCCTTGGAGGTCAACGACTGCAAGGCCTTGATGACGTACAAGTTCTTGGTGTCGATCTCATCGTGCTTTGGCTGGTTGAAGTCCTTCTTGGCAACAACGGCACCTTCTGTTTTGATACAAATGACTTGTTAGTAACTATCGTTTGAGGTAAAATTAAGAATGTCGAGGAAAACAGTAGCGGGACACAATAGACAGGTCTTTTGAAAAGTGGTATTTTGAAAAGTAGTCTTAACACCCGCGAACAACCACACTTCTGCCAACTTGACAGTGAAATAGTAATTATCTTAGAAACTCGCAAAAATGACACCGTCTTGGGTCTATACTTCAATAGCTTGACATTTTTTTCAGACAGCCTTCATTCTGTGCTCACCGCCTTTCCTACGCCTTTCGAACAATGCGCAACGTACCTTGAAACAAGTGTCTGTGGATCTTAGTTCTTTCTTCCTTAGGAATCAACATGTTGGAACTTGGTCTGTGGAATCTTGAGCGTGTTTTTCCAAACCTTTACGTATCCTGTTTTAACTGGTTTTAAACTAGCTGATAGATACACTGTTCACTGCCCGCTATTGCACGATGGACTGGATTCCGGATTGGAACCCAACGCAGTAGCCCAAAGTTCCATGATACTTTTTTTTTGCGTGGGTTGCGAATCGGTGATTTTTCGATTGGGATGTGACTGCTTTTTTGATAGTTTTTTTTCAAAAGTTTGTGAAATATTTAGAAGATAATGGAAGGATCACGTGACTCTAAGATTTGGATAGCGTTCTTCTCTTGTAGTGTGGGATGTCTACTGGCTATTGGCTGACGATCATAGATCTACGTAGCGGTTACATTTGACACGTTCAGATGAGAGATGCAAATTTGTTCTCGCTTGATTTTTGGGAGCACGAGGGGATTTTGTTCAAGAACAATTATGAATCACAACCTTGACAAGCGTTTAATAGTGTAGCAAGACGACGACTATCATATCAGTCAATGTGCTTCTTATGCTAAAGGGTGCTTTGAAAAACCGTTGTCGTTATAAGTGCCACTTCTGTTCTTTAATAACGTATGTCATTTCATATTTAAGTGACACTAATGTAATGACAGGAAACGACTGGGGCACATTTGAGTTGTGGAGAACCGAATCCAAAGTTTTCAAGGTAGCCTCGAGACCAGAAAGAATGGAAAATTACATGACGTCGATCAAAAACGTCTTCAACGCCGTGAAATTCACTTTCCTCAAAATTAGAGCCCTTGTCACGGGCGTGTTCAGGTGTACTTAACGATATAAAGTGCTAAAAGGTTTCCCAGGCTCCTACACAATTATCCAGTAACGAACTACTCGTGAGTAGAATGATGACGACGACCTTCCGAGCTACTGATTCACATTTATCACGTGACCTTTCCATTGGTGTATTCGATTTCGTCATATATTGGATATGTGATAGACATGTAATACTGACATTAAAGTACTTCCCTTAACCTTTTAGATCAAAGCCAGCCGTGGCTAGAGATAATGCCGATCCAACTATGGGGCAAAGATCAAATCAAAATCATCTATGAAAATGCCGCTGGCAACAACATTTCCGCTCTAGAACCTCCCTTTCAACAACACACATTTCGAGATCAGGATGATGATGATGAATTGGGTCACTATTCACGACTGGAGTTTCCAAGTCTTTATAGAAGGGTGCTCATCAGGACCAAGCGTCAGGTCTCAAGGTTGGGCGCCATTCGTATCCTGCGCATTGATCTGGTCCATTGGACAATGCTTCTTGTATGGCTAAGTTTGCTAGCCAAATTTTCGACCACTTATACGCGATTATACGTGCGTTCAGCGTTACTGACGACAATATGCACCAATGCGCTTTTATTTGGTACATCCGACATTCTTGCACAATGTATCCATCAAAATGGCCTTGATGAATCACTTCGGATGCCGCTGGGCCCCGCCCAATTTTCAAATCAGCATGATGAGCTCGACCTCGAAGATAGCGTATCGATCTTCAATGACTATGGCCCGGCACTCTCAAATGGTCGTTCAGAAGACCGCATCGTTTTGGAACCTTCCCATCATTTTGCATTTTTCCGATGGGCATGCTTCATGGCCTGGGGGTCCGGCCTGGCTTTTTTCCAACTACCATGGTATCGCATCCTCAACTATCTGTACACAGAAGACCCTAGCATTGTTCAAACAATAGAAAGAGTTTTGTCGGATCAACTTGTTTACTCTCCGATCTCTCTTTTCTGTTTCTTTGCTTATTCCAACTTCGTCATGGAAAGAGGCGATGCCTCAACGCTTAAAACCAAAGTCGAAAATGTGTATCTTGGTACGCTGGGCTACAATTACATGTTGTGGCCCCCTGTGCAATTTATCAACTTTATGCTGATGCCCAAGAATTTGCAGGTTCCTTTCAGTTCATCAATTGGCGTTATGTGGAATTGTTTCCTGTCCATGCGCAATGCCTCTACAGCACAAAAAACTTAGTGGTGCAAGCGTCTCTTTTACATCTATTAGCATTATACACCTTCTAACTTCTCATTATTCAAAATGTTCTTGTATTTTTTGCTGCTGGTTTTCTTCTTGAGCATCTTTTTACATTTGCTGGGCAACGTCAACTGGACGTAGAAGTTTATGATGGCCCAAACCGCCAAAAACATCTTGAACTTACCAGAAATCTCAGACAATTGAAAAGCATTACCTAACCAGCCATGCGCGGAAATCATCATCAATACAATATTCAGGATCAGTGAGACCACGACGTCTGTGATAAAACCAATGTTTTTCGACATAGGCTCGCGATATGGAGGGCCAACTGACAGCACTACAGCCGTGAACACATACTGAAACGAAGAGTAGAAGAATAACACGGTATTATCAGATGATTGAACAGCATCGTCACCCCCAACAACCGGACTCTGGTACCAATCCATCCTTTGGCAGATCAACCAGGGCACAACTTGGAAAAATAAAATTATCAAGATGTTGGCGATAAGTGGTACCAAAATTTTTGGTGACACCAAATTCGCCGATGGCCTCTTTTTCACGAGCTTATCATAAGGTTTCGACCATGACATGAATATCGCAATCGGTACAATCAGGAACAAATCAATGTATAGAAATTGAAAATCACCCAAATTTATTCCACGGCTGTACAAGATGGTCACAGAGATAAACTGGATAGCAGAGTAAAGACTCATGTACTGGAAACATGAGAATGAAGTTGTAAGTGACGCACGGCCCTCCTTAATCACACTCAGCATACAACTTATGTCGTATGAGTTGGATGTGAAGGGAGCTGCTACAGATGCTTCCGCCTCTGATAAAGACACACCAACATCCGCAGCTTTTAGGGCACCACAATCGTTTGCGCCGTCACCACAAAAGCCGACAACGTAATCAAGTCTTTGAAGTTGACCCACCAACTCGTGCTTTTCATCTGGAGACATTCTTGCATATACCGAACTATTGAGGAGGACCTCATGAATGTAAGACTCGGGTAGAATCTCATTGTTTTTGAATAGTAGCCTGAAGACATCACCCGTTACAGCAACTGTGTAGTCAAGACTTCCATTTGTCGGCTTTAGCGTCATGCCATCGAGATATACCTCCGGGTCGTCGACATCTTGCCAGATAATCAAGTCTTGGTTTGGACTTACATTATCATTTATAAAGGGGACAAAAACATGCTTTTCTGTGATCAATCCACTTTCCCGACCAACTGAAATGGCTGTCAGAACATTATCACCAGTGCACATAATGTTTCTTATATTAGCCTGGCTTAAAGTAGAGAGCGTTCCCTTAGTAGCAGGTTTTAGTTTATTCTCAAAAACAATGAGCCCCAGAAATTCCATATTCGATTCTACTTCCTCTCTGCCCACCTTTTGAGCATAGCGCCATGTATGCTTTGGAAGAGTTTTGCCCGCACAAGCTATCACACGATAACCGTTGTGCGTATAGTACTGCAGAAGTTGATCATAATTCGCAGGCAGGGTAGACTTGTGGCAGATTTCTGATATAACTTCGGGTGCCCCTTTGGCAAAAGCCCAAAAAACGCTATCGCCGTAAGGCTTAACAATCACACTCATTCTCCTCAGTTCTGATATAAACTCAAAGCTGCGAACAACACCTAGAAGGTTATGCGGATCATTTTCTGTGAATATATTATTCGGGTCATCGGAATTAGGATGCACAACGGCAGGGGCAATACCGCTATTCTCAGGAAGAGTGCTTTTATCATTGCGCTCCTCATTCAAAGAGTGGAAACTCTGTTCCTGCAAGTCTTCCTGGTACGACCAATTAGTGAATTGGAACATTTTGAAATCGAGTGGATCCCCTAATAACTCTCCATCAACTAAACGAAGGGAGTGGCAAGTCAACAAAGACACCAAAAAATTTCTAGACTTAAAGTCCAATGGTGAGCTACAGTCGTTGAGTGAAAACTTGGAGAATAAGCCCTGTACGCTTGGGATCAGTTCTCCAAACCCTAAACTGTGTTGATCGTGAGGCGCAGACACATGTACACCTAAAACATCTAAACCATCTTCAGTTAGAGTACCGGTTTTGTCGAAGCACATAACATCAATTTTCCCGCCCACATTGACCCTCGTAGGTGCGATGCAAAAAATTCCCTTTCGTTTTAATCGTGATATTGCAAAACTAGAGCCAATAGAAAGAGTTGCCGGTAAAGCTGGCGGTACTACAATAGTAATGATATCCAAGGCTCGCAAGACAATCACCCTGTACTGCAATCCCAGTCTAATGAAGTTGACACAGCTCACCGAAAACCCCACCATAGCAATCAATGTCATGAAGCCAATGTACTTGAAAGAGTCCTCATAAAATTTGAAGCCTGTTGGTCTTGGAAAAATCATTGAGCGCAGAAGAGAACCTTTCGTCGTGGAGAATCCAGTCCTCACAGCCATAGCCAGCGCAGTAGATTGACCACTCGAGATGCGAACCCTGATGATAGTGGTTCCGTTGAAAAGAAATGACTTGGCCAGAAAACTGGATATTTGGGTCTTTTGGAAGTCATCGAGCAACTGTGCGATGGTACTGTCCGTTGCAGGAATCTTAGTTACTGGAACCGATTCTCCCGTCAGCATGGACTCGTTAATAATACAGTCACCGGTCAGTAACAAAGAATCGCAAGGAAATGAAGTTATTGACGGATCAGAAATCTCGTAAATATCACCAGGAACTAAATCAGAGGAGTTTATTTGAACCCAAAATCCATCGCGGTAAACCCTGACTTCGGCGTGAGAGTGAGATATTTCTGCTAGCCGCTGCGATGCCTTCTTAGTTTCCAAAAGTGTATCTGTGACTGATAGGACTGAAATAATCAAAATACAAGCAGCATAGTAGTAGTAATTGTCTGCCAGCCATAGAAAGATGGAAAATATTTGGAAAACATAAAACGGGTGAAGAACTTCATCGAACAAAATTTGGCCCGTCGTTTTTTGTTTGAGGTTCACGTTGTTTTTCCCAAAAGCCAAAACTCTATCTTCAACAACAGAATTGGTTAATCCCGCTCGGTCGGCATCGAGAGTTAGCCAGTCTGGGTCTGTCCAATTACTGTTTGTCTTGAAAACATCATCAACAGGCGTGTAAATGAGGTTGAAGTACCTGTATGAAAAGTGAATCATTATAGGAATATTAGGGTTATCTTCACCCTCGTGATGATAGCGATGACGATGATTTTGAGATAAATCCGCTTCACGTCCTCGTTCCGTAGGCAGTAAGGTACTGAGTGGTCTGTTGTACCATCTCCTCGCGACTGTGATTATCGCAAGTTCTCCGAATTCATTTTCCACGACCACCCATTGAGCTTTGGCCAGAGCCGTTTTCTTGCCGCACAAGGATACCTTGTAGCGCGGTACCCATCTCAGTACCAAGTAGAATAATCCCAGAGTCAAAACACTCAATAAATAATAAATGGATAGACCAACCTTAGATGATCGAAATCCAGCAATACCCACAACCAGGTCTTCTTCTGCAATGTAGAACCGCTGAACATGCAGATGAGGGATAAAATTTGGGTAAAATTTGTCATGATACTCGGGCTTCAAGAATTCGCTATGATAAGCAGAGCTCTTCTTTCTGCGATCAGAGGTCTGATCTTGAACAGATTCTTGATCGTCATCCGTCAAGAACCGGCGTCTACTTGAACTGCTTTCGGACGAGTGACGGCTATGCATTGATATCCGATCCGCTTCTTCTTCAATGTGCGCAGGGATTCTATTTCTATAACTGTATCTTGACGAACTTGAAGAAGAATGAGGAGAGGTACCAAGAATGGCATCTTGTGCATCTTCTCTGTTGTGTCTTGACTGGAGAGCAGAGTTTTCGAGTGGGGAAGCCCTTGATCGGGTCGAGGATCGAGACCTAAAGGACGTCAAAGAGTGCCCTGTAGTACTGCGCACCGACGACCTGCTGGATGAAAGTCCATAATGTAGTCGCTCCTGTTCATAGGTCGGAGTTCCATCCCAGTTCACATCATAATCGGCAGTTTCCAGAGTGGAGGAAACCCCCTCTGCGAGTTCTATTTCTTCCTCCGAAAAATAGCGGAAGTTTCGTGTCCGTGACGACGCTCTAGATCTGGTCGACGAATTGGGCCCCGAAAGTAAGGACTCTGTTTCGTGAGAAGCATGTCCGCGCGAGTCATTATTAGAATATCCAGGACTTCCCAAGCGATGGCTAGCAAACGAGTGCGGATGATGGAACGAAACGATTGAACTTGGCACTGTTTCAAAAGTTGCACCAGCATAAGCCTCTGTAGAATTATGATCAACAACCGTTGCCGAAGTCAACGTATTAGAACTGGAAGCCGTTCTGGTCGATGAAAACGAGGGCCGGCCTGATACATGCGACCCTTGCGGTTGACTCTCGCGACCATGCACTGAATAAGAGTGCGACATTGGGGTTCAGACCCTTGAAAAGAGTCCCTGTTTGCTCTTTTCTTGTCCGTTCAAAGTTGTGGTGATGCGATAATACACTTGATATTCACATAGTTGATTTGAGCATATCGTACAAAATTACTTTAAAGCTGTGAATAACGTCAGAATTTGAAATAAGCAACAGCAACCAACCCAAAGAGATTCCTATTCGTTCTCAGCATAGCTACCAAAACCCGTTCTAAAAATGTAGTTGTGATCTCAAAGTTTTCTGGAAATTTTGAAAATGCCTGTCACATTATAAGTTCCTTTTATTATATTGAAGTGATCTTAGATCATGAGACGTTACGAAATAGGGGTCGCACTTCCACAACCTTGTTCCCCCAATCTTGCACGATATTAGGCTTTCTTTTCCTTGCACGGTGTCCAAAGAAATAGGTTTATTCTGTTACGCAAGGTTTATCTCATATACAGCAGAAGATCAATTAATTTATAGCCGATCTGGAAAACTTGGACAACAAACGCGAGCCGATGAGTTTAACGGCATCGAGCTTTGGGATAATAACTGTCAATCGTGTAGCATGTTAATTTTTGTGCCCTACTTCGTTTCAGTATTAACATTGTGTATTGATCCAAGATGTCAGAACATTATCTTTCGTAAACAGCAGAATGGATTGTTCCGGAAAGGTGCAAACCAAAATCCGCGATTGCCCGCGACACATTTGCGCCTAGAACTGTCAACCGCGGATTTTTTATGGATTCTCTTGACTTTGAATGTGTTCGATCAGTCAATAATTAATAGCCAATGGTTAATCAATGGTAGTTAGTGAGTGGGCAATGGTTAGTCATGGTTGATTCGTAGATTTTAAACTCCAGCGGTGGTTATACAACCCTTGCGTCTTACTCAAGAAAGTGTTATCTACTAGAACTCACGTTGGAACTCAAGACAAGTGTTTGGAAAACCGCTCCCACGGAGTTTAGGGCGATGACAGCGTTTGGAGTCTCTATTTCAGACGATGGACGACACAGACGTTACTAACGATCTATCTCATCGCGGGTAGAAATCTGAAAAATTTTTATAGAGATGAGATGCGATGAGCTTCTTATAGCCCGAACAGCATCGCTTAGGACTTCACAGGTGCACTAGTAGCTGGTTTAGGTTTCTTTTGTAAACGTTCAAACAGCTACCAGGACGAACTGATAACCAGATCTGGGTTTTAGTTTCGCTATGTCATCTGCAGGTCAAAAGAGAAAGAGATCGGAAGAATCTCCGTTGACAAGACAAGATGGCACGCAGCAGCCCACAGGGTCCACTCTACTGCGTAATTCTGACGAAGCATCTTTTCCAAGAGGTGGTGCTAGTGCTTTAACGTCACTGGAACTCAAACAGGTTGCCAATGAAGCTGCCAGTGACGTTTTGTTCAAGGCAGACGTTAGCGGAACGCCTGCTCCAAAGGAAAACCCAAGACCTAAGAAGAAGAAGAAGACCGCTGGTGCTTCCAAACAAGGTGCTTCGACCTCGGCAGACGCTGAAGAGGGCACCGTGCCAATCTCAGAGCATCTAACTTTCAAAAACCTGCCTGAGGGTACCATACTCTTGGGTCAAATCAGCAAAGTCAACAAGCACGATCTTTGCGTGTCTCTATCAGATGGTCTGTGTGGGTATGTTACTTTACCGAATATCTCTGGACCGTTCACAAAGATATTGGAGGACCTTGATGAAGCGATGCAAAGCGACGAAGAAGACAACAATGCTAGCGATGTCTCTGACGCTGAATACGACAGCGATGAGGATGAAAAACATAAAGTGCAACGTCAAGCGACCAAGTCCAAGGAATTACCAAACTTGGAAAACTTTTTCTGCGCTGGGCAATGGCTCAGATGTGTTGTACAATCGAATTCGGCCTTCGACAACAATAATAAAAAAACAAAGAGAATCGAACTTTCGATTGAGCCCGAAGCCGTCAACAAGTTCATAGAGGAAGACTTGGTCAGGAACTGCACACTTCAATGTGCTGTGAAAAGCATAGAAGACCATGGTGCCATCCTAGACGTTGGTGTTGAAGGCATAAGCGGCTTTATATCGAAAAAAGACTACCCTGAGCATTCGAGCTTGCAAGAGGGCCAAGTATTTTTGGCCAATGTCGCCAAAAGGTCTACCAGAACCGTCACAGTCAATTTCGATTTCAACAACAAGAAGTCCAAAATTACTCAAATATCATCGATCGATGCCGTGATCCCAGGTCAGGCGGTTGACTTTCTTTGCCAGAAAAAAACCTCCAATGGATTTATCGGAAAGGTCTTTGGTATGGTCAATGGTTTTTTGAATATATCTCACCAGACAAAGTTTCAAGCAGCTGTCGTCGACGACCAAACACACTCCGTCGGTAACAATTTCAAAGCAAGAATCATAGCATCTCTTATCAACAAGGCTGGTGAGAAAACTGTTCTTATGTCTGAGTCATCACACATTTTGTCACTTAAACCATCTTGTCTCGAAAATGAAGCACTAGAAGCGTTCCCAGTGGGTCACATTTTCGAGGAATGTCAAGTCAAGGATCGCGATTCTCAGTTCTTCTACCTGGCCTTGAACAGGGATAGTATGGGGCAAGTCCATATATCTAAAACAGGGGGGGAAGACCCAACGAATGGAATCTCAGCGCGTGTGATAGGATACAATAACTTTGACGGGTACTACCAGTTGTCAACAGATCCCGAAACTTTGAAGGCTTCATACCTCCGGGCTGTCGACATTCCACTCGGAACTATTCTTCCCGCGTGCGAGATACAAGAAGTATCTGATAAGGGTATTAAATTGAGCATTATGGGTGGTCAATTCCAGGCAACTGTTCCCCCATTCCATATATCAGACATCAGACTGGTTTACCCCGAAAGAAAATTCAAGATCGGTTCAAAAGTCAAAGGTTTGCTGATAAGCAATAACAGTAGAGGCCATTTATTCGTTTCGTTGAAAAAATCACTTGTCAACCTTGATCTGGATGAGGTCAAAACCGCTTCTAGCTTTGAAGACGTCGAGCAACTCTCATCGAGTGGATCAAAGGTAGCTGCAACCGTCGAATTTTTCAAGACCAACGGTTGTGTCGTTTCTTTCATGGGTGGATTGAAGGGCTTCCTACCAAGTAGTGAAATTTCTGAAGCGTTTGTCAAGCGGCCTCAAGACCATTTAAGATTGGGTCAAACTGTGATCGTTAAGATTTTGGATCATGACAAGGCCAGGAACAGGTTGGTCGTGACGTGCAAAGTCTCGAACGAAGCTGCGTCTCAGCAAAAGGAAACGATTGAACGCATGGAGGTTGGTAGGTCGATTATCAAAGTCGCAGTGGTGGAGAAAACAAAAGACTCTGTCGTCGTTGAAGAATTGAAATCTGGTTTGCGCGGGGTGATTTATGTCGGACATCTTTCGGATTCCAGAATAGAGCAGAACAGAGCTTTACTAAAAGGTGTAAAGATCGGTAATGAATTTGACGGTTTGGTGATCGATAAGGATGTCAGGACCAGAGTTTTCAATTTATCTTGTAAACAGTCCTTGAAGAAGGACGCAGAGAAACTTTGGCTACCTTTAACCTATCAGGATGTCAAAGAAAAAGGTACAGAAAAGCCCATGCATGGATACGTAAAGTCCGTTTCTGAAAAGGGAGTCTTCGTTGCTTTCAACGGGCAGTTTGTGGGGTTAGTGTTGCCCAGCTATGCTGCCGATAGTCGTGACGTTGAGCTGTCTCTCAAATACTACGTTAATCAGTCAGTGACGGCTTACTTGCTGAGGACCGACGATGAGCATGAGCGTTTTCTTCTAACATTGAAAAAACCTAAAACTGGAGATGCATCAAAAGCATCCCATGAAAGCAGCGTTAGGGCGCTCAACCCCGTCGACTCTACGATAGAGTCTCTTGAAGACTTCAGTGTAGGAAGAAAAACGAAAGCGGTGATCAAAGCGGTGAAAAGGAATCAATTGAATGTCGCTGTTGCTGACAACCTACATGGTGCGATCGACGTTTCCGAAGTGTTCGACAATTACGAGAGCATAGGCGACGTGGGGAATCCTCTCAGTAAGTTCCAGAAAGGCGACGTACTCGACGTCAAGGTTATTGGTCATCATGATGTGAAAACTCACAAGTTTCTACCCATTTCTCATAAATCATCAAAGAATGTTCTTCTGGCATTGACGGCCAAAAAGAGTCGTTTGGAAGGTGCTGATTCCCTTAAGTTAGATGATATCAGTGTGGGAGATTTCGTTGTGGGCTTTGTCAATAACATCATGAAAGACATTGTCTGGCTGACTGTGTCTCCAACAATTAAGGCAAAAGTGAACTTTCTCGACCTTTCGGACGAAGGTTTACGGGAGAACGGGAACATTGAAGCAGCCTTTCCTCTGGGATCTGCCCTAAAGGTTAAAGTCACTCACATTGACAGAGACCGCAACACTCTAGGCGTAACGGGAAGATCTCAGACGATAGCTACTTCTTCTGAAGTTTCTGTAGGTCAAAAACTACCTGCAAGAATTCTCAACGTGGCGGACAGCTATGTTTTGTTGGAACTTGGCGAGAAAGTCAAAGGTGTAGCATTCATCACAGATGCATTAGATGACTATTCGCAGTCACTCAAAAACGCGTTAGGTTCTCAAAGAAACTCGATCGTGTCTGCCACCGTCATATCCAATAATGACAACAAAATCAACCTGTCGCTGAGGTCAGAAGATGCCAAGGACGGAAAAGCCACTTCCCATAAGGCTCTGAAGCAGGGCGATGTTGTGCGCGGTTTTGTGAAAAAAGTCACCGATAAAGGTGCTTTCATTTATTTGAGTAGTAGCCTGCAAGCTTTTGTTCCTGTTAGCAAGCTAACAGACTCTTTCATAAAGGACTGGAAGAAGTTCTTCAAGCCAATGCAAGCGGTTATCGGGAAGGTTGTTAATTGTGATGATGATGAGCGCATCCTTGTGACTTTGAAGGAATCCGAAGTGAATGGTGATCTCAAAATTTTGAAAAGCCACGCTGATATCAGCGTGGGAGAGGTATACGAGGGGACAGTCAGAAGTGTTACGGATTTCGGCTTGTTTATTAGACTTGACAATACCATGAATGTTACGGGTCTGGCGCATAAAACTCAAATTGCAGACAGCAAAATCGACAATCCTTCATCATTATTTGGACTGGGTGACAAAGTGAAGGCGATAGTTTTGAAAGTCAACGCAGAGAAAAAACAGTTGTCATTAGGACTGAAGGCATCTTACTTCAAACCTGAGAAAGAAATTACACCAGAGCATGCCGAGGAGACTCCTACACCCGAGAAGGAACAGTTTGAAGAAGAGGAAGATCTCGTTGATGGCGAAGAATTGGCGGGGGAAGAGAAGAGCAGTGAAGATGAAGAATCAAGTGACGAAGGTGCAGGCTCTGAGGGACCAGCATCCAATTCAGGATTGCAGGGTGGTCTAAGTTTAAGCGCTGATTTTGATTGGACCACAAGTATTTTGGACCAAGCTCAAGAATCTGAGTCTTCGGACGAAGAATATTTCACTGATTCGAAACGTTCCAAAAACAAAAAGAAGAAGTTAGCTTCGAGTGTCGAAGACCAAACCATTGATATCAATACCCGAGCACCTGAATCTGTTGGTGACTTCGAGCGAATGATAATGGGTAACCCTAATTCTTCTGTGGTCTGGATGAATTATATGGCGTTCCAGCTTCAGTTAGGTGAAACTGACAAGGCTCGAGACGTTGCTGAACGTGCTCTGAAAACAATCAACTTCAGAGAAGAAGCAGAGAAATTAAACATCTGGATTGCATTGCTCAATTTGGAGAATACTTTTGGCACGGACTCATCTCTTGAAGAAGTTTTTTCCAAGGCATGTCAATATATGGACTCTTACATCATTCACACAAAACTCATCAGCATTTACCAGATGAGCCAGAACACTGACAAGGTCAATGTTCTTTTTAAAGCTACGGCTAAGAAATTCGGTTCCGAAAAAGTGGGTATCTGGGTGTCATGGAGCGAATTTTTGATTGTACAAAATAGAAACGAGGAAGCCCGCCAAGTGCTGGCAAATGCATTGCAATCTCTGCCAAAGCGCTCTCACGTTGAGGTTGTGCGAAAGTTTGCTCAGTTGGAGTTTTCAAAGGGCGACGTCGAACAGGGTCGCTCACTCTTCGAAGGTATTCTGGCCGACGCACCCAAAAGAATCGATCTATGGAATGTATATGTTGACCAGGAGATCAAGGCAGGGGAAAAGAAAAGAATCGAGGATCTGTTTGAAAGAATCATCAATAGAAAGTTGACTCGGAAACAAGCAAAGTTCTTCTTCGGCAAATGGCTTGAATTCGAAGAAAACAGCGATGACACGAAGACAGCAGAATACGTAAAGGCAAAGGCATCGGAGTATGTGGCTAAGCTCGAAAACAAAGCTTCCGCTAGCAATTAGCCTTCATATCTAGTTTGTAAAATATTATGAAGATCGAGTATTATCATTTTTTGGTACAGGTATCTACTTGTTGGATTGTCAGTTTTCGGTAGCGATACTTTTCTTCCAACTTACAGGCCAATTTTTTGTTTACTTCAAGAAATTAAACGTCAGCGACAGTGACTCGAATTTAAACATCACAAATGCCCATTAGGAAAAAACGGTCAATCCAAAAAGGCCTCCTGGTTCTTTTCCTATACCATGGCAATGCTTATCGAAATTCTATGTCTTCTGTTACACTTATTTAGCCTCTTCTTTCTGAGTGATCGAAATGAGACACCTAAAGTCGATAGCATACGTCCAATTGCAATTTTGAAGACCTCGACGACTTTCGAGATAGGTCAACTAAGTCGTTTCCTATTGAATGAAGGAAAAGATGCGGCTATAGTCGACTGCTTTCACAAAGAATCAAAATTTGAGGCGGCGGGATCCATTCAAAGTGATGAGAATGACTGTCTCGCGGATATCAAAAACTCGAAAGTGACTAACTCGGTAAAGAATGAAGAGGAATTGATCCTCGATTTCTACAGCTGTCTTTTCAGGGCTGAGCTTTCTTACCTTCGTAATGCGAGGACATTACAAGCTCCATCTAAGATCAGTTTGGCTGGCGTTGAGAACTCAATCCCATTTACGTCGAGGGCCGCTTGTTTGGTGATAGGACTTGCCTTTTTGACATGGACACTGTCGTCGGTAAGACGCTTCGAGCAATTGGACACAAGAAATGTCTTATCAAGGCTTCGTATTTTAGCAAATCTGAGCTTATCCCGCATCCACCCAATTTATAACCAGATAGGTGAGCTTGAAACTAAAGTGCTCAGCAGATTACGCAAACTAGGAATTTTGAGACAAACTGGCTTGAGCGTGGATGATCAAGGCAAGTCTCCGATATTTAATGAATTGAGGAGAGATGGAAATATTCCAAAGGCTAGTAACGAAACGCATGTCCAAGGCGAGGGACTCGACGCGATTTCGAAGAACGAAGAAATTACCGGTGTTGTAGAAACATATGTTGGCCTCAAAGATCTCCCGATCAATCTCATGTCAAAAAATAAAGCGCTTGTTTTCGACCTCACAACGAAAGAGGGCAGAAAAGAATGGAAGACCTATATCAGCAGAGACAAGTACAGGCAGTTATCATGCAGGGAACAGATTTACGCCCACTATAACTCACCAGCAGAGTTCTCAACTAGAGTAACTGAAGCGCAGGTAGCGCCTTCATTTGAAATGGACCCATCACTAGAAAATGTTCCTCTTTATGACAAGCACGGAAAACCCTTGCGTAGAGTCTGTGTACCCGGGATTGGTTGGATTTCTAGGCGCAAATACCTCGAGCAGCGCGGATAAGCATTTTTGGCCCCAAGAACATCCGTAAACCTAATCGCTCTCCTGGAAAACGTCTATAAAATCCAAGTAGATGTCAGGCTTGAAAGGCCACTTATCGAAAATCTCAGTTATGTGCAAAAACTCTGCTAGTGTCAATTCTTTTGGGCACTTTTCAAGTAGCTTCTGGTTCTGGACTACTTTGCGAAAGTATTCCTTGGCGCCATGGCCAAGCGAGTCCAGAGAATCATATAGCGGTGTACTTTTCAAAATCAGTAAATGCTTCGAAACGTAGTCAAAGTTGTCGAGATCAATGCTGTGGTCGCGTGGGTTGACCTCCAAAAGACAGATGTTTTTACCACTCGGTGGCCACACGTCCTGTTGATCGAACATTACCGGCCGATCTTCGGACAAGATATTATCCGAAAAATTGGCGCTACCACCACCCGATTTTTTAGTGTTCATGGCAGCCACAAGTTTAGTTTCCGTGAAAGCCTCAGTTACTAAAGAGCATTTGGCCCTCAACTGATCTCCGGGCTTGGCTAAAAGTTTGACAGCTGTACACTGCTGAACCCAGACCAGTATTTTGACCCGGCCAAAGCGCTGTAGCCAATTGCGGTTTCCTATACAAGCCAACCATTGCATGAAGAGTCCCTCGCCAATCATACCGGTGAGATTGGCCAGAACGAGAAATTGGTCGTGAATGGACTCACGACTGCAGTTGCTCGGGCTCAAAACTTTGTCTACATCTATCAAGTCAGTATACGCCTGCCATTCGTACGGATCGTGCTTGTATAGTTGCAGGGTTGGCTCACAGCCCTTATTTCGTGCAATGAGGTCAGAAATGTGTTTGACGAAATCCGGCCTAGAGTCCATCAGTAGATGCTGAGCAGGTCTATATCGATTATAAAATACAGCAGAATGCTGTGATGGACCTGGATATAGGTCTAAAACTTTCAGTCTATCAGAATTCGGGTACTTTGTCGGTACCTTCAGTTTGTCGAAAATTCGTTCGTGAACTATCGTATTCAAGACATAACGAAACCCATAGTAGTGTTGGATTTGGGTAAGCTCTCGAGCTGATTTGGTTACCAATGACATTCCTAGTGTTAAAATGCTGAAGTTTGGTGCCTGTAGAGAAAGTTCTACCCTATATACCACTTGTGTTAGTTTTAAGTTTCTGAAGCGATGAGGTGAGAGATGATGCGATGAGCTTTGATAGACACCAGACTATATTATGTTTATAAATTTAGTCAAATTCAAGAACATTAGTTTTACAAGAAACCGAGCGAACTTGATGCACTTCCAGCCCTATATCAATGCCTAAGATCAAGATCAAGAACCCTAGGGCTTCAGAAACCTTATCAGAGGAATCTCAGACGAAAAGACCCAGAAAGAAAGCCAAAAACAGTAATGAAATTGGTACACCCAGTGGTACACCAAAAGGTCCACTGAAAGTTAAACTGAAGCAGAAGGCAGACTCTAAAAAAGATGCGGAAAAGGAGGGATCACAGCCCATGAAACTGAAAATCAATCTGAATAATAGAGACGATTCGAATCCCGCGAGTTCTGTGACTCCAAAAGCGCCAAGATTCAGAATAAAACCCGTCAGAGTACCTGGGGAAGGCTACGATTCGGAGGCTTCAGACATCGAAGACGATCCACTCATTGAGGATGGTATTGTGCTACGAGTTTTGCCCGACGTTCAGACAGAATTTGTGAAAAACTGCATTGAAAGTGGGGACTTTTCCGGTATAAGCTTAAAATGGAAGGGCGAGAGACATGCCGTTGTTAAAATCAATGGGCACATGTACGGCGCAATTTTAGTCAACTTGCCTACGATTATTGAAGTGAATAAAAGTGTTGACCGGAAAAACCTTATAAAGGCATTTGACGTTTCGCAAATGCTCTTATGCGTCAAACCCATCGACCATGATGAAGAAGTATTTTCAGTTATGGCACCAGATACAGAGGACCTTGTTGTGAAGCATTTCGATGATTACAAAACCGAGATTGAGGAATGTAAAAAACTGGCATTTCGTGGATTCAACGGCGGTCCGTTAACAGACACTGAGGCTAGCCATCTGGAGGAAATAGTCAAAAAGGGATATGATTATAAGCACGGAATCACACCACCACTCTACAATGTTCGAAATCGGAGGTTTCGTCGTCGGCTTGCGATACAGGAAGTCGAATATGTCGAGAAAACGGTAGAGCACTTGCTGCGACAGGATCAAGAGGCGGAAGGCTTTACTTACGATTTGGTCGATGAACATTCCTTGCAACAACAAAGGGCAAGCTCCAATGATCTACCTCTTGACTCGTCTTCGAACGAAGGTTTTGCTTTGTTCGGCGAGGATGACCATGAGGATCTGGAACTGGAGCTAGAACAAGCATTGCAAGAAGATCGCCAAGGTGTCGAGCAGATGACCGCTGATATGCGTAAGCAAGCCGTCGAGGAGACGGGCGATGACGTTGAACAAGATAACGGGGAGGATGAAGAAGAAGAGGATGAAGAGGAAGACGAGGAAGAAGGTGGAGAAGAAGAAGAAGAAGAAGAACCGGAAGAAGAGGACGCTGCAGAACTTGATACTGCCGCCAATGTCGCCAAGCCGGCGGTAGACGAAGGTCTTCAACATGCGGAACTTTTGAGAGATGAACTGGAAGAACTCGAGAGTATTTTGCAACAGAATAGACAAAAGTTAGAAAAGGCAACGAATCCACTTCTGAAGTCAAGGTTTATTGACAGTATAAAGAAAATGGAGAAGGAAGCAGAGATTAAGAGGAAACAATTGAAGCTTAGCGGGGACTCCAATATTTCTAGTAAATCTCAGAGCGCAGCACCTGACGAAATCGAGAACGATGACGATGATGAAGATGAGGACGAAGAGGCCGACGAGGCTGAAGAAGCAGAGGAAGCAGAAGATGACGATGATGATGACGAAGACGATGAAGATGTTACGAATGTTGCGAACACGAACAACAATGCTGACGCGCAGAAACCGCCCGAGGAGCTTGATCAGGATGACATGGATATGATGATGCTATTCGGCGGTGAGGGTGATGAATGAGAGTAAAATTCTAGAATCCTGAACTACGGAGCGTACTCTGGCAAAGTCTCCTCCTCTTGGTGCTCCGATAAACTACCACTACTCGCGTTCGAAGCCAAAGCACTATTGATCACGTCCTTCAGCTGGAAAATATCGCGAACTGCACTGGACCGCTGTTCCAGGGTGATTTCGCATCTCCAAGTGTACGAACTATCCAGTAATGGTCCATTGTTCAATATTTGTTCTGGTAAAACTCGGAATTCGAATTTCAGTGAGTTGGCTCCAAACCATGGCATGACAAGCGTTATGGGACTATCCTGGTGTCTGGGCAGTGTGAGCTGGCGGAACAATATCACAAGATTTTGCACCGGTTTCGTATGCTCATTGCTGAGGAAAATCAATCGCTGGGAGGTAACGAAAAGACGGCCCTTGACGCCGATCTTTCGAACTTTGTTGTCATCGTTGCGTCCAGCTCCCGCTTCCAAAACAGGCCAAACTTTTATGCTGACCACAGGAGCCGCATTGTATGCTATCATCTCTCTTTCCAAGGGCACAAAAGGCAATGAACGCCTGTCTTCTTCGACTGTCAACCCGTTGATCGACATCCTACTTCCACTATAGACAAGTAACACTAATCGGCGACCAATAATACAGCACTCAATTTACAGAAAGATTTCTAGAGCTATGAAGCGAAGCGAGACACTGACTAGTTGTAGGTCTTTATATATACGCTCCCAGTGATGAGATGGTTTCTTTCAAGGTCTTTCTGGTTCTGTTCTTAGTATGGCTCTAATGTGATGAAATTTAATGAACTTTACTAACCTTGAAATTGATATTTAAAAACAAGAATCTTAATGAAATCGTAACTTTTCAAAAGCCAAAACACCTACAAAAGAGCGCCATGGAGGGCATGGAAATCCCGCAGAGACAACTGACGAGAGAAGAGATAAATCGGTGTTATTTAGTATGTTTTTCAACAAGTTTTTCGGACCTTTTTGAAGGATTACTGTAGTGAATTACCCATTCTATAATTGCAGACAGTTTTACTAACATGGATGGCACAGAGATGGCAACAACTGCGCAATGAGCACGGAGAAAATGCCTCCACCGTTCCTGAGTTTATATATTTTACTAAGGTTCTTCGGGTTGCTGCCAAACAACAGCAGCAGCAGCAACAGCAGCAGCAGCAACAGCAGCAGCAGCAGCAGCAGCAACAACCACAACAGCAGCAACCACAACAGCAGCAACCACCACAACATCAATCAGAACCGCAGACGATAGAACAATCAATCCAGAGCCCAAACGTACCGCCTAATCCTAATCATCCTGGTCAAGGAGTCTCTGAAGCACAGCGTAATACACCAACACAGGCATCGCCTTCGCACTGGCCGTCGGGCGCCCAGCAACCAGAATCAGCGCAGCAAGTACCACAACAACACCACCATCAGCAACAACTACAGCAGCAACAGCAGTTACCGCCCCAACAACAACAAAACATACCTCCAAGGTATTCCAATGGCTCACTCAACTCTGGTATGCAGAATGGCAATGCACAAAGTCCTGTGGCTCAGCCATCTTCAGGTCCAGCACCCTCTAATTCATCAAGTAATCTTGGACCTCAAGGACAGACACTTTTCACAACTGAACAATCGGAGCTCCTCAAGGCTCAGATCACCTCCTTACGGTACCTCTTGAGCAGGCAGCCTGTGCCACACGAAGCGCAAGAAGTGATACAGCAATCACTAAATAACCCTCCAAACTTCAAGCAGATGCTTCTGGAACTTAGCGAGACTGTCAAACAACGCCAGACCACTCAACAACATGTTGCAAGCCCATCGAGGCCCAATAGTATGCTGAACTCGAACTCCGCGACTCAACAGTCGTTCTCAAACGTGAACCAGCCACAGGTGCAACAACAGTCTCCTGTTCAGGTTCCTCAACAGTTTCCCGCTCAAGCTCCAGTGCAGGCTCCAGTGCAGGCTCCAGTGCAAGCTCCAGTGCAGGCTCCAGTGCAGGCTCCAGTGCAGGCTCCAGTGCAGGCTTCAATTCGAGCGTCCCCACAAGTTTATCAAGAACAAATGCGGCCTTATGGCTCAGAGACCCATGAATCCGATGGACGTGTACCAGTTACTGCGGCCAAGTCACTCTCATATAACGGCGATCTAAACGCACCACCTCCAAAAGCAGAAGAAGAAATCACTAGCATCACTAGTCGCAAATCGATTCCTCAGAATGATGAAAATAACGTGAAGACTCAACCTGAAAAGGAAGACACAATCAAGGTTCCCATTCCTCTGGAAGAATATCGTACGCTGAACCCTGAGATTGAGAAAATTGTGAATATCAATGCTTCAGATATTGTGGATTGCTACACGCTCCCTCCGCCGATAGATGAGCCCATCCATTACCACCAGCTCTTTCCGACTAAAGCACACCCACTGCCCCTTTTGAGGCCAGGTACCCTGCCCCCAGGTATTGATGTCCACTGTGCAATGGAAGTTTACCAAACATTAATTGCGCTGGATATTGATACTGCTGTGGATTCTTGTCTGACAGATTTATTGAACGACGAGACATCCTTGGCTTCCAAAGAATCGGCTAGAAATGACTACTATTCGCTTCAGCTATTACCGCTACAAAAGGCTGTCAGAGGTCATGTTTTGCAATTTGAATGGTACCAAAAAGCGCTTTTAACCAACACACATCCAAACTTTCTGTCAAAAATAAGAAGGGTCAACTTACAAGATGCATTGCTAACGGACGAGTTGTATAAGAGACACGAGGTTTTACAAAGCCAGCGTCGCAAGCACGAGCATATCACTAAATTGAAAAGCATCGCAGACAGTTCTATCGCGTGCTACACCAATAGACTCAGCCGCCGGACGCAAAGAGTTAAGTATGGCCACCGTTTAGTGTCGCTGCATACTAACATCGAAAAGGAGGAGCAGAAACGAGTTGAAAGAAATGCTAAGCAGCGTTTGCAAGCGCTGAAGGCAAATGATGAAGAAGCCTATATCAAGCTGTTGGATCAAACCAAAGATACCAGAATTACGCATTTGCTAAAACAAACCAATGCATTTTTGGACTCTTTAACAAAGGCTGTTAAAGACCAGCAACAATACACTAAGGAAAAAATCGATTCGCACCTCAAAGTTGAAGAAGATATCGCAGTTGATGATCCCGACGCCATTAGCTCGTTGCCAGACGTTCAGGATGAAGATGAACGGCGGAACATCGATTATTATAACGTAGCACATCGCATCAAGGAGGAAGTTAAAGTTCAGCCATCAATTCTTGTGGGAGGAACTTTGAAAGAGTATCAACTGAAAGGTTTACAATGGATGGTTTCGCTGTACAACAATCACTTGAATGGGATTCTTGCCGATGAGATGGGTTTGGGAAAAACAATTCAAACTATTTCGCTATTGACGTACCTCTATGAAGTCAAAAATGTACGAGGTCCCTCTCTAGTCATTGTACCACTGTCCACTCTTACAAACTGGGACTCGGAGTTTGAGAAATGGGCACCAGTCATAAGAATGGTAGCATATAAGGGTACTCCCAATGAGAGGAAATCCAAGCAGGGCATCATTCGTTCTGGCCAATTTGATGTGGTATTAACAACTTTCGAGTACATCATCAAGGAAAGAAGTTTGCTCTCGAAGATTAAATGGGTGCACATGATTATCGATGAAGGACATCGTATGAAAAATGCGCAGTCGAAGTTATCACTGACATTGAACAATTACTATCACACAGATTACCGTCTAATTTTGACTGGTACCCCTTTGCAAAATAATCTACCGGAACTTTGGGCCTTGTTGAATTTTGTTTTACCTAAAATTTTCAACTCTGTAAAGTCGTTTGATGAGTGGTTCAACACACCATTCGCAAATACCGGTGGTCAAGATAAGATAGCATTGAGTGAAGAAGAGACGCTTCTGGTGATCCGAAGATTGCACAAGGTATTACGTCCTTTTTTGCTGCGGAGACTGAAGAAAGATGTCGAAAAGGAACTTCCCGATAAAATCGAAAAAGTTCTCAAATGCAAGATGAGTGGGTTGCAACAAAAGTTGTACGAATTGATGCTGAAGCACCGTCGTTTGTTTTCGGGTGATATCACGGGCAACAACAAAACCGTCACTTTACGCGGTTTCAATAACCAAATCATGCAACTGAAGAAAATTTGCAATCACCCGTTTGTTTTTGAAGAAGTTGAAGATCAAATTAATCCTACTAGGGAAACTAATTCCAATATATGGCGTGTTGCAGGGAAATTCGAGTTACTAGAAAGAATCTTACCGAAATTCAAGGCGACAAACCATCGAATTTTGATTTTTTTTCAAATGACTCAGATCATGGATATAATGGAAGATTTCCTCAGGTTGTTGGGTTTAAAATACTTACGTCTGGATGGTCATACTAAATCTGACGATCGTAGTATGCTTTTGCGACTTTTCAATGAACCTAACTCTGAGTATTTCTGTTTCCTTTTATCCACTAGGGCTGGTGGGCTTGGATTGAATTTACAAACCGCAGACACAGTTATCATTTTCGATACGGATTGGAACCCACATCAAGATTTACAAGCGCAAGACAGAGCGCACAGAATTGGGCAAAAAAATGAGGTTAGAATTCTCAGACTAATTACAGAGAACTCAGTCGAAGAAGTTATTCTAGATCGTGCTCACAAAAAGTTGGACATTGACGGAAAAGTTATTCAAGCAGGTAAGTTTGACAACAAGTCCACGGCGGAAGAACAGGAAGCTCTATTGAGATCTTTACTGGAAGCTGAAGAAAACTTGAAGAAGAAGCGCGAGCTAGGACTTGAAGAAGACGAACAGATTGACGACAATGAATTGAATGAAATTTTGGCTCGAAACGAGGAAGAGCTTAAGATATTTGCAGACATTGACGAAGAGCGCAGTCGCAAACATTTGGAAAATGGGATAACGACTACTCTGATGGAAACGGCGGAATTACCTAACATCTACCATCAGGATATAGAAGCCGAGCTTAAGAAGGAAGACGAGGATGAAGTGCTGGCGGGTGGCAGGGGTTCTCGAGAAAGAAAAACAGCACTTTACGATGACGAGGTTAGTGAAGAGCAGTGGCTAAAACAATTTGAAGTCAGTGATCATGAGGATGACGATCAGGCTGAGAATGACATGGCGGCTGATAGAAAGCGTAGCGCTAGCGAAGTTTCCACTCAGAACAAAAAAGCTAAGTTGGAAACAGAAGAACCTGAAAATTTGGATGAAAAGTCACCTGCGGAAGCTATGGAGCGTGGAGATACACCAACAGCGCTTCCTACAACTGGACAGAAATTCACCGCATCAAATTTTGACGTCAAACCCAAGCCGCGCGGTAGGGGTCGTCCACCACGGTCCATGGACAAAAAAACTGGGAATCCTTACATTCGGGACGGATCTCTCTTGACTCTATCCGAGGATGAAAGAACCCGCGTTGCTCAAGAAGCACGGAGTCTGTTTGACTATGCAATCAAATACGAAGACGAAGATGAGAGACGATTAGCAGATATTTTTCTGGTAAAACCCTCGAAAAAATTGTATCCAGACTACTACAAGCTGATCCGGTACCCTGTTGCATTCGAGAATATCATGACTCATATAGAATCAAAAGCTTATGGGACATTGAAAAATGCTCTAGAGGACTTTCATCTGATTTTTGCCAATGCAAGAATTTACAACACCGAGGAATCTTTGATTTATCTCGATTCTTTGGAGTTAGAAAAGGCCATAATTGAGAAATACAAGGAAATGACAGGAACTACAGACGAAGTGGATTTCACCGAATTTGACGAAAAATTCGCAACTGGACCACTAAAGACTCAACTACCTTCTGGTTTAAGTTAGAAAGGCTAAATGTAATTATAATTAATCGATGTTCATTTAATTGCGGAAGATATGAAATGGAGAGGCCTGGTTGGTGGCAAAGACCAAAACGTCTGCGATGACCGTGTTAGCCTTTCTGGAGGTACTGTATACAATCAAATCGGCAATGTCTTCGGCCACCAAGGGCTCAGTTCCTTCGTAGACTTTCTGAGCACGATCGGTGTCGCCCTTGTATCTAACCATAGAGAATTCGGTTTCCACGTTACCAGGGTCGATTTCGATGACTCTAATCTTGGTGCTGATCAATTCCTTGCGAAGACTTTGAGTGAACGCCCGGACCGCATGTTTTGTGGCACAGTAGATTGCACCCGTTGGATAAGCTTCACGGCCAGCGACGGACCCCAAATTCACGATGTCTCCGGAATTTTTGGCTTGGAAAATGGGTAGCACTGCCTGTGTAACGTTAATCAATCCCAAAACGTTGGTATCCATCATGCCAGCAATGTCTTGTGACGAAATTGTGCCTACGGGGTCAGATCCCAAAGCTTTTCCGGCATTGTTGATCAGAATATCTATGTCTTTGAATTCTTCGGGCAAGCTGTCCACGAATAATTGAATTTTTGCAGTTTCCGTTACATCCAATTGGCCAATAAACACTTTGGCATCAGGATAGTCTTTATTGATCGTTTGCTTCAGTTCCTCTAATTTTTCTAGTCTTCTGGCTGCTAGAATAAGTTTTAGGTTCCCGTTAGATGCGTCTAGATATTCCAGAGCGGTGGCTTGACCAATACCAGCAGAGGCACCGGTGATAAAAACGGTCTTACCGGCAAGTCTCTCAGCAGCTCTTCTTCCTTGGGACATGGTTACTATAAAAAACGTCTATGGTTCTATAAAGGATGCAATACGCTTGGCGAGTGAGGCATGGAGGACCTAGTTCTTTGATATCTGCTGTGGATCCACCTTTTTATATGTTATTTAAACAAGAATAGGTCATGTGACCTTATCTGGTCGAGAACGCTGCCTAATTGGGAAGGACGATAAGCGGTATCCAAGTTGGCGTTCAAATTCCGGGTCACAAGAAAAAAGTCACAATGTGATCACACACTTGAGGGCTGGTAGTTGAGATCGGCGGGTTAAGGCGTTTAAATTTGGTTAATACCGTGGACGATATGAAACGGTTTTTGGGGATTTATCTGGGATGCCTTTTTCTCAAAGCCTTTTGCTAGCATTTCTTGGCGATGCGAAGTTCTGAATAGTCTCATCTCATTGCCCAACATTGCTGGAAAATCTTGAGCTGCTGTGAAGAATCAATGGTAAACCCTGCGGGCATGAATGATAAATGGGATACGTAAACCTTTTCGTGAGATCACTTTTTACCTCGCTCGTCATCTGTCGCTGGATCACGTGGCTCATTTTTAAAGCTGTCAAGGGACAATAATGCGTAGGTTGGATGACTATTGAGTGGTCACCACCGTGGGAACCGCCTTATTGATGGCCAGTATGACTTTGAACTCAATGGATAGCTCTCCTGACGATCTAATAGTATATTGGTGTTTGTTCAGCAGCTAGTGACGCACCTCATGTCTGCAACTTATTGTATATATCAAAGTCCTAGCTGGGAACATTATCAAATGTGTTTGAGGGTTTTCCTTGGCTTAACAGGCCTAACTGAACCTCTGTATTTTGAGAGAAGAAAATTTTAAGTTTGTTCTGAGTATTGTTACATTTAGGAAGTTCTAATATGATCTGTTATTATAAACAGTGTAAAACAAATCGCTTGGTCAGAAATCAAATTTCCTCGGATTATCTAAAACGCTAATACCGTGTGTTTTGTTAATTGCAGAACCTTTCATGAGTAATCGAATGTTACAGAACGTAGTTCAGGATAGAACAGCCTGATACCTATTGTCGTCTATAGGCATACTTTTGTATTAGTTTCCACCCTGATCACATGCCCATCCTTCCTCAATTGCCAAAGTTGAGTATCAAGAATTCTTATGCGGATGTCTGGGATCTTACGATTGACGGACGGTGCTGAAGATGCTTAGCCAGACAAGTCTTGAACAAGAACGTAACTCTTTACTTCTGTCTAACTTTAAGGCTACTGGAGCTTGAAATTCAAAATTAGACGTAGGTGACTTTGGACGTTATTTTGCGAGAACATGATTTGAACCGTGAGCGGTCTGGCACTAAGGTCTCTAACACACATCGATAGCGCAGTTTATTCAAATTCGATTAGTAGCGCAAATTGAATCCTTTCAAAATATTACGATTTCATGCTTTGATCTTGCCGTAGTATATAAATATGACAGTATTCTGCTACTCGACCGTCATTGGCTGGGATTTGCATGCGTAGCAGCAGTAAAAAGACATTCAGAAATGTTTGAAGACAGATATTAGTTCAACTTTCGGTGTTTGGTTGATGGACTGATCGTCACCCAGTTTCTGTACAAATGCCCGTCATCCATTTTTCGATGATTGGAAGAAAAAGGAAGTATTCGACGAGTAAAATGGATCAGGTAGTTGTCCGATGCACAAAACCCGATTTATTGCCCCTACCGTGCTTTCACGAGTTATACGAAACTTGGAGTAACTTCAAATTGAGACCAATTACCGTCCATCATATTATCACCTGTTTTGTTTGGCTACGCACTTTCAACACTATGACCATATTTCCCACACAATCAAGTCAAGATCCCCATGAGATATGGGCCTAAGGTGAGAGAAGAGAGAAGACTTGTGTGAAGCCGTTTAGTTCCTTGTGATAAAAAGGTAAAGCCAAAAAAATTATGGACGAGACCGGAGTCGAACCGATGACTTCTCGCATGCAAAGCGAGCACTCTACCAACTGAGTTACACGCCCTTTTCTGAGCTAGCTGAATAGTGCCTTCAGAACCGCTGAGCCATGGAGGCTCAGTGATTGTTGAAGGGTTGAGAAAACTGCCTGGTTATACAGGAATGTGTGATCAACGATCTCATTAGCGCAGCGGCGCAAGGTATTACTGATCTTTTGGATGATCTTATTCATCGGAGCTTCGGGAACTACGCCCATGATGATATATTCCATGATACTACGACGGGATCACTGTGCTGTAGGTGCTAAATGGTCGGAAACACTCGGCTACATTTAGATTTGTTTTCAGAGACCAACGAAATCCATTGTGATTTTGAGGTGTGAGGTTGAACAGATACCATATATGAAACTTCAATGCGCGACAACATACGCTTGGAAACTGTGAGAAACGGTCGGCTTTTGAGGTCATGGACCAAGGAAGCAAGGTATAGGTATCCTGAACAATTCGTTCAATATGATGTGGCTCTTGTAGCTCAACGGTAATGGGCTAATAGCGCAGTTGGTAGAGCGTTCCCTTCGCATGGGAGAGGTCATCGGTTCAACTCCGGTTTAGTCCACCATTTTTTTTGCTGTACTGAGATTTGTTAAAGGTACCCGAGCATAGCTATAAGGGAAACTTAGGCAGCTGCTAATAGGAAACTGCAAACGATAGTTTTGGCAGTCTCGCTGGCATTTGATCTCATCTCGTACTCCGTAGAAAACAATTTGTCCTACCTTCTTGATTACAGCACAAATACGGGGTTCTGTACGATACTGACAGGCCTTGGCATAAAACCCTGGAGGTTGTTAACAAAACCGCTTACTATATATAAACTTTAGAGTCCTTATCTTAGTACACCTTTGGGGTACGTCTAGAAAAACGTATTCTGAAATCTACTGCTTTCCCGTGTTGAAGAACTCATGGAAACCGGTCAAGGTAAATCTATATCTAACATCACCGTCATTTAGACGAGTGAGACCTTCAGAAACACCGGCTTCAGAAACTTGGATAGTTTCTACCCATGGCCTGAAATTATGTTTCACTGCCAAGTCCATCAACTCGATGGCCTCGGTTCTAGAACCTAGTTTGGAAGAACCAATGTTGCAACCGTTGCGGAAAAATGTGAAGGGCTTAACTCTGAAGTCTTCGTCAACGTGTGGCAAGCCAACGGAAATGAAGTTGCAATTGACCTTCAAGCATGGCAAAAGATTGTTGAGGTCCAGGGATGTTGTGGAAGAAGCACAGTTCAAGATCAAGTCGAACTGGTCAAAAAGACTCTGTTGCCAGTTTTCTTCACTGGTAGCGACGAACTTATGAGCGCCCATTTTCATAGCATCGTCTTTCTTGGAGTAGCCACGAGAAACGGCATAAACTTCAGCACCCAGGGCCCTGGCGATCATGATGGCCATGTGTCCTAGGCCACCGATACCAATGACAGCGACTTTGGGGTTGGTCTTACCGGCGATGTTACGTTTGATTGGCGAGTACACCGTTAAGCCACCGCATTGCAAAGGCGCCACAAGTTCAGATGGGATTTCAGGTGGGATTGGAAAGCAGAACTGTTCATGAGCACGAACGTGGGAAGCGTATCCACCTTGAGAGACGTAGCCGTCCGGGTATTTGGAGCAATAGGTGGAAACGGAGTTTTGACAATATTGTTCGTTTTGAGAAGTGCAACGGGAACATTGCATGCAAGCCGAAGCCTGGGCACCCAAACCTACTCTATCGCCGATTTTACAGAGCGTAACTTCTGGACCCACGGCCACAACTTTGCCGACGACTTCGTGGCCCACTACTTGCGTTTTAGGACCGTATTTGGAGCTCAAGCAAGTCATAGGTTCGTGAGACCATCCGTTTTGAAGAGCAAACAACTCCGAAGCACAAATACCACAGCATTCGACCTCGATGTCTACGTCGCGATTACCAAAGTTTTTGGGCTGGTAGCTGGTAAGTTTTGGATGAGCCCAGTCTTTGGGGTCGTTAGTTGCGAACCCTTGGAATTGTTCTGGGTAAGCCATTGCTAAGGTTTGAAATATGGTGTTAGTTGCAAGAGACAGACTAAGAGACAAGTACGGCAAGATCGTCTTTCAACGCTGAGAAGAAGTTGGATAGCGAATTCTGGGATTTCGTGGAAAAGCACCGTGTGTTATACATTGGGTTGAATCAGATACTGTGCTCTCTGCGTTGCGTTTATCATGGGCGTTATTAAGAGACAATTTTTTTGATTATGGGAAGAGTTCTATGCAGGAGTGGGAACGAATAATGGATTCTTTCGTTTGGCATGCCGAAAGTAGCTGGTCGACTGGATCTACAAGAACTGAGTTTTGTTGTAGATGGATGTATAGGCCATTGTTATGAATTGAGTTATAACTGATCTGTTTGAGATCGTTTGAGAAGTCAAATTGCGTCCATCGTGCACTAGCGGGGTTTCAACAGACAGTGAAGTCGAAAAAGAGTCGTAAGACAGACCAGAGACGTGGAAACCAGCGTCTAATGGGGTTTGAGAGCGTGGAAGAGTCCCATAGGAGACTCCTACTACTCTTACGTATAAAGTGATATATCTATGATCGAGAAAAGTCGGATCCGAATTGTTTCTATGCATGTAGATGAATATTGCTATGTACTGGAAGCGGGAGCTACGTTTATCGTTGCAACAAGACCTGAGTGGGTTGGTAGTTGGCTGATGGTATTTAGCATGCATGTGTGACATTCACACACACACACACATCTAAAGCCAAAATTTTTGAGGCTCGAAGACCCCGTCTTGTCAAATGACCCGCACCGATCCTTTTCTCTCATTCTATATGGCGGCTAGTAACTAGTGGGTCTGACAAATACCTGTCCACCAAAACCACCCAGACACCCTAGCTACGTCACCCAGACACCCAAACACCCCACTACGTCATTCGCCCGACTTCCGGAACTTCCTTCTAGCCGTGCCCGAAGAGCCTACCGTAAACAACAATTCCCAGCAGTTACCCTTTTGGGCCTTGCGCAGACGTCTGCCCTATACGGTGTTATGATTTCCGTTTCGGGCGCGCCACTTCTGTTGCCCATCCCTAGAAGGCGCCCCTGCAAAATACCTCAATGGACGACAGAATACAAATGACCTGGGCCTCCCACTGCACCCACACACCAACTAGATAAGACTCCAACGAGGCACTAACCTTTGCGAGCGGCCGTATCTCTCTAAAGCTCTCTAGCTCTAGCTACTGTCGACCAAAGATATGAGAGTATGAGATGGAAAATGCAACGCAACAGCGAAACTCAACAACATAGCAACGCAACGACGTAGTAAGGCTTCGTTCTCTCAGGTTGTGTAGCACTAGCAGTAGAAGTAGTAGTACTAGTAGTAGTAGTAGTAGTGATGGTAACGCTCTGGCTCTTTTTTTTTCATGTGTTATTTTTTATCCCTCTCTGTAGTGCTGAAAAGCCCTCGTGCGTATGCTACCGTCCTTCTCGTCCCTCATTGGCTGCGGGATATAGGATATAATCAAGCTTGGCCCGGCAGCAGCGGCCCGCCCTCGTTCCGCGTTCGATTACCTTTTTCCACCAATCAATTGGAAATTTCAAATTCCTAGTGCTGTGCAGGGCAAAAGAAAAACAAAACTTGCCCATGCCCAAACCCACATTTTGGGAAAAATGGGCCCGTTCAACTGCCGCAGAAGAAGAAGTGGAAGAACAAACCTGAGCAGCTGGCGCCATGTGTTGCAGCAGCAGCAGCAGCAGCCTGGCAACGCCCGTCGTCGTCTTCACTTGCCCGGTAAGGACCAATCCAAACAACAAAAAAATTCACGCACTTGGGATCTCCCACAAGCTGTGTCGGGTTTCGCAGTATAAAAAGCCAGCAGGTTAGTTGCTGGAAAATGGACTCGAAATGGGTTATCTCTATTAGTCTTATTTTGGTTTTTGTAGTTTTGGTTCTAGACCTTTTTTTCTCTCCCCACTGCTGTCGTGTTAGATTTTGGTCCAGGAGTACAGTGTGATTCTCTTGACGAGTGAACTTGAAAGTTAAAGCATCCCTATAGGTGAAATTAATTTTTGGTTCTATAAGTAACAACCACTGTGTCAAGCATAAAAAACTTACCAGTTGACCAAAATTACTGTACACCTCACAAGCCAAGCAATTGAACCCGTAACAAGCTAGCCCTAATATGTCTGCTACGGAACCTACCAAGGAAAAGCCCGCGGCTCCAGTGGAGTCCGACGAAGAAGACGACATCGACGCCTTGATCGATGAGTTGCAGTCGCACCACGGCGGTGACGACGAAGAAGAAGAAGAGGAAGAAAAGGTGGCCGCCGGTCAAGCCCGTGTTATCCCAGAGGAAATGCTACAGACCGACCCATCACGTGGTTTGAGTTCTGACGAAGTCACCAAGCGTCGTAAGCGTTACGGTCTTAACCAGATGGCCGAGGAAAACGAGTCGCTTATCGTCAAGTTCCTCGGTTTCTTCATCGGACCTATCCAGTTCGTCATGGAAGCCGCTGCCATTTTGGCCGCCGGTTTGGAAGATTGGGTCGATTTCGGTGTCATTCTCGCCTTGTTGATGTTGAACGCCAGTGTTGGTTTCATCCAAGAATACCAGGCCGGTTCCATCGTTGACGAATTGAAGAAATCGCTTGCCAACTCCGCTGTCGTTATCAGAGATGGTAACATCACTGAAATCCCATCCAATGAGGTCGTCCCAGGTGACATCATGCAGCTAGAAGACGGTGTCGTCATCTGTGCTGACGGTCGTCTAGTTACCGAAGAATGTTTCTTGCAAATTGACCAGTCTGCTATCACTGGTGAATCCCTCGCTGTCGACAAGCACTACGGAGACACCGCCTTCTCCTCCTCCACTGTTAAGAGAGGTGAAGGTTTCATGATCGTCACTTCCACCGGTGACAACACTTTTGTTGGTAGAGCTGCCGCTTTGGTCAACCAGGCCTCTGGTGACCAAGGTCATTTCACCGAAGTGTTGAACGGTATCGGTACGATTTTGTTGGTTTTGGTCATTGTCACTTTGTTGCTCGTCTGGACTGCTTGTTTCTACAGAACTGACAGAATTGTCAGAATTCTAAGATACACTTTGGGTATCACCATTATCGGTGTCCCAGTCGGTTTGCCAGCTGTCGTCACCACCACCATGGCTGTCGGTGCTGCTTACTTGGCCAAGAAACAAGCCATTGTCCAAAAATTGTCTGCCATTGAATCTCTAGCCGGTGTCGAAATCTTGTGTTCCGACAAAACCGGTACTTTGACCAAGAACAAGTTGTCTTTGCACGAACCTTACACTGTCGAAGGTGTTGAACCAGATGACTTGATGTTGACTGCTTGTTTGGCCGCTTCCAGAAAGACCAAGGGTTTGGACGCTATTGACAAGGCTTTCTTGAAATCTTTGGCCCAATACCCAAGAGCCAAGAACGCTTTGACTAAATACAAGGTTTTGGAATTCCACCCATTCGACCCTGTTTCCAAGAAGGTTACCGCTGTTGTTGAGTCCCCAGAAGGTGAGAGAATCATCTGTGTTAAGGGTGCTCCATTGTTCGTTTTGAAGACTGTCGAAGAAGACCACCCTATCCCTGAAGATGTCCACGAGAACTACGAAAACAAGGTTGCTGAATTGGCTTCCAGAGGTTTCCGTGCTTTGGGTGTTGCTAGAAAGAGAGGTGAAGGTCACTGGGAAATCTTGGGTGTTATGCCATGTATGGATCCTCCAAGAGATGACACTGCCTCAACCGTCAACGAAGCTAGACGTCTAGGTTTGAGAGTTAAGATGTTAACTGGTGATGCCGTCGGTATCGCTAAGGAAACTTGTCGTCAATTGGGTTTGGGTACTAACATTTACAATGCTGAAAGACTTGGTCTAGGTGGTGGTGGTGACATGCCAGGTTCCGAATTGGCTGACTTTGTTGAAAACGCTGATGGTTTTGCTGAAGTTTTCCCTCAACACAAGTACAGTGTCGTTGAAATCTTGCAACAGAGAGGTTACTTGGTTGCCATGACTGGTGACGGTGTTAACGATGCTCCTTCTTTGAAGAAGGCTGACACTGGTATCGCTGTCGAAGGTGCTACCGATGCTGCCCGTTCTGCTGCCGATATTGTTTTCTTGGCTCCTGGTTTGTCTGCTATCATTGATGCTTTGAAGACTTCCAGACAGATTTTCCACAGAATGTACTCCTACGTTGTCTACCGTATTGCTTTGTCTCTCCACTTGGAAATCTTCTTGGGTCTATGGATTGCTATTTTGAACAACTCTTTGAACATTGACTTGATCGTTTTCATTGCCATTTTCGCCGATGTTGCTACTTTGGCCATTGCTTACGACAACGCTCCTTTCGACCAAAAGCCTGTTAAGTGGAACTTGCCTAGATTATGGGGTATGTCCATCATTTTGGGAATCATTCTTGCTATCGGTACCTGGATTACTTTGACTACCATGTTCGTTCCAAAGGGTGGTATCATCCAGAACTTTGGTTCCATCGACGGTGTTTTGTTCTTGCAAATCTCCTTGACTGAGAACTGGTTGATTTTCATCACCAGAGCCGTTGGTCCATTCTGGTCTTCTATCCCATCTTGGCAATTGGCTGGTGCCGTCTTCGCCGTCGACATCATCGCTACCATGTTCACCTTGTTCGGCTGGTGGTCTCAGAACTGGAACGACATTGTCACTGTCGTCCGTGTCTGGATTTTCTCCTTCGGTGTCTTCTGTGTCTTGGGTGGTGCTTACTACTTGATGTCTTTGTCTGAAGCTTTCGACAGATTGATGAACGGTAAGCCACTCAAGGAAGAGCCACCAAAGAGATCTATCGAAGATTTCTTGGTTGCCATGCAAAGAGTCTCCACTCAACACGAGAAGGGTCATTAATCTCATAATCAAAAGCTAAATCATCGGGTTTCCGGTTACTTTTTTCTTACATTATGACGTTTTTTAATCCTTCTTTTCCCAATTCTAGAGTTCAGAAACGTGAAGCATTACAGCTACGATAGAATTATCACCAATTTCTGAGCTCTAACCCTTCCGCTCAAATTCGATCCCGAGTTCGAGGGTGAGTTATGTTCTTTCCTTTCGACAGGGATCTTTGCGCTTTACTCGTCCGCTTGCGTAATAACACATACGCAAATGGCGGGTGTCGAACTGAGGAAGTTTTTCTTATTTCATTTTCCTCTTGAGTTTCCTTTCTTGACTTACGAACGAGGCCAAAACAGAAATGCTATTGATTAGGTATTTTTCGTTTTTACTTTGGCTTCCTCGTTGAAGCGGAAACTTCACTTTTTGTTTTACATTCATTTCTTCCGGGACCGTGAATAACTCATGGATTAAACATTTGATATCCCCCCATCTTTCCTAATTTTTAATTTTGGCACGCACATTCACAACATGAACAAGAGCATTTGTCAAGGGTTTATTGTTGGGATTCCAGGTACTATACACACACACACACACACAAAAGTGCTTGGGATTTCAACTTGGATTAAACCATTTCATTTGCTTTCTGGATCACACCAATTTCTGGTTGACACGACACCAAGAAACACGCAGTCACGGACGTGCGAATCACACACTCGCACGTCTAAACACACACAATACCTACCCACTCACACAATCACAACACATACACACACACACACACACACACACACACACACACACACACACACACACACACACACACACACACACACACAGAGACACACAGAGTTACCGTACCTACAGCTACACACACTGGGGCGCGAATTTCGTAAAAATACTTCACGTAATTTTAGTAATTTGAGATAATAATATTTTGTTAATGGCTTTTTACTTGCTGAGATAGTTGTTTCTAAAACACGCCGGACTTTCTCACTTTGGTTTACAATCGCTGTATTCTGGCTTTGTTACCGTTCGATTATCTGCAGTAGCTACTTAGCGCCACGTCGGTAGTGGGAATGAAGTCAAACATCTATACTGTCATAAGAGCCCGAACAATTGGCGGGACACTTAAGCACCGTTGGTATTCATAGAGATATTGCAAGTTTAATTTAGGTTATTCAAACGCTGGGTCGGTATTCAATAGTTCAGAAGTGACAGTCAGAGAAGTCTTCCTATTCAGTAACGCTTGAGATCCGTAATTTCATGCATTTTGACTCATTTCGGAGGTGAATTGATTTCGTGCGCTGCTTGGATCTTGGGGTCTATGTTTGGGTAGGTGTGTAGCCCTTGGTGAGTAGTTGGAACTCAAAGGGGTCCCCCAAGATGGGTACAGTCTATACGTTTGCTGCAATATTAGAAATTCAAGTGGAGAGAAAAAGTAGAACGGGTTAAGACGAGACACGAAATACCAGTAAACCAGAAATTGTGAAGTGTTCGTTTCTTCATGGAAGAATTATATCAGACAAGTCGAATTTCGCATGAATTTTTGAGCATCAATGTGCAGAATGTTTTTTGATGCGTGTGTTGGTCAAAGAGAGCTTTGATTGCAACCGACGGAACTCATCAAAGTACCATGAGGTGTAAAAAAGTATTACATCTTTTGAATTTGTGTGGATGACTATCAACGTTTTAACAAATCTTGGATGTTTACACTAGAGGGGAAGCTCTTACAATATTGGAAGTGAACTTTTGGGCGTTTGGATTTGAAATTGATCAAGCAGCGTCTCGTTCAACAAAAAGTGACACTTTCTTCTCCGGTTTGATCATCTCATCCAAACTTGAAGGTATACATACTACACTCGGCTGATCTGTCGCTGTCACAGTATCACGTGAATAGATAGGAGGAGTGTAGTCCCAAGCTTTAAGAGAGCCATTCTTAGCATAAGGAGCATCGTCTATGAACCTGGGGCATCGTAGGGTTTGTGAAAGCACATTTTAATGGATCCTAGGTAGGTGGAGATGGAATTCTTCACGGTAACGTAACTGAATGTGAAATCATCGGTGTGAGTCCTGGGAGGGGTATATTTTCTTATTAACAGCTTATCACCCAGGAATTGATTTGTCCGGAGGTTGAGTCTTACGATTGGAAGAGTTTAGCAAATTTGCCGAGTCCAGTACGCTTACGGCGGTCGTTGAAAATTGGTTTCTCGCCAAAATTCGGACTTAGATGGAACTTAACACCCGCTTAAGAGCTGCTAGCATTTGCAGGTTTGTCACTTCTTAGAGGGACTATTGACTTGAAGCCGGGGTTTGAGATGACATTGACCTATTCTCAAACTTTGAACATGTAAAGAAGTGCGTTGGACATTCGAATGAAGAGCTTTCAATGGGCCACTTTTGGTAAGCAGAACTGGCGATGAGGGATGGACCGAACGTGGTGTTAAGATGTCGAAATACACGCTCATCAGACACCGCAGAAGGTGTCAATTTGTCTAAACAGCCGGGATCCGCTTGAGTGTGTAACAGCTCAGCTGCCGAATGAACAAGCCCTGAAAATGGATGGCGCTGAAGCGTGTATCCTATACTTCACCGTCGTAGAGGTCGTTGTGCTGCAAAGGTGGGTAGCAGATACTGAAATGAGAGTCTTTTCGAAGGCCTATAAATGTCTGGGAATGTGATTATTCTTTGGATTAGAATTATAGCCCAGAAAGGCGTGATAAACCTCTGGGAATGTGGCTACTCGTCGCATTAGAAGTACAGTCCAGGTGGGTCTGATAAATCATTGAGAATGAAGCTTCTCTTTGACATAGCCCGGAAAGGCGTGATAAACCTCTGGGAATGTGGCTACACTTGGAATGTGGCTACACTTGAATAAGAATTGCAGCTCCGGCTCCGTTTCAAAGGCCTGATAAATCATTGAGAACGCAGCTACTCGTTGTATTAGAAGTATAGTCCAGAAAGGCCTGATGATTTTCTTGGAATGCAGCTACTCTTTAAATTAGAATTGCAGCCGAGGCCTTGCTACAAAGACCTCATAATTTTCTTGGAATACAGCTACCATTTGGATTAGAATTGCAGCCGAGGCCTTGTTTCGAAGTGTCGGAACCTCTGTCTGTCTAGCGTCAGATCCATGACGAAGTGAACACGTACACGTGACGGATGACAGCGTCAGAATCAAGAAGATGCCCAAAGAAGCTTGAACAACTACTGATCTAACAGGAATAACGTCGACTGAACCAAGTGGCACCACTTGCAGTTGGTTGCATGACTCCCAGATCAGACCATTCCCACTATCTGCACCCGGAATGCTCGAAAATTTTTACATCCGTCAGCGACGGAGTATTTCAGAGAATTTGTATAAGAAGGGACGTTTTGTTCGCCCTACAAGCTCATTCCGTTTATGCTAAGTATATTACGGAGAGATAACTCTCGCTCAAGAAAACAATAGTTTACATGTTACAATAATGGACAAAATCACCCAAGAATTGAGACGTTTATCGTGCAACGACACTCCAGAGACAGTCTCGACACGAGTATAAAGACGAGGTCTTGGAATGCAGCTACTTTTTGAATTAGAATTGCAGCCGAGGCCTTGATACAAAGGCCTGATAAGTCATTGGTAATGTAGCTCTAGTTTGGATTAGAATTGCAGCCGAGGCCTTGCTACAAAGACCTGATAGTTTTCTTGGAATATAGCCCTACATTGGATTAGAATCATACCTTGAACTCCGGTTCGGCCTCTAAACCTCGGGAATGTAGCTACTTTTCGAATTAGACTTAAACTCCTGTTCGGCCTGTAAACCTCGGGGAATACAGCTACTCTTTGAATTAGAATTGCAGGTGAGGCCTTGCTACAAAGACCTCATAATTTTCTTCGAATGCAGCTACTTTTTGAATTAGAATTGCAGTCGAGGCCTTGTTACAAGACCTGATAATTTTCTCGCAATATAGCTCTACTTTGGATTAGAACCACAGCTTGAACTCCGGTTCGGCCTATAAACCCCGGGAATGTGGCTACTCTTTTTTTTTTAGCATTATAGCCAAAGGGAACACTGCCAGCTGGGACTAAGGGCTGCGTCTAAGGGCTGCGTCTAAGAGCTGCGTCTCTTAATGGCTATATGTGCCGCCCGTCTTTAAACCCAGACTTCCCTTATCCACATTATTCCAGTGCGACCCGCCATGTATTTCAAGGTGATTGCAATAGTCTTGGTCTAATCACAGAAGCGTACAAGAAACAAATCTACTACCACCTTTACTACCACCGTACCTCTGGCAATTCCACTCGAATCTACTGAACCGCCTTCGCCGTACCATTTGTAACCCGTTTACCAAAATTGCTTACATAATCTTTGTAATATTGCTTACATAATCTTTATAATTTGTATACCTGCTGCACATCTGCACATCTGCACATCTTCCAACACGCCCTCTCTAGGCCTTCGCCGCGGCTTTTGCCTCCTCATACACAGGATAGTCCACATACCCTTCTGGACCCGGAGCATAAAACGTGTTTCTGTCGTAAGCGTTCAAGGGCAAACCCTTTTCCAAACGCGTAACCAGATCCGGATTGGAGATGAATAGCCGCCCATACGCAAGCAGCGTCCGATCGTTGGCGCCCACGTCTTCAAGAGCAGCACGAGGGTCCAACGCGTAGTTCCCGGCGCGGATCACAGGCCCCTTCCAGATACTGAACGCAAACTCGTTTGAGCCCTCTTTGTACCAGCCTTGGCCCTCTTTGTAGAAAGGGTTCGTTACACGGGGCTCGACTAGGTGTATGTAAGCCAACCCCTTGCCCTCATTGGCACGTCTCTGCAGCTCTCCGATCACGTAAGCGTACTGGGCCACGATCCCCGGCTCGGATCCGCCGGACATGTTGCCAAACGTTCCAAAGGGTGAGAGCCGGATACCGACTTTGGAAGCGCCCACGGCGTCCACTAGCGCGTCTACCACCTCGAGCGTGAACCGGGCCCGGTTCTCGATCGAGCCTCCGTACTCGTCTGTGCGTTTGTTGGAAATAGGGTCCAAAAATTGGTTCAGCAAGTACCCGTTGGCAGAGTGGATCTCAACTCCGTCGGCGCCGGCGGCAATCGAGTTCTGGGCGGACTTAACATAGTCCTGGATATACTGCTGGATCTCCGGCTTGGTAAGACCGTGCAGTGGGTTGCCGCATTGCTCCGCCTTGGTCTTGGACTCCTCGTCCATGTACACGCCGTCCGATGCGGAATCGTACCGCAATCCGTCGCGTTTCAACGTGTCTGGGTAAGCTTGGCGGCCTAACACCCATAGTTGCACCCACACAAACGATTTGTTGGCGTGGATGCGTTTGAAGATGGTTTCCCATTGCTGCATTTGTTCCGAAGACCACAGACCAGGCGCGGTGTCGTAGCCGCCAGATTGCGGGGACGGAAACGAGGCTTCCGTGATGATCATGGTGCCGGGTGCTTTGGACCGCTGGTCGTAGTATTCCGCAGCGTACTGAGCATTGGGAACATTTTTGGGCGTGTGGGCACGCATACGCGTTAGCGGGGCCATAACCGCGCGGTTTTGAACCACTGTGTCACCAATGGTTAGAGGTTTGAAAAGATTGGAATCCTTAAGCGCAATGGGGTTGAAATCGGCTACAAATGGCATGTTTTGGGGGTGTGTGTGTGTGTGTGTGTGTGTGTTTGGGTGAATGTGTGAACAAGTACTAGTCGTGGGAAACGATACAAGTTCGAGTATTTGATTGAGTTAATAAGTAATTCTCGGTAAGTGACACTAACAAACGGCGATTAGTTTGTCGCGGTTATTATATAGGATTCGTTATGGTAAGCATTCGTTCAGAATCCGGTGATTTGTCAGAAGCAGATTAGTAAACGCAGACAGAAAGGCTACATACAGCGCGAAGAGCCACGTCGAAGGAATGAAGAAGGCTTAGGACGCTGAAGACACAGGAAACACGCAGGTAGAGATGACAATTGTGTTAGAAAGTAGGCTTGCCAGAGAGACATATGAGGGCAGTGTGTGAGAGTGTTTGTGGTCACTGTGGACGGCACATCGGTTTTTTGTAAGCGGGAATTGCATGTACGTAGTGGTTTTATTGGTAACGCTAGATCACACACGAGAGTTGGGCACTAGAGAGCGCATTGGCCGGTACAATGCTCAGTTTCTCTTTCTTTGTAATCGAAGTGGCAATTAGGCACCCACACCCGCAACGAAAACAGAATTCGGTCCGGGAATCATTACGTATAAAATGATCAATTTGAATTCGGCTTTAAAGAATGACACACATGTTGTAGAGTGGAGTGTGGATTTACAAGCAGTGTCGGAATAAGGTGTGGTGTTCTAACCGCATTTTGAATCCGGTGTTTGTTGATTTGGTAGCGCGAGGGATGGCAGTGTTTAAGGGCCTTCGAAGACTGGATGCTGTCGGTACGTATGTAGTGATGGATATGTGCGAATCCAAGTTTGTAGAACACGACAGTGGAGCTTGCCCTCAGACCCGCGACGAAAAACGCCCAATCGCCTGCTTAAAGAGAGCCATGTGTTTTGCCGTAGAAAATCGAACTTGTGTCGCTGTCACCAGGTCACGTGATCATAGAATTCGAGGAAACTTCTAACAAAATAGAACCACCCTAACCACTTCATCGACACGAGACCTCCTCTATTTTAATGCACTAATACTTTCAACGATTTTCAGCGTCGCACTAAGCAAGTAAATCCACAAGTTCACAATGACAACTCAGGACGCCTTTATATAAACGCCATTTTTACGCTATGCGATCGTGTCCAGCACGACTGACACTGCTCACGCTGCACAAAAAATTGCAATTCAATTGGTATCCTGGCTCACAACTAACAAACGACACATTGCCAAAATTCGATGAAAGTGTTAAATTCATATAAAAATGAGATCACGTGACTACACCACAACGACAGCGTTCAATTGCGAGTGCGACAGGCAAAGTCTCAAAGCTGTTCGACGGAAACCTGAAACCTCAGGATCAAAAGTTACCCCCATAATGTTCATTGGCAAAGCGTACCCTCTCAGAAAGCTAACCATATCAGTTACCACGCGGGTCAAAATTATTTTTCAATTGTGACACCAATCCCAACAGATACAACGAATCACTAACCGTGCACGTAATTCCACCAATCCCAAGTGAACAAGATTTGACCATCTTGCCTTGAACCTCTCAAGATGCCCATTTACCATCGGTTTCCGTATACAACGATAAATTCCAAATCTTCAAAAAACAAAAGATGCTTCCATGCAAGAATTTAAGAGCTTCAGAAATCAATATAACGTAACACCGAAATCCTCTCAACATCTATGCACATTCACGCCGCACTATATCGCTAACTTCTCACTTCAACCATACAAAAATCCATCCGCCCAAAAAAATGATACTGCACGTGACACTCTCTTGTCGTACCAAATTTTAATTACCTGGGAAAATTTTGGTTACACTACTCAAAAGGTCTCTTGATCAAAATTCAGAAACCTTTAACTTGTTCTCAAATCCTTTAAAACCTCCATCTTTAAGTTCAATCTCGACGCCTACTGGAATTTCAGAAATTTGGTTCATCAGCGTTATAAGCCTCGACCATTTTTTTGTTTAACTCTTTTCCTTTACTGTACATTATTTTGACGACTAACGATAAACTGTTGAGAACGAAAAAGACGAAAAGACTAGCGATTGCAACTGTACATTAGAACGAATTTTCGACTACTATTGATAGTTTTTTATTGACAGTCCTAGCGGTTTGTGGTACTTTTTCCTGTTCAATTTTTGAGTGAGTCCCCGAGTTTTTGGGTTTTGGTGGGTTTATCCAGTATCATTTACACTGGTGATTGCTGAACTTTCGGCTTGAACCACAAATTTTGAAAGCTCAGTTTCTTGGTGGGAATTTCATAGTGTAATAAACTACTAGCTTCTTCTTCCCTACTTTTCTTTTTCTTTTCTTCCGGCTTGCTGATATGACCAACGGTAGAACTGAGCAACAGCAGGTTGACGATGTCCAAGTGTCTGAAACGATCAATTCCGCTCTAGATCAGCTCCATTTGGACGACTTGTCTGACACAAGTCATGCAATGGGTCAAACGCAGATCTCCGCTACTGCCGGTACTAATGCGTTTCCACATCCACCACCACCGTTGATGGGAATGGGGTTCATGCATTATCCTCACATGATGCATTTACCTCATTCTCCCGGCTTTTTCCAACAGCCTCGATCATCAGACCCATTCAATACGGGTCCACCAGCGGATTTGACTTCCTCAGTGGACTCTGAATCCACAATGTTCGGTGTTACTGGCCAATCACAGACAAACTCGGCAGCAACCACTACCGCTGCTGCTAACTCCACTGCTGGTGATCCACGCAGTAATGTTCTCGATATGGGGTTCTCTAGTGGTATCGACCCTTTTTGGTCATCCGCTAAACAGGATTTTGGGCCCGATTACTCGCTAATACCTGGAAAACTGGCAGAACCTCCCAACGCAGCCAGAAGACAAACATTTCCTGCTCTATCCGGTAATGATTTGATTAATGATGATGCGGCAGCCTTGAGAACTCAAAGCATCTCTTTGGAAAAACCGGAAACAGATTTGCACAACACTCAAAATCCTACTGAAAATGTAGAATCTGATCTGCCGAAATCCACCGCTCCTTATTCAGCTGCTGCGTATCCTTATGGTGGCCCCCTTGTCCAGCCAAGTCCAGTAATCTCAGGCCACACTCCTCCAGGCAGCAATTCAGGTTATGGAGGGCCTTCTCACTTCCATGCATATGGATTTTCCTCGCCTTTCCAATCTTTTTCACCCATGCCTGGCACTCCTCTGAGCGGGCACCCGGTAAACATGCCTCCTCCAATCTCAGGTGATCAAGACAAAGATGCTGTTCCATCTGAAAACGCTACTTCTTCTAGAGGAACCCCTTCGCATCCCATGCCTCCCTGGATGTATGGGAATCACCATGCTTTTGGTCCCATGGTTCCAATCCATCATCAAATGATGGGCCCCCCCGGTAATTCCAACGGCAGCCATGTTCATCCATCTCATTCTCATGGAAATCGCCATTCTTTACACTCTCGCAGGCACAAGGGCAATCACAATTCTAAGCCATACCATCGTAGAGGCGAAGATCCTGCAAAGTACGCGAATGCCAAATTAGAGAATTTTATTGGTAATATCCTTTCTCTTTGCAAAGATCAACATGGGTGTCGGTTTTTGCAAAAGCAGCTAGACGTTGAGGGCACTGAAGCTGCCAAGGTAATATATGAAGAGACGAAAAACCATGTGGTAGAGCTCATGACTGATTCTTTTGGCAACTATTTGATCCAAAAGCTGCTGGAGAGGATGAACAACGAACAAAGGTTAGAACTAGTTAAATCATCTGCCGACAGTTTTGTTTATATCGCATTAGACCCTCACGGTACAAGGGCATTGCAAAAACTTGTGGAGTGTATCTCAACAGAGGAAGAAGCACACTTGGTGGTCGATTCGCTGAGTGGCTCAGTTGTCGAGCTAAGCAGAGATCTGAATGGTAACCATGTCGTACAAAAATGTTTGCAGAAGCTGAAGCCATCAGATTCTCAATTCATTTTCAATGCAGCCACAGAGGCCTGTGTGAAAATTGCTACACATAGGCACGGATGCTGCGTTCTCCAGCGCTGTTTAGATCACGGAAGTCGTGAACAGTTTGATCAGCTTTGCGACCGTATCATTGAACATGTCGATAAACTTACATCTGACCCTTTTGGTAACTACGTGGTCCAATACATTTTCACTAAGCAGTCAGAACGCTCAGAATCCAAGTACACCACTCAAATAATGGCTTTGATCAGACCCAAGATTATTGAGCTTTCGCTGCACAAGTTTGGCTCTAATGTTGTTGAGAAAGCCCTCCGCACCCCCGTGGCTTCTGAAATTGTTATCGACCAATTGCTTTCCTATGGCGCTGACGCCAAGATCGAGCAACTACTTCACGACGGGTACGGTAACTACGTTTTACAAACAGCGTTGGACACTGCTCGTGAGAACAAGAAAGATCTTTACTACCGCTTGAGCGAGACTCTGAAACCGCATTTGGTGGGGGCTATTAGAAATACACCCCACGGAAGGCGAATAATGGGAATTTTGGATGCAGAAGGAGCTTAGCTAGGCTACGTAAACTTCAGTGACCATGTATATTAGAATAATTTGACTTTGCTACAGGTGAAACCGTCACAATTCCTGATTTGAGGAAAGGTCAGGAATGTCGATGTTGATATCGCTCCACAATTTATTGTAAAGGTCGTCGTCCGTACCGCAGTTCAAAAAATCATCGAGAGAGCCGAGATTGAAATTTACGAGAGGAGACATCGGGAGCGGCGCTTCTTTGCTTTTTGCGGCTTCTGCTGAGTTAGTGGCAGCCGGCAAACCTAGGTGCGACCAAGTTTCTGTAAGCGGATGAGAATACTCGTTATCAGGTAAGGGCTCTTGACCCACCAAAGCTTGCGCCTGCTCTAGTGAGCGCTCCACATTCATAACCCACGTAGTCTTCTCTTTCGCGACCAGACAGGCCTTGAAGCAGTCTTGTGGTAACATCAAGAGTTGGCTCGCAGTGGAGACAAGTTCGGCGTCTTCGGCAGCTAACACGTCTAAAAACTCAGCAATGCTCAAATGCGCGGTCCTCATATAGAGTTGCAACGCTATTCTGGTCAAAATTTGAAACAACGTTTTTGCCTTTGTAAAGGTTCTCAACATTCTACACGTATCAGCTAATTCTCCTGTGACCTGCTCCAAGAATGAGAGCCTAGCCAGACTTTTAGACGAGCGAAGAATGAGTCTTAAATCTTGAATCGTAGAAGGGATATCTTGGGTGAAAATATCCGTGAGCACCGAAAGCGAAAGCATACATCCACACGACAGTGCCAGCCATACGCTCTCCACCTTTTTGTTATCAATTGAAGTGATTACAGAACGCCATGAAGTATGAATCAACAGCCTGTAGCTATTCAGAGGTTCTTGAATTGTACGAGAAAACCCATTTTCTTTGAATCGCGCAAATAGATGCTCCACAGAACCCAGGCAAATCGATTTTGAAAATTCTAGGAATACTACAACTCGAGGTGCCACCACCTTTTCAATGAAACGATCCTTTTCTGGAACGCAGTTTGTTCCGTGCTGATCCGCTAGGTCGCATATCATTTTTGCCAACTTCTCAATTCTGCCAACCCTTTGTATGAATTTGTCGACGTCTTCAATCAAGTCCGACAAGATCTTCTCTCGGAGGCGACTTGGCTTGGCATTGTTTCTAAAGCAGGTGTTTTTCTTGCTGTAAAGAACATTTTGGAAAAAGTCCGCAACAACAATTGCCAATGCCGTCGAGCAAAAATCTATTTTGTCCATTGCAGTCCCGCGCGGAAGCTTCTCTACGAAAGCAATCTTTTCCAGCATTTCCTCAGACTCCAAAATTCCCAGGTCTCTGCAATGTTCAGGCAGCAAACAACTCACACTCCCATGAGGTAATATGCCTTGTTTCCCGTTCAGCACTGAACAAATTACGCCCTTGTTGTAACATTCCCACCACAAACGTCGGCGCCGCTCTGCTGTTACTTCCTCCATGCCGACGTAATATTCCCAGCGGTGGAGTCCCATGTTTAGAGCGTAGCTTACGAGCCTCAAAACGAGCTGTGGTATGATATGATACTCTCCCATCCAATATTGGTGCTTTATGAAGAGGAGAAGGGTATCTAGGTAGTCTAGATTACCGCTTGGCGTGTATGTTGTGACATTAAAGTATTCAAAGGCGAGAACGCATAAAGATTCTTGAGCATGTAGGAATTCTTCACCCTCTTGGTCGAGAACGACACACTCTTCAATGTCATGTTCTTCACATAAGGAGCCGAGACAACATACAAACATCGCCCGCGCTATCCAGTGTAACATGCCCAGACTGTCATTAAAGTTTGTAGGGAGCTCAAAATTAGGATATAGCTCCTTTGTCTGAGCAACGACATAAGCCGGTAGTGTCGCTAGAAGGTCTCGAATCAGTTTATCCCGGGATTCGTAGGAAACGTGTCCTAAAGCAGAATATGTTTCGAGAGGCGAAGTCCACGATTGAATACCCAGATCGAGGTTATGAGAGCATGTGTCGAAAAACCTGAGCATTAAAAAAAGTGTTGTTTTATACTCTCTTGCCATTTTGACGCCCGGATCAAAAAAATGCTTGAATAAAAATCCGATGCCTTGAATGGACATTATAAGCCCTGGGCTATACAAACCGTGTAAATCTTCCACCACTGGGTATTGACTGATGACACTCGTACGCGACAGGAATGGCGACGGCTGAATTGTCGAGTACTTTGTTAGCGATACCTTATCGGAGTACTTGTTGATCATGAGTTGCGTTTCTAGAGAAGTCGCGGTCGGCGGTATATCGCGGATTGCATCTGGTTCTAAATGCGGCTTCCATGTGGTTTCTATTTCACGTAGCTGTTCTGAAACGCTTTGAATGGCTTCCATTATTCGTGACGATGGCTGAGCGTCTCTCAAGGATCGGAGAGTGCTGCTGAGAAGGTGCATTTGCCGAGTCAAGTTTGTGTCATCACCATAAAGTCCATTTGACGGACCTCTCTGGGAATAGGCCCTTGAATCCGCGTATGACGAAGCTGTTGATTTTGACGACAAAGATGCAAAATCGCTACTGCTCTCTGAAAAGGACGGGGCCTTAGCAGTGGTCTTTGGACGCTTTGAAGATCCTATTGACGCCGGCGTAACAGGGACTCCACGAGTATAGGTGCACTCACAGCTGTATGTTTGACAGTTCAGACAGGGCTGGTCCCCCGTACATTTGATCTTGCGCTTCCGACAGTTATCACAGGCTGTACTTACTTTGGCCCGTTTCTTCTTCTGTACTCCGGCTTTGCCGGCATTTGGACTGATCATTGCCAGCGGTGTTTATTTCGATCGTCACGCACCCGAAATACTTGAGACGGGAACAAAAACAGAACAATAGGCAAAGAAAAATTGGCCTTTCACAAGAACACAGGAAGAGAGAAGTGCTCTTCACAAAGAACACAATCGTGTACAGCTCATATTCCGCGGAGCATTCGAACTCAAAAAGTGCTTTCTTATGAATGAAGAAGCACTCAAGATCCTACGGGCTCTTTACTAATCCGCGGAGTTTTGCCGGCTTTACCTCTTCCGTGGAAGAACAACAAAAGAAAAAAATTGACTCAAATCACGTGACTCAATAGACGAAGGTTAACCCTTTTAAAAGTCATGTGAATACCTCCCCTAAAATATTTTTTGTTTTTTGTGGCAGATACCAGATTTTTGTAGCCGCCCAGGGAAAGTTTCGCTCTAATCGAGCGCCAAAAGCCGGAAAGGAGACATCACAACCGGCTTATAATAGGTATTAACGGAGCCAGGTGTCTGGAGTTTCGATTCTGATCATTTGTGGAAACTGCGCTCCTTTTGTCGAATCCTTGAGATATGAAGGACAATTTAAAACGCGATCTTCAAGTCTATAACCTTCCCAACTTCACCCGCTTTATGCCACAGACGTAACTTCGAAGGTCATTGTGAAGAGATGCCACAAGTTTGAGGAAAAAGAGTCTTGTGATGATGTGAAAGGTAAGTGGGATTCTCTTCTTTAAGGGACGTTTTTTCCTTGCTATTTATATAAACACAGTATTCGTATAATATGATGTAATCGTATAAAAATATTGCAAAACAGTGCTCGAGTAGCTCAAGAGTCCAAGGTAAATAGAACCGATCCAACAATTCTAGTCTAGCGCCAAGAACACTCAATTGTATCGTACCCATACGGAGGACATGCCATTGGAAGAAGAGAAGACTAGGGGCAAAAATGCCCCCAAGAATTTCTTGCCTCAGGGCAAGTACTTGCAGCCTGACGAAATGGAATACGAGTTCGGTGGGCCAGTGGGTGCCCTAGGCATGATGCTAGGTTTTCCGGCGCTGATGTACTACATGTGGATTAGCTCGCAATTCTATAACGGGAAGCCAGCATGGCCGGCATCGGATCAATCGTGGGGTGAATTTCTGACTGCGTTGTGGAAACTGTGTGTTGAACATGCAACGCCATCCAAATACGCGTGGACGGTGTTCATGGCTTTTTGGGCCGCACAAGTTGTGTTTTACTACACTTTGCCAGGTGTTTGGACCAAAGGACAACCTCTAACGCATTTGAAAAACAAACAGTTGCCGTATTTCTGCAATGCCATGTGGACATTTTATACGTCGGTTACCATCATTCTGGTTTTACATTTCACCGGTACTTTCAAACTCTACACCATCCTGGACATCTTTGGTGAGATCATGACCTGTGCCATCATCTCAGGTTTTGCCTTCTCTATTGCACTCTACCTGTACACTCTGTTTATCTCGGGCGACTACCACCGTATGACCGGCAACCACATCTACGACATTTTCATGGGTGCTCCGTTGAACCCCAGATGGGGGATTTTGGATCTCAAAATGTTTTTCGAAGTCAGACTGCCGTGGTTCACCCTTTTCTTCCTAACTCTCGGAGGTGCTTTGAAACAATACGAGTTATACGGCACTGTGACACCTCAGATGGGGGTTCTTTTGCTAGCCCACTGGCTTTACGCAAATGCCTGTGCCAAGGGCGAGGAACTCATCGTGCCCACTTGGGATATGGCCTATGAAAAATTCGGCTTCATGTTGATTTTCTGGAATATTGCTGGTGTGCCTTACACCTACTGCCACTGCACGTTGTACCTCTACTATCATGACCGCAGCGAGTACAATTGGCCGTGGTATTACAACTTGTCGTTGTACTGTGTGCTTTTGACCGCTTACTATTTCTTTGATACCGCTAATGCCCAGAAAAACTCGTTCCGCAAGCAAATGGCAGGCGACACAAGAGTGCGCAAAACCTTCCCCTTTCTTCCCAAACAAGTGCTTGAAAACCCCAAGTACATGGTAACCAACAGCGGTTCCTATCTGCTGATCGACGGCTGGTACAAATGGGCCCGAAAGATTCACTATACCGCGGATTGGACTCAGTCCTTAGTGTGGGCACTCGCGTGCGGTTTCGACTCCCCTTTCCCATGGTTTTTCCCAGTTTTCTTTTTCATTGTTTTAGTCCACCGTGCCTTACGTGACCAAGCTAAGTGCAAGAAGAAGTATGGTGCCGATTGGGACAAATACCGTGAGGAATGTCCATATCTTTTCATCCCATACCTTTTGTAAGACAAATTGTGCCTTACTCTGACAAAACAAAAAGGATCACAGAAATGCGAGATACTACACACACAGCAACTCAAAGAGAAGCGGCAATTGGCATTATAACTCTTATACAGACGTCAGCATAAGCTCATGAAGACGTTTCGATCTAGATATAACAACTCATTGCCCAACGTATAAGACGACTCGTGGCTTTTTAACCTTACAGCTACTAAAATATAGCTATCATCTTATCGACAGCTGGCGCAAGCAGACAGGACGTAGAATTATGGCACAGCGCAATTTGGGATACTACGATATCATTGCAGGGCTTTCCGCCCTTGAGTGCTCTCACAAGACTCGTTTGTCACAGGAACAATTACAGGCACTTTGTAGAATTGATCAACAGGCGAAAAAAACCAGAGACCAAACGAGTGACGAACAACTAGACGAAAGCCATCGCAGGGAAAGAAGAAGAGTTCCGGTACACGGATATTTGAGCAAAGTAGACGCTACACTTAAGCTGGAAAATGCTGGTGATTTACAACATACGCTGCTGGGAGGCCACGTTCCACGTTCACAGTTAGAGGCTCTTTCCAGTACCAATTTCGCAAGCTACTTCCAGAAACTGATAGATTTCGACAAAACGGCCGAAGCTTTCAGTATCTTCGTTAATGCAGCAGCGATACGGGCGACAGCTATTGCAGCGACACCCTCTCCACCATCGAGCGCGACTCCTTCTGTGCAGCCCGGTGCTTTGGAGGGAAACGAGGGCCTTGAGCTGACGAAAAAGCTTCAAGCCTCTACAAGCAACAATGACGGCGTGAAAAAAGTGATTCTATGTAAAAAATGCAAGGCTAGATTTAGCGGTCCACGAAGGTTCACTAATATGAAAAAGCACATGTGCATGAGGGGATAACGACGTTTTGAATACCACAAGTTGGCCTGGGCTGAACAATTGTTCTTGTTGTTCTTGTTGTTCTTGAACAACGTTATAAAATGGGATGGTCAAAAAAATTGTAATAATTGGTGTATGTACTTAATAAGATGAAGGCTTTATTTAAATGCGATCCAGAACACTAGTTTTGTTCAAGTCTTCGGTTGCCGAAATAATTCTAGTGATTCTCAACTCAATCTTGTTCAGCGATTGCAACGAGTCTTTCTTCTATCTGATCAGGTGTCAGACAGATAAAGCTGTCTTTAATGGCAACACCTATTTCGAGGTCATTTTTACCAAAGTCTGTGCCTAGAGCATCGATCATTTGGGTGATTCCCAGCTCTACAACTTTTTCATATGATTCTTCATCCACAAAATCGACCTTGCGTTTCTTGAAAAACTTTTCCAGTGCGCTCGTGAGCTCCTGCTGCTTTGGTCCTGTAGCAGTGGCCTTGTACGCCACATAATAGCCAGCTGGATCGCACTTATATATCGAAGGCCCGAGTTCTTCATCGACAGACACAAATGTCAATATCACCCCCAGTGGTCTCATGTAAGCTCTTTGAGTGTAAATTTGTGACAAGTTTGCCATCCGCTTCGCCAGTACGTCTGCTGGCATGTCGTAGCCGTATTTGTAACGGAATTCTGCAGCCTCTGCTTTGGCTCTTAGAGCTGCGTTCCTGGCGTCAGGAATTGGCCCATTGGCCACCATACCGATGTGATTCGAAATCGGAAACATATATGACATTGTCGATGACTCCAACAACTTGTCAGGCACCTTCTTTTGATTTATCACTACGCAACAGTCCTTGCCCCTGATTGCCATTGAATTAAGGTTGGTTTGATTTGTAGCCTTGAATGCATATTCGACCTGGTAAAGACGGCCCTCGGGCGAAAAGATCGTAATGTGTCTATCGTATCCAGCAGCAGACATGGTAGGTTGAAGTCTGAAACGCTAAACGCTCTTTGAAGCCTATGTTTAAGCGTGTTTTCGAATAAGAAGAACATCTGCAAGTGGCAAAATGGCGAGCCCAGGTGAACTTCGAATTAACTATGGAGTATCGTATATAGTGATACTATACTCAGACGGTAAGAGTTAGGTTTCCAGCGGTAGTTGAAGCTATGTCAAATATCATGAGATACCATATACTGTGTATATAGTAGATCTTCTTTTACTAGCAGCTCTTTTCCATGGTATCAGCTCAATCAGCTTTCGTCTTGTAATTCAGGTATATAGATGTCAATTTAGATTACAGGTTGAAATGACAGTTTAAACCTCACTTTGAATTCAGGGATTGAAACTGAAAGAATCAAGAAGAAGCAGAATAGCACTTCAGAGAATCATTCGACGTTAATTTCGAGTATTTAAAGCTGTATAAATTTCAAATATCATTCAAATTTTGCTTGTAGAGCCTCTGTTGAATGATGAAAGCGGCGTTTGATTTGACCACCCAGCTCGCGTTTTATAAGAGCTATCATAGCAACGACACCAATGTAAAAATCCACGCCGTATTCGTTCCGTTGATTTTGTACTCGTCTATGGCAATTTTACATAGAGTAGAGCTGTGCATGGGCTGGACTTTGACGCATCTGCTGGCGGTTGTTTTCGCAGGCTACTATTTAGCGCTAGACTTGAAAGCGGGCGCTTTGGCTGCTACCATCCTGACAGTGACGGTGAAGGGCATAGACTCGGGGGTCTTAGACATTCCGGTAAGTTGGGCAATGGTCACTTTCACAACCGGATGGGTTGCGCAGTTTTTGGGCCACGGAGTATTCGAGCATCGGAGACCTGCATTATTGGACAATTTGGTGCAAAGTTTAGTAACGGCTCCTTTTCTGATCTTATTCGAGCTTCTGTTCGCGCTGGGATTTTACAAATCGCTACATTTGGAGCTTTTGCAGCGAGTTAAACGGGAAAATGCAAAAACGGGTCGTTGATGTTAGGAGAGTGTTAGGGATAGCACCAATTTGGGTGTCAGGGAGAAGCAGTACATGAAATCAAAGCGCACAAAAAGACCCGAATAGGTAAATCAAGAGTCTTGCATTTTGTATTCCTGGACACTACTTACTTCTCACGAGAGAGGTTAAGGTGACCTCACCAACTGTCGAGAATACCTGGTGTAAGAAGGGCTCACTTGGTTAGTTTTAGGCGCCAGAATGTTTTTTTCCTTCTGCCTTCCAAGGCTCCAAGTAAATACTACGCATCAAGGAAATGAAAGAGCTTAAACGCTGAAAGAAAAAGACCGATGATTCTCAGAGCGGTCGCATATGACATCCCATTATAACATGAATGCTATTCAACAGCCATACGTTGACCAAATATCAGACTCAAGGCAAAAACGATTTCATGGTCTTCCACCCTCAAAATAGGGCACCGGCAAAAAGCACAAACATTCTGGCACGTCCAGAACCTCATAACTTGACTGAGAATGGTTACAGAGATTTTGACAGTCGATGCGATACGAATTGTCACTGTCGAGCGCGCTTTGAATGATGCATTATTCACTATGACGTATAAGGCGATCATGAAATATGGGACAGGGCTCTATTCCACAGCGAAAAGGGGCAATTTAAAGATCTGGTCTCTCCAGTCTTAAATTTGACCAACTAAAAAGCGATCATTCTTTCGGATCAACCAAGGGAATAGAAGGCCTTGCAAGATCCTAGGACCCAGTTCAATTGCAATTGGCTTAGAATGACAATATTCTTGGGCATTTACAAGGCGGTTTTCCAGTACGAGCCACAATCGGAAGAAGAATTGGCGATTGATGAAGACGACCTGTTGTATCTTCTTCAAAAGTCCGATGTTGACGACTGGTGGACAGTGAAGAAAAGAGTCATTGGATCAGATGCAGAAGAACCAGTAGGATTGGTGCCCAATAATTACATTGAGGAGGCAAATGTCAAAACAACGGCGAAGGCACTGTACGACTACCCAGAAGTACAGAATCCGGAAGAGGAACTGGAATTCAGTGAAAACGATGTTTTCGACGTTTACGACGATAGAGATCCAGACTGGGTTTTGTGTAAATCTCGCAGAACAGGCGAATTTGGATTCATCCCTGGAAACTACGTGGAGATTGGGGGTACCTCTGCTGCAGTCCCCCAAGTGTCGAATGTCAACGCTGCAAGCTTTCCTCCTCCACCACAACACATTGCCAAGACGGTAGAGGCTCCTCCGGCTGCTGCAGAACCCATACAGCAGTCTAGAAGACCATTGGAGTATCTATCAGATGAGGAAGAAGCCCCTCCACCAAGGCCGTCCAGGCCAGTGGAGAACGCAGAACCAGAAATAGAAGACCGCAGAGGGGAGGCTGAGAGTGAATCTTCACTTTTCCGCACCTGGGATGTTTCTGAGGTAGATGGTAGGAAAAAGCACAAGGCGAAATTGGCAATTGGGAAGAACTCGGTCTTCTTCACACCTTCTAAGGGAACCCCACAACAGTGGCCTATTCATGACCTCAAATCTTATGATAATGAGAAAAAGCACATTTTTTTAGAATTCACGAACCCGTACGTTAATCTCGAACTTCACACAGGGTCTTCCACCGTTGCCGATGAAATTATGACTCTTCTCGGCGAGTTGAAAGGCGTATACCATGCCAGTGGTTTGCGTGAAGTAGAGGCAGCCACAAAGGCTCCTGCCAAAAAATCTCATAGAAAGCAAGGTAAAGTGGTGTACGATTTTATCGGTGAGTCCAACGACGAACTAACCGTCAAGGAGGGCCAAATCGTTTACATCTTGGACGATAAGAAATCGCCAGACTGGTGGATGTGCGAGTCTACCGAAAACGGCCGCAAGGGTGTCATACCAGCGCAATTTGTTGACCCCATCAATCAGCTGTCTCATATGGCAAATTCCCTAAAATCTTTGGGCAGATCCAGCAACAAGGTCGCTTCTGAACCTTCACCATCTAAGGACTGGAAAGATGATGCAGAGCAACACACTTCCAAGAAAAGTGCAAGGAAAAGAGCCTCGTCGATTTTGTCGCGCGGCAAGAAGCATGATGATGAATCGCGGTCTTCCAGCAAAAAGAAAAAAGATTATCCTGATTCCAGCAAGACCAGGATTTGGGTGGACAGGAGTGGTACTTTCAAAGTTGAGGCTGAGTTCATTGCCTGTGTTGAGGGCAAAGTTCATTTACACAAAGCAAACGGTGTAAAGATCGCCGTTGCTGCGGACAAGCTCTGTTTAGATGACCTGGAGCGTGTGGAACGGATCACTGGTACTTCTTTGGACAAGTACAAGCCAAAGAGTTCCAACGGTGGCTCTTCTGCAAGAGAGAAGGAACGTGAAAGGAGAAGAAGAATCAAAGAACACGAAGAACGCGAACGGGAACGGGAAGAAAGAGAACGGGATCGCAGACAAAGGGAACGAGAATTAGACGAACTGCGCGAAGCTCGCGATTTACTCGACAAAGAAAGAGACCTTCTACGTGCTCGACAAGAACAGGATCTTCCTCCTATCAAGCCTCCGCGTCCTTCCAATGACACAAGCCAGCCTCACACCAGTACAGCAACGAGGAATACCACTAAACGGGTAGAGTACGACTGGTTTGAGTTTTTCCTCAACTGCGGCGTCGACGTGAATAATTGCCAACGGTATACCATCAACTTCGAGCGCGAACAAATTTCTGAAGAGACTCTACCACATATCCAGCCTTCTGTTTTGCGAACTTTAGGCTTGCGTGAAGGTGATATTATAAGAGTGATGAAATACTTAGATCAAAAATTCGGGAGAGAGAACACTCAGTACCCAACGTCCACTGGTGGATTATTTTCTGAACCAGATGGGTCTCTCAAAATTTCTAATGAGGGGAGAGCGTCAGGGTCGTTGCCAGAGAAATTACTTCCTCAAGGGTCATCAGCAGGTCAAGATGATGATGCCTGGACCGTGAGACCCGCTGCAAATACAGAAGCTGCACTGCCACCCCAAAAGTCAGAATTCACCGGCTCTATGCAGGATCTTCTTGATCTACAACCTTTAGAACCTAAGAAGGCACCACAACCGAAGGTAAGAGACTTAGAGCCTGTTAAAACAGGGTCTTCGAGGGTAGAGTCCGGTTTGCTACCAGAAAAAACAGGGCAATCATTGGCGCCTTTAGATCCTTTCAAAACTGGTGGCCATAATCTCATCCCCATGGTAACAGGAGGATTTGTTATGGTTCCTGTCAGCACTGGAGGCTTGCTACCCATGTCCACTACAGGCGGAATGATACCACAAACAACTTTTGGTATGAAAGCACCTGGAACCATCCTACCAGTACAGAAAACTGGAAGCGGGTTGGTCCCCGCTTACACAGGGGGACTCTTGCCACAGGCGACTTTTGGGATGCAAGGAACCAACAATTTAATGCCTTTGCAAAGAACCGGCGGTACTCTTCCTCTGAAACAGACGCAGATAACGGGAGGACTTCTACCACAGACAACATTTGGAATGCAGGGTATCAATAGTACAGTGCCTTTTCAGAGAACCGGTGGGACTTTACCTCTTCAGCAGTCTCAGCTAACGGGAGGAAATTTCGGACAAACAACTGGCCTCTTACCGATGCCCACTACATCATTCGGGCTGCACACGACTGGTGGAAACATGTTCACTTCTCAAAGAACTGGAGGTCTATCATCTTTTGGGACTGGAACAGCGCTTCCTCAAGCGGCTTTTCCTCAAACAAGCTTCGGAGGCCAAATCACAGGTGGTGGCTACAGTGGACCGTCGCAGCCCAGCTTCCCAAACAACTTGACTGGGGGCCCTGCTTTGATGCCTCCAACATCGTTTGGCAACCAAATGACGGGTGGCGGAAATTTCATACCGCCAACGTCTTTCGGAAGTCAAGTTACTGGAGGTATGCAGAACCCAATGGGATATGGCGGTTCGAACAACTTAGGTCAGAATATCACCGGTATACCCCAGAACACGTTCAATGATCACAGGACTGGTGGTTTTCAAATGACAGGACAGCCTCTTTCTAATAATTTTACCGGGGGTTTCCAACCTCAATCACAGTTCGGGATCGGATTGCAAAGAACCGGTGGAGTATCGTCACTGCCCCAAACGTCCTTTAATACCGGCGCTGCGTCGCAACCACCGCTAGGGAACTCCTTTACCGGTGGAATGAATCAGCTCAACAACACATTTCAAAACACCTCAATCTCCCAGCCAGTACTGCAGTCTCAACCCACTGGTTTCGGTTTTGGGAATGGTCCGCAAAGTCAGCAACGGACAGCTAATATGTACAACGCCACAAGCGATAACCCATTTGGCTTTTAAATGATATGTCATGGCGCGCAATACAATTGACTCTCGCTACGTGATAACAGCGATTAACGTTTACCGAGAAAGCAAGCGCCCCACCCGCACCATGTTCTACTTTGAACCAGAGATAGCATTTTGATGCATTGAAGCATCTTACGTACCTCATTCAATAAATAGTCAATTATAAATAGTCGTGAATTTTGAGTTTAAATCCCAATGTTTGATGATAATCACCATTCTTGCGCCCTGTTTCCAAATGGGCTCTTCTTCGATCCGACGATAGGCTTTACCAAACGAGACCCGCCTTCCAAGAAAGAAAATTGATCCCTTCTTCTAGCTTCAAATTTCTCAATGAAATCTTCTTTCTGCAACGTAATTCCAATGTCATCGAGACCGTTAACCAGACAGTGTTTTCTGAAGCTTTCGACCTCGAAGTTTTCGACTAGAACCTTGTCATCAGAATCCAAAATGCGCTGATTTGGCAGGTCAATAGTCAAGTTCTTACCAGCTTGCGCAACTGGGTAGATCTTTTCCAGAATAACACTTTGAGGAAGTCTAATAGGTAGCAAGCCGTTTTTGAAAGAATTGTTGTAGAAAATGTCTCCGAACGATGGTGCAATGATGGATTTGATACCAAAGTCCTTCAACGCCCATGGCGCATGTTCTCTAGAAGATCCACAACCGAAGTTATCACCAGTGACAACGAGAACTTGAGATTTGGTGTAGGGCTCGGTATCCAAGACAAAGCCACGCGATTGATCCTTACCATCAGCATCTTTGGTGAAACGCCATTCGTAGAAGAGACCAGTCTTCAATCCAGTTCTCTTGATGGTCTTCAAGAATTGCTTGGGGATGATAGCGTCTGTGTCGACATTGGCCTTATCTAATGGTGCAGCAATACCAGAGACAGTTAGGAATGGCTCCATACCAGCGGGGGCGGAATTTGTGGAAGACTTCAAAGGTGTTTCATGAGCTTCGTGTTCAGCAGGTGGAATGTCGCGAATCTCATCGTCCTCCAACTCATCAGCGGATTCTCCTTTTTGAAGTGGTTGCTTCTCGTGCTCGTAGATAGCATCCTGCAGGGCCTTATCTTCAGCCTCCTTCTCGATCGAGACCTTTGGCACATCGTTGTTTTTATACTCAAATTCTCTGATGTCCACGAAATGACCATTAATAGCAGCGGCAGCAGCCATAGCAGGCGACATCAAATGGGTGCGTGATCTGGCACCTTGACGGCCTTCGAAGTTTCTGTTCGAGGTTGACGCGCAGCGCTCTTCTGGGCTCAAAATATCGGGGTTCATACCTAGACACATCGAGCAGCCGGCTTCTCTCCATTCAAAGCCAGCTTCTTCAAAAATTTTGTCCAGACCTTCCTTCTCAGCTTGCTCCTTGACCAAACCGGACCCGGGAACAACCATGACAAGTTTGACAGTGTCGGCCTTCTTGTGGCCCTTAGCAACAGCAGCAGCAGCTCTCAAATCTTCAATACGAGCATTGGTACAAGAGCCGATAAATACTTTATCAATGGAAATACTCTTTAGAGGAGTGTTGGCTTTGAGGCCCATATATTTTAGGGCGCCCTCCATCATAGACTTCTTGATGGCATCCTTCACGTTGACTGGGTCCGGGACGCTAGCCGTGATTGGAAGAGCATCCTGTGGCGAGGTTCCCCATGTGATGGTTGGAACAATGTCAGCAGCCTTGATCTTGATGTCAAAATCAAAGTGAGCACCTTCATCAGTGTGTAGAGTGTTCCAGTAAGAAACGGCTTTTTCCCATTCGGCGCCTGATGGTGCAAGAGGTCTGCCCTTGACGTAGTCAAAAGTAGTTTGGTCAGGTTTGATCATACCAGCTCTAGCACCTGCCTCAATGGCCATGTTACACATAGACATACGGGCTTCCATAGTCAAGCCCTCGATGGCTTCACCAGCAAATTCCATGACACAGCCGGTACCACCAGCAGTACCGATCACACCAATGATGTGCAGGATCAAATCCTTGGAAGTGACGCCTGGACTCAATTTGCCGTCGACGTAGATTCTCATGTTCTGAGACTTGGCCTGGATGATGGTTTGAGTGGCCAAAACGTGCTCAACTTCCGAAGTACCAATACCGAAAGCTAGAGATCCGAACGCACCGTGTGTCGAAGTGTGAGAGTCACCACACACAACGGTTGTACCTGGAAGTGTAAAACCCTGTTCTGGACCAATAATGTGGACAATACCTTGTCTGGAATCAGTCATACCGAAAAACGGCACATCGAATTTCTTGACATTTTTCTGCAAAGTTTGGACTTGCAACAAGGAGTCGGATTCCTTGATGAACGTCTCCGGGCTCTTAAAGTTCTTTCTGGACCATGTTGGGATGTTATGGTCAACAGTAGCCAAAGTACAATCCTTTCTTCTAACTGGTCTGTTAGCGTTTGTCAATCCTTCAAAAGCTTGGGGAGAAGTAACTTCGTGAACCAAATGTCTGTCGATGTACAGCAAATAGGATCCAGAGTCGTCCTTGTGAACAACGTGGTCTTCAAAGACCTTGTCGTAAAGAGTCTTGGGACCTTTAGCAGGAGTAAAAGTCATGATCTGCTAGACGGATTGAAATGATTCGATAAAATATTTGGGGTATTTCGGACTGAACAAAAACCGTTCTGGAAGCCAATTCAATCGATTCGTGCTCCTTTTATAGGGTGATGGCGCCAGATTTGAGTTCGGTAGTTTTTCACATCTCGATAATGATGTGATGCCCTGGGGATGAGATATCCATATAGCTAATTTCGAAAATTTTTTGGCCGGTACCGGCCAGCAATGGTCATGTGAGAACAACTAGTAATTGGACTTTGCCGGTACCGGCGTATGATTCATAGACACCGAGAAAACGGGCCGGTACCGGCCCGTTTTAATCATACTGGGTACACAGCTCTTGTAGAGGATTGCGAAAACGGCGACAGTCACCAGTGTTGTGGGTGACTAGTTAGAGGTTTCGTTTGGTCATCACTAGAAGTGATTGTGTTCTTGCTTATTCGTATGTGTCTACATTATCACTCTGGCTGTACGCTGACGCTCGCAATTAAGTACAGCGGTTTCGGTGACACACTCTAGGAGAGTTACTTCTCAACTATGGGCTGTCCAGCAACCCAGATGCGGACTCCACATGTATGTTTCGCGCGGGCCTATGATACTCACAATCAGGTTCTGAGTTTTCAAATCGAGGTCAATTTTGATGACTTTCTTGTGAACACGAACACGGTTCGATTCGACTGGCGCATTGAATAATATCGGCATTATAGGAACTTTCTTGTGAAGACACTTGTTGTTCAGAAGATCCCATGCATACATTAGTCCAGTTTCCGTCAGCACGAGTAAGTAGCGGTCAACAGTAGTCATCTTGATAGCCTTATGTCCCAATGCAATCTTCGGAAGCTTGTGCCGACCAAAAGATGTGTAAATAAGCAGGTTTCCATCCGCAGTTGCTAAAATCCAACACTTGCATCGTACCGAGCCCACCGCGCAAATTATTACTTCGGGTATCAAAATGTCTATCACTCTTTCCCCGCGATGGTAAGCTAAGATCTTAGTTGGGCTGTCAAAAAGCTGGTCGCGATCGAATTGCAGCCCACGTTCTACGCCGTTGCGGATCTCCATCACATACAAGTCATTAAGTCCACCAAACTCCACCAAAAAAACATCGGCCTCAGAAATAACATTAGGCGTTTCCACATATCTGATGTTAGGCTCTTCGTACCAGATTCTTTCAGTGGTAGTTTTTGAATTGAGCTTCATTATGTGATCTTTCGACAAAACTTCTCCTGCTTCTTCCTCCTCCTTTTGCACATTCCAGTCTTGATTTGGCTTCAAATCTCCGTCTCGGTAGTACTTGTCGACGCCCCGTTCTCGAACGCCCATGATTAAGGAATGGATACCGAGTCTCGGCAGTGGATAAGACTGACGCGATAGTTTGTGCTTCAAGATCTCCAACAAGTCGCCAGACTCTGCGCTCTTGAAGTTTGTTGACCGCGATTCAAACGGTACCTGCTTGTCCATCGATACCTTGACCGGAGAGTATCCCGAAGAAATAAGCGTAGGTGCAACTCTCTTACGCCCATTCTTCACGACGGTCGTGTTAAGATTGTCTAAGTCTTTATTGGAAGCTGCGAGCTCTTGTTTTTTGGGAGCCGATACGACAGAACCTACAGGAGGTTCTTTCCTCTTTACATTTAAAATTGTTGGTCGTTGAGCTGTGCCAGGTAATGGAAGCTCAGTTGGCTTTTGAAGCAGTTGTTGCTGCGTAGATTCCGCCAGGCTCGACTGTTTCAGCCTGGATTCTCTATCACTCAACCTCTTGGCTTCATCTTCAAGCTCAAGTTGCTTAACGCTTTCTGGGAATTCGAAGGAGTCCTTATCAACACCGTACCTGTGAAGCTGCTCTATGTTTCTTTCCAATGGAATCATTTGTCCAAGTTCGTTAGGTTCAAACACTATGGTTATTATCGAGCCATCCAACGAGGTTAGGAATAAAATGGAACCATCGGGGCTCCAGGCCATATCGGTTATTGTCTTGCTGGTTATTTCGTACGCGATTAACAGCGGTTTAGCTTTACTTGTACTCCAAATTACGAGAGTCTTGTCTTGTCCCGCGGTAGCAATCACCGAGTCGACCTTTTCCTCTACTACTTCCTCAGTCTCTACATCTTCTTCCTCGCTCTTATTTTTCGATTGTGGCTGCTGATGATCATTCACCTCTGGATTCATTTGCTCATTGTTAGGCTCCGGACTCTGTTTCGTGGGCTCTGGACTCTGTTTCTTGGGCTTCTTGTGTAAAACTTGAAAAAGTCGTGGATTGAAGCGTACGACTTCGGTAGGAGAGTTATGCCCTACTAACGTGACGCTTGTATCCCAGCTTCCACGAGAGATAATCGATACGGAGGAAACAGGTCCGTTGGTAGCGTTTGGAGCCGCTATGTGCTGGCCGTCGGGAGACCAAGAGAGTCGTCTAAAATAAGTCGTTATGGGCGAACCCTTAAAGGGTTCGGAAACAACATGTTCAATGGAGAAGTTCAAATCACCGGCTTTGTGGTAACGGAACACCCGTAATGTTCGATCATCAGATGCAGTGGCAAAGTACTTGTTTGCCGGATCGAAAATCACACCTTTCACCAGAGATTGGTGAACATCGAAACGCTTGATTTTTTCGAAGGTCGACCCATTCCACACGATAACGGATCTATCCAGTCCCACGGTGACCAAAATACTGGAGTCTGGTGCCCAACATATATCTTGAATGTCGTTGTCGTGAGCCACCAACCTGCGTCGTACGTTCCAATGTTCTTTATCAGTTTCTGAGCCAAACACTGGCTGCTTGGCCTCCTCATCCCGTTCCCAAATGAGCAGAATCCGATCATCTGAGCCCGAAGCTAAGAATTTTCCATCTGGAGAAAACCTCAAGACTGTTACCGACCCGGTATGTCGGCTCATGCTAGCCAAAGGTGCTTTTGATTCCTGATCTACAGGTGTATCCGCCCGAGCAAACTTGACGATATCAGGGATTGACCAAATTCGAATCTTCCCATCAAGTCCTCCGGTGGCCAACCTTTGTCCATCTGGGCTCACATCCGCTGTATATACTTCATATTTACGATGTTCCTCTAATAAGCCTGTGTTAGTACCAAGATCTGAACAGTTTCTCAACTAATGCACCTTTCTCAAAACCTAAAAATTCACATACCCTTATGTGCCACCCACGGAAGTTTAAGGATCTTCATTGATCACCAAACCTTATCACAGGTTGTCAGTTTTGCAAGAGAAATCGTTCTTCTTTGCCATTCAACATCAACAACGCTAGAGATGAGCGAAATATTCTATTAATTAAAGGTAAATTTATGATGAGCTACAGTCATTATTCTCAGAAAGCAGCTGATGGTAGACATGAACGCTTTGTTCAAACGGTTATCGATCCCAACATCTTGAAAATACTTTATTTACAGTATGTGTAGACGTCTTAGTTCATGGAGCCCTCTGTACCTTTGAAACTCGTGCGATACTGTTCCCTCGATGAGTTTGCGAACATTACTCGATTGCCAGTGATAGCGCAGAACGAGCCTATGAAAGCTGAAACAACACCACCACAGCGGGAATCAGGGCACCAGGTACCAGCGCCTGCGTATACACCGATGGTAACGTTGTTGGGGATATTCGAATAGTTCTTTATCTTCTGGGTACGATTTTCAACACATTATACTCTGACAATTGCCGTGCAGAGATGAAGTCATTCAATGGGCTCACTCAATACATATAGTGCCTTGCATTTTACCTTGGACCTGAACGGAGGAGTTCTATCTCTTGCGATAGGTGGGAAAATCTTAGATTGCTAAACTTCGACCCACGAGTTGTGAGCCTTGCCCATTGAAAATAAGATTGAAATGAATTATGACTGACCCCTTTTTCGAGCATACCGCGTGAGAGCTACACCAAATTAGCAAGCCATGACTTTGGCAAAATGGAGCTAATATTTAAATAGTACTCGACCCAATTCAACTGCAGTCGTTGTAGCAGCTGCCTTCAGATTGCCACCATTTTTTAGCACACGCGTCTCGACCTATGCTACGTAATGGTTGATAACGGAAATAGATCATTCATCCCTGTCTGCATCCTAGAAGCTTTTGGGCTGATGACGTCAGATAGCCAGCTTCTCGAACCCATCCTGCACTAACACAATGGCATCTGCATGCATGCTGACGTCAGCCGAGACTCATAAAGGTCTCGAGGGTCATGTGTTTGTTAGGTGGATGCTCCGGTGAGAGGCGGAAGTCCGTTGCAAGCCATCCACCACTCCAAAACCGCATTTGATGCAGCCCTGCTACCACGAGTCACGAACAACTTTTCAACAAACACTTGGTTTGCCTGAAGTTGGTGGGCAGCAAGCTCGGGCAGCGCTTGAACTAGCCACTGTCGTGACTGCAGTGGATAGCGCGCGACCAGCGCGCGTAAAAAGTCCGAGTAGCACGCTAAGTCAGAGCGCTGGGCATGCAGTATTGCTTGCACAGTGTGTGCGATTAACTGCGGGCCTAGCTCACAAACTTGAGCACGCACAGTGACCTCATCCGCACGGGAAAAGCGCTTGTTGTTGACGACTTTTGTCCAAAATTTTGTTACAGCAGCGATCGTGAACCGCTCCTTTACTCCAAGCGCACGTACAAAGTCGGGAAGGATAAATGAGGTCCAGTGGTTGCCATGAACAACCAACGCAGGACGAGTTTCGAGCACCGAGCTTACAAAAGTAATCATGAGCTGCGTGAGATCGGGATCGGACGCTATAGCGCCGCGGTGAATACCCAAGAAAAATTCTCCAAAGAGGTAGTCGAAATCTGTCGCTGCTAGTGCGCTTGCATATCTGTGCACAACCAATTCCAGTAGATAGACCAAATATGGCAGGGCTACAGTAGGCTCGCAAGCTTCGTTGCGTTTGAGTAAAAAGCCTATTAGCTCTTGCATCGAGTACGCCAAAAAGTGGGGACCAGGCTCTGCGGTAGCCAGATGGCTGCCCATGATGAGACATGAGCGTTCCACGAATTCGGCATCGTTCCCATACTGTGTCAAAACACTTTCCATCAAGTCTAGCGTCGTACTGCGCAATTGGTATGGGTCAGTTGCCCAGTACTCATCACTGTGCGCCAATTGAGTAGATGGAGCGTCTTCAAGAACATCTGGGGAAACCACAAGCGCACTAGCCAATTCAGAAATGCAAAGCAACAGACACAGCACATGATCGCGATTGTTTGCACTGTTCAAGATCTCGTCTCGAATTGCACCGATGACCTTCGCCAAATAATGTGCTTGCTTTTCAGGACCCTCTCTAATACAATCCTGAATGAAATATCCCACGCAACAAGTGAACTTCTGCTTGGTGTAGTCGGATACGTTCGATCGCTGCTGCATCATGGACTCCTGAATTGCTAAAACTGTCGGTAAGTACGAAGAGAGCTCTTTACGACTAACTTCGCACATTTTGGTAATGCATCTTGTTATAAAAAGCTCAATTTTGCTATCCGTGGCGTCCGCGTTTGCACATAGTTCCAAAGACTTGAACAAGACATCCATGCAGGTCCCTAGGCGTTTGTCATCATTCTTAATGTAATTTGCTATTGTGGCCATCAAAGACGACCCAGTTTTTACAAGATCACAACTTAGTAGTTGAGCCTCCTTACCGTTAGCAGCGCTTTTTTGTTGACATCCAGTCTGGATTAGTAGTAGAACGTTATCGATAAAAGCCTGATTAGCATCTAAAGTACCACATACCACTGGACTCTCATTCAAGTTCATATCAACTAGCAATTTTTCGAGACAGAAGCTCATCGCCTCAATCTGGAAAAGTTCGTCTTCTGAGGTGGGGGTCAATTGTCCTATACTCACGATAAGAATGTCAGTCAGTTTTTCGTTACCTAGAACCGCCCACATTGACTCTATCAAATCCAAAACAGCATTTCTAAAGTCATCGAACTCATGTACAAGTGTTTCATCCTCTCCTTCCTGACATATTCTTTGTTTGACCGATAGTTGAATTTTGGGCAAATATATCTGCACAACTTGGCTAAATAAATTTGTTGCCAGAGCTGGTGTATCAGGTTTGAGCGTTTCCCTTACCAGGTTGTTGTATCCATCACACAGGTCGAGCCAAAAGTCCACCATTCTTACTGAAAAAAACTCCTCCAGAACAGGAACAAGCGTGAAATTAGTCATTTGTAGCAATACTTTGATGTACTGATCAAGATTATGCGGATCATTGTTTGAGATTGTAGTGAAAAGCTTGTTGCAAACGTCCAAATTACTGATCTGCAGAAAATCCACAATGCAAAGAGCCAACTCTTTGAGTTCTTCGTGCATCTCATTAACCACAAGATGGTTCATGTATTGAAGCATCCATTCGTGACCGGCAGCATTATTGGTTCCAGATTTTTGAACCCCCAGGAAGATCCCCTCCACAGTTGACCTCAATTCATAGTTCAACATTGTGGGATCGTTACCAAAGATATCACCTAAGATTGCAACCACATTCTCAGAATAGGGGAAGTTGTGCGCCGAGTCGTATGAACACATGAGTTGAATCAATAATTCGAAGGTCTCACTCAGATCCATGTGCCCGTGAGATTTGGTTCTTACCATCATTGTGTAGTTTACCCACGCTGCCACACATTGGAGGACATTGTCCGCCACTGGAGGCCGTTCTGCAGAGTTGTTGCGAGATGCAACCACTAACTGCTGGAGATTGTAGTTTATAATGGAAATGCTGGATATGTACAAGTGTTCGTGCACCACTCCATGGAGTCTTGAAGTTCCGACCTTGACGGATTGATGCTTGACAAGATCTTCAACTATGACCTCTGAGAATAGCAGTGCCAAGGTATTGAACTCTTGGGAAGAGCTAATAAGTTGGATAAGGCGATCGTATGGAATAGTTTGGGACTCTACATGCCCAAAGATCTCATCGAAATTTTCCCAGGAAAGCTCCGAATGCGATACAAGTGCACAAAAAGTGTCTAGTGGGTTATTCCACTCATGAGATGAGGATGGACTTGTCAAGACGTCTAAATTATTCATCCTGAAAAAGATTTGCGCTGCATTGGACATCAATTTTTTGATCACAATGATCCGAGACTCATAGTGGGGAGATTTCGAGATAAAAAGTTGCGATCTTCGAGCTAAATGGAATAAATTCATTTTCAAAAGATCCAAAAGCCTGTCCGTGGAATTGTTTGTATGAAATTGAACCGCCAAAGTCAAAGCTCCAAAATACTGGACGTTAGTTGATGCAGCATCTTGTGAGAGAAGCTGATAGCCAAGTTCAAGTCCATGATCTGAGCGCTGCACAGCCTGCAATTGTTGCTGGATCTCATTGACATTGCTCGGAGGCTGAGGTGAGTATAACGACTCTATAAGCTGCGCAAGAATATAGTTAATAAAAAGTCAAAAACCAAGCGAAGTTTATGGCATTTAGATCACAAAATTACGTACATTCACCGCTTGATGTAAGCCGTCCATTGATCGAACCAGCAACAAGCCTCCTAGCTTTACAGTTTGAAGTTTTATGGTATTAGAACTGGAGTAAGTGTAGACTGCAATTAATGAAGTATACATACCGGGAAATTTGACATGCGCCGTCGGTTATGATATTTCGGACCATAAGGCAACGGCGAGACAATGCACTAGACTATTGGAGCATGAGACGTTCCTCAGGAGGACTTTAGACCCGCTAAATGATTATAATACTCGCAAAAATTGTGTTGGTTATTATGCTTTGGTGCTGCTGTGGGAACCGGAAACATGCGACGACAAATGGTGGAAAAAAGAAGCATATTCTGAAACTTTGTGACCATGAACTGGTGGAAATTGGCAGTCTAAACAATGATCAGGCTCTTGGCGGTAGCGTTGAGGCCGATCATGCGGATAACGTTGCAAATGACACGTTTGGTACGCTTAGTCTCTAGTGCGAAATCAGATACAACTCGTATTTGACCGCTGCGAACATTGTAGAGCATAAGCTTGTTATTAAGCCGAGTAATATCGCCGGATTCTATGATTTGCAAAATTTGCCAAAGTGGCAGCAAACCCGGTACGACGTTGGGTAAATGATATATCTCGTTTGTGTAGCCTGGAATGTCTCCATCGTCTTTCTCATAAACCATTTCGGGCTCTGATAATGCTTGAAACATACCAGGCACTTTGTATCTGTAGAGGTCTTCAAACAAAGTCGGGGTGTACTCAATTCCCAAATCTGCCAGTTTCTCGGCCGCTTCGTTGGCACACAGGACAGCACCGCCGTGCTCGCCATAAATCTTGTCCACAATGTTAACAGGCGGCTCTCCTAAATTCAATCTCGGCACATCGTCGAGAGGCAACTCTGAATTGTCTGAAGAGCCAGAATGGTTATCATCATCATCATCTTCTTCATCGTAATCGTCGTCACTATCTCGGTTGCGATGCTCGTGATCTAATACGAAAAACTTGCCCTTCTCAACCAGTGAAGACACAAGGTCCAAAGGAACGTACTGGTTATTACAGACGTCAAGAATGTCGCCCCCATATTTGCGTTTGTATCTCATCTTCGGACAGTCATCCACGTAGTATCCGAGGTAATAATATTGACGATTAATTTTCGACAATATACTAAGCTCCCGCAGAGCACTCAGTTTCCCCAACGACCAGCGAGGATAGTCTGGATCCCATATGAAATACACAGACGAAATTCCGCTGGGCAGAAAATCGGTCACTGCAATGGCTATCAGTTTGTTTTCATAATAATAGCATTCATGCACGGGCCCAACTCTTTTCAAAGTTTCCCCCGGTTTCATACGATGCCAGTTGTTGAGTTGGTCCCATTCTTCCTGTGTTCCAACCACTACATCTTCAGGAAACGGCGATTCGCAAAGAAACCGTTTGAAAGACTTTATCGAGTTTCTGGGATCATTGTGCACCTTTTCCTGATATTTGGCAAATAGGTTATATTTTTCCATTGTAAACATGGCAGGTTCGAACCGCGTGTAAAAGGTGTCGCTTTTGAGCTCCGCATCTACAATTTCTTGAATGTAGTCAAATTTCGCTTGTTGAGTAGTGCCCCCACACTTAGATTGGGGTAATTGTCTCAAAGCCTCATCTTTTGCGGTTGTGATACGTTTGCGGAACCGTGTGATGCATGTTTTCAATTCTTTCGATATGACACATTGATCAGGTTTGGTCCTTATCGTGTAAAGTCGACAACAGTTTCTAAGGAGATCTGCCTTGTACAAGAAATTTCCCGACCTGCGGAATCCCAAATTGCAAAGATCATCGTATACATCGACAGGCATCAATTCCACTTGTATACCAAGCGTGCAGTTGTTAATTTGTAGTGAGTCCGCATCTTTTTCATGAAGTTTCCCCCAGGATTCCGTTGGAAAATAGTCCTGTTTGTCGGCCTTTTTACCACTGCAATACCCGCACTTTTCGTTTGGTTCCGTTAAATACAGTGGCTTGGAAATGATCAGCCGATCTGAGAGCTCCATGGAGACCCTACTAGGTTGAAGTTGAGTTGAATAATGCCAAGCTTAGCCATGGATACTGTAGAGCATTTGAATAATGTGCCATTTTATTACAGCTTGAAAACTGTAACTATTTACGACTAAATGACTGAGGTAACGAATCACATGTAGAAATGAAATCAGAGAAATCCTCAAGTTCAAGCCGATGTTGAAATGAATGAGAACACCCATGAAAGAGCTTGAATTCGAGGCGTTTACTGTCTGCTGGCTGAGAGCCGATCTGTAGTTTAAGTTTCCCAGAGAAATGAGAGTTTCTACGTCAAAAAAGCAGAGGGTCATTTTCAACGAGCATGTCCTTGAGTGTTGGAAGTAGTTTGAAGGAAAAATGTAGCTACTTGGTAGAAGAGGCATGGGAGTAAAAGAAAAGCGTACACGTTTTTAAAGCTCATTCCTGTGCCTTTTTCATCCAGAGCAAGTTTTATGAAAATAAAAGACTTGTCATCGGCTGACACGTGACCGACGTCAGTGACAGCTTTACGGCCAATGTGATAGCGGTTGGACTTGGTGTTACTCTTGATGATAACTAAACCGCCCGTGTTGCATATGCGTCGCTGTCTTTTGAATAAACCCTCAAAACACAAGCAAACCCTCATCATTCTATACAATATTACTACCTTGCGAAATATCATCATCATAACAAAAGGAGAAGCCCCCATGTAGCCTGGTGGTAAAAACGAAACAAATGTCTGGTTGAGGATGTCAATTGAGCTCTATGAGCTTGGAATGAAAGGAGAAGGCACTGGACCTTTTTGGAATCGACATATTTGCACGACAATTTGATAATTGTGCTTTGGTCACGTGTCATTATCTTATTTCGGTCCGGGAGGTACGCAGTGTGCATTTCTCTTCTTATCACCCTTCCATAGAGATCCAATATTGATCGCTCAGCTGCAGCGACGTCCAATATCATTGTTTTGAAAGCCTTGAAGTATCAAAATATTTCAAAGGTGGATTTCGAGATGAAGAACACCCGAGTATATAATCAATTCAACCTAGGACAAGTTTCGATGACCCGTTAATGCAACAAGTGCGCTATCTAATTACAAAAATTGGCCTTAAATGCTTGAGGTGTCTGAGGCGTACGCTTCGACACTGACTTGATATCTGTCGATGACATAATAGTACAGAGTGATATATTTAAACCACACGGTTATGAAGAATCCAGATAAAACTACCAAGACTGCTCATCTCAAGGCTAGGATCGCTCGTCCTGCATTCCACAATGTCCCGGTATCTCACACGCAGGCTATACAGCACATTGAATGCATTCAAAGTATTCCCACAAACTTTCGTTGGCGGGAAATGGGTTTGGGATGTGGATTTACGACAGCTGAGAAAAGAATACAGGGCCTTGCAAGCCCAAGAACACCCTGATACAAATGCCAACACAAACTCTGGAAAAAGCTCCGAGCTGAATCATGCGTATCAGACGCTAAGGCAGCCTTTATTACGGGCCCAGTACATTTTGAGAACACAAGCTCAACTGGATCTGGGGAATGAACGGAAATCACAGGAAATTGCACAACAGGACCCTGAACTTCTGATGAGAGTACTGGATGTACACGAGGAACTAGAGACACTATCTACAGAGGAAGATGTCAAGAAAATTGCTTTGGACAATCAAGGGCGAATGAGAGACCTGGAAGCGAAATTGGGCGAAGCTTTCAAAACGGAAAATTGGGAGTCTGCAGCACAGCTCACTGTCGAGTTAAAATATTGGGCTAGTCTTGATAAGGCTGTGAAAGAGTGGGAGCCCGGTACTAGATTGGAATTGCAGCATTAGAGAATATTTATCGGCTCGATTTCGATACGAGCACACTAAAGTCCAGAAAACAAAATATCAGTCACTGACATACATCCCTTTTTGTTGCAGCTGGGTCCCATCTATCATACAGTCTATATCGTAGCTATCAAAAAATTTGGATAAGATAGGACCTCCAGAATCAAAAGCTTACGTTATTTGTTCTTTAGCTTTTTAGCGAACCTGTGGAATTTCGAATTCGCATTTTCCAAGCTCTGACAACTCATCATCCGTTTTAGGGTACTGTCTGAGCCAGCGCATTCGAGAACCCGACGGTGCCTCATCCGATATTTTGAACCCGAAAACCTTTAGCTGATAAGTGTCTTTAGTCTTCCGATCTACGTAGTCTTCGAGCTCTTTGAAATGCTTGAGAAACACGCCCGGGAACGATGTACCCCAAAATGCGCCCTCCAAACAAAGATGACGTGACGACTGCGGGAGGTAGAGGTCTCCGCAACTTGGACAATACAGACGCACTGTCATTTTTCCTAATGTGTCTGTAAGCCCACAGGGGAGCATTTGCATACTTGCACAATAGTACCGAGGACAGATTCCGAATTCCTTATGATCGAATTTTTCGGCCATGGCTTGAAGACCTGGTTTGGTAAGAATGTACCTGGCATGCACCAGTCCATATAGCTGCTCTGCTGCGTGTTCAATTATGCTGCGACTGACCGGTTCTTCTGTATCTTGACCCTCTTCATCGCTCATGGCCTCAAGATCGAGCACAAGATCGAGAGCTTTGCGGTAGTGTGGCACTTCTTGGGCAAGTCCAGTCATATTGAAATCGTCTTCGATGAATTCAGTGGGGACCTCGCAGAAATATTCGTGACCAAAACGATGGCAGAACGATGGAATCCATTCGTCGTAAGTTCCACTCTCATCGCTACTTCCGGTTCTTGACCTTTCGCCAATATATTCCGTCATAGGAGATGGTGATATTAAAATGGGGGTTTTAACGTTTTATCGACCTGTAGAGAGTCCTTGAAATAGGTTGAAAAAAGAAGAAATCCGAGTTCTGTTGTTTTACAATGTTCCGATCCAAATTTCTGAAAATACGCTTCTAATTGGTTCAATCACACACGGTTCGTATTTTTCCTAAACTCAACGTCTAATTGAGCTTTTTGTTCGTTGAAACGCGAGTTCTTCCGCTCACAACAACTCAGATAAGTCGAGCAAAAGTGAAGTCAGCTGTGTAAGACAGATTGCGGGTTGATTAGACAAATCTTATTGCGAATTACCAGACTGTTCTTCGAAGCTCATCAAGTTCATCTTCATCATCCATCTTTATCATCTATGTCTATTATTATGATGATACACTGTATTGAAGATTTAACATCACACAATACGAATTAAATTACAGATCACATGACAATATACTGCACGTGACTACATATGACATAAGCAAAACAATTTCGTAATTTATGATCAGTTTGGAAAATATTATAATAGGATTTTGATTATAGACAATAGCTCAACCAACTGTGTTCTTCCGACATCGTACTCCAGCTATCCCCCCGCACTCGCTATCGGTTCAACATAACAATGGTAGACTCCATTGTCTTGATTAGCTTGGTACTAGTCGTGACGCTGAGAGTGCTACAATGGGTTTCTCATTACAAGGACTCTGTGGTGGATGCGATTTGGTCGAAACCCGGTGCTTTGAGATTGCGCGAGTTGAGTAAGAAACTTCATAGTCTGCAGACACAGCAGAGATCAATCAGCGCTCAGGACGAATATGCAAAATGGACAAAGCTTAACCGTCAAATTGCCCAGCTCGACAAACAAGTGAAAGCGGCACAAGAAGAGCTCAAACAGATGCGTCAGGCAGGAGAGAAATCATTGTCCAGGGTGCGTTTGTTGACTCTGACCGCACCTCTACTCTTGCTACGATTTTGGAAGGGCAAAACAGTCGTATACAGCGTTCCACAAGGGATGTTCCCTCGTTTGATTGAGACAATTTTATCGCAGGGCTGGGCTGCGCTGGCAATGGCTCCCGTGAGGTACATTTGGGCACCAGGTCCTTTAAAGCCACTACAATTGGAGACTCCAGTGTGTCTTGGTATTTGGATTTGGGCCCTAACTAGAGTTTTAAACACCGTAGAGTTTGTAGTTAGAAGTTTAGTGGCTTGAATGGGACCTTAAGCGTACGACACTCTGGACCAGTTCATGCTATCACGTAAAGCATGGTTTTAAGGGAACAGGATGACTGTTTAATATAAGGGACATGTTGTACTGCATTTTGTAGTAAACTTCCAACTTTTGTTCTGGTCTATCGCGAAGAAAGTTCCCGTGTTTCCTGTGAGAAACGAAGGCATCACACTTTTTCATGAATTGAAGTCACAACCATTGTAGCGGATCAAGTTGAAGAGCCATGCTTTCTATTTGTACCAAGTATATCCTTTATTGTCCTCGTATATGTTATTGTACAATGTTCCTGGTGTTTGAAATTCTGTCACCTGTATATAATATTCCTCCTTTTTGACCTTTCACTTGCGAAGCCTCAGAAGATCACCACAATTTGAAATTTGGTCGCTCTTGCCAAATAAAGATTTTCTGCGACGATGGGGGTTTATTTGACCTAGCAATTTGAGCAATTCTGAGTAATGGGCATCATGAGCTATTCCCTTTTGGCCATCGATTAGTTTAACACCTAGATAGTGTAGCCACAGCAGATTGTTGCGAGGGTCGCAGCGAGACCAATTGTCGGCACACCAGTGTCGCATGGTGTTATAGACCTCATAACGGTAATCACCACGGCCTTGGAAAAATAGTGGATGGTCCAACCGCGTGTAGTAGACCATTGATCCATTTGACGCACGCGACAATTTATAGTCGCAAAGGGTTACATTATTGTTACCGTCCACTAAGATGTGATCCAGCTGTAAATCACGATGTTCAAATTGAAATTTCGCTTCAGCAGCATATATAATGATTGCGCATTGCCACCAAATATTGAGCGTCGCTGACCAGCTAGAGCTTTTTACCTTTTTTAGTGGTATACCTGCGTACTTTAGCTTGCAGATCAAAGTAGAACCACCATTGATAAGAGCCAAATGACACGAAATAAGTTGAGTGAAGCCTGGTGTGCCGCTGAACAGTTCCAAAAGCTCAAGCTCCTTTACTCTTATGTTCTTGCTATGCGTGAAATCGTCCTCTTCCAGAGGCAGAAATTTGTAAACAAAATCATCATCCCTCACAACGTGTTTCGAAATTCTTGATAGCTTGGACCACTTCGGTATCAGCTGCTCAATTGGTATGGGCCCAGTTTGACCGCAGAGTTTTAAAAGCTGTGACATTTGGAAGTCTTCAAATTCTTCCGGGATTACAGTGGATCGCATAGACATGATGGAGGTTGAATTGCGAAGTTTTGTGCGTAGCTTGTCCCTGGAAACTTGGTCTGGGATCGGCAGTGATATTGATTCACTTGTCACAGAGTTACGATGAGAACTTGGTTTCTTCAAAGAAGAATGAGATGATTTCTGCTTCAAAGACGACTGGGATCTGCGAGAGGTTAAGCTACCATTTGAATGCATTGCTTGTTGTGAAGATAGTGCAGAAGACGAGCTTTGATCGAATGTGTCTGAGCTTTTTTTCCAAAATTTCCACCTTGAAGCCGAGGTCACGGATGACCTGGAAGACATACTCATTCCTGAGACTATGCTGGCAGTATCGGAATGAAGGTTGCGAGAGCTGAGCCCTGCATAAACGTTTGCATCAAGCTGACCCAATGTGGAACGAGATTGGTGGCCGCGTGGCGATAGTTTACCTATGAAACGCTTCACAGCTGGCCTGTTTTCCTTTTCTTCGTCCTGCAGGGCTATCTTCCCAAACATTTGCCGCAGTGAAGTGCTGGTGGAACTCCTTTGAAGCGACGACATTGCTGAGGATATCGATACTCTTCTGGATGATGCGCTGCTGTTTTCTCCGTCGTGAACGGTGTTTGCACTTTTGGCAACATTGTTGTTTCCATTTTTCGAAGGCTTGTTTTCAACATTAACGTTGCCACTACCGTTGCCGCTACCGTCGCCATTGCCATTGCTATTGGTGATCTGCTGGTCCAATGGATCCAAGCTGGCCGTGGAACGTCTTTTTTTCGAAGACGTCGTCACCGGACTTGTACGACGTTCTTCGCTGGCAAAAGAAAGCGACGACCATCTTTTCTTGGAGTTACTGGAGATAATGGACCATCTTTTGTGTTTTGCATTGACAGAAGTTGGCCCCACAGAATCTGGACTTCTTATGACTTTTCCGCGACCACTTTCAGCTCTCTTGGGCCGGTCTTTTTTTGGTGTGTGATGCACATTGAGGTCTTCTTCCAGTCCAGATTCGTCGTCGTCGTTATCGGAAACCACCAATGCTATGAACTTACCACCAGAAAGTAGCTCAGAATCCTCTTCGTACCATCGATCAATGTCTGTCATCTGTGACGCTTGTAGGTGTTCAAAAGAGTGGCAGAAAGTCCAAAAAAAAAGGGACTCGTTGCAACGAGAACAAATGTATTTGCAAGAAATTTGCAAAAACCAAAATCAGAGCTATCAGCCAAACCTAGCTACAGCACCCTTCACAATAGCTGGTACGTCCTGTTCACTTGTCGTATTCGGGATGTTTGGTTTTTGAATAGTAAACATAGATACATCATTCTAATTTTTGAGTGTTTATCATTTTGGAAAAATCTGGTGCCCTCGTTAATAGTGATGATACACGAAAAGGATCTCGATAACAATGAATTTTGGGAACTAATGGGATTGGAAGAGGGCAAGACAGAAGCGGTAGTATTTTGGATGTTCTTTATTCATCTTTAGACATAGCTAGAGTATGGGAAACGGCTTTTACCCATGCTTAATTTTTTTTTTTGGATAACATCAGTCACATGCCAAAATATATATGAAATTTTGATGTCACGTGGTCTCGGAGTTCTCCGCTTTCAATTTACGTTGCAAGAGAGAGAGAGAGAGAGAGAGAGAGAGTACAGACTATAGTAACTAGTTCGTGTTCAAATACCCCTCAAAATTAGCCTCATGAATACCTCTGAGAGACCCATATCGCCTTATTCTCATCTTTCATATCGTTCTTTTACATCTACTATATGTATTACGACGATCAAAAACTCTGAGGTGTATGTACATTTAGTAGTGACGATTTTCGATTGGGATCGGTTTCTACGAGCAGGGAAAGTCTCATTGCAATGAGAAACGAGCAAAAAGCCCTGAGATGAAGATTGAATTTCACAACAACGTGTATGGTTAGAGCTCGATCGATTCTAGAAATTCAAAGCTAGAAGTGACGCTAATGCCACCGATTTGATCAGCATACATGTTTGAGTTTCTATCTCAATTTTGATCATTACGAACGAGGGGATTCTAGCCATTCAGTGCCTAATGTCTAGTCCATATAGTAGTAGGAGTAGTACTCATCTGATCATAATCATCATCGTCACCCAAAGCTCCTTCAATAAACGCTTGTGCAGCGCATTACCGCTTCAAATGGCCGATCCACATGCCAGCAGCAGCGACAGCGACAGTGATTTTGGGGATTTCGAAGGTGTTGACGACACAAGCACAGTTCCCATTGTTTCGCTGGAGGACCAGCTGAACTTGATTTTTGGACCACCTCAAACGATCCCAAACAGCGACGAAGAACACAGTTTGGAGGAATTGATCGTCGAAGAACGCCCCAAGGTGATATACGAGCAACTGATAGCACTGGAACCGCATGTTAGACCGTTCCAATGGCGTCATTCCAATTTAAGATCGAAATTGTTGCATACCCTTCGCATAGACGACATTCCAGAAACCCCCAAAGTAGTAAGAACATTAGATTCATCTCTTTACGAGAGCCTGGCCGTGCTTTTGGAAGAGCCGCAGGCCGGAAATGACGATTCAATAGCAGAACTACTTGGTGCCAAACTCAAGGTCTCCGTCCCAGATGACATTCCAGAGCACGCTTCACTTACAGTGGCAGAACTGCGAAGCATAGACCTAGAGTCTTTGAACGCTGCTTCCCTTTATAACACCCACAACCAACTGATAGATGCAATTCTCACGGTTTGTCGAGATATACGCGAAAACGAAATTGTTAGGGAACGACTGATTGAAGAAAAAGGCACGTTTGAAGATTTACTCACCAATCTCATCGGACACACCCAGCGACTACATCGCGATGAAATTGCTGAATTCAATAGGAAAAAAAAAAAAGGTTTCAAGTATGGTAAGAAATTCAAATGGGTGCGCTAGACAAGCTTCCGTTGTATTATCTTTACCCAATTGCATGTACCGGGGAGAGTAATTTTAAAATGGTGGATGAAGCTTTTTTAAGTCAGGGTTTGCGCCCGTATGTATATACTTAATTTACAGTCTAAACTCTCACGTCAACAGAAGGTTTTTTCGCAATTCTCTTTTTAAACCCACGCGCCGAGCTACGGGCAAATTCTCCCGCAGAATGTAGATCTCTACCCAAGGGATCTTGTTCTTTCAACTGGTATAGTCTCACAATCCAGTTTTCTGAAGTAAACACCTCCTCGAAGTAGTCTAGTTCGCCAACATCCTGTTGTCTGATTCTCTGCCCACGAACACGGTCGGTTCCCTCCACACCATTAAAGAGCGATGGGAATCTGTAATACGATAACTTGTACATCAAAGAATCCTTCATGGTTTGAGGTGCCGCCTCGTCCATACGATACTCACCTGATGAAGTAAAATATTCTCTTTCTTTAATCTCATCCGGCCATATTCCTTCAGAGATACGCACCATCCACAAAAATTTGTTAATGTCGTCGCCTGAAAATCCTATCAAACCACCAAAAATTACCAGCACGTAGTCAACATCGTGTTCCTTCAAAATTTCATACGCTTTCTCCTCAGGCGAGGACATAGCTTTGCCCACTATAGCAATATGAGTGTTGTTCCATGTGTTATTGTCAACAAGAGTAGTCCTATCAGCCATTCCACCAATCTGGTAGCCGTAATCCCACCATGACGCCACCTTAGCATCATCAGCAGTGTTCATACGTAGCCAATAGTATGCTTCACGGAAATCGTCGATCAAAGCTGGGGAGCCATCTTGATTACGCGAAGGTAAGACAACAGATGGAGAAGAGTATGCATTGGAAGTAACCCAAGTGCAGTGGTAAACAAACAAATATAGGTACCCCAAAAATGTACCACATACAGTCAGCTTGGTCACTAAAGTCATGATACGCGTCTTCTGAGAAATTGGGGATGCAACGGTTGCGTCCGTGGCCTTTGAGGAAAAGTCAGCGTAAACGTCGAATAATTTGGAGATGGTTACCGCAGAACAAACACAGATAATGGGCGTCAATGTCAGCATTAATCTGACCATAACACCGGCAAAATAAGAACACAAAACGGAGTATGCAATAATGAAAACATGTTCGTCTTTCAATTCCAAAAACAGCAAAAAGACACCGGCTGGGAATAGCCAAATAAGGAACTGGGTATCGAAGAAAAATGCTGGCCATGCTGTAGGCTGATGTTCAGAAACCGACGCGATAATTGGAATGTGAATCTTGGCATAGTTGGTGTCCCACAAGGAATAGAATCTTCCGGTCCAAGGAGCAATGTAACCAAAATAAGTGAGAGCGAAAAGACCAAAGACACCAACGGCGAGAAGGAAAGCAATCGACACAACCATCACGGTTTTGAATTTGGCCCAGGAAACTTGAGATTTGATAAAACTTCCCAATGCTACAATCTGAGTTAATCCAAATACTCCAAGCGCTGCCATATGATCGTTTGATCTGATTGGCAAAAATCCAACAAATGGGATTTGCATTGATGCCATTGTGCCAATGGCGTACCAAGTGGTGTACGCGGAATAGAGACGTGTGGAATAACGACCCATGAGGATCAATATGAACACATGTAGCGGAATTAGGTTGGTAATGAATACATAACCACCCCACGCAGATACCATGTAGAAATAGAACACAGCAGCGAGAGTGGAATGCATGATCGAACCCGTCTTCATGGCCTTAATCCAAAACATAAAAGTGACCATCAAAAGGGTGATTGCAATGGCCTCATTATCGTACGAACCCGCAACAGATCTCGAGATATAACCGGGAGCAATGGCAATGAAAGCAGCTGCCAACAATCCTGCACCCGAATCTTTGATTTCGCAGGTCAAATGGTATGTGGCCCAAGCTGTGACACCCGAAAACGCAGGTGCAAACATAACACATACGTTTCTAATGTCCACGGGAAGACCAATCTTACGAAGTCCGTGCCACACGGCTGCAGATGTTGCCATCAGACCAGGGTACAGTGTTCCACCGGTCACTCTTCCTAATGGGTACCACGTACGGTCATCGAACCAGTTCAGAAACTTGTAGAAGCCATGGTTCACCAAATACTTGGTGGCTCTGAAGTTAAACCAAGGGTCGAATTCGTGAATAATGGACTCGAACCTAATAACCGAGAATAATCTCGACGAAACGGCCGCCCCAGTCATCGACAGGAAGATCGTACATTTCAGCAGCAGCTGAATCCAGCGAAGTGCTTGACTCTGAGCCATTGAGTGGATCCTTGATTGGTAAAGTACTTGTTGCTTGGGAAAGCTTCGTCTTAGGTTGACATGTATGGTTTTAAACAGCTAATTCAATATGTTTAGTTTCGTGAATAGAGATGTGGTGAAGAGTCACGTGCAAATGATTTTACGGCTACTGAAAATGGGGTATTCGATAACCGGTTTTGGCACTTTTGATGCCAGTACAGTTTCGATAAAGCATACGATGCCCCAAAAGTCACGTCTATTACGGTGTTCATCACAGTTGTCAAGAAGTTGTAATCATATCACTAAGTACGTAAACGCTTGACACCAGCGACAGAGGCATGGTGAAAGAACAACACACGCGTTGATCAAGAAGTTAGATGCTTTACATTCCCTGTTGTGCGACCTTTAAGTCACTAATTCGAGCAGCTTGTCAAAAAGGTTGAACAATATGTGCTATTTGTGCAGAAAGTTTTTTTTGTTTCTCTGTCTTTTATTGAACATAGAATGGAGCACGACACGACTAACAGATGTAACACTAACGGGACTGTTTTTCCGGTTGATTTTGTTCTGTGGGGGAGACTATGGTAAATCTTGGTAATTTTTTCCCGTACCTCTCACAATATTTTTAGTAGTCCTCCCGTTTGAATTATTTTGAAGCAACCTACTACAAAAGAACCCGAAACGAGCGGTTCTATACTGAGATCACCACTAACCTGCAAAACCTCCTGGAGTCGATCACAACGTAGCTTTCCTCCAGAAGCTGGTAAGAAGCAGAGGATTGATCAGACAAAAAAAATCTCTCGAGGCCGATGTCATTTAATTGGTGACTTGATATATATTAGTGGATCCTTGATGGTCCGATAGCCACCTTCGTTGGATGACAGAGAAGTATACGTTCAAAGGGAAAAAAGGCATAGAAGTGGATATTTGAGTGTTGGAATAGAAGTGGATATTTGAGTGTTGGAATATCGAAACAGTCCAAAAAGTGGAGAGGAGAAGGGGAAAAAATGAGAGTTAACGAGTTGTAAAAGGGCCTCCCAATGAATACCTATGTTGAGTTTTTTATGACGGCGACAACGCACGAGGATAATGATCGATTTTAGAACATGATTGCCGATAAGTGCTTATGGGAAGCGTCTTAATCAGCTTTTGCGGTTGTGGAGCCTTCAAAAGGTACTTTTGGATTTCGATCAGTTCATAAAATGGTCACCACAGCATCTGTCTTTCTTTCACAATAGAGTTTATCGTAGCCAAGTAACTAGAACGACACGAAATAAAATAATCCAGCGGCGACACACTCGTCTAAAGTGATATTTCTTCATTTTCCTGTTTCCTGGATCTTTCAACTCACAATAGACCTTCTGCACTCTAGGTATACCAATATTGAGAATTCTTGACACTGGCTATACTTCTACTTGAACTTATTACAAACTCTTATACTATCAAAGTGCATCATTTATTACGTTGAGAGAAATTGATGTGCTCTCTAGATTATTGGTAAAATCTACTAAACTCTCTAGACTATAAACCTCCTCCCATCTGAACTCCTGATTGCATGCACTCCGGCCTGTGTGTTTCTACATCGAACGCTGAAATTGTCACTCCAATAGAGTGCGTGTGGGTGGGGCAACCATGAGCAGTGTTCACAGCCAGACAAGTGCTTTGGATTCAGGCGAAGCAGAAGTGCAAAAGACCAAAAAAACGGCTGAAAATGGGACAGGAAAAGATACAAGAAGCTCATCGGGCAACAGTAACAAGTCTACGATAACGTTTGAAAAACAGAAAGTGGTACCCCGGGCAAGAACGCAGTCGGTGCAAAGCGTTTTGAGTTGCATCTCGTTGCGTAGCATGATCGGCAAAATGCCCCATGACGAATCAGCAGAGCTTTCTCAGCATCATTCGCAAATGAACAATAATCCTGGCCATTCTAGCAATACGAGTAATAACGGGAACAACAGCACCGTGAACGTTCCCGTGGCCCAGCAAATCCAGTCTCCGGCGATGCCCTCGGTCCAAAAACGGGCATCAAACTCGTTTTTCAAAGATGGGATTGGACAAAAACTGCCCTTCACAGATGACAGAAGGCGACAACTGGAAGGCGACAGATCAGCAGCAAACTCAAGGGCTAGTAATAGGAATACGCATGCCGTCACGCTTAAAGCAAATACAAAGGAGGCCCAATCAGCGATGGATTCTGGCACCTCATCCGGGAACAGTAGCACCAAAAAACTCGAAAATGAGCCCGAAGATGAGGCTGAACAACAGAAAAGGCTCACTACTGATGCTTTGAGGAGACTTTCTGTAATGAAAAACGGCAACGGAAGCACAGTAGGAAGCACGAATACCGATGTTGGTGGTGGCGATGCCTCTGACGCAACCTCTTCTGAAAAGCAATTGTCAGAACTTGCAGACATACCAACGTTCCGCGAAATCTCCAGTCAAGATCCAAGTACGCTCACGTATATGCAATTTGGTGGTAAGAATATCGTACTGGACTCCTCTATTCCAAACAAAAGGTCATCAGTGGCACCCATAAAAAATCCGCTTGACAAACTTCCATCAACTTTGGAGACTAATATCAAACCAAAATCGAAATCTAGGCGGCCCCTGCGGCAAATGTGTGAACCGAAAAAACCGTTGTACACCCCCGCAGTCTTGCGGGATATTTCTGAGACTAATATAACTAATGCCGAGCTGGGCTCGCCAGGACCACCGACTCTGCCTACTCCATTGTCGAATTCTCACACGACGCGCAGTAGTATAAGGAGTATGAGATCCTCTTCATCATCGATTCTTTCTGACTACACCAAGAAGCTAGGTTCGCTGTGGAATAAAGACTACGCCTATTCCGGTGCTAATATAACACGTCCCACTCGTGATCACTGGATAGCTGACAATAAGAGGCATGCCTGTCATTACTGTCATCGCATTTTCACCTTTTGGGAGCGCAAACATCATTGTAGGCATTGTGGAGATATTTATTGTTCCCAGCACGTTAGACACTGGTTGTATTTGGATGGCGATGCCAAATTCGTCATTGGCGGCGCTGGTGCTGGCGCTGGTGCTCTCTCGAAAATATGTGATGGATGTCTTCAGGAGTACGATACGCTCGTGCGTGAGGGTCCTTCTGTTGAGGCTGCCCAGAATAACGAGCGGCCGAAATCGACAACACCTGTTCCGAAGGCAGATAGTAATTTGGACCAGAAAGATTCGGTCGGCGAACAAGGAAAGCGAGGTCGCATGGATAGTATCGTAGGAAGTGTCCCTGCCGATTGGAACTGGAGTAGCTTCTGAGCATAAACGGCGCGATAAAAGATAAAGAAATTTCTGCTAAGTAAGGACTACTTTTTTAGACCCGGTGTCTATGAAACTATTTAATATTTTGTATTGTTAATTGTTATATTGAAATTAAGTTTTGATCATGTAGAATGCCACTCTCCTTGTATTAATCGTTGCGAGGCTGATCCTTAGTCTTATTCGATGTGTGAATATTTTCAAAATGTTCGAGGCATAGTTTTCTTTATTGTCTACTCTCTCTTCTCACGCACGGCATGAGCAATCTTACTACTTAGATCGTCAACTTTGGTTGCATCGTCGATGATCTCAAATCCAGAACTCATTGATGTCAGAGAAGACACAGATCCAGATCTGTTGCCATTATTAGAAAAAAGCGGAATATTTGACAACGAATTGTCGCTATTGATCATTGACAGCGCATCACTTTCTGCTTCAGATTCAGAACTCTGCCTAGAAGTCTGCTTGCCCTTTTCTTTGCGCTTTCTGAGCTCTCTTCTTCTTCTCAGCTCCGTTGTGACACGATCCTCATCTTCATCAGTATTGAGTTGGCCAAATCTGTATTTGTCATAGAGACTAACGCCGTCGAATCCGGGATACAGCTCTGGTCCCAATGTATTTACGATGTTCGTAATTTTCTCTTCCAAAACCTTTCTTTCGGTTTGAAGGTTTTTGAGAATTCCAGGGGTTGTGATTGACAAATATAATGGCCTTAGAGACTTGAACACATCCATACCATTGTCTCCTATGATTAGCGCCGAATAAGTGACAATTGTACAGAGCACATATATCCCGACGAAACTCGCAAACTTGTGCTTGGTAATCGAGTTCCTGAAATAGTATGTTAACAGAATCGACCAAAACGTGTACAACAGCGGAGCAAACCCCATTCCTATAAGAATTTTCCAAGTAGCAATAACATCGTTTGCCTTGATCTTCACCGTGGATGCCGCCAACGCTTGCGAAGCTTTCTTCTTTGAAATTAGCTTAGCCACAATAAAGACTGGAGAAAACATGATGATACCCGGTAAAGCCAAAATCAAGGAGATCGATAGACGAAGAGATCTAATGATGAGGAGACTCAAGTTCTTCGCAAAATTGATCTTGGCCGATTCAACTTGATGATCCGGTATATTGAAGTTACTCAAATTGGCATTATAAGTCAGGACATTCTCTTTCAACTGTTTGATTCTGGGATCATCTCGATACATTTGGTAGCCCTTGACCAATCGCCTGTTCATTTCTATAACAAGAGAAAGAGGAAGCTTAGCAGAGAGATGACCAGCATATAATCTTCTAGCCGCCTGAACGACCATCAGGGTTTCGTAGTCCGGACAAGTAACAGTAACTGCTTTTAGGCCAGCAGAGATGTGGTCAAGCAATTCTTTAACGGCATCTCGGTTTGTATCAGGATTCTGATATTTTTGAACAAGCTCAGGAGAAATGGTGATAGGATTACCAAACTCAATCACAGCTCTGGATCTAAATTTGTGAGGATGAAAATAGTTCATGCCACAGGGTACAATTTGGACATTAGTTTCAGGGTGCTTTCCCATGCAACCTAATGCCATAATCGCCACACCTGCTTTCAATGGAAGTAAATCTGTTCTGTCATGAGAGCCACCTTCTGGAAAAATTCCCACACACTGGTCGTGCGCCAAATGCTCAAAAACGCGATGATAAACCTTTTTTTGGTTCACGCGTGGAGCATACTTATAGGAGGTACCTTTTTCCAACAGTTGTCTAACCTCCGGTCTGGTCTGTTTGAATTCTTTCCGAACGTACAATACTGTGTCGCTTTCAATAAATTCAATGACAACATTACCCAAAGATTTGGGGAGACCAATCAATCCTTGGGCTTCAAAATTCTCAGTGAACTTCGTACCGCTTCCAATGATTTTCCGAGGATTATCTTCGCTAACTCTGATCTTACCAGAAGCCGGTTTCAAATTATCCTGAGCCCTTCCCACGCCAATCGACATAGCACAGCGAGCAAAAGTGCCTATGGCTTTTCTCTTGAGCGAGTTTTCTGCCACCAAAAACGACACACGTTTGTTGACTGCTTTTTTGACTTGACCCATCAATAAAACCGGGTCGATGAATTGATTCGCATGTGGTGCAGCTACGAATATCACCGGTCCCTGTGTTGGCACTTTGTAACGCCCTCTGCTGCGAACTTCACGGAAAAAACAGTCGAAGATGTTGCTCAAGAGCCAAAGAAAAACGTCGTAGATGAATTTCCGGTACGCAGGAGGTTCTTCGTACACGTATTGTTCGACATCATCGTCAGAAGTTGCAAACTCTTCGGCAACCTTTTTTGCTGCCGGCAAAAGGTCTCCCATCTCCAGTGTCTGTGGGTAGTAAAATGCGACTGAAGCGCTCAAAATATTCCACCCTTTTTAAATACAAAAATTGCCTGCTCACGACAACAATTTTAATGAATTACCAAATTTAGCTCTGGAATAGGTGCAAGGTTCACTAAAGGGAAACTTTGATTTCCTTAAATTATATTTCACCTGATATGCAACTTGTCTGGATGAGATGACTTCCTGGTAAAATAAGCTTTACGCAGAGAACCTTGAGACTTCAAACAGGTATTGATCACTGGTGGACGCCTTCACAATTGTTTGTTGAAATGGTGGGGTTGTTGGAATTGACATCATCTCTAGCTAGTCTACTTTCTCTAGATTAATAGTGAAATTTCAAGGTCAGCATACCAGGTAGCCACAGTATATATCTTAGTATTTGCATTTTAATCATCTAATATCCGCGATAGTTTAGTGGCTAGAATTCGGGCTTGTCGCGCCCGGGACCGGGGTTCAATTCCCCGTCGCGGAGTAATTTTTTAAATTGAGAACACCTTGCGAACTGATGCATCTAAGCTCTTAACCTTCCGCTAAATCCATTCCATTTCACAACAGGAGACAGATTTTTTACACAAATATGCTATTTCTGGTTAGTTTACCACACCGTTTACGAATACTCTTGGAAAACTGCTCCGGGCTCTCTATTTTGAAGCCCTCGAATTGTATAAGAGTACATCGGAGTGCTTCTCCATGTTGAAAACGTAATGCCATGCATTTGTGTAGCCCGTCGTGTTCGAAACTTCCAGGTTCCGGCCCAAGCGTTTCAGGTACGGCTTCGCCATCCTCGTACGGTGATAGTTTGTGAAAAATGATACGTTTTAACTGCTGCGGACCACTTTTGTGACTGACGGCCTTAAATGCATACACTGATCCTAGTGCATCTAGCTTGCGGATTGCCAATTGAGCGGGATCGGTTTCCCAAAGCAATTGACGCATTTGGGTAGTTATCTTGGGAGCAAAACTTTCAGCGTAGGGCGAAGAAACCGTCTTCTCAGCATCAAAAGCCCCCGTTTCAATCACTTTTGCCAGTAGCTGAGCCCCGCGCTCACCCAGTGTGTCCATAAGCTTTGCAACTTTTGGTGGTGCGTGCGAATCTTGGGTGGAACTCACAATGGTCTGCTCTGAAAGCAATGTCTTGACCTCCACGGGCTCTGTTTGAGCGACGATTTTGCCGCAATCGAATTTTTCCGGATGCAATGTTTGAATGGAAACGCCCGTGGCAGTGTCGTTGTTCAATAGCGTGTATTGAATAGGTGATGAACCTTTGTAGCGTGGCAATAGCGAGGGATGAACATTCAATGTGAACTTGGATTTGGACAGCAGCTGTTTCGGTATCAGCCTGCCAAACGAAACAGCTATGATCATGTTGTAGCCATTGGCTTGCATTGCATTCATTACGGGTCCAAGCATGTCTTGTTTGGAATCGCATTCAATGACTGGAGCGAGATTGAGCGCCCTACTGCAATTGGCTATAGGAACCTCCTTGGTGAGCGACAGGTTTCTACCGCATTTTTTCGCACTTCTTGTCACAACCTGTATTTGGTCGATGAGTCTGGGGCACTTTTCTCTCAATTTATACAGTGCGTTTAGCGAATGTACACTGAACTGATCAGATCCGAAGAACAGAATGTTCAGCGGCTTCGCAACATTTTTGTAAGGACGTACAAAAGAGGCTCTACTGGTTATTTGTCTGGGTAAAAGTCTCATTATTTGTCAAGATTCGAATTCAACTTTTGATCCAATTCATGTATGCAGGTAGCTATTTGTTCAATTATTATTGACATGCTACTAACGTCTGGAAAACACGCCAATGACCTTTAAACGGCATAAATAGGGAAACCAACCTAAAGTATTGTAGCGGATGGGCGATTCCCAGCGTCATAAGGCTCAAACACCAACTTTTTTCATTGTCTTCTCAGCAATGCATCTTAACCATTGACATACTAAAATTGTCTGATGAAAATGCTTCAAAAGACCTTTGAAAATGCGATGAAAACTGCCGAATCTTTATCAATTTGCCATACCAAGAGTACCAAATGAATTGGAGTGACAAAATTCATTAGTGTTGTGATAGAAGCTTTCAGTTCAGCGGTGGTTCTTCATCTTCAACCCTACCTTGAATTTCGTGTCATATGACCTCAAATTAAAGATCATATAGATGAGCTAGCTTACACGTATGAATGAAGATGATCCTGTGTGCAGAGTAGAACGAAATCTTCCCAAATCGGCCTTGGGACTGACTGATGGAGGCAATGGCTGATGGCGTTACAAATACACAGACGCCTGATTCAAAATCACATAGTGTTGATAAGGTTTTTGAAAGACTGGGATCAGACGACTCTTACAAGGATTCCGTTAAACAAGAACTCCAGCATGTGCAAGATTCAATACTGCCAATGAGATTGAAATTCAACGAATTGCTAAGTACGCTGGCAGCAATTGACCGTAAAGGCGAATCTTCGTCAGCGGAAACTTTTAACCAAATACGAACGAAGCTTTTAGAGTTCATCAGCGGGGTGCAACAATTTTCCTCCGATTACGGTAAATTACAGCCATTATTCGAGCGCTTGCAAGAGGTTTCCAAAAGCGAGGACACAATTGTGAACTTTGTCCCGCTAGAACGACTATCTCGCTTAAACGATGCATCCACTACGGCGTCCGGGGGTAAAATTTCAAACGGAAACTCGCCAAGCGCCAATTTTGTGAGCACGGGTAAACAAGCTCCTTCAAATGCACAAACACCCTTGAGCAATGTTCCTACACCGTCTTCTGTCGATAACGCGCCTGCCAAGAAACCACGCAAGCCTCGAGCTAAGAAAACAGCAGGTCCCTCGCCCTCATCCATAGCGCCGCAACAACAGCAGCAACAAAAACAGCAGCCTCAGCAACATCAGCAACCTCAACCACCTCAACAACACTTCACACCTGCGACAAATCCCTCTCAAATCCTTCAAAGCATGTCGCCAATGAACATGATGAGCAGCCCAATGAACACGATTTCGCCCATGAACAATGCCGCGCCCATATCGCAGATACCGTTCTCAGCCCCTTCAAAACCGCCAATGCAGCAGCAGCAACGGCATGTTCAGCAAACTCCACAACAGCAGTTCAATCTTGACAGCATTACCCCAGCGAATATTCTACACATGTCTATGTCTGATCACGGAAACACACCACACGCGCAGCAAACAAATTCACAACAACAACAACAACAACAACAACCGCAACCGCAACAACAACAACAACACCTGCAATCGTCAAATCAGGATTTTAGTGCGCTTGATATCAACAATATTGACCTTTCCAGCCTCAACATGGACTTTTTGCAATAAGATCATCTCTACGTTGAGGTTTAGCGCTTCAATCCTGTTGACAACTGGCTTTTTGTCATGTAAATAAGGCTATGCTATCCAGGGTTTACTACAACTTTCCACGTTAGTCATCTTGGACAAAGATGCACGGACCTCTAGAAATGAGATCTGCGATTAAAAAAAAACCAAGAGAAGGTGCTTCGACAATTTCTGGATGTCATAAGAAGAACCTTACAGTTACAAGTTCTTGCAGGGCGTTTTTACGCTTTGAACGGCTTAGTTGTGATCAAAAAAGCTGAAATTAACCTTATATTTTTACAGGTTTGCATTGCGAGTCTCAGCGGTGGGAAGTGTCAAACTAATCTGAATGCCGCTTTCTCACTTATCGTGATCTCAAATATCATGGGAATGACTCATGGTCCCGCTTCAAGTCACCACAAGATTGTCTTTTTCGATGTTCGTCTCGGATGCTCATTAGATCGATGATTCATTGAAATTCTATTCCAGCTATGAAAAGTTCTTAAAGACAACGTCTATATCAGAAGTTCGAAAGAAACAAAACACATCGCTAGACTAACTCTATCAAATCATTGCAGAATGGCTGAGTTACTGAAGCAAACATTTGCCAATGCTAAGGCTGAAGGACGTAATGCTCTGGTCACATTTATGACCGCTGGTTACCCCAGAGTTGAAGACACGATTCCAATGTTAAAAGGCTTTCAAGATGGTGGCGTAGACGTTATTGAGCTGGGAATGCCTTTCTCGGACCCTATTGCAGATGGACCAACTATCCAGTATGCTAACACTGTTGCTCTTCGCAATGGTGTAAACATGGTGCAAACCTTGGATATGGTGCGTCAAGCCAGAGCTGAAGGTGTTACTGTGCCAATCATTCTCATGGGATACTACAACCCTATCATGAATTTTGGAGAAGAAAAATTCATCGAAGAAGCCGCTAAAGCTGGAGCAAGTGGGTTTATCATTGTCGACTTGCCTCCAGAAGAAGCCCTAAAACTGCGTGACCTTGTAAATTACAACGGTTTGAGCTTGATCCCACTTGTAGCGCCATCTACCACAGATCATCGCTTGGAGCTTTTGTCCGAAATTGCCACATCTTTCATCTATGTTGTGTCCAGAATGGGAACTACTGGTGCTCAAATTTCTGTTTCTGAAGACGTCACCGCGTTGGTCGACCACGTCAGAAAATTCACGAAAGATATTCCACTTGCTGTTGGGTTCGGCGTTTCTACCAGAGAACATTTCAAGACTGTTGGTGCAGTATCTGATGGTGTTGTGATCGGCTCACAGATCATTAAGCTAATCGAGGAATGTAAGGATAATGAGCGTTATGAGGTAGTCAAAACCTACGTGGAAGAAATTTTGGGTGGCCAAAAACACGCTGTTCTATCGACTGAAGAGTTTAAACAATTGCAAACGAAGTCAATTGCCGAAGGTAAAACCCGCAAAGCTGCAGTTACCAACTTCAATGAGGAACACAAATTTTTGGCGAACTTCGGAGATTTTGGCGGCCAATATGTACCTGAAGCCTTGCACGCTTGTTTGAGAGAACTAGAACAAGGTTTCGAAAGTGCTGTTGCTGACCCCATTTTCTGGCAACAGTTCAGAGACATGTACTCGTACATTGGTCGACCTTCATCGCTACACAAGGCTGAAAGACTCTCAGAACACTGCGGGGGCGCTCAGATCTGGTTGAAAAGAGAGGACTTGAACCATACTGGTTCTCATAAAATAAACAATGCTCTAGCGCAAGTTCTCATTGCCAAAAGACTGGGAAAAAGTAAGATCATTGCCGAGACTGGTGCTGGTCAGCACGGTGTAGCCACAGCTACTGCGTGCGCCAAATTCGGTTTGGAATGTACCGTATTTATGGGTGCTGAGGATGTTCGTCGTCAGGCTTTGAACGTCTTCCGGATGCGTATCCTAGGTGCCAATGTAGTCGCTGTCACCAACGGTACCAAGACTTTGAGAGATGCTACTTCAGAAGCATTCCGCTTCTGGGTTTCTAACTTAAAGACAACTCATTACGTTGTGGGTTCAGCTATTGGCCCTCACCCATATCCAACCCTGGTTCGTACTTTCCAATCGGTCATTGGTAATGAAACTAAAGAACAGTTCGCAAAGCTAAACGATGGTAAACTTCCAGACGCGGTGGTTGCGTGTGTTGGTGGAGGATCGAACTCGACTGGTATGTTCTCACCATTTGAGCACGACTTATCCGTCAAGCTGTTGGGAGTTGAAGCTGGTGGAGACGGTGTTGACACCAAATTCCATTCTGCGACATTGACTGCTGGTAGACCTGGTGTCTTCCACGGAGTTAAGACGTACGTTTTGCAAGACAGCGATGGTCAGGTGCACGACACCCATTCTGTTTCCGCTGGTCTGGACTACCCTGGTGTGGGTCCTGAATTGGCCTCCTGGAAAGCTTCCGGCCGTGCCAGTTTCATCGCTGCCACTGACGCTCAAGCTCTTCAAGGCTTCAAGATACTATCACAGCTTGAGGGTATTATTCCAGCCTTGGAATCCTCGCATGCTGTTTATGGAGCTATTGAACTGGCCAAGACCATGGACAAGAGTCAACACCTCATTATTAACGTGTCTGGAAGAGGTGACAAAGATGTTCAAAGCGTGGCAGAAGTGCTACCCAAGCTAGGCCCACAAATTGGCTGGGATTTGAGATTCGAAGAGGATCCATCGAAGTCTGCTTGAACTTACCAAAAAAAAAAGTGCAAGAGCTCAATTAGCTTCTTTCCTTGTCAAAGTAGACCATAATAAAGATGCTGATCGTGGTTAAATCCTCGAGTGTAATCTCAGAGGAGGGCAAGCTACCCTTTTGTAGACATTTCCTTTGGTCTTCTCTTCTCAAAGCTCATACCTTATGATTTTGTACGAACTACATATAGATCAAATTCGGTGTCTTTGTCGTTTCTTAACTAGTAACCCATTACAATCCAAAGTAAATGCTTCAAAGGTAAGCTCAACCCGGAAAGTTGATCGTGTCTGTTACTCTCCATCAAAAACTACATGATAATTAATGGACAGAGGTGTTTTTCTGCCGTTCAAGAAAAATGTTGGTGTTCAACTTGGACCAGGCATCAGAAACTCAGCTTTATACGTTCCTGTGACAGAAAAGTCGCAACAGGCTGAGTCGAAATGGATATTAGGCACTGCCGATAAAGAAGCAGCTGGTGGTGAGAACCTGTGGCTGGCAGTTAATGAAAAACGGAAATTTCTAGACATCGAAAATGACGTCAAAACCAAATTTGGAGAGATCAATGACGATGAGCTTATACAATCGACCAGTGACAGTGAACAAGAAAGCATTGGCTCACTGGTAGATAGTTCTAGCTCACTGAGGCTTTTTAGAAGCGTAAGGATGCTTTCGGACTATGCCTACGAAGTGAGGGTCGACAGTCCAGTTGCACCTCTAACATTTTGTCCCCACCAGGTGTTAGACGTTCCTGAAGGTTTGAATACGAGTAATACACTGCAGGCAGTTGAGGATGAGCAATCATCTGAAAGAAAGCTCGCTACGGCTAGAGACGGTATACTCTCCGGCCTGAAATTTCGATCGCGGATAATCGATCCCAGTGATGTAGCCGACTTCACCATTGGATTTATACACACTACCAATGATCTCCGGATAAACAATGATGCCCATCAAGTCATTGCATACGCTTCCGGCGAAACTCGCAGCATAATATATTTCAGTATGGTCAAGTCGGACAATACCACAGCATTACCATTATCGATTGGTTCAGCTTCTAGCTATAATTTGCATTCAAAAATCAAAAACATTGTCATTCCTGATTTCTCTTCTATTCTTAATAGAGCTTCCGATATTATCGCGGTGCTTACCGCAAATTCTCTTTATGCCTTCAAAATCAGATCTATTGAGAAGTCAACGGGCGCGATGTCGATCGAAAAATTGGGTCCTTATCCGTTCAGCATTTTAGAAGATTTTGCATTCACTGACGTTGCTTTCAACCCTTGGGATTTTAATGAGCTCGCAGTCATAGATATCAAGGGCAACTGGGCCGTCGGCAACTTAGTCAAGAAAGGATCAAGGAACTCTCGTCTGCGATTTTCTGCGAACAAGAGGGGCACAATCTATGATCCTGAAGAGCTCTCCTCATGGCATAAAATTTCGTGGGGTGCAGAATATTCTCGTCTGCTTCTTGTAAGTAGATCAAGATTAGTGGAGTTGAACTTGAAAAGGCGTTTACAGCTTGAGGTCATTGAAGCAAAATCATGGTCATCGATTCGTGACTTTAATCGTGTTAATGATCAAGTAGCTGTCTTAACCACGAGTAAAGAGATCATTATGATTCTGCTCAGAAACGATAATATCGAAAGAACTATATCATGGAAGCACTCTTTAGAAGCCGAAGACACGAGCATCAAGTCAACGGTACGAACTTTTACTGGTGAAGAATGGTTCTGTCGGCACGAAAAGCTTTTTTTCGTATTTCTCTACTCGGGTCTGGGGCCTGAAGTTCTGGTTCATGTGTTTTCGCAAACTGGTTTGCTGTTTCAATCCCTTGGAACTTCTCTGCTGCATATTCGAGACATTAAGAATAGTATGAGTTGTGTCTTTGTTCCCCAAATTCCATTGAGTTTTGAAGATGACAAATCGCGTAAACCAAAGCTCAATTGTCTTGTACGTGAAGCTGGTGGTAGTGTCATATGGCAAGTTACAGTATCGGCAGCAGAGGGAGAGTCACAGAGTTTAGAGTTTCAAAAGGGAGTTGAAAGTCTGAGCGACCGAATTGACTTCGTGTTCACCCCGACCTCCAGAGTAAGCAAAGAGTTTACCGCGCTCAAACTTTCGCTACCGTTAGTTGAATATCACTCTATTGCTTCTACTGAGGAGACTATCTTTCAACAATACGGGTATGATCTTTCGGATGGTATGAATCACTATCTAATGAAGTGGGCACGCGAAATGGAGAATCCGGAACAAGTTCAAAGCCTGGAATGTTGCTCTTTGGCAAGTCTTGCGGAACAGATCTCTTGTGTGAGTAATATGGAGGAGTTTGGTTCTCTTCTTGAACAGTTCAAAGGACACTACAGGGAACAGCACGTTACCTTCACTGCTTTGGAGACTTTGACTACATTGATCACCGAAGATGATGATGTTGCGGATTTGGGTGTTTTTTATAGTAATCTCTTGCAATGCTGGACTTTCGGTTTCCCCGATGATGGGCTTATCACCAGCGAGGTTCTGAAGTCGGTTATTTTGAAAAATACAGGAATCAGCAGTGTTTCTTTGCTCCCGGTTTTAGCAGCAAACGCTTACAGTGAACTTAATGACGTACATCGTGAAGTCGTAGATTCGTGGGACGACCCCGTTGATGAAATAGAAAACAAAGCATCTCTGTCTGAAGCAAGCAATCGTGACATCACCGAGCCAGAGCTCAATTTCCCGTCGGTAAAACCCTCCCAGCAAAGCCCGCCTAAACCTAAAAGGCACAGAAAGCGAATATCGTCTCAAGCGTCGCAGCAGTCATGGCCACAGCCCTTGAATATGTTAATGTCACAAACTTCAACCTCTAATAAACATGCTACTCATCCTGCTGATGTCTCGAGCGTTTTGCCCCAGACCATGACGCCGGCATTTTCTTTAACTTCGGCTTCACAGCCCGTTCCAACACTGTCTGATTCGCAAGGTAGAAACTCTCAAAAACTTAAAAAAAAGAAGAAGCGACTTCAAGGATTTGGATAGTCTTCAACAGTTCATGGACTCATGAGACTGTTGTAACATTTACTACATTATTCAGTTTACAACATTTTATAAAATACATCGAACACTCATTGTACCTATCCGTTCTACGATGTCAGCTCGCCTAAAAGCGGGCTCTTGAGCTCACGTAAACGAAGCAGTCTTTATTTTCATTCGCTTAAACGTTGGTTAGCTATCTTCAAAGAGTCACAAGACTCTCATTACATCAGTTTGCCTTTGGAGTCAGATTTTGGCCGTTGTCAGGTTATAAGGTCCATAATTCTACTGAATTCATTAATGCAGCAGTTCACAGATCAGATTCAAAAGACGGTAAGAAAACTGGAAAAAGAGCCTGTATAATTTCCATGATAGTGCACATAACCTCGGCACTTGTATGCCTTTGCACTGCTGTGTTTGCGGAACAAGCTCATGTAACTTACGGTGAAATTGAGGATTTTACCAAATATCAAGACCAAACGTTAAGATGGGCGCCGTACCGATCGAACTGCTACTTCGGGATCAGACCGCGGTTTGTGAACGATAATCCATTGATGATGGGTCTTATTTGGTTTGATTCGTCAAGCGTTGAAGGCCTCAATCAGTTGAGACACCAGGTTGACATTGGTGACAAACTCGACAAGTACGGTTATGAAATGTACGATCCAAGATTGGGAGGCAGAGAAGTCATAATTGACAGTGCTAACAACTTAAACTTAACGATACATTTTGTGAAGAGTAGAAATGGTGAAAATTGGGCCACAAGAGTGTCGGGGTGTCCGCTGGATACGTCAAAGGGCAAAGTTTCGTCGGTTGTCATGTACTTCAATCAAAATGGCGGGCAGGGCACTCTCAAATCAGACTTGACCAAACGCCAAGATAAGCATCACACAAACCTGGTGGGATTTTCTCCGGAACTCGGAAATTACGATCTCTCTATAAGCGACATTACTGGAAACTACTACAGCAGAGGTCCCGCTTTAGGAAAGGACGCTGACAGCTCTAAAACTTCTCATATGTCTTTCAATGTTCCCGATGACCAAGTATGGAAAGCCCGTGATATCTTCCAGAGTATGTTAGGAGAGTCGGTTCAGGAACTGTTGGCAACTGGCAACAAAATGCATCCATTGTCCCTGCCTTCCGCTTTGATTGTTAGAAACATCAACAACTTTCCTTCAGGAAACTTCCATTTTATACAGAAAACCTTTGATCTAGACCAGCCTTTCGAGTTCGACATCATCTACAACAAAAAGGGCTCCAAGCAACGCATCACCTCGGGAAATGAATTGACAGCTTTAATCTCTTGGACAATGGCTGAGCTCGACGCGCGTTTCAACAAGAAATTTTCTATCGAAGACCCAAACTTGAAGCAGTTCGCTCAAGAGACCTTAGCCAATTTGATGGGTGGTATTGGGTATTTTTACGGTACTCAAATGGTCGATCGTGAAACTCAGCTAGACGAGGAGCAGTTCGACAAGATTGAGCTTAAAAGGGCTAAAGAGGAAGGACCATTACAGCTTTTTAGCTCTGTCCCTAGCCGAGCATTTTTTCCTCGCGGTTTTTACTGGGACGAGGGATTCCATTTGATCCAGATGATGGAATACGACTGCGACCTTGTCTTAGATATTTTACAGAGCTGGTTTGATCTTATTGAGGACGATAGCGGTTGGATAGCCCGAGAGCTTATATTGGGCAGTGAAGCTCGTAGTAAGGTTCCACAGGAGTTCCAGATTCAAAGTCCAAACATAGCAAATCCACCTACATTGTTACTATGCTTCAGTGAATTATTAAGCCGAGTTTTGAAACACCAGGAATTGTCCCTCGAATCTATAGACGATGATTCTTTAGCAAGCGGTTTGCAAACAGATCAACTGTTAAAGCGTCCTGAAGTGCTCACCTCATTTGCAAAGAAAGTGTATCCAAAACTTGCAAAGCACCATCAATGGTGGACAGAAAGTCAAAAGGGCTTCACCGAAGAGTATATGGAAGCTTTAGGTGACAACGTCCACCCCGACGAAGCGTTTAGATGGGCCGGAAGGACGTTTACGCATTGTTTGCCCAGTGGGCTTGATGACTACCCTCGCAGTCAACCTCCGGACGAGGCGGAACTTCATCTGGATGCTTTAGCATGGGCTGGGGTCATGACGAGGTCAATGAAACAGATTTCTGAAATTTTGGAGATGCCGGATGAAATTGAGAGGTTTGCCCGTATTGAACAGAACATCCTTGAGAACATGAACACAATACACTGGAGTGAACAGGATCATTGCTACTACGACGTTACCATTGATGATGATAGTGATGAGCTACGCCGCTTTGTAAGACATGAGGGGTATGTCTCGCTGATGCCGTTTGCTTTGAAGCTTGAACCCAGAAGTTCTGACAAGTTACGCTGGTTCGTGGAATTAATGGGAGACAAGAACAAATTATTTGGCGACTACGGTATTCTATCGTTATCAAGAATGGATGAATACTTCGAAACTGGTGAGGTTTATTGGAGAGGCCCTGTGTGGATAAACATGAATTATTTGTTTTTGGACAGCTTAGCTTATTACTTCGAGGATGGCGGTGATAATCAAGATGCCAAGACGGTCGAAAACGCAAGAGAACTCTACAGTAGTCTCAAACGCAACTTGATTTCCAATATGCATCGCGTATGGTCCCAAGACGGTTACGTATACGAAAATTACAATCATAACACCGGAGGCGGTAATGGGGTTCAGCATTTTACCGGATGGAGTTCTCTGATTGTCAACATCATGGGCCGTTTGCCAGAAAGCCTGTAGTTGGCAAAAGACTCAAATCGGAATCATATGATCACTAACAGCGAAAAGTAAAAACCCAATAATCGAAATCAAAACTAAATCCAAGACAGAATACTGATAATGTTTTGCATGGCATAGTTGCCATAACAGACCCTTTAAGCATGCTGGATTTTCCAGCAACGGTTCTCGCTGTAGCGGTTCGAAATATTTTTTTTTCACGAAAAGTGTCGTTGAGTTTCAAGCACCAGAGAAGTCTCAAAACAGACCCTCCATTCGAAAACAAATTCTGCCCACTGTCTTGCCTTCCCAAAGAATCGAAGAACACGACCGTGTCTGATTGTCGTCATGATTGGCAGCCCAGCCTTCACTGACGCTATCATCCAAATTCGACATCCTGCCCAGCCTTTCGAATTTTATTATGTAAGCGAAAAATAAAAACACTGGAAAATGAAAACCTGGCGCCAGCGACAACGACAGACCAGCAAGACCAGACAGACTTGACTTGGAAGTGGAATTCTTAGAACAGTGCATTCGAATATTTGTTATTGTTTTGATTGTTTTTGTTTTGATGGCTTCAAGACTGCAGGTGTCAGTTTATTTTGCTTGTCCATGACGACAGACCTGTGAATAATGTTTTCAGTCTATGCTGGAGACCACAAGAGAAGGATTGGAGGCCCGGAAATGTTATAAAATGAACGAATTGGGGTGATGAGGTTTTCCTTGTCCTTGTGAGATCTTGTCCTCATCAAACCAGATCTCATCGTCAATCAGCGTCTTATTGTACCTTCAACCCTCAAAAAGATCCTGTCTCACCACATATCCTCTCCAATGATGATGTCTTTCAAGTCTGATTTCCTTTCAGTCCTTTTTTGCCTCGCCTGGCTGTCACAGTACAACGCCAACGCTCTTCCTCTATTGGACCAATTTTCCAAAAGACAAGTAGTGACAAGGATGCACACTGCGAGCACCACTAATGTGGTGACTGACTTCTACTCTACTACAACTCAAGTTGCGGTTGCACCTACTGTTGAATTTATTATTAGTGGTGACACCACGATCACGACTACTTTGCCCCAAGCTGATGGTTCAACTCCAACTGGGAACCCAACAACAACCATTCTGCTGACTGCAACTCTTCAAAACAACAATGCTGCGGACCCAACACCGCTCTCCTCTGACTGTGCAACCACTGTTGCCAACGGAACACCCAAAGGAACCGTGTACGTTTCGCCCGTTCAAAACTCCAATGTGAATGCTCCATCTCCTTCTTCTCAGGCCTCCTCCCTCACTTATTCTACCAGCAGTTTGGTTGCTTCTGCGTCAGTTCTTCCTTCCTCGTCATCACCCGTCTCGAGCTCGTCAAGCTCTCCAAGTGTAAATACTGCCAGATCTGATGCCCCGAGTGCTCACGTACCAGCTCCTCCTGCTTCAACGACATCAACCTTCTCCGTGACAAGCTTACAGCCGGTAACAACTCCCACATCCTATGTGTCATCCGCTGGTGCCACGCAGCAGACTTCCTCTGACACTGAAACTGAACAAACGACCTCCACGACTCAACAGCCTCCTAACACCATTACTTCGCAAGTGGCAACCACGTCATCTGCCCAGACCTCAACTTCCTCTACACTTCAATCCACTCCCGCCAACGCATTGGGTGGTGTCCCTACTGCTTTGGTGTACTCGCCTTACAATAGCGATAACAGCTGCAAGGACTCGTCCTCTGTCTACAATGACCTACAGTATATCAAGTCCAGAGGTGTCTCTCAAATCAGAATCTACGGTACCGACTGCAACTCTTTGCAAACCGTTACCACGGCTGCCAAAGTTTTCGGTATCACCATCAACCAGGGATTATGGATTTCATCTGCTGGCGTTGATTCGATTGACGACTCAGTGAATGATCTTCTCTCTTACGGTCAAGCCAACGGATGGGATTTATTTGATATTTTAACCATTGGGAATGAGGCTGTTCTATCTGGTTTCTGTACAGTTGATGAATTGATAGACAAGATCTCTTCAGTAAGATCCAAGTTCGAAAACGCTGGATTCACCGGTAGATACACCACCAGTGAACCACCTGTGACTTTCCAAAACAATCCAGACTTATGCACAAAGTCCAACATCGATTTTGTTGGTATTAACTCTCACGCTTACTTCGATATCAACTCTTCTGCTGATTCGGCTGGAACCTTCGTTAAGGGTCAATTAGAGCTAATTCAACACGTTTGCGGGACAAACAATGTTGAGGTTACAGAGACCGGCTATCCTTCTGCTGGAGACCAAAACGGAGGAAACATTCCATCAGCTCAAAACCAAGCCATTGCGGTGCAAAACATTTTGAATGAAATGAACAAACAAGTGACAATCCTTTCCACATTTGATGATCTATGGAAGCAACCAGGCCCTTACAACATTGAACAGCATTTTGGTATCTCTAAGCTTCTTGGCGCCTAAACACAGCCAATGCATAGAACCATGACCATAATTACTTGGGAAATGAAAAGTCATATTTGCATATCAAAACGCATCGTTTCACTATTTGTAACATTGTATTGTAATACTATAGTTGTATACTAGGATATATCGGAATAAAAGGAACCTCTAATAATAAAACTGTTATGATTAGAATTCGATGTACTTTACTGGAAAGAACTCATCAATGAGTTCGAGATAATAAGGCTCCAACTCTTTTACACTATGCCTTGTTAGTGATTTCGAATACAGGTCGTATTTATTAAAAGCCTGTACCTCTTGTAACATTTCGAGATCCTTGTCATTCATAAGATATCGGTATGCACCCTCTCTGTGCCATGGATAAAAAGAATGATACCTTATCATGGCCAATGCCTTTTCATTCAAAGTGGACTGGCTCTTCGCAATGTAATACATATATTCGTCGTGGCCCCAAGAAATCATCACGGATCCCAAACCACAGCCCTTTTCATAAATGCCCAATTTTGTAGAGTAAATTGGGTGCGAATTGTCTGGGTTGCCCTCGAAGAACTCTTGAAAGATGATCTCGTCCGCAAATTGGCAACCTATAGGGAAAGTATCTCCCACGACATCCCATTGACCTTCGCTATCGAAAAAATAGAGAATTTTTCCCAAATCATGGATCAAACCTACTAATTGCATCCATCGGGGCATCCCATCGGCACGGATAGCTTCTGCTGTTTGTAGTGCATGATCTATTTGAGATAGCTCTGTGTCAGGGTCTGAGTCGTCAATCAACATACTAAGTTTGCATAGAGCACCCCAAATGGTCATTTTGGCTCTGGTTTTGGTCTTAAAATTAACTCTAGCCTGTAAGTTGAATGCCATAGTTTGCTTCTCGTGTTGCTCTTTGTAGAAATCGCGTACTCTGCTTTTGGCCTGATGGTACTGTCTGAAGTCGTCAGAATTTATAGGCAGGTTTCCTGCGGGTTCTTGCGCTGGTTTCTGAGACCTCAATTTTTTGGATACATGCTCTTGATCGGCATCTTCCAATGGATCTTGATCGTTACCAAAGTCTCGTTTGAGCTTGGATTTAAGAGCATTAACTGACTGGACATTCTCATCCGTAATCTCTAAAAGATGGCCCGTCTTGGTTCTTATGACCTTAGTGCCTTTGGTTGACATGGAAGCATCCAGGTAATCTCAAGCTCCGAGATTTGTTGCTCATGGACTTCAAGAAGCGGGCCCTCGAAGTCGCTGCAACGTAGACCTCAAGGTAGGTTTGACTGAACGTAGAACTTTCACAGTAAAACTAGACTATCTCGGTATCAACGAGAGTTGAAAGTACCTGACAACTAGAGCTCTAAGTATGTTCCTCGAGGTATCAGAATCTGTGATGAGGTAGCTACTTTTCATCGCGATGAGATGCGTACTAAACAGAGATGGCATGCTCTCGTATCATTCATACTATACTAGCAGACATTTTCCGTTAATTAAGAAATTGCGGATTTAGCTCAGTTGGGAGAGCGCCAGACTGAAGATAAACTTCGGTCAAATTTGAAATCTGGAGGTCCTGTGTTCGATCCACAGAATTCGCATTCTTTTTGCAAAAAAAGGTGAGAAACAACGAGATAAAGACACACTCACACACAATGGTGTCAAACAAGATACACGAGCTGTAGCTGTATTTTTTCCTGCATTTGAACCAAAAATGGAGGAAAGATCAATATTCAATGCAGTTTCTTAATTTTTCTCACCGTTGCACCCACTGGCGCGATACTTAATATACACAAACAACCCGGACAACCGGGTCTCAGTTCACAGTACAAGATCTCTTCTGTAGCTCGTGTGGGTTTTGTACAGAGCAAGCGAGTCTTTGCATACTATTCTTCCTCAACGCTCCTTCAAAGCCTTGTTGCGCTTTTCCCTACGTCTCAAGCGGTCCACCTTCTTGGCGTGCATCTTGGTGGCCATTCTCTCGTATCGCTCTTGCTCTTCCTTCTTTTCCCTGCGGTCTTTCAAAGCCTGGATCTTATCTTTATGTTCCTGGTCCTTCTCGTCCTTCAGCTCCTTCAACTTTTGCTTGAACTGCTTGTCTTCCAGCACTTTCTGTTTCTTGACCTCCCAGGAACTGAGTTTTTTGTTCTTCACCTGTCGACTGCCCACTCTGAACTGGCCCTTGGCCACTTTCCATGCTCTACCGCTAACGTTTGAACCCTTAGCCACACTTTCACCGCTGGAATCAGCAGCAGTAGCATTAGCAGCCGAATGACTGTTTGAAATGTTGTTTTTAGTACTCATATTACCGCTTACCAACTATTCAAAACGATTTGAGGGACTAGTCAAGTTTTTTCTCGTCTTTCTTCTAGCTCATCGCAGCTCATCGCATCTCATCTTCCTGGAAGTTTATTGATTCTGGAAATTTTTCAGTCGTCAATAGTGAAGTGAAAAATACACAACTTGAAGCTCATCGCGATGAGCTTGAGCGACCAGAAAATTATTTAGTAGATTCGACTAAACACAACTTCGTCAAGGCCTGTTTGATCGTTTTCTTGTTTTTGAGTTCTTCAACAAACCGATGGATCATGCTCACACGAAATTTTGCAAAAATAAGGCTCAAGAGCCGACCCATTTTCGAAAGGTCTGTTGTAGTACCTGCGAGTGGTAATGCATCTAGACGGAGGCGGAAAACAGTTAAAAGTGTAAGACAAAATATATCAGTGGATGACTTGAGGCTAGATAGACCATTAGAGCTTTCGAATCCTCGAGAACTAGAGCGCAAACTGCGTGAGCTGCGCAATTTCACGAAAAATCTACAAGAACAAGTGCGGGTGGCTGATGACCTATCACAGAAAGAGGCGGCAGAGAAAGCCTTGTTGGAACCTGAAAATGAAAAGGAAGATAGTGGCGAACATACAGCGGCGTTGATCTTGGGAGGTGGAGGTGATTTGAAAGCTATGTCAGGCGGCACTCATAGCCAGATGAGTAGGCATGCCAAGAAAACAGATTTGTCCACATTTCTACTCAGCACATCAGGACAAGCCAAAAAGCTTCTACCTGAAGCAATTTTGCTGCGAATAAACGATGATGAACTTGTGCTGAAATCTCTCATAAACCATCGAAATAGTGATTGGAATGCCATCGTTTCCAAGCTTTACGATAGCCCTGAACAATTGCAAGGAATCAGTCACCGAGTTCTAAAAATAGGAATTTTCTCCAGAGCTTCCCGTCTGTCGTTGGAAAATATTCGAAAGCTGGAATCAATGTTTCGTAAATATGGCCAGCACACAGGAACGGGACTCACGACGGCCATGTATGAATGTCTTTTTGTCAATCTCTCTAACCTGAAACCGCAAGGGGTCGCGGAAAAGAACGAGGTTTTTGGTTTGTTCGACTCACTGTTGAAAACGTTCGATGATACTAAGACGTGCATAATGCATGAACATGATAGCATCGATGAAAACATCTCAAATACCCAGAACAAAGCTATCATGAACCAGTTCGTAATGAACTGCTGCATCAAGTTTGCTTCCAAAGTCATGGACCCTTCCAAACTGAACTACTACCTCACAAAATTCAATCACGACTACAAGGTTTTACCCAACAGAGAGAACTACACCACCATAATTCAATTTTATACTAAAATGGGATTAAACGCTCAAGCGTGGGATATTTTTGCAACCATGAAATTCCTGTCAGCAGAGCATAAACCAGACACGAAGACGTACACCTCGATGCTACATCTTTGTGCCAAAGATAAAAACTATGCAAAAGCCATTGACCTGTTTAATGAAATGACTGACCTGAAAGTTGACATTTCTTCTGAGACTTTGAATGGCGTTGCCAAGGTTTTGGCGGTAGCTAGTGGCGACCCCATTTCCAGTGAGGGGAAAGCCGAATCCTTGAGACTACTTGGCTGGAAGTATCTGCATCAAAATGAAGATCTTTTACAAATGAAGGGCCGTATTTTGGAGGACACGATTATGACAATGATGGCGCTTTGTGCTTATGATGGAGACGTAGGTCTCGCCAGAGCATTATACTTCAAGTACGTCACTGCCAAATTTGCCGATAATTACAGCAAGTGGAGGGCTAGGTTTGGTAACACTATTTCCACAGATTATAAGGCAATATGGTCAAAGTCTTTGAATCCACAGATTTTCAACTACTTGTTGTTAGCGTATGCCAACTTTTCGCCGGAAAAAGTGCCTCTGTTGGTGAGCTTTGATCAAGGAAGTATCACGAGGAGAAATCTGATAAACAGTATAGACTATCAACAGAAACTCGATGATATTGGCTGTGAATTGCCGATCAAAATCCCGATGTTACCTGTAGCGGATTTCAGTCAAGTTTTGCAGGTGATTTTAGAATCTCGCGCTCTATGGCAATTCAATCTTGAATTTGGTGGAATGGTCAACTTGAGAGAAAGTCCGCAAGAATTCTCCAAACTCATTTGGAAACTTCTGGACTCTAGCAACTCATTGGAAGATTTTGCCTTCACAATCTTTAATGAAGTTCTGTCAAAAGGATCTGAATTTGTCAACCACAATGTTCTGAACGTCAAAACTCTGGTATCGTTCTTGACAATTCCAATAAAAATGGGCGATAAAACAGAGTTTTTACTCAGACTATCGGAGTTTTCCTTCGAGCAACGGGAATTGAACAAGCAAATTTCGACTTTGTTCAATGAAGCCAAATTGAATTCCTTGCCTGTAGGAACCGTGCTGGAATCTCAGAAGAGAATTCTTGATCACGATTTGTCTGTTCAAGCCGATGCTTCTCTGGGTTATCTTTTATCAGTGAAGCATAAGCTTTTGAGAGAGTCGGTTCTTTATGAAATAACCATGCGGGCAGCTATAAAATTTAAAGACGTGGACTTGGCTAAAGAAACGTGGGAAAGCCGTGGTGCATTCAGGAAACTAAATGCTTTCCAGAACTTGGATCCACAAGAAAGAGTCACCAAAGACACTGTTTTCGCGTCCCTGATGGTAGATTTGTTTACCGAACAAGAACTGTACAACGATGCCATGAGTATCATCATGTCATCGCAAAGGTACATTAACTGGACATATACGATGATTAAAAGGCTTCATCGCAAAATGATAGAGTTGGAGGACGAAAACAGCATCAGAATTTTAATGGAAGTTGTTAACAAGCGCTCTGCATGAGTAGGAATTTAGAAATGACCCTGTGTGGGAAAAATAAGTATAGTGTCTATATTAATGAGTAATGAACTTGCATTTACAAGTCATCGAATGCTATTATATTGTGGCTATGCTAGGTGCGGTCCTTAAAGTGTGTGAAGTTCGCTTTCATTACAAACTGAGCCAGGCTTTTGATCCAGCTCTTGTTGTAGACTCTGAATTTCCAGCTTTAGCTTAGTAACCTCTTTTTCGAATTTCTTACCGTAATGATCGATATAGTACGTTGCACCGTTCCTTGCAGCACACAAATAGATGAACATTAGAAATGCAGCTGCAGCTTTTCTGTGATGGAACCATATCCCGCACAGCATCATAGTCCCTAATTGATAACAGTACTGGATTAGAATATAGCAAAGCACGGGCCAAGGATCAGGCAATTTTACGGCCCAAAAGTTCTTGAACTGGTGAGAAGTGAGATACTCAAAGCTAGTGACCCTTTGTCCCGATTTTATCTTAGAAGATTGCCGCAAAGTAATGAAATAGTGATAAGCACTTTGCCAGACGAGATAATAAAGAGAAGTCCAGAAAATATTGTACTTTAAGTTCCATTTTTCGGACGCAATCAAAGAAGCTGCTGGAAAACGGTCTAGCTTTAAACCCTCATCGATACCATGCCTTATGGTGTACATGGTCAGAGGTGGCATTATGTGAATAAAGCACGATGTGATTTTATCAACCGAATGAATAACAAGCGAGTTTCTCCATGTTATGACAGCAAAACACAAAGTGCCAAAGGTGAATGCAAAACAGCTTTGATATAGGTGAACTGAAGTGGGCCACACCCAAATGAAAAGCAAGCACATCATATTGACATAATAGCACAGGTCAGCCATATAGTAGTGACTATTGGTCTTATAATATGTGTAGTAACGTACCGGCATCAGTAGAACAAGCATCAGGGTGTAGTATACGTGGAACCATTCCGGGTATTTTCCAATAATGAACCCTATCCCAAAAATGTTGAAGAGCGTAAACGGATAAAACCACTTTTCCAAATAAGAGCTTTTATGGAAAAAAAGTGTCTCTAGAGGTTTATCCAGAGATTGTAGACGTGTAAAAGTGCGTTTTTTGAATTCGTCCAATTGTGGGGTTAAATCCTGAGCCGTGGTCCGTAGTTTGGCCAACTTTTGCCGCGTCTTAGTGCTCCTAATCCGCTGCGTGGCACTGTTGAAGTATCTACGTGGCAGATAGTAAGATTGGGCTGTGGGTGAAACAGGGTCCAAAAGTTCAACCCACGAAGCTAGAGATATACGACCTGTGGGAGTTTTGCCCTCATCCGAATCGTAGGGGTCGCCCATCAAAAATGAAAAGTGAGTATTTGAGTAGTGCGAAATGAGAGTATCAGCAAGCGGGACTCAAGCCGAAGCTGTTGGTGGTGAAAAACAGTGTGTTATTGGTGAATAACTTTAAGGAACACAGCTAGAGAGAGCCATTATCGTTTGATGTGTGGAAATTAATGATGAGTACTCTTGGCATATGAGAAGGGCGAGTACATAACATATAAGGAAATATAGTCACGTGGTGTAAAGATGTTTGGCGATTCGCGGCCACAGGGGACACCTAAGGCGTCAACAGGGCATATCTGAAGCATTGAGATCTCAGCGCAACGAACACGTATGACTGTAGACGGAGAAGATTTGGAGCACACATCTACAGTGGATCGATCCAGAATCTGGACTGGGGACGAATCACGAATCTGCTGGATTGAAATGCTCATGAATAGATCTGGACAATACCGTCTAACCGCTTTTGCGGCAAAGGAACTTGTAGACTTGAGAAGGCCATTACGAATGAAGCGATGTTTTCGTAGAACACGACAGGGGTCGTCAAATTACACTCACCATATACGAACAAGCTTCTTGTCACATGACGGGCCACCCATTGCACAAATTTGTTCTCGGTTCATTGAATCCTCCTAATCATACGCATTGCCAACAGCCACGTGACGCCGTATTCCTCAGTTCTTTATCACCCGCCCTCTCCTCTCACACCAAGGTATGTTCTGTTGTGTCCCATGCTAGGCTCTACTGCTATCACTTTTGTCCCATGTGTCGTTCCTCGTCTAGCCACTGTGCGCGCCAGTTTTCTTAACGCCGAATTAATGAAAACTCAAATCCGCAACCCAAAACCCGCGCGGGAGAATCACGTGCACTGCCATTCTCTTATTTTATCATTATCATCATTACCACCACCACCACCACCACGACTTCCATATCCTAATCGTCATACTCCTCTCTGTCAATACCTTGTTCCCTTTCTCCCTCGGCAATTGTGTTTCCCTTTATCCATGGCTTCTCAACTCACGATGACGTCTTTCCACGCATCCAACCGTCAGAAAAAAAGAACCTTATATGATACCAGGTCTAAAATTACCATGTTCTTATGCATACACGGTAAAAAGAACAGTTCCGGGAGCGAAGCCTAAACACCCATGAAGACCTATGAAGACCTATGAAGACCTATGAAGACCCAAACTACCTTAGACCCAGCGCGTACGTTGGGTCCCGACTTGTGAACCATACACACATACATACACACATCCATACATAAGCCGTATTAGGTAACTGCATTTCCTCTTTGGGCGACGTGCAGCTCATAAAACTTGGCTTCGGTCCAGCTATACGTTGCTAGGTAAAAGTCCCTTATCTGTGTTCTGTAAATTACCCACACGCCCTTGATGAGCCCGCTCAGGGTGGTGCTCCTCTGCAGGTTTTGATAGCGTAGAAGTGGGTTGGGCTTTTTTTTTCGTGGTTCTATAGGTCTCTCACGTTTAAGAACCGCATGGGAACCCGAGAAAGACAAAAAAAAAATGATAACAAATATCTTGACAACAGCCGTGCGTGCAGAAGGCCTTCTGGCACACACTGCACTGTACTGCACTGCACCTTTTATTCGCTTCGCAATGGCTCCGGAACAACCGCAGTGGTTCGATGCCTCGCTCTGAAAATTTGATGTGAACCAAACCTTCAGCCGTTGAGATCCCACCGCACGACCGGTTCTAACACGTCATAATTCTGGGCTCGAGAACTGTGCGTCGACGGTAAAATCGAGACATTCCTTGAACCTGCGACAGAATCGTAGGGCAACGCCACAAGAAACACAGTACAGCGGGCATAGTCCCCATCGTCTTAGATGGAAGGTTTTCCTTTTTGATCGCTTGGATGATACTATTTTTTTTTGGGCGGGCCCATCCATTCATCGGTGTGCCGGGAGGTGGCAGAGACAGACAGACAGACAAGAAGTCCGTGCAGCTTGCACAGACATGGACTTTTTTTTTTCCCGGACCCCCCACCCCGTGGCATCGATATCATGAACCCACATAGCGCTACGAAGCGTACGGTTGGTTGATCGTCGTGATACGACGGTGTTTTCTAGATACCAACCAGGCGTTGTTGTGTATATGTGGTTATGTCCGTAAGTAAGTGAATGTATGTGTGTATGTGTGTGTGTGTGTGTGTGTGTGTGTATTGATTGTATATATAGGAAGTGGGATTCCAGCAACGGTGGACCATTGATCTGTCTCGAAAGAAGAAAATCTGGTTTGACACACTCGACTTTTCAACTACCACTTCGTCCCCGTATGTTCAGTCGTAGCATCAGTATGTCGTCGTCATCGTCGTCGTCTCAAAATTTCATTCGCTACAACAGGCTTGGTAATAGAGACGAGACGCTGCATCCAGGCTTTGAATTTCGTAAATCACCATTGCATTCTCATGAGCGTCCTGGCGCCATAGAGTGTCACAATGACACTTACGACAACGTTGGTGTGGAGTCGTATGCGTGGCAATTCCGTGGATGCTTCGACGCAGATCTCACCGAGGACTCCGCTGACACCGGCAACGTAACAGACCTGGAGGCCACCGCCAATACGCCTAATTCATTGTCTCCCAGTCTGACGTCCACTTTTGTATCCGGATCCGATGTGCAACCTTCTCTACGGCCCGTGCTGGACATGGCTGGCCTAGCGTTGGAACGCACCTGTCCCATGCCGGACATGGACAACGAATCGGACCTTTCAAGCTATTCACCAGCAGAGCTATCCCTGAATCACAACGCTTTGCCATTGACCACATCTCAAATCAGCACTCCAGCCGTCTCAGTGATAAAGCCAGAACCATGCGTTTTGCAACTTCCGCATAAGAACTCAAAACCCATCAAACCTGTGAACCGGTCATGTCGCAATGTTTGGTGCGAGAAAAGCGACATGGCTTTACTCAAAACCATGCTAGCTACTCAAGAACTACTCCACAACGTTTTCAAACGTCGGCCTCGTAGTCGCTACTGGGCTTGCATTAGTGAAAGCCTCGCGACCAAAAATCATATGCACCGGAACAAACGTCAGTGTCGCGATCGCTTCAACCTTATCTATTGGAAAGCAGTTCGCGACAAGAATCAAGACAAGCCAGCTGGTAATAAGAGCGAACTGGAAAAACTAAAAACTGAATACATGGGTCGTTTCTTCATCGACAAAGACAACAATGTAATGTTGAGAACACCCGAAGATGGCGATGCCGGTGAGTTGTCTATACCACATGAGGACGTCAAAAACGGTGAAACATCGACTGCCGATTTGAAAAATCCATGGCATATTTTTGCCAGCCTTCAAAAATCCGTCGTACAGCTCACAGAAAGACTTGACAGTCTTCATGAGGAATTGAATACTCAGAGAGAAGTGATCAGACACTACGAACAAAACCACGCTTTCAACCTACACGAACAACAGCAACAGCAACAGCAACAGCTACCATCACAATCACACCCAGAGTTATCGTTGCGTTCGGATTACGATCGTTACGCCGGCGATCAAGGCATTGCAAACAGCATCCGGTGGTAATGGGATAAGAAGACAAGATGAATGATATGGATGTACTATATAGACAACACGGCAATCCGGGCTACAGATGAGGCTAGTCTTCGCCTCAAGATGCATAAGCCACTTTAATGTAACAAGATCAATTTTTTAAAGCTAGCAAATAATGACGGTAAATTTTCTTATTACAAATTAACAGGCCCGGCATTAGGTGTCTCCAGCTTGAACGATCTTAACGCCGTGGCGCCCTCTTTCGCGCCAGATCAAAGATATACGCAAACTACATTTCAACATAGTCGTCAAGAGCGGCCTCTCTTCTCTCAAACCTCGCCAAGCCGGTGGTGATGATGACAAACTTTGGGACGGTGTTGTTCGGACAGGGCTCGAAGACGCTCTTGGTTCCATTGTACACATAGGAATAAATGAGCATCGCAGATCAGGTGAATAAGGAAAAGCAACTGGGAAATGAGAAACTGAACGGGAAATACGCTTTCCTAAAAGAGAATTGAACATGCAGGTGCGACAATCGGGTATGTGACGTTCCCGAAATAGCAGCTACCGGATGCGTTTCCAAATCGAGTAGTAGGGTTTCCTAAAGGAAACGGTTCCCGATGCGGATATACGATTACCGTTTTGGGAACGCGCGTGTTTGGCTCGTTATTAGTCCGGGTTTGCCGAATTCTCGGACCTCCTACACTGCTGGAATGTTCGACTTGTTGCTACGGTTAACAGGCCCATACTTTCAACTCTTGACAACAGCACGGACAATGCGCCGGGAAAACTCTGATGAATGCCAGCTCGGGTTGATCTGCCGGTGTAGTGTAATCGGCAGTATAAAGCGTTGTGGTAGTGATGGATGATTGTTTCGACCGAAAGAAAGGCTTTGTCACGGGAGACAGGCTCTCATAGAAGTGTAAAGCTTTTGCATTCCGTCTTTCCTTTTCTCGGTCTTTTTTTTTTGTGTCTCAGTTTTTCGAGTTTTTTTTTCGGTTTTATCTGGAGTCCACGTATCTAATGAAGAAAACGGTTGGGATTGTGAGTTGAACCTCTCGAACATAGAAAACTAAGGAGTGCAACACATGATGTGTGGTGCAGACAAAGGACTTGGTGTCCTTTATGGAATAGGAACCTATCCGATGTCCTGATGTCTTCGAACATCCGTCTAACAACCGATGAAGGTGGTTGCTGACAAAAAATGAAGCGTTGCGAGCGATCACTATTGAAAGATCGCATTGGGATGAGTGGAAACGATGCTATACGTTAAGGAAATGAGAGGACAGTTGGCTGGTTGGGCAGCTACATCTAGAAATCTGCTCGGTTTTGGCAAGATGACTTGTAACGCATTACAGAGGATAAGTTGAAATGACGTAGAAAAAGTACAGATTTGACGTCACTAAATTATAAAGTATAGCAGTTTTTTCGAAGACTCTCTTGTATTGGACGAAGAAAGCTGAGGGGATCTTTGATTATTTGATCTATCCAGTGCTGTGGTGTTGGATGCTAGAAAACTGCTATAACTGTGAAATTCATGTCCGCTCAACCGATAAATTCGCTTCAATTGATGGGCAGTTGTTGAGCTAATGGTCATTTCTCAGTGCAAATACTTTTGAACTGCGCTCACTCGTAATGGACGAACATCTCATCTCCTGTAGTACACACACGACATCGGAACAAGTCCCTGCAATTATTCAAAGTGGAAGAGCCAAGTTTTTAGCGTTTGGTTTTTCAATTCTTTTGGTAGCCCACTGTCGTGGAAAAAATGGGGTATAATTTGGTGATCGGTTCACCGCCATACATCGCACATTGACAAAATCGGTCACAAGCTTCTAAGAGGGTCGAATTTCTGCTTGCTTAACGCGAGGTCGTTTTACGTCAATAATTGAGCCTCGCAAGTAATTTGGAATCGCATTGGTACACCTCACCAGCTTGAGTGCATTCTTTGAAATGATACTTGGCCATTATCAAAACGAAATAGCACAGTTTTCTAGCAAACTGCTTTTTCGATTTGGATTATAAAGCTTTCTTGTCGGTGCAGACTAGCTCTCTAACACGAAAGACTTGAATTAGGGACCTTTAAGGAGAGTAGTGGCAGTCAAATTAAAGGTAAAAAAAGCTGAGACATTGGACGCACGGCGAAGATCCAGTTCTGTCATAAACGTGGGGCAGAGGAAAAATTTGGAAGCAGTTTAATGAACGGTTTTTTTTCGTTTTCCATGGGCTTGTGTCGCTTTGAATTAAACTTTTTTTGACGCCATGAATATCCGCGCCCGAATTTCAAATCCAATAGCTTGCTCAATGTAGAGTGAAAACCGTAAGGAGCATAAAATCCATGTGTCAGTTATTTGCGACCAATAACTAGTCTTGATGTATCAGAACGGAATAGAATGGACAAGCTTTTGAACTTTCGTGAGGCCGAATGCTACGAGATTGCATCCGAATTCTATATCTTGTTTCCTTAGTATTCTTGATCACGGTTACCAAACAAATCCCACAAGGTTCCGTGGAAAGTTTATCACCGCTTGTACACGTTTTGATCTTGGAGCGTTATGATACAAGCCATTTGATTCTGGAATCGGATACTTTCACTTTGATACAGACGGTGTGACGACAAATCTTTACTATTGAAGGTGGTATCCACTGCTTGCTCACGTCCTATGGTGATCGCAGTAGTTTTCTCACATCTGTCGCTGTCATTGCGTCACGTGGTAAAAGTTAGAAGTTTTACTGGAAGAGAGTCTGACAATAAACCTCTCATTTGGACACTGTCCTAAGCTTTCTATGAAGGATTGTGGTGGTGTTTGCGAAGCTCACATTCGTGTCTTGACGAGAACTTCGATGATATCAGTAACATGAGAATCGATTAGTATGGGACCACGTGTGCGTTCGCACACACATTCCTAACAAGGAGTCCCCATCGAAAACCGCTCTATCCGTCGCCCATTTACTCTCTTCTATTCAAAACTCTCCCTGTCACCTAGTGGCAAACCCCAATTGACATTCTCTAGAAACCTTTTGGCTCCCCAGTCGTAAATGACACGCAGGGCAAAAGTGATCTTCCCTCCTTCCAATTTTTCTCACACGCATCAGCTCAAAGAGCCATCTACACAATTCACTTGACAATACTCCTTTAAATAGGGAAAAGTAACACATGTATACCTCACTTGGTTCTGGAATCTAGCTCACAATGTAAACGTCGTTGACACTTGGACACAGACGTATATAGTGACTATCTTTTTCCAAACTATCACCCCAGTTACACGAAACCACATTCTAACTCCAATACCATTTATCATACTCTTTTCAACCTGGACTACAACACAACCTATTCATAGTAGATCTTCTAGATGAACCTCGGGGATCTTACACCCAGTCATCCAACATCCCTCGTGCTTCTCTCGTGACTATCTCGCGTTACCCGTCTTCTACTATATATCTGCTTAATATACAAGCCTAATATAATCAATCATCACCCACCGTTTCATTATCACTACCTTTTCTCTCACTAAGGGGGGGTATCTAATAAAATGTGTTGCCCTTAGATATAGGAACTGAATAATTAATTAAATTATATATATTCTTGACCAACTCCACACAACAAAAGACATCGATACTCCTTCAAAAACACGTTTAAGACAGTGTAAAAGCAGCTTTTAAGCGAGATTTCGAATCTCTACACATTGCCACATATTTTTCACCAGAAAAACGGGCTCTTAGCTGTGCTTTTTGCGTGTTTTACGGGACTTTTAGCTGCTCAATAAGGTTTGTTGTGATAAAGACAAAGCCTCAAAAGTTGAACTGGGGGTTAGTAGGTTTGGCCTTTTTGAAAGCAGTTCCAATACGGACGCGAAACTGCTGGAGACATTAAAGTTGGAATTTTTTTTGGCGCTGGTCGTCCAGAAACGAAAAAAGAACAGGAGCAGGAACGACAACGGGAACAGGAACAGAAACGGAAACGGGAAAGGAAAACTGCAAAGAGATAGTGTACTGAAGAAAGTCCACAGCCAACCAGTGATTTTTAGTTTTTTCTTCTAAAAGAAAAAAGCCTTGAGTAAAACTGAGATTTTGGATTCTCCGCGTGTTTTCGATTCAATGTCGCAAAATATTCAGGTCAAACGTAAGCGTACGAGAACGCTGGATGCCGCACCGCGTGCGGGCATGTCGCTGCGGTCAGTACCCCAAGGTATGTTTCTCGACAACGAAGCAGACCCTATCATTGGCGAAATGCTGGCACGGCAATCTGCATTGTTGCAGGGCAACTTGATCGATTCCCATTTTGCCACAGCCACTACTGCAGAGGGGTCAACAGTCGCTGGAAATGAGAACTCGATAGACGAACACACAGTGACCGGTGGAACGGACGATATCACCATCAATAACAATAACAACAACAACCACAACAACCACGTTGGTGAAGAGGAAGACGACGATCTTATCTTTGTCAAAGAACAGCCCGTTCAATTTCCAGCTCCTCTTGATCCACATGCAGAACACCACTACACCAGCAAGAAATTCAAAAAGCAAAGAACCATATCTCTTCCGCAGCTTCCGCACTCCAAACTGTTGTACGAGGCTGCTCAACATCGTGCTTTGCCACATCGTCAAAATGACGATGATTTGCTTCATTTAAGTGGATCATCTACCAAGACCATCGACGGCAACCGGGGTGTCACATTGAATGTGGTGAAAAGTCTTTCCCCGCTGAGTGTCAACGAGCATGGCTCGCCAGTATTCAAACGTATGGCAGCAGGACCCAAGATATCTAGACTGGTCACTGCAGCTAAGAAAAAAAACAAGAAAGACTTCTTCCAAACCGACAAAGAAGGTCACTACGTTTACCGCGATGAAGACAATTTTTGCAACGGTAGGTTTGTCGTCAAGAGTTTGCTTGGACAAGGTACATTCGGGAAAGTGGTACAATGTGTTGATAATACTCCTTCTTCTCTTCAAAGCAATGAGTTTCAAGGGTTTGAAGATCCGTTTTCCGAATCATTTGAGGATTCTCATTTCGATCTTGATTTCTCAACTCCGGAGTCCAATGTTCCAAGATCCGCTAAAATGGTTGCTGTTAAAATAATACGTGCTGTTGATCGGTATCGTGAAGCTGCCAAGACCGAACTACGAGTTTTGAAAGCTATTTTAGATAACGATCCGCTGGGCCAGTATCAGTGTCTGTTACTTCGTGAGTGCTTTGATTACAAAAATCATATATGCTTGGTGACAGATCTGTTTGGAAAGTCCATATATGACTTCATGTGCAATAACGGTTGTTCACGCTTTCCAGGGTCTCACGTTCAAGCGATCACAAAACAGTTGATTCGCTCCGTATGTTTTTTGCATGATTTGGGAATAATTCACACGGATTTGAAACCTGAAAACATACTTCTATGCGATGAATCGTACGTGGGAAAGCCTCTCTCTCAGCAAGAATTATCAAATTTGAGCCCACGCCGCAGAAGTGCATGCAATGGAGAACGGAAGTTCTTGACAAATCCTGATGTTAAGCTGATCGACTTTGGCAGCGCCGTTTTTTATAACGAGTTTCATCCAGCGGTAATTTCTACGCGGCATTACCGTGCACCAGAAATTGTTTTAGGTCTAGGTTGGTCCTTCCCTTGTGATATTTGGTCAATTGGGTGCGTTCTGGTAGAGTTGGTTACAGGAGAATCATTGTACCCCATTCATGAGAATTTGGAGCACATGGCAATGATGCAAAGATTCAATGGCAGACCGTTCCCACCTAAAATTGTGGAAAACATGCTTTACAAATCGGATCGCAAAATAGGAAATCTGGCCCCAGATTTGAACGCCACCGTTGTGAAGCATTTTGATAGAGACTCATTGGCCTTAAAATGGCCAGAGCGTAATTCCAAAGGAGAGATCATCACGAAAGAGAGATCAATGAGAAGAATTTTGTCCGGCTGTGATCGGCTGGACAAATATGTGATGCAAAAAATACGACAAGATCACGGTGACTGGCTAGTCATTAATTGGGATATGAGTGCTGAAGACAACTGGGCTTTACTGGAGTCACAGCACGATGAGCAGGTGCTCGATAAGGAAGTGTTCCTATTTTGGTATTGGTTCTTGGATTTGTGCCAGAAAATGTTTGAATTCGACCCTACTAAAAGGATAACTGCTAGGGAGGCAATCAATCATGAATGGTTCAATTACGGTATATTGGATGAGGGTATTGCAAGTTTTGGGAAAGTTCAGCACAACTAAGAATGTGGTTGAAATTAATATTTTTCCGTGTGGAACGGTATTTCGATATATTTACATAAAAGTGAAGTTGTGTCAATGGATCTGGACTTGGAACTGAATACCAGTTGTCTCTGAAGAATGCTTTAAGAAGAACTTTGAGCAATGCACTAATAATGTATTCAAGCTAACAACGATGGTCACAGAAAACTACAACTTCCAAGTGCTCGTAAAAACATGACGCGCGCATACCAAAATGCATCAAATATTTTCCCCATCTTTTCTAATCCTGGTACAAACAACTATATAATCTTGGAAAGTGCAAATACACTCCCTTTGGATTAATTTTGGGTATCATTGGCCTTGAACCTAAGCATCGCCATTGTATTATCCCATTTATCAACGATAACAGATCCAGTTCGATCACGAAACTGGTCGATGCCAGTTGCCAATTCAAAAAACGTCGATCTGCAACGTAAAACCAAAGGCCCTCCTTTACTTAAGCTCGATCTAGTCTTGGTGACATAAGATGTAATTTTGTCCCGCAGTGGAAACAAATGACCGGAGACTTGATCTTGCCAAGCCTTCTCTAGTTTCTTCTCAAGCCTTGAAAATTGGTCCTTTGTTTCAAGGCCAATGGCTTGTTTATAGTAGCTGAGTTGATCAGCAGCAGATCTGAATTTCATAGAGCATGACGAAAAAGACCTGTTAACGGCAGACAGTAGAGCGATATTTGCATGCTGAACTTTATTCTTCACATTTAATAGTTTGTATTTGTCAAGCTCTTTGACATGGCTCAGAAATGCCCGAGACTTTCCGCCAATGTGAGACTTGGCCGATTCCCAGTAAGTGACCTCCGGAACGATAGGATGAGCAATGCGATTTTCAAAATCAACGATGAATTTCCCAGCGCCCTCGGAAATCGCTCCAGGAGGCAATACAAAGTCCACGTTTCGGTACGTGGCACCGTGGTTCGTGAAGTATGGTGCAGTTGCAACGTCATTCACAAGTGTTGGCGAAGGGTTGTTCAACAATGCTTGGAGGGTGCAAGTTATCAAAAACGTTGTTGATGACGTCAAAAGAACAATCTGCCATGGGTTCAACTGAGCAAGCCCACGCCCTGCACGGCTGCAAACAGTTGTATTCTCTGGTGCCAAAGAACTTGATAAAACCGGATCATGAGACAAAGTCTTGGCAAGATCTTCCTTTTGCTCAATAAGGGTACTGAAACCGTAGCCGGTGGCTACTGCATCATTTGAGGGAGCAATCAAAGAGTCAGATTCATCCGAACTGGCTGTTGAAAGAACGTCGTCACAAAGACCTTCCTCTAAAACCGTCTGGATCGAAACGCCGTCGCTACGCTGAGAAGCCCCATTTCTGTCGAAATTAACAACACTCCAGGTCCTATCTCCCGAGTTTTGAGGTTGTTTCTTGCTTGAGGTCATTCTTATCGAAAACTTGGGTTGTGATAATCCGATTCTGATGGTATAAATGGGCCTTTTGACAAGATTTTAGTGTGAGTTTTTGGAGAATTCCACGATCAAACTGCTCACGAAATTTTGCTTTAAAAGTGTGGTGAATTCCGTGCTTGTGAAGACAGAAACAACACCGAATTTGAGTCTTTTGAATAGCAGAAGATGGTAAAGTTTCGGTGAGAAACACCGGATCCCCCTTGGATCCAATCAATATATGAGGCCCTTCTAGCCATATCCCGTATAGAGCGATCAATAGTCTCAGCTGTAAAGAGATTCAAACTTGAGCTCCAGTCCAATGAGTCTTGTCAAAGGGCTTTGACGACTGGGCAGTTTAGAACTTTGGCGCACCATCATGCTGAAGTGATTTTTTTCTCTATCCAGGCGCATTTTTAGCCAAATTCTGACACTTTTCAATGTGATTTTGGACCACTGTGTAGATCCGGTTGTTTTCATGCCAACGAGGGTTCTAAAATGGATTTTTACACTTTAACCACCGCTGCCTTGGGCACCCCGTTAAATTCTTTTACTTTCTGATGCAGTTCGGCCACACGTTCGGCCATGTCAAGGAAAAGCTCAAATTCTTCGAGCACGGTAGAGACAATTGCGTTGATGCCGGTTTTCCAGTTGGTACCATCGGCACCAGATTCGGAGCCACCGTCGGGAGAGGTGGCTCCAAACATGTCGCGTTCTATTCCTTGGACAGCGCTTTCGATGTCGGAAAGTACGTAGAAATACTCGTCCAATTTATGTTTGTATTGTTGGATTTTGTCCTGGAAAAACTTGTCGAGCTCGATTGAGGAGATCTTGGATCCCGGGGTCGTTAGCTGTTGAAAAATTGTCGAAAATGTTTGGGAGTCTGTCATGTTTTGATCTATCGTGTCTTTGATACCTGTTATTTTGCGCAAATCCTGCATCAAAGACTGCTGTGTAACTGAATGCGTGGTTTGCAGGTATTTGATGTCGCGCGGAATGGAGCGGATAAGTTCTATGTGATCGTCGAAATCGGCCTTTAAATGTTGGGAGATGGCAACTTGACGTTGAATGTAATTGTCCAATTGCTCGATTTCTTGACGAATCTGAGGCGGTAGATCGGCCACTCGTGTCATTGGATTAATCGGCAGTTGCGATAGCGATTGTAAAGCCGGTTGTACGTGTCCTTGCGGTTGCAGAGCATTATTGGAGCTTGTGTTGTTGAAAAGGGAGGTAGCACCTTGAGGTCTGCTTCCAAAAAGACCTCCAGAAGTGGTTTGTGAAGCATTGTTATTGCTGCCAAAAAGACCGCCAGTGGTGTTTTGTCCAGCGTTACTGTTACCGAAAAGTCCACCACTGGCACTGTTGCTGGCGGTATTGTTGCCGAAAAGTCCCCCAGACGGCTTGGATCCAAGAAGACCTCCAGATAACCCACCAGAAACGGTGTTGTTTTGTCCGAAAAGACCACCTGTGGAAGAACCGGTGTTCGTATTTTGGTTATTTTGTCCAAACAAACCACCAGAAGTGTTGGTAGTGGTGTTCTGACCTCCGAACAGTCCAGTACCTCCTGTGTTGCCGGTGTTGGAAGCGGCTGGTGCGTTACTTTGCTGTCCAAAAAGACCTGTATTAGTGTTGTTTTGGCTATTCTGTCCAAACAAGCCTGTTCCTCCGATATTTTGGGTGTTTTGGCCAGCTGGTGCAGTTGATGTACCCGTATTTTGTGTGTTTTGCCCAAAAAGACCGCCGCTTGTCCCAGAAAAGCTAGTTGCTGGCTTTTGTTGTGCTCCCTGGCCAAAAAGTCCCTGGCTCTGGCCTTGCTGGTTCTGTTGGCCAAATAGCCCACCGCCAGCTGGTTTGCTCTGTCCAAACAAAGAGCTTCCGCCTATACCACTTCCTGCTGCTGCAGAGCTCGATCTACCAGAATTGAACATGGAGAAGTATTCTTTGATGAGCTAGAAAGGTTTTCGAACTGAGTAGATCTCCTTTAAAGTCTTGAAGATCATATTTGAATTTATTATTTAGCCCACTAAAAATTTGCTACGTGCGTAACGACATCACGCTAATTTTCGATATAGCTTTTGACCATGGAAAATAATATTAAAGGTGAAAGTGGTTGAATGAAATACAGTTCTTCCGACATAGGATAAGTAGTCTATTCAACCAGTTTATAAGCATTAGTATCGCATATTAAGTGTGTTATTACTTCTGCTCGATCCAAGCTAGCTAAACGGTCTTTTCAAACGGAAAAAACCGCCGGAAACTGTGATTTTGAAGAGAGCTTTGTATTTTTTGATAGTTTTTGGCCCAAGGTTTACTCTCTTCAGGCAAGGGATTTGAACAAAGCAGGTGATTGCACTGCTGCTGTTTTTTTGACCAGTTTCAATTGATTCATAGGTTCTGCAGTGTTGAACGATTAGCGGATTTTTATTTCTGACCGCACATAGCTAGAAAGAAAATAACAGCAATATGGGTATCCCAAAATTTTTCAGATACATCTCTGAGAGATGGCCAATGATCTCGCAGCTTATCGACGGGTCACAAATTCCGGAATTCGACGATCTGTATTTGGACATGAACTCGATTCTGCATACTTGCACGCATGCTAACGATGACGACGTCACCAAGCGACTTTCGGAAGAGGAAGTTTTCGCAAAAATCTTTGCGTATATTGACCATTTGTTTCACACGATAGGACCAAAGCACACTTTCTATATGGCCATCGATGGTGTTGCCCCACGAGCGAAAATGAACCAGCAACGTGCCCGTCGTTTCAGAACGGCCATGGATGCCGAAAAAGCTTTGCAGAAGGCTATCGCCAATGGCGAAGAAATTCCAAAGGGCGAGCCCTTTGACTCCAATTGTATCACTCCCGGTACTGAATTCATGGCGAAATTGACGCAGAATCTCAAATACTTCATTCATGACAAAGTTTCCAATGACTCGGCCTGGAGCTCAGCCAAAATCATTTTGTCCGGTCACGAAGTTCCCGGCGAAGGTGAACATAAAATTATGGAACATATCAGACGTTTGAGATCCCAGCCTGACTATAACGCTAATACGAGGCACTGTATCTATGGATTGGATGCAGATTTGATTATGTTGGGACTTTCTACCCACGATCCACACTTTGCCCTTCTCAGAGAGGAGGTTACTTTTGGTAGACGTCAAAAATCCCAGCCTTTAGAGCATCAAAATTTTTTCTTGCTTCATATCTCCCTTTTGAGAGAGTATCTGGAACTGGAGTTTAGTGAGGTTGCTGACGATTTGCAATTTGAATATGACTTCGAGAGAATATTAGATGACTTCATTTTAGTGATGTTTGTGATTGGAAATGACTTTTTACCTAATCTTCCCGATTTGCACTTGAATAAAGGTGCTTTCCCAGTCTTACTCCAAACGTTCAAGGAGGCTCTCAAACATGTTGATGGCTATATCAATGAGCAAGGGACTATCAATCTTTCCAGGTTCCAGGTATGGCTGCAATATTTGGGCGAATTTGAGCTCATGAATTTCGAGAAGGACGATATTGATGTAGAATGGTTCAACAAACAGCTGGAAAATATTTCTCTTGAGGGGGAAAGAAAAAGAGCTCGTCTAGGTAAGAAACTTCTGCTCAAGCAACAGAAAAAGATTGTTGGCGCTATTAAGCCTTGGCTTTTAAAAACATCGGCCGCCCCATTTGATGCAAGTGCTATGTCAAGCGACGAAGTGCCAACTTTCTCCCTTGACAATGATGTCATTGAGGATAATTTACCATTTTTAAAGGAGCTGGCGTTTGATTTGGGATTGTTCGTAGCTCACTCCCAATCGCAGGACAATTATTACCTGCAGCTTGACGTTGACGGAATCAATCCTCACGAGACTGAAGAAGAGCACGCAAATCGTGTTGCCGCTTTGAGAAAGCTAATTAAAAAGTACGAGCAAGCTGTGCTTGTTGAGGACAGTGAAGAATTGGAAAAAGAGCAAAAACTCTATGCTGAAAGGTTTGAGAATTGGAGAGATCAATACTACAAGGACAAGTTGGATTTCAGTTATCATGACGAGGACAAGTTACGTGAGTTGACTGAAAATTATGTGGAAGGTCTTCAGTGGGTGCTATATTACTATTACCGTGGTTGCCCATCCTGGTCTTGGTACTATAAATATCATTACGCACCCCGCATTTCTGATGTTCAGAAAGGTTTGAATCAAATTATCAAGTTTGGTAAGGGGACGCCCTTCAGACCATTTCAACAACTAATGGCAGTACTACCGGAAAGATCCAAAAACTTGATTCCTGTCGCGTATCGACCCCTCATGTATGATCCAAAGTCACCAATTGGCGACTTTTATCCAAATGAAGTGGAATTGGACAAAAACGGCAAAACGGCAGATTGGGAAGCTGTTGTCAAACTCTCGTTCGTGGATGAAAAGAGACTTATTGATGCCATGTCTACAATGGAGGATAAGCTGACACCAGAAGAACGTAACAGGAATAAATTTGGAAGTGACCTCGTTTTCATTTACAATCCTCAGATTGACGACATCTACAAGTCTCCCCTCAGTGGTTTTTTCTCCGATATTGAGCACAACCATTGTACTGAGCGTGAATATGTCCCACACTCTATGGATGGTCTCGAACTATTGTATGGTCTTCCATCTGGCGCAAAGTTGGGAGCGGAAGCGTTGGCTGGATTCCCCACCCTGAAGACTATTTCATTTGACAGTAAACTTGACTATAACGGTTGTATGGTTTTCCAACAACCATCGAAACAACAATCTATGCTGTTGACTGTAAAGGATGCTTACAATGAAAGTAACCTAACTCTTGACGAGTTCGCCAAGACGCATTTGGGCAAGGTGGTATACACAAGGTGGCCTAATTTGAGAGAATCAAAAGTGCTATCTATAACTGATGGCGAGACTATATTCGAGCTACCAAAAGATAGCAAACAGCCTCAAGGTAAAACTTCTTTCACTGAAAGAAAATTGGATGACGTAGAGTCCAGGTTCTTTAATACTCAGAGAGCTGGCTTGCGCAGAAACTACTCGGTACAAAAGGGTGTGATGCTCGATGAAGTTCGCGCAATTGTCCGCGTCGTTCCTGTTAATGGACTTACCAGAACTCCCGATGGTGCTTACGTCAAGACGTTCTCAACAGTCGAAGAATTCTACCCAATGCAGCTAGTTGTGGAGGATGTTGAAAATAAAGATCAACGTTATATGGAAAGAACTCCCGTTCCTGTAAACGAGGAATTTCCAGAGGGCCTGAACGTCATATTTTTGGGAGACTATGCTTATGGTGGAAAAGCTATCGTTGACGGGTATAGCAGCAATACTAGACTAAAGCTTACTGTTGAAAAACACACAACCGATCAAGAGCCGACAGTTGGAAAAGTAAGAGCTCAATTAGACCAAAAATTGATACATTATTATCCTTCGTTCATCGTTTCAAAGAAACTACAAATTCATCCATTATTTTTGTCTAGAATTACTTCGCGATTCATGGTGGGAGGATTTGGCGAAAGGCCAATAAACTTCGGATTAGAAATAAAATTTGAATCACGTCATGAAAAGGTTTTAGGTTACGCCAAACGTAATCCAAAGGGCTGGGAGTACTCAGACATGACTATGGCTCTTCTTTCAGAGTACAAGAAGAATTTCCCTGAATTCTTCTTCAAACTGTCAACTCAGGCCAAAGATTCCCCATCTTTTGAAAATATGTATCCCGGCGCGAAGCGGGAAGACTTGAAAAGTGTTGTCGATAGCGTTCGTGCATGGTTGAAGAGCGTCAAACAAAACTTTGTGACCGTTTCTTTCGAAAGTGACTCGCTAACTAAGGCATCCATGATAGCTGTAGAAGATGCTATCGAAAAGTATGCCGCCGCTCCGGCCAAGATTAGCAGCAAACAGCTAGCCAAAGTTCCACGAGAGGCTATACTTGATCCCCAGGTATCCCTCGCCATGTTGCGTACTCAAAAGTTCGATCTTGGTGACAGAGTGATCTATATTCAAGATTCTGGTAAGGTGCCATTGTTTTCAAAAGGTACTGTGGTAGGCTATACCACGATAGGTCCGAAACTGTCAGTGCAAATTTTATTTGATAGTGAGATTGTTGCAGGGAATAATTTCGGAGGAAGATTAAGAACAAAACGAGGCCTCGGGCTAGATTCTTCCTTTTTGCTCAACTTGACCAACAGACAATTCATTTATCATTCCAAGGCTTCAAAATCGGTGAAAGAAGCCTCGAAAAAGCCTCAGAAACCTGTCAAATTAGCTCAAACCAAACCTGCCGCGGCTGCTACTCGTCAACAAGATGAAGCTACCAAAAAGAAACAAGCTCATGAGCTTCTCAGCCATATAAAGGGCGCTGAAGCTGAAACTCAAACAGCCCAAGTTAAAGGGGCAGCGCAAGATACCAACGTTCAAGACAAGAACAAAAGTTACACCGGGGACGAAGCTGAAGTAAACTCGCCAAACGATAGAATTATCGCCAGCAACATTTACAATGCCGTCTTCAACCAGTTTGCTGATGCTTCGCCTGTCCCAGGCCCCAATCCTTTTCCACAAAGGCTACCTTACGAAGCAGGACCTCCAAATGCTGTTCCACCACACTTGATTGGCCGCGTCCCACCGCCACCACCACATATGGGATTTTATCCTTCACAGGGGCCAGTTCTTCCTATGGGGCCACCACCCGCTGGACATTTTGTCCACCCATACCAGATGTCGGCGAATGCTCAGGATGTCAATGGAAATTTCGCGGGTGAGGGAAAATCTGAAAATCAGAACGATGGTCTTTCAGAGACAAAAAACGGTTTATACCACGGCAACGCTGATAGAAAATCGGGCCATGCCTCGTTTGGTGGTCGTGAAAACGCAAGCAGAGGAGGCTCCAGAGGTAGAGGAGATTTTAGAGGGCGTGGTCGTGGCCGTGGCCGTGGTCGTGGCCGTGGCAGAGGCAGAGGACGTGGGAATTCCAGTCCATCTTCGTGAAAAAGTTGATGGATGGAAACCCTGTAAGAAAAAAGTTATGTAGATTTCGAGTTTGATTTCTGTTTATTTTCCGAAGACAAGTCAAAGCGATAGAAGGTCATTGATCTCTGAAAAGTGACGCATGCTTTTCGGCTTCTAATGTACAATTATGTGTTTTTATTTGAAAAGCGCCACTAGTCATCGTCTTGCAAGGTAAAACTCTGCACCTTTTTCTCATTCAGCTCATTTTGTTTGGCAAACCATTTTTGCTCGAACCCATTAGATCTGTCCACTCCGTCCCAGCGATATCCGGGCTGTATCTGAAATCTGTTTTCAGCACTCATTTTAGGGTACAGTTTTCTGCCCATCGGTGATTTAAAATGGAGGTTAGCATTGTGAGTAGTTGACGCAGCGGGATCGAAAGCATTGAAAGGATCGTCACTTCTTGTATCATTGGCTACCGACTTCTTATTATTTTCCAAAATCCCCAAAAGTCCATTTTTTTGAACCTCCCCCATGTTCAATTCTCGCAATTCCAATTCCCACTGTTCCTGTCGCAGTTTTTCGTCTTCAGCTTGCGACGACACACGTTCATGATAGTTTTCAATCTTTCGGCCCTGACTGTCTCTATAAACTGTTTCTGCAGTTTCTGCTTCGTTTTCAAGCGATTTTTTAGCCTCTAACTCTTTTGCTTCAGTTTGTCGCCTAACATCTTCCGCTGATTGAATTCCTACCGGATTTTGAGAACTCACAGTTGTGTCCACTTTCTTGGACAGCAATCGCTCAGAAACTTCATTCGTGTTCAAATTCTTCCACAAACCTTTTTTCTCATTTGGTCCCACACACTTCAAGCCCTTATTTGAAGGATTTGTGGTTCTTGTAGTGCGTTGATCATTTTCCAAAACCGCATCATCGTTACTGGTGAAAGAGTCCACGATCTTGAACGAGGCCTGTTTCCCACCAGTTTTCTTACCCTTCGACTTCTTGGGCTTGTTAGACCCGTAATTTTCATTAAGATAGTCCTTGATAGACATTTCTAGGCTCTAAGAGTCATTAGAAAGGGATACTACGTGTTGTTTCTGTAATGTCAGCCTTTCTCGGAGGTAGTCATCGCTCAACATTATATTAATCTATAAGTTCAATTATCACCATCTCAATTGATGAACAACAATCGTTAGGACAACAACCTATCCATAGGGCATGAAAAAGGGCCTATGACACTTGCTGTTGATGATCCGCTAGTGGAGACAGCATTGGTAAAGAAAGCTTTGAAAAGTTGGGACTTGAAACGACTTCTGGGGCTCCAGGACGAACTTACACGAGAGATAGAAGATCGAGTTCAACTTCTCGAGATAGAGATCGAAACACTGAAAGGCCGAAAGGGCGTTGAAGATGGGCTAAAGAGAGGGGGAAAGTTTCCGTTGGTCAAAGTTGAAGAAAAAGAGAATCTCCCCTTTCACCAAGAGCACCAAGCGACTACGCAATTGACCCATGTTGGGAAAAAACGCAAGATCTCTAGTTCTGGTGCTGAAACTGGTAATGTGTCGGCTCAATCGAGCCAAACGATTGAGGCCCAAGAAGAGTTTTTGATACCGGGAACTTTGGATATGCAGAGTAAAGATATAAATTTTAGCTCGCCGTTGAAGCCCGCACAAACCGATGAACGCAAGTCTGAAAAATCGAGCCCAACAAGACATCATCTGGCTGTTATAAGCGATTCAGAAGGCGAATTGGAATGGTCAGATACGGAAGATCAACGAGATTCTCTCAAGTCTGGGCCAGTTCAAGTGAAAACAGAACCAGAAAGAAGACACGACGATTTTTTGCATAATGTGCTCAAGTGTGAACCACCAAGACCGTCGAAACCATCAAAGCCAAAAGTAGTTTTTAATGCAAACCCGTTTTCGAAAAGACCTTGGATTTTTGAAGATTTTAAAGCCAACGACGCGATTTCAAGTTCTGCAAAACCAGGTACCAATTTCGCTCTGGCAAGAATTTCTAGATTCCAATCAGCAACCGGCGTACCAGTTTTGAACCAAAAAGTTGTCTTAAACCCACACAAAGGTTTCGAACTTGTTACGGAAGAGCCGGTGATAATCCCTACCGCCCAAACGAGTCATGGTGTAGACGAAGTCTTTGATAATTTGAGACAACGTTCAAAATCCCCACCTGGGTATGGTCGTCTCGATTTCCCCAACACTCAGGAGAACGATGCGGATATCGTTAAATCTCGCGAAATTTTGTACAACAAGACAAAAGATAGATTTTTAATGGCTACAAGAAGCGATCTCAGCCCCAGCAAAAGAGATTTTGTCTTTAGAAATGTTCAATTGAATGATATCGTAAACAAGGGCGATTTCGAATGGGATATGAAATCTTTACAAATCTTTTGCCGGGCCAAGGTACGAAATTGACATCACGAACAGGGTATATGGTCAAGGAGATTAAGGTGAATATTGATATTAATGGCAAGGGCGCAATGCGTGTAATTATATAAATAAGATGCTATTTTGGCTTTGATTCTGCTTCTTTGATAAAATTGTGAAACTTGGAATATACCCCAAAGTCAAACTTGGCAAAATTGTAGTCCAAATCTATAAATAATTTGGCTACTTGACAACTTTTGTAGTAGTAGTTCAAGTAGTTTGAGCTGTAGGGATCAACCGATGGTCCATAGAATTCGGTAATCTCAACGTGATCTTTCGATGATTCTTTCAACGAGGCCAGAGCTTTTGAAAACGATCCTGTTAGTGTGGGAGTATCATTGTTCACATTGACCTTGGTCTCGTTCTTTTCTTTTAGTGGATACAGATTTTGAAATATCTCATAAGCGGCCAAAGTGAAACCAAACTGTGGCGAACTGCGAAGTACTCTCGCGCCGCCTCCTTTAAAGAAACTCTTGAAACTTTCTTCTCTAAAAATCGTCTTGGCAGCATGTAGGATACCGTTATACTTAGTTTCCCCCTTCCTTGGGTCAATCTGTAACCTTGTTTTTATAACGTCGAATGGTGTGGTCAAGTAAGCTGCAGGCATACCTGCCAGACCACCTGCTGTCAGCAATTCCCAGGTGTGTAGTCTTGGTCTCTTACTTTTGTCTTGTGGGTCATAATTGAAAAGATCTCTCTTTAGATGGGCATAAGTGGGAAAATAGATAGCCGAAAAGGGAACATCTCTCAGAAGGCATGCTCCGACCCCACGATACAAGCCTTTGAGCCCGAGAGACTTCACTATGCTCACTGCGTTGACCTTGGCATCATTTAGAGGGGCCGTGTATTCAGATTTGACTTGTAATCGGATTTTTACCACTTCAAGTGGATTGGTAAACACAACTTGACAAGCCCCAGCTGCCGCCCCCGAGACAACTTCAAGTGCAAATGACAAATGTTGGTTGCTGTCCATGAGCTTTCTACGAACGTAGTCATTGACGGTTAATTTGATGGCCTTTTCTGGACAAACACCAACTAGCTGCGGTCCTAGACCTGAATAGATACCACGGATTCCTTCGCGTGATAATATTTTATAGAAACAATCAAAAGCATTCTTGTATTGAGAAAAGTTTCGCTGAGCTTGCACTCGAGTTTTCACCAGGTCAATAGGGTATACGGCGGTTGCTCCTATGCACCCGGCGATTGAACCCAACAAGAAATTATGGATGGAATCGAAAATGGGAAAGAAGTAATAGTTGGTGTGGAGGGACGCATTCTGCATACGCCGAATTTCCAATTGATGCACGAGGTCATTTAGGTAGTTTGGGTTTAAAATCTTTAGGAAATCGTCCATTGTAAGGTCAAGCTCCGAAAACCCCTCCTCGTTCTCTTTCCGCTTGATGAGACGATCCAACAGGCTTGATTTGGTGTGCTGGCGTCGTTTTTTGGCATTATCCAATTCGCCAGAGATTCCGCTGATGACTTCACGGTAGTTATTGTTGAAGTCTCTCATGCCCTGTTTGTGTTGGTTGCCTCCTTTACAAAATTCAGTCTGAATGAAATGCTCTATCGTTGTGTCTTCATGGTGGGTATCCAAATATTTCTCAATCATCCTGCCCCTCTTGGAGTTTGCCACAATAGAAAACAGGAGGTTAATCTGTGATGGCGAAAACTCGATGATGTTGTTCACCTTGTTATATTCTACGCTCAGAAACTTCTTCAGGTCATCTTTAGATATCACACACTCTCTGAGATCTTGATCATCAAAATTGTGGGTCTTGGCATACCTCATGAAAACTTGATTAAGCAAGTCGAAATTTTGGAACAAATAGAAGACATCCTTGAAAACGTTGTAGTTGATGTAGTTGTTATCGGACTTTATTAGTTTGGTATTCGATAAGTTCAAAGAACTGAAAACGTCTGCTGATATCTTGTGAGAGTAGAATATTTTCAGCAAGTATACCAGCTGATTTTTATTCAAAACAAGAGAGTTGTTTTTGTGATTGAGATGGGAGAGCCTCTGAAATCCAAGGTACAATTTCTCATTTTTCAGATCGTTTTGCAAAATTGTCACCAGAGAATTGAGACTGATATGCGGGCCCTCAGCTCTATTATAAGGAAAACTTTGATAAAACTTCAACCATCTAAAGTCGTCCCAATTGAGAAGGAGATGATTAGCCGTTAAGAATTCGTCCCCGACAGCCTCGTGCAGAAAATTGATGGTTTTCTTGAATTGGTTGAGATTTAAAAATAAGCTGTCGTAACTTAAAAATCGACTTCCGTAGTTAACGGGTTTGATTCTCGGATCGTCAGCTAAATCAATTGATTTGGTGTCTATGGGTCGTGAATTTTGGACGCCGCGAAGTCTGGCAACATCGAATTTCTTGAAAAACTCATATAAAATGATCATGTGGTAGTTGTCACATTCCAGCAGGTTGTTAAAGTGGAACCAGTCATTAAGAGTAAGATAACCCTTGTTGTTTTCGTCAATGGCAAAAAAAATGCAGCCGAATGCCTTATCTGGGATTTGATTCAGGTTGTAGGAGTGGTCCGTAAACTTCGAATAGAGTGCTTTTGAACTTGATACCATTCTAAGAAAATCGCTGAATGTCAAAACCCGGCGTCCAACATCTCCCGTGCCCGTGTTGGACGCAAATTTGAGAAAAATCTCAACTTGCAAATTCTTCTTCTCGGTGATCGAATTATTCAGTTCCATAATCCCAGTTCCGTGACTAACTCACTCTCTCACTCGTACGCTCACCGCAATATTATCAGTTTGTCGCTCAACAATTTGGTATATGTTAGAAATTGGCCGGCAGGAACGTCAGAAACTCGAGGGCAATTGACAACAGAAAAATGCAAGCTTACTAGGAGCACCGTGGAAGAATCTATTACAGCATTCAAATGTCCTTGGCACCGTTCTAGGTGGTCAAGTTCTATAAATTTCAAGATAGCAGGAGCGAGAGGTGATACTGAAAATTCAACTCACTACTTCAATCACGTATTGTAGAAATCTTGTCGTCTCATGTGATATCATCGATCCAGATGTTTAAACCTCTTTTGACAGGCTTTTGTTGATGTTTACACCCTTTTGGAACGAGTTCAATTATGGATGAGGAGAAATGAGCTTGTGAGTCGAAGTTGGGAGGAAACCGGATGGATTTGAGCATCGTTTCGGCAGCAGCGCATAACGTTTATAGCCAAGTGTTCTTGGACACTAGTGGCTAAGCTGGGCTTGTTTTAGGTATTTGAAACTGCGTGCCATTATTAAAGAAGCTGCTAGAGGAGCTTGACCAACTCAGACGTGGCTGAAATATACTTTGTTATCGATGGTTCGTTCAGAGGGACATCTTTATTCTCGTCATTTGGTCGTGCATCCGCTTTATTTCACGACAATACATTGAGTGGCCTTGCACTTTGTCTCCACCTTTCCCTTTCCTTACAGTCCCAGGGCCATTCCTTCATACTGACTACCTGTGTTGACGTATGTGTTTTCGTTGAAAAGCTCAGATTTGTTCTCAAGCCACTTCAGTAACTTGTCGGTCTGCTGAACAACCACATCGCAGCCAGCTTCGTCCATGGACGTTAGTGAGACCAGCTCAGGAAGACTGCTGAGTAATCGCAGCAAATGAATGGCGCCATAAACGGTAGTGGCCGATTCTTGCACGTGATCAGCATACTGCATTCGCTCGAAACGATACAGCAGCATCACGGCCAGCGAGTGATCGAAATACAATTTCAGCCCGCTACAGTATTCCTGCAGCTGTGATTGTGTCACGGGCGACGTCTCTTGTGCGCTGGCCGCTTTGTAGTACTCGTCTATTAGTTGCGCTACCGTAGGCTCACAGGGCAAGTGCACCAATTTCTTGTCTTTAGTGATGCGTTCCCAGTCGTCCACCAGTACCGCTTTGAGCGGTTGTGAGATATGAATTACAATACGTGGGCCTTGATGCTGGACAGAGCCCGCTGATTCGTCCGGTACTGAAGACCCTGGCTGGTTCTTGTTGCGTTTCCGGGGCTCTACTATCTTGCGGGGCTTAGCAGGCGCTTTTTTTTTGGCCTGTCTAGCGTCCTTAGCCTGCTCCACAAGTTGTCGCTTGAATTCCAAATTCTCGTCTGTATACTCACGTATCCGATCTAGACCCACCCATTCGTCCCACGACGATTTCCAGCCCCTGTAATGGATATAAAAACATTTCTGATCTTTCAGGTTTGCCGGCACTTGGTCTGCCTCGTTATGTTCGTTATTCTCCGGTTTCTCTGGCTCTTCATTGTCAGGAGTGTCTGGATCGTGCAATTTCAAAATTTTAGCCGCGTACAAAAGTGGGCCATGAAATGCCAGGCATTTTTCTTCCACTTCTAAGGGCATTAGGTCGAAATGTTTACCTCAGGACGAGTGTACAACAATCGAACAATGAAAATTTCCCAAAAAACCAACGTTTTAAAGCCTTTTTTAACCGTGAAAGAGGCAGAACTACTATTTCCTATGCTCTGAACGCCCTAAAATCACTCTAGTTAGCGCAAAAGCCGTCAATTGGCTTCTCTTTCCCACCAATTTCAGTTTCTTGATGCTCATCTCTTCTTTAATATACACGGAATTCATGCAATTTACTGCTCGCTTCTTATATACCCTGTTCAAAAGTCACTTTGTACGAATCTAATCAGCTTGAAAAATTAAGTCAATGACGACAGACTCTTCTTACAAGCTAATGGAACTAAACTCCACCAAAGTGTCTCAGTAAAGACCGACTAAGAAAGAGACGTCGAGTGACGATAAAGACGTCTGGAAGGTTAGGGCACAGCGGTTTATCTAATGAGTGTTCGAGCACAGCACATTGTGGGGATCCACTATGCGGTGGGACCCAAGATAGGAGAGGGTTCTTTTGGAGTGATATTTGAGGGTGAAAACGTTTTGGGACAAGATTCTGGGCCTGTAGCGATCAAATTTGAACCACGCCGTGCGGATGCCCCGCAGCTCAGAGACGAGTTTCGTGCTTACAAGATTCTGGCTGGATTGCAGGGCATCCCGCGGGCATATTATTTCGGACAAGAAGGAATGCATAACGTTTTGGTGATTGATTTATTGGGTCCGTCGTTGGAGGATCTGTTTGAATGGTGTGGAAGGCGGTTTTCCGCGAAAACAACGTGTTTACTGGCAAAACAAATGATCAGACGTGTACAGTCGATTCATGAACGTGATTTGATTTACAGAGACATCAAACCCGATAATTTTCTCGTTTCACAGTACCAGCGCGAACTTCCCAACGGCCAGGTGGTGAGAAGTTGCGCAGCATCCGCTCATGGAGATCCCAACCTGGTGTACGTGGTGGATTTCGGTATGGCCAAGCAATATCGAGACCCTAGAACTAAACAGCACATCCCGTACAAAGAGCGCAAATCACTCAGTGGGACTGCCCGTTACATGTCAATAAACACGCATTTTGGGAGGGAACAATCCCGTCGTGACGATCTGGAATCCCTTGGCCACGTTTTCTTCTATTTCATGCGTGGATTTTTGCCCTGGCAAGGTCTCAAAGTTGCAAACACCAAATTGAAGTACGAAAAAATCGGTCTGACCAAACAAAAAGTGCGACCAGAAGATCTACTGGAACGCGATATCCCGCATCAGTTCGCTACGTATCTGACATACTGTCGGTCATTGCGGTTCGAGCAAGAACCTGATTACGATTACCTCATCTCCTTGATGACAGAGGCTATGCAAGAAAACGGTTACGAAGACGACGAGCATTATGATTGGCTAGATCTTAACAATGGTCAATCCTGGAATATCGGTGTTAATAGAAGGGCAAACCTCCATGGCTACGGTAATCCAACTCCCAAAACCTCACAGGCGGCACGGAAATCAGCAGTTCCACAAGCCCGTCGTGACTCATACTCAAAAGCGCAGCGGCTACGTAACCAGATGACCAGCCAAGCAGCTTTACGAGATAAAAATGGCAATGTCATGCAATCTTATGATTCCATGGGTCGACGCAATGGGAATTTTTCAGATCGTCAGCAAAATGAAGCAGATTCTCTTGAAGGTCAAAGTTGCATCAAGAGATTGTGTTGCTGGTGTGATTAAATTAGGGCACTGACTTCAATAATTATGGAAAGTCGTGACTCTTTGGAAATATTGCCCCCGCGTTGATCGTGGCATGCATTTTATTGTATTAATATTTAGAGGAGAAGGAATATAATGTTGCATTCAAGACACTCTTATCACGTCTTTATTCCGACTTCACCTTTTTCATTTTCGCTATTCCATTCATGATTACACGAGGATCTCCTCATGTATTATATGCTCGTTATATATGGTTGAACCGCTCAATTCAAATTCTTTTAGAGAATAGATGCTGGGGTTCTGAACTTTGTGGGTATGGTAATCTTGGATTCTGATGGGACTAAGTTGCTGATTTTTGATTGGGGTACTGAAATCATCATTGTCTATGGTACCTTCCGATGTGTTATCCCAGCTTGAGAGCAGAGATTCTTGGTTCATAGTGCTATCTGACTCCACATTTGTGTTCTTCTCCACAGGTGCTTGGTATCGGAGGGCACTCTTTGATGGCACAAATGGTTTTTCGACATCTCGAATCGAATGCAATCCCAGTTCCTTCGAGTCCAATGTCAACAATGAACCTTCGCGACAAAGTTCTAATAATGTAAACCCAGATACACCAGATTGTGACGTTTGCGAAGATGGGGAATTGGGCGTAGAATTGGGCGACGAAATGATGTTACCGCATTGCTTCACTTGAGACACATTTTCTTCGCAGATACTTTGAAATCCATTGGCCAAATGACACTCTGAGACGTTGTCCAGATTTTCCATGTCCCATGCCAAGGTATAATTTTCATCATCGGAAGTGAAAAGCCTTTGAGACTCCTTATGAAATTTAAGCGCCTTGACAGAACCTTTGTGTCCTTTTACAGTGCACTTGGATCCAGGGAATCTTATATCCCAAATTTTGACGCAGTCTTTGACTGCATTTGCAATTGTGTACTCGTTGAGCCAACAGCACGCGGTCGAAACATTAGTATCGCTAGAACCACTTGTGTCGGGGCTGTAGAGGGTCCCATGTCCACCAACGCATCTTAAATCCAGTAAGGAAAGGCCGCTTGGTCCTAAACGCGATCCCACGAGCGCGAGTAAGTTGGGATTATCGGGATTTGCTTCTACAGCCTCTAGACCTGTGAAGCTCTGTAAGTATAAGGGTAATCGGTGTTGGTTTAAATCATAAATGAATAAGGACTCATTGACAATGGAAATAAATCCATTAGTATTCCATGCATTGATCTGTCTGATAGGGGATGCTCTTTTGCTTTGAAGAAGTGAGTCCAAATTGTCTGTCTGTGTAGACTTCAAGTATTTGGCGTGGTTGAATCTTTTGATAATTTTAGCACCACCTTCCGCCTCGGATGTGGATATCAAATTCACAACCCCGTCTTGATGGCCGGAGCATAGTAATCGATCATGGTCCGTGGGCTGTTTGAAACTACTGAAAGTTTGTGGAAATAGACACGAAGTGGTGACAGGTGCTCCAGGCACCGTAATGGACTGTAACTCAGCTAGCTGGGCTGTTTCGTGGTCTTGAACATTGAGTCTGAACAGTTGTAGGTTATCAGACGGCGCCATAGAAGAGGTCAGCACCACGTCGTCGAGGCAGGATAGCGAATTTGGGAAGGTCGCGGTGCAGCTCTGTTCCCGATGCGGTAAAGTCCAGAATTCGCTACGCAGCTGTTTCGTGGTATAATAATCGTTCATGTCTTCGGAAACTTTTCTCAAAAGTGGTGAACTGAGCCTTGTGGTATTATTTTGCCAGGAACGGCTATGTGTATCCAATGATGGGGTTTGAGGGCTCTGATGCTCCTTTCTTACTCTGACTGCCGGTTGTCTGAAGATGTTAGGAGGACTGTAGTAGGACATAGGTTGGTGCGGCTAACTTTGCTGAGGTGAAAGACTTTGAATAGGCCAGGTGGCCGAAGCTAGACGTTTCTACTTGACCATATTTATATCTTCCGCAGACCGTCTTCTCCGCTGGCCGTTTACTGGTTGTTGCTGTTCGTTTGGCAAACAAGAGAGCTATGGTTTGACGTACTTTTTGTTTGTTAAACAAAAGATGTGCTGGATGTTGTTGTTTACGTTTCGTGAAAAATATAAACACTGTCGTCGACCGACCCAGCCATGTCTAATGATAAAGCTGCTATGGAAATATGCTACGAAACGGGCTGATGTGAGTTAAAATAATGTTTAGAGGTGGGTAAACTTGCTAGATGCAAGGTGTAGATATCACCTTAACCAGGAGGATCTACCTTTTCAGCTTGTTCGTTTGTTTGTTTGTCCTGTGTCTTTTCTCTTCCTTTAAAGTTCCTATAAATTGGCAAATAAACGGACCCTTCGTATACAGCGACATCAACACTTTTCCAATTTGGGTCCTGGCGTCGACATTATAGAATCGCTAAGAAACCCGACCCCACAAGCCAGCATAGATTGAGCAGTGGTTTCTTCCAGATAACTGTAGCAATTAGTCTTTAAATCTTTGTATTTTTGTTTTTTCCCCAAAGTATCTCGTGAAAAGATCGTTGATATCTTTGGCCTGAGAAAAGAAGATAAGATTAAACGTAGAAATTGCAATTGAAACGTACGCAGAAATTAAGAGCACAAAATTCAATTGCCAAGAACCTTGCTGACCATGTTCAAAAGCGTGGGTGCGGAGGTAAAAAAAAAACCACTCCTCGTTTGAAATGATGTACTCGAAAACACCTGAGTACTCTTTAATTAATTTTGAATCCTTCTAAAAACCCAGAGAAGCAAGAAAGGACAGCCATAAAGCTTTAACTCTCTTGACCGAATATCCAATATCCCCCCTGTCTCCCTTCCTGTATCGATTCTGTCACCCTTCTCTCTATCTCTTTTTTCTTCCTCACGTGACCCATAAATAAGCTCAAGGAAAAAAAACAAGGAGGGGGTGTTTTGGTCCTACAATGCTCGATTTTCATCCCTTTCAACGAGCATGCGACTTCTTATAACATATTCTCATAAAATTAGGTAGATTCATTCCATTAAATTAAATAAAGCTCAATCATTGTCAGTTTGAAGTAACAACTAGGTCCAAAGCGGTTCAAATACCGTCTGCTCGAGTAATTTAACAGCGATTGCAGTGGTCAAGGCGTGCAAAATAGCTATAGGCGTCGAAAAAGCAGCTCAAATCGTCTGTTTTTGGCCCATTTTCAGCGCATTTTCCGCAACTCGCAGATAGATCGGTTTTACAAGGTGCTTGTTTGAAAGTTACCGGTAACAAAGTAAACACAAAACACCCGCTGGTCGAGCAAAGGTTGGCCTGTTTGTGTGGACATTTGTGAGCCCCAGAGACTTCGTTTTTCTCGTCGATATTCTGATTTTTGTCGGGTGTGTGTCATTATTACTCTTTCACTGACTAAAGCAACCTTGGCCAGATGTCAAAAGTGACGGTGAAATTGGTTGCAGCAGAATCGCTGTACAAAAGAGACGTTTTCAGATCGCCAGACCCATTTGCAGTGCTCACGATTGATGGACTACAAACCAAGTCGACTGCAGCGGCTCGTAAGACCCTAAATCCGTACTGGAATGAGGCCTACACGTTTTCTGGTGTCAATGAGAATGGAATTCTGACCATTCAGGTTTTCGACCAGAAAAAGTTTAAAAAAAAGGACCAAGGGTTCCTGGGTGTTGTTAACGTTCGAATTGGCGATGTCCTGGGCCATTTGGACGAGGATTCCGTCGCCAGATCGTCGCGCAGAGAAGAAACTATAACCAGAGACCTGAAGCGCTCTAATGACGGGATGGCCGTCAGTGGACGTTTGATCCTGGTACTATCAACGGCATCGTCAACCGCAGCAACGTCGTCTGCCTCGGCTGCTCGTTCGTCTGCCAACACCGGACCTCCGGGTGCTTCAAGCTCCATAAATGAACTCAGCGCTGCCACTGCTGCTACGCATATTTCGGGACCTGCTTCCCCCAATTTATCGTCAACACCTGCTCAAACGGTGGCTAACACTCTACAAAATGGAACTGGGGTCCCCGGTTCCTCTACAGCGCCTAGCTCCAACACCGCAGCGTCTAGACAATATTCATCTTTTGAAGATCAATATGGCCGCTTACCACCTGGATGGGAGAGAAGAACCGATAATTTCGGTCGTACATACTACGTCGATCACAACACGCGCACCACTACCTGGAAAAGACCAACGCTGGAGCAGACAGAGAGTGAGCGTGGTGACCAGATAAATGCAAACACTGAGCTGGAACGGAGACAACATCGTGGCAGAACTCTACCCGGTGGAAGCAATTCAGAAAGCGGTTCGTCTATTGCTGTGCAAAGTAACAACGGCTCTTCCACGCCCATGGTTAACGGTTCAGCCGCTGCCGCTCTTGCGGCAACGGGTTCCACGACTTCTGGTCTAGGTGAACTTCCTCCAGGATGGGAGCAGCGCTTCACTCCTGAAGGTCGCGCTTATTTTGTGGATCACAATACCAGAACAACTACTTGGGTTGACCCTCGTAGACAACAATACATCCGTACTTATGGTCCTGCAAACACCACGATCCAACAACAGCCCGTTTCTCAGTTAGGGCCTCTACCATCGGGATGGGAAATGAGACTCACGAACACTGCTCGTGTTTATTTTGTCGACCACAACACGAAGACCACAACTTGGGACGACCCACGTCTACCTTCGTCTTTGGACCAAAATGTTCCACAGTACAAGCGTGATTTTAGACGTAAGGTCATTTATTTCAGATCTCAACCTGCTCTTAGAATTCTTCCCGGACAATGTCACATCAAGGTTCGCAGAAAGAACATTTTCGAGGATGCTTATCAAGAGATTATGAGACAAACGCCTGAAGATTTGAAAAAGAGACTAATGATCAAATTTGATGGCGAAGAAGGTTTGGATTATGGTGGTGTTTCTCGAGAATTCTTCTTTTTGCTTTCGCACGAAATGTTCAACCCATTCTACTGCTTGTTCGAATACTCCGCTCATGACAATTATACTATCCAGATAAACCCCAAGAGTGGAATCAACCCTGAACATCTAAACTATTTCAAGTTTATTGGAAGAGTGGTGGGTCTTGGTGTATTCCATAGAAGATTCTTGGATGCATTTTTTGTGGGTGCCCTGTACAAAATGATGCTTCATAAGAAGGTAGTACTGCAGGATATGGAGGGTGTCGATGCGGAAGTACACAATTCCCTCAAGTGGATTCTTGACAATAGCATAGACGGTGTTTTGGACTTGACTTTTAGTGCTGACGACGAAACCTTTGGTGAATTGATTACGGTCGATTTGAAAGCCGATGGCAAAAATCTGGACGTTACTGACGAGAACAAAAAGGAGTATGTGGAGCTCTTCACTCAGTGGAAAATATACAACCGTGTACAAGAACAGTTCAAGGCCTTTATGGATGGTTTCAACGAGCTGATACCGGAGGATCTGGTCAATGTGTTTGACGAGCGCGAGCTGGAGCTTTTGATTGGTGGTATTGCCGAGATCGACGTCGAGGACTGGAAGAAGAACACCGATTACCGTGGTTACCAAGAATCCGACGAGACTATCAAATGGTTCTGGAAGGCCATTTCCGAATGGGATAACGAACAAAAGGCTCGTCTGCTGCAATTCACCACCGGTACCTCTCGTATACCGGTCAACGGGTTCAAGGATCTCCAGGGTTCCGACGGTCCAAGAAGGTTCACAATTGAAAAGGCCGGTGAGGTCCAGCAATTGCCAAAATCTCACACCTGTTTCAACAGAGTCGATCTTCCCCCATACACCGATTATGAATCTTTGAAACAAAAGCTGACTCTTGCTGTTGAGGAAACTATCGGATTCGGTCAAGAATGATCAAAAATCCATTTATGCCCCACCTTTTACGTTTCACATAAGTTATCTACTCGATCTTATACAAATTTAGCCTATTACTTTCATTCACGAGGACGCCCATTGCCAATCCTGTGGTTATAGGAAGCTTTCCATCTAATAACTGAAAAATAGTGTCAGTTTAATTTAGAGGCTACTATCTTGAAGGAAGAAAGTTTAGTAAATGGCGTCTTCTTGACTCCAATGAAATCAAATGGTTGACGCACTGGATATTCCGGGGTTCTATTTCGATACTGAGAAAAAGCGGTACTTCAAAATAAGTCAAAATGCCACTTCTAGCTCAAATCAAACTTACGGACGAGATGAGCTTAAGAAAAGGTCTGATCAGCAGCAAAACGAGATTAAAAGAGAAGCCGCTGTTGAAAGAAGGCAGCAGGGAGTACGGGGGTATGAATTTATGTTATCAAACCCGCTCCATGTGTTGTTTTCCGCAGATAATAGTGATCTTTCTGGATCACAGTCAAGAATGGGATATAATGTGGCCAGACAAGACCGAGAACAAGATAGAGGATCGATTCGTAAAGATAACGTGTGGTCAGATGTAACGCCACTTTTGGGTGCGATAGCACAGCAAGCGGTAGCAATTTGTTGTTTGCCTAAAGCAAATGGATTTCTGATTGTAACTCATCGCATGAATGTGGTGTTCATAAGTGAAGATCGTACCCCCATTTACCTATACCAGAGTTCGAAAACTGAAGAATTCGAGCTTGAATCTTTAAGGACGCGTTTGAGGGAAGATCAATTCAGTCTAATTGTGAAGGCCAAAGTAAAGAATTGTTATTCTCTTTTACACATAAAACTCGACTCGCCGGCTTCCCCACAAGTTTTTCGTATTTCCGTGTGCCCCGAACTCAACAGCGAAATTCGTGATGCTGTTTTTGTAGGTGCCAATACGTGTGTGTGGTTGGCTCAAGGCAATGAAGTTTTAGCTTTGGAGCTCAAAGAAGGATGCTCAACCTATACACTTTCAGCTTCGAGACGTCGATTGAAAAGAAAGAGGAGGGAAGAAAGCAACGTAATGTGTGTGGAGGTTGAACTTCATCGACCCTATAGTAATATGAGTGCCCCTATCGGATGGTGTGGGACCAGAAGTGGCATGCTCTCGAGAGTAAATCCATACCGTACTCTCAGCACCCTTTCTTTCGCCAGTATGGGTAATTTCGAGGGACTGAGTATCTTGAGCATCAAAGAACTCGGCGAATCGCATCTTCTTCTGTCTGGAATTAAATCTGAAGAGCAAGTTCTGGCCATTGTTCGTAAAGATAAGTCAGCAAACGATGGCCATCAACCGACTATACTTACAATGCTGAAAACAAGCGTGCGAAACTTAGTCAAGGAAACAGAGCTGATATCCACTAGTGCTGACGGACGTTTCATTTTATATGGCCGTCGCAATATGGGTTGTGTTAATGGGGCTCTTGAGCTATTTTCTAGTAGGGCTATGGACAATTTTGTTAGGCAGCACGAGGTAAAAGCAAGACCCGTCACCTATCATCCTCTCAGAACGCTGGCTGAAATTCTACCTTTCGACTGGCACAAATCGTTTGACAAGCTTTTGTATGCGGAGCTTCAAGAAGTTACAAGAGGTCAACTTTATTACGGGGAATCTATTGATTCGAACGGAATCCGCATCGCAGCCTTTACAAAGGACATTGACGTTGCTGGAATAAACTTCAAAAGCTTCCCCTTAGATGGGTACTGAGTGTTACCGTTTGGCGCTTTATTTGAGTTTATATCATAAAAATGCTGGTGGGAATCAGTCTTTGGCTGATATTGAACAACCTTCAGCTTGGCTCAATGTTCTGAAAGCTTCGAAAGATCGTCAGAAGTCTCTTGGTCCTAGCAGGAGTGATGTGACGATAGAAAGCGAGCGTTAATTAGTTGGTCATGATAGAAAGTGTGAAAAAGGAAAGCGAGCGTGAAGTTATGAACGGTTCTGATAATCTAGTGATCGGCATTATTGCAAATCTATTTTTTTTTTGGTTTCCGGTCAAGGCAAAGAGGCTTGATCTTGGAGTTTTGTATGTGTTTGTAGCTCCCTTAGTTTTTTAGTACAACGCCTGTGTTTTTGAATTCAACAAGGCTAGGTATGCTGGGAAATGCAGATGTGGGAGTATTGTTACTGATCCCAGTTTAAGCAAGATGTTTTCGAGCTCAGTAGTAAAAACCATTGTGATTGAGATTTTCATAGTTGTTGCTGTTAGACAACAAGTTATCGGCTGACTCATTAGTAGGGTTGTAGAGGTGGTCAGTCTGAGCTTTTGGCATCTGCATCAAACGGGGATCGTTATATGCAAGGTTGTTTGCTGACATCGAGGGAAAATGGCCCTTTCCAATAGAGCGCAATCGTTCTGCTTGCTGGTTGTATAAAATGCTGGGGGGCCTCTGTTGCATAGAATAGAAGTTTTGATTGACTTGATTCAACTGGTCACCGGGGTATCCTTGAGAGGTATTTCCGAAAACGTCACTACCGGGAGAGAGGGACTGGGCAAAATGCTGGTGGGGTTGAAAAGCCGGGAATCCAGATGACGTAGACAAGGAGCTACTATTTCTGCGGTGTCGATAGGCATTTGCTGGCAGAGAGTAATGCCGGGCATGCTGTCTGCGACTATTGATCTGGTGCTGGCCATTTATTGGCACGTTCTTGCTTGGGCAATTATCGTTCACAACAAGACCAGTTAGTTCGATGAAAGCTTTCACTTTGAGCTTTATTTTCTTGGCATAAGACGTGGTCTTGATGCTGGGTAGCAGTTCCTTGGTCATAACCACTAAATTGGTCACTTTCAATGTGAACTCCTGGTTGAAATTCAATGTGCCTGTGGTAGTGTGCACATAGGTACTGTCAGAGAATTGCAAAAGCTTGGTGTAGTTCTTGACATCCAATAGAGTCTGAAGTGCATAGTTGCCAAAGTTGTCCCTGATCAGAACGTTGAGATTAGCGGTAAAAATGTCGATAATTGCGAGCAGAATCTTCATGGTGACAATGACCACGTCATCTGGAACAGATTTGTTTCTGGCAGCAGTAGGAGGAAAAGATACTTTCAGGATCATAAACAATTTTTTGATGAATTTTTCCACAACGTTAGAAGAGAATTTGAGACATGAGAGCTGGCACATTTCAACGGATAGTTTATCAAAGATTTCGCCCAACAAGTAGAAATCAAGCTCTTTGATGTCTAGGAGAAATTGGATGATGTAGTTTCCAAATTGATCATTGATCAAATGAGGGAGGAACTGCACGATCTTCACTGATATTTTGAATATTTGTTGCAGAGTACAAACACTCAGCAATTTTTGTAAGACGCAACAGCCGTGCTTGTGGGTAGAAATCCTTACAATATTATTGTGATCGACAATTGCGTCGATGATGAAATCAAATTTGGAAGGCGAGAATCTGAAAATGCATTTCTGAACAACGTGGTTGCCATTTAGGTCGTTGATCAGCACGACAACCTGATCAATAGAAGTATGACGCTGACCGAAGCCTGAGATGATCATGTCGACCTGGGCCTCGGTGTCGAGCGAATCTATGATCTTTTGGAGCGACCGGGTACCGTATTGGTTGATGGAGATTTGGAAGACGTGAGGAAAGATTTTTTCCACCAATTGAGTCTTTTGGTCCGTGGTCAGGCACTCACAAAGTTTCTGGATCAAGTAGTTTCCAAATGGGTCGACGATCAAGTCAAGAAAGAAAGGGCTGATCTGGTCGTACATCAGATCACGCATAGTGACACATTCTTGTGGATTTTCAAGCTTTTTCTGTAGAAAACGACATCCGAATTGGTCCGTGGCCAACTTGACGTAATCTAAGTCTTCTAATGGCATCCAATTGAGGTCTCCAGGAGCGATTCCTGACGCATTCGACCCGGAAGATGCGGTCGATCCGCTCACACTTCTTACGGGCGCTCTGAATTCGCTGATCAACGGCATCGATTTGAGTTTATGTCGATTTCCGGGCATTGCAGGTGTTGCAGGAGACGCCGGGAGCGGCATTAGAGGCGAGTTGCCCTGCATAAACTGGTTGAAGCCTGAAAGATCGAGCGAATGCGTGCGTTGGTGATTTTGACGATTGTTCATCTGACCGAGCGGGGGGGTCGTAGGCTCGATCAGCGATTGAACCGAGTTAACCGACAACTGCGACTGATGCATTTCAGATAGCGTAGAGATTCAGAATCGATCCTTTTTGGTCAGTTTTTTTTTTTTATTTTTTCACTTGAACACCGTTGAGTCGAAGCTAATCAGAGTAGATCTCTGTTAACACTAGAAGTAGTCAAGCTTGAAAGGTGATCAGCTTTGTATCAATGCGTCAAGCGTTTCGTTAAACAACCACCTGTTTAGAGACTGAGACCACACGTTTGAGATCAAAATTTCTTGGGTTTTTGGGTATCAGAAATGATCTGGACAGGGCTATAAAATGCAACGGGTATATCCTGCGAGGGTTTAGGTCTTTTTAGAAATGGAAACTCTTGGATCTGAGCGAGCCGGGAAGGTAGACGTGAAGGACGTTTAGCGATACAATGATCCCACGCTGGTGAGAATGTAGTAGGACCGATTTTGGAGGATACTATTTTAGTGGATGTGAGGTGGTGGGCAAATCAGAAATGTATTTTAGCACAGGTAGAGGAAAAGATGAGCCGAAGCGAGCTGCGAGTACAGGCCCGAGTACAGGAAGCTCGGGTCCCGAGTACGAGTACGTAAAGGAGACGGAGAGGGCAACGAATATAGAGTGAGTTAAGGGAGAGAAGCGTTAGTGTGGTGGACATGACTTCAGAAGAGCTGTCAGTAGTACAACGAACTATACGTGAAGAAGACTTACTGGTAACAAACGAAGTCTAGTCACGTGATCTACCCTGTGAGGCTACTTTAGCTACAAGTTGCGACATATACGAAATCGACACTAGTACCAAAAGAGATGGCGAGGCTGCCGCACCACTTACGACGGAAATAGAACTTCTCTCCCTCGTTGGTGAACCAACTCAAACAGAAACTCTTCAATCCCAGATCACTTTGTCACTATTCTGACATCCTCTAAATTGATTTTTTTTTTCTCAATTTTTTTTCGTGATGTCACAGAAAACGACTCCGGAGCTAATTTGGCTGGCCAGTTGAAATAACGGTACAAGAAAAGGGATTGGGCTCGAAACTTGGGTACCCAAACGAGACTTCAATACAGAATTAATCCTGATCTAACTAAGGTGCACATTTAATGGGGTGAGGACTTTAAGTGCATCCGTCCAGCATACACAGCGATCTTAAAACGAGAGAAGGGGATGAAGAAGAGAAACAACCACGGCTCCGGAACGAGGGGGAAATAAAATTAAGGGTTTTCTTCTTTGGGAGAAGAATTAGGTGAAAAATTATTTTATTTTTAGATGTTTGGTTACGTAATTGTGCGTCAAACGGTGACACAAAAAACTGCTCGAGGCCCTTGGCGCGAAAAAAAAAAACAAATTTAAGACGCGAAAAAATCGACGTTCGAGAACTTTTTGCTTTTTTTTAGGGGACAGAGCCCGTGACGTGGGCGGCTAATTTTGGCGAAATCGAAATATCACTATGTACGGTTTTGTGTCTTGTTTCTTTTTGTCTCTTCCGATGGGCTCGTGATTCGCACGTGTGCTTCGCTCCAGGCTTATTATAATATACAGTCTTCGACTTCTACTACTATACACTCATCGACACACAATCTTCCGAAGTTACACCAGCAACACCGCATTGACACACCCATCACGGTCGGGCTCGTTGGTGATTTGAGCGTATTTACCCCACACAACTTTACCACCGGCGGTGACCATACCCAGCTCAGAAACGTTCACCTCAATAACAGTTCCTTTCGTCAAAACACCCAGCTGCGTGTACATAGGTGATTGAGGGTTCTTCTTCACACTCAGTATCGGCAGAAACACCGTGACGCCTAGTTCAGGGTGCGTAACGTTAGCCTTCTTCTGTCTTAGAGCACTGGGTCTGATAATACGCTCTGTTTTTACAGGTCTTCTGGTGAACCCTTCTCCCACAAAAGTGTGTTTCGTGATCATACGCTTCCAGCTCTTGCTCTTGGATTTACCGGTCTTGACCACTTTGAACATTTCTTCCTCACTAATACCACGCACTTTTGGTAGTGGCACCGAAAATTTGTCGGCTTTCTCAAGTCTTTTCTGCTTGATCGAGGAAGAAATCGCTTTGGCCGTATTGTTCTGTTCTCTGTCCAACAGATAAGTAGGCAAAGCTTCGCCAGAGTCTTCCATGGGTTTAGATGGGCCCTTGATCTTCGACTGTTCGTGCGCCTTGATCTTCTTCCGCAATGCCACTTTTTCAGCATACCGTTTCTTCGAAAACTGCTTACCCTTCCAGCCAGTCAACTTTTGTGCCTTTTCAGACACTTTGTGAGACTCTCTGGCCTCTCTCTTACGGAGCCTCTCGTCGTGATCCAGTCTACGACCATGCTGCTTGATGTGCTGCTCGATATACTCGTTCTGAGGCATGATTAACGTGGGGAAAAAACTATGGAGTGACTGCCCGTTGTATTCACTTCGTTAATTTCTTAAAAGACCAACAAATCAAGTGTACTGGAGCTTTGAGACTGCAACTTTTCTGGTGAAGGAGTGTTAGTTGAAGTGATGCTCATCGCATTAAAATTTTCAATTTAGTCTGAATTCCATTTTCCATGTTATTCTATACGATGTGGAAAATTTTAGGCGATGAGATGAGATGAGGTAGGACTACAACTTTCAACAGTCTCGAAAGACGCTCCGAAAGCTGTTCGTAGGGCTCCTTTACAATTTATAAAGAGACTCCACTTTCAAGCCATCGCCACCGGAAAGTTATGAGCAGTCTTAATAGTGTGCTGCACCAGATTAACGAGTCGTTAGTGTCAACGAGCGAATCACTGGAAAGTTTGAAAAGGCAATACGAACGACCAGTTTCCGAAAATTCTGGTGTCAAAGGCCGAGTTATACAAGATCTGTTGAAAGTAGGAGACGATGTGGACAAAGTTTCCCTACTTTCGCTGAAAAACGAAAGTTTAATGGCATATGTGAACAGTCTTGTCCAAGTGGTTGGTGAAAAACTGAGTCGGCAAGATATGACGTCTTCGCGCGGACGAACCTCAAGCGTGGAACACCGTGTGGTGTTGGAACGCGGAGTGCGTCCTTTGGAGAAGCAATTATCGTACCAGCTGGACAAACTGACTCGTGCATATACAAGAATGGAAACCGAATACGCAACAGCGGAAAAACGAGCAATCGAAAAACAGGAGCGGAAATTGCAAAATGGCGGTGATGACGACCAGGGGGATGACATTAGTGAGGAGGAAGACTCTGAGGATGAAGCTTTGTCGTTCAGACCTAACGCCGGAGCATTAGTAGAAAAACCCACATCTGCATCAGCACGTAGTAACAGAAAGCCCACCGAGGTCAAGGAGCACAATGAGGAACAAGAAGATGATGAAGGATCCTCCGCCACTTACAAACCACCCAAGATCAGTGCGATGTTACCTCCACGCCAGCGCCATTTCGAGGACAAGTTTGATGCTCAAGAGCACAAAGATCGTAGCGGGAAATCTCGCATGCAAGCCATGGACGAATACGTGCGTGAAATGTCTGAGCAACCTGAATGGGAAGCTTCTGTCGGTACAAACATTCTGAATCATGGTAAGGGCGGAATCAAATCCTCTCGCGATGCCGAAAAGGAGCAGCGTGTGAAAACATACGAAGAAGAGAATTTCACTCGTCTCAATAATAAGGGCAACAAAGTCGAAAGACGTAAAGCCAAGCAGCGTGAGAGAGCCGCAAGAGTTAACATGGTTGGTGGTGAAGATTTCAGTATTTTCAACTCCAAACGTAAGCTCGAAGATAGCACTTCTCGACAAGCTACGAAAAAGCCCCGCGGAGCGTGGGATAGGGCTAAGAGGAAGCTTTAAAGCGGTTGCAACAGTAATGGCGGAAGCTATCAAATCGACAAGCCCTAGGTAACATGACACGAAAGCAGTGTAATTTGTTCACTATAATATCAACGAAATCAAGTTCAACTCTTCCTTCCATAAACAACTTGGGCGATTAAAAACGTACAAAGATGCCATGAGCAATCTGTATACCAAACGCAGCGTCGCTCAAAAAGACTCGCAGCCCTGTTTGGTGTGCTTTCTGCCCACCACATGTGTGTTATACAACTCATCGATCCAAGACTGGTTTTACTGCTGTGAACTGCATTTCAAAGACAATTTAGGATTTGCCAAGCCGGTGTACTCCAAAAGTTATGAAGATGCGATCGAGAAATTAAAAGTGGTGAAGCAGAAGCTAGATGCAGAAAAGGTAAAACAGGCGGGATCATGGGATTCGTGGGTGAACAAATTCATTTCCAAGGAACCAAGTCAGGAAAGTCCGCAAAACGCAGCACAAGCCGAGACTGAGACTGAAACAGGAACAGAGTCAGAATTACAGGCGTTGAAAAATGAATATCAAAGATTGACAGACTTGATATCTCAGGGTCAAAAACAGTTGCGCTCCTTTACATTAAGCCCTGTGATGTTTGAAAGTCGTGTGGACGCCAAAAAGAGAGGCCATATACTAAGACAAAAGGCAAAGCGTGAACAGGAGAATTACAGCAACACGGACCCAGATGAATTAAGTGCTAAATTTGATTTTCCAGCCGTACCAAAAAAGATATAAGACTGGTTTTGAAAAAGGGTGAGATTCCAAAGAAATGAATTAGTTGACTGTATGTTAGATAGTTAACAATCGAAGCATCATCGAGAACACCGGACACTTCTCGACGGCTACTTTCATAATTTTTGTACGAATTTGTTTGTCATTATGTACGTCTGTGACACCCCTCTACTCACAATTTCGGAAAATTGGAAAATGATGAGACTTGTCATTTGAGAGTAGTGTAAAACGTTTACTCAAGAAGTAGTCCATTATACCACAATTGAAACCGCTTACCAGGAGTCAAAGCCTCTCAAAGTTGTAGTGCGCTGTGGCTGAAATAAAGAGTCTTTTCCGACTTTTTTTTCGCATTTTGGTAAACTTTCAGCGGACAAACAGATAAAAGGAACACTGATCTCGACACTAAAGTTTTGGTAGTACAATCCTGCCATCATGAGTGATCTATCCGCTGGTGGCCAAGAAGTGGATATGCCGCCAGATATACTGCTGAAGCTGGATCTGACATTAGGGCAAGGTTCTCAGATGTCAAAACAGGTTCTGGAAGCGGCAGATAATATGTCAACCGCATCGTCTTCGGATTCGCTGGATTTTCTACTGGAAAGACAACGGCAGCGGCAGCTAAATCATCCAATGCATCAGAGTCATATATCTACACCTCTACTGAATTCCACACGACCCAAGGTTAAAGAGACCACCAAGATTTCGCTAGAGTACGACCCTATCTCCAAACGCAAAGTTCTGAATACTTACGAAATTATTGGTGAACTAGGTCATGGGCAGCACGGAAAGGTAAAACTTGCCAGAGATCTAGTGACCAAGCAGCTGGTAGCTATCAAAATAGTAAACCGTAATGGAAGCAAGAAGGACCGCTTCAGTTTCAAGACTAACAACGGTGGAGATGACAACAGAATTAAACGGGAAGTGGCAATTATGAAAAAATGCCATCATAAACATGTGGTCAAACTGATCGAAGTGCTCGATGACTCAACCTCTCGGAAAATATACTTGGTTCTAGAATACTGTTCCGCTGGAGAAGTTAAGTGGTGCCCGGGTGATCAACTCGAAACTGAGGCTCAAGGTCCTCCGCTGCTCACTTTTCAGAGGGCTCGTGAAATTTTCCGGGGTGTCATTTTGGGTCTAGAATATTTGCATTACCAGGGGATCATACACCGAGATATCAAGCCTGCTAATCTCCTGATCTCTGAGTCTGGTGTTGTGAAAATATCAGATTTCGGTGTTTCTTTCGCCGCCAGCAAAGATGTAGACGGTAGCGAAGTACTGGATGAATTAGAACTCGCGAAAACGGCTGGGACCCCGTCCTTTTTTGCCCCGGAAATCTGTTTAGGACATGAAGCGTCTACGAGGTTTTGTTCAGACACTAAAAACTCTCCAAAAGGCTCCATTATTTCCAATAAGATTGATATATGGGCTGTTGGGGTGACGCTATACTGCCTTTTATTTGGAATGTTACCGTTTCGCGCGGAATTTGAGCTGGAACTTTTCGATAAGATCATAAATGATACACTGCCACTTAAAAACTACGATGAGATGGCTGAGCAAAAAGTATCCGCCATATCTAGTGAAAAAGAGTATGAAGCAGCCAAGGATTTGCTGCAAAAACTACTCGCCAAGAATCCTTTCGAAAGGCTAAGCATAATGGACATCAAGAAACACCCTTTTGTGTGTTGGGATTTTCAACACGACATTGATAACAGCAGTACCGCGCTTCGGAAGGCCGAAGAAAGTTTCGCTTTCCAACGATCACAGGAGGAGGAATATCAGCAAATTTCAATCTCCTCTCATGAATTAGACAACGCAGTTTGCGGCATAGGAAATAAGCTCAGGCGTTCTATGCGCCCCACCTCAGAGACGCCAAGGACAGGTGAAGAATATTCTCGCCCAGTTGCCGCACTCAACAAAGATACTAATGAAATTAACGATAATGACCAAATTAATGACGGACTAGAGGGCCTAAGCCGCTTCTCAAATCTGAACATCGAAGCTAATGACAGTGCGCGGACAAGCAATGGGAATCTCATTTTAAGCGAAGGTCCATTAGTTGCACGAGAAGACAGCATGGATAGCTCCGGCGAGCTTAGTGCGAAAGAAATATTTCAACAGGAGTTAGAGAGATTTGACAAGAAAAGGGACCCTGATTCCATCGTTTCACTACCTGTAAACTCATCTTTCGCCTCTCTGGATAGTTTTTATCTAGATACGTTTGCGGGGAAGCAACCAGCGTCGGAAGGTAGATCTTTTGCATACCCGTCTACCAATGAGAAGGCGACAACAATATTCGCTCGCCCTCCGCAAGCTCTTTTGAACTCGAAAAGCTCACAGGACCGTAAGGCATCGTATGGTTTTAATCACAGTGCTACTTGCAGAGATCCCTTCAACTCGAGATACCGCAATCCGTTTGCTAGAAATCCGAGACCTGATGGAGAGTCTCGGAACCAAGTCCATCAAAGTCCAGCTAGTAATAAGCGGCTAATGCATGGCACTTCCTCGGATATTTCTAGAGTGAGGTACACGCCTTGGAGCGTTACAAATGCAAGTAGTACACAACATTCGCATCAAGATCAAGACAACACAAATACGAAATATTCGGGTGACAGGGTACATCTCGAGCAAGACACGCGAAGTAGTGACAATCATGGTTCAAAACAATCGAGAATTGCTAGTGAGAAGCGAGGAAACTTTTTCTCAAGTTATGACGGGAGCGACGAAGAAGACAGTCAGTCGACAACTACCAGTGGGACTTCGACCTCGCAGAACGACGACCCATCTGATGAATACCGCTCAGAGACAGAATCACTGCCATATGAGTTTCGTATTGATTCTGAACATGGCAGTCAAATATCGCTTCGGGATCTACCAGCAAACAATACAACGCTTTCCAGCCAAGGACATAGAATGGGTAGGCATGATGAGCTAATGGGAGGTGATGAGGAGGATAACGAGCTCACAATAAACGTCGGACCGGCAGGATACAATCGCCGCCAAGGATCCGTATCTAGTTCAGCGAGTTCTCAAAGATTCAGACGTTCTCGACGGCCATCTATCGGTCACTCTGTCGCTCCAAGCTCGCCTTCCTCAAAACCGACCTTTCGAACAAGGATGTTTGACTCAGCTTCAACATTGGATCATGGATCGGCAGCCAGTGCCTCAACTCTGACTGCCGGGAATAACGCAGGTCCTTACGACACTGTCATAAATGTCAATCCGGAACCTGCAGAATTCGCCCCAGATGCTGAAGGCTTCATTTTAGGAGAAGCTTTTAATGGAAGTGTGAACATTCCACCCGATGTCCTGAATATGATTCCTGAATTGGCTGTTTCAGCTAACTCAAGTTTGTCGAACGAAAAAAATGCCAACGAAGGCGGTAATGCACTGTGGAAAAAAGCACATTCAAAAGGGTCGGGCCCAAACTCGCTCCGGTTCGGGAATAGAGCACCTTTGGCTTCTACGCAAGAATTAAGCGTCAATCCTGTTCTCAACACTCAGTTGCAACGCGATCGTACTCGCGTTACATCGAAGGATTTACTTCAAAGTGTCTTGACATCTGCGGGATCCAGTAGGAGACCTTCTATATCGCCAATGCCACGCCACCTCCCTAAGCAAGAAAGTCCTCATGAATCTTACGTCAATCATTATGAGGGAAAGCGAGAGACAAAGTATTCATCCAAGACACAAATGAGAAGGAGGCCAGAAAAGAATAGGGGCTTGGAAGGCCGTTACAGATCGAAATCCGTGAGTGTTGGACTTTTAGACGATCGTAGGCCGTCAGATCAATTCACCTCCTAACAATTTGCATAATAGCATCAGCTACTTGAAGGCAGTATTAATTTAGCTCTGGTCTGGGAAACTGCATACACCCGAGTTCTCCAAAATGACACATTTTGTGTGTCTTGAGCTAATCTGACAACTATCGTAAATCATTGTAAGTATAGAAAGAACTCCCGTATAAAATAAAACAGCGCTAGCTAGTTTATGACATGCAATTCCAGCTTGACCCATGCCATCCAAATACAACAAAACATATATGACCGTGAACTCCTGTCAGAGTTACAGCACTCATTTCGAATTGAGGTTTCGCATCTTACTGCGAAGAATCTTCAGCCTATTGGCTATACTGTCGATATATTTCTTGATCATCGATATGTCTCCTTCGTCTAAAGCATCTGTCGTATGGAAGCCAAAATCATCAAGGCCATCCTCAGCAACGTCCTTTTCCAAAACCGCTTCTAGCATCCAAAGGGACGTTGCGTATGCTATCTCGCAGTTGTTCAGGTACTCTCCTTGCATTTCAAATTTAGCGGCCGTTTTAGAGATTTCTAGCGCTCTATCATAGATTAGCTTCTCCAAAAACACTGGCTCCCTATCTGCTTCTGCTTCAAATGCCTTAGTGGCACTAGTTCTTAGCTCGTCAAGCCTTGACAAATCGATCGTCGAATCATTGGGTTGGTACGCGCCTGTGGACACTAACTTGAGCCTTAGGAACTCTGCCCTCTCCAGGCACTCATTGAATTTATCACGTAGCCACTGTACAAGTAGGTTCAGCTTGAGTGAACAGCTTTTCTCCTGGGACCGATACCACCATGAAGAAGTAGCTTGCATTGCTCTTGCCAGCGTAGATAACGCTTTCATGTACAGCAGAATAGCCTCGGTACAGAGTTGCTGCATCTCCCAAGCTAACATGTCATTGGACGTTATATCGGGGTGTGAATTTTGGCTAGAGTTACGCTTCCCCCACTGCTCAGTACTTTCGTCCGAACCAGTTCTTTTGCTTGAGCTTCGCCCATTTGAATAATCAGGAGACTGCTCCTCTTCCTCGATAGCACAACTACCACTACTGAGTCTTTTACCAAAGGGATCGCCCAATGAGGATGGTGGAAGTGGTACGATCTGTGAAAATTTGACCTCGGCAAAAGAGTGAATCACGAAAGCTTTGGCGGCCAACGACTCTAATAAAGCTATCATCTCTGAATCAGACCGATTTTCGTTTTTCTTGGAAAAAGTCACTTGGTGATCCGCTGACAATATTATGTTTTCGGTAAGTTCATGAAATGCCTGGCGCGTAAGAAGGGGTTGAGCACCTGAATTGGGAGAAACTGAGAGGCCTGTTGACTGCTGATTGCCAAAGAGGCGAGTAGAAGCAATTCCTAAAGCTTTAGTGAGCGCGTTTGATGGGCTTAAAGAAGAAATTGAAAGCCGTCTTTCAACGAGAGATGGCCGTCTAGCGGTAGTTCCACTACCTGAAGACGTTTTCCTCATTGAGGTGGGCTGAATAGGAACCGTTTGTTGTTGTAGTGTGTTTTTCGATGAGGCGCGTTTTTCATGCAGAGTGTCTTCACGAGAACCTAAATGAGCAAATTCATCTGCTAAGGCATTCACCTCCACGCTCTTCTTCTCCACCATAACGTATTCCTTCTCGATAGATGTGTCCGGACGTGTAATTGAGTTTTCCAGCGCATTTGTGATCGTGTTTTCATCCTTGCTGCGACTGCCTCTCACGACAGGTATCGTTTGTGAAGAATCAGGTTTAGAAGGGTCGGAATATGACACTGCTTCTTCATTAAGGGGCGTCATGGCCTTTCGTTTCTCATCTGGTCGCGCCAAATATTCGGAAATGAACATGTTGCTGCCAGCAACGTCCTTGGACTTGTCGTCGAGATCAGGAATCACTTCTTTCTCATATTTGGACAGATCTTCATTTACAATTGCATGGCTGAAAAACTCGCTGAATCCCATTCTCTGGGCAGGATCAAAAGTTAAAAGTCCACATATAAGTTCGCACATTTCAGGTTCCAGTTTGCAATAAGAAGGAAACGAAATCACATCGTTCGCCTTCTTTATCTTTTTGAATAGCTCAAGGTGATTAGAGGCTTTGAAAGGAGGTTTGCCGCAACACATTTCATAAAGTACAGTGCCGACAGACCAAAGATCAGCTTTAGCATTGTACTTCTGGTAATTCAGGATCTCTGGAGCCATATAGAGCGGAGAACCACATAGGGTTTCGGCGAGTGAGGTATTAGGCAAAAACCTAGCAAAGCCGAAATCGGCAATCTTTAATATCGGGAGGTTATAGATTCCAACAAACCCAAGTTTGTGAAACGTTTCAGGATCGTGGTAGTTAACAAGCGGCGTTGACAGCAGTAGGTTTTGAGGCTTGATGTCTCGGTGAACGAGATTTTTTGACCTTAGGAACGAAAGCGCAGATGAAAGCTGCTGCAAATAGTTGACCACCAGGACTCTATTAAGACCGTTGTGTGACTCGCTGGGAGGAGGATATTTTTCCAACATCGTTCGTACCAAAGGGTGCTTTTCGATGAGCGCTCTACGCTTTTTGATGAAAAAAGTAAGGTCGCCTAGCGCGCAGTACTCCATGATAAGAAAGAAATCAGAGCTTGTGCGTTCACAATCCATGAGTCCTACGATATGCGGGTGCTTGATCTTCTTCAAAATTGCAATTTCGATTTCCAGGTTTTCCAGCAGCTTCTTATTTTTCAACTTCGACCTCGACACCGCTTTGATGGCCACAAAGTCCTTGCTATCCACGCCTTTCGAAGCCAGACGGCCCTTATAAACGGTGGCGAACGACCCCTTACCGATTTCCTGCTCCACGATATACTTCTGTGCTATCACATTAGGCGTTGTGTTCTCTTCCTCATAGGTGCTGCTACTCACGCTCATTGCTTCTTGCTCTGTATTTGTTCACTTTTCGCCACACTTACAAATCTGAAACCGCTCCAAAATGAAACGACCAATCGAGCTTGTTGAAAGCACCTTAAAAAGCCAGTTTGGCGTGCTACCACCCAAAACCAAGCTCTTAGATTCCAGATCTGACCTTTAAAACCGCGTTTCAGGTCCTTGAATCACCGAAAAGATCACAAATGTCAAAAACGTAGATCCAGCACCGTTTTGGGCGACTAGTTGGACTATTTGTGCGCTTTTTTCGCAGTAGTCCAGCTTATATTTCTTTTTGACTGGCTGCTAAGCTGTAGTAAGAGCCAGGTAGAGTTCCCAAGATACTCTAAACCCTAGAATCACTGGGATTTTATACTTTCACTGATGTGGTTTTAAAAGTCAAGGGGGTCATTTCTCAAATTTGGTGTTTTTGTCTGAGTCAAATCAAAAAAACCCGATGAGCTATTTTCGTACAGTGTGATGAAAGGGGTTTCTTATCCACCACGTGATTTTATCCAGGTGAGTCTTTGGCACGTGAGTTTTTCCCGCTTTTGCCTGTAGGTTCAGGTAGCTGCTACACCTCTGCAAAGAGAATGTATGTGCTTGAGACATCAACCGTGTGTTTGAGAAAGAGGGACCTGGTATGATCTATACCCCGTAGTAGTATCCCGGTACGCCCTGCTGTTGCTGTTGCTGTTGCTGTTGCTGTTGGAGTTGTAGCTGTAGTTGTAGTTGTTGTTGTTGCTGCTGCTGCTGCTGCTGCATTTGCAGAAGCTGCTGGTACTGCGGGTGTGAGGGATTGATCTCGACAGCACTGCTGTAAAGGTCCGGGCGTTGGTATAGCGAAAGTAAAGCATTTTTGTCTGCTTGGGATTGTAGTTGCTGCTGTTGGAGAAGCATCTGTTGCTGTTGGAGAGCCTGCTGTTCGTACAGCGCCTGTTGCTGCAATTGCTGTTGGTAGAGAGCCTGCTGTTGAGCCTGCTGTTGAGCCTGCTGTTGAGCCTGCTGTTGAGCCTGCTGTTGCTGAGGTTGGCTCACGTAAATGACGCCTGTAGTAGGATCCATATACTGTTGTGCGTAGTTGTTGGTGTTGTTGAACGTTGCAGAGGATTGCACTCCCGTCATGGAATTTTCCAGGCCGTCGAAAACAGCATTTCGTGGTCCAGCGTGCGAAGCAGGCCTTTTTGGCAGCGCCGGGTTGCTGGCTTTTGCAGGAGCAGTAGACTGCGTAGAAGGCCTGTTACTATAGCTTTTTTGGCTGGAGCCACTTCTAGAGGTCCCAGACCTGGACCTAGAATTGGACCTTCTGGTTTCGTTGTCCGAAGTATAGCCATTGCTGTCCCTGCGAAATTTGCGCAAGACGTATTTGTCTCGAATAAACCTCTCCACGGCAGATTTGTCCTCATCTCCATCAAAGGGGAAATGCTCGTTTACCGCGTTCCATAGCTGCTTGTTTCGCTTGTTACCACCCGTGTGGCTAAGGTCGTCCAAATCCGCATTTGACCACCGATCCATTGTGAGCGACCTCACGTCTGAATATGAGCTATCATCGCGTCCGCCCAGCACTTTTCTGTGCACAGAGGCACATCTTCCACAAAGGAAAACACCCAAGCTTACCGAACACCACGAAGGAAATGCTGCTCCGCACTCACCACATTTATTTAAATTTTGCGGCGAGTTGAGAATGCTAACGAGCTCTCTCTCGACCGCTTTGGAACCTTTATACGCCATTGTTGTAGTTCTGAGTAACAATTGAATCGATAAGCAGGTCTAAGTACCTCTAAAGCCTTTAAATTCTCTGGTTCTTGGTCGAATCAAGAAACTTGGCTTGGAGCTTTGTATGTCAATCAATCTATTGAAACTTTTGTTCACGTGACCATGATGTCAAGAAGAGAGAAGTGACTCAATCCATCAGCAGCTTTAAAAGCACGAATGTAAGGCTTTGATTAATATCTACTGGTTAGAAATTCGTGGAAGCTAGGCTAGCTTGATTTGGTGGACATTTTTTTTTTTTTTAGGTTTTATGTTTTCGACTTACTTTGATCGTTTAACAACTGGACTTGCGATTTTATGAAACTTGGAGACTTGAACCCTGCTGTTCACAATCATGAAAACAATTCTTGTGTTTAGAGTTCTTTCACGGGGGTTTTTTTTGACGGAGCGCTTTGGCGTTGAATTTGAGGCAGATGTCCACACTTGGTGCTTTTTCCTCGGATAATTTGTAAGGTTTGAAATGTGCAGTCGATATAGAAGGTTGGTTTTTCACGAGAAACTTGGGACTGTTTTGAAATCTAAACCCAGCCTTTTGCCGAGCGTTGAGGCGGGCGAGCGTTTTTTTGAGTTTCGTTTTAGGTTTGTATCTCCAGAGACGCCAGAAAAAGGTAGCACAGCAGGAATATCAAATCTTGCCAGACCCGCTGAAAATGCCATCGGGCTTGATCTTCGCGGTCATAGGTCTGTTCAAAAGACAGCTGTGACATTTGGCGACACTGGAATGTGACCGGTGACGCTAAGCGCTGGAAAATCACTATCTTTCATGTGTGTCGCCGATCACGCGAGTGACGCATTCTTTAGTGTCTTCTCCCTGGGTATAGGGACGGGCGTCTCCTAAGGAGCACTCAACTCTACACAGGAATCAAACTAGAAGACATTTTTCTTGCCTTGTCTTTTTCGTCTCTATTTGATATCCAATCTACCCATCTTAAGCAAAGTCTTCTCGATTGATTACCAAACATACCTTCGGGTCAACAGTGAGAAGCATGGCGTTCTAGTGAGTATGGGTTTTGAGAAGAATTATCTAGCCCAAACTACTCCTCTCGAGTCCCTCTAAGCCTCTTGGGTTGTTGAAAAAAATGGCACAGTAATTCACTTAGATGTCAAGCCAAAAGCTCGAGTTCTTTCTTAGAACCGCACCTAAAACTGAAGTCTAAATGATATGTCAACATATCATGCTCTCGAATAGACTGCTACCGATTCTCTCTCGATCTTACCTCCGGTTTTTGATGATTTCCATTGTTACGATCTGGTTCATTGTATATCCAAACATCAATAATATTCAATCCCAGCCTCTTACTGACATCTTTCAAGAGCCAAACAACAGCGTAACGTCACCAAGGAGAGAATACCTACACTTGTTTCGAATAATTTATATATCATGGTATGCACATATCCAAATAATAAGCGTTTACATAGCGCCTTTTACTGACTTCAAAGTCCGAAATTAGCCGCCAAAGGGGAAAGCAACGATAACGACAGCTCAAAAGAAGGCTAGCATTTTGAGATTCTTTCAAGACCAGCACTCTGTGTATAACATCAAAGAGCTGGAGAAACTCATACCCAAAAAATGTAGCGGTGTATCGCCCATGTTGGTGAAAGGACTGATCCAAGAAATGATCGAGGAAGATGGAATCATATCGATGGAAAAATGCGGCAGTACTAACATTTATTGGTGTTTTAAGAATCAAATTATCATGAAAACACAATTGGAGATGCGCTCGTTGAATTCTCGAATCGAAGCCTCCGAAAATGAGGTGCTACAGAGTAAAAGAGTACTTCAGAAAAATGCAGAAAGTCTTAGGACGGAGGTCTATCAGATCGATGGAGCAACATTTTCTCGGAGAGAGCAGCTTGAAACGCTAGAATCTCTGACTGCTCAGGTGAAAAATCTACGTGCTGAACGCGATAAAATGCTCGAAACCACCTGGGACAAGTCCCAAATGAAATCGAGAACCGAAGCGTTGCAACCTAAACTCCGAAAACTCGAATCGGTGACTGATAATTTGGAATTACTGACTGGTTTCCTTTCTAGACGTTTTCTGGTGAACCTGAGCGATTTAAAAAACGAGTTGGGTATTCCTGAAGAGTTTCTAGAGTTTTCCGATCTTCCCTCTGTGTGATGTGAGCAGATATTAAAATTATTTGAGCATGGCATTGAAAGCTAGTTTATAGATCGGAGAGGTTCAAATTGTGTTTCGTTCGATACACAAGGGAGCCTACCGTTCAGATTGCTAATTTGGAAAACTTTTGAAACGTCTGTGATTAAACGAGGGTTTTTGTATCATGAATGGAACATACGTTCTTCGCTGTATCGTCATGAGGACTCTCCTTCCTGATGGGTCTTGACGTGCTGATTGAGATTATCACTTCTGCTAAATTTTTTACCGCAGATGTGACATCCAAACGGTTTTTCACCCATGTGCAATGACCGAACATGCCTCTTCAAGTGTTCTTGCCGTTTAAATCGTCTATCGCAAAATTCGCATGCGAAATGCTTTGAGGAGTCCAGAATTGGGGAAGGTTTTCGTCCACGAGTCTTGGGAATCCCAAGTCGCTTTTTTTTGACAAGTCCAGCTTCTACGCTCAACTCTGGTGGACTTTGTGAGTTTTCTGAGCTCCCAAGCGTTGTGCCAGAACTTGCCAGGCTATAGTGATTCTCCAGGCTACCGGAAGTGTGCAACTTGGAAGGATTCACGACGGGGCCGCCATCGTCGAGATGATGAGACCGAGCGGAAATAGGAACCGTGCGTTTTCGACTCCAGAAGTATTTTTTCTTCAGAGACGGTTGCGGACCGCCGCCGAGAAGTTGCGGATTTACCAATGCTTCGGTAACCCTTCTTTCGCCTGCGAAGAAATTGATTTTGAAGTAGTCCCTGACTTTCTTCTTGTACTGGCCGTCGCTGCTTGAAAGACGAATTGAACCCGGGCCATTGTCGTCTTCCAAAGTAAAAGGCTGTTGTGGAGCCACAACTGACCCCAGGACAGTGGTTTCCGGTACGTTCATGGCCATTTCGTCACCATAATCGCTGAAAACGGAATCCTTGCGACCCTGTCGGCGGGGCGAGAATTGAAACAATTCTGGACCCTCATCGTCGGTAACCATGATTTTTTCGTCATCCTCGTCCTCTTCATCTTCATCTTCCTCATCTTCCTCTCCTTCTGCACCCTGACCTACTGCCAAGCCTTTTTCGAAAAATTCGTATTCGTAGTAATACACGGGTTTTGCGCTGTGATACTCCGAAATGGACAGTCGGCGGTTTTCTTGGATTTGAAAAAGCGAGCTTGCCGGCTCCCGCGGTCTTAAGGTGTCTTTATAAGCCTGCAGTTCTTCCTTGACGGAATTTCCACTATAAAGCATGTCCTCCAGAAAACTCGACTCTGTTAGTGCCTGCCGTTCCGGTTCCACCGATTTCGAAGACGTCTGCAATGTGTTTCCAGTCAAATTGTTTGCAATTGAGCTCCCTGTTTTCGGATTCTGCACCAATTGCAAATTGAACATGCTGTCTCCATTCGTCGTGGGCGTGTCCAAGTCAACTTTGCTGTTGTTACCGTGCAACCCGACCAAAGTGTCGCTGGACATTGTGCGATAACCTTGGTAAATCGACATTGCGCGTCAAATTGACGGCCTCAGTTTAACTTCAAACCACCCAGTAGCGATGATACGCCTAGCTTTAAGAATGTGTGTTGCTGTGGAAGTTTGATGCCCTTGCAGCTTAACTATCGGTTTATATCTCGAGTATAATTACTGAGGCCATATATAGGCTGAGCATATATCTCACAAGTCAGATGACACAGTCACGTGAATGTTTAAAAAATTACGTAATTATAAATCACGCGACTAAGTAAAAGATTACCCGGTTATGTACTCAAATGCTAAGTACTCACAAATACTTTGGGTAATTGGCCTGTACTCATCATGTGCCCTGTCCAATGTCAGATTCTTTACCGAAATCGTCACCACGGGAAGAGCGACGCCAACCCACAAGACTTGTAAACACTTCCCTTCTCAATTACTGTCGCACATATAGTTCCCCTTTGACTTTAGTCTTTCATGTCATTAGTGAAAAATTCTAAACCTTGTATATACTCATGAGCCAAGACGTCCCTGGCTGTCATCGTGCAAGTCGCAATGAAAAAAAGTCAGCAGCTGAGAATCCCACATATGATTTCCAAAAGGGCATTTTCGAATTCCCGGTAATACTCATCTCCAGTCCCGATTGTGTCCATTTGACCCCTGTCGCGGTTTAGCAGTAGAATGTACCGCTCCACCTCTTGACGTATCCACTCCATTCCCTGCTGTGGTTCAACAGACGTACTTTTGCCCTCTGGGGAAGCTACCATGCCGTACAAGCCACCTGGGTGGGCTAAACCCGGGGCCATAATGGGTTCTACAGAAGTTTCTTGCGGAGTTGGTACCGTCATTGGCGTCGGTTCGTTGGCAACGTCGCGGGCGAACGAATTCGTCGTGTAAACGGTATTCATTGGTAAGCCTGAATCCATTGCAGAAGCCTGAGAACCAACAAAACCGATGTCGTCAAACGAACGGTACATCGGCTGGCTATGAGGTGTTGTTGCCAACGCTCGCATGGTGCGAGGCGCGATTTGCGCGCACGACGTTGTGTAGGAAGTGTCGAGTGAGTTGTTGTTGTAGATAAGATTACCCGAAAATGAAAACCCATCGCCCAAAAAGTCCTCTCCATCTGTAATGCTTGTTATGCTCAAAATTCGATTCGCGTCCCGATTAAAGTCCATATCCCCTGTGTTGGAAGGTTGTGACGTCCCAGAAGAAGCTGCGGAGCCGCTCATCGACCCCACGCTCGGCTGTGGAACGACACCAGGACGTCCGTTCGTCAAAGTAGAATTTCCAATATCGTATTTGCTGTGAAATAGCTTGGAAGTATCTATCTGGGCCTTGCTCTTCTGTTCCAGGTAATTCCCATGCTTGGTAATAATAAGTTTGAACAGAAGCTTAATGAGTTGAAAGCAGTTTTTGCACACCGCGGTCTTGGGGTCCACTTTCATCTCTGCCACTGGAATTGCTTTCGAAAGCAGAATATATCTTAAATCATGTTGTAAAATCAAGATTTGATCCATCTGCTGAGCGCGATTAAGGTCCAATGCTAGAGTTTTGATGGCAAATGTAATCGCATTAATAGGCATATTACCCACCAGAAGCTCCCAGTTATAACATGAGAATGAATCGTCCGTATGGTATTTTAAAAATTCGTCCAAGTAGTGAAGCGAGGCAGGCACAAGGTTGTTGGTGAGATCCTCATAATTGTACACAAGTCCTGTATTTGTTAATCCATCCAATCCTTCCCCCAGAGTGTGATCCAATGTTAAGTTACCACTGTCATTTAAGATCGCTTGTATGGTCAAAAAGTTCTTGCCGTAGCCGCTTTCTGAAATAGGGTCCGAGAAATTCCCATGTCGCACCACCTCTTCTTGCTTCCATAGTCGTCTTCTTTTCATAAGCATCGGGAGAGACGCCTTGATAATGTTTAGATGAAGTAGCAGACAGGCTCGGTCCGCAAACGTATTCAGCATGAACACTGCCCAATCAACAAATTTGGCTTCATTGGATGTTTGCTGTCCCACCTGTTTGCCATTATTACGCAGAGATAAAGCGCTGCCCATACAACAAACATGGAGATCGACAATCCGCTCTTTCAGGCCTTGAAACGTGCCTCTATTAGTGAGCGAACACAGTTCATTGAGCAATATGACAAATCTGTGTTTTGCATTCAGCAGACATAGATTGGGATTTAGTTCTCCATTCACTACCTCAGCAGGCCTTACAGTGTCAAAATCATCCAATTTAATGAGTGGTGGTAAGTTGTTGTATAACGAGGTCATTGTATCCAGCTGAAAAATCTGCCAAAAAAGGATGCGTCGTGATTGAATTATATCCGGATCTACTATTCCATGATAACTGGCAGGATCGCGTGTAAGCAATGTTTTTTGCGCAAGCCGTGACAACTGAGCCACCATGGTTATGCTGGGGTTTTCGATGACGGAGTTGATCAAAACAGATCCGGTTATCATGTTGATGTTGAAAGTGTTCGGGAAATCATACAGTGCATACAAAACATTAGCAGCTTCGAAAAATGAGGTCATTTCCCTGAAAAGTTCATCGTTATCGTTGAACTGATGAAACTGAGATTTGGATGCAGCGTAAAGTACGGGAAGCAGGATCAGCAGAAATTCGGTGTCTGCTGGTTCACCGCGATCAAATTCTAGCCAAAATGCTTCGAGGCCTCTGGAAAACTTAAGGATATTGATCAGCGGGATGATTGGATGCACGGTGGTGTGATATGTTTCGAAAAGTTCATAAGCCCTTTCTCGTGGCGGCAGACAGAAGTTTAGATCTCTACCAAAGTTGAGGCGTAAACGGTCTTGATTTGAGAGATTAGACATAGGTGACTCCGTGCTTGCTTTGCCGGTAAGGTTATTTTCGAAATTTTTGATGCCCGCGGCGTCCGCATCCATTAGGCTATGAAGAACGGATGTCTTAGATTCCGCGAAAACCGGCTTGCCAAATTCACCAGGTTGTCTTTTGCTACCACTCACGTCCTTCTTCTGTCTTCTTTTCATATCTAATAAGGTTTTTTCGTCATTAGCCAAAGTTTTAGCTTTCTCGATCGCCATGAGAAGTTGTTTCTTCTTCTCTATAGGGTCATCGCTGGACGGAGCCTCTAGTATGAGGACAGCGTCGGAACCACCAGACCCGTTTTCGGCAGTAGTGTTGCCACCACGAGAGATACGATCATTGAGGAAATAATGGCATTCAATACCCTTTTTGAGACATATAGAACAACTTGGCGTTTCCCTCGTGCACTTGATCTTTCTCTTATGACATGCAACGCAGCTCAGAATTTTTCTCTGTCTACGATGCTGAATCTTGTATATTTTACCATCTTCAAGAACCAGAGCTGCCTGATCCTTGATAGGTATGATCTGCGATGACATTGGAGCGTCCCCAACGCTGCTGAGAGCTCTAAAAACAAGGTTGAAGTAGCGGTTGTTCTGTTGATGTTAATCACTCGATGGCCTTATAATAGTAACAAAGAGTTTCTGCAGATACCCTTATACGGGAGGCTCGAACGTCACAACACATTGGTGAGACCTTGACACTCGACATAGCTCGAAACTATATATAGTTTCCCCATCGCGAGGGAACTTGTCGAATGTAGCGGATAAAGAGGTTTTTTTGGTACTTTTTTATTGTTGATAACTGTGATTATGACAATTGCAATAAAGATGCTTGCAATTCGGTCATCGATAGAAAAGGAACGCTTAGACTTTTCCTGAGCTCCAAATTCGTCATTAAGCAGGCGAGTTTGAGAAGGTAAAGTGGAATTTCCACATCTTTTTGTTGGTTTCCTCTGTACTTGGCTTATTTAGCACACCCTTCGTATTTTTCAGCTTTACTGGGTAGTGTCAAAAAGACGAGACGAGATAGAGGACAGAGCAAGCAGTTTGTGAAAAATAAGATGTCCGAAGAAGAACACGGTATCAAGATTCGTGACTCGATTGTAAAGATAGTTAACACAGTTCCAAATAAGAGACCTCATTTTGGTTAAGAATCAGCGACTTATATAATGTATGTCGTTGAGATGCTTCGACACGTGACCAGCTTTTTTTTTGGCGTTTGCACAGTGGTTGTGGGTCCGTAACAATAGCTAAACAGAGCCTATTACTGAGATATATGGAGAAACATGAGGTTCAAATATGCACCAAGTTTTCACCGACGCCATACCACGTTTGATCGATGTCCGCAATCAAAAGTCAAATAAACACGATACGTGTAGAATGATCCAAAAAGTAGAAGTGGGAAGGGACGGATCACAAATCCAGCTCATGAAACAGCCAACACACGAACGTTAGCTCGTTTATCTCAAAAATAGAAGCACTCTCACACCAAATAGCTTCTTCTTACCTCCTAAAATCATTTCACCACAGGTCGGATCGTTTTCGAAATTCAGCTTTTAACGGTCTTTGTTGCCATGGAACCAGGAGGCCCGAGGCTTCCCACTTCGGAATCTCTTGGTAATGCCAGGAATCGAGTCTCGTGGAGAGCGAGCGCGGTTGAATTCGCACTCAGGTAACTATGTGCGAGAGGTAAAACACGTGAAGCCTTCTTAGCGGCTTTCTTCGCTTGTGCCGTGGCCTATATATAACCTTGATGTTGTCGACATCATTTAGTGCGTTCCCAGGATTGATAGATGTGTGTATATGTGATTTTGCTTAGGATTGAATGCAGGTCTTTGTCGACAAAAAGTCCGTGGTGGATCTCATATCTGAAATAAAAACATCGTCACTTTCACGTAGGGATGAGGTGATTATGCCTGGACTCTTGAAGTTATGAATGATCTCGCATCTACTCACGGCCATTTACGTCAAACGTAAACTTTTCTTCTGTTAAAGACTGCTATTTCGATAGAAAGGCCTCCACCATTGTCTTAACTTCCCGGAGTTTTCCATTTGAACATCACTATACACGAACAAGTTCATTTTCAAAATATCTTGCTTCATTCTTATAAAGACTAACAGTTCACGGAAATTCACTTGTGGCATTCACTTTCTCTCTCTCCACTGAACAGATAAAGACGTCTCCATTCTATGGAATTGATCCCTCTCGTCACATTCAAACAACTGATCATCCTGATACCTGGTCCTTTGCGCGACAAAAGATGGGTGCTGCGATGATTTTTGGATTGGCATTTTACAAAACTGCAGGTGAAAGAGCTTTCAAGATCGAACAAACACAAAAGAAGCAGCATTTCTCACAGATAGATGACGCGCTTCTGTTAACATTGCACGCTTTGCGATCCCCTTACCAATTCAAACTCCATACTTTTCAGTTCTGCTAGCCGCCGAGATCAAATCGTTCATAGTGTTCAAATGTGGCACGTGATACTACCACGTGATCAATATTTCTCTTTTTGCCAAGACGCCACAGCTACTAAGATCACATGATTCACCTACTCCACATTGCGCGCCACACCTTCAAATATTGAAGTTAACTTATCGATAACACCGACACCCTATCGATGCCCTTAAATTGATCAATTTTAACACCGGTTGAAGAGTAAGAAGGATCCTCTTAACCCCAGAAGAGCGGTCACGATAGTATTACTTGGCTTCACCGACTGCGTTCACTATCTTCTTTACTGAAAACCACCACAGTTACTGAAGTTGTCATATGCGCGTGTGAAACAGTGAGTTTTTTTGATCAACAAGCTTAAGTTGTTCGCTAAAAATACTCATACCAACAGAGCTATAAGAACACCTGAAAGTTGTGAACACCAGCTTAGCAAGTTTCCCTTTCCAAGCAAAGTCCAATCTCATTTCATCACATCACATCACATCTGTTTCAATTGAAAAAAATGGGAAATCAGGCTCTCACCACGAAACTGGTGTCTGTTCTGCAACACAACGACCAACACGGATCCAGTGTGCCTCCAATCTATCAATCGACGACTTTCAAAGTGGGATCACTCGAAGACGATGCCTCTCAAGCATACGACTACACGCGTTCTGGAAACCCCACACGGACGGTCGTGCAACATCAGCTTGCAAAACTGTACGACGTCAACAGCTCACAGGTGCTTGCCGTAAGCAGCGGAATGACGGCACTCGACATGATTTTGCGGGGTCTCGTACTGAAAAATACAACCTCGGTGCCCACGATCATCGCTGGCGATGATCTATACGGCGGAACCCAGCGTCTACTAACACATTTAGGGGTTCGCGACCATGCGCGGGTTTTGCATGTTGACACCACTGATTATGAGTCATTTGTGAGCGTGTTCAAACAACAGCCACGCGTCGACTGCGTGCTCCTGGAGTCACCAACGAATCCGCTACTCAAAGTTGCAGATTTGCCTCGGTTGGCTCGGTTTATCAAACAGGCCAACCAGGACTGTATTATCGCCATCGACAACACTATGATGAGCGGCATGCTTTGCAATCCGCTTCATTTTGGCTGCGACGTCGTCTACGAGTCTGCCACCAAATATCTAAACGGTCACCACGACATCATGGCGGGTGTTATTATTACCAAGAATGAGAAGCTTGCTGGGGACATATATTTTGTGATCAACTCCACAGGTTGCGGTCTTTCGCCGTTCGACTCATGGCTTCTAATAAGAGGACTCAAGACCCTGGGCGTCAGAATGTATCAACAGCAACATAACGCCATGGTTCTTGCGCACTGGCTCGAGAGTTCATGCGGATTTCACAAAAGAAACCCAAAAGACCGAACAGTGACACGGTACGTGGGGCTGAAATCGCACCCGCAATTCGAACTACACAAATCCTACAACGCCGGGCCAGGCGCACTATTGTCATTCGAGACAGGTTCTTTCGAACACTCCAGGCGTCTGGTTTCATCGCGCAAACTCAAAATCTGGTCCGTCACAGTATCCTTCGGTTGTGTGAACTCGCTCATCTCTATGCCGGGGAAAATGTCACACGCTGCGATTGATCCTGCCTTACGTGAAGAACGTGAATTTCCTGAGGATATTGTCAGACTGTGTTGTGGTGTTGAAAACGTCGCTGACCTACAAAACGATCTACTTGAAGCTATGGTGGATGCTGACATCATCGAAGTGAGAGATGAGGGTAGAACTCTTTACAACAAGCTCAACGGAAACTTGGCACCAAACACCATTGGCCATGGCGACCTTCCAAACATCTATGATGAGTTTTTTGGGCAGAATGGCGTTGTGAGACGCCAATCCATAATCACAGGCCGTGCCAAGTTGTGACGAAACGTCAAAACAATGCATTTTTTACCGGCACTTGACCTCGCATCTACAACATCAATAACAACATTGTACCTACTGTTCATAGACCTAACAACAATCATTTTTTACTTACCATTTCTCCCATAAAGCGGCATCATTGATCTTATCTCGACCGAACGGCTCGATTTATGACTCTCGAGATCTTGGCGCTACGATAATGATCGAGCGTTCTCTACGAAAAAAGATCGTAATGACCCAGTATTTCAACTGTATCGCCTAATGAGAGCTTTCACGCCGTCAACATTGCCTTTCCAACTTTAATGCTGTACATACTTGTATTTAGGTTTAGCCCGCATCGTTATTGTTCGTGGAGATTCTTTTAAAGTTCCACGCCCGTGTACCACTTGCTTCTCACAGCCATGACAGTAAAGCCTGGTATTTTATTTATCACTGCTCCAGCCTTTTCATCGAAAATCTACAACAGCACCATTCAAGAGAAGTTTCAAGTGGAACACTATGACTTGTGCTCTAGCAATTCAGAGGCGTTTCTAGAATACTTGCAAAAAACGTTTAACACCTCGAGTAAGCCTTTGTCTGTCATTTACGGTGGATTTCCCGCTTTTGGTCCGATTGGAGGTCTAACACGACAATTACTCGAGGATCAAAGGTTTCCCAGACAAAGTTTACAATGCGTAGTGCTGTGCTCTCGTGGAGTAGACGGCATTGATCTTGAAGCGACCAAAGAACACGGCATTGAGGTGCACAACTACAACGACGAGGATCAGTCAACAGAGGCTAACGAGGAGCCAAGACCCGGGGTGGTGAGTGACGAAGTTGCAAACTGCGCCATGTGGCATGTGTTGGAAGGGTTCCGTAAATTCTCGTTTTCTCAGGCGTGTTTGCGTAGCACCGGCAATACGTTACACTCTAGACAAGTTGCTGCTGGCGTTAAGTTTAACAGTTCCAAGTTTACATTCGGTCATGCCACGAAAAGGGTAGAGATCAGGTCGCCAAGAGGACAGAAAGCCCTTATTCTTGGTCTGGGTGGTATTGGGAAGCAGATCGCTTACAAGCTTCAACATGGTCTAGGAATGGAAGTCCATTACGCCAAGAGAAGCCGCGATAACAGCGTTCCTTGGACCTTCCACAAACTCGATTCTTCAATATATCCCCAGCTTTACCAGTTTACCGCAATTGTGATCGCACTGCCCGGCTCATCAGAAACTAAACACTTGATAAACGATAAATTCTTGAGCTTCTGTTGCAAAGATCTGATATTGGTTAACATTGGCAGAGGCGCCATCATCGAGCAGGATGCGATTTCGAAGGCTATTGTTAATAACAGTATCAGACACTTTGGAACTGACGTATTCTACCACGAGCCAGAAGTCGAAAACTGGTTATTGGAAAACGATGAATGTGCTACCATAACTCCCCACATTGGGAGTGCCACTGAGGATAACTTTTACCAAAGCTGCGAATATGCTTTAAGCAAGGCACTAAATGCGTGTTTTCCATAATTCAAGGTGTGGATGATTATCTTCGAGTTTGATAGTCCAAATAAACCGAAACATTCCATACTTTCAACACACAAAACACTGCGGGCGATTTAGTCGACAAAAATCAACCATTACACAAATGAATCCCATCGAATGCTGTCATCAGTACCAAAACGCGTGCTCGAAGCACTTGATGACAGTGACACTAGTCTTAAATGACACGAAATTAGAAAGTGATCGAACCTTTAATTACAACTTGTCAATTGTAATACTGAGATGAGCTATCTATCTATCTACCTATCTATCTTGATAGTAAAGAAAGTTGTCAACTACAGTCCAAGTTTACCAACGTCTAAGTTTTACTAACGTATCTATTCGTATCTCAAATCTGTGGCTAATTTCTACTTGTTTGTTTCGCGATGGCCGCGAAGAAAAGATCTGAAAAAATCGAAACTCTGAGTCTTGGCGAAGTCGAACGAGAAAAACCAGTTAAATCGACTTTCTTCTCGAAAGTTTTGCTGAAGACGAGACAGGTATCCCGGAAATTGGATTCGCTTGGTGTTGAAGTTCGTGGTATCCAGAGAATCCCACCGTATGAAAGAGGTACTTCGAAACAGTTTCTGAGTGTCGCCGGCCTTTGGCTGAGTGCAGCTGGCGGTCTATCATCAATGTCGTCGTTTTTCCTGGGCCCGTTATTGTTTGAGTTGACATTCCACCAGTCTTTGGTCAGTGGTATTATCTCAATGGCAATCGGGTGTGGAGTGGCAGCTTACTGTTCGACCATGGGACCACAATCAGGCTGCAGACAGATGGTCACAGCACGGTATCTTTTCGGTTGGTATTTTGTCAAGTTTGTGGCTTTGGTGTCGATCATAGGTGTCATGGGGTGGAGTATTGTGAACTGTGTGGTGGGCGGACAAATGCTGGCGGCGGTTTCTGACGGGAAAATTCCTGTTTGGGTTGGAATCGTGATCGTCACAGTCCTTTCATTTTTAGTAGCCATTTTCGGCATCAAACAAGTTTTAAAAGTGGAAACCTTTTTGTCCGTGCCCGTGCTAACGTGTTTTCTTCTGCTGTACATCTCCTCCAGCGACAAATACTATTTATTGGACACCTTTAAAAACGACGATTTAAGTCCGCTCACCGTAAAGGGCAACTGGTTATCCTTCTTCTCACTTTGCTACAGCATCACTTCGACTTGGGGCTCGATCACCGCTGACTATTATATCCTGTTCCCTGAGAACACTGCTTCTCACAAAGTTTTTCTCCTGACGTTTTTCGGCACGCTACTACCCACGACATTTGTCGGAGTCTTGGGTCTTATATTGGCCTCATGTGCAATGTCGTATTCGCCATGGGCAGCCGCCTACAAGACTTACGGGATGGGCGGTCTTTTGCTTGCTGGTTTCGAGCGCTGGCATGGATTTGGCAAATTCTGCGTGGTGGTCTTGCTTCTGAGTTTGATCTCGAATAATATCATCAACACATACTCGGCCGCCTTTTCGCTGCAGCTTTCCAGCATCCACATGGCCCGGGTCCCACGTTGGATCTGGGCTATAGCATGCACAATTTTTTACCTGATTTGTGCTTTGGCGGGCAGAAATCATTTTAGCGATATACTGGGCAATTTTTTGCCAATGGTCGGCTACTGGATCAGCATATACTTCATCATCCTGCTGGAGGAAAACGTCATTTTCCGGGCTCATTTCTTGGATCTATATACCAAGGAGTTCCCACCACATCGTCAAGATCCAGAAGATGACACCAACGGTAGTGGAAGTGGTGGTCGTAGTGGTGCGTCGCCCCAGATAAACCTACGGGACCTCAAGGCCAAGAGATCACTATACACGAACACAAAAACGAACAGCTGTATTCGATACAACTGGGACATGTGGAACAACCAGGATGTTTTGACGCATGGGTACGCTGCCACATTTTCGTTTTTGGTCGGTGTTGTAGGTGTTGTGCTTGGGATGGCCCAGGCTTATTGGATTGGTCCCATTGCACGGAAAATCGGCGATTACGGCGGCGACTTGGGTATGTGGCTAAGTATGGGATTTTCCGGCATCGTATACCCTGGTTTGAGATATCTCGAGCTACGCAAATACGGTCGTTGAATACTTGTTTGTCTTAACGCTTAACATTGAATGTACTCGGAAGGAAATCACATGACACCATCGCGAGTACCAGTCACATGACTAGCGACCAACCATATTGCCAGATTCTCAACTGGCCTAATTTTTCTTAGACGAGACCGTTGATAATGTATACCTTGTGTAATGCCCGATATATATCGATCGACAATTAGCCAAAAAAATTTGAAATTCATAGGAAATACAAGATAGCTAGCTAACCAGTTGAGTTTGACGTTCAAACTGCTTCCAAAACTGAGGCTACATCAAGCTATTTTGAAGTGGTGAATAGTATGTGATAAAATGTGTTCGTGTGAGTGAGTCAGGGTTCTGTTGGGAAGACGCCCAGTTCCGCTTGAGATTGTTACTTCTGGATTGAAATTTAGAGTTTGAGTTGAAAAATGACATTAAAAACGGAAGAATGGTTTAGATGTGAATTTTCAGTTGATTTGCAGCTTCAGAAACTTGAAATGCGGCTGTTTTAATGTCCGGTGTGTGTCATTGGGTTATAAGAAGCAGATTTTGGGGCCTTTTTTGTTGTTTTTTTATTATTCGACCAGTCTTATTATCAGTTTCGAACTTTTAGTGTAAGAGATGATACCAATTGGACCTCTGAATTCGCCGCCACACAAACTCTCTCCCAGGTCGGCTTACTAACCAACGAGCTTTTTCGCAGAACAAAATGTTGTCCTTACGCCAAACCATGAGATTCATGGGCCCTACCACAAGATTTATGGGTCCTAGCACAAGAGCGTTCTCGTCTCAGAGGACCTTGCTGCAAAAGCAGGTCACCAAGACCGCCACAAAGCTATCGGAGGTCGATGGTGCATCCACCTTGGTCGGCCCCGGTGCAAAGGAAGGCGAAGTCCCTACCGAACTAGAACAGGCCACAGGTTTGGCCAGATTGGAACTTTTGGGTAAATTAGAAGGTATTGACATTTTCGACACCAAGCCCCTAGACGCATCCAGAATCGGTACCATGGAAAACCCTATTGTGGTCGACACCTACGACGACTACCGTTACGTTGGCTGCACCGGCTCCCCAGCTGGCTCCCACACTATCATGTGGCTCAAACCCACCGTGAACAACGTTGCCAGATGTTGGGAATGCGGTTCTGTGTACAAAGTGAACGCTGTGGGTGTCCAGACCGACGACGACCACCACCATTGAAGCGCCAGGAAACTTTATATTTTGGTTTTTTTGAGTGTGTCATCAATTCGCAGTGCACGTCGAATGCCACTCGAAAATGAACATCGAAAACCTGCCACGACCCCACGTCGAACGCATCATGCCACCCCCGGCATGCCATCCAGAGGTTTGAGGTTAATATCAACGATATGGGAGGGGAAGCACCGCTGCAAAGCGGGCTACAGCATAAAATATTCACTTTTCGTTTTAACTACAGACATTTATTTAAGTCCACAATAAAAAAGGTAATATGTATGGATACGACAACGGTATTGAAAAGAAGCGGTACAGAAATTCGTCCGACAACTCTCATATCTCTAGTTCCGCATCCATTTCATGAGAAATGTAGTGTGTTCGTTTCGTGGCTCGAGGCATTAGAAACGCTAACATTGGACCATTCGCGCCCAGGTTGTGACTGTTTAATGCACCCGTACACCATTAGAAGATGTTTGTTGAGCTATGGATTAAAACGTGACCGGTTGAAAATAAATTCAATTGTGCGTTGGACTGTGACAGAAAAAGAGTCATCGCACATCACGAACATGCAGTCAGGATCTTTACTCTTTGCCCAGCTAGCGGTCCGCCCAGTCCAGTCCAGCCTAGCCACGGTCTAGGCTGGAGGTCCCAGGAAGGAGCCCTGTGTTCTTTCGGCCTAGGAAGCTTGTTCTGTGGGGAAGAGAGAGCCTGGCTAGGCAGGCCTCCCTCTGGAGGCTTGGGCTCAGGACACTTGTTGCTCACTACCAAAAGTTTTCCAGGGATTGGTAAATTGATATAACAAAGCTAGCATTTTAGCTACAGTTACATCCTTCCAAAGAAACCAGGAATAAACTAAACAAGTATGTGACCATATACATCGGACTAGAGGAACAAGAGAAGCAGACCAAACAGAAGGTGAAGAGACAGTTTTGAGGGGCTTCTTACGGGAACTTCACGGTTGATGAAAAGTTGAAATGTACCCTTTGCAGTGGGATCGATGAGATTCAATACACATGAACAATAGTTTGTGGGCTTTTCAAACCAAAACTTTCAAAATGAAATAAGAGCGCATAGTGCTTTGCACACATGGTGTTTAGTTTGTGTCTTTGCACTCTCCCTCTTGGAATCAAAGTGCGCCTTTACTAACAACCAATCTTTTTTCATCTGCAGTATGCCAAAGAAGAGAGCTTCCAACGGTAGAAACAAGAAGGGCAGAGGTCACGTCAAGCCAGTCAGATGTGTCAACTGTTCCAAGTGCGTTCCTAAGGACAAGGCCATCAAGAGAATGACCATCAGAAACATTGTCGAGGCCGCCGCCGTCAGAGACTTGTCCGAGGCTTCTGTGTACTCCGAGTACGCTTTGCCTAAGATCTACAACAAGTTGCACTACTGTGTCTCGTGCGCTATCCACGCCAGAATCGTCAGAGTCAGATCCAGAGAGAACAGAAGAATCAGAACTCCTCCTCAGAGACCAAGATTCAACAGAGAAAACAGAGTCTCTCCAGCTGACGCTGCCAAGAAGGTTGCTGCTTAAGCGTAGGCGTGACGCCTGTATTAGCTACAAAATTTGTATATTTCAAGACGACAAGTTAGTATCATCATAATCAGTGGCAGAGGGGTAAGACAGTGAGGTTGTGTGTGAATCTCAACTTAGAATAAGCGTCCTAAGCCTTCATCCTAGAGAAATTGTCTAATTTGAGATCACCAAACACGAATGCGTCGTCCTCCTCTTTTTAAACTCAAGTTTTGGTCCATAAACCTGTCAGAAATCAAGACTGAAACGTTTCCCCATACCAACAGCAAACCTTTTGGTTCATTATCCCCATATAACAAGAAGTACATGCCATCAAAACAAGAAAAAAACCTTTTTTTTCCTTCTAACAGGATCTACAATTCATGAGAATCATGGACACTACCAAATCTACTCGCCCACACTCCAATTGTTTTGAATCTACACTAAAACTGTTCAATCTCAGCTCTTGTTATCCCTACTTTTCTTCACTGTCATCTCGTCTTCTCAGCTCTTCAACTTCGTCCCTATTTATACTCGCATCTCGAAAAATTTTTTTATATAAGAAATTCCTAAGGGCCGACCCCTTAAATTTCTCTCTGGCCCTAACTGGCCTTAAATTTGATCAAAAAAAGATTGTTATGCCTTTATACAAGTCAAATTGTAACCTGTAATTCCATCTCATAGACGGAGAAAACACAGGTTTAAAGGCGCTCGAAGAACTGGGATCATTGTAAGCTGTTTGAATCAGCACCGTTGGCAGACAAGCGGCTTCAAAGGTTTTAACAGCGGAAAAATCAGCTTTCGAACGAGCCAAAAACGGGCGAATTACGTTGTTGAGATTCGAGGGAGAAATAGGTTCTATTTTGGAGTTTTGAACCTTATTTTCCGGCAGAAATAGGGTGTGATTGTGACAGAAAGGGTTTCTTTTTTCTGCTCTGAAGTAGTGCACGGAGCTTGGCGTTTGTACAGTGGTCTGAACCATACATTTGCCGTCAATCCAAACGGTATTCGTTCGCTGTTGGAAACGGAAGAAGCGTTAAAAAACCCTTACTTAGAAATTCTCAAGAAAAAAAATATAAAACCTGGCACACCTTTTCATAAGACGATGCCGGGCACATCAGACAGTGCAAAATCGTCTGCTTCAGACGCTAATAGCAGCTACGACTTCAAATTTAGCCAATGTTTTGGGGACAAAGCCGATATTGTGGTCACAGAAGCAGATATCATAACAGCAGTGGAATTCGACCATACCGGTGATTTTCTCGCCACGGGTGATAGGGGTGGCCGTGTGGTGTTGTTCGAGCGCAATAACAGCAAACACTGCGAATATAAGTTCCTCACGGAGTTCCAATCGCACGATGCAGAATTTGACTACCTCAAGTCGCTGGAAATCGAAGAGAAAATCAACCAGATCAAATGGTGTCGTCCTACAAACCAATCTCATTTTCTGCTGTCTACCAACGACAAAACCATCAAACTTTGGAAAGTTTACGAGAAGAACATAAAACTCGTCAGTGACAATAACCTCAGTGAAGGTGCATACGGCGCGGGTTCTGGTTCAGGAGGCTCGAGCGCCAAGAGCCGGCATCTACAGCATCACGGTAACGGCAGTGCCAAAGCCGTGCTCTCACTTTCGGCGCTCAAGCTTCCTAAACTTTCTCAGCACGACAAAATCATTGCTGCAGCACCCAAGAAAATCTACAGCAACGCACACACATATCACATCAATTCAATATCGATAAATTCGGACCAAGAAACGTTCGTAAGCGCGGATGATTTGAGAATCAACCTTTGGAACTTGGATATACCGGACCAGTCATTCAATATTGTCGATATCAAACCCGCCAATATGGAAGAGTTGACAGAAGTCATTACAAGCGCTGAATTTCATCCCTACCATTGCAATTTGTTCATGTATTCGTCTTCGAAAGGAACCATTAAATTGGCCGATATGCGGCAAAATGCTTTATGTGACTATCGTGCCAAGACTTTTGAGGAGTATTTGGACCCCATAAACCACAACTTTTTCACAGAAATCACGTCATCCATATCAGACGTGAAGTTTAGTCCCGACGGTCGTTATATTGCATCTAGAGATTACTTGACGGTGAAGATATGGGATGTGAATATGGACAGCAAGCCTGTGAAGACGATCAATATTCAAGATCAGCTAAAGGATCGACTAAGTGACACTTATGAGAATGACGCAATTTTTGACAAATTCGAAGTCAATTTTAGCGGCAACAGTTCAAGTTTGATGACTGGTTCCTATAATAACACATTTATGATATACCCAGATGTGGTTGGGGCCAAGTCCAGCAAATCGCCGCCAATGAAGGAGATCGTGCTTCAAGCCGACAAGACAGCTTTCAAATCCAAGAAGCTAGGCTCGCTGGAGCAGCAAAGCGCGCGCAACAAGCAATGGGGTGATGATATTGATTTCAAGAAGTCTATTTTGCATTTCTCGTGGCATCCAAGGGAAAACAGTGTAGCGATTGCGGCTACGAATAATCTATTCATATTTTCAGCATTATAATTCGGGGAGATGTACAACTTTATTATCTGAAGTCACTGACGTGTGTGAGTCTGTATAAAATTTCCAAATTTAATAAATACCTTCACAGACGCGGTAAAACCTTGTCTTGCATGCATCATTCATTAGACATTAGCATTGAAATCAATATACCTCTAAAGGAGGAGTGGAACTAACCTCTATTGGTTTTCGATGAATATGACGGGTTTTTACACATATGTATAAATATAAAAGGAAAGGCCGCTATACGTTGCCGCGCGAAACATAACTAGGGGTGAGTCCAATTCTTTTGACTAAATATAGGTAGATTTCAGGACCGGGTTGAAGTGTTGGCACTATTGTGACACTAAAAAACGAGTTTCATGATGATGTGCATGTATGGGTTTGTGGGAGATGAATAGGGGGCTGTCCTTGAATGGGACTTTTCACCACAATATTACTGTTTTTCTTTGAGGACGAGATTTATGATCCAATTTACTCGTCACCGATGTGTCTGTTCACGACTGGATTCCAGAACAAAGTCTTGTCACCGTCACCCCAGAAAAAGGGCTTGGTTCTGATGTTTTGATAATCATAGTTTTTAGGCCATTCGGAATCTGGGACGTGCTCCAAATGTTTGCGATGCTCAGCGTGTGCTGCTTCCACGAAATAAGTGTTCACAGCAGCCAAGGCAATGGCAGGAGCGGCAACGAAGAAGGAAATTTTCAGCCACAGGCCGGAGGTTTCTTTGGCATGATGGTGCGTGTTTTCAGCAGTTTCTTTGAACGCCTTGGCCGCTAGTTGGTCGCCAGGACCAAAAGCTGGTTTTAGTGCGTGTGGTGGAAGGGTGGAGGCCCTTCTTATAGCCTGTCTTAGCATTTTTGGTATCAATTTGTAGATATGAGAGAGCAGAGAACAAATTCACTAACAAGAACTAGTCAAACTCGACGCTTTAGCCTCTTATTGATGGTTTAGAGATTGCTATACTTCTCGTATGATGGAGTCCCTCGGGTTCGAAATTATCAAATTAGGCCGATTAAAGCTTTAAAATTTTCTCCGTACCATGTGACAAAATACGAGTATGGTCTGCTGACACGAGTCATGTGACCTCGTTGAGATTTCGAGTGATTTGATTGGTCAAATCTGGGATGACAAGAAATAGAAGGATTCGGGGTTCTATGAAGACACTATCGGCTGTGAAACATGCTGAAATAAGCGTTGAGAGTAGTCGCATTTTGCGGCGTATCTTCAAATTTTGTTCTATTTTTTCTCAGAGGTAGTTTTCAAAAAAAAAAAATGCGCAAGCCCGGAATCGAACCGGGGGCCCAACGATGGCAACGTTGGATTTTACCACTAAACCACTTGCGCTCGTTTTGATGAAGTGGTGATGCAGATATGGCCATAGTGTAAGGGGCTGTCATGTGATAGGTTCGACTACTTAATGTATGGATTCTTTGGGTGGGGTTTGAGCACCAGTGCAAAGAGCTGGGTACGCGAGGTGGAATTCTGGTTCTGAGCTTGACAATACTTTGGATTTAAACTTGTCAAATTGGCCTCGCTATCTCGTTTCTCGTTATCCTTTAAATTCCCTAACGTCATTTCACTGCTTTGTCTCATTAATTTACTGACACTTGAAACTGTTACCGTCTTGCTGGTGCAACATACAGAATATACGAATTCCAGCGCTATTAAACAGCGTATAGTTTGAAATATCATCATTCGAGCACCAGAATCCACCCAGACATTGCTCCATGAACCAACATTTGAGGTGTAACACTTATTGCGTCACATATTGCGTCGTGAAACAGAAAGCCCTCGCAGCTAATCTGAGCTGATTTGATCGCTACGCAATGCAAAGCCTCACACGCTGGTCCCTGAAACGTTACTCGATAGTCCCCTGTCTTCGCTTTGATATTGCCCATTTTTCTTTTGATTCGATTTTTAACATGAAACATCGGTGCGTCATAAAAACGGTCGATGCATCCCTCCCTTCGTCGACCTTCGGTATTTTCTTAGCAAGGTTTGGTGTGATGGCTCACCTTTCTGTTGTTCTAATGTTGGCTGCTTTTGATGTGGTTTTTAACATGAGGTTCAAGGTCCGACATACAATGATGCGAAAAAGTACTTAAGGCACTCCGAATTCGAAGGTTGACCTTGGATTAACACTTGTTCAGGTAGCCCAGAGATGATTGGACTGCTCAAATACTTATCATGATTCAAAAACATTGATGAGATTAATACGAACTATAAGAGATTGCAAGTGTTTTGCGTACCTAGAACCACCACACTTCTTGGATTTAGGTAACAGCCGAAAAACGTGGACTTGTTGAGCGTCCCTGTTTGTGAAGATAACGGTTGTATTTCATTTTGACGTCAAGCTCGCACACCTTGTCTCCATTTAACTGATTCCCAATGGTAAACCAGCCTGGTCGAGTATTGTGATCGCGACCAAAAATCTCGAGCTTGCGTGCATGTGGGCCCACTAGTCGTTCAATCATGCCATATAGCTCGTCTGGCTTACGACTGGTTTCTCTACTGGCAGAAACGATGAGATCGATATCACTTTGTCTGGTGAGCCAATTTGCCGATCCCTTCACTCCAACCAAAAGGTGCTCCTTTGAATGGTTGAGCCAATGACCAGTACGTCCGGTCACAATAGTACGGCCCAGTTGGTTGGTTTTAATCCAAGAAATTTCGTTGCACACTTGGTATCCCCATTTCTGCAAAGATGTTTTACCCACTTCGATGGCTCGACCGGTAACCCACAGAAAGATAATGCCCTCGTGTTGGAGCAAATCCAAGGGTAAATCTGCCAATTCGGAATCGTTACAGGTGCCATATGGAAGATTCATGCGAATATTCCAAGCTGGATCTGCAACAATGACAGAAAACTTGCCCAAAATGTTGAAATCGAACTTGCGGACATCACACTGGATCCATTGCGCTGGAAGTATGGACTGTGACGCGACGGAGCAGTTGAGACCCTGTGTATAGAGGCATATGTGTTTGTTACGCGTAGAGGCCTCGTTTATATGAGTGACACTGGCTGCTGTGGTGTTTGCCAGGGACTCAGGCATGTATTGCAGATAGTGGACGTAGCGGCATGAGTTGAGCTTGTGGCAGGTGTCGAGATAAGAGCAGTCACCCAACGATGGGTCAGTTTGTGGTTTCAAGTTCGGAATATAGTGTATTTTCGAGAGTGCACATTTGAACAAGCCCGGACAGTCCTGATCTGCATTTTGAACTTTGTTCGCGTCCATGGCCACCACTTTGTTGTTAGAGATGGTTGCAATGTTGGAAAGGATACTGCAATGGTTTTTGTTGGCACAGACAGGAATGAAACCGGCATGAGGGGTGAACTTGGAGGCTCTTTCGCGGCCCAAAACGTGGGAAGCAGGCTTTACATCAAGCGCTTGTTGCAATCTGTCCAGTTTCTGCTGATTTGGCGTATCTGCTGCATGCGACTCCAAAACGGTATCAAGACGATCGGCCAACGACAAATTCGCGTCGGGTTTTCTGGCCTTGGCAACCGTTTTGCCAGACTCCTGGTCTTCAACCTCGTACGTGCCGGGTTCCACCACATTCATCATTATGCGCAATGTTTCAACGTCGATATATTCGATGGTCGCGTCAGTATTTTGATGGGTTTCCAGATTCCCAAAGCTTAAGCAACCGGGACTGATACTTTCGATGACCACCAAATCGTCCCAAACCTTTGTGTCAGGTGTTGCTCTGCTGTCCTTGGGCTCTTCCATTGCAAACACGGTGGTGATATCTGCTACACGGCCTGAAATGGGCGGTGCCAACAAACCACTATGGTTTTCAATAAGGTATTTCAGAAGCTCACAATTCATCAGTTGTAGTAGAATCGCCAATGTTGACTTTGTTTCCCGGACTCTGTTATCTAGATGTCCAAGAAGTTCAATTACGCTGTATATAAAGGGCTTGAGGCTAGATCTGATGAGGTAGAAGATCCCAGAAGATATGGCGTCTTATTCAGAAAAGCGTACGAACTGCAGTTCCAGTTCACCAAATTAGTGCTGATTGTTTCAAATGGATGGACAAATTGTGCTGTAGCGAGAGTCCTTTTTCGGTTTTACAACGTGTTGTCCGTCTACTTTATGATGTGTCGTCGACTTTCCGTGAGGTTATGTGATGTGTGGCAAAACAGCGGATCGTGTCAGAGACAAAGAGGGATCTGTTGTGAAATTGAGCTAGTTGGTGACCCGACATCGTGTAAGAGATAATCCGTCTTGATTTTTGTGCTGTATCGGTGACTTGCAACTTTGAGTATGATGGAAGGCCGAAGTTTACAAGATGCGAAGAGAAAGAAATGGGGAATCCAATTGTAATGTGGCAGATCACTACAGCAATACGGGTTTTTACCTATCAAGTAGTACTTAGCTTTTCAGAGCAGGAAAGGTTTTTTAGAAGTTACCTGGTGTGTAGGCCTAGGAGAACACACAATGTACAAATCGAATGAAAAAAACAGCTTTTGAACAGTAGATGGTTTCAACTAGATCACGACAAGATAACTCGAATACGTCTGCAGGGAAACGGGTCCAATACGTCTAGGTCCAATGCGTCTACCAAAATACACTTTTCCAAGACATCTGTAAATAAATCGTGGATTCACAAACTAGCGTCGAATACGTTGACATCGTTGTAACACGATAGCTATTGTCGCACGGGAAAAACTACATGCTATACCATTTGGCAATTACCCCAGTTACCCCAGCTTTCACCGTTTCATTGTTCTAACATGATGGTACACCATAATTTTCGCGATGAGGTGAGGTTAGTGTGTGACACGCCAAAAAAAAAAAAGAGAACGGCGAGACTGAGTATCTAGACTGTTCGGCTCGCTTCCTATTCCAAATCCCTGGTAATGCCTTTCTTCGCGTGCGGGTTGATGTTCTTAGCTCAACTGGCCGAAAAGTGTCTTTTTTTACACAGAATAAAGTGTGTACAAGATATCACAGTGTGCTAGACAAAGAAGTCCTTTTTAAACAATTCTGAGAACTGTTACAGCATCTAACAGGAGGTTGCATGATCTGAAATCAAACCACACCGCTGAGAAATCGGAAATGTTAAAAGTCCAAGTTGACCGTTCGCCAAATACTGTCGCTGTCATCGCATCACGTGCAATAAACTAACATGTAGTTTAGTTGATGTCCGACAGAAGAAGCAGCTACGACGAAGAGACAGAGCGAAACGCAAACAAATACGTACAATCACACCAGTCAAAGAGCGAGAACACCACTCTGCATTGATCAAGTTAATACTGTCGGAAAAAATGGCATCACCACTCACGAGCTCATAATATCATTACTGACGAAGTCACTGCCATTAAATTACATTGAAATATGGGATATAACCAACCATGAGTAGAAACTCCATCCAAAAACACTACGAGGAAGGTCTTTTAGTTGGATTTGTTGACGTTTAGTTGACGTTGGTGTTAACGGTTTCGGTACTCGTATGTCTGGTGCTCTTATATATGATTCGAAGTCCGCGGGATATGCGCCCGAATTCGAGTTTGGAGCGAGCTACAATCCAAGCGTTTCTTACCACTTCAATAGTGACGTTTCCCAGTTCCATTATGGTGTTAAACACCCTATGAAGCCGTTTCGGCTCATGCTTACAGATCATTTAGTATCCTCATATGGTCTCCACAAAATTATGGACTTGTATGAGACGAGACCAGCCACCAGTGAAGAGCTCTCCGAATTTCATTCAGAGGACTACGTTGAGTTTTTGAAGCGTGTGACACCAGAGAACTTGGCCAAACTGCCGCGTGGTTCATTAGAGAAGTTTAACATCGGGGATGATTGTCCCATTTTCCAAGGATTGTACAAATATTCTGCACTTTACGCAGGCGCCTCTTTGGACGCTACCAGGAAACTCATAAACAACCAATCTGACATTGCAATCAATTGGTCCGGTGGCTTACACCATGCAAAAAAAAGTAGCCCCTCCGGGTTTTGCTACGTCAATGATATCGTCCTCAGCATTATAAACTTACTGCGATATCACCCCAGGGTCCTGTACATAGACATCGATTTGCACCATGGCGATGGGGTGCAAGAGGCATTCTACACTACCGACAGAGTCTTTACTGTTTCGTTCCACAAGTATAATGGTGAGTTTTTCCCAGGAACGGGTAAACTGGATGAAACCGGCTGCTCACGCGGTAAGCATTTTTCGCTAAACGTTCCGCTCGAAGACGGAATTGACGACGACTCCTATATCAATCTTTTCAAAAGCATCATGGACCCATTAATCACATCTTTCAAACCTACTGTCATAATACAACAATGTGGTGCAGACTCTTTGGGCCACGATCGACTGGGCTGCTTTAATCTGAACGTTATGGCGCATGGGGAATGTGTAAAATTTATCAAATCATTTGGTCTCCCCATGCTAGTACTAGGGGGCGGTGGCTACACTCCGCGGAATGTCTCTAGGTTGTGGACATACGAGACGGCTTTACTCAACGGCGTTAGTGTTCCAGAAGCCATACCGGAAGATATTCCTTTCAGACAATGGTTTGGGCCGGATTTTTCACTACATCCAGTGTTGGATAACCTTTATGAAAACAAGAACTCCAAAAGTTACCTCGAAAACATTCGTATTCGCTGTCTGGAAAATATCCGTTTTCTGCAAGGAGCCCCAAGCGTACGGATGGATCAGGAACTAATACCCACCCAGGATATTAGTGGCCTAACGCAAGAGGAGGAAGATACACTTAAAGAGCTCAATGAAGAGACTGATAGGTTCAGATTTGAGCAAAGGGAAAAAGATAGCATAAGAAAGGGTGAATTGGTATGATCATTAGCTGGATTATGGTCGTAGACGCATATAGTCAACCCCGTTGTAACTCATAACAGTAGCAATGTAACAGTACGATATAAACAAAATGAAGGTGGCTTTATGTATTCGGTCTATCGACTCAGCCAACCAGCTTTTTTTTTTTTGACAGCAAGCGACTACCAAGTCGAAGGGTGACCATTCTGCCAAATATGAGTTTTTGGCTTGAGATTTTTAACTTTTTTGAAGATCACAGTCCTAAAACCTCTTGACTGACTTTGTAGGAAGAGTAGCGCAGATCAAGATCACAGCTAGCGTCGCAGCGTCGCAGCTTTCAGTTCATCCTGGCATGAGAGTTAAGTAGCAGTGAAGATAGGAAGTTCGCGAAGAAAGTACCTTCTTTCACATATACAATGATTTCTTTACTGAGAATAATCGCAAGGGGCCTAGCTAGCTTTCTTGTACTTAATCTTCTCTTTCGGCTCATCAGAAAGCCGTTTCTGCCCTGGCTTCACGATTGGATGCTTACCTGTCCACGCTCAGCATCGAGATGCCATTTACTTTGGCAAAAATGGCCATTCGTCGAGAAAGTTATCTGGAAAATGTTAGATTACATCGAGACACATCATCAGGTCTAATCTATCATCTCAAGAGTGTATAAGGTCTATAGAATTTTTAATGGTTCATGCGTCTTTTATGAGTTCAACTCCTCCGACAGCCCAGATTTCGGATTCATCTTCGTAACAGTCCGAGAAGATGGTCTCCGGATCACCACCGGCCGCTATTCTTTCTCTTTCGACACCGGCTAATCTCTTGCCTACACGCTTGGTGTAATCAGTGACAGACCTCAATTGAATGGAGTCAGCAGCACAGTTCTGCAATGTTGGGCCAGAAAGCTGGGAAATCCATGCCTCAAAGGACCTCATGTCTTCTTCCTCTACTAATCTGAAAATTGCCAGATACGCCTTCTCAGCTGCTAGCTTAACTGGGATGATGATATCCCGTAAGCACGAAAACACTGAAGGTCCCAATAAATCGTAGAACGGTTTCACACATTCCTCATATTTGAACCTGGCCAAAGTGCGCACTACCACTAAAGACAACCGTCTCGAATCCAAAGAATTGCTGGCAGGACGTAGCATATCTTCACATAACACCTCGACGAGGCTCTTTATGTCATCTTCGGAAAGCTCAAAAGCAGCTTGAGATTCTTGTTTTCCGAAAGGCGACTTCTTCTCCCCCACTAGTAACAAGAATTTACCAATAGCTGTCAAGGCGTTATCGGAGATGTATGGGGTTGTGCATCTCGCAGCATTGGCCAAATACTCAACGAAGGCAGAGGTCGATTCCGGATTGAACAGGTGTGCCGGAGCATCTCTCAAAAAGGAGTTCAAAGTCAAGATTGCAAAACGGCCCGCCTCACCAGTAATGTCAACTCTCAACACTTTGTTGCTAAGAATTGACTGAGCTTCATCCTTCGTCATGATGCCAGAGAGAGAGCCAATTAGCTTAGCATATGCTGTCGCCAACTTGTCATTGACGCTCAAAATTTGTTCTTCAACAAGATTGACAATAGTATGCTTGGAATTTTCATTCAGCTTGGAGCCAGCTTTCGAGACAATTTCAAGTAAACCATTTAGCAAGGCCGTTTTCACACCATCATCGTCGGTCTGTCTGGCACCGGTGACAAGTTCCGAAACCAGGGGATCAACTCTTGGCTGATATTCGATCAAAGAACCGAGAGCCTTCGCAGCGCGCAAACGAAGTGTTTCGTTTGAAGCGTCCGAGAGTGATTTTACAAATGTCCTTTGTAACTGAGGAATGAACGGCCTCAAGAATTGCGGAATCTTAGCAAATAACACGTTGAGAGCATAAAGGATGGCAGCTTTAACATCGCCTGGAAACCTCTCTCCGACAACACGAATCAAAGGCCCTGTAATTATAGTAACAAAGGATTTCAAGTTGTCAGATGGTGTTCTCTTAACAATGTCGGCAATCGCCATTGCTGCTATCTCACGTTCTTCATTGGAACCGTACATTAAACCATGCAGGAAAATTCCTAGAATGCAGCTTGGACCCTTGGGTAGCTTGAACACCGCCAATTCTGTGTTTTCTTTGCCAACCAGTTCCAACGCTTGTTTTGCAGGTTTGACCAACTTGCCAAGCATAGCTTTGCCTTGCCTCTTTATCAAAACAGATAACTCATCAAAAATAGCTTGAACAACCTCAGGGTCTTTGTCGTCAAATGACATGATTGATTGAGAGATAATCTCTGGAGTGTAAATGTCGTAGGTGAGAGTTGTTTCTTCGAAAAATACAGGGAGACGTTTCAAAATTACTAGACGTTTCGCTCTGTTTTCATCTTTCATCAAGCTTAAGATATGTTGCATCAACGGATGCATACCATCGGCATCATCGACAGAGCTCAAAACGCTTCCAAGAGCATCTTCCAAGGCCAAAGTCGTTTTTTCGTCATGAGAGGAACCTGCCAGAGAATTTACTAGGGCATTTATAATAACAGAGAGACGTCTGTAGAGAGCGGGGCCAGCTACCTGAGCTAAGGAACCAAGTGCACGAGCCCTGAACGCGTCGATTGGTGGCCTCAATAGAGTTGGAATTAGTATCGGGAAAATAACCTCGGACTTGGTTGACATGATCTCTTGCAACGCCAGTAGCGCATATTCAGAGCTCTCAGTAGAACCTAACATGTTGAGCAAGTGGGGTAAAACTTCATCGACTGCAACCTTCTCAAATACTTCTTGGAATGCGTCGAAAGACAATGCTGAAGATTCTCTCACCGAACCATCACCGTCCACAAGTGTGCGGCGTATAATATTTACAATAGTAGATTGATAATCCACCAATGATTCGTATGACGAGGATTGGAGAAGTTCGCGCAGAGCGATGCAGACACCCTGCTTTGATTCAGAACCGCGAGCTTGATCGAGAGAATTTTCCAATACTGGCAGAAGTTGAGATAAAGCGTTGCTCCCAACACGTCTCACTAGATCACCCAAAGTCTGGGCAGCGATATGCCGCAAACCTGCAGATGAAGAAGCGAGATGTACAACAACAATGCTTGTAAGAGTGGGTAAGATTTCCTTGACAGTCCTAGGAGTATTGGGAACGATGGCCTTCCAGACGTCAACCGTAGTCGCACGAACAACACCAGACGTATCGGACCTGCAAATGAAAAGGGATGAAAGAATGCGGTCGCGACGATCTTGACCAAGCACTTCCAAAAGCTGCTTCGTGACCTCGTGATTGGTCTCACCATCTTCATCGTCAAATTCATTTTTGGAGGATATTCCTGTAACCTGGAAGAGCAAGTCACTAGTCAATTGCACAGAGGACAACCTGATTCTTTCGTTCTCATCAAACATCCCCTTTTCAAGCTCTGGAAGCAGTAGATCGATTGCTTTAGTGGCATAATTCTTGACCAAAAGCTTTCCAGCTTTCAAGGAGGTGTCAGAAATGTTGTCGTCCGGATCAGCGAGCCCGCTCAAAATAGGCTGAATAATTTGGCTCACGTAAGGCGCAAACTGAGGACCGAAACACAGAGGCAAAAATAAAAGAAGAGGCATGAAACCTTCTCTAATGTAAGATTTGGGGCTGGTGACGCCAGCCATGATTGTTGGAAGCATCTCATCCAGTTTGGACAACCCAAGTCCACTAATGACTTCTGATAAAGCTTGAGCAGAACCCATTCGATCACCAGCCTTGCTATCATCACTTAAGGTTGCCAATAGGCGAGGGATCAAATGAGGGAACTTCTCTTCGCCTAGTCTTTCTACCAGAGCTCCAAGAGCCCTGGCGGCAGTAGCTCTTGTGCTAGGAACTGGATCGACCATAGCCGACTCCACTTCATCGACCAGTTGTTGTAGGTACGGCACCAAGTCATTTGCATCGACTAAAATTGCCATGTTACCAACGATCTTACACGCCTTTCTCTTGGTATTTGCAGACCTTTCACGCATACCACGATGAATAACGTGTATAATCAGAGCGAGAGAAGGTCCATCAATGTAGTGCACGAACTGAGTTTGTATCAAAGCATTTAATGCGTCTTCGGTATGCTTAGTAGGGTCCCCAATAGCTTTAATGAGGGTTGGGACGAGAACCTGAATTTCTGGATTTCTTATGACCTCTCCAAATCGATTCAAGGACTGATCGGCAGCTTTACGCACCTCCTTATGAGAGTCGTTCAGAACAGCAACAATTTCAGGCACAATTGTCGAAAGAGAAGCGGAAAGTTGGGTTGGGTCAAGATATGCCATATTACCCAGCAATTCCACGGATCCACGTTTGGTTCTCCAAGAAATATCCTCGAGATTACTCACGGCCACCGGGATTAACTTTTTGACACCAAAACCAGTAGTATTAGCCATGATGCTTTTAGTAGCATCAGCAGTGGCATTTCTTACCTCCGGAACGGAGTCACCAAGATTCTTCAGGATATTTGGCAGAATCTCAATGACGTAAGGCTCGAAGAATTTCCCCAATGACTTAGAAAGACATTCGAATGCGAAGGCAACAGACTCTCGCTTTTGTGCGTCTTTCTTGTCCTCTGAGGCATCCATAAGATCGTGAATAATGTCGTACTCAGATAGAGAACCGATACCCAACCCTTTCACGAGGCCTGCCAATCCCCATGCTGCACCCCGTCTAGAGTGGAGTCTCGTCTTAGGGTCTAGCAACTTTTGCATCATGCTTTTCAAATAATTGCCAGTCTGAGCTTTCAACAAGCCAACTAATGGCGATATACAAGTCGAGATGGCTTGCTGGACCTCTTCCGAAGGAGGATCGAGCGTATGCAGAAGACGCTCAACAATAGTTGTTACTCGAGCATCGTCCGCTGCCAAGTGCCGGGCAAGAGTTCCGTACAAAATAATAACATTTTCCTTTGTAGCGACATCTTGCTTGACCTTGAGAGCCTCTTCGAAGATCGGTATCAAGTCTTCAACATTCCGAGAGCCATGATGAGCAATCACTTCGATACCTGCTTCTTTTATTTCCTGTCTAACCAGACTTTCGCGGTCCCCCAAAGCACCACTGTTGACAAGGAACTTAACAAACTCTACAGGCCATCTACTGTCCTTAGAAAATACACTCGAACACTCTCTGAAAGCAATAGCAGTAGTGCTTCTATCCTCCCAGCAGTCTTTTTGAGCCTCGGAAGAGATGACCACCAGGCCGTACTCGTCGATGATTGGATCAGGAATACGGGCTTTCTGAGAGTAGAAATTCATTAATTTCTCGAAATGTTTCCCGAAAAGTTCACCAGACTTCGAGCTCAAAACATGCAAAGCAGTGGCATATGACCTAGCCACGAATAAGCGCAAGCCACTATCTCCTTGGCCGAAATAGTCGAACAAATTATCAAGAAGCTCTTCGCGAACTTCAAAATTGTTAAATTTCCAGATGGATGCCGCAGTTTCTCTATTTGACTCGCTAGCATCTTGCATCAATATGAAAACTTGAGAGGAGAACCCCATGAAAGGTTCCAAGTCAAACTCATCATCAACAGCTTCCAAAATCGTGGCTCTGACAAAATCGTTCGAACTCATTAAACTGCCAAGAAGCAAGTCCAGATCAGTTTGGCTAGGAGACTGTGATACGTTCTGACATAGCGCTAGAAAACATTCCTTAGCGGACCTTGCCTTGGAAGACACTGATAGAAGAGATATTAATACTTCCAGAATATGCTGTCGGGGAATCAAGGGGTCTGCAAAGGATTCAGCGTGGCCACCAATAATCTCCATTGCCAACAACAACTGCTCTTCTTCTTTGTTCTCTTCTATGAACTCACTTTTCACTACTGGTTTGTCAGAATTACTCACAGAAATCCTTTTGCCTTCTTCTAGCACCTTTGATAATAACGGTAAAAGAAAGGTTAGAGTCTCTGAATCGAACACCTTTTTGTTAGCAACGAACTTGACCCTGAAAAGAACTCTGGATATTAGGTCAAGGAGGTTCTCCTGACATACGCTGTCGGGGATTCCGCGAATTTCAAAAGCACGTAGAGTAGCCACGGCGATTGAACGCCTTATGGTACCCAAACTCTCCGACACGCTTGATGACAGGTCAATAAACGTTTCAACTCCATTTTTGGGAACCAGGTCAGTAAATGCTGGAGCCTCTAACGCGGTCAGTATGCCAGATACAGCCACTGGGAGCCAGACCGCTGCTCCATTATCTACTAGTGATGTTTCCCTGCTCAATTGAGAAACAAGAGAAAGCGTCCGGTTAGACTCTGTTACAATGAGATTGACGGCTTTCCGAATATCGGCTTCCTTTGACAACTGCGCATTTACCAGCTCCCTTTCTTCTCTGGTATACTTCTTTGGGCCCATTCTTTTTTGGGCTTGCTTCTCTCTGACTTCTTCCTCCCATTTGAGAGTTTCGTAATCCTTGGAATTTTTATTGTCAAGCTGCTTGTTTGATTTTTGTAAGACTTCTGATACCAATTCGCCATCAGCACCCTTCCAGATTTCAATCTGGGACGCATCGACAGCTTGCAATCTTGAACAATTAAGCTCACTTTTTATTAGATCGACGATTAGATGAGAAATCGTGGATGGGTTGACGAACGCAGCATAGGTGATGGATTTGACGGCAGCTTCGTATAACGCGGAAGACTTGATGACCTCATCTGCCGTCAAATACTTAAATTTAGTAAAAATATCACTGGAATTCTCTGATATAAGCCTTACTGGATTCAAGTCGGCATTTAAAACCAGCTCTGCCCAACCGCTCTTCAATTTGAGTTTAGAATATTGTGAGAGGACAAGCAATTCAACGAGAACCTTTTTCAAAGCTTCTTTGTCATCGACATCTTGACAGAGAGTCATAATAACGGGAGTCACGTAACGGAGTGAGATACCATCGCGATCTGACAAGATTCCCTCGACTACGGCTTTCTCTAACGCTCTGATCGCATCTATACCAGTCGTCAGAGTGGTTCTTTGATATGCGCGGTGAAAGAGTTTTACTCCCAGTGACCTTTCCTCGCCACTTAACTCAATAGACATGGTAGCTACCAACCACGCATGACCAATCGAGCGAGAAGTCCAATTATCATCAATTAATAGAGACTTGACTTGTATTGCGAGCTGAGCGCTTTCCATGGATGAGAGTAGGTCAATCCCAACGAAGCAACTTAGCACGCTTCTCGCTGTGTACTTCGCTGGGGATGAAAGAACATCCCTCAGGTATTCTAGAATTTCCTTTGACTGGTCGCGAAACTCCTCCGCAGACTTCTCGTCTATCACGTTGAGCAAGGCGGCAAGCCATAGCTTCTTAACAGACTGCCTTTTGTCGTTTAATCCATTCCTTATCAGAGTGACGGCAGAAGCAGGTGGAGCTTCCAATCTCGAATAATGATGGAAATAAGCCCGGAGCATTGACTCCAAAACAAGTTCATTGGACTCCTTAGACAAATAGTTCACAAGTCCGTTCGTAATGTCTAAGGATACTGAAGCACTTGAAGGAATAGCGCTCAGGAGACGTGACACAATGATTTTGTAGTCCACATGCAAATTGGACTTGAGATTTTTGAAAGTTTCCGCAACCAATTTTTGCAAATCGCTAGAAGAAGAATCATTGGTAGAACGCAGAAGACTGAGAATCGATCCTAGGGACACAGACTTAACCGTTTCTTTACTACTTTTCAAGGAGGAAAAGGATTGGGCCATTAGTTTGGAATCAACAAATATTGAAGAAAGGTCGACTTTAGCAGGATCCATACTCGCATAAAACTCGCTTGCTAATGGGAAACCTATTTCAGATGATCTCAAAATACACTTCTCTAAGTTCGGAACGATGTGAGAACTGAATAGGTCTGAAGTAACGAACTCGCGAGCGAAAGGCGTGAAAAAAGTCTCCACACAGAAAGGGGACGGTGGATCCTTGCATAGAACAACGTCTTTCCCCACATATGCACAGAAGGACATGACAATGCTTTCGGCAAACGCCGCATGGTGGGCAGGCTCAGATGGTAAGAGTTGGCCCACAGCCTTTGTAAGGGCTCCCATCACGGCTAACACTCCGGCCGCAGGAAGTTTGGCCTTACCGGCTTGTTCTAGCGTTGCTTCGGAAACGAGATCGACCGAAAATTGGTTTTTATTGTCACCACTTTTTCTCAAAATCGAGGTGAAAGTTTTTGTCATTGACTGCAGCACGCTTTGGCGAACTCTGCGACGATGTTGATTCTGTTTAGATTTCGAGCGTTTGGCCTCCTCATGCACATCCAGGGCCGTTTCGATGATCTGAGCAGTGAAGCACAGCAATTGCAGTAATTCCACAGTTGTTGCCATTGTGCTTTCAGAATTTTCTTCGCTCTTGATTTTTTGTAGCACGCTAATCTTCAACAACGCATTGATCCAATCCAAAAGGTTCATGTAATCAGCGACAGCCCGAGTAGACGATGTTTTGGTCACTATTCCCTGGATAAACTTGGTTAGACCCTTCAATCCCCGCGGTGAACGTTCGAATAATCTTTTGAACACCTCAATCACCTTCTGCATCGATTTCTGGTCTCGAATGTACAAATAGCTATCCATGATCCCGAGTACAATTTCCTTATCTGTGCCTTCATCTAAAGCCACATTTTGGTCTTCCAGGAGCGCGATTACCTCTTCCAAAACTACCAACCGCGCTGAGAGCGCTGAATCCTGAAACGCTTGAGCCAAAAGAGAGCCAACGCCCTCCCATGTTCCGTTCAAAACACTCATTGCTTGCAATTTCTGCCACTACTGGCTTACAGAACGATTAGTTCCAAACCTTTATGCTTAAAAAGAGTGTTTCTCAGCTAAAATGGTTACAGTTAACCGGTTTCTTATAGCTTTCTTCGATCATCAAATTTTCTCTCGTTTATTGTGATCTGGATCTGACGATGAGTATATAAACTTTAAGATCTTTAGAGCTGCCCTATCCTGAACCCCATTGAATCTAATTCATAAACTCATCAACAGTTATAGTTGATGAGGGTAGGCATAGCTATTTAGAAAATTTTATAAATGTCCATGAATCTGGTGAGTCGGTGGTGGGTGCTCCCTCATTAGAAAAAATTTTGGTCTCTGGGGAGTGCACTGCGACCTTCCCATCTTCCCATCTTCCCGTCACCTCTGTTTAGCAACCTTGAAACATCATATGAGATTGTTCTCTTGTTCATATCGTGAGAGGTTTTCGTAAAATATTTTGGTAGCTGAATCGATCACCGACCATGTCCTTTCGTTCACTTGCGCTTGCCAAAAAATGACTTCCCACTCTTTGACGTAGGACTGGACGTTGACGAAGGGCCAGACTTGTCCGTCTTGATCTTTGGCGCAGGAGGACCAAAAGACCCTGTCATGAAAAGACCTGCACCTGTTAGACCCGTTCCTGCCATATTAGAGTTCACCCTCTTGAGCTTTTGAGTTCTGGCCGGTCTAGAGCCGCTTTTGGTGTCAATCGAAGACACGTCACTCTTCTCAGGGAGACTCGCGTCCGATTGAGCGAACTTGGGAACGCCTTCGGGTGCTGTGCCTGCACGGGTTCCTCCTGTATTCACATTGATGGTCATGGGGCTTCTTCTGTCAAGACTCGTGGTGGATTCCACCCGCGGCAGCTTCTCCATCGATGACGACGCTCTGATCGTTGCATGGTCTTCAGATTTTGTGGGATCATTTGGCAAGCCCGTGAATTCACTCTCAGTGGGTGTGGCTGAATGCGCGGTATCACTTTCACGCGAAAAGGAGCAGCTCTCCACTTTCCGCTTCAACAACTTCAGCTTCTTTGATAAAGCAATGACGCTAACACATCTGACAATAAGGCGTGTATCATGTACCAACGTCGCAGTCTCGTGGAACAGCTCAACGACATAATCGACTGGCGGTAGAGAATTAGCAGATGCCATGTTAGCAAGTGTCAGGTTATCCACATTTCGCCTGTTGCCGTCTGACCTGTTTAAATGATCTCCCTTCTTGTAAAAATCAATGATGTTCTTCAATGACGAGTTTTCGGAGTCGACTTTCTTGGATAACGGATCAACAGGCATATCCTCTTCGCGCTGACGAAGCTTTTTATCTATCTTTGAAGTGGATGCGAGCCCAAAGCCGACACACAGATCACCCGAGTCGGAGCTTGAAGTAGAGCTCTCAGGAAGCCCTGCACTCGTTTCCTCGTTCCGCGCCACTCTCCTTTCAGCAGCATTATCCTCGGGGCTTTCTTCATACCCATCATTTCTGAATTCCCCTGCATTTCCTACGACTTTCTTTGGTGTAAAACCACTGCTGGGCGTTTCACGAGGTTCTCTCTGAAGATCTTTATGGCTTTCAGAATGTTTCAAGTCGATAATTTGAGTCGAGAATTCGGAGTTGACATTTTGTGACATATTGCTCAACTTTTGTTGCTCCATTCTATCAGCTTTATTCTCTCTATCTGTTTTATCGCTTGCCTCTTGTGTAATAACCTTACTTCTTGGGTGATCGGCGAAACTTTCCGCACCTATTTCCTTTGTCGAGTGCCCTGAATCCTTTACTGAGTGCTCAGGACCTCTGTAAGTTGCGCCTCTACTTACAGCGTTCTTCTTCATTGCCCCATTTCCCTTTGATGCGTTAAATTCGACTGTGCCATCAGTATTCGTGTTTGGCGTCACACTGGACCCACCAGAGTTGTTGCTACCACGATGTCCTTCTGCGAAAAGGACCGGTACATTCAGTGAGTATGGTTCCTTGGTCTCCTTATTGATGGTACCCCATTCACCACTTTCAGAGCTGCAAGCAGAACTGAGTCTCGGCACTCGTCTCAAAAGCTGCACATCGAAAAATCCATTATCGACTGCATGGAGAGCTTCTTCGAGCTCAAGCAACTCCTGGCTAGCCGTTTGAATATCTATGCAGTCCGTGTCTCCCTTGGTATTTCTGGAGCTGAGGAAACGCTTCAACGATTCTCCAATTGCCAGCAAACTTTCCTCCTTCTTGCCTAAAATTGAGTAGAACGCTTCAGCTAGCAGGTCATAGAGAAGAGGAATCTCATATACTTTCGCCATTACCAGTAAATTCAATGCGACAGGCGACAGTAACCACTTGCCATTCACTTGACCTGTGTAGAAAAACTCAATAAGTGACCTTACGGTCGAAGTTGGCCACGGCATGTACAGCGATCTTGGAACAAGCAAGGGCTCTAAATCCTGCTCTGTAATAAAGTTAATACTTGTGCTGCTATCTGCCAGTGAGAGGTACGATGGTCGGCTTTCTTCGCTCTCCATTCTAGACTTCAAAGTGCTTCTCTGACTTGGTGTTTTCTGCTCTGTCGTTGGAGTTGATCCTTGATGAGGATCAATGCTCGCTTCTAATTCGACGTCGATCAAATTGTCCTCTAGAAGCTGCCTGTCAACTGACCTCTTGCGCATTAAGTGAGGATCTGGATGATGAAGTGGATTATTTTCTGATGCCACAGCTTCATTAATGCCGAGAAGTGATTGTGAGATTGAAGATGACAGTCCAGGACGTAAGGCATCGTGGTAGTATGATGAACGCCTCGATGAATATGGACTGTTCTTGGCCGAGGCAAACGACGTGGTCGCATCGAAATTAAGCTGATGTGGTGCCGCAGGAAGAGGGTCGGTGGGCATAGGGGGAAGGGGTGGCAGTTGAGAACTCAAAGAATTGAAGGTAGACGAGCTCAAAACACTATCTTGGGAAGTTCGGCGGTTGGAAGGATTACCCATCCTGTCAGAAGACGAGCTCACAAACGATATGGAACTGTTCTGAGACGCAACAGATGCTTTCCGCGAGCCGAAAGGACTCTGAGATACCGCCAGCTTTTCGTCGAGATGATGAAAGTTAGGATGAGATGCGCGACGCCCACCTCGTAAACCGCCATCAAACGCAAACGTAGTCGATGTAGACGACTTTCTGCGGGCCGCTGGACCTAGATGTCTTTCTAAACTTTCCAGCCTGCTGGGTTCGTTATTGAGTGGTTGCAATACTGGCATGGGGAGTGCAGACCCGCCGCTGCCCTCTTGGAAAGGAAGACGAAATACCATACCACCAGATGAGCTTGTTGTCTTACTTGGGTCAAAGTAAGAATCTTTTTTAAAGCTATCGCCAGCGTCTTTTGAATTTTTAACGGAATGTTGAAACTCCAGATTAGCGGATGGATCCGATTTTGAGTGATGCATTTTTGGAAGCACTGACGTGTCTGTGTTTGATTTCTCTTGAGAGCCTGCCTTATCTTGAGAGTTTGCTTTTCGTGAAACGTCGGTATTTTCGACAGTGCTAGACTTGTTGCCATAGAAAAATGGACTTGATTTTCTAGATATCAGTGGGTACTGCAGCTGTGTTTCTTCAGATCGTTCATTTTGTGGCGTTGTAGCCTCAAATGCTTCCTGTGAGGAAGGATTATCTGAGTTTCTCGGGTTCATGATGTCGAAGTGGTGACTTGTAGGAGTAGCGCTATAGTTACCAGTACTTGAGGAAAATTTGGCAAAAACATTCTCTTTGTTCTGATACTCAAATTCTTTGGACGACCTGACGTAACCATGAGCAAGAACGTCATCAAAATACCTCCCCCATCGCTTTCTCAACAAGAAAATTGGAACCCGCACGGAATCTCCGTCTTCGGTAACTATCTCAAAGTCGGATAACTGCTGACCGCAAAGCTCCAAAAAGTCTTTACCTAAAGCCATCGCATAAGATGGGAAAACGGGTGCTATAGTAGTGATGTCCATTTGGGGCGCTGAGTACCGAGAGTACCCTTCGAAGCTGTCGTGTCCAAGAGAAACTTGATCTGAACTCGCAGCACTTCTTTCTCTACCCAGCGCCAGATGAGGAGCTCTGTGAAAGACGTTGATCATAGGAAGGGCAACACACAACATACTGCTGAATCTTTGAACGCTGGGCAGATGATTTTCTTTGGTCATGGTGCCTAATAAAATGACCTTGTGGTGAGAATGCCAGACAAAGAGTTGCCACAGTCGATGGCTGGAGCCGGCGGGATCATCAGATATGGTACTTATTTCAGTCCACTTTCCAGTAGGAATGTTGTAAGTGAAGCAGTGAAAACTTGAAGGCTCAAAGTCTGGATAAAAACCAGTGATGATAATGTTATGGCCAAAATAATCGCCAGATGGATGTTGCAAATGAAAAGGTGCCTTGTAGTGTTTAGCGTCTCTGCTACCGCGTCTTTTGAAAGCGGGCATCCTCTTACCGTTAGGGCCCGGATTCAAGGGCTGGATGACGACAGGGTTGGCATCTTCCTCTGAGTCGTCGCTAGGGGCGTAGCTGACGATGAGTGGATTATTCGTAGCCTGATCCCTAATTAATAGTGAGAAATTGGAATTTTGTAAGAGAGGAGTGTTTCGCCCATCGATATTGGTAGTTATTACCTGTGCAATCGATCTTTCATCGTCCAACGATTCCCATCGGTTTTGAGTCAAGTTATATATGTCGACGACGTGTATGGGACGATCCAAATTATTGAGCCCACCGACAATATACAGATGTGTATCATCTTCATCCTCAGGACCCGGAACTATGTGCATGTTATGATTGAAACGCCTTGCAATGCAGGGGTTGCAGCTAATCTGTCTCCACACCTTTGTACGCAGATCCAAGGCCCAAAGTTCATTGGAGGCTATGAGTTCGTACCCCGATTGCGGCGAAACGACCAGCCCACCGAAAACGTACAGATGGCCATCATGGTAGCACATAGAATGGAATACACGTTCTTTCATAACCAATTGCGTTGACTCATCTTCTGAGTTTGGCGGGTCACTTTCAGTGTCCACTAGCTCCCATTTTCGTGATATGAGGTCCAAGTGGAAGACTTCTTGGCTGATCCATTCTGCCAAGTTCTGGAATCCACTTGTGTGTTTGCGTTTGCGCGCAAAAAATAGTATAAGCTCCTGCTGTATTGATACCGAATTTACCTCTGTCAATTCTAATGGAATCGTGAAGCCGCCGTAAACGAAAATAGACGATCTGGCCAGTACACAGCTTGCTCCAGTCCTACAATCTAGTGTTTTAGACCGTTTTTCGCATTCTGACAACGACAACTCTTGATCGGGATTCAGTTTCGGTAGCGTTGTGGGATGGCAAGAACCCGGTGACGGCAGAAGTGGTGTCATCTGTAAGTTGAATCTGTTGACACCTTCAGAATGGTAGCTAACCCACCCTAAGCCAAGTCAAAGTCTAAGTCTAGTGGGCAAGTTTAGGAGATGGGAGATGTCTTCCCTGTACATGCATTATCATTTAAATTCTATATACTTGAATTAGGTGTCCGGTACCCATAGTTAAGAAGCACATAGTACGAACGGGCGTCAGACCAAAAATCGTTAAGCTCCAGTTTGTATCCACGAGTTATAACCTGGAGATGTACTTTTAGCATTTAAGTTCTGATTTAAGTGCTAATTCAACAGAAACATGGAGGGAGTTCGAAGTTCTCATGCCACCACACACGACCAATTTAGACTTACCAGTACGAGTACTAGCGGATACCGATTAATGAAGTGTCTGGCTCTGGTAGCATTGACAGAGGATCGACATGACCAGAATGCACAGCCTGCGAAAATTGCAAGTCGAGCAATGGTCAGTATGCGAGATTTCAAATGTGCGTTGCGGATAAATGACACGATTAAGGGCAACAAAACTGAACTTCCAACAGCGTTGATAACCTGTGGGAAAAAGCAGTAGCCGCAGGTGGATACTGCTGCCAAAAATGGAATTTTTTCGCTATCTTCAGGGTCACTACTGCTGCCAAGTGTGAGATGGGCAGCTAGGACGACCAAAGAAGCCCAGGAAAGAACAAAAATGCGGGGGAACTGAGACGATGCCCGGGAAAGAGCCACGCTGAACGCAATAGTGAACAAAAGCGGGGCCCACAGATCTGCACAATGGTCACCTTGCAAAGAAGAAGAAGGAGTGGTGGTGTCGGAGTCGCTTGACCCTGAACATGTAAACGATGGGTATACCACCTGTTTTAGTCTAGCGTTGATCTGTATCAGATCCCGTTTGAGTGTTTGGGTCACAGGTTCGTCAAGAGTACCGCGTCCGAATGCGTGGGGCGTTTCGGCGACGGGGTCCGCAAACGGGTTTGACGTGGGCTCGCTTGCTGAATTGGCAACAAAATCTGGTTCAATGAAATCGGACATAAGTGTGGGCGTGGGGGTGGGTGCTGTGTACAGCGATTAAAGTAAGTCCTACCTTCTCAATGGCCCGATGTGCGGTATTATCGGGTAGACTAGCAAAAATTAATAAGATGTTTGGCACATCAGAAGGAAGGCAACAAGTTTTATAATCCTACATAGACACTAAGGTCTACTCAGAGATTGTTCACGCATGTTCGTTCATCATTATGAGTGCGAAATCAAATTAGAAATGAATTTCCAACGACGCTTCGGGGAAGCCTCGAACGCGAGACCCAAACCCTCCCGCAACGCTGTCTCCCAACTGGGCGACATGGGGTCTAAAAGACTATTCGTGAGCTGGATGTGGTGATCGTAAGGGGCCACATGGCGGGCGTGCTGCCAGCGAAGAGGCACGACACAAATATCGTGGATTCATCCAACGATGAAGAAGTGCACACCTTCAGATGGAAGACTACATGTGAGCAGGATCAACTACGCGTAAGTGTGTGGTGTGTGCGGTGGTATATGCTACAGCCCCGTATACTGTGACCTTTCTATCATCGTTTCTCAACAGAATAGGGAAAGACTAGACTCGAGTAAGCCTGTGTGATAAGGCTGGTTTACTGCGGTGCACGAGGTGCGATGCTCATCGGTAAAATCAATTATGTAGTCTCGAAAACAGGCGTCACGTTTCCAATGGCTAGTAAGTTGAAGTGATCTGAACTGGTAATTGTTGATGTACAACGGATCATGTATCATCAGCTGAGTGAGCTTCCTCTTCGCTCTCTGATTCAAGAGCAATTCGGTCGCCCACGTCAGAGTTTGACGTACCTTCTGGAAAATTGACACGCCAGCCACGTCGTCAAGCAGTTGTGATGAATAAAATGATTCACGGAATCCGTAGCCCTTCCTCCGAATTCACCGTACGCATGTGGTTTTTCTATTCGTATCGAAAACTTTCGTTCCAGAAGCACCTTGGTAATGGCAGAACATCTCTCGAAGCACGGCGAGAAAACAAAACGAATGTGGAACTATTCGCACTCTTATAGTACATCATTGTGTCTGTCATCGAGCAAAAGATTGTTGCATACTTTTCATGCGCCTTCGGCAATGGTTTAAGGCTTCAGCTCTCAATCTGTTGAGGTGTTGCAATTTCGATATTGATATTTGATGGATTGTCGTAATTCGTGCCGCCGTTTGCAGGGTTGGACAAACCCTTTTAAGCTGTATGAAATATTGAATCCATACCCGCAGTTTTTCGGGCAAAACTGTTGGGAAACTCACGTTCACGAGAGAAACGTGGACGAAGCGTTCAAACCGGGATACAAATCTAGTTTCCATAAAATTGGGGATAGAATCCCAGATATTGAGCTGAACCTTGGATGTGAGGTAGTCCATTTTGCCGAATCAATTGCCGTGTTGTTTCTCGAGCATTTCTACAGTGTCCTTGGAAAGAATGTTGAAATCGTGGTTCGACCGTCGTATTCTCACAGATCCTCCCTCTTCGTTGATGCAATACCCTGTAAGTTGAGTTTCTAAATCATCCTGCATGCCACGCTTTATCAACGGCGATGCTCACGACTTTATGCTTTAGGAATATACCTCCAGTTTCCCACCAAAACGTCACTGAAATATATTTCAGTGTGACGTGAACTGCTAATATGTCATGAAAATCAATACTATTTTCTGGTTAGAACGTCTTCTTTTGCGCGTTAGATAGAACTCATGGTAGATGTTCAACCTTGGACGTGCTGCACTTGATAATCTGCAATTGAGTTACTCTTCGAAACAAAATTTTTGAGTATCATAAGGCCAGTTTGGAATGAGAGTGCGGTAATCATGAGGGCCAAATTCTTTACAATTTCCGTTGAGTGGATACCGTCATGGTAGTAGAGACAAATATCTCCTCCCTAAACAAAAAACGCAGCATTCTAGTTCTAAAATGCACATCACAGCACCTGAAGACTTGTCGATGGCCTTTATACACAATGTCTTTATTAGAAACAGCTTCAATGCTTGAATCTGCTGTCAATCCTACTCATCATTCTACACGGGTACTCGTTCTTGTCCCCAGTCCTGAAGTCTCCGTACGCTCCGACTGTTCTACTGCAAGCCATCCACAATCATCCTACACATGCAGTCTTTAAACCGTATCAAGATCAATGCTGACGCGGCCAGAATAGGGAAATAGCTTGTTCTATGTGCATCACTGTGTACGAAACCATCATTCATTTTTTCACTCACTCTTCCACTTACATTGTCACGTCAATCCCGATATACACATCCACTTACAATTCCTCTTTCCAAACCCCCCATTTTCATATCGACCTTCCATTTCCCTTATATCCATCCTAAACCCTTTATTGTCTATTCACTCTCATAAACACCTCTCTTTATATACTCGCTCATCACTAATGTCATACACTGAGTATTTTGTTTTTTCTTACGGGGCAACATTTCCCAAAAAATAAAATAAAAAAAAAAAATTTATTATTATACCAAATTTTCAACGTAGATAATCTCAAGTCAGTAAACTTCCCACCTACTTATAAGCTTTGTTCAGCCGCAAAACACAAGCTAACACAAGGACCACACACAAGAGATGGAAACGCCGGCTGTGGATCTGGACAACATCATCGACCGGTTGCTGGAGGTCAGAGGCTCCAAGCCCGGCCAGCAAGTCGATCTGGAAGAGCACGAGATCCGGTTTCTGTGCTCGAAGGCGCGGTCTATTTTCATCAAACAACCGATTCTACTAGAGCTAGAGGCTCCCATCAAGGTATGTGCAAGTTGCTACGAGCGGAGAAGCGAGAAGTACGGAGAGAGAAGGGGAAAAACGGAAAGAACACGACAACAAGGGCCGAGAAGGGTTTTTTGACAGATCAGGAATTTGAAAAATTGAAAAAAACCGGTTTGAGTGGTAAGAGGCGGAGTGAGGCCGGGGAGTCTACGGGAATGGTTTTTTTTCGTTCGAATTGTATGGTAGCTTTCCAGAGGACTACAACGACGATTTAGGACCCCCCTTTTTTTGGATGGACCGATATGACACGCATTGTATGTTTATTCCCCTCGCTTTCCTGCCCTTATGATATAACGCTTGATTACTGTACTGGGTGATTTCCTGGACCCTCTACTATTGTTTTTTCGAAACCTGAAACCAAGAAAACTGTCATCATGACACACCACCCCCCTCTTTCCCACTAATTGCGCGATGTTTGGTTTTTCATGAGTATTGGAAACCATCGATTTCAAATACAATGAAGAAAGATATTGGTGGTGTAGTATAGAGTGACCGGTTGAACGAGTTGCGAAGGTGAGTGCTGATACCACTACTAGTATTGTCATTACTATTGTCACTGCTGCTGCTACTGCTACTGCTACTACTCATTGTCCTTTATCCTGTCATTTCCTTTGTTGATGGGGGGCTATTCGCCACGCCACCCGGATATGGATATGAATAGGTAGAGGCTTCGTTTCAAGCGACGCAGATGGTGGGGGTAGTGATGAACTGTATTTCGTTCAGAGTGATATCTCAGCACCTCCTCTCGAGATATTGGGAATTTCAGGCCCAAAGACAGTCTTCTTCTCCATTTCTTCTTCTCCATTTCTTTTTCTCCCTCTTCTTCTTCTTTTCTTACTAGCTTCGACTCCCCCAGATCTTTTACTAACTTTTTCCCCCACAGATATGCGGTGATATTCATGGCCAATACTACGATCTGCTACGTCTATTCGAGTACGGTGGATTTCCTCCAGAGAGCAACTACCTGTTTCTAGGTGACTACGTGGATCGTGGTAAGCAGTCGCTGGAAACCATCTGTTTGTTGCTAGCATACAAAATCAAATATCCCGAGAACTTTTTCATCCTGAGAGGCAACCACGAGTGCGCATCTATTAATCGGATCTACGGCTTCTACGACGAGTGCAAGCGCCGCTACAACATCAAGCTATGGAAGACTTTCACAGACTGTTTCAACTGTCTCCCCATCGCGGCCATAATCGACGAAAAAATCTTCTGCATGCACGGTGGGCTATCGCCCGATCTAAACACTATGGAGCAAATCAGACGTGTGATGCGGCCCACCGATATCCCAGACGTTGGGTTGCTCTGCGATCTATTGTGGTCTGATCCCGACAAGGACATTGTTGGTTGGTCTGAAAATGATCGTGGTGTGTCATTCACATTTGGTCCCGACGTTGTAAGCCGTTTCTTACAAAAACAAGACATGGAACTCATTTGCAGGGCTCACCAAGTTGTCGAGGATGGCTACGAGTTTTTCAGCAAACGACAACTAGTTACACTTTTCAGTGCGCCCAATTACTGTGGTGAATTCGATAACGCCGGTGCAATGATGAGCGTAGACGAGAGTCTTCTATGTTCGTTCCAAATTTTGAAACCGGCTCAAAAGACTCTGCCCCGTCCCCAGGGCAAAAAGAAGAAATGAAAAGCGCGTTTTTTTAATCAGGTGGGGGTGCGAGAGAAGTAAACGATGGAGGGGAACGCAGCGCATATCAATTCAATTTTCTTTTTTTTTTTTAACCAGCAAGCACATTATGGAAAAATGAAGGATATACTATTTCCTGGACTCAAGAGGGCTTTGTGCAAGTCACCTTTCTTCCCTCTTTTGTTTTTTTTTTTCTACCTTCGTTTATGTTCGAGCCCGTGTGGATATTTCCCTTTCTATCTGTGTGCACATGGGAATACCTTCTTATTTGAAGTGCAGAAGCTAGAGTTCCTTTGGTCAAGTATGATGCTGAACTTACGTTGACATTGACAATCCAATTCTATTTTTTTGCGATACCCTTGGTGATCACTGAAGCCTCGTCTGCATACGTGTGGTGAAAGCAGAATCCCTGTCGATGAATAAGCTTTTAGAATATCACTTGTATCCAAAGTACGTTTCACGTCTAAAGAATGTTTCGCACGATGAGGACTGATAACGAAACGCGGTTTGTAGTCAACTTCACGCTTCTGCAACTTGAGCGCACATTCATAGAGAAGGGAAACGAACGAAACCCCAAGAAAAAAGAACACCAAAAAAAAAAAAAAAAAAAAAAAAA